AGATCTTTATGTCCCACCGCAGGACAGACCTCTAAGCTACGTAACTATGTGCGGCAAGTTAAGGCGCACATCTTCATAGGCGACTATCTTGCGACATCTTGGCGAGCTCAAAAGATACTGGCACGACCGTCTCTCCCGCCAAGCTTTGGTCGACAGGTTTGGCCTATAGCTTTAGCCTACAGCTTTCGCGCCCTAGATCTTTATGTCCCACCGCAGGACAGACCTCTAAGCTACGTAACTATGTGCGGCAAGTTAAGGCGCACATCTTCATACGCGACTGTCCTGCGACATCTTGGCGAGCTCAAAAGATACTGGCACGACCGTCTCTCCCGCCAAGCTTTGGCTGACAGCTTCACCCTACACCTTTCGGCCCCTGTATCTTTTGACTACATGGCGGGTTGGAGTTCTGAGCTGCATAACTATGTGCGGCAAGTTGAGACGCATATCTTTATAAGCTTTTATGTTAAGTGGTAAGAGCCGGGTTCAAAGATATCGGCGTACACGCTTTTCCCGCCAAGCTTGAGCCTACAGCTTTCGGCCCCTATATCTTTCGACCAGATGGCGGCTTGGACCTCTAAGCTGCATAACTATGTGCGGCAAGTTAAGGCGCACATCTTCATACGCTTCTATGTTTAGTGGTAGGAGCCGGGTTCAAAGATACCGGCGTTGCTCGACGATTCGAGCTCACACTCAGCGTCTGAGTCGGGGAGAACTTCGCCCTCATCTTCGACTACGGAGTCCTCATTCTCACTGCCCTTTGATCATATTTCGGCACAAGGCGCACGCCACGATCGTAGATTGAAAGTGCTGAAGGACCAGGAATGTGGTATTTGCATGTAGACGTGAGACCGAACACACATTTCAAACCCTCCATCCGATCCTCCTCACAATCTTGAACACGATGAAGAGCGACACTAGAGCTCAACTCACTTCCGTTCGTTCATCCTCTTCAGCCACGCCAATTGGCAGCCATACATCTACAAATGTTCCTACATATCCTCTACAAGGACCAACTAATGGCACGGATCCCGCCTTACATCATTCAAGTAGTACCGAAAAGTGTTCCGTTCGTCATCATCAACCTCTCCATGCCTCGTCCCTGGTGCATCACCTGGTGCTCGTGCTCGAAGCAGACACCGTAGCTGAGATACTGCTGACTGCGCTAACAACCAGCCTACCACCCAATATGCCATTGGCACCCTTAGCCTGACCGAGAGTCTTCTTCAAATAGCATGCCACGCCAGACAAGGACACATCTATGCATCCTGTTGTGTTGGCGCATGTCTCGAGGCAAGCTTGTAGACTATTCACAGAATGGCTCGAGAGATCGCCACCGAAATGATCGATGTTACATTCGACTACGAATTGCTTGCCGTTGTTTGCGGAATAGATGGTGTTATTACCTCCCGGGCATGTTGGGGGTGTCTGAGTTACGGCAGCCGTGCTTTGAATGGTCGACGAGGACGTTGTGGGAGAGGCGCTGCTTGTTATGGGTAACGAGGCCGAGGAGCTTGAGCTTGTACTTGTGATGATCACTCGGCTGGAACTGCTGGAAGTACTCGAGCCAGTGATGGGAGATCCGCTTGATGCAGAGGTGGGAGATCCGCTCGATACAGAGGTGGGAGATCCGCTCGATACAGAGGTGGGAGATCCGCTCGATGCAGAGGTGGGAGATCCGCTTGATGCAGAGGTGGGAGATCCGCTCGAGACAGAGGTGGAAGATATGCCTGTAGATGAAGTCATCGAGGTGCTCTTGGGCAACAGCTTGGCTCCAAGCACACCTGGTGCATTCAGCGCCGCACCGAGTGTACTTTTCAGATAGCAGCCGCTGCCCAGCATCGACAGGTCAATACAATTCGTCTGAGCATCGCATGCTGCCACGCATTGTTCTAGCGTGTTGGAGGTGGTGAAATTGACATCCCCTCCCGGGTGATCAATGCTGCATTCGATCAGGTATCGGTTGCCAGCCGGGCTCAAATAGACGGTGTTGTTACTTGCTGGACAAGCAAGCGGTGTGGGAGTTGGAGAAACGGTCAGACTGCTCGTGACAGTAGATAAGCTAGTCGTACTCAAGCTGATTGGGTTGATGGAGCTGCTTACGCTCATTGACGAGCTGGACGTGGTGCTACTAGCCAGAGAAGGTTTACTGCTGATGAGGGTTGTCTGTGGAATGAGTCGGGCGCCGAGGATGCCTGGCGCACTGATCGCAGTACCTAGTATACCTTTCTGATAGCAAGCTGCTCCTGAGAGAGAGACATTCACACAGCTACCCTGCGCATCACAAGCAGCTATACACAGTTCGAGTGTAGTTGCTTGGGAGGAAGCGATATCGCCACTTTGGTGATCGATGCCACACTCGACGAGGTAGGCATTTCCTGCAGAGGAGATGTAGACGGTATTGTTGCTCGAAGGGCATGAAAGTGGTGTTGGTGACGCAGAAGCTGTCCCTGTCGTTGTCAAGATACTCGTCGAAGTGCTTGATGATGGCTGTGGCACACTGCCATTGAGGATATACATATTGAGACGATTCGCGCCTCCATAGTACTCGCTGTTGTCCCCGCCACACAGCATGTTGCAGCCGGCAGAGACACTGTCGCCTGCTTGTAAGATTGAGCCAGCATTGATGTTATTGCCGCAGTACTGGATCAGAACGTCAGATCCCATGCTCTCGGCGCCTCATGTCATTCTAAAAACTTACACATTCATTCGAATACTCGACTCCCATGTATTGGAATTGGCTCTGCGCGCACTGAGAAGCGCAGTAATCGACAGTCCCGCCTGTACTTGCAGCGCCAGGGGCCGATCCAGAGAGTGCGCGCTGATCTTGCCCTTCGCTGTAGCATCCAAGATAGTTGTACGGCGGGACAGACAGAACAGTCTGTGGGCCGCTGACGATGGTACCGCTTGTGTTGTATGTCTGGTCAGTGATGCTGTACTTGGAGGAGTCGTAGTAGACTGAAATGTACCCTCCATCACCGCCGCAGGCCTGTGTATCGTCTCCAATGCATGCGAAGGTGCACTTCGTGTCAGATTCGGGGTGATACCACTGACTAGATGGTAGATTGTCGCCGCAGTAGCACTCCTGACGATACTCGGTCCCCGAGAAAGTATAGCCAGCCTTCTGACATGCGGTTTGACACTCCTGGTTGGTGTTGTTGACTGTATCGACGTATGGTTCATTCCCAAGAAGCCGTTGTCCAGCACCGTTGTCCAGGTAGCATCCTAGATAATTGAATATCGCAGAGCCATTGGGGTAGAGAGGGCCAATCTGTCTGCCATGGACGATACCAGTCATGTTGACAACATGCACGCCAAAGCTGAGGTCGTCCGTGTTGAGGGTCCACTGGTTTACGACGGTGTAGTCGGCCAGATTGGGAGGCCCGGGTGCTGGGGAGAACACTACAGTGCCGTTGGCGCAGCTATTGACAGGAATCTGCTGTGTCTCGTGTAGATCGATACCATAGTTCAAAGCTTTGATGGCGCCAAGGGGAGGCTTCGACTTGGTCACTGTCAAGACTGAGCCTCCTACGTTGCAAACTTGAATGCTCAGTGCAGCAGTCTGACCCGGGCTCTGAGTCCCGAAACTCATGGTGCAGTCTGTAACGCTGCAAGGTGACAAGCCACCTTCTGAGGTCGATGTGGTGATGACCACAACGGCTGCCGTAGATGTCGAGCCTTCCAAGATAATTCCTGCCGTGCCCCCGTCACTCCAGACATTGAGGTATGAAAGATAATCTCCCGTAGCGTTAGTCGCGTTGAACAGGGTAGGGATCAAGGCGGACTGTCCAGCCTTGAGGACGCTATCGAGTGCTGGTAGGGCCGTCGTGGAGAAGCCTTTCCCAAGATCCCAAACACCAGCCGTATTGGTGACGTTCGTGAAATCAGCATCACCATCATCCCGGTCCGTATCAGACGTATATGCATACCCTAAAATATGTAAGTCACTCTGGCCTAGGTTTGCGATAGTGAAAGAGAGGCTGCTGGTTGTCGGATTGCCTGCCACACCAAGAATTAATCCGCCGAAGTTGGCAGTCTGCGCAATTGCGGTCAGCACATGCATGCCTTCATAGACACTCCCTCACATACCTGTGGAACAACCTGGAGAAACGCCGCCTTTGACACTTCTGTACCAGTCAAGCTCAAAGGGAAAGAATTCGCAAATCCGGCAACAGCGTTGGTAGTTCGGATGGTCAATGGTGTTGACTTAACACCTGGAGTCGTATTGCCGTAGCTTGCATTCTTAGCGGCCGATACTGTTACGTTGACTAGATTCCAGGTAACGTTGAATGCGAAGCTTGCGCCCTGAGCGACAGCTCCAGTAGGCAAGGCAGACTGGTCGACCACGAAATGCAAGTCACCTGTCGTAATGCTGTTCACCTGTGAAATGGTCGTCAAGGCTGTGCATTGGATTGTTGCCGTCTTGCTTGAGCCGAGAACGACACTGCCAAAGTCGACAGGGCTAGTGCAGTTCAGAGGCAGATTGACCGGCGATCCGAGACAGTATAGTGCTCCATTAGCATCGGTTGTGTAGACCCGTCCATCGCCAAAAGCAGGCCTCTGGAATTTCACGACCCCACCAATCTGAGGCAGCTTGATCGGAGTCATGGCTTGATCTGGATTGGGGACAGCGTACCACGCTCGGATACCAGCGTCTGGATCAGTGAGCCACATGATTGCGGTCCCGGGTCGGCCCTTGTAAGTAGTGATGGTTGGTACTCCAGGACCTACACGACCAGCAGACTTCTGGGCCGTGGTGCCAGCGAGCACGAAGTTTGGCTTACCGGAAGCGGTGAACCCGAGCTTGTAGACGTAGGTGGGATAGCCAACAGGAGTGGAGTAGATGTAACCACCCTCGAGAGGATAAGATCCAACGCCTCCGAAGACAGCTTCGCTGGTCACGATCTCCTGGACAACGAGATCTGTGCCTCCTGTTCCTTGCTTGTAGCCGCCAAGATTATCCGCGTTGATCAAGTACAGAGCTCCATTCTTGCCTGTAGTGATGCACAGACGTGCCACACCAGTGCCGTTGAAGATGGTAGGATCGAGCAATGAAACTCCGCCGGAGCCAAAGTCTTGGTCACCGCCATCCATGTTGACGTAGTCGTAAGGCTGGAAGTAGTCGGTCAAACTAAGCACGCCTGTCGTGGTATCAATGGCGAGATTGACGACGGCTTCTCCTAGTGTTCTACAGCCAGAAGATCCGCTAGCAGGAATGCCTTGGTTCTCGCCACCATTGCCGTTGCCAGTGGCAAAGAAAAGACGATTGCCGTCACTGGCAAGACTCATACCAGCTTGCCAGATCCCGCCTTGGCCGCCGGCGCCATTGTTTGTCCAGTCCGTGGAAAAAGCCGAGTTTGGTCCTGCTTCGACTGCGAAATTGGTGACTACTTTCTTCTGCTTGATATCGACGCCAAGCACAGTGCCGGTGTAGTTGAAGAGGTCACAGTGGCCACCGAAAGCAGCAAAGACTGTTGAGCCGACTTGCAATAGTGAGGGTCTCTGCAATATCGTGCCGCCCACGAAATACTTGCGGTTGTCGTTTTGGGCGATCGAGCCGTCGACCAAGATTGGGAAGCCGTCGACATCGCTCAGATCCGAGACATGGACAGCGTAGAAGTAGTATACGCCATTAAAAGTGCCAGTATTGCCAGACTATCGATGGTTTGGAATGTATGTCTTGGCGTAGACGTACGCGATCTCACTGACTGGATCAATGACCGGCTGCCAATGATGCCGATGTAGTTCGGGACTGATCGTTGTCAGCCAAGCACTCGACACGATAAAAGTACAATACATACTATCAGTGCACCCAATGTCCGACTGCAGGAAGGGTGTCTGCACTTGACGGGAATTGATCAGGGTACCAGTTACGGCATCAAGAGTTCTGATGTAGTTCATAGACGAAGCCAAGAATACAAGTTGCTTCCCACCATTCGGCGTGAACGTCAATGGTTTTGCGTAGACTGTAATATCGTGTCAGATGGCGAAATGCTGGGGAACAAGTCCCGCCCACATACACTGTTCTTTGTTGTTGAAAGACTGCTTCCACAGCAGACCGAACTGTGCGCTGTCGACCTTTGGGTCATATGTCAGCGTAGACAGGTAGATATTCCAGGACGGTGAGACACACGACAGCTGGATCAATGTTGTGGTTGTCGAAGTACGAACTCTGTGCGGCATCGCCATCCCGGTACTCGTCTGCCATTGTTAGCTGCAGTCGATCTCGGCACAGAGGAGTTTGCTGACCGGTGGGCGCGACACTCCGAACGTGAGTGATGAATGCAAACAGCACAGTGATGTGGTGGAGCAAAGAGAGGAGCGACATCGTCATGGTTGCTCGTAGTGTGATGATATGTGAAGAGAGAGCTGTGCACACCTGCCAGAGAGGTGTAAGTGCTGTACCTATATAGGCGCGATGACCATCGACGATTGTACTTGGACTAAGTATGGATGTGATATCACTTTCGACGTTCTGCTGATTCAAAAGACAAACGTGCAAGCAGTTCGCCAATTCTGCCGTATTGCTGAAACCGCCGCCACAAGGCTCATCAGACAGACCTGGATCAGGGCATTGAAGACATAACATGGCATGCATTGCAGCGGCATATCCTGGTGGTGGAAGCATGAGAGACCAGGAATGGTTGCAACTTTGCTCATCTTCGGGCGTTCGCGTAGTGGGTCCATAGCATGCAATGTGGCCTACCGGACGAACCTGCAGATGCCGTAGCTCGGACAAATGGGTGCTGACACTGGACGTCACCTCAACAACGTAGCCTGGTAGACCACGTTTACGATTTGTTGATGGAGGATGAGATGCGTCTTTCAAGGCTGTATGTGGGAAGTCATCGAACGGGACCGGACGGGACAACCCCTGCCGCCGGGCTAGACCGATTGGCTCATGAAGGCGGACATGGGCGCATAAGAGCACGAGAAACCTGAGACAGGACCGTCTTCTTCTGATGAGTTGACTCGGGAGGTCGCATGGTCCAGTATTGTGGTACGAACGCTGTGGAAATCTCATCATGAGCCTGGCGATGTGGCGCCTCGTCACTCGCCACTACCGTTGACATCACAAACCCTACGCCATACCGAGCCAGTGTCTTCATGAGTATCTCGATGCATATGAGACACGGGAACATGCAGTGCCCGGACATCTCCTCCTGGAGTGTTGGTCGTGATAAAGGTAATGTGGCGTTCGTCAAGGCTAGCTTCTGGTTGCTGGGAGCTGGAGAACGCCGACACGAACATCAGCTCCGAGACGCGAGCCGCCGCAGTCAATGTCGCTACACGGTAGACGAGCGCTGCAGTAGGATGCTCCTGCTCGATCCCGCCGCGAGTAGGCTCTCTTCATTTTCCAATCGTCACACAAACGTTCGACCGATCCAGACGGTAGACAATCCCAAGTCGAGAGACAGGAGGGATCCGCTTGGACGACCGCCATCGACAGTACTAGCGTCTGCACCAGTGTCGTTAGGTTTTACCTCAAGTATCACCAGCTCATGTCCAAAGTGCTGGCTACTAATGTGTCGCGAATTGCTCATGACTTCTAATCCATTATCTATAGCCATCCAACGCCTTGCTAAATTCATGTGGGTATAACCCATATTGACCCTCTTCGTCTTGATTGCCCATGCTTGTACCGGCTCCAGACCAAGATCTGCGGGACTGTCTGAAAGTCAATATGCTTTAGCCAAGATCGTAAGCAAACTTGCTTCTCGCTCTGATCTGCTTGCCATAGCGATAGAATAAGAAAGGCGCCGGCACAAGTGCCAAGCACAAGAATGCGAGCAGAGTCGAGGCCCATTGTACTCCAAGGCGTGTGTACATCGATGTCGCGAAAAGCGGGAAGGCGGCTCCTACAAGTGATCGTATGAAGGAGTTTGCTGCCAGTGCTGAATTGGCATCGTAGAGATAGACATCCACCAAGTAGACCACGCTTGGCATAAAGATCATGATGATGCCACATCCGATGAACACTCCTGAGATGATCTGAGGCCATGGGTTGATGCTTGGGAAGCTTGTCCATGCAAACCTGCTACACATTAGCCGCCATTGCATACATATCTCGATTGTTCTGGTTAAGTCTTACCAGAACAGACCGATGACCAGTATGATTGAACCAGCCATCATGGGCAGGAGACGCTCCTCGGGTACAAGCGTCTTTGCTTTATGCATCTTTGGAGTGAACACAGCGACAGTCTCCCATGCCATGAATCCGCAGGCTATCAGCACTCCAACGAATATACCGAGAAATGGCAGTGCCGATACGCCAAATTCGAGGCCTCTGTCGAACTCATAGCTGATGGGGAATGCTGTGGTGTCGTCGTTAGCATATAGTAACACAGAGATGATGCTGAAGCTTGTCACTTACCGAAGAAAATCAAGTAGAGGATCCCTGGTTGTGTCAGCAAAGATTTGATCCAAGTTTCCGAAGGGCTGCAAGCATGGCTTGCAAGTGCTTACCATAAACCTGAGTCGCGTCAGCAACTGTCTATGGAATGCGCAGATGTTAAGCCGGATCACTTACTAAGGAGATGTACAACGTCAAGACGATCAGAATGAGATCTTGTGTGATCATCAAGATTGGCTTCAGCCCGTATTTACGCAGCAGAGCACCAGGACTAACAGGCTGCTCGTCCAATTTGGAGTGTAGCGCCCAGTTCTTCGTCTCGTGTCGTAGACGAGCAGCCTTCTTCTGGAGAATGATAGGCCCCAGCGTCTCCGGGATCGTGGGCACCGCCAAGCAGACGAAGAAGCCGCCCATGATCAGTGTAAACCAAGCTGTCCATCGCCATCCGAGATGTGGATTCTTGACAGTGAACTCACCAACGATAGGTCCGACCGCGGGACCTGCAAAAACGGCGGCGGCAAAGCCCATCGTTGCAATGGCACGCATGATGGGATCCCAGAAGTCCACGTACATTCCAGCCACAATGGCGAGAGGTGCAGACCCAAAGGCACCAGCGAAGAATCGGCAAATGAAGATGGTTTCGATGTTCGTGGCAACAGCGACCGGGACCTGGAAGACCAGAAAGCCAACCATCCCAGCCATCAATGGTATCCGTCGTCCGTAGATTTCTGATAACGGCCCAAATACTAGAGGACCTAGATATTGTGTAAGTAAGATTGCCGATTATTGTCAGGCGCCAAGCAGCATACCACAGGCGAATCCGACAACATATAGTGATACACCCAGAATCATGAGCTCGTTGCTTGCGCCAAACTCCTCTGCTGTGACGATGGTGGCCGTGGAAAAGACAGAACTGCCGAACGAGACCACAAACGTCATGCACGCGGACACCATACTAATCCACCACTTCCGAGTCTTGGTCATGTTCTGTGGGTTCTCTGGGTCATTCGGTCCATCCCAGTCTACCAGGTTCGGGTCCTTTGCATCTTGAGCGGCATGTTGAGGTCCAGTCTCCTCATCATGGGGAGGTTCGAAGGCCTCTTCAATGCCTTTCTCAGCTTCCGCCAACTCGTCCAGCGAATGTTTCGAGCCGAAGTCCTTGATCGAGTTGGCAGCTGTCGTCATGCCTGAAGGTGTGGCATCGTATCGATGTGCAGTCGTATCCGAATGTCCCGACGACATGATAAAGACAAACGAAAGCAACACAGAGCAATCGACGCTACAAGGCTGACCTACCAGCAACGCTCGACGGAGAGTCGTCTATCTATACAGGCCGTTGATAAAGGCCGAGATATCGCCGTGATTATAAAAATGCAGTGTTGATAGCGGCCGCTATTCAGCACTCGGGCTGCCGATGCGCACGTAGCGATGAGATATTTCCTCATGCATTAGTAATTTGGGCACACTGCGAAATGATGACAGAGGAGCCGAGGCAAGGAGCATCTCCAGATGATCAGGCATACGAGCTTTGGACCGGGACGGCTCACAGGTACCACTAGTAAGATGGTCTTTGACGAGCAGATCGACGGTTGGGACCCATCAGTTTTGCTTTAAAGAGAAAGTCGTCGCCAATATGCCGGGAAATAGAAGCGGTTGCACAGGCTCCACTTGACCAGTCCACGGTTTTCTCGGCCGTAGATGATTAATAGTACACGAGCGTGCGTTTTCTCCTTCGATGGCTTCATTTCAACCAAAGCAGTAGACTTGGTGATGCTGGCAGGAATTTCGCTGCGTTGGCCGGTTGTACTCGAGGGAGATGCAAGTAGCGACCGTTCTTGTGGTATCCATTCGTTCGATCACACTCGAGTGAGAAAGTCTTCAACAGCGGCTCTGCGGACCAAGCCTCTTCCGACCGTTACGCTGGTGGCGCTCGACAAGGATCTTTTCGACCTCGGTCGTGCGAATATCTAAAGCACTAGCAGTACCATGAGATATTAGTCACACGACACGTGCAACGTATGGAGTAAGAGCTGTCTATCTATTGAAAGATCGATGCGTTGTCGTCTCTTCTTCTCGTGTGTCCTTGTCTTGGGTGCACAGAGAGCGGATATCACGTGACTGCGTGGCCGAAGGTTGCCCCACCAAGCGAGCGTCAAGCGAGCGTTCCTGCTTTGGGAAGGAGCGATATCAAAGGAACATCCTACCTCGAAATCAAACGACTTACATGTATAGCAGCACCCTTTCACCGTACCTAAACCGTATTATAGCTCCGTGTAGCCTGAATATCTGTACAAGCAGCTATACACGCATCGCCACGACCTCTCGAGAAATAAATACAAGCCACTTCAGAGGCTGCTACCGACAATCCTCCACAACTAGCTGGCCATACATATATCGCCAAAAAGCATCGCCCAGCATGGCTCCTAACCTCGACTCTTTCTTCCAGACGGTAGACTCGAATGCAGACGCTTTCATCGAGCGCCTTCGCCAAGCAGTAGCAATCCCTTCAATCAGTGCAGACGAAGCTCGACGGCAGGATGTGGTCAAGATGGGCATGTTCCTGAAGGCACAACTCGAAACCTTGGGTGCCAAGATGGAGGCTCGACCGCTGGGTAAGCAGCCAGGGAAGGAGCATCTCGAGCTTCCACCTGCTGTGATTGGACGATACCCGGCAAAGAAGCAAGAAGGGAAGAGGACTATCTTGGTGTACGGCCACTATGATGTGCAGCCAGCGGAGAAGAGCGATGGTTGGAATACTGAGCCTTTCGAGCTCAGCGTAGATGACAAGGGAAGGATGTATGGACGAGGCAGCACAGACGATAAAGGTCCAGTTCTGGGCTGGGTCAATGTGATTGAAAGCCACCAGAAGGCTGGCGTGGACTTTCCTGTGAACTTGCTCATGTGCTTCGAGGGTATGGAGGAGTACGGATCGGAAGGCCTGGACGACTTCATTGTGGCCGAGTGCAAGCCTGGCAAATTTTTCGAGGATGCGGACGCGGTTTGCATAAGTGACAACTACTGGCTTGGCACCGAGAAGCCTTGTCTGACGTATGGGCTCCGAGGATGCAGCTACTATAGCATCGAGATCTCAGGACCAGGTCAGGATCTTCACTCTGGAGTGTTTGGTGGCACAGCACAGGAGCCAATGACGGACCTCACCCGTGTCATGGGTTCGTTGGTAGACACAAACGGCAAGATCCAGATCCCAGGCTTGTACGAACTCGTGGCACCACTCACGAAGGAAGAGCAAAGTCTCTACTCCAACATTGCCTTCACCATGGACAACCTGTACGAGTCCCTCGGCTCGAAGACAGGGATCTTCGACAAGAAGGAGGAGACTCTGATGGGCCGCTGGCGCTACCCCTCCCTCTCACTTCACGGCATCGAAGGTGCTTTCTCACAGCCCGGCGCAAAGACTGTCATTCCGGCCAAAGTGACTGGCAAGTTCAGCATTCGCACAGTGCCAGACATGGAACCGCATGAAGTTGACAGCCTCGTCTTCTCCTACGTCAAGGACCAGTTTGCGAAGCTCAGTTCAAAGAACAAGCTCAATGTCTTCCTACAGCACAGCGGTAAATGGTGGGTGGCGTCGCCCAACCACTGGAACTTCACTGCTGCGGCGAAAGCAGTGGAGAAGGTGTGGAAGATCAAGCCCGACTTGACACGTGAGGGTGGCTCGATCCCTGTTACGTTAACATTCGAGCAAGCGACGGGAAAGAATGTGCTGCTCTTGCCCATGGGCAGCAGTACGGATGCGGCACACTCGATCAACGAGAAGCTAGACCGCAAGAACTACATTGAGGGGATCAAGCTGTTGGGTGCTTATCTCCACTATGTGGCCGAGGAGCCAACCTCGTGATCGTGGTGGCCAAGTAGTATGGCATCGCTACGGACTCTCCCAGTATTGAGCCTAGGCCACTTAATTTCTCTTGGGCCAAAGGCAAAAATACCGCTTTCGTCGATTTACTCCTCCTGCTAGTCTCTTAGACCCATAATCGACTCCTCATATGTACTATTTGCAGCATTCCTCGGTCGGCCCTGGTCATGATCTGCCGAGGATCTTTGCATGCAATGTCTAGACTAAGCCAGCAAATCTATTTTCAGCTGTTAAATTCGTCCTTCAGGCTAGCACGAAATCGCCCCACGTTCCGCTTTGTAAACGGCTCGGCGGGATGCAGGCGATCCTTCGCCTGCTCTGGAAGCTATGCACTCAATCTAAATGACATTTGCCTCTCGCCTGACATCATTTCGGCTGTCTCGTGCCCTCTGATCATGCCAACGTCTGCCACGCCTGGCTGTGCAAACAAATGAGATGCTGCCAGCTTGTCCACACCACTGCTTTGCCGCCAGCCCGCCGGCCGAACCAACATGAACGATATACCCGGCGCATGCGCCTCGCGGGCATGAGAGTCAGACAGTATGCTTCGTCTGCACCATCTGTGCGCTTGTGCAGACGCAGATTGCAGGCTACTACACCTTAATCATCCTACCCGCACAACAAGCAACCGAGAGCCTCTCGATTTCGCGCCGTGCGTCATGCAACACAGCCATATCAAAATCTCACACGCTGACCGCGCTATCATCTGGTGTTGTTAAGCTCGGTGGGGGTCCGTCAGGCCAGTTCTGGCACTTACGGCACAGTAATGTCAGAGAAGACCAACATGTCCAAATTCTGCATCTCGAAGCCATGACCCTGTCTTTGGCCAGGAAGACCTGCATAAGCCACACAGCAATGGTGCCGCATGGCTCTGGCACTAAGGGAATCCTGGGCCGGAGGATCTGGTGCTCACTTTTGTGATGTGCACGACTCCACCTCGCCGGTCTTGTTAGTTACTATGCGGCACGGATGAAGGCCATGTGGGATAGAGTGCGGTGGGCATGGGTGAGTATATAGATACAGTGCTGGTCCTGTTGTGTATAATGCCACTATCAACAACGATACATGAGACCTCGACAATCATCAGACTCCATCTCATTTGACTCGATCTATCTCAAGCACATTCCTCTGCAAACACACGACTCCTTTGCATACCTCATCCCACACCTCAGTCATGGTCGCCATCATCTCCTCTCTTCTGGCCACGTCTTCGCTGCTAGCCATTGGCAACTGCCTACCACGACGATCAAACAGCGTTGCACCCTCGTTACCACTCAAGGAGGTCACCAACACGGGCTCGGCTCCTCTACCATCTCCAACCACCGGCCTGAAATACATTGCCGTCCAAATTGGTACGCAGAACTACACCTGCAACGCCGAAACCGGGAAATACACTGCGACAGGAGCTCTTGCAAGAATCTATGATGCAACATCGTACCTAGCAAATCATCCTGACCAGGTTGACTCGCTTTCACGGACGTACCTTAACCTGTACACATCGCAGCCATGCTCTCAGCACCCGAGCACGACCGTCGCCATCGACGATGTTTGCGAAGACCTAGCAAACCTCCAACACTTCCCTCCTCTGCCTATCCTGGGTCAGCATTACTTCACGAGCACTGGCACTCCCACATTTGATCTGTACCTTGGCTGGGACCATCCTTTCCTCTATGCGAAGAAGGTCGGTGATGTACCTGCCCCGTCAGCCAACGATGTCGACTGGCTCTATTTGACCAGCAATGGCTCGCCACAAAACAACATTATCAATTCAGTCTACCGGATCGAGACAGTGGGCGGCGTTGCACCAAAGACTTGCAGTGGTAGTGGCTCGATCGAGGTGCCCTATGCTGCCGAATACTGGTACTACGTCTGAGCGTTGTGCTATTTGGGATACGGCGCTGGAGGACAAAGTTTCGATCACTAGCGACTACACTTCGTGCTCAAGCACATACTGTACTACACACTTTCTGCTATCTCATGCTTACAGATCACATGTTCGATGCCTACCGTACGCCCGAAGAATGCTTCTTTCATCTGAGACAAAGCATGACGGCAGCTTTACATTGGATTTCTGTCGCTGACGAGATGCTTTCTTTGACTATTATATCTCACACAATGCATAATGGACAAAGATAAGGAATAGCAAGCTCACGCGCGCCCCTTCTTATACACTGTCTTTGCATACCGCTCGCTCGGCTTTCTTCTTCTGATCAATACGCCAACGAACGACAACCCCGACCCCAGAACCTCTCCACCATCCACCCACGCCCTCCCATACCCCAGCCCGGTATCTGCTGGCCAGAACCCTTTCCTAGTGTCTGTCCTATTTCGTCATATACAATTTGCATCTAGCGGCCTCATGGCAAGCGAACATGCCAGGACGAGCAAACAACTCCGGTAATGGTTCCAACAACCAGAACCGCGTCAACAAGAACGCTGCTCCTCGATCGAACGAGGACCTAACATGTCGCAACTGCAACAGGGTAGGTCATCTTGCCAAGGACTGCCAGTCCACAACTAGCAACAATGCCGCTCGACTCAACAACAATGGCGAGAAGCATTGCGAGAACCACCCTCATCTGACTAACCACAGCACCGCGGAGTGTAAGATCCAAAAGAACAACAAGACCAAGACCAAGACCAAGAACAACGAAGACCGCGATGGCGACGTCAAGATGGACGGCTTCGCTTACGCCGTCTCCAACACCGTCTCCAACGCCAACGCAAAATACTGTCTCATCTGCAATTCGCGCTCCCACTACCGCAACCAGTGTAATAACGTGGCCGCCGCAGCCAGACTCACCTTCTCCAACTGCGTCTGCTGGAAGTGCCATCTCCGCGGCCATATGGGCGATGATTGCGAGAACCCGTCCGCCAAGTTCTGCGACCGATGCCACAAGTCTGGCCATGCTACCGTGGACTGCAAGAGCACATCCAAGTCCGACGGTTTCCGCGCGCAGCTCGCCCTCAGTGCCGTCAGATCAGAGCGAGCATTCGAGGTGAGTTATATGACCTACCCCGTGACCGCTAACGCACAGCCAGTCCCCGTCGCACCAGCAACCGCCTTCTTCCCAACGACCTCAATGCAAATTGAGCTCCCCGCTCCCACTACCTTCGTAGCTCCACCAAAGAATGACTACGCCTGGGATCTGAACTGGGCAAGCTTTCCAGCCGGCACCAAGCTCACACCGTCAGGGGCCCATTACCTCAAGACCCTCGCCCTAGCCGAACAGCGCGTTCTAGAAGAACAACTCAGCACCACGCATAAGCAGATCCGCGCCCACTGCGAGGAGCCCAAGTACCTGTACCCCAAACACAAGGCGAACAATTACATCAGAGATATCTACCACGTTCTCCTCGAGAACCAGATCTTGACTCCGGAACGTCTGCAAGCCGCTCACTTCGGCATGGCGAAGAATCCCGGGTGATCTTTCTGGCGGGATCCGGATACCATGTGTAGTATATCAAGGGGACTTAAGCCGGTATGTAATGGGTGCTGCAGGGAGGGTTTGGTGTTGGATAAGCGGTGGAATGCTGTGGAAGTTCCTGCACCCGGCCTGGGGGAGGAGATGGTGGATGTGAGGGGGTTGGAGGATTATAAGGATTGGGGGTTATTTGTCATATTTACGGAGTGTAGTTGTTGCAATAGTACGCCCGAGTTCCCAGGACCGGGGTATCGGTGGATTTCGAGGGCGAGAGTGGAGGGGTTAGGGGAGATGGATGTTATGGCCTAAAGGTAGGTGGGATCGGGTAAGAGGGTGAGATCAGGTAAGTCTCGTCTCTTTTCTGGGTGGACTTTAGCGTAATGTTGATATGAGTCCCAGGATCATGGCCATTGGCTGGCCTATACTTCTACCCATCTTCTGCCGTCACGTCTTCATGATCCATATCTTGACGTCGATGCTTCTAAGTCGTAATCGCTGCTGCTTCCCGAGCTGCCACCAGCGCCTGAAACATTCCCTCCACATCCTCCGCTCCATCGACTCTCACCTCGCCAATGAACATAGTAGGCACAGAATCAATACCCTCGTCCCGAACCTGCGCAGCCAATTGGTCCACCCGCCGACCAACATCCTCATCATCTATCCACTTCTCCCCCTCACCCTCACTAATACCAACATTCCTCGCCACACCGATCAACCCCGCTCGATCACAAATATCGCCACCGTGTTCGAAATGCCACCGATAAACCTCTTCAATCACCGCCTTCTGCACCTCCCACCCCTTCTCCCTCCCAATCCCATGAGTCAAAGCATGACTCATCTTCGTCGCTCCCGTCTTACCTTCGAAATCAAACTCGATACCCACCTGCCTCCCCGTCCGATGTAAGCGCTTCAAAACACCCTCGACCCTCTCGGCGCCATTCTTACGGGCAGCAGCTTCTCTCATCGTGAGACCATGTTGACCAGTGTCTGTGTTGAGATAAAAGGGGAGGAACTCATACTCCAAACTATCGTCGCGAGCACCAGGGTAAGTTTTCTGGTAGATCGCAATGGCTTGGGCGAGGGAGCGGGAGCCGATGTAGCACCACGGGCAGATTGTGTCGAAGTAGACTTTTATCTTGATGAAGGCCATGGTAGGAGTTCCGAGGCAGAATTGAGTTCTATGTTCTTACCTTCTGAGCGTATGAGTTGAGATCCGATCCGGACCTTTGACTTCTGTACATGTTCCTCATCTTGGTGCCTGGTGAGCTTACGTGGCGAGTGCGTGGGTGTTGGACGCTATCGGCCCAGGTCACGTTTTGGAAGAGTGTATGTCTACATGTCGTCACGCTATCTGCATAGACGGGCTCATGTTATCGAGTGCGAACCTAGGTTGCAATGTGTTATAACACTGGTGACTGTCAACTGCCCGCGTCACGTGCAACCCATTTATGTGGGCGATTAGAGTTACGGCGGCAGCCGGGGACAAAATCTTGGCATCGGAGCTAAACATTTTTCTGGAGGTAAAGTTGCAGCTCAAAAGTTCGAGCCCGCGATCGAGGCATCTGTACAAACATCTCACGTATAGTGCTCTTGGGCCGTATCGTATATCGCCAAGATGTCCAACGACTATATCAGAGACTCGCATAAGCGGAAGCGGAAGCATGGCGGCAATAAACCTGGAAACCCGGCGATGATGTCTGGAGCGCTACCTTCGCCTGGTATGGAGGAGGGAGAGGAGCGGACAGACCCGATGGACGACGAGGCGGCGAGGAAGAAGGTGAAGAAGGAGCATAAGAAGAGGAAGGTGGCTGAGCAGGCAGATGACGTTGCAACGAAGGGCGGCGAGGTCAAGCCTGTTGCGAACGGCGTCAGCAAGGCAGAGGCGAGACCGAACGGAGATATGGCTGTGGATGACGAGAGGGCGGCGAAGAAGGCGCGGAAAGAGAAGAAGGCTAGGCTGAGGGCGGAGAAGGAAGCGCGGGAGACACAGCAGACAGAGGGCGGGGCGGAGGAGCAAGTCAACGGACAGTTAAAGGAGATTGCAGCGAAGGATGGTGTCGCTGGCGTAGAAGAAGAAGAAGACTTTGCAGACTTTAGCGGCGATGACGAGGTCAATGGCGAAGAGGTGGAGGAAACTGCAGACCAGACAAACGGCCACGACGCCGAAGACGACGAGGAGAACGACGACGTCGCAAAACCTGCTGCAGATCTTGGTGAAGCATCTGATCTACCTTCTGCGCTCGGTGTACGACTGCCAGACACAGGCTCAGAACCACAAAAGTTCTCGGAGCTGAACATGTCTGAAAAGACCATGAAAGCGATCAACGGCATGTCTTTCGAAAGCATGACAGAAATCCAGCGAAGAGGCATACCGCCATTACTCGCCGGAAAGGATGTGCTGGGAGCAGCGAAGACCGGCTCAGGCAAGACTCTGGCCTTCCTTATACCTGCAGTAGAAATGCTGCACTCCCTCAAGTTCAAGCCACGAAACGGCACCGGCGTAATCATCGTCTCACCCACACGAGAACTAGCCCTCCAAATCTTCGGCGTAGCACGAGAACTAATGGAACACCACTCCCAAACCTTCGGCATCGTCATCGGCGGCGCAGCACGAAGAGCCGAAGCAGAAAAGCTCAGCAAAGGTGTGAACCTCCTGATCGCCACCCCCGGCCGACTACTCGACCACCTCCAAAACACCCAAGGCTTCACCTTTAAGAACCTCCGCGCCCTGGTAATCGACGAAGCCGATCGCATCCTGGAAGTCGGCTTCGAAGACGAAATGCGACAGATTGTCAAAATCCTTCCCAAAGACGACAGACAAACTATGCTCTTCTCCGCCACCCAAACCACCAAAGTAGAAGACTTAGCCCGCATCTCCCTCCGCCCCGGCCCTCTCTACATTAACGTCGACCACCACCAAGAACACTCCACCGTCGCGGGTCTAGAACAAGGGTACGTGATCTGCGAAGCCGACATGCGCTTCCGACTGCTCTTCACCTTCCTCAAAAAACACCCGAAGAAGAAGATCATCGTGTTCTTCTCCAGCTGTAACTGCGTGAAATACTACTCCGAGCTACTCAACTACATCGACCTCCCCGTCCTCGACCTCCACGGCAAGCAGAAACAGCAGAAACGCACGAATACTTTCTTCGAATTCTGCAACGCTACACAGGGTACCCTCATCTGCACGGATGTCGCCGCGCGAGGACTGGATATCCCTGCGGTAGACTGGATCGTGCAGTTTGACCCTCCGGACGATCCGAGGGATTATATTCACAGAGTAGGAAGAACGGCTCGAGGTGCAACGGGCAAGGGTAAGAGTTTGATGTTTTTGCAGCCGAATGAGGTTGGGTTTTTGGGGCATTTGAAGGAGGCGAGGGTCCCCCTGGTCGAATTCGAATTGCCGCCGAGAAAGATTGTGGATATTCAGTCCCAGCTTGAGGCGTTGATTGGGAAGAACTACTATCTCAACAAAGTAAGCCATGATCCTCATCTCCATCTCCTCTCCTCGCTACTCACTATCCTCATGCTGACTTTGTCTCTTCTCACAGTCCGCCAAGGATGGATATAGATCTTACCTCCAAGCCTACGCCTCGCACTCTTTACGATCGGTCTTCAATGTCAACCAGCTTGATCTGAAGAAAGTGGCGAAGAGTTTTGGTTTCCCGACGCCGCCGAGGGTGGATATCAATCTGGGAGCTTCTATGAAGACGGGACATGAGGGGAGGAGGGGATATGGGAGTCAGCCTAGGCAGCCAGGGAAGGGATATGGACAGAAGAGGCGGTGAGAGTCTGTGTATCTATGATAGAGTGATGTAGCGCTGGCGTTGGAGGTGTACAGATATTACTTCTCATGATTTCTATTTAGACGCATTATGTCCGACTGAGTCAAATGCGAGAACTGACAATGTTGGAATATCTGGTATCGCTTATCGTGTCATGTGGGAAGAACGCTTCATAGATACAGGGGCTCGTTATACCACAGGTCTTTTTGCCGCCCAGGCTATGCATCATGCTCCAACAAACGCTCGTCCTGAGTAGGATCCATCAAGCTATACAATATCGCATCTGCCCAAAATACTCGAACCCACGTGAAAATAGTCGTGATCACCGTTTCCAGTGCGCCTTCCCATTGGCCTCCTCCCCACCATGCCCCACGTAACCACCTTGCTGCGCGAGAGCCCTCTCCTTCTCATCCTCCTTCGAATGCGGCAACGCCACATGCTGCCCATGCTTGTAATCGACCAACACAGCTTCCTGAACATGCTGAGCAACATGCACACTCGTCGGCGCCTCAAAGGCCTCTCTCGCCGCCACGGGGTCACCCTGCGTCATGGCGCGGAAAGTATCCCAGGGCGTGACAGCCCCAAGTGCCCTTTTCATGTGCGCATTGACGATCTGTAGACCATAGACGTAGGAGGCGTTGACCCAGCCAAAGCTACCACAAACACAAATAAGTCAGCAATCGTCCACATCGCAACAGCATAAGACAATAATAAGGAAGTGTGAGACTCACCCCTCGGTAGCCACGCCCTTGAAATCCGCCCCCTGATTCCCATACTCCGCACTAACCTTATGCGGAGAAATCTGCTGCGTAACATCATACTTCTCGACCACCACGCCATTGAAATCCACAAAAGCTTTAGTGACCATGTAAATCCACCGATACGCCAACCGCTGCGCGTCCTCCTCAAACCCATACCTCAACAGACCCGTCCACGCCAGAATCTGCTGCGGCGCCCACCCAAAAGGATAATCCCATTGGCGATTCGGACGTGATAAGCCGACTGGCCCACGGGACTCCTCGGTACCGGAGACAAGACCGCCGTGGACTTCAAAGCGAGGCAGGGCTTTGGAGACGAGAAGGGTGGCTTGGCGGGGCGTGCAGGCGCCGGCCCACATGGCCCAGAACGTGGTGGCGGATTCGTAGCCGGTTTGTTCTTTCTTCTTGCAGTTGTAGTCGAAGAACATGCCCTTTTCCTCCGACCACATCAGCTTATCCATCTGTAGTCTGCGCTTCTTGGCGCGGCGATCCCAGGTCGAGGAGGTTTCGATGGAAGCTTGGCCCTCGGCTTGCCACTCTGGCGGAATATGAAGGCTATCGCGGAAGAAAGCGCGGATGGTGCGGGCGATATCGGATTCGATTTTGTAGAGGAGGGAGTTGAGGTCCACGGTCGCGAGGTCCGCGGCGACTTTTTCGAGGCGGTAAGAGGTATCGTGGCCGGATTCTCGGACGGCGCGGTCGTGAAGAAAGTATTCGTCCAGATCCGGCTCCCAGATGCGGCCGTAGTTGTAGGCGTTGACGAACTCTTCGAATGTCATGTTGTGTTTCTTGGCGTAGGGGTTGAGGACGTGGACGAAGTGGCTGGCTTCGGTTTCTGGTGGTACGCCAAGACCGCCGGGTACGTACTTTGATAGACCTGAGGCTGGGTCGTAGCGTGGTTCGCGCATCCACGTGCCGTAGTAATCTTTGATTGCTGCCAAGATGGCGTCCTTCAGAAACTGTAGACTGTCCGGCCTGTGCTTGATACGATCATATACCCGCAACGCCATGTCGGTAAGGAAAGGCGGTTGTGAACGACAGAGGTAATATGTGCGATTGGCGTTGAGGATCTTGCCATAGTGACGAATACAGAAACAGAAATGCTTGACCATAGCCTCAGCCAGATCCTCACGATCGTTGACCAGCAGACCAAGCGTCTCCATGTAGCTGTCCCAACCATAAAGCTCGTTGAACCGTCCGCCTGGCACGACGAAAGGCAGACCCCGGTAATCAGGATATCCCTCAGGCGTATCCTCAATTCGCTCAACAGCCACGGCAAGCAGTCCAGGCGCGGCGTTGAGGTCACGTACATAGTTATCATCACTAGGGACTTCAGCAAGGTAGATGACCTCAAGATTGAGCTCAGGATGTTGGCGTGCGATACGAGTATAGTACTCATACTGCTCCGGCGCACCTCGTGGAATGTACATTCTCGGGTGTGGGTTTTTGGTCCAGTCTTTGGGATCGCGGGCAACCTGTGCAATATTGCCCCCGTCGATGCGGCGAGTCAAATTCGGCCAGAACTGGTCCTTGATAAGGCGAGCCAGACGGTTGACCGGATTCTCGTTCAGGCGTGCTTCGTCCAGGACGATTTGCTTGCGGCCGTAGGCTCGGGCCTGCCATAGCTCTTGCAGTAGATTACTGAGCATATACGTTCCGCGAACGTCGAAGTTGCGGTAGCCTCCGGAGGCTGCTGTGCCAAGTGGGATGCTCTTGGGTCCATGATCGTCAATGGTGATTTGGATGTTGTGGTCGGTATCTTCGCGAGCCAGGAGAGTTTTCAGGGTGTCCTCTACATCGATCAGATACCGGCGAGGGGCATTACCCTGTGCGTCTGGTAAGTTCTTAGCATGGGGCATTCATTTATGCCAGGGTGTATCAATCTACCATGACTCTGCCGCCTCCCAGGAACTTTCACTCCAGCTCCCAAGTGTGTCTTTGGTTCGATCTGTACAGGGTACAATCAGCTTCCAATCCTAGTTACAACCATTGCCCGGCATAAGTATCATCTTACAGCAGAATATGTGCGTCCCTTGGCAACCTTTCTAGGGCCATGACTGGAACCATAGTAGACTTCCGGTGCAGCATATGGGTCGACGGTAAGTGTGTTCTTGCGCTGATGTGACTGCTCTTTTGGGTCGGATGTGCGAATGGGAAGCGCCGATTGCTGCCCGCTCATACTCCGGTGGTGGGTTGTGCTCGATAGCTCGTGGGTGGTGAGTCGTGTCGGGACAGTAGGTGCGGCAGAGGCTTATCGATTGGTCGAATAGGTGGATTTGTTGAGAAGGAAAACAAGGCGGTATACAAGGACAAACAAATTCCTGGATGGTTGATTGATGGACGAAGTGGAGTGGAGGCAGTCGAGAGTCTAGGCTTGATCAGCATTGAGCTTATTTGACCTTCGTCGCTTTTCTCTCGTGAATAATGTTACGAAGATTAATGGTGACTGTATGCAATCTTTGCCTGTTTCTGACTTACACTGACCTGACTCTGAGACTGTGGCGTGAGTGATCGGATGTGGATGTCCGACTCCCCTCTTCCTTTGTCCCCAAAATGGTTGATTGACAGGAACGGCGTAGCAAACAATGCAATGCAGCTGTTTGTTCTTTATGACTGATGATGAGGATTGATCACGCGAACGAATGGTCGACAAGCAGGTCTGTCTGTAATGTGATGCTGGGAGTCAAGTCAGATTCAGATCTTGGTATTACTGTTTGGTGTCAGGCAGGCAGGCAGGCAGGCAGGCAGCAGAGACAGGTAGGCAGGCTTCGTGGATAAGAAATGATGGTAGCAGCAGGAGCAGTGGCTATGAGCACTCCCAAACAGGAAAGGCTGGTCTCGACCGAGTCCGCACTCTTGCCATTGCACTGCCTGCAGAGGGAATGATAAATGGACCTGCAGAAAGCGGTGTGGGCGACGGCAGGGTCAGGTCGCCCGTATATACTCTACCAGCGCTCGTGGCAGCTGCGCCAGGATGTCCGCTTCCGCCTGCTGATGGGATCACTTCGGCATCCCCAGTTCTGCTTATCTCATCTCAGCTCGCCGAACATTTTCGTGATTTTCGTGGCCTCTTGATCAGCCGCATCGGACCTGGCCCCGGATCCGCTCCTTAATGGTAAGCTTCAACCTGGGTATCGCGACCACTCACACCGAGACGGAGATGAAAATGCATAGAAGCAGACACACAAATCTCTGCGATAGACTAGAGAAGGCCCTGAAGGAAGGGAGTGGAGGAGGTGGCCATTGGGACCAGCCCAGTACCCTTGCTGTATGCGTAGCAGACGCCACTGCCACCCTTCCCCGGTGCTGTGTAACGACATCAATCTGCAAGCAACCAATACGATATTGCATCCACCTGCCTATCTCAATCTATGGCCGGAGCAGATATATAGCAGATTGGACGAAACAGCTCGCTTATACGCATGCACTACCGCGCCACCGTGCGAACTCCTTGCGTGGAGCGAACGCCGCGGAGATTGTGGTGCAGCAAGACTGCCTCCCATCTCCTCGCCGCAATGAGGATGAGAGCAATAGGCCACTGAATTGCCATCGCCTTCCAGATACTCTGATGCGGAGGGACGGCACGAGCGTGAAACATCTTCATACCACCCCTCCTAACAAAGCCATGATATCCACGCTATGCCTACATAAGTCACCAAAGAGAACCTCTCCTCATTAAAGGCCCCCCAAAGTGCTCACCCTGGTATCAAATCCCATTCCTCACATCCGAATCCCACAAATCATCACACATGACTCATATCAACCCCCCTCTGCACACTCCCCTTCCTTCCCGCACCTCCACCTCCACTCCCGGCACTTCCACTCCCACTCATCCTACCCTCCCGCTCCCTATCCCTATCCTTCTTCCTCTTCAACGCAGCCAACGGCGTCTTCACTCGCCTCCTACTCTCCTTCTCCACCTCCCTCACCCTCGCCTCCTCCATCTGGACCTGGATCTGCTGCCGCGCGACCTCCCTCCTTTCCCGATGTCGGATTTCCCTCTCATAATTCGGGAGAGCCGTGGTACCACCGCCGGCGGCGGCATGTTCGGTGTCGCTGCTCACGGCGCTGGAGACGTTGCTGGCGCTTGCACTGGCGGATTGGGAATGCGAGTGGTCGGAGCCGCGGGATTGAAGGGCGCGGCGGAGGGAGCCTTGGATACTGCTTCCGAGGCTTGCGGAGCCCGGTCTGTCACGCTCTCGATCTCGTGTGGATTTGCGAGAAGGGTGGGACGTGGTGCCGTCGACGACAGGTGCGATGGTGGAATGCGGGGGTATTTGTTCGTATAGCCTTCTCGCATGTGCTTCGGAATCACCTTCTTTCTCCTCACCTTCGTCAGCGATAGTGTCCCAGTGCCGGGTCCGTCGTGCATCGATCATGCTCCTGCTGGCCATGCCTTGAGGCAGGATCGATGCATCGCTGGCAATCGTCTCGCCAATTGTGTCAAAAGAAGCCTGTGTGGGCATCTCGTCGCTACTTTCAGCATTGGCACTTGCATTATGCTGCAGCTGATCGATGAGCTCCTCCCATTTGAAGCTTAACGGGCTCGCAGGCCTCTCCGCTCTTTCCGCACGACTCAAGCACTCCTGTGTGCGGCTATTCAGGCTGCTGCAGATGGCGTGAAAGGCTTTGAGATCTCCTTCTGCGCTGTTGATGGCACTCAGAATATCGGAGTATCGTCTATTGCGCGCAGTCGAAGCATCAGAACCTGGCCCAGGCGATGTGTACTCCAGCCATAGCTGCACCAGATCCGCATACGCTCGCGCTTGGTCGATGAGATATGGCAGACTTGGAAAGCCTTCTCGACTCGTTGGTGGTAGTCGCTGCATGATCGTCATCGGCGTGCCGTAGCTTAGGTGCGTTTCTGCTGTCGGCACAATCGTTGGGTACGTAGGAGACGATGCGGACGGGCTGGCGTAGACTGATGTAGAGAGTGGAGTCGGTACGTAGCAGATGTCATCGATGAAGCCTTTGAAGCTCTCTCTGTGGTGGCCAAGAAAAGTGTTCATAGGCTCCATCCAGGGCTCTTTATTGCCAAAAGATGCCATGTTCGCCAGTGTCTGCAGTGACTTCGCTATCAGTGTGAAAGTGCGACGGGCACGAGGTTTGATGTCGTCTACGAATGGTCAGCATAGCCATGGATCATATTCAAGGACAAGTGCATACCCTTGAGTAACCCAAACAGCTTCGGGTTGAGCACAGCTGGGCAAAAGAACCGCAAGAACATGAACCCACTAACACTGCTATAGCTCACCGTCCGCAGGAAATCACCATACCGATCCTCCGCGCACGCTCGAATATGCCTGAAGACGATCCGTAGTTCGACAGGACATTTGCTCTTAGCCGCCAAGATCGACTTCCACACATCTTGCGTGAACTGCGTCAGCCGCCTCCAATTCCTCTCAAGGTCCTGAGGGTTGTGAACGCGATTCGGATCGACCTCGCAGTCCGGGTCTTTCTCATTGATCTCCCTGATCTTAGCAGCCAGAGATTCCTCCAGATACTCCTTGCCAACTCGTCGCATATGCGTATCCAAGCTTTTCGTCAGCAGTGTGTTGCCACGAAAGAGCAGATTAGCCTCCACAGTAGCGTTTTTGTTCATATCTCGTACGATCAGCTCACGATCGCTATGCGGATGGCCAGCTGGACCATGACTTTCTGCACTATCGTTCGAGCCGATGCGCCTACTGTAGCGGAGCCTATTCAGCGGTGTCTCTTTCGTCAGGCCATCGATCTCCTCCTCGATTAACGCCATCAGCCAGTCTCCAGCTTTGCCTGAGACCTGATAAATACTAAGCAAACAATCACTCAGGCGCTTAAGCTCGCTCGGGACTATAGCCGCAATCTGAAGGGTCAACTCGTTGCCGAATTTGTGTAGAAGGTCGCTGAGCGGTTTGTAGTCGTGAGCCATGAGTATGACACCCTCCTCTGCTCGCGCTTTGATCAAGACCTCGCCGACTCGCTGATTGTACATGTTGACGACGGGCCACCACTTCTCCACCTCTTTCTCCTCCTCCAGATCCTGTAGTGATATGTCAACCTTCCCGCAAGTAACGTCGAAATTTAGGTTGGTAAATCCTCCATGCTGGTCACTCGTGAACCCATACGCTTCGTGAACAAGTCTGCTTTCATGCATCTCACGCGCGTGAGCACTATCAGGTGGTCTGCGCTTGATGACCACACTCGCGCTTGTGAGGACCGGCGGCAGGTCATTGAAGTCGAATGTCTCGCCCCAGAGTGGCGCAAGACCTTCAAACTTGACTGCCGTCTTGCCACGAGTCTCGTTGTCCAGCAGGACCTCCGCATAGTAACCGTGGTGGTCTGCTTTGACGGCGTGACTGCGACTATGGCTGAAGTCCGGATTCGCACTGTTCGGCGCAGATGCTGGAGGGAACATCTTCGCCTCGACCATTCGAATGCTCAGACTGCGCTCTACCCGAAACATGTCTCTTGTGCTTGAGGCCTGCGCCATGTCGTGCGCAATTGACGATTCTGCATCTCCGTTGCTTTGCTCTGGCGGACCATATAATTGCGGTATGGTGAATGCGCGAAGTAGCACAAACCAGACTTCAAAAAGCACTCTACTCTCCAGACTCAAGAAGATCGGGCGTAGGAAGTTCTGCGGATTGTTGTTTAGGCTCGCAGTGTACTGCGGATATATCGCCAAGCAGAAATCGTTCTCCAGCACACTGGAGTCAAGTCTCTGTATCGCGCATCGACTCAGATGGCTGAGCTGTACCACGGAGATCAGGCTGTTGTCTGCATCGGAGTGGAGCTTCAGCTCGCCGTTCTCTCGCAACTGTCCGCTTATATGCCGCCACCTTCTCGAGCCATGACTTTGCATTCGATATGCTTGCGGTCTTGTACTGCTTGCTGATGCCGCAGCGCTGGGGGCCTGACTGCTGTAGCCGACATTCGTATCCCAATATGTCATCTTGCCGATCTTGATGACCGGCGCCTCCTTGTGCGCACTCACTACTGACTTCCGCCTGTCACTCTTGCTGCTACCAGCCCGCTCACGCTGCGATCGCGCGGAGGACATTCGTGGGGGCGGGTCTGGTCGTGCTGGTATTACAGGAACGGAAGCATAAGGAGGTAGCTGACCGTTACCATTGGCGAGGGCGCGACTTGCTGGTATCTCTCTTGCGCTCCAGTACAGGAAGGTCGCATACCAAGAATCAAAATCATTCTGCGTCTGCAGCTTGATGTGGAGCTCTAGGTCCGAGTGAGGTGACACCACTTCCAGATATGGCGTATCGTCCTCGACATGATGCCTGACATTGCAACCCTGGAGCCTAGAGACGAGACTCCTATGGGTGCCTTCTGAGCTTCTGGACTCATACATCAAGCTGCCGGTCTCCTCCTTGACATAGCAGTAGATCTGGCTCCATCGACTAGTCTCACCACGCCGGAAGCTAACATTGCCACTCATGCGTCCATTAAGAGTCTTCATCAGATGCACGATGCGCCTCGCGTTTGGTGCTGGCAGGCCAGAAGTAAGCGAATCGACCGTACTCGAGGAAATGGGCGATATTGAACGTCCTCCCGCCGAATCGACCGGTGTCTGTACTGGCGAACCTAGAGACATGATTGAAGGTGCCGAGGGCGGTGATGTCGCAGCCGGTACGGATGCCAGATATTCGGCGCCTTGATACACTGGCGAAGAGGGCGAATGGACGCTTCCAATCCTATTCCGACTCTTAAGCAGCGCAGTCGGCGACCGCTCTCTCCTTCTCGTCTCTTCCAAAGTCCTTGTCCGCGGTCGCACACCACTTCCTTGCGCATCTCTATTACTTGTGGTCGTTGGGACAGCACCCGTAGAGTGGAGCTGAGATTGCCCGTTACTGCGACTGCTACTCCGTGCCAACATTCCAGACGGCGTCCGCGCGGTCGTCCCCACCGACCCGTGCCTGCTTCCATCCGGACTGGTCTGCGCCAACCGCGCCTCCCTCTCCCACTCATTCTCACGCACCAACCTCCGCTGCTTGTGCGACGACGCAGAGTTTGCAAGTCCACTGCCAAACGGGGTATGTGCAGCCGGTCCACCCACAATCGTCGTCGTGGTGCCCAACCCCACACCTAACATTTGCGAAGCGCCGAACGGAATGAAGGCTCGCTCGAAACTCGTCGTACCACGTTCTGGAACGAGCGGACTGCTTTCCTGGCTCATGTCCGTGTCCCCGGCGTCGTCGGGTGTCACAGCGCGGATCGTATTTGCAGATTCCCTGAGCCCGGCTGTGGTTGGGAGACTTGGGCGCTGCTGGGCCATGCTTGATGGGTCGGTCAGAGAAGGGTATTGCGAACCTCCACCATTCTCCTCCGCTTGTCTTTGCTGCTGCTGAAGCCGTCGCTGTTCCTGCTGTTCCCGAACTTGTGCTTCCCTTTCCTCCTTCAACCACTCGTCATACGGGTTCATTTCCTTCTTCCGTCTCGTCTCCGTCCATCGCTGTCGAGTGCCATTGGTCTCCATCACCTGCAACACCACAGCAAGCCCTATCTCGCCTGTGTATCCTCACCCAGCAGCCTCTTGACTAAACCCGCCGCTGTCGATGTGCGTAGGACGGGCGAATGGCGCTGACGGCGCATATCGCAAGGTCGATTTTCCCGTACCCTGCTCGTCTGTCTAACCTTCACAGCTCTTCTCACCACCACAAACGAAGCCGCACACGCAAGTGACGTTCCTTTCTTGCGCACTACCCGCAATGCCCTCTACTCCACTACCAAGACCCAGGCTTCCGACTCCACAATATTGCCCTTAGCCGAATTATCCGCGAGAAAGTCCACCAGAATTACTTCAGCAACACACTCGCTACTCATCTCTTTCACACCTTAACTTCCAATGCAATACGAAGCGATGGAAGGACACTAATGACAACACACGTACAGGAACCAGGCACGGTGGCGCTAACGAGATGGAGGTGTGCTGGCGAAATGCATGCGTAGAGAGGGCACGGCTGTCACTGCCGGCGACTACTGCACTTAGACGAGGAGCTGGCACTTTGGCTCGAGATTGAAGATGTGGGGGTGAACCCAATTGACATGATGGGCGATGGAACGATATTACTCTACTGGTTCACCTGTCCTCAACCATTAAAGCTTGGTGGTCAACAATGGTGTTGTCTTGCTGATCCCATCTCACCTACACACCTTCACTCGTCGCTTGGGAGCTCGTATCTCGACACATAACTTTGAGCGTTTGATGCTCGAGCCCGAAACAACAGTTGCAGCCACCCTGATCCTGACCCGCCAAGCTCTAACGGAAACACCACCGTCCGTGCATCTTCAACGGCAGCCCTACATTTCATTGCGGGATGCGGTATGAGATGATGACAGGCGGTAAGACGTGTTGATCACTCGCTTCGCCATACTCTCTTCCAAATTGGACAATGAGGGTGCTAGCACTCAGTCGATAGTCTGAAGTGGTCTCGCATGTATATCGTCTCTACAATGCCAGTCACGTCGACCATGATCCCTCCCGAACTCGGAGCAGGACAAGGACCTCTCCACTCAGCACGAATTTGTCGCCACCGTATTCGCTTAGACCATATTGGTCAGTGTGAAGTCAGCATGACCGTAGTGGCTGATAGATATACGATGATCGAGGTGAAGCGCAAAGACGTGGGCAGTAGATACTTGAGGTGACAAGTGCATAATGGAAAACGCGCCATTCTCATAATCTGCCTATTGGTATCTCATATCTGAATGAACATGAAATCAAGAACCAAGATAGCCCATTATACGCCATTGACCACCACTCAAATTCCTGTCCAAGCCGATTGGGCAAGACTGCTACCTCGTACCAATGCACTATACTACCTACTCGTCCGACCATAATAAGAACTGACAGAGACATCATATCCATCAGGTATTGGTGCGGCTACGACTACCCTCGACATCAGGCGAGGAGATGGGACTCAAGCCCGAGTTCCTTACACCACTCAAATCTCCACTAGCCGTCTTACGAACAGCCTGTCGCATCGTCTCGATATTCAACTCGCCGTGTTGACCTGGTGGAGATCCGATGTGACTGGTCGATCGTACCGGCGATTGATCAGAAGCTGGATTGATGCTGACACCTGGTAGTGGTGGGGTGGTAACACCACCGCCAAGACTGCCTTTCGGCGACGTAGGCGAGCGCATAGGCGAGCTGGCATGCTGCTCATGTATTCGCGTAGGAAAGCTTCCAGGTAAGGAGGAGGATGGGCTAGCCATGTGCAGACTGTCCTTACTTCCCAGCTCACCCAACGATGATCCGCTGGCTGCTTGCTGCTGATGCTCCGTTTGCACCACATCGGCAAAAGAGATGAAGCTCAATCGACGCACATCATTCGGATCCAGTTGGCCGTACGTACTCGCTCCCTCATCCTCCATGAGGTTCCCAGTTGAAGGTAGCTGGCCAAGCGAGCTGTGCATATCTGCCGCCGTCTCACTCCCAGCATGCCTCAAACCAGATGGATTATGCAGCTCCCTCAGATCAACATGGCTGGCGGACCCCTCGAGCACTTTCTCCCCAGCCGGCTGGTGCGCAGAAGAAGTCACAATCTCCACCTCATCCGCACCCAACTTCGAGCTCGTGATCGCTTCAACCGAGGCTTCCAGTGCTGGCGGGATATGGTCTTCCGTCAGGACATGCGTGGGCATATGAGCCGGTGAGAGTTCATCCTGGAGATTCGAGAGTGGGATGGGTTCTTGCACGCTACGCTCGAAGATCTCGCTTGAGGCGGGGCTGTGTAGGCGTGGAGAGCTGGAGCGGAGGCGAGAGGGCGATGCGGCTGCTGCGCCGAGAGCGGATGGGTATGGATGGCGAGGTGAGATGGGTATAGGTTGTGGATGTGCTTTTCGCTCTGAAGTGTTTGTTGTAGTGGAAGGGCCTCTCATAGCATTGATAGCTGCTTGTGTGGAGGGTAGCATGCCGCTGCCGACAGCTGGTGACGACTCCATACTTTGTGCCTCGCCTTCTTCCCTCTTCTTCCCTCCTAGTCCAAGACCGAAGATCCTTCTCGTACCAGTCTTCGGGTCGATTTGGCGTTCGTCGATATCAGTCTCGTCGCTCAATGGGTCCGGAGCTTGTTGCTCAGCTGGCAATAGTGGCGCACCGGAGCTCTGCGGAGAGATGGAGCTATTATTCTTCGGTGGAAGACCTTGCGACGGAGGCATTACCGCATATGTAGTAACTGCGGGTATTCCTGATGGGCGCAATGCGGCAGTCGTCAATGGCTGGCCAGGGCTGGAGAGGCGACGAACAGCTGATCAACGATATCGTTATCTCGGGTTCATCTCTTCCATTTCCGCACAGCTGGGAGACAGTCTCAAAGGTTCAGCCTCTATGATATCTGTGACTGCACTTCCTCTTCCCTTAGACTAGGAAAGAAGATTGTAATAGCTGCCTTCCAATCGCACAAGCTCTTCCACAGCTCCTCCGCCCGGCGCCCCATCTACTACCTAAAGACGGACAGTCAGGTGGAATATGACGCAGCTCTCCAATCTTTGGCGGGACGGATTCGGCATCTACACACATGACTGGACCCTTGAACCATGTCTACTTTCTCTACCTAGCTCCTGATCGTCACACCTACTTTTCTTCTGAACGCGTGTCTAGAAGGCATGAAACTGTTGATCTCTCGTTTCATCGTATCATGACCGATGCTGTGAACGGGAGCGAGATTGTGATACTACATCTTTTCCATCCGCCACGACCGCTGACCTACGTCCCTCACTGTGTCCCGCAATCGAATCCACCATCGACGGGTCACGGCAAACGGCAACTCGTATCGATGCGTTTGACGTTGCACCTAGCTCGGCGCCATTCTATGCTTGTCTTGCTTCGATGGGGTAAGATGATCTTGTACTTACATCCACTGGAATCCGATCATCCGGAGTATATACTTGCATGACCAGACTTGGGGCATATTGATGCTATGTAACCAGAGACCACATCCATCCACCTGAGCTCCGTCTTGGCCTCCCACTGTATCAAACGGTTTACTTGCATGCTCTGTGCCTGATCGCCACAGAATTCTCGAGACGGCTCAAGCACTTTCTTTCATTGTCATGATCGTCAACAAAACATGCAGTGATGCAGCAGCCACGAAGCAGGAACGCCATCGCTAATCACGCCAATGACTTTTGCCTCCTCAATCAAACATCTTCGAGAACGCCTTCTTCTCCTTCTCCCTCCTAGCAGCCCCCGCCTTCTTCACAGCCGCCAACTCATTCTTAATCCCCGCATCACCAGGATTGCACTTCTCAGCCTCCTGCAAACACTTGAGCGCCTCGTCCTCGTTCTTGCTATCCTTCGCTGCGACACCCTTTCTGAAGAGTGCCTTGGCCTTCTGCTTGTCATCGATCCCAGGGACAGCCAGAGCTTTGTCAGCCGAGGAGGCAGACTCGCGCAGCATGTTGAGCTTGTACTCTAGCATACTGCTGTTGCTGTATAGCGAGATCTTGAGCTGCGCCATCTGGTTCCCGATATCCTTCGGGTCATTCTCGAGAGGCTCAGGGTACTCGTGTAGGTATCGTAGCGCCTTCTGATACTTCGCCAACCCTAGCTTAAGGTCCCCGCCCTTGAAAGCCTTGTTACCCATATCCTTCAACTCCGTCGCAATGGCCACGATTTCCGTGCCCTTCCACTCCTGGTCCTTCTCTAGCTGGTCTTCGGGAAAGTCCTCGTACTTATCGCCTGTAGCATCCGGTGCCTTTTGTGTGAATTCTGCCAGATCTGCTCCTTCGGGAATCTCTCCGCAATCCGTGATCTCGCAATCGCTGTCTGGCTTATCGTTCGCACCAACCTTTGTGTTCTCCACCTCCCTGATCACACTTTTCCCACTGATCACCTCGCCGAACACGACGTGCTTTCCATCCAAATGCGGTGTCTTGACCGTCGTCACGAAGAATTGACTCCCGTTTGTTCCAGGTCCAGCATTAGCCATACTAAGCAGGAACGGCTTCTCATGCTTCAACTCGAAATTCTCGTCCGCGAACTTCTCCCCATAGATACTCTCTCCTCCTGTGCCATTTCCAGCAGTGAAATCACCACCTTGGATCATGAATTGCTTGATCACACGGTGGAAGAGTGATTTCTTGAAGTGTAGGTCCACACCCGCATTGCCTTTGCCTTTTTCGCCAGTACAGAGTGCGCGGAAGTTGTCGGCTGTGAGTGGGACTATGTCGTTGTAGAGCTCGAAGACTACTGTACCGATTTCGTGGCCGCCGATGGAGATTTTGAAGAAGACGCGGCTGCGTTTGGCTGGGGTGCCGTTGGGTGCCATTGTGGGTGGCGGAGAGTGCAGTCACTGTAGAAGATCGTGTGTGCTGGCTGTGGTAGTTGGTGCGTTGAGAGAGAAGCAGGCGGTCGTCGTTCAATATGAGTTGTTGTTGTTTGCAGCTGAAACCTCCAAGACCCTCTCGAAAGTGATCGAATTTCTGCCCCACCTTCGACCCCCACATCCATGCTCTTCTCATGCAGGTACCATACTCCAACACCTCATCAATCATTCTTTCGGTCTGCTAGACTCTCCATCAGACTCGCCGGGCGATTACCAGCCTGAATATTCCAAGAAAGACCAAAGGGGCATCCTCACCATATCCCTCTGCCAGTTCCTGCTCCAGCTCAAGTACCACGTTTCCTCCTTCCAGCTCCATCCGCCTGTGACCTTCTTCCCAGGTTGCTCCGTACCAGCGTGCAGTCTCATCGACATTGATATGCTCCGGCAGGAGCTGGAACACGATCAGAAGGAGGAATGCGACCTCGCGAATGCCCATCCTCAGTCAAAAACTCGGGGTTCGTGAGATGTCCCCGATGACGGTAATTTTGCCACGATCGAGTGAGAAACAGTGCTGTCAAACTGGGTAGCGACTATGGCAACTTTAGCTGTACGGCCTTCAAGATACAACAATCAAACCCTATCTGCTCGACCTCCAGAGCACTTGCGGCTTACAATTCGAGACTGGAAACAGCTTACACATACTTCGATATTCCTTTCCACGCGACAGAGGTGGCTACATCGTATTTAGCTTTGATCATCCAGCTGACAAGCTCAGCAAGAAAAATCTACCAGAGCAATGTCTCCATTCTCCGGGTTCGCCACGCACGCTCATCCGCTGACCACTTCTCTGTTCCATACGTCCTCCCTATGAGGCGTTTCACGAGTCCTCACCTACTCTGACCTTCTCATAACACTGAGGCGGCCAAGCCTCCACGCACCGCCAGTGCTTCGGATTGTCCTCGCAGAAGTACTGGCACTCGACGCCGCCATGGCGGAAAGACTGGTAGGCTGCGCACTCGATGTCGCACCCACGTGGTAGGCTAGGCGTAGTTAGATGATATGTCCTCATATGAGCGATGTTTGTCGACTCCCTTGTTCGAAATCGAAGAGAGTGGGCTGGCGTATTGCGAGTCCGTGGCTTTCATGTGGGTTGGCGAAAAGGACAGGACTTGTTACTTACATCTGTGATAAGATGCGCGGCTGCGACTTCATTGAGTAGGTCATGGTCGTCTGTTCTTCGACCCTTTGGGCAGGGGCGGCTGTCACAAAGGTGGCTAGGCCGAGGAGTGCTGCGATGGTGAACCTCATGTTGATTCGTCTTCTCGTTTGCTGCCTATTCTTGTATGTTCGCAGTTGATGGTTGGAAGGTCTTCAGATGGGTGAGGTCGATACATATGTTCGAGCGCGCAATAGAGAGTGTGCGTGACTAGCTTGCTTACCGTGAGTTGCTGACATCTGTGCCTACACCATGTCGTGTGTAAGCAGATTCGATATCACGTCCATCAAGTGTCCTCAAACCCAACTTCGAGCACAGTAGCCTGACGAGCTTTATATACTGTACCTCACTCCAAACAAACAACATTTTCAACAGCACCTTTCACAAACATACCCTATCGAACTCATTGACCAATCATACATCATCATCATCATCATCATGTGGGTTAAAAAGTACCTTCCGACGATCTTGCTCTTCACCACTATGGCCGCAGCTGGCCAACAGCCCTCCATCGACCTATATGGCCTAAAGAGTGGGTGCTGTCGCGTCTGGTCCGCAGCACGCGGTTGCATCGAAGCTTCCGAAAATGCCGAAGCTGGCTGCGGTTCGGTCGATCACGCGCCCAAGAATATGCCAGCCGACTGCGCAGTCATGATGATATCGAGTGGCGAATGCCTCGAAGAGAAAGATGGTCGAGAGGATGGCTGGAATGCTTCCGACGGCCCGGGCGGCAGTAGACTGGCGAGTGCGGTTCAAGCTGCTGGCACGTTGACGAAAGTATATCATCATTATACCGCTACGTTCACAGCTACGTCGCCTACGGAGGTCTTCTTGAAGACTACTCTTACTGTTGAGAGTAGTCCTGTCTTGGTGAGTCTTTCAGCGGAATGTAGAGCGAGGTGTGTAGGCTTATGTGCTGACTTCATGTCCAGACCAGAATGGAGACTGTTACGGCGACCAGGGGCCAAAGTATTAATAGGCCCAGTATTGTCACTGGAGCGTGGGAGTCCTAGTCGTGCTGGGAAATGGGCGAGATCTGTTGACGAGAAGTGTAGCGTGCAGTCCTTGCTGGATAAGCTGGTCTCCTGCAGGCTTAATAGGCGTTGTGGAACTTATGGTAGATTCGTAGAGTACTGTACTACAGGGTGTCTGATGATGCACCGTCGTATCTCCATCTCATTATATTGCTGCGCATTCTGCTTTTCGGAGGTCAATCTGGCCTTCTGCTGCATATGGGTCATGTGCGTTGGCTCCCTCGCCAAGAAGTGGTGGCAATACTGGAGACCTCTGGAAGAGGCCAAGGATCTTCCTTATTGCTACTCTCTCCTTGGTTCACTACATACATACTGCATGACTTCGTGCGACGCCACTCGGAGTCACATCTAGCATAGCCGTCTCGCTAGATCGTACTCAAAACAGCCACAGATACTCCATGTTGCTGCTCAGATCGTCAGCCTCTTACACCGCACAGGATCAGCCAGAACTGAGGACTCAGCATTATTGACCTTTCTCGAATCCACTGTGCCTCTACCGCGCGCCTGTTGGCCTTCGTGAGCGCTTCAGTATCGCTTTGTCGGCGTGAAAACTTCATGAAGCGGCCTAACGAGGATGTGGTCTTTTGTTGAGTTGATCGCTGGTGCTTGGTGGGTATCGATTTGGATGAGCCAGGACGCAGTCTGCTGAACAGACTCTGTGATCGCTTAATTGCTGATGGCCGATCTGGTAGTTCCGATGGAATGACGAGCGCTTCGCGATCGGGCGAGTTGATGTAGATAGAGCTTCGGCGGCTGCTTTGTGGCTCATGGCGAGCTTGCGAGGACGTCGAGGCTTGTGTCATACTGACTACGGTTCCAGCGGATGAGGTTGCTTGTTGTGCGAGTTTCCCTACCGTCATGTCAAGATGTGGCGTGATGGACGCGATGAACCAAGGCGCCAGGATGCCAGATGAGGGACGTGAGTACCGTTCTCGCAGCAATCAGGTAGCTGTCTAGTTACTGCTCTTCCAGCAGGAACGAGACACACGATGCATGCCATGCTGAGTACGATCTCACCCTGGCGTCAGCGTACGGACCTCTAGATTATTGTTTGTGTAAGGCTGGCATCAGCTGACCAAGTCGCACTGACGAATGATATCAGCCTCTCAGCTCAGCTATGCTTGTTGGCTAGCAGCCAAATCTGTTCACTGGCCTGTTAAATTCAATCTCCGCACAGTGAGGAATAGATGGTGCATGTGGAATACAGGATGAACGCAGTCGTAGGTAGTGAGCGGTCCAATCTCACTTCGTATTGGTAGCCCAAAAGCTGATGGTGAGGTGACAACCACGATTGGCGACACTGAAGTATGTTAGAATACCAGCAAGCACTCAGCTATTGCTATCGCTGTATCAAAGGCATGATCAAAGGTTGAAAACGTTGAAGATCGTCGGGGCTGATGGGAACTGAACCTCAGCTCATAGTATTGCCTGTGAGGTGCTGATGCCATGAGGCGATCGTGATCAGACCGAAAGACTGCCGTCAGCTGGATGGCGATATTGGGTCCATCTACTTGTGTTCGTGGTCCAAGTTGTGATCATGAACAGGCAGTAAAGGAGCACATCGTGGTATGTGCGTGACTTGGCCAAGGCACTAGGCCTGTTCCGGCATTGGGATGTCGCGCTCGTGAACTTCACTTCATTTCACTTTGCGATCATGGGTTTTCATTTATCCTCCATAAGGACCATGACCCGTTCTATTCCGTTCAGACCAGGTCGTAGCGTACACTATGCGGGCGAGTGTTGCGATCCCGTCTCGAGTAACGGTAGTCTCCATCCATCCGAAGACACGGCCTCAATCTAGCAGGAATCTCGATAACAGCTCAGGATAATTCAGGGGAGACCGACCTGCCGCGGGCCATCACGGACGACACTATGGACTGGTACCAGAGTGCATCAAGTCCTGCGCACCAGGTCAGCGCGGACTCTTGCCGAGTGGAGTCGAAAATGGAAAGAGCAAAAATCGTTGGTCACGGTGCTTCCAACAACGCCCCTCTAGAAACGCTCTTGTCGTTGTCATGTTGGCTACCAGACTTCTACACGCCTTTGCACATATGTCTCATACTGTAGCACTGCGGCTGGTCCGCCACTCGAGATTGCGGGTGAATGGTTCATGCACCCGAAGCAGAGCGGACGCATGCTTGCCGGGTATTGCCAATTCGCGGCAGGACCTTTGGTGGGCTGCTGCGACTCTTCGTACCTCAAAGCCGCTCTGCCAAACTCTGGCACCGCTTGTAAGTATGAAGTATGATTAGCAAAGTTGCTATTTCATCAACTAACTAAAATCACTGGCATTTCTGCTGGCCTTGGGTTGGACGTCTCTGACGACCACAACTAGGCATCATTCGGGAAAAGACGGCTCATTAGGGGAATGACGGCTCCAAAAACATGTGTGTTACAATGTTGTGGTCTGAATCTGCTCTAGATCAACCACATTCTTCTTTCAATCACACCACACTTCTTTTGGTTGTTCTGATAAAACTATATTTGGCTAAGCCATTGTTGCGACAGCAGTAAACACTTTGGTATGCCAGGGGTCCTTTACACGAGCATGTCGATGGAGATGGGAACGCGGAGAGTTCGAGCGTAACGTACAACTTTCTCTGATGCTATGGAGCATCAGCAGCCTTGGAGATCATGTAGATGTAACAGAGCTCGCTCCAAGTCCTACTCTATCGAGTTCGCCACTCGATACGCACAGCAGCAATAAAACGCATCATCAGATAGAGTGCTTGCACCCAAAACGCCTGTGCCATCTCCAGCACTGCTTGCGCCGACCGTGGTATTGTTGCTGTTCACAACACTCAATCTGCACCTATAAACGCCGTGCACATCATCTGAACATCAGTATCCCGCATGTATCCCATTCTGCCCATCTCAAACGAACTGCGCTATCGCTTCCTCGCCTTGCTCTTCTTGCTCGCGCCACCAGAAGCAACAGTATCTTCGCTCGCAGCACGAGACGTACCGTTAGGTGTTCCCTTGACACCGTTCACAGCCTTGTTCTGCAGCACAAGAAAGTCAGCAATCACATCCCGTCATCTCAAGCTAGCAGTACGACATACCTTGACAGCTCCACCACTGACCCTGCCTTTCTTCACAGAAGGCTTCTCCTCCTCCTCTTCATCTTCAACCTCATCCACAACCCTCTTATTCTCCTTCCCATTCGCAGACCCACCACCCTCCATCTCGCGCGTGACGGTAGTAACGAGCGTCGCACACCTCCTGCTCAACTCCTGCGGCGTACGGCTGAGGAAGAACCAATCGAACCTAAAAAGCGGGCTCTCGCGAATCTCATCCCTCAACTTCTCATACAGCCCTTCCGAATCAAGTCCATACTTGTCCAGCATGACAAGCAAGAACCGGTCTTCCTCCTCAGTATACACCTTCTTATTCGTCGTCGAGACCGTATAACTCAGCTTGAGCTGCTGGAGCGGGACGCGGTACATCTTCAACTTCTTCTTCAGCATATCCCTCTGCTCAATCACACGCGCACTCCTCGCCTCACCCTCCTTGACGGCGCTATAATGCTTCTCCCAATTCTGAATCTCCTTGTACCTCTTCCAGAACACAGCGGCATACTCCTTCACCTCGCGCATGTCTTTGCTATCGACTTCTGAGGCAATCTTCTCAAAGTCCTTGCGACCCCATTTCGCAGAGCCGTTGACGAATTGCTGGAAATCGCGTTTGTTCCAGTCGCCGAAGCCTTGCTCGGCAAGATAATCCTTCTCCTGGATCTCCTGCTCAGTCAGAGTCTCAGCTTCGTCAATCATGCGCTGCTCGATCTGTTGGTCTTCTGTGCGCGACTCGAGTGTGTCTTCTTCGCCTTCGGGAAGTGGTGCCTTGATGTTGTTCTCCTTGCGGAACCAGGCAGTCTCCTTGTCTTGGAGGTCACCGAGGCGAGGGTCGAAGAATTGGTAGTCGTGCATAGCTTGCTGTCTGGGAGCGCGAGGCACTCTCGGCTTGGGATCGGCTTTCGGTCCACCAGTCATGAGTGCGTTGCGATAATACTTGTCCATGCTGTAGCTCTGCTCCTTGCGCTCACGCTTGGACGGGTTGATCCAACTCAAGCCGATCTCCTTCTTGCGATTGATGAAGCTCTCACCGTTCCACTCGTATGCAGCGCCCGCCTCCGAGTTGAATTTCTGAACATCGTCGAGACCGAGCTTCTCGTACTTCGCGTTGATCTGCTTCGTACGCTCCTCACCGCGACGAAGCAGCTCGTCGAGCTCATTCTCAGCATCCGTGCCCTTCTTACCAAAAGCGCCATAGCCCTCCGTGTCCGCGAAGATGGTCTCGGCACCGTGCTGAATCATGCCTAGCAGCTCGTCCTTCGATGCAGCCTGCTTAGCTTGCTGCTGAGCACGACCTTGCTGAATGACGAGTGCATCGAGCCGAAGCTTCTGCGCAGCACGCTCGAGCACCTTCTCCTCGATAGCGTTCTCGGTAACGAAGCGGTAGACGTAGACCTGCTTGGTCTGACCAATACGATGAGCACGGTCCATGGCCTGCAAATCAGCCTGAGGATTCCAATCAGAGTCGAAGAGCACGACAATATCAGCCGTAGTCAGGTTGATGCCGAGCCCACCAGCACGAGTTGTGAGAAGGAAGAGGAACTTCTCGGACTCCGGCTTGTTATACTCGTCAATTGCTGCAATACGGTCCTCGTGTGCGGTCGAGCCATCGATACGGCAGTACTTGTAACCGCGCATGACGGAGTAGTCTTCCAGTATATCCAGTACGCGAGACATTTGCGAGAAGATGAGCACTCGGCTACCTTTTGCCTGCACCCTCTTCAACAACTTGTCGAGCATGACCATCTTCGCGGCATTGTCGACTAGATGCTCATCAGTGGTGTATGGAGGACCAGGCTCTGCGCCATCGAACAAGTATGGGTGGTTACAGCATTTGCGAAGCTGCATCACGATGTTCAAGAGACGAGTCTTGCTCTCCTTCTTGCCGCCAGCACCGTTGACGGCGTCAATGTCCTTCTCCAAAATGCTTTTGTACCACTTGATCTGCATCTCGCTCATGCCCACGTATAGATTAACTTCTTTCTTCGGTAGCAAGCTCTTCTCCACATCGCTCTTGACACGGCGCAGCACGAAAGGTCGCAAGACACGATGCAGCTGCTGCACCACCGCATCTTGATCGTCGTTTTGGCCGCTGAACCATTGGTCGAAGGCTGAGGAGTCACCGAAGACATCTGGGAGGAGGAAGTTGAGCAGAGCCCACAGTTCGTGCAGGTTGTTCTGAAGAGGTGTGCCGGTAATCAGGAGTCGGTTTCGTGAGTTGAAGATACGAATGATCTGTGCAAGCGAAGACTCCTCGTTCTTGATACGATGAGCCTCGTCAATGATGATGTACTCCCATGCGAACTTCTTCAGGTGGCTCTTCTCGCGTAGGATCATCTCGTAGGATGTGATGCAGACATCGAACTTCTCGTCAAGCAGACGATCCTGGATGAGGTCGTGGCGCTCATCTTTCGCGCCTTGCAACACGAGAACATTGATCTCAGGAATCCACATGGCGCATTCTCTTGACCAGTTGTCCAGGGTCGATTTCGGCACTGCAATGAGATGCGGACCATTGATACCGTGCACGAAGCGTAGATAGCCGAGGAAGGAGATTGTCTGCAGGGTCTTGCCCAGACCCATCTCATCCGCAAGAATACCAGAGATACCGTTCTCGTGCAGGCTGATCAGCCAGTTGAGCCCAGCGACCTGGTAATCCCTCATCTCGCCACCCTGAATGTATGACGGACTCTCGCGAAATATGACGCCCTCTTCCTTGCCGACCTGCTTGCCTTGGCGCAGCAACTCAGCATCCTCTTCCTTCTCCGTCCGTCTTCTCCTCTCGCCAGCCGCACCTCCCTTGCGTTTGTTTCCAGCAGCCTTGACCTCCTCATCATGCTGGTCTTGGCGATCGATCTCAGCCATGACTTGTCTGATCTTCGGGTCCGGATTCGTGTCGATGAAGTGACGGAAAAGATCTGTCAAGCCTAATAGGTAGCGAAAGCGGCGGATTGTGTCGTCGTCCTTGGTATCGCCTAAACGGTCATGCTTCTTGCCGAACATGCTCTTCCGCAACGCGTTGCCCTCCCATCGCCTTGTACGTCCATCTGCCCGGTCGCCAGCTACACTATTGGCGCCTGTGGGATTGGATTCCGAGTCTGTGTAGTCGGGAGTGTCGAGCATTGGGACGTCAGGCATGGTGCCGTCGCCCACACCGAGAGCACCAAGGCCACTCATGGTGACTGGGTATGTGGGGTGTGATCGAGTGAAGGCGGAAGTGGAAGATGACGCGCTGTTTGCGCAACGGTAGTTGAAGCGTGCCCAATATGCGTGCCTCAATTGTCAGGTCCTGGGGCGTGGTTATCGCCAGATGATGTGCCTGAAGGAACACAATGCTGCGATGGCCTTTGATGATGATGTTGTCGAGGCCGTCACGTAGCTTGACGCGTGCAGTGGTAGTGTAGTAAACTGCAAGAATCGTGGGGTGTTCGAAAGGACGACTTTCCTCAAAGGTAACTCACTAGCGCGTCACGCGTGGTCCGAGCTCATACACGAATTATGCAGCTATGGAAGCCACTACCTTCACTACGCCTTGCCGGTCTGCTGGGATGGCAGATGCAGGCGCGTAGACTGGGTGGCGATTTCGTATTCAGAGGCATATTCTTTCCGTAAATACCGGTCAGTCTGAACGCTAGATACTGAGCACAGGACTGGAACATCTGATCTGATCAGAGATTATGATTGATAGTGGAGAGGTCGTCCTATTCAGGCTTGGGGCCTCGTATCTGCATCCCTCTTGCATCCCTCTTACATCCTCCTTACAGCGTTGCCATTGTATGCCATAAATGCAAAAACATGCTATACAGAGAAGCGAACACTCCGAACCGAAAAGACTCACAACCCTAAACGCCAGCGCTAGAACGTGAAGAAGCCAGCATCCGTGTCCATCCATCTTACATTTCATCATATCACACCACCACCTCTCGATCAGCCTTCATACCTTCCAAGACCTCCTGAATGCCTCCATGTCGAAGTCGTGAGAGGACCACCGACATGCCCTGCTGAGCCTTTGGTTGACTCCTTTCGGTTCGCTGCAACGAAATGGACTCGACAGCTGATCGAACAGCACTAGATGACCAAGAAGCAAACCAGCCTTGTTTCACTGGCTCTTCCTCCGCACCTCCAGCCACCGAAGTCGCCGTAGCCTGTTCGCCCCATCTCTGCCGTCGTTTCCGCAACTGCTCTCCAATGCGACTCTTGAGCGTCACAGATACGTTGACATCCGTATGGTCATCGTTTTGTATATCCCCGAGCGCAGCATCGAAAGCAGGTCGGCTATACGTATGCCGTTCAATAACCGAAAGCACATTGTTCCAGTCCAGATTCCTGCTCTCCGCTTCCATCCAGCCTTGCCTCACATCCACGACACTCGTCTCTAGGATAAAGCTCTCCGCTCTGCCATCCGCACTATCGCTTTTCGATGAGCTCTTCGGCAAGAACTTCAGCACAGCAGGTGGCAATCGACTGCGCTTGAGATGCAGGCGGACGGTCGTCAGACGTTGTGTCACCGGGTCGAACGACCGCGAGATAGTGTCGGTGCTGCTCACATGGCGACTGTATGGATTTGGGTATCGCAGGAAGTAGGCGAGCGACACTGCTGGGAAGGAGTAGTCGTAGGAGTAGTTTGAGCTGTAGAATTTCACCATCGTTATGAAGACGCTGTGGCGGTGAAGCCCATCACCGTAGTTGGTATCTGATGATCCAAGACCCCAATATTCTTGTCTTGTCGATCGTGGTGGTTCTGGTGGCGGGATGATCAATACAGAAGTGGTCCCTCACTCGACGAGCAGGAGAGTGATCACACGAGCAGTGCGGAGAAGGACGGCGAATCAATCTAGAATGGTTAGGTCATTCTCGGCTCGGAAGCAGCTCCTCATGCCGGTGCCGATCGATCGCGTGCCAGTCGCGAGATGGTGGTCAATTTTGGAACATTGCGGCTGCAGCTTTGCAATCATCGTGTTGTTGCGTACGTGTGGATCAACGCGATCAGAGTGTCCAATCTCAATGTATTCACCATTGAGATTTGAGTGCTATTCGTGCCTGCCTCGATGGGTGCCGCCTCGGCCCGGCCAGGTTTCGCAAAGCCGATCGATAACATTCTTGGCGTGGAGCATTATTAGCCAGAGTGACTCCAATGCTGAATCACTTCCAGGCGTATGTTGAAAAGGGTTCAGAGGCACACTAAGATTGTCCCGGATCTAGAAATATATTTTCACATCTTAATCTAGCAGCATGGCCTCAGAAGCAGTTGGTGCGCCACCAGCAGTCAACAAAGAGGTCGACGAACGCAAGCCAGCCAAACAGAAGATCGATCCGTGGAACGTCGCAGGCGAGGTAGACGACAGCGGCAATGTCAAGGCAATCGACTATGACAGACTCATCGAGGACTTCGGTGTGCAGCCTCTCACACAAGCTCATCTGGAACGCTTCGAGAAAGTGACTGGTAAACCTGCACATCGTCTTATGCGAAGAAAGTTATTCTTCAGCCACCGCGATTTCGACAAGATCCTCGACTACTACGAGCAACACGGTCAGTTCTTACTCTACACTGGACGAGGACCGAGCTCAGGGAGCATGCATCTTGGACATACTGTACCGTTCCTCTTCACAAAAGAGATCCAGGAGCTGTTCGACGTGCCACTCGTGATCATGATGACAGACGACGAGAAGTTCTTGTACACGCGGAACAAGAACGAGGGCTCAATGAAGAAAGGTGCTGCGCCGGACGACTTCCTCGACTATGCGTACGAAAACATCAAGGACATCATCGCTCTAGGCTTTGATCCCAAAAAGACTTTTATCTACTCCGACTACGAATTCATGGGCGGCCACTTCTACCGGAACGTCTCGGAGTTCGAAAGCATGGTCACTTACAACCAAGCATCCGGCGCTTTCGGCTTCGGTGAAAGCACGAATATTGGTCTCATATCTTTCATGGCCAAACAGTGCGTCGCTGCCTTCCCTTCATCGTATCCTGAACTGTTTGGTCTGCCCGATTACCGCGCCCCAGATTTCGATCAGGCTGGCAAGAGAAGACACAAAGCTCTCGCAAGCATACCTTGTCTCATCCCGTGCGCCATCGACCAAGAACCATATTTCCGTGTACTTCGAGATAGGAGTGAACGCATGGTCGACCCGCACCCAAAGCCTGCGCTCATCATGTCGAAATTCCTTACAGCATTGCAAGGCCCAGGAGGCAAAATGAGCGCTTCAGATCCGAACTCCGCTATCTTCATGTCCGATACACCGAACCAAATCAAGTCAAAGATCAACAAACACGCCTTCTCAGGTGGTCAGCAGACTGAAGAGGAGCACAGACGACTAGGTGGCAATCCAGACGTGGATGTGGCATTCACATATCTAAGCTACTTCCTCGAAGACGACAAGGAGCTAGAAGATCTAGCGAAGCAGTACCGAGCGGGAGAGATCCTGACTGGGGAGATGAAGGCCAAGTGCGTTGGCGAGCTACAGAATTTTGTAGCAGCGTTCAAGGAGAGGAGGGATAGCGTGACGCCTGAGGTCATGCGAGAGTTCATGCGGCCGCGAAAGCTGGAATTTGTAGGGAACCCTAACCCTATCAAACCAAAGGCAGCAGAAGGCGCGAGCGGTTCAAACGGCTCTGCTGTCCCCAGTGGCGCAGCAGGCGAGGGTGCTGGTGGCAAAGATGGGCGAGGCACAAAGGGCGAGAGGAAGGCTGCCAAGCTGGCGGAGAAGAAGGCGGAAAAGGAAGCTGAGAAATTAGCTCTCAGGCAGAAAGCTGAGGAAGCGAAGCCAGAAGTATAGGTGGTATGCTACAATTTCACACCCTCACACTTGTAAAGCCATAGTAGCGCTTAGCAATGAAGCTAGTTCCAGCTAAACCTGCGGAGCTCTACCTTCCTCCCCGTCCCGTACGTCAAATATGCCGAACGCCCGCGGTAGAATAGCTACTTGTTCAAACAGCAACCACCCTCCCCCGACTCTCCTCCAACCACTTCCTCCTCCCCGCACTCACACCCCCAAGCGCCCCCTTAAACCTCCTCAACCGACTCCCACTCCCTCCACCAACACTAACACCCTTTCCCCCATCCAACCCCAAAGGCCGCACAACACTCAACCCCCCGGTCCCCAACTTCATCCCCTGCCCCAAAATAATACACTCACTAACCCCCTCCACCAAATCCTTCTTCCGCATAATCGCCGCCTCAAACAAATGATCCGGCGTCTTCTCAAAAGAAGCAAGTTGCAGCACCGAATCCCTCATCTTAGCCATACCGAAGCGGGTGATACCCAGGACGTCACCTTTGTACGTCATGATATCGGCTAGAAGTTGCATGTGCCTGGGATCGATATCCATTCCGCCCATGACTGCGCTGATTTCGGCGATGATGGTGGATCGGGCCGCTTCGATGCCCAGGACGGCGCGGACTTCCATGACGGAATTGGAGGTGGTGTGGTAGCCATCTACGCCCTCGGTCGTCATACAGAGTTTCAGCCCGTAGCCCTCGACGAAGACGGCGATGGGTTCGCGGCCCGAGGCGTCAGGTTTATCGTCTTTCTTCAGGATAGCTCGGTGGGCGTCTGGATAGCCTTTGATGACGACTTTCGGTAGCTTGCGCTTGAGTTGTTGAAGAGTCATGAACAACTCGTCACCCATCCCCTCCTCATCACCCTCCATCCGCATCATCTTGCCCTTCGCTCCCGCACTCCCACCCCCACGACCCTTAGCCCTCCCATCCAACCCTTTCCCATTCGGCTCACAGTAAACACGAATATGCTGTGTCCCCACCACCCGCGTACTCACACTCAACGCCTTAAAACCCTTATGCCTCTCAATCGCCTCCCGAATCCCCCAAACATCCATCTTCAGCCCCAACGCCTTGACAGTCTGCCAATCAACCTTGACATTGAGATATCCACCCTCCACCCCCCAAACATCCTCGACATAATTCACCACATCCTCAAGGTAAGTCTTTTGTATAACAGCCTTCGCGAACTTGCCCGCAATCTCCTCGTACTTACTGTCCAGCGCGCAGGTGATGACAGGAGTGGAGATGACTTTACTCGCATTGATGATCTCCTTGATTCGCGGCACACCTTGCGTGATACTCATGCCAGCCACACCAGCAAAATGGAAAGTCTTGAGCGTCATTTGTGTGCCAGGTTCACCGATCGATTGGGCGCCGACAGCACCTACGGCATGTCCAGCCTCGACTTTCGACTTCTCGAACTTGAGCAGGCAGAGTTTGAGGAAAGAGTGGAGGGCGGTGGGTGACAATTTGAAGATACCAGGTTTGCCGTCCAGGGTAGTGGCGGCATGCCGTCGCTGACTTTCCAGTATCCCGTCCATCTTGCCGCGGATGAACACTTGGACTGTCTCGAGGAAGTTCCGCACGCTTTCCAGCTGATCCACACCTTCATCCGTCTGATCACCATAAGCAAGCTCCCTTCCATCATCAGCAAACCGCTTTATCTTCTTCCTCTCCACCCCCAACGTCTCCTCAACAATCCCCTCCACCTCCTCCCCACTAAGCCCCTTCTCCTCATTCCTCCACGTAGTAGTGATCGCAAACATCCACGTCCTCTCGAAATTCACCGGCTTCGCACTCCCCTCCATATCCACCGGATCCAACCCATCATCGCCAAACCTCATCTGCACCACCCCCTCACTCCCATTCCTGACCGTAAGGTCATACCTCGCCGACAAATCCTCCAGACTCTTCATCAAGCGCCGAGACATATACCCCGTCTCTGCCGTCTTGACAGCCGTATCAACCAAGCCTTCACGGCCAGACATGGCATGGAAGATGAACTCCGTAGGATTGAGGCCAGAGAAGAAAGAATTCACCACGAACCCCTTCGCTGGCGGGTCGCGAGAAGCCTTGCTGAAATGCGGGAGTGTCCTGTCCTGGAACCCATCGACCACCCGTTTACCTCCAATAATCTGCTGTCCGACCGCCGCAACCATTTGGGAGACATTGATGTTACTGCCTTTACTACCGCACTTGGCCATGGTCAGGGGAGCATTATACCGACTCAGCTCGGAGAAACAGACATCACCGCACTGCTGACGGACTTTACTCAGGATACCAGAGATCTGGTTCTCCATCGTCTGCTCTTCATCACACCCCGGATCGCGCTGGAGATTGCCTTCGTTGAACAGCTTGATCAATTTCACGCATTTGTCGTAGGCGGCTGTGACGAGCTTCTCCTTCTCCTCGCGGAGTTTGCCGCTGGGATAGACGTCGGAGATGCCGATTGAGAAGCCCTGTTCTGTTAGCCAGCGAGCGGAGAGCTTCGCCAGGCGATTCATGGCTGCGACGGCGTACTCGGGACCGAAATCGCGCATGATGACATAGAAAATCGAGTCCTTCTTGCCATCACCGATGACTGCTTTGTCCATGGTTCCGCACATCACCACGCTATTGCGCACCACAACATACGAGTCATTGGGCAGCATATCTGGCGCTGTGCCTGGAGGTGGAGCAGCGAATTGCTTGCACTTGGCATCAAGGTTGACCAGGACGGGGTAATCCGAGTGCGGCTTCATGAGGACTGACCAGACTTGCTTGCCTGTCCAAAGCTGCTGAGGCTTGTAGATAGCCGGAGGTGGGATCTCGATATCATGCTGCTCATTCGTGAGAGGATCGCGCACTTCCATGCCATCGAACATGAACGAGATGACTTGGCAGAATTGGCGACGGTTGAAGAAGAGGTCCTTTTGCGAGATGAGGTATGCGCCTGTGATGAAGTCTTGAATGGCGGCGATGATGGGTGTGCCATTCTTAGGCGTGGCGAGATTGTGTTGCACGCCCATGAGCTCCGTGGCTTCTGTTCGTGCTTCTTCTGTCTGCGGGACGTGAAGGTTCATCTCGTCGCCGTCGAAATCGGCGTTGTAGGGGTTGCAAACACACTCGTTCAGTCTGAAGGTTCGCCAAGGCCGGATTTTGGCTCGATGGGAGAGGATGGAGAGTTTGTGGAGCGAAGGTTGCCGATTGAACAGCACGATGTCGCCGTCTTCAAGATGACGTTCCACGATATCGCCATAAACAAGCTTGTCAGTGATCTTCGTCAAATCACCTTTCATCTCGATAACCTTGAGCATGATCTTGCGGCCATCGTGGGCTTTGATGACATGATTTGCGCCTGGATGCTTGAGTGTGCCGTTAAGAATGCATGCTTTCAGCTTTTCCATGTTGTGTCTCGTGACTCTCTCCGGATATGTCATGGTCAGCGCCACACGGACGGGTACCGCCACCTCATTGATGCTGAGATTAGGATCCGGACTGATGACCGTACGACCAGAAAAGTCGACACGCTTGCCACTCAAGTTGCCACGGAAGCGACCTTGCTTGCCCTTCAAACGTTGACAGAATCCGCGCATCATCTTGCCCCAGTTGCTCTCTTTACCAAGGCCAGGCAGATTGCCATCGATATACATGGCAACCTGGACCTGTAAGAACTCCCAAATCTCCATAACTTTTGTTATAGAGGCACCCTTCGTCAATGCTGTCTTGAGAAGGTTGCTCATTTGTACGATATCGGCGAGCTTGTTCGTGATGTCGTCTTCGGTACTCGTGGCTTCTTGTGCAACAGATGGTCGAATCGCAACTGGTGGTGCCGGAACATGTGTCCACAGCATATACTCGGGTCGACCACCGTTGCACGGCTCCATGCCCATCAGCTCAACATCCACATCCGGCACTTTCTTGAAGATGTTCAGGACTTTCAGTGGATTCAAATCGTCCGCCACCCTCCGCATATTCCTCTCCACATCCTGACTCTTCCTCGCCTCCTTGAAACTCTCCTCGAACTCCTGCATCTCAGGAGGTTTCTTCTTGCTCTTGGCATTACTGCTCGTATACACCGCAAATTTGTTGTGGAAGATCTTGGTAGGATTGGCCGGGACCTTCTTGACAGGACCATTCAGTCCACCACAGGAAGGACAGACCTTGTTCTTGCGACAATCGGTGCTGATCTTGCGGATGAGCGCAGACTTCCGCAGACTGTCCAGACCAGGTTTCCGCAACTGCTTCAGTGCCGCTCGCCTATCCTTTTCAGCAAGCAAGATCCGACTACAGTTCTTACACACACAGTGCAGGCACTCGATGATCTTCTTCAGATATCCGTAGTGGAAGGCAGGCAGAGCGAGCTTGATCTGTCCGAAATGGCCATTGCACTCCTTCAACCCCATACCGCATGTTTCGCAGGTCCCGGACTTGGAACTCGTGCCCAGCTTCTCATCCAGTGGGCCATATCTGGTGATCGTGCGGGGTTTGCCGGCTTCTCTCGCCACATTGTTATCGTAGAGGTTGCGATCGTTGACGGTGACGACGGATTGGGCGACTATGTCGGCGGGAGAAGCAATGCCGAACTGGAGGGCGGAGATGCGTTTGGGGGTGAGGGAGAGGACTTGCTCTTTGGGTGTGATGTCGGGGAAGTCGTCCACGAGCGTGGTGGTCATTGTTTCTGCCATATTTCGCGGGCAGTATCCTTGCGTGTTATCGAAAGTCCAGCATTTCTTGCAGGGTCTGCGACATTGAGATGCTGCTCTGACTCGCTGACTCGAGAGCAAAGGCAATTAATTGTGCTAGTCGCATGCATGAATTTCGGCTGAGTCATCCGCTCATCCGCTCATTCTTATCGATATCTCATGCTTCTGTAACGCGGGGAGCTCATCCCTGCCCTCGGCGATCGCTGCCTAGAGTGTTTCCCCCGACATGCGACACGTCAACTTCATTTAGAAAGATCAAAGATCAACGCTTGCAGTAGTTCCCAATAGTCTTTCTCATACAGTAGACAGAGATCACACAGGAGAGCGAAGAATCAAAGGCGGAATGGTGCAGCACGCCCGACCATTATTATTATTATTCACCAGCTTGGAAGCACAAGCACCGTGTCACATGCTTACGCTGCCCCGCACTCCGATAGCCTTGCTGTACCACTCGTCCACTCCCATCCAGCTTGATCGTCAACCAAAAGCATCTCACTCTTGCTGTCCACTACACCCATTATTCACTATTAGTGAAGTACGTAGGTACACTCTCGCCGCAATCCTGCTCAGCAAGGAAACAGTCTTTCGTGCCTACTGCTTCGGTCCATCCAGACTTGACCGCACCTTCCCAACTCGTTCACTTGGCCTCGAGCTTCGAAGCTAGCTGCTCTGCTGCCTTGCCTGGCCTTGCCTGACCTTGCCTCGAGTCAGACACATACTACTATAGATAGCCACCTCACCCACCGAACTCATCACTTGCTTCCTCGCAAGCAACTACACCGTACCGCATGGAATCGATGTGGGCATCGGCCTTCTCACGACCAATGAACAGCACCATGGCTACCGTCACTCCGACTGCCACCGCTCCAAGCGTGTCAAGCCGCAATCAACGTACGATAACCCGCTTATCTACTCACAGTGCCGTTGCTGATATCGGAACAGCGATCCTCGTCATCTTGACCCCATCTGATGATCCCAGCGACCGCCGTACGATCAGCCTTCAGCCAGGAGCGGCCATGGTCATCGGCCGTGCATCGAACACAGGCGGCAGGAACCTTGGTGCTTCACCAGCCAATGCTCTCTTCCCACGCCCCGTCGTCTCACGCTCTCACGCCGAGCTCCGTGCACATCCCCACCGGCCACTCAACCAACAAATTACAATCACTGACAGCGACTCTACGCATGGCACATATGTCAATGACACCCGCCTCGATGCACACCGTCCGTGCGCTCTTCGCGATGGCGACGAGATTAAGCTGGGTGACCGTGTGTCACGTGGCGATGGTAACCACTCCAAACACATCCATACGATTTGTCCTTCTGCTGACTAGCTTTTCACAGAAACTCACAATGCCGTTACCCTTCATTACAGACGTGCCGGCAGTATCAGTAATCTTGTTCACTCTTCACACCCCCTCCTCTCGAAAGGCTTCCAGGTCCCGTCAGAGTCGGAAGACGAATCTGATCCAGCCAGCGACGCCGAGTCTGTGGTCAGTTTCGACGAAGAGGTGGAGGCATCTGCCAACACAACGCCAGAGCAGCCTAAGATGACGCTCGGCTCTCAGGAGAAGCCCATTGAGCTCGACAGGCCAGCCGAAGTCATCTATCTCGACGATGATGAGGAGGATGGCGATATCACATTGGCTGATAATAACATCGAAGCAGTCGGGGTCCAGCCGTCTGCCTCTAGCAGAGGCACGGGTCGTGGTGGGTCGATCGAGCTGGGAGAGCCCGTCATGCTTGCGGTCAAAGATACCTACGACAGCGACGAAGGTGAAGTCGAGCATATCGACGATCCTGACTACGACGAGGAGGCGGACATTGTGTATATGAGCGAAGAGGAGGACTTCTCTGATCGTGAGCAGGAGTCTGATGTCGCTTCAGAAATGAATAACGGCCTCGATGAAGATCATGAGGAGGACATGGGACTCCACTACCACCCGCCAACACACACGCCTCTATCGCAGAACGCGACCGACGCGAGTGTTGTGAAGGAGACTCTCTTCGTGAGTCCTCCTGCAGCTCGCCCCGCCACCACACTGAACGCTCACTCTCTTGGACAGGACGGACCGAACCTTCACAGCTTTCCGCAGTCGCACTCTCAGTCCGCCTTCGACCCCGTCCGCGGCGTTCACCTTCCAAACCCGGCTACTGCGTCTCAGCCTCGCGCACCCTCCAGCTACACGTATGACAGCCTTCTTTCTCACAGCTTGCCGCGGAACTCGACAACTGACATCCATGGCAGCAGTCGATGGGATGTCCAGCCAGCGGTCTTGCTATCAAACAATCAAGTCAACCAAATCAACAATTCGCAGCCGTTTTACACTGCGCCGCCAGCACCTCAAGACTTCAGCTTTTCCGGCCAGTCTGTTCGACCATCCAGCTTCGACTGGGCATTCCCTGAATCAGTGAAGGAGTCCAGCGGACCCTCGGCAGCACCATCAGAGTTTATCCATCCCTCTTTCACCAGCCCTTCATTCCCCTACGGGAACTGGACATCAAACCCAGAGCCGGAGCGTCTCGACAATTCCAGCTTTACGCCTCGCAGTCCCCGCAAGAAGATATCCATACCTGACATCACCCAACGTGCAGAGGAGGAGCGCTCGAACTTTGTGATGCCACAGGCTCCCGTCATGGATGAGGCTACGTTTGACCTCGGTCTGCAGGTTCCAGCTCCTGCTGTTTCTTGCAAGGCCACTGCAGGTCGCAAGCGCAAGGCAGAGGAGACGTCCGACATCGACTCTGATGACGATCATGAGATCGAAGTCCAGGACTCCATTGACGGCCTCCAAGTTCTGGAGGTGATGCTCGAGCGCGCGCATGCTGAACAAGCTATCATCCAGGAGGCGCAGCCTGCTAGAGCGAGTATCCACCCAGTGAGCCTCACCCGGCCAAAGCCTCGCCCGGCCAAGAAAGCGAGAGTTACCGGCGCGTTGAATGTGGCAAAGATGGTGAGCAAGTATGCTGCCGTCGCTGGTGCGGGCGCAGGTGGTATGGTGGCGTTCTTGGCCAGTCCGTACGCGCAGCAGGTACTCGAGTGGATGGGTTGAGCGAGCATGAGGGGCCGTCGGGAGACGTGAGAAGACTTGCGGGATGCCTCGACGAGAGAGAGGGATGAGGCTGCTTGCTTCACTGGCAATCGACACAGAAGCCTACCGAGCGGAGCGTTCTTCGATGGTGTGCGTGAGCGCGAGAGGCTGGCGGAAGGGCACACATTGGCGCATGGACTTACTGAATTCACGGGCATTGGCGTTTCCAACACTTACTTTACAGATACCATAACGACAACTACCCACGATACTCATGCGGACCGGAGAAAGGACGGGTGGTCAAGGCGTCTGTGCCTTGTGGGATGATGGTGCGAGGACCCGGGCGGTGCAAGACATGAGCATTGGTAGTGTCTACTCTGCGAAGTATCCTAGTGTGTTGACCGTGCTACCGTTCCTACTTCACAATATAGAATTGTAGCATGCTTCTCTCCCTCCGCATCTCGCATATCTGCAATGACCATGTCGCTTGCCTTCGAATGCGCTCGTCTCATCTTTCTTGGCCATGATTGGAGTAAGCACTTTGTCTCAAGTCTATCAAGCAACAAGTTCTACGACGAGTAGGCGATTTGCATCTCACGGATTCCTAGACCCGCGAACTCTCATGCGTGCGGAGGTGGTACTAGGGCTCTTCATGCGACCAGCTCGTCTCCTGGTTTATGCTGAACATTCCCGGCAAGCATATCGTCGTGTCCGCGGTATCGTCTGCTTGGTCTGAATTGGTATCTTCAAGTCGTGCCGGAACCCCTTTCATCCCGCTCCAGCTTTTCGCAGACTATTATAATGTTCTCCCAGCCCAAAACCATGTTTGTAGTACGCCAACCAAATCGTCTTCTCGTCGTCGTCGTCGTTATTGGAGTCACTGCCCTCGATCTTCTCCACCCGGCCAAAGTCCTGTAGGACCTTGATATCAACGCTGTAAGATTTCGCCAGCGCCAGGAGCTCCAATTGGCCTCCCCACTCAGCTGTGTTGCGGATCTTGTGTACGTATTCTTCGAGTGGCTCCTCGAGAAACGGGGCGAAGTCGTCTGGGTGCTGGGAGATGTAGTTTGCAGCTACTGCTCGCACCACCTTGTACGCTGGTACATCATTCGTTCCTACGGCGCCCAGAGACAGCGACACGTCCGCCTCTGTCAATTGGTCCGCGATAGCAGAGTACAGACAATGCCCATCAGCTCTGACCTCCTTCTCCTTCAACCCTTTCTCCTTAGTGGCGGCTAGCATGCGATCTCGCTCCTGAGTCTTCAGATCCGGGAGGTTTTGGGCTTCGGCTGCTGCTTGGCAGACCAGTTCCTCCTGCTCTGCTGCACGACGGGCGAGGCGGGCTTTGGCTCGATTGGGCTTCTTGCCTTGCTGGGATTGGGTACCTTCGCTCACGGGGTCCGGTCCAGAAGCATGCCCTTCTCCATCATCCTGCTCCTTGGTCTCGCCGTTGATCTCTGCCTCGTCAATCGTCAAGGCCTCGAGATCCTCACTCGGTGGCTCGACATGTTTCTCATCTACTTCGCCATTCAGAACAGCTATTTCTTCCGCTTGTCTCTCCTTCAGCTCGGCTTCAAGCTTCTCACATTCATCGTTGACACCTTTGCGTGTCTTCTTACTAGCCTGTTTCTTCTTCTGCGTGATCCGGCTCTGCAAGTCCTTCTGCTCCTTGCGGTGCTTGGCTTGCAATTCTTCCATTCGCGGCACTCCTACCTCTGATGAATTTAGCCGGCGTCAGCTCACGGGTACATCATGAGAATGACTGGCGATAGATACATGCCCCCGAAGTATCATTCGAGCGGATATTTCGTCACAAAAGCCTACCTGTGATGGCGAGTGGGACGTGAAAAGGTCAAGCGGAGCGAGCCTCCAACAGAGCCTCATTACGCCATCCGCATGCAAGCTTTTCCTCTACGCAAGCCACCGACCGCCAGGATACGAAGATCTTAGACGTCAGGTCATGACAGTGTGTACAAACCGATTAAACGTCGAGACTGGTACAGCACCGATAGGCGGGCGTGTAGAGATCGCGGCAATAACAAGAGCATGAAAAGGGACTGGTAGCTCTTTGCACTATCGAAGTGCATCTTATACTTCAGCCGAGTGAGACATTGGATGAGGAAGCTCGAGGAAGATGCCGGGACTGCTACAAATGCATGACAGATCATGGGCTGGTGGTATCATGAGGAAAAGGCGAGGCCGAGGCACGGATGAAAAGGCGAAGTGAGTTGAGCACAGTACTGGTCTTGAAATTAGGGTATGTTGATCTATCCTCTCATTGTATGTGCCAGCACTGTATGTACCATCTAGTCATGACATCCACCTCTATCCTGTAATGCAAAACGATCGTGATCATGCCTCTATATACATCCCATAGCAGTCGAAAACTCCAGCCAAAGCCCTCAAGCATCAAATGCCAGCCTATCTCCTGCCTGCCTCTTACCATGTGAATCTCATCAATCCAGGGTTCAACGCAATAGGCAAGAAGAAATGCCCAAAAATGATCGTCGAGAATGGGTAAATCGAAATGAAAGTGTTGATCCTCCACAGCTGCGGCACAAACTGCGCAAGCACAATCATCATAGCCGCACTCGCAATGCAGAAGATGAAAGTAAACTTGAACTTCTTGATAATCTTCGGCACCTCCTCAAAGAACGTCGTGTTCTCCGCCTCTTTGCTCGTGGCGCCCCAGCTCATATCAATGCCGAACATATGCGACAGCAACGCCTGGGAGACGTGGAGACTGATACCACCCAGGAAAAGGGAGAGGAGCGGGATCCAGCTGAAGTTTTCGAGTATTGAAGAGAATAGTCCCTTCTCGCCTATCCGGTAGCGGAGGACGGCTAGGGCGAGATTACCAAGAGCGCTGAAGACGATAATAATGGCGAAGTAGACTTTGAAACTGTCGAGGTAGTATTTATCTAGGTGTCCGTTGAACCAACCTGTGAGAAAGTAGTTGGCTAGTGTCAGGATCCAGGCGGAGCCGATGGCGTAGTAGGTCCCGATGTACGCCATAATAGTGATCTTGGAAGGCAATGGCATGCGGGAACCGATGAAGTTGCGGAAGAGTTTCGTAAAGGGGCCGCGTGTGGGCCAGTAGCGGAGCGGGTGGAAGACGAGTTCGTTGCAGCCGTAGGCGTATTTCTCCCAGCGCGCGAGTTCGTCGTAGACCGTAAGTGAGACACCTTCTTTGAAGCCGTCGCCTTGGTAGGCACCAAGGCGGACTAGATAGCCGACTGTTTGTAAGCGCAATGCCATATCGAAGTCCTCAGACACGGTAGCCTCGGACCAGTACTTTTCGCGATCGTCGCCTTCCGTGCAGTCGTAGGCAATCTCTTGCATGGCTGCCCAGCGCAGGACTGCGTTGTGACCGACGAAAGGTGCAACATCACCGTTAGCGATGGCGTAGCGGATAGAAGTGTAGATAAGGTTGGTGAAGAAGGTGATGCCGCGCTCGAAGAAAGAGTCTGTCACGTTCATGACGCCGGAGGAGTACTGGATGATGGCGACTTGAGGCGATTGCTCCATCTCGGAGACGGCGTCGAGGAAACAGTCGGTCGGGACACGGGTATCGGAGTCGATGAGCAGAATGTAGTCGCCGATGCGAACATTACCGTCAGCCCAGGTGCGGCCTTGGTCTTCTTCCACCACAGCAGAGAGTGCTTGTCGGTACGCTTCGGCTTCGTCTTCTTGAGACCAGGTATCGTGGCGTTGTATGTTGTTGAGACGGTCTTCGATACGGTTGCTGACCCACATAGCGTAGTTCATATTCGAGGCCTTCTTGAACTTTCCGCGCCGAAGGAAGACTTCTTCACCTTCGGAGGGTTTTGGATTGTGCTTGGGACGTGCGACCCAGCCGATGTTATTCTCATCGTAGAAGTCTTGACGCTCGCGCGCCTCCTCTTCGGATACGAGTTGCATACCATCGTCGTTGACGAAGATGTTGGCGGTACCACCTTGCAATTCGTATGTAGAGATGGCGGCCTTGAGTGAGCGAACAGTGGGCTCGATGACACCCTGGAGACCTTCTTTGTAAACGGGCATCTGAATGGTCACATGAGGTAGAGCGGCGACATCACGGCGCAAGCGCTTAGGCTTCAGTCCAGAGTAGAACTTCGTATTCTTGTTCATCTGCGAAATCGGACCAACCAACTGTGAGACGTTTCCGACGAGCGCCTGAAAGAAGAATAGAGCGAGCCAGATCTGTGCCGGAACAGCGAAAATGAAAGCCATGCGGATGTAGTTGTGGTCGACAAACGTCTCAAGGGCGATGAGTCTCCATCCAGAGCCAATGGCGAGGACGGTTAGAGCAAGGACAAACATGGACTGGATCGGCATGAAGAGGACAATCGGTCGTGGCTTTTCGACAGTGCCGAGCTCGACGTCGTCCTCGGAACCGCCCACCTCGACCACATTGACCTCGTTCTCGGACTTCTTTTCGTCTGCTCCGTCGGAGCCGTTGTCCCAAATCATCTCCATGAGCGAGTTCTCGATCTTGTTCGCACGGTCGAGCAGATGCTTCGGCTCATCGTCCCATACCACCAAGATACCACGATCGGCGATGAAAGCTGCGAACTGATGCTTCTGGCAGCGAGGTAGGTAGGACATATCTGGTAGCACTTGCAGGCGGAGGCCGTGCTTGAGCGGCACAAAAGGCTTGTCGTTGTTGTGGAGGAAGAGTTTGATTACTCGGGTGTTGACGGTCATTGCACACTAGACAATGTCAGTCATTGTTCGACCCAAACGACCATGGGGGGATGACATACTCTCACGTTGAGCGTCTGTACTGCTTGGAAGAAGCCATATTGCTCCTCAACAATATCAGCCGGACAGCATGTGTATGCGCCACGATTCTTCTTCAGCATGACACCTTCATCGTGTCCCCCGGCGGTCCAGAGCTTCTCCATCTGTTGTTGGTACAGCCAGTTGACCATGACATCGCACTTGAGGTCGTTGAAGTCCGTGGAGCTGCCGCTCTCGCCAGCTGGGTACAGCGAGGCTGGTCTCGAGCCCCATGGTGTGCCACTGCCGGGTGTCTGTGAAGCTGGTGTGCCAAAGCCTGGTGACCCGAACGGGGCGGAAGCGCGAGGAGAAAAGGGCACAACTGGTCGCTTCTCGGAGAGCTCAGCAGCAGGCTCTTCTTTCTTGCCGTCTTTCTTGCCCTTGACGGGCCTCATGTATGATAGGATACCCATGGCTAAAGATGTGTGTGGTTTGTCCTCGATGTGTATGTGTTAAAGCGAATGAATGAAGCCGCAACAAGCAATGCCTGTATGCTGACGCTCGTAACGAAAGTGTGTAGACACAAAGGTCTACCGATATCCAGTATCCAGCAAGCGAAGGTGTAACAATCGAAGGCCAACGGACATGCGTCGCCTACCTAGGTATACCATTATATCCCACCTCAGTGGCTACCACGACCCGATCGAGCACAATCGTTTCCTGTCTACCCTGCTAGTGAGCTCACCACCTACGCTCCAGGCGGAAGTGCCAGTCTTTCTAACACCCAAAGAAGACCCGGGCGCCACAGTTCTGTACAGGCTCCGAACGAATAGCGTCAGCGGCAAAGGTCAAGCCTTTGCTGCCTACCAGGGTAAGCCGCCGAAACTGCGTCAAAATTTGTGATATTACCGCAATGGTCGAGCCGTTAGCATGAGCTTGGCTGGAGTGAGATAGAGCAGAACGGCAGGGTAGTTCCTAATGCAGAAGAGTTCCTTCATTAAGCTCTGCGTTCCTTGCAGACCCGCTTGACTTTCCGTCGGGCTCTTCCAGTCCTGCATGTGAATCATGCTAGTCCCTGTCAGAGACAGAGACAAAGGCGACGAAGGTTTCTAAAGTGAACTCATTTCAGACGACCTCGGTAATCAGATTGTGCATGCATGAAGGCTGTACTCATATGACTTCAAGCAGCTATCTAAGCAATCAAGCTCCAGCGATAGCGATCCAGATCCCGAGCCTGCATATTCGCTGTGGCTGAGATGTATGTGAACCCATGCCTGTAAGCCGTGAGTTGTTATCCTGTACAACCACACGCGCTCCTGCCATGCGCTGGCAGTGCCGTCTCCGAGCGTTGAGATCTGCAGATCCAGGAGGTCTGGGCGTAGGTATAAGTTGCTTGGCCACTGTCATGTCGTGAAGTACTCATCCTGGCGTGGCACTCTAGCGGGTGTACACGATTCTGTCTCAACGCCGCTGACCATTGTTGCATGTCGGTGAGCCTAAACACGCTCGGTGCTCATCTTAATACTGTGGAGGTCGCAGCATGCCATGAGAGCGACTGGTAGGCTTGACGCAGGTCCGCGGACGAGACAGTGGATGCGCAGCAGAAAACGGAAAGTGGAGTGGCGCTAGATCCTATCTCAACGAACGGTAGAGAAGTATCGCCACGGTAGTAGACCGATAGAGTGGTTTGACGGGCTGCTAGTCATGTTCTATTGCTGTGTTATCGCGCCTTAGCAAGCGGTGGTGTAATGTAGAACAGTGGAACTGGACTATCGGCCTGCAGGATAGCGGGTGGCAAGCTTCAAGGCATCCGCATGCCAGCCGTGTACCAGTTGGCGATACTCGCGCGCAATCATTACCGGTTGGTCAAATCATCCTGGATGCAAAACGATGGCATAAAGAAGGTTTGACATACAGCACTTTTCACTTTCCACATCAACGATCAATTATAGATTGATTTGCAGAGTCCGAAACGCTAAATGACGTTCGCCGTTATGGCTGACGCCGTATGCCGCTGCGGCATAAGATCTTCGCAGATCTGCCAAGGCCACGGCAAGCAAACAGGCAACAGTATTATTGGGACAGATAAGTTTCATGCAGCACAAATATAGAAAATTTCATATATCGCACGGGTTTGCCAGGAAGTCGTGCAGCGGTCCAGCTTTACACAGTCCCAACGATATCCAGATTTCTCCTTCACATGGGTTCCTCCACATCAGCTCAAAGCTATTACAATTCAACAGAGATCTGAGCTGGCTATCAAGCGTAATTGGGAGCGTTGAATTCTACATCTTCACTTAATCCCATCTGCGCGGGCGTTGAAGTGAAAACGTGGGAGACAGCTTGGGAGGCCCGCTCGACCGCATCTGTCACAAACGCACGTTGTGCAGTATGCAGGACGACCCCTCCGCCGTTCCACAAGCCATGTGTTTTGCAGTGGGAAACGCCGTTCCGTGTCTAGCTTGTCTCACTCGAACCAGCAGATGTCTCTTCGGAAGCTTCCAAACTGCATTATCGACCTAGGCTTTGGCAATAGCTGTATCTGTGATTGATCGACAACAATGATATGGAGCATTTACTGTAGCGTGTTCTTGGCAGCCGAGCGCTTCCTGTCTCCCACGACGCCGAGGCCGTGTACCTAAAGGATGGCGGTACGCTGCGAGTCAGGAGCGAAACAGCTTGAGCTATGTATTACAGTTGGAGCCCTCTTGGGTCATTTCTAAAGATGTACGCAAGAGAGCCAGTCCCACAGAGTGACTGGTGAGGATGCCACCGGGCTCCTCGACACCAAGCAGCATTACTGAAGGAATGCTGCTCACCGCGAGATCACACGCAGTGTAGTCGAAGCATGGCTTGCCCAATGTGGTAACTGATATTCATCCGTTATAGTTCCCCAATACGGAGAGACTGGTCTGAGTGGTCCAGGCCCAGACGGAAGAAAGGCTCTTGGTATGCTTGCTTCCTGCCAGGCCGCCCATGGTACGTGAGAGCAAGCAATGCTACATCGGGAGAATAGACTTCTCCGTGGCTTGATAATCCTTTCCCAAGCACAATGCATGATTCCACGCCGATACCTCTCCCAGGATTGATACGAAAATCATTCAGCATTCAGCTACTCTGCTAGCCTGTGGCAAGTTAGTCATGGTGGAACAAGTCCACGTACAGAGAGTCTGCAGTCTAGAACAACATACCTATAACTAACCACCGTATCAATACGATGATTGTTCGTCGAAAAGCTCCTCAGCATCACCTTCTCCGCATTCTTGACCTCCTTTGCATCACTGTCACCCCATTCGAGAGGGACTTCGCTGTCGGCATCTGCATAGACCAGGACATTGAATGTGCAGTTGCCATCTAGCATGGGCAGAAAAGTCACCGAGGCAGTGATTTGGCGAAATAGGGCTTGAATGTCTTTCTGGACGTCCTCGTCTGTTTTGTCTGATGTAACGGATGCTGATTGTGATTGTTGGTTTTCGGGTGATGTGTTCTCCTTATCTCCTGATGAGGTTGTTCGTTTTGCTTTTGATGGGTCTTGGAAGATGTTGACCTATTGCCAATCAGCAAGATCCGATAAGCGTTTGACTGATCAGTATTACGAACATCGAACTGCCATCGTTCTACATGCTCGCCAGTCTCCTTACTCGTGATCACAATCACAAGTTTAGAGATCTTCGACTTCTGCATCCATTTGCTGAGCTGGCTCATGATCTTTTTGATATATGCCTTGACTTGGTCGTCGCAAGAGGTCATCATGTTCAGGCCATACTTCTTGACGCTGTATGTGTTGTCAGCTTACTTCGCCTCATGTCTTATGTTTGGGATGGTACCGTACGTCGTGAAGTCCTCGGGAGGATATACTCCTCGTTGGAACAATATCGTGTTACATGCGAAGTCGAAGAACTCTACAACCGTCTTCGATGAGCCTTTGAGAGCGAGCTTGTGCAGTTTTGACTTGTCGCTTGAGGTTGTTGATGGCGTTGCAGACGGCATATTGATGGCCGTTGAATTGGTCACTGTGGCGAGGTCTGTTTCTTCTACCAGAATATGCTGTGTACTCTGCTTCTCGTAATCTGTGTCTTGATATCCTGCAATGCTGTGGCGAAAGTCAACGTTGTTGATCGCGGTTGCCAGGGGCTATGCGCATGGAAAGCGAAGTCTTGGCATTCATCTCGACCATTGAACTTTTGAGCCGCATCGAGTGTTGTATGTGCCCAGGAGGAGCATGAATATGCTTCGCATTGCAATCATCAATGCAACGATGTTACCGAACGATACATAATGCGATCTGTCAGGGCGTGAACCTGTCGCCACTCCATACCACTTCATGGGAAGCCCTTGCCCGCCATGGCTTCTCGCGCACCTTTACCACTTCCGCCTCCTGGAAGGCAAGCCCTGTGAGGGTCAAGTCTGATCTCGAACGTCGCATCGCCGATATTCCTATTGAACGCTTCCGCAACTTCTGTATTGTTGCTCACGTCGACCATGGCAAGTCCACGCTCAGCGACCGCTTGCTCGAGCTAACAGGCACGATACCACCTGGAGGCAAGCAACAGATCTTGGACAAGCTGGATGTGGAGAGGGAGCGAGGTATCACGGTGAAGGCACAGACATGCAGCATGCTGTACAAGTACAATGGCGAGGATTATCTGCTGCATCTGGTTGACACACCTGGACACGTGGACTTCCGTGCAGAAGTCAGTCGGAGTTATGCTAGCTGTGGTGGAGCATTGCTGCTGGTAGATGCGTCGCAGGGTGTACAAGCGCAGACGGTCTCAAACTTCTACCTCGCCTTCGCACAGGACCTGTCCCTTGTGCCTGTGCTGAACAAGGTGGACTTGCCTTCTGCAGACACGAAGCGTACACTGGAACAGCTTCGCGATATACTGGAAGTTGACGCAACCAATGCCGTGATGGTTTCGGCGAAGACCGGACTGAACGTGGCAAAGCTGTTACCGAACATCGTTGAGCAAATACCAGCTCCGATAGGAAACGATACTGCGCCACTCAGACTTCTTCTGGTGGACAGCTGGTACGACAATTACAAAGGCGTAATCCTGCTTGTGCGTATCTTTGAAGGCACGATTAGGCCTGGGGATCGCATCGTGTCATATGCTACAGGTAGTCAATACATCGTAGGCGAAGTAGGGATCATGTATCCATTAGAGACGGCACAAACGTGTCTCCGAGCAGGACAAGTGGGCTACATCTACTTCAATCCGGGCATGAAACGCATCAAGGAGGCAAAGCTCGGCGATACATACACAGTTGTGGGCAATCAAGACAAGGTTGTGCCATTACCAGGGTTCGAAGAACCACAGAGCATGGTTTTCGTCGCAGCTTTCCCGACAGATCAGAGCGACTATGCGCATCTTGAGGATAGCATCAATCAGGTCACGCTCAATGACCGAAGCATTACGATCGTCAAAGAGTCCTCGGATGCTCTTGGTGCTGGATGGCGATTGGGCTTCCTCGGCACACTGCACTGCTCTGTCTTTGAGGATCGCCTTCGCCAGGAGCACGGTGCAAGCATCATTATCACGCCACCATCCGTTCCTTTCAAGATCGTGTGGAAGGATGGTCGAGAAGAAATTGTGAGCAACCCGAACGACTTCCCGGACCCGCACTCGCAACAGTATCATGGACGCATCATATCACTGCAAGAGCCATACATCACAGCGACCATCACCCTGCCAGAGGAGTATCTCGGCAAAGTCATTGAGCTCTGCGAAGCCAATCGTGGCGAGCAGGAGAGTCTGAGCTTTTTCACAGCCACGCAGGTCATCTTGAAGTATTCGCTACCACTCGAAAGGTTAGTCGACGACTTCTTCGGCAAGCTGAAGTCATCCACCAAAGGCTATGCCAGTCTCGACTACGAAGAAGCAGGTTACAAGCAGTCCAGCATTGCCAAACTCCAGCTTCACGTCAACAAAGTGCCTGTCGACGCCGTCGCGCGCGTTGTACATATCTCGCAGGCCGAACGGCTTGGCAAGGAGTGGGTCTCGAAGTTCAAGGAGCATGTTGACAGGCAAATGTTTGAAGTCGTGATTCAAGCTGTTTGTGGCAAGCGTGTAGTTGCCCGAGAGACTCTCAAGGCCTTCCGGAAAGATGTCACATCGAAGCTGCATGCTGCCGATGTCAGTCGGCGCAGGAAGTTGCTGGAGAAGCAAAAAGAGGGAAGGAGGAAGCTGAGGGCTGTGGGCAATGTCTCGATTGATAACAAGGCTTTCCAGAGCTTCCTTGCTAAGTAGATCGGTCCGTCGTCACTGCTTCCCGAGCATGTCTACCGCGCTGTCCTCATCAGGCAGTACTTCATCAACTTCACTTGAACTTCAGATCCCACGTCATCTTCGCTCTTCTGAAAGGCACTACTTCTAGTGCGCCATCATCACTTTTGAGCACATCTTCCACTGGCCCGCACGGTTTGTGAAGCACAATAGTCTCCTGCCTCTCATCATTGACCTTGTAGAAGTCCCGACCGAACTTGCTTAAGAAGCCCTCGAGCTTCTTCTTCGTGACATCCTCAGCCTTGAGAACGCCGTTCAGCACAGCCTGCTCCAATGCATCGATCACGTAGCCCACGGCGTGTGGTTGCGTGAAAACTCCCGCAGCAACGCGATCTGCTCGTTTTGTTTCGGCTGGGTGTGGTGCTGAGTCTGTGCCGAAGAAAAACTTGGGATCGCCACTTACGACTGTCTTGAGTAGCGCTCGCCGATCTGCAGGTGTTTTCGCGACGGGCTTGCAGAAGCAATGAGGATCACCTGCCCAGTCGTCCACGATGAGGAAGAGGTGGTGCGCTGTGAGTGTGGCCGCCACGTTTGGTCCGCATGACTTGACTACTTTGAGTGCTGCTTCGCTGGTACAGTGCTCGAGGATAATTCTTAGCTTGGGGAATCGTTTGTGCAGATCTAGAAGTGTTGGTAGGAAAGCCTCTTCAGCATTCAGAACTGTGATATCTTCGCCTGCACTTGGTGGTAGCTCGCCGTGTAAGTTCAGAACCATGTCTTGTCGTTCCATTTCCTCGAAGACGGGGTAGAATGCTTCGTAGGACATCACGCCGTGGTCGCTGTGGGTTGTCACACCATGAGGATATGACTTGATGCCTGCGATTCCAGCTTGCTTTGCTTCGATCACTGTTTCCGGAGATATGTTGGGGTGGAGATAGAGTGACATCAGGAAGGTTACGTTGGGCTCGATGGCCTCTAGACGAGACTTGTAGTCTAGACAGTGCCGAACTGTTGTGATGGGTGGCACCAGATTGGGCATGACGAAGACTGTATTGACGCCACCTTTGCGAATGGTTGGTCTGTCGATATGTTAGGCGTGTCTCGGTGCAGGCTCTCTTGTAATGACTTACGTGACCAGTTCTGTCATGGCACCATCTCGCAAATGAACATGCATATCTGCCGCCGCTGGTAGCTCAAGACCATCGAGCTTCTCCAAGGGCACCTTTCGTGATCGCTCTGGAGACGTCATTCTGAACGTGGCCGTACAGTCAAGAGCTCCTGCGAATATCACAACGTGTGACGAACGTGATACAACGAAGCATGTACTGCTTTGCGTGCCTGCCTTGGAGTGAGCTATTTCTTGATCTTGGGCTCGAGCCTAGTGGGGCCGGATGTGCCGTTCCGTATTATGAATGTTCCTGCAGACCTTCATTTCGTCTCTCCCTCTCCTACTTTTATTGACAAAAAACGATGTCATTTCATGCAAGACAGCAAATGGCCATGAGATGTAGTGATGTTGACCGTTGCGAAGAAGACATGAGCCAGTAGCATATTTAGCTGGCAGGCGGACTCACGACGTCAGCAGGCTTCGATGCCACCATCTCATCGTGAACCACCAGAAAAGGACACGCCGGCGTTCAATTACGATGCCGATTCCGAATGGCGCAAGAAACCTCTCACACCCGCCCAGATTCTAGTGAATGACATAAGACTGGAACGCTTCCGCCATGACAGAGAGCCATTACTGGAAGTCATCGAGAGGTCGACTCCCACTTTGATACCATCCACTGCAGCATATGTACCATCAGCTAGCTATATTAGAGCTACAAATGCCGCCACGAACGCAATCGAGAAGCAGCGCTTCGTGGACTTGGAATCAGATTATGGCTGGCTCCGTTACCTGAGACTGCAGAAGCATCAACGTACAGAGTATGACGACCAGAACTCGGCAAAGTGTCGCTGGATACACTGCTCCTCCAAATTCCCGGAATATCTTCACGGCTTCCTCTACGCTTTGTCAGACAACGATGCCGTGGTCTCCGAATGTCTGCGCATGCTCGCCCATGTTACGCAACAGCAAACTCGTTTTTCGAAGCATGGCAAATACTTTTCGCCCTTCTTCCAATGTCTGCGACAGAATCCTGGTAGAGTTGCAGCAGAGCAGTATCCGATGTTGATGTCAATACCATTCTGCGATTGGACTGTACTGGGAAGTCCACCGCCATTGCGCTTTCAAGTCGATAGACGAGATGGCTTCCATTCTTCGAAGTCTACAGCTCATCTTTTACGATCTATCCTGCAACATTTCTATCGTTTAGAAGATACCGGCGATCGAGAGGTCCTACAGGTCTGTGCAAAGCACAAACCTTGGGCTACCGATCGCGAGCTGGACCTGAAAGTACGTCAGTGGTATGGCCACTATCCTACTGCTCTGAACGTTGACGAGCTTTGGATACTTGCGATCGATGCCGAACACTTGGTGACCTTCTCCAGCAACCAGACTTGGAAGTCTCGCTGGCCACCCCTGCAGTTGACTTCCCGCATCTCTGACATATCATTTCGAAGCATACGGAATGCATACTATTCTGCTGGCATGGCTCACAACCAAGAGTACACTGCGATGGATCACGCTAGTGCTTGCTTGAATGGCGCTGTAGGCATGCTACATCGCAACTTCTGGCCAGACATGGTCCTCTGCTTGACAGACAGATATGCTGGCTATTTGACGCATCTACAATATCGGCTGCATCGTTCACCAAGTACAAAACTTGTAATGGATCTGATGGCCGCCCAGGAAGAAATGAACATCGTTATTCAGATAACGCAACAGCAGGTAGACATGATAGAGAGCCTCCGCACGAGTCTTGGCCAGAAAGAGGTTGGCGATTATGGTCTGGCACAGGCGCCTTCTCCAACATCTGGACGACCAGTCTCAGCATCCCAGACTTCGCATGTTGAACTTGGCGGACTACCAGCACCGCGCCGCCGTGCAACGTATCGTCAGCTATCGACTTCTCAGCTTATCGATCCACTATCACAGATGCTTGACAACCTTCACAGAGAACTGATAGACTTACAAGACTTACGGGACAATACAGATCGCTTGGTCACTCGTACCATACAATTGGTCAACATCAGACTCGAGGATCACGGCAAAGCTATCTTGGTCTTCACGATCGTGACCATAATATTTCTGCCGCTAAACTTCGTTTCGAGCTTCTTCGGCATGAATTTTGCCGACATCAGGAATACGACTCGGAAGCAGAGTCTGTTCTGGATAGTCGCCTTGTGTGTGACCGCTGGTGTTCTTGGCGCCTCCATCTTCCTTGCTTTCTCTGGTGGAGATATTCTAGAGCAGCTAGCGATATGGCGTGATACGCGTAGGGAGCGGCTCATGACCAAGAAGACCATAATGAGACAGACCAGACTTAATGACGACGAACGCTCTTTCAAAGTGCATCGGATCGACCGGGGAGGCACGTACGGATGATTTCGACCAGATAATAGCGGACCGTTGAGCTTGCGTTGCGGAATTCCATCATCGTACCAATAAGAGCTTGAGGGTGGTCGGTCACACGCCCGCCTGGCACCATCGGATCTATGGAGAACATGTCGTGGATGTAAGTTTTCGACTTTGGGCAAGGCGTTTGTTTGTGCTGGCCTCACCAAGCCCCAGAGAAGTCACTGCCATGACAGTCACTTCTCTGCTTCTGGCAGGTTTACAGGCAGAAAGAGATGCATGGCCTCTGGCCTCACATTAAAGAACCTTGCGCCCGCTATCCTGGCCAGATCATAGCGAAGATCGCACGTTCGCCCTCGAGTGAAAATCTCTCTAGCTCTCTGAGGACCTTCATCGCTGAGTCCGCGTCCAGCCAGGACAATACCGCAATCATAACCCTTTCCATGATCGTCCACATCTCGACAGTACAGATTCACCGCATAATACCACCTCGGCTTCAATCCCGCTGGCACAGAAAGCTCACAGAAGGGATACACAAGCCCCCCGACGAGGAGGCAGTCACGATTTGTGATGTTGAGTAGGACATCGCGCCTACCATTGGCCTGAAGGCGTCCGCTCAAGGCGAAGAGTCATAGATGAGGCGCTAGCAGGCTTGTCGCGGAGCAGCAGATCAGATCATCGTAGTACATGTCATGACCTACTTGGTGAGGAGGGGCAGGTGTCCTCCAAGCGAAGATGGTCTCATCTGGAGAGCTACGGATTATCTCATGCTGAAGGCGCACGAAAGTTTTCTGACCTTCGCCATACAAGAGAGGCATGTTGATATCGAAAAGACCGAGCAGACTGTATGCTACATCTTCCTCTCTTGTGGCGCTTCTGTCGGCTGCCCAGCTGAGTCTTTGCGCTACAGAGAATATGCGGTGGCCATCGATGCGTGTGAAGCATTCCATTGGGATGCTGGTTGCAGCCGCGATGCCGTGGACGGCGTTATGACGCTCAAGGTTGTGCCATGCTCGGTGTCCGGGATCTTTGGATGCTATCCATTCACAATGGAAACCGCCCCTGCCTTTGTCAATATTGATGTATGGATTCCAATCATCTGTGAGGAAGACAATCCTTTCGGGTGCCAGAAACTCTTGAAGAGTCCAGCAACGCTTGAACCAGGGGCTCGCGATTAAGGTATTGCTGATCAGAACATGTTGGCTCAAATTGGGTACATCTGCAAGATAGACGTAGCAACACGCAGCTTGGCGGTACCACTTCCACATAGAGTTGATAGCCTCGGACAGCTCAGCGCTACTGCGTTTGTCTATACAGCAGGTGTCGATCCAGCACCATTGATACGTGGTGAAGTCCTCGTCTTGAGGCCGCACACGGGTGACTTCGAGCAAAGTCGCAGAAGTGTAAGATTTTGATATAGCCAGCACGCTGCCTGATTCCTGACACTTGCGACGCCTGCCATGGGGATAGCATGTTGCATGGTCGTTGAGCGAGCTGAAACTCTTTTTATGTGACTTCTTCACCACCCCATCGATGTGACAATATGGCGTAAGGTGGCGGATCATGCGTCTCGATGAACTCGAGGGTTGTGGTGTTAAGCAGGCGCATCTCGAGTCGTCCCCTGCTGTTTCACGCAATATCAGAATGAACAGTATGTCATGAGTGTGACAATCGACTCGCGAGGAACGGAATGCCTCAAGATAGATATGTGCCGAGTATTGCAACGAGGCTAGGGCTGTGCAAGATCGGCTAATCTGCAACTGCGGCGAGGCGATAATCCCCAGTCGTCTCTATACAATCGATGTTCGAGGTGTATGTAGGTCAACGCAAGCAATGTAGCACACCTCGAATAGCGTCCAGCGAAAGGACTAGAGAAACAATGTGCCTCGCCATCGGCTGGTCAGGCCGGTATTTGGGCTCAGGGAACTACAGGTGCGCGAAAAACGTTTTCCGTAAAGATCGAATGTACTACCATAACGAATTGTGTCTAAGTTGTATGGAAGGCGTGACTTTGAAAGGATCCTAGTTTGTGAATGTCCTGCCAGAACGATTGAGCAAGAAAAGTGGGCTTCCGAGAATCAGTCACATGACCCTGTGAGTGATCCGCGTTTCGCGACCTTAAACTACAGCACATCTTACCAGCGTTATGATGCACGGAGGCAGTCCGTCCAAGTAAGGTCCACGATGGCAACACCAACGCCATCACATCCATTACAGCCTTCCTCGGCCACAAAGAAAACCGCCGGCCATGTCTCGACACCTGCGCATCTTGGCCAGCCTTCGCCGGCACCGCGCAGCGTACCATCGCCTGCTGCACTGCGGAAGGATCAGGCTGGCAGAACACCACTGAACCATCCCACGACTGGATCTACTAGTAGTAAGACTATCGGAAGCACACCGATGCTTCACAGTCTCAGCCAGCAGGGCAATACGGTAGGCTCATCGCCTGGCGCAAACATGCTGAGCTTCGGCACACCCATAGGTCTTGGTGTCGAGGGCATCACGCCCAGCCAGCTTAATATGCATACGCCAGCGCTTAACAGTATACCCATGAGCTTGACCATGTCCGACCTGGGTGTGCCAGCTGGTGGGGCAATCCAGAAGCGCGACGAGGACAATGAGCGGAAGAGGAAGATGCGCAAGGTTCTAAAAGGCATTGGGCAGCGGTCGGGTAGTGTCAGTGAGGAAGGCATTCTGCGGGTGAGCAGGCGAGTGGGCTTCGATAATACCGCGGAGGACAACAAGCCCGTTGGCAGCAGATCTTTGACTATGGCGGGCAAAAAAATGCTGGTTGACGTGAAGCTCAACAATCACGAAGTAGAGAATGTTGGTGTCATCTTCGACACAGCAGAGGGCACGCCTTTGAGCGACCAGGCACCAGGCTTAGCCAAGGTACTCTCGCAAAGTTTGCAAAGTGCTGGTAATGCACGAGCAGATGCTGAACTGGATCTGTTCGCCGCAAACCTAGGACGTCTCGCCAAAATCGATAAATTGAGCTCTCAGCATCTCAACTGTTTCGAGGCATTAAGTGGGATTTACACGAGTCTAGACCGCTTGCATGAGCATGAGGTGGCGATGTCAAGTGACGTGGACGTGCTGCGCAAGAAAAGTGGCAGGCCGACGTTGCACGCAAGCAATCGCGTGGGTGTCTCCATTGCGTACTGGCAGCTGCCTCGGCCATCTCTTTCTCGTGGTGACCAATACAGCGTGAGCAATGAGGTGCATAATTTGGATCTCGGCGTCGAGCGATCATCTGGCGGCATGTATCCTCCATTACGAGTGTCGGAGAACTGGCTGCCGGACAGCATTGAGCTTCCTGCAGACACTTCGGACCACACCATACCTTGGCAGGATCCGCCACCGAACCTGGTCCCGGCAATTGCAGGAGGCGATGCTATGGCTGTTGACGGACAAGAGAGCCTACCTGAGTTACGCTTCATTGCCAAGCTCAGATCTCCTGTCCTCTTACCATGGCAGGGTGCGGTGAATGTGCTTCAAGCTGTGGGCATGCAACCTCCTCAACTATTTGTGTACCCACCGGCTTGGCACACATTGCTGCTGGACCCGTCTTCGACAACACCTTTCAACGCTGGGGGTGGGTCGTACATAGTCAGTGAGCAGACCGTACTTTCGATGCACGGAGATCTGGATGGAGAAAGCACGCACATATACACTTTGGACGTGGCTAAGCCTGATGGTGGCTATATGCTCGAAGAGCTCCCGTTCTCACACCCAAGACAGCTCGTCGAGCTTCTACCTACTCTGCGCCAGTGGGTGTACTTTGGCTCGTTGATCAAGGATCTGTTTGATACGAGCGCGGCTGTCCCAGCGAACGGTCAGCCTGTCCAGACTGAAATCAGGAAGCTCACTCCAGGCCCCCTACCTGCTCTGACACTGGCTGAACTCCTCACTCCACCCACTACGCCTGGCACGGATGATCCACTGCGCGTCAGCGTCTCGCTGGCTACGACACCGATGCCGACGTTGTCATTGACCTTTCCTAGCCGGAAGCCAGGCGCGACTTGCAACGTGACGTTACAAATTCATGTCAATGGCAACGTCGTTGTCACCCACCACTCGCGCATGACTAGTGACGCTCATACGGCCAGCGTCAGTGATGACGCTGCTAGGGAGAAGTTGGCCGCAGCGCTGGAGCAATGTGGCGACCTCGGGGTCTGGATCGAGTGGCTCAGCAGCATGTAGGCTATTGGCTCGACACCGCCATGCACGCACTGCGGTCAAAACAATCGCTGCCCTCTTTGTGACACGAGCTGGGCGTGCTACTTATCTTTGTTTAGTATCTCGTTTGCTGCTAGCTGGATAACATCAATGGACAACATTGCAGCTTGACAAAGGTTTGGACGTCAACAGTGTGATTGTGTGTTCATCGGAATCATGCGTCCTCTTGCAGTAGTCGAATGCTCTGTTCTATTCACCCAAGTGCCGTACCACCGCTCACTACCAGACATTGCGCTGGCAACGACGTCTGGGTGGGCACGTAAGGTAATTAACGTTATCTAAACCCCCCTCCTCACATACCGAGCATATCCTACTGGTGGGTTGCTTGAGCGCTCTCTCAATTACCCTTCCCACTCTTGGTCCACTGCCAGCAATGTGCAGCACTTTCACGCCCTACTTCGCAAGCTGCGGCTGCTATGGCAAGCCGACTGTTCAAGGCGACCGCTGTGTCCGTGCTCTTACCGCTTCTGGCCATCAAACGTGCTGGACTACTCACGATCTTGGTGTCGAGACAGTGCATGATCAATGCTCTGCTTGCCAGAAGCGCCACACGCCATCGCTGACGACATCGCCCTCAACATCGAGCAGCTCTTCTGACCTGTGTGGCTACTTCAGTAGCAGAAAAACGAGCGTCGCAAGCACTTCGACCAAGGTCAGTAGCCTGAGTACGCCGGGAAATGGGATACAGAGAAGCAACAGTGCTATGAGTCTGGCCTCTTTGTATCGCGCACGTGCAAGCGACGGGACAAGAACCGCAACGCCAGCTATCTCGACCAAGATTTCCGCCTCGCCTTCATCTTCTTCGCAGTCGAGGCTGAAAGACACCTGGATTTTATAAGAATTGTTGGAAGACCTGAGTGGACACGTCCCACTGAGAGGTATGTATGATATGAGCGAAGCAGCCGTGCGATGATGGAGGGAATCGGTGTATGCAGGTGATCGTACTGGCTTGATACTCTATCTGCTTAGAAGGTGCAGATTTTATCGAAGTGCTCTTCAATGATAACAAGTACATCTCTGCCTCCTACAGTGACGAGAACCTAAGCTGATATGAGCATAGTGGATGGAGATATATGTTGTGCTCTTGAACCCCACCAGTCGTTCTTGCTTGTCCGTTCCAAAAGGTTGATCAGGGACCCAAATTCTGCTATCCAACGCCACCGTCAGATAATTCCTATGCCATTCCAGCTCGAACAGTCCGAGACTTCCCGGCGAGTGGACTCGCAGCTGGACTGGCTGTCGCGGATAGTGATCTGACTCGGCTCCTGACGAAGCCTTCACCCGAGCTGGGTGGCGTGAACGGCGCAACGGGATGCTTAGATTTGGGGGAAAGTGCGTCGTAGTGCTGGCCGCGCTCTTCCTTGCTCTGCTCTCTGGTTTGGTTTGCTACTTGCGCGAGTTGTCGCTCGGTCGAGAAGGCAGGAACGCCATCGGCGAATGAGACGTGCAGCCCGCAGAATTTAGGAGCTGGGCCATAACGAGCGCTGTGTTCATACTGTGGGATGCGGCGGCTGGCTGTCTGAAGAGTCCATGTGGAGTGCTGGGTTTGGTGTCTTCGTCGCTTGCTTCGTGATGTCGACCACGGTGGTAGAGGTGCTGGCTCACGCACCCAGATACGTTTGGGTCCGAAAACCATGGCCCGTGTCAACCCAAAAGGTGCAGGAGGGACTGGCCGCAAGCTGCTCGAAGCGATGCCGGTGTCTAGCCAGTCAACCATGATGACAGCAGAAGCGTACATCAGCAACGTAGGGACCAGAGATGCTAGAGTCAGCATCACGTGGAGAAACAGCGAGTCGTTTCCCTGACGCGGTACAGGCTCCAAGGCGAAGATGAGCTTGATGCAGCCCTTTGTCGTAATCAGGAGCTGGGTGGTTTCGATGGCCAAGGCGAAGAAGCTGGTCATTGGCTTCTCCTGGCTCAAAGGCATCTGGACGCCTATGAGCTGCCGATAGGCCGTACTAAGGACAGCTACCAGGGTAAGAAGTCCTGTCAGCCAGGCGAGGTCGGCAAATTCGACGGCCGATAGGATCATTCTCATGGTGAAATTTTGCAGCTGTTGGAACTCTGATTGTGCAGGGGTTTCTGGCTCAGTGAGTTCTCTTCGTGTCGAGCATCATAGTACTTGATATGGAGTGTGAGGTCAGATGTGATAAGAGGGAAAAGTGGTGCTCTCCCAGATTGACTTGTGGGTTCTGAGACAGGCATCCATGGCTGTCTCACTACCAAGCGGTATGCTGCAGATATCACAAAGACGTCTGTTCTCACAATAGCAACATGTTGAACCATGCAGTCCTAAGATATCGCGATCCATACCGGAAGGGCAGCATCACTACTGGCTATAGCCATGTCTTCGCTGTGTGACTACAGTCTAGATGCCTAGCTTTCGTGCATGTAGGTGATTATCACCGTGGGCCGCTGTGATCACATGCATCGACTGTACTCCGAAGGTATGCCAATTGCACGTCGTGGAACTTCTTGAACATAGATGTGGCTAATGGTAGATCGACCCCTCTCGTGTTCTTTCTACGTGCCGCGAAATGATGTCCTTCGTTCGAGAGTGTCGCGAGACTCCACCGCCTTCCCGCCGCTGCCGCACACAAGCCAACACGAGAGTGATGAGAGCTTCATCATTGACTTTTGTGCCCATCACTTTGACGAAATGGCTACAAGAACAGTATCACTGGAACATTGCTAACGATACCGGGCATACTCGCGAACGATGCGTAGCAGCCCGAGTGGCAACCCGATCGCCACAATTGAAGAAGTTCGTGGCCTACCGACTGGAAAGCTCTTGACATCTTTCTGGGCACTCACGACGATCTTATGGAGCATCTTCCGACCGCCGCAGCATACATATGGAGCTCGTGTGCTCTTGTTCCAGCCAGCGTGGCTAATACGTTCTCTCAACAATAGCCTGCTGTGGGACCAAGACCTGGCATTATGCCTCGCATCTCACGCAGTGTACAGCTACTTCGCAGACTACTGGCGATTTCCAAACGCTGGAGATTTACACTGGCTCAACCCGGAGGATGGTTCGATGTACATTTACCACCAAGTGTTCTCCCTACTCGCCATCTGTGCCCTCTTTGCAAGCGGAATTGTCTTCCGTGGCAGGAGACTGGTGAACAATAGTGTCGAGACGATCCATGAACAAAGGATAGATGATCAGGTCCTACCACCCTTGCTTCTAGAAAGTAGGACGACACACTCGAGACTGTTCCCAAAGAAGCATTCCTTCTCATACTCGTACTTGCTCGTCGGCATACCTGTTGGGGTACAAGGCCACATGAATCGCATGCTCTCCGTCGATTCACAAGAACGGGCATGGTTCCATATCGACTCGGCCGACTACCTAGCCCGTGGCAGTTCTGGCTCGACCTTGGCCGAGAAGCTCAAAGCATATCTCCATGCACAAGGTGTGACAGACCGTCAATATGCTTATGCGTATCTGGTCACAGCACCACGCTTTTTGGGATACAGCTTTAATCCTGTCTCATTCTGGTACTTGTACGACTCAGACGTACAGCTGAAGTACATGATTCTAGAGGTCAACAACACTTTTGACGAGCGAAGGCTGTATTTGCTGAAGGGCGGCGAAGCTGAAGATGATGGCCTCGATGGAATGGCCGTGCCTACTACAAACGGCTCATCGAAAGCACCCAAGCACATGGTGTTCAGCGATACATGGCAGAAGGACTTCCACGTCTCGCCTTTCAACAGCCGCAAGGGATCATACTCGTTGCGAGCCGTGGACCCTGTTGCGGCCTTCGAGACCACTGGACAGGTCCAGATCGACAACACAATCGTGCTGAGGTCATCTAAAGAGCATCCAAAGATAGTCGCACGTATCGTGTCAGAAGGCATACCCAAGGACCCGTCAACGAGTACGGCCACGGAAAAGGCTCGCTTCATTGCGATCTGGTGCTGGGTGGGCTTCGCCACTTCCCCACGCATTGTCTGGGAGGCGTCAAAGCTCTTCTTCAAGCAGAAGCTGCATGTATGGTACAAGCCTGAAATCACTGCTAGAAGTATCGGACGATCGTATACTGCAGATGAAAAGCATCTCGAGACATTCTTCCGAGCCTTCCTCACCACCGCCGTGGAGAGATCATCCAAGCAGTTGCGTGTTATCTACGAGCCCGCACACAGCGAGGACGGCGAGATCGTGATATACTCGCCCGGATTCACTTACGAAGAGGATCACAGGCGCACGCTTTCACTCCGAGTACGGTCACCGGCCTTCTACAGCCGCTTCGTCCACTACAGGAACGCGAGCGAGGCGTTTGAGACAGAGTGCTTAGCCGGCGAGGAGAAAAATCGCACGGCATACCTCGAGCCTGTAGATTTGTTGTCAGATCTGCTGGAAGTGATAAAGGAGCAGACCGACACAACTGCCGCCGACAGTCGGCTGAAAGCAGGAAGCATAATTCAGCGATCCCGTTGGTCGGCGATGCAGCGCTTGCGATGTCCTGCTGCACTGGCAGCATATCCGACGACCGATGCTATTCATGCTTCAGTGAACGATAAGGTGGCTGGAATCCATGCATTCGACGCCTTCGTTAAGAAAGACTTCGACGACAGTGATATCTACCGGAGGATAGCTACTAAACTCTTCCTCGCAGAACGAATGGGCCTCGGCGTTCCAGCGATACTCGCCTTATTGGATATCGCCGTCCGTGTTGGATTACTGCTTGCTAGTATGTTCTACTGCAATAGCATACAGCTACCTATAGACATACTTCGACCTCGAGATCTTCGCGCACAAGACTTGCCGCCACTAGCTCTGTTGCTACTCCTGGCGAACAGTGTTCATATCTGGAGCTTCATAAAAGGATAGACACAATGTTATACACAATGCCTTTCGATGTACAAATTTTGTATCCCTCCTCCTGCTACTTACATTTTCACGCAGCACTTCCTATCCAAGGACGAGGGGTATTATGCAAGCAATCTGGCATGCCAAGCCTTTCCCAAAACTCCAGTGCCAACCAAACAGTCCTATTACTGCAAACTGGTCCATTACTTCTCCTGATGTCTCTTCTTCGCCGTAGCGGCACCATTCGGCTGAGCCGCATACGCCTCCTTGACCTGTTTGCGTGTCGTTCTTCCTGGCGTCTTCGTATCGATAGTCGTCGTGGTGGGATCATCCATGAGTTTTGAGATGTCACCTCTGGACTTCGTACTGTTGCGCTTCATCTTCTTCTTTGGCGGCTTGGCAGCACGTATTTCTGCCACTTCTGCTGATCTGTCAGCAATGGTGTCGTCTTGGCCTGTTGTCGTTGTTCGTGGTGTACGACTGGCAACGGACTGCTCGACTGACGCTGAGGTCCCAGAGTTTGGCGCCGGCGATGATGCTTCGTCAGACTGATGTTGCAATGTCACCTCTGGCTCTTGTGACTTCATCGCAGATCTAGTCTTTGGTGTGGTCTGCACATCTTCGTGGACAGTCAGGACAGTCGACTTGGCATGCTCATTTGTCTTCGCCTTGGGTCGACCTTTCCTTGGCGTAGCTGAAGCACTGGGGAGCTCGTTGGGTGCCAGAGATGAATCTACCTCTGCCGCAAGGGGTGCTTCCCTCCTGGTGTCGATGTCTGCTTCCGTGGCTTTCGCTGTCCTCTTCATCTCTCCATCACTAGTCACATCTTGTGGCTTTGCTGCAGCATCGTCGGCCTCTCCACGTAGCCTAGCATGCTTGTCGCTTCTGACTTGTGCGACGCTCGCCATAGTAAGAGCTTCTTCCTTCGCAGGTGCCTTGCTGCCACGTCCATATCCTACCATCATAGCAGTGCAGCGTGGCGAAGTACGCAGAGGCAGTACAGAAGCGGAGGGTATGTTCTTGGCAGCTGTGTGGGTTGGCGATTTCCCATCATGGTTCTTTGGACCTGGCTTCGGTGAGGTCAAGTGCTTGGCCCAGGCACTGTCAGTCGGACTCGCTATCGGAGAGCGATTGGTGTCATGTACGGCGGATGTTGCAGGCTGTGAGTCAAATTTGGAAGTGCTGTCGGTATCTGGCATATCGGCATCTTCGGTCTCAAGCAGCCCTCCAACGTGGTTAAGGTCATCAAGCAAGGTCGCAAACTCATCGGTGGTTGTTGTAGCACTGCTGTTGATCGCTGGGGCAGCTGCACGTTCTTCCCTTGCACGGTTTGGGAGCTGGGTATTGTTTGGCATGCCGAGATGTGGCTGGTCGTCTGTGGTACCGTAATCACGGTCTCCCTTGTGATGTGTAGCTTGAGTGCGTACAGCACACTTACTACCCTGGTCGATGTAATCCGGAATGGGCGCGTCCGCAAAGAAGCCATCAATGGCATTCACGCCATCAGACCACTGCCGTGTAGCTGATCCGCTAAGCGTAGCCCAGAGCTCTTCGTCCACCATCTCCAGATCCACATTCATGCTGCCGAGCAAGCATGCCGCCAATAGGAGGATCAGCGTACGCAAATTTGGGGTAATACTTACGCAGTCTCTGGGATCGCCACCAGTCAGCCACGGCTACAGAGATGGGAGACACTATGAGAAGATGCTTTTGATATCCGAGTCAGGTCTGTGTAGAGCTACAGCGCGTAATAAGAGCGCGTGTTGAAGCTCTCTTCGCATGACCTTCACGCCAAAAAGTGACGTCCAAGTTCAAGCCTGGCTTCTTTTCGTGTCTTGCAAGAGACGCGGTGACTGTTATGATGTATCGATATTTGTGAATAAGGCGAAGGTAGCGTGTTTGTGCGGTAGGTCACCAGAGCTGATCGTGCAGAACAGCTTGTACTGTATCGTATATCCTCCTTGTCATCAACAGTCGCTGTCAACAAAGCGGCGGCTCTTGCTACCTTTAGCTCCCCTCAAACGCCAGCGCTGTATAGTCGTGAAACGTTAACCCAACTCCGCAGATATGCACATGTCAACCCTTCCATTGCTGTCGCCCGTGAGCCGAACTTCCAAGAACCCGTAGGTGACCGGTCTTCTAAGTCGTAATCGCTCCCGTCAAGATCAAAAAGGTATGGCGTTCCCCACTGCATTCGAGGTATCCACTGGTGCACCCAGTACTCTGCCCAATGATTAGTGTCCCTTCTCACATGCCAAACTCGTTCTTGTACTCACTTCTTCCCCGTCTCCGTTGCGCAGCATCCACAAAAGATAGCCGCAGGCCAACAGACCACCTGCTACAGATCAGTCCTCTGTTTGTATCCCGTGCTCCACCCGGTGTTGCTCTTACCGCCATGCAAACGCCTACGATGAATCCCAAGGTTGGACCAACGACTTTCAGATGGCACGGGTTCTGGTCTGTACATACAATCAGCACGTGGAATCCGCGTCCCCATGCCTAGACATACCGGTTCCACACTGGATACAAATCGGGAAGAATCCACAGTCCGCCATGGTGTCGTAAATGCTTAAGCTTTGCTATTTGCTGATCTGTTGATGCGGTTTGCGAAGATGATCGTTGAGACGATGGCTACCAGAATGGAACAGAACCTGTACAAGAGTGGAGAAGGAAAGACTTATCGTTGAGGCCGGCCAGCAGCAATCAACATCTACTGCCAACGTCCTTGCCGTTGCACTGATCGATACCGTTACAAAATCCCGGTTGAGCGTAGCTGGATCTCGGCATCGTGACGGCATCCCGGAAGCTTGGCTCCAGCATCCTGGTTTGGCAGCACAGTGCTTGTTTGAGCCAAGAGCCGAAGAGCCTCATCCTTGTTTTGGTCGGACGCTGGAAGATATCATACGGGCCTTGAAGACTCTTATCGGCGAGAGGCAAGATGATTGTCTCGACGGTTTCATGTAGCACAGCAACTTGCCTGGTTGCTCGGATATGCTCTGCTGCCAGCCGTCAAGGACAAACTCATCTCTGAAAATACTCATGGGCTGACCAGACCTGACTAATGATATAACGACGGGCTCATAAAAGGTCTATGTCAACAGAAAGCTATTTCCAAGGGCCCCGATTACTGTTGACAGCACCTGGACTTGACAGGTACACCATGAGTCTTACAGCATCTAATCAATGGAAGGACATCAGCCGCAATCTGTGCCGTCTTTGATCGCATATGCATACACCGATGACTCGTCAGCATTCTGCAGGCCTGGATACACATGATGGAGTTAAACGGCATGAGCCTTATGATACAATCATTCGCACGTAAATCTAGAGAATCAGTGCGTGTTCATTTAGCAGATCCGCGAAGGCGGAAAACCCAATGAGACGACTCCGCACGCCACAATTCCGGATGATGAGTGATCAAAACATACTTTGACCGTAGCTCTCCTGCAATGTACACGCCCTTTTACCGAGCAAGAGTCTATATGCAGAGTAATCCAACGTGGTTGTCGCATGGCCATTATGCAGCAACTCTCGTCTTTGTTCTCCCATTTCGGCCGTTCTGGGGCCATCTACTTCCATCGAGACCACTCAGCCGCCTTACGCTCAGGCCGAGATAGTAATCAGACCTGTTGATATACTCTTGGTGCAGTCCGACTCAAGGAAGTTGCTTCGATCGTACCACTGTAACTCCAGACCTGTAACTTAATCGCAAGGATGGACCACAGCAAAGTACACGATCAGCCGCACACTGACGGCACTGTGCCACATTCGACCGACAAGCCTCACCATGGCTGGACAGGACATACCGAGAATCCCGATGCATTCCGAGCAGAAGAAGAATCCATCATGGAGGCGATCGAAGTCGACAGCCCGGTAGCATCTATCCACCAAGTACATGAATCGACAGACCTTGAGAAGTCGGCAACGAAGGAAACCCAGACCACTCACGAACCCGTCACTCGAACGATGACGGCGCAGGATTGGTCCGGCCCGGACGATCCAGATAATCCTCAGAATTGGACCCTGTTCAAACGAGCCATGCATATCTTTCCCATCGCCTTCCTATCATTCGCCGTTACAGCAGGATCCTCGATGATCACACCTGCTACTCCCGAGATCGCACGACACTTTGAAGTTTCGCGGACAGCTTCGATCTTATCACTCTCGCTCTTTGTGCTTGGCTTGGGACTGGGACCTACCATCGCCGCGCCGTTGTCCGAGAAATTCGGCAGAAGTGCAGTGTACAAGTCCATCGGGCCGGTGTATATGCTCTTCATCGTTGGCAGTGGCTTCACCAAATCCTTCGGTGGTCTACTCGTCTGTCGACTGCTAGCCGGAATGGCTGGAGGGCCGGTGCTAGCGGTAGGAGCAGGCACGAACGCTGATCTATTCCCTCCTCAGACACGAGCTGTGTCGTCGACGTTTTATGTCATGGCGCCCTTCCTTGGTCCAGCATTGGGTGAGCAAGACTTACTCACTATCGGGAGCAGATGTGGCGCATACTGATATCAGCTCAACAGGTCCCGTCATCGGAGGCTTCGCGGCCCAATTCAAGGGCTACAAATGGACGCAATGGTGTACTATCTTCATCGCCATCGCCAGCTATGCCTTCATCCTACCTATGCACGAAACGTACAAGAAGATCATCCTCAAGCGAAGAGCGAAGAAATTGGGCATTGCTCCACCGCCTGCGCCCCAGCTTAGTGCTCTAGGTTACGCCAAAATGCTCTTAACAATCACCATCGCCCGACCAGTGACCATGCTGTGTACGGAACCAATCGTCTTCTTCTTGAGCCTGTATACGGCCTTTACCTTCAGCGTTCTTTTTGCCGTAAGTAAAGTTCTCTCTCTTAATCGAGATATACTATACTAACTAGACCTTTCCAGTTCTTCGCCGCCTTTCCCTACACGTTCGAATCAGTCTATCACTTCCAAACCTGGCAATACGGCCTCACCTTCCTTGGGATAGGCATCGGTGTTCTACTCGCCGCCGCCTCCGCCATTTTCATCGATCGAACCGTGTACATGAAGAAACATCATCAGGCCGTCAAGGAAGGGAGACGGCAGGCAAGGCCGGAACACAGGTTGTATGCTGCTATGATTGGCGCGTTCGGAGTACCTGTCGGGTGAGTGTGAAACCACATTTCTCACGGTCATGACGCTGCTGATGTTATTGGTGGTGCAGGCTTTTCTGGTTCGCATGGAGTGCGAGGCAAGACGTTCACTGGATTGTCCCTGTCATCGGCGGTATTCCATTCGCTTGGGGTAATCTCATGATCTTCGTCTCGGCCGCGCTATACCTTATCGACGTCTACGGGCCTATGAATGGCGCTAGCGCCATGGCAGCGAATGGATTGGCGCGGTATGGCCTGGGTGCTGGTGAGTGGATCCATACTGAGTAGAACCCTCGGGCGGGCGAATGAGAAAGCTGACGATTTTGTAACAGCTTTCCCGCTTTTTGCGTTCCAGATGTATCAACGACTTGGCATTGGCTGGGCGACCAGCCTGCTGGGTTTCATCAGCTTGGGCTTGTTACCCATACCCTTTGTTTTCTTCAAATTCGGGCCGACTATCAGGGCGAAGTCACGATATGAGACGATGAAGTTCGACTGAACCCGGTTCGGAATCACGCCCATGCTTGTGGGCGTCTCGAATTGTGGCGCCATGGTGGTCCAGGGAGGAGCTAAGGAGTATCGCCACTATATCGTGCTATCTCAAGCTGGAATAAGAGTGGAGAGAACAGCTGAGCTGGTCCCACTATCATCTGCCGTGAATGGGAATAATAGGAGATTATGCTGAGCATATTTTGAGCCAGTGCTGGGCAGATCTGACCCCTCATTTCTCGCTACGTTCTCAAGCCGCTGCCTACTCGTGGTCCGAGGCCCGGTGTGCCAGATATTACGCCGCTCTGCATTATGATGACTTTGTACCGTTTTCAGCGGTCGGGACTCAACATAGGTGATATAGGCTCAATTCTGTTCTTCATGTAGACCTGAATGACAGCCACTCGATAAAACGGGACACGCCTGTCAGATACGCACGAAGCGCGGAGGCGGCGAACGCTTTCGTCCCTAGGGACCATGATCAGCAGTCAAGCGTATGAGCACGGTAGGTGAGTAACATACCTCAACATTTCGAGCATTGTTGGTTGATCTGATAGCCTTTCACGATATGGTGCGGCGCTGAGTTCGCAGTCACGCCGGACTCGGCGATCCTGGCACCGCAGATGTGAGACTGGATGGCGAAGACGTGGTAACAGATGCTACTGTAAAATTCGTATCGACCACATGGGCATTGTCCAGGATTGTGTTGACCTCGAATGAGCACTTGCGGCATTACATTCGTAATCTGGTCGGAAGGAACAAGCAGCGGTTGCGCTTGCGCTGCTTGCGCCATGATGCGTTGAGTCGATGTTAGCAGGTATAGGACGGCGACTGTTGAGGTTACGAATCAAGTCAATATCCAAGAAGAGGTGGATATGTGGTCTTCAAAACTACAAGCTCCGTGGGGAGGACCAGGAGATATGTAACGGGTCCTTCAGCTGCACGTGCGACGAATCGAAAGTAGGTGAATGCATTCCGCGCTCTTGTTCGCAGATCGTGCTTGGGGTTTCGTGACTCGTGCCGTGACCACATCCAGAATTGAACAATAGCATACGCTTAATTCATCGATCTTGCAGTGACTGAAGTGTCGTCCCATACGGAGACACTGGTCTTGCGACTGAAGCGTCTTATGTCTGCTTTCAATAGTGTTCTGGAGTCGAATGCCAAAGTCTTGTGATGAAGCACTACATTCACTCGATGGAAGCTGGTCAGCTGCCAGCCGAGACTCTCGCTCTCTCCATGTCTAATCAAGATCGATCGAGAAGACCCATTGGAATCAAATGCATGCTTTCAGCCACGTGTCAGAGTTGATCAATGCATGAACATTGGTTGTGGGTCTGCGTGACTTCCGTATTGAGCGTAGCTCGGAACACTGAACAGTTTCTTCCCGGGATCGCACTGTCGCCTTCCTTACGCTTCTACACATACGTATACTCACGCATATGTACTTACTCAGCTAGCGCTTCATCATCAGAATTATCGATAATTCACCGCCACCCAAGTCACGGCGAATCCTACTGTTCGACGAGGATTTCCGAGCATGTGAGCCGTCACTCCAAGCAAATCTCAACGCACCCGCATACCACTAAACCTGCTGATATGCTCGAAGGCTACTTCCGTTACTTCTCGCCGAGCGGTCTCACTATACCAGGCGGCCCGAGCACATGGCACATTTGCGATTGGGAGCAGAGGTACATATTTGCTGTGACCATGGACGAAGAACACGACGATGCAGCTGTGGCGCTCACGTTCTTGAAGCAGCACATCAATGACCTGAGCCCGACCGTCTGTGCAATTCACCTGTCTGCAGAAGGCGCTATCAGCGAAGAGTTGACCGAGTTCAAGGGCACAGTCCCAGCCGGCACCTGGTATCCACGACTCCAAGATCTGCAGATAATGCCAAAGGTCAAGGCCACATCTCGGTCTGACCTACACGAATGCCAGAGACTGACGCCTAATGTGGACCTCGTCTCTTATGGAGCATCCGAGGCAGAGTGTGCTACAAAACTCGTCGTCTTCAAGTACTATTTCCTCAACCAATTCCTCTACAAGACATGGCATGAGATGAATCTGTTGGCTCGTCTGCCAGCTCATCCCAACCTCGTCTCTTTTGATAGCTTGGTGTACGACGAGCCAAGTGATCTACTTGTTGGCTTCACTACTGTCTACCTACCAGGCGGAACCATCAACAAGGATACCTCACGGGATTTCAAGCTAGCATGGCTGAAGCAGCTGACTCATGTCATCGATGACCTCAACTTCAGATTCGGGATCATGCACCAGGATGCAGCCCCTCGCAATCTTCTCGTAAACCCAGAGACGGACCAGCTTGTCCTCTTCGACTTCAACTAGTCTGGTCGCATCGGTCACACCTGGTTCTGTGCCGAGCGCGATGATGTTAAGGGCGTCATCTTTACGCTGTACGAGATCATTACTCGAGACGAGCAACACCGCATGGTCCCTCACACTGAGCAGGATCCGCATGCAGTCAAGGAGCTGGAAGAGTGGGTGCAGCATCCGGAGGTGAGACTCGATCAAGATGTTGCGGAATACCAAGCTGTACTCAATGGATGGGTGAAGCAACGACGCGAAGGAAAGCAGACCTCCATGTACACCGACGGTTTAGAGCCCATCGACTGGCCTGAGCCTAACATTGTTTGGGAAGACTGCATTTCGCTGCCATGGGTTCGTCCAGCTCCGTCATCTTCGGCGCAAGAAATTGAGCCTCGTTCTCGGGTCTTGAGGACCAGCCAGGGATCCACATCCAGTGATTCGAGCTCATAGCGACAGTCCATGTGCCCAAAAGTATGCGAAATATGTCCACTACCAAGGCCCAGCATACTGTCCACTTGGGGAGGCGTGCGCGAATCTATACGGCTGTCTGTAAGTTTGGCGCTGCGTGGGTGATCGAAGTGCGGAGCTTATAAGGTGCGAAGTTGCAGTGTCGAGGCTCAATTATGTTCGACGGATTGGCCGGCAAATGCGGACTCGAAGTGTAGAGGTCGGAGGCAGTCCTGCTGGTACCTGCCAGGTGTGTTCAACAATTTACAGGAATAGAAACAAGCTACAGGTACGCATGGTGATAGAAGCACTCTTCGCTATGTGACTTTTCTAACTCCTCGCTCAGAACACAACCCAGACCTATGAACACCCAGCAGGTGTACCCCAAGTGACAGTGAATCTCATGTTGCGACATGACAACATAATCTAATCGTAGATCTCCAGCGGCGCAAGCTGGTCGATATTGTACAGCCAGTTCCCACCTCTCTCTTCCTTCTCAAGCCTACCAGAACATTAGCAAACACATCAAAACCAGTTTGCCAGATGGGGCTATTCTGGACATACCAATCATAAGGCCAAGAGACCAACGTCCCCTGAATCATTTTCAAAATCTCCTCCGCTTGATCCTTCGTCAAAATCTCCTCCACAGCCGGCGTCCTCGAACTCTTCGTCGTAGCCCTCCGTCTCCTCTTCTGGGAAGAGCTATGCTGCAGCCCTCCACCGGGAGCAGATTGCGTAGCCGTCGTTTCAGGAGCACTGTTCACGTTCTCCGAATACTGCACCGTTCTCTTCCTCTCGAAACTGCCACTCCGCACATCCGCTGCACCATTGCTCTCGTTGGACAATGTATGTTTAGCACCGTCCTTCTCATCCAAGGGCTGCGACTCCGGCGACGGCACAGCCGTAGGTCCTGAACTAGCGCCACTTCCCGGACTTCCCGGCATCATCGTCCCATCCCTCTCCTTCTCCATCATCTCAATCCCACTAGCATCACTAGCCTTACTGCCCGGCCTCAGCTTCCCAAGCGCAGCCCCAAGCAGACTCTTACTTCTCGACCTAGCCTCCGACGAAGTCACCTCGATCAACGACGCCGCAGTCCCTACACTCACTGCATCCTGTCCCGCACCAGGGGGCCCACTCTTATCCGGTGCCTCCTTTGGCGTCTTAGTTTTACTTGCTCCAAGACCCTGACTCTGCATGAATCGCTCATTGTAATCGTTGAAGCGCTCGTAGGCTTTCCAGTCCAGGACTTCGGAGTCGGGCATACAGCGAAATACCTGCCGGTAGAGTTTTGTGTTATTTTCGGCGACAGTGTTCCAAATATCGTGGTAGAACCCCGAGACGATGGGGTCGGTCATGCAATCTTCGTTGACTTCGGGCCGGCGCATGGAGTGCACGAAGGGTGCAACGCCTTTAGTGGTTGTCGAGGATTGGGAGAGACGTTGTGCGAGGGGTGGACCGCCGATATCTGTGTCATCTAGCGCTGGTAGATCGGGGAGTTGAGACCGAGGAAGCAAGCCTGCGGCGACAGTGTCAAGTCGCTCTGTTGGCCATGGCGGCCGGATCGGCATATTCGATATAGCCTCCCGCTCTTCATCCTTCCGCGCCCTGGCCCCACGCTGCTCCGACTCTTTTGCCAGTCTACTATCCGGCGCTTCCTTCTTCAGCAGGATCTCCCTGCCTTTGGCATCGACGAACGAGTCCGTCAGCCCCTCATCACCAGCATCAACCAACGTCTTCATGTTATCAAACCCATAGCCATCTACATCCATATCTCGCTGTATCTCTTTCTTGCTCTCGCCCTTCATAGTATCACTCCGATCCGGGTGATCCATAAGAGTCGTACTATCATCCTCGAAACCCCGCTGCTGTGGAACGACCGTCACATCAGGCGCTACCTCCGGCACCACCCTATTCGTCTTCACCGTAGTCGCCGGCGAGACTGGAGCAGCCGTAAAATAATCGTTCCACTCTTCCTCCTTTCCTTTAGCAGGCCCGTACATCCTCTCCATCTCTCGATCCTGCACCTCTCGTTCCTTCTCTCGCTGCCCCTGCTCTCTCCTATAGATAGCGTCGACATCAATTCCAAGATGCTCCCTCTGTAACCTCTTTCTCAGCGTATGCGCAAATTCGCCGACTTCGTAAGGTTCGCCGCCCATGAAAGAAGGCAACATCTTCGTATCCGTAACCACAGCCGCCACCTCCGAGTCCCTAGACCCCAACATAGATCTCTCGTTGATGTTGGCAGAGCCGATAATCACAGTACGATCATCGACAACCATACATTTGGCGTGGATGTAGAGCTGCTCCGTTGTGAGACACTTACGAGGACCGATCTTACCCCATTGTCTCAAGCTGTAAAACCTGATATACTCCTCCGGATCGATCCCCCTGGCCCTCAGCCTGCCGAAGACGGAGCTATCGCCCCTGCAAATCGACCTGTATTGACACTGCATGATGAGTCGGATGCTGGTACCGTCTTGAGAGTCGACGCTGTTTTGGAAGCCAGGCATAAGCGGGATAACAAGGCAAGCCTGCCACTTCTCGCCCTCCTCATGCGCCCTGATCGCTCTCTCCACTAGCGCATTGCCGATCTGGTTATGAATAGGTGTGCCCTCCACGACGCAAGAGGAGATATAGAACTGGTTTTCAATGTACACGAAGTGCTCGGAGGTGCGAATGAGATGGCAGTAAGCGTTCATGATTGAGTGCTCCACTTTATTCGGCGTGCCGATGCTCCATGGGCTGCAGGATCGCAGGATCTGAACCTGACATGTTCCCGTCATTCCCAAACGCTCCAGCTCTTCGAACTCGAACTCAGGCGGGGGAAGCAAGATCGGGGTCGGTCTGCTGGGAACACGATTGCGCAAGATGTAGTTCCACCGTTGGACGAAATGCCTGCCCACATCGCGAGCAGGTTGACCAATAATCTGCATAGCGATATCGTGCCACGGCATGCGCGGCACCTTCGTCCGATCATACATCTCCTCGTACGGTCGATCCAGCGCATAGAAGTCCTGGACCCTGGGATTCGAATAATCTTTTCCAGGCCAGACTTGACAATGTTCGCTATCTCTTGGGAGATCGTGTGGCAGATCTGTCTCGAATCCAGTCAATTTGTCGTCCGTAAGCGAGTGACAAGGATCATCCCATCGCCCGAAGCACAGATCGACTCCGCCCACAAAGGCCATCATGTTATCCACCACGACAAGCTTCTCGTGGTGCGCCCAGAAGAATTGATTCTGCCGAAACTGATTCGGACTCCTCTGGACAACAATGTTCTCATGCAAATCCAGCAACGCCCACTTAGTATACTCACTATCAATGGGGATCGCACTCTCAATATTCCTGTACACGATAACGAAGATCTTCACCCCTTGCTCCGCCTTTCTCTTCAATAACCTATCCAGCCTCCACTTCTGGCTGATAGCGGCCGGACGGCGCATGTAAATTTCCGGACTGAGCCACCAGTCATGGATGTATACAAAATCCCGCGCGTTGTCGATGGCGCGGGAGACTTGCCACATGTGATCTCTTCCATCCACCAGCCAGCGCGCGTGGACGTTATTCCGGACGGGAGCGTAGGAGCCGAAACGTTGTTTTTGTGACCAGAGTGTGTTAGCCATCATCGTATTCAGGGATTCTTGGAACTGGAGGTATTGACGTTCACTGCGGGCAACGAGTTTGAGCTTGCGTTCGGCGTTGTAGAGGCGCAAGAGGTGGTGTTTCCCGCTTGTAGTATTGTCGACGGCAGCTTTGGCCATCTCGGAAGCAGTCTTCTGATCTATGATCGTCTTCGCCCTTTTCTCGGTGCGGAAGTCGGAGTCGACGAGGAAACAATCATAGGGTATCAGGCTCTCTGGTCCATCCACGCAGACGACATATGAATGTCGAACCAGGAACCACTTCGGTCGATGGCGTTCTGCAAACCCGCCAGTAGCGGCCATAGCGATTCCCATCCCCTTCCTCTTCAAATCACGATGTTGGCGTGAGGCGATAGTAAGAAGCCCCTGCTTCCCCTGCCAACCACCTTCGGCACTCAGCCGAACAGCCAATGCGCTCAGTTCCAAGAACTTGCACAACCTCGTACTGTCTGCGCGGAAGATCAACCATCTGATCATCTGCTGCAAGTAGGTCTCAATCCTTCGCCGCTGGTATTCGTTATACCGTTCCCTCTGCGCGGTATCATCCCTCCCGCCAGAGACAAATTCGCCCGTCGACGTCCTACGCGGCGGAGCATAACTCGATTTCCGCCTTGTATGTTTCCGCATACCAGCCGTGGGCCGCTGAGAAGCTCCTGGTGTGGGAGGGACCGCAGTCTCATTCCCACTACCGCTCACCTCGCGCTGTCCGCCGTCCAACTGCTCCGGCGCCATCTCCTCATCTTCCTCATCTTGCAGCTTATCCCACAACCCACGCGCACCTCTCAAATAGGGGAATGCCGATTTCGGGAACTTCGGTATCTTAGCTTTACTCTTGCTATCGCCACCGCGTCCCTTGAAAGTCTGATCAATTTTACTAGAACTCCTGTACTTGAAATGCAAATTGAAAAAGTCTTGCAACGATCTTCGCACCGTCCACTGCATCCGTGCCGGACCATTACCGTATTCCAAATCAACCTGAAAAATGAGGTGGCGATCGCCTTTGTTGTCCTTGCGCATTTCTGAATGAGGAATTTTGATTTTGAGCTGTTCCAACAAGACCGGGACCTTCTTGTGCCCGTGCTCGTCGCGCTGGTACATGGATGCGAAGACAAGCGCTGCTGGTGCGCCGGCAAGGAGCTCCGCCATTAGTTGTGCGGATTTTTGGTGATCGACTCGCATTCTCTCTTCTTTTTTCCGCTGTCCGAGCATCTTCAGACCTGCTTTTACCTGTCGCCATTTCTGCGCACTGCTGCTCGCTTGGCGGTCCGCTCGCATTCGAAAGGGTGAACCATTTCCATCGAGACCCGTGATTCGGCGCATTGCGCTAGGTCGTGGTCCGGGTGTCTCGGCTGTGACTTCTGCGTGCTTCCGAGCGGAGTACGAAATACCACGTGCACCTTCGATACCTCGTCTCCATGCATTGCGGATGCGATCTTTGCCTTCGTCCTCGGACACACCTCCACCAGCCGCTCTCTCCTGACCCGAGTCGGACACATCGGAGAGTGTGTTGTGGCGTACAGCATTCGGACGACTACTCGATCCGTGTAGATGAGGGTCGCGTATGAAGGAGGCGAAGCGTGATTGTCGTGGTGTAGCCGGAGAAGAATCGTTGCCGTTCAGATGTGGTCGCTTGGACTTCCGTCGCTTCTTAGGCCGGAGATCGTCCACTTCTTCGCGCTCAGATTCTTCCTCCTCAATGTCTGCATCTGCCGCTTCGCTTGGCTCGACCGGATAGGAGGGCTCGCTGCGCTCCGACTGTGGTGACAATGCGCCCATGGGTGTGGCGAACCCCGTACTGCCGCTCTGACCGCGCGTGTGGAAGGACGATCCTGATGGCGATGCCAGTGCCTTGAGCTTGCCGAAGAACGAAGCCTGTCGTTCGCGTTCCTTGGCATTGGGCGCGCGATCTGCGTCCGGCTCCGTCTCCCACGTTTGCGTCTTCTGTAATGGCGAAGGCGCCACCTCATCCTCCGCCGTGCCTCTAGCAAACTGTACGCTTCGACGATGCGAGGGCGTGGTCATGCCCGTCCCATTTGGCCTTTCTCGCGCCACTGGCGGAGAGTCTGGCGTCCCGTTGCTCCTAATCAGGTGATTCGTAGGCGCCACGCCCGAAGCACCAGGTTGTGACTGAAACGGGAAGCTACCATCCGCTGCCTCCTGCCCTAAAGCCTCGTTCTCCGGCAGATCCGGCAACTCCTTCGCCGGGTCCAGACTCGCCAATCTCTGCTGTGTCCGTAGCGGGCTTGAGACGTAGCCATTCGTCTTCCTCAGCATCTCTTCTTCCTCGCGAACATCCAACTTTGTGCCCGGGGAGACATCTCGGACCGTGGTCGCGAAAGGAGGCGAGCCATTGTCGTGTTGGGAAGTGACGGCCGGTGGTTTTGCAATAGCGGCAGTGGCCATAGTATACTTCAGTAGCAGGAAGGTGCGAGTCAATCTTCCCTCCCTTTGCTCCTGCCTCTTCTGCTGCTGCTGCTCGTGGTTGATTCTGGGCACTGGCTTCCATGGCAGTTCTTAAAAGCCAGGTTGCTGGGCAATATTCAGTCCGATAGTATTGAACATTCCGTGGACTGTTTCCGTATGTAACTCGGGTTCATTCGGTAATAGAACTGCAAGATGTTCGCATTAAACAGGATGTCCGGCTGCTCATAATCTCGCATGTGAACTTCCGCGGTACGCCATTATTATGCACGGCAGATCACGCTAACCCAGACTCGCTTAACAGCCTAAACCCCTGCCGAGCCTATCGATCAGTCCGTGCGCTGGGGGAGTGGTCCACAATGCTTCGACTTCTTCTTCTCCATCTTCCAGGTCATCAGTCGACCTTCCATCTCAGATCAGTACCATGAGTTGAAGAAGACCTACTGACACAGCTGTAGGGAGCGCGTGTGTGGTCGATAACATGCATCATCACGATTCGTCCGAGTGTCCACTAGACCAATCTGATAGTACTAAACATGACCTCTCGCGCAAGCTGAGCCAAGAACATAGAGCTATGCTTCCATCTTGGATGACTTCAGAAGATCGATATTGGTCATTCTAAGGAATTCGCAGTCTCTCACCTCACGGAACACCCGTTGAACAAAGCCATGCATTCCTTTTATCCAAGCTAGAGATATTGGCCAGGCTCGCCGACATGTCTTTATCAATCCAAGTCCGGCTTGCCACCTGATCAGTGAAGGGTAAGTATACAGCATTGAACAAAGACCCTCGTCCACCAGGATACAGGCCGCTTGTTCTTTGTGAAAGCCATGTCTGCTTCCAGTATAACCACGCAGCAACCTTGCAGGATAACATTCTCAACCTCATCCACCCGCCTGGAGACCTTGATATACCCGACCAGCTATACAGTAACCCACTCACTGAGGAAGAAATAAGTCAGACACAGCAAATATGGTTTCTCCAATCATCATCAACCAGCAGGCTGCGCCCCTGATGAACAACACACAATACAAATGCAAGACCTGCGATCTTCCCTATGCCGAATGCTGCTGCGGGACTCGTCAGAACACCATTGTTCGACGTGGAGGTGGCGAGAGCACCAAATGCAAGACATGCGATTTGCCGTACGCTGAGTGCTGCTGTGGTACTCGTAGGTAGAGTCGGCCAGCTGCGAAGTGTACAGACAGTGCCCACGCCTACAACAATCTGATAGTTTGCATATATCCAGAATAAAAGCTGCTATTATCTTTGATTGTCTTGTAGCAAATTATGCCATTAATACACCCCCGATGAAATGATCTTGATGAGCATTGCCGATGTTCTGTGAAATCGTACCATGGAGTGATGTTATCTGATGCATGTACGACCGGATATGATACATGCATCTAGAACTCCTCAACTTTCGCAAGCACGCTTGTGCTCGTGCTGCAATGCAACCTCAAGAGCGCCACGCCAAGAGGAGCCAAGGACAGCAACGCCACGTTCCAAGTTATTCAGCGAGACCGGTGAGCAAAGGGAATCATATAAGCAGTAGCTCGACGAGATGCTTCCGTCCACTTGTCGCACATCACGTCGAACGACACCACGAGCTTGACCATGGCTGGTACTCCGGACGGCGAGAAGCCGACTTACCAATACCAGCCCATCGTCCCCTCTGAAAGTCTACGCGATCACAGTCTAAGGGTCATCGTACTTCTCCCAGCTGACGGTAGAGATGCACCTTTGCGATGCGAGCTGGAGCATATAACCATCGGATCCATACTAGAGGACTACGGCGAGAAAGCCTACAATGCCATCTCATACACCTGGGGCGACGAGAAGTTCTCGGAGAAGCTATACACCATTCAATCCGGGGAAGAAGACACCTACCTACTGATATCTCCAAGCGTATCCCGAATCTTACGAGGTCTTCGTGGCCAGGACGCTAGGGTGAGATTGTGGGTCGATGCTATCTGCGTCAACCAAGCCAATCTGGCGGAGAAGAATGATCAGGTCCCACGTATGGACAGCATCTACCGCCTCGCTTCACAGACTCTGGTCTGGCTTGGCGAAGGCGACCACACCATCTCTCTCGCATTGTCACTGGTGCTTAAAATAGTAGAGTTGCAGCTCCAACAACCCGAACAATCGTCTTTGGGCATGGGAATGGCTTTGCAACAAGTCCTCCGTGTACGATCCGATGTCTTCGAGAAATTGCTCCAGCTACCCTGGTTCCACCGCCGCTGGATCTTACAAGAGATCTCCTTGGCCCAAGAATGCCACATGTTGTATGGCGAGACGGCTTACTCCTGGACCGTTGTCAGGAAAGGCTTCGAGCTACTACAGCAAGCACAGGGTGACTGGCTGGGCATGCAGACCAGACTATTCGACAACAAGGCCGAGACGGCCATCCGGACGATGCTTAGTCTGAATCGCTATAGCGGTCATATTCTAGATCTGCTCTGGGACTTTCATCATGCGGCTTGTAAGGAGAAGCATGACAAGATATATGCACTATTGGGTCTCCTGAAAGATGCAGCTCCTGGAGACTCCGAAGTAGGTGCGTCCGTAACGGTGGATATTGACTCTGACGAGGCACTCGCAAGCTTCGCTGCTCTGGCTCTGGAACAGAAAACGCAGCCCGAGCCATTCGCAGTTGTGGTAGACTATCAGAGGTCTTGGCAGGAGATCTTCACGGAAATCGCAGCCTACTTCGTTGCTACTGGATCCTTCGCTGCTATTACGAGACATCTGTATGCCTTTGGCTCTCTGGCGGAAGGCAACCCAGGTCAGCCTTCGTGGGTGCCAGACTGGTCGCGCGAGCGCAGAGTCGAACCCAAAGGTGGGCTCAGCAAGACTGTCCCGTGGGTTAAGGCAGTGGAGGTGGAGCATACTATCGTCCATCTTATCGGCCACAAGCTCGGCGAGGTCGAGCATGTCTGGCAGGACTTTCCTGCGGAGGCGTCCGAGTTCAGAGCTTGCATTGCTTCGATCGCTGCTGGTGGTGTCGAAGAGAACGGAGTTGAGATTAGCGATACTCCCGCCAGAAAAGTCGCGACTGGTAAGCTGATCAGAACTGGTCTAGACACTGCAGTCCTTGAACCGATCAATGATACCACCAGCAACATCACCGAGGCTTACATCGTGAACGACCTGGCTGCTACAGGTATCTCGAAAGTGCTCTTCGACGGAGAACAGAATCGGAGCCATGACGGACTGCTCACTGGCATACAACGCTGTCTCAAGTCCGCAGCCTTTTTCTCCACCAGCGAGAGTGAGGTTGGCGTAACAGGCACAAAGATACAGCAAGGCGATGTCATTGTTGACATTGAAGGCTACCATGCACTGCCTGATGGCGCTTTCAAGCAACAAGTGGGCGGCGGTACTCACAAGTCGCGGCAAGCAGCTATCCTACGACGAATCAAGGTGACATCCAAGGAGTGTGGCAAGCCAGACTGCCAGTGTAGAAGCACAGCTGAATCATATCAGCTAATAGGGCCGTGTGTTGTTGTTGGCGACAACGCTCGATCAAGCGAGCCCGGGCGGGAATACAGCATACTGTAAGCCTAAATATATGTCAGGTACTTTCCTTGGCTTGGCACAATGCAAGCGTAGCTCAGAATATCGATACATGACAGCTCTTGTAATATGCGAGCAATGGGTTCACATTCCTCCAAGCTGTCCGCCATACGTGGGTCTGTAAAGTATTTCAACAAAGAAGCCATACCTTCCGCTTTCAGCGATGTGCCAAACCCAACGACTACAATGCTTATGGGCTTCGAACAAAGAGTGTCACTAGCCGTTGCAGGAGTTTTCGTGTTTTCGTCGCCGTTATACTGAAATTGGGTAGGAAGCACATTAATAATTTCATCGCCCGAGCAGCAGAATAGCGACGCCACATACGACGATGGCTCCACAACGTGCCGATCAAACCCAGCGCCGTACAGCGCCCAAGATGGAATCAGAAATGACGCCCGCAGAGCTTGAGGAGAAAACTGCAAGGGCTGCGCGTCTGAAAGCTAGAGTAGCGGGATCAATTGCCGAGTACGCTACATCTGCTGGCCACGATAACGAAGCTATCAGGGCGGCTAAGGATCAGGATGCCGGAGCACTCAAGCGAAAAACGCCACTCGTTGATGATGAGGACGAGGATGAGAAGTCGAACAAGCCTGCTGGAAAGAAAACTGCTAAACGTGATGACGATGACGAGGAGGTGGTAGAGAAGCCTGCCGAAAAGCAAAAGAGCTCTGCCAGTATCGCTGAGGATGACCAGGATGAGGTAGCCGGTGACGCCGAGACCGCACACATGCGAGTTACAAAGAAGACCACCGCTACCAAGTCGAAGGCGAACGCTACGAGCACTGGGCCAAAAAAGGCGACGACCAGATCCAAGACCGAGCCAAAGCTTAGGAAGGAAGTTGAGCCCAGAGACAAGATAGAAAAGATTGCTTCCAACACGAAGAAGAAGGCGGCGCCCAGGAAGACCAAAAATGCCGCTGCAAAAGTCATCGATGACGAGGACGAAGACGGGGAGCACGAGACACCAGTCCCGACACCAATCCCGCAAGTCATCACAGTCCAGCATGGCAAGAACGCAGCAAAGTATCTCGGCATGATCCAGAAGCTCGAAGATAAGATCCTGAACGAGGGTGCAGAGCCCGATGCGGACGAAGATATCTTCCAGGCAGTGCTCATGAGATTTGATGAGGCTAGAGTCCATCTAGTGAAGGTAGAGAGGGAGGGTAGCAGGCTCAAGGAGGAGAGTAAGAAAACTGAGATCGGGAAGCCGGCGGGGGAGAACCAATCTGCTGAGGCGAAGGCAGCTGAGGAGGTGCCGAGTGCGGCGGAAGAAGAGCGTACATCGGGAGTGGTCCTGGAACCAATCGCCGCCAATGCAGAGACTGGAAAGCCAGCTTTCGCTCCCGTCGAGAACGAAGCTGTAAGTCAGGAGTCGACAAGGTCGGCGACAACTGCACAGCTGACCAACGGCACAGCCGCAGCCGAGCTAGAAGCGCCTCAGCAGCAGGATACGACCCCCGAGACAGCTCAACCAAGATCTTGTGCTTCTGCCGTGGTCGTCTCCGAGGAACACAAGCGGCCAGCGATGCAGGTCGCAGATGAGAGCCTGCTCAGCCCTACTATACCGAAGGATATGAGCAGCGCATCGCAGGAAGAGCGCTTCGCAGACGACAATCGCTACCGCTTCATTCGCGAAATCGAGCAGACAGTACCCGCTTTTACATCTGCACCTGTTCTGGCTGCTCCACCCCTTCCGACTTTCGCATCCGTTCCCACACACGCGCCAGCTCTTGGCCAGCAAGTCGGCTACACTGCTCCAACTAAAAGTATTGGTGACGTATTGTCGGAGCTGAGACAGCATGCCGTTGACCTCGGAACCGTCCGTGTCGATACTGCTCAGGTTGACGCAGCTGAGGCAACCACAAGTGGTGAGAACCAGACTGGACAAGACTCCAGCGATATTGCTGACCTAGCCGCGCCGGCTAAGAGTCTCCTCCGTGCTACTGAAGAACCAGGTCTGGGCGCGACGGTGACTAATGACGTTGTCGACGGCGAGGATGGCTAGCGTCTGTTTGATTTGTTCACGGGTGGGTGAAAGTTGAGCTCCTTGGGGAGGATAGCTTCATCGAATAGAATCAATGTTTGTGTAGCTCACACTTCGCCCAAATCCGGGTCTACGATGAGTGTGCTGTCTCCGCTGTGTCATTATCATTGTTCCATATTCCTGAGGCCTTTCGCTTGACACACAGATCACTCCTTATGACCCATTTCACTCCTGCCGTGACTTTCCGGCCTTCGTGAAGCATGCAATCTCTCCCATGTCTATGCAATAACGCCATACCCACGTCGAGCTCGGTAATCACTGGCTGAGGAGTAGGATCACGCTTGCTAGTCGGCTCAGGATAGAAGACGGTCTCGCCACCCTGGCAGCCGGTGGCGGGCGAAGTGAGGTAAAGGAGGAGTGTCCACGTCGTCTTTGCTGGTACAGACTGAGATCCTGGTGCAGTGAAGACAACGTTGTTCGCATCATCATAGTGTTGGTCGAAGAATTGGCCTGGGTTGTAGCGGTAGATGCGTATGTTGTCGTTGAGACCTAGTACTTCGCCACCCCACAGCGCGGTCTTCTCGCTTTCGTCAAAGAGTCTCCCATCTATGCTAGGCGAATTTACCAAGTCTCTGAGAGCTGTAGCAGACCACAGCTGTTCTGCGAAGCCTGCATCTTGGGTTTGATAGCGGTCGTTCACGCGCACCGCCTCGCCTTTCTTGGGGTTCCCTGGTGTAGTAACCAGAGGCAATGTTGAGAGGAACGACACATATGTCTTGCAGAGGCTTGGCGTCCATAAACCCGTAATCGTGAGTATCTGATTGGAGAGTACACTGGTCAACGTTAGATCCGCTGCTGTCGGCAAATGTGTCAAGGGCGGCCATCTTGGTACAGCCGTCTCCACTCTCGAGATCAGGCCTGTCTCATCCTTTCGTGTCGCTCCAGCACTCCTTTTGGCTTGCTTAGACTTGGGAGGCATCTCGTTGGTCCTGGTAAGGCAATCCCGCAAGCTGACTACTGATGGGCTCCTGGTTCGTCCGGTCCTCAGAGCATGCCGGCTGCTCCCTCGCCCGGCCGCACAGCTTCTGCTTCAAATTCGGAATTTCTGCTGCTCGTCGCTACGTGTGTGACTTCATCAGACAACGTGCGCGGACGACCACTTCTTGGCACCAGCTCAAGATGGCTGCTCGGTTGATGGGACCACAACCCGATGAGAGCAGATACTCCAGTGCAGGCGGCCACAATGCATTCACACGTCGCGATAGTATTTCAGCGCTGGCGACCAGTGAACATGGTATGTACGAGAAGTCCTCCCGCAGACGTCTTGCATTCGTCTCGCCTCGTGACGCATAAATGCCTCAGGCATTCACAGCAGTCACGATCCAGAAGATCTGCAGGCGGCTTTTAAACCAAGCGGCAAATCGGCTCCGCTCGCGCCTTCCTCACCGACTCTCGTCCCGAGCTAACTTTTTTAGGGTTTACAGGACCAAACGATCTCGCGAGCAGCAAGAACGACTCCTCCCTCGCGCCAACCAGCCCACCAGCAACTGTATCCCTTCGAGAAATCCTCCTCAACGGTCAATCATCATACTGGAACGACTTCGATCGAGATTTCGACTGGAACCTCTTTCCTTCGCCATCGATAGCCTCCAGCCATACATTCCGCGAGTCCAGCAATGAAGCCCATCCGCCAGCGTCACTTCAAGGACAACAAGCGATGGAAAGTACTCAAACAGCGGCATTGCCCGCCCAGGGCTTCGGACCCTCCCCACTACCTCACAACCTCGACAGCTACGGGCTGACTGCCATGGAAGAGTACGATATACGACAACGCATGAATTTGTACAGCCTGCAGGCACCAGGTGAAGTGCCTCCACTCGAGACTTTAGTGCCTGGCTTGTCGATGCCGCCCAACGATGCTCCTGCATTCGTCTCCGCTGGCGAACGCGAGTATGAACGAGTACTGCAAGCAGGTGCTGCTGAGGCGCGCAACGCCTTCGACGAGGACGATGAGCTGGCCGAAGCCTCGGGAGATGACGAGAACGTACCTCAGGCATCACCTGCAAGCACTCGGCGAAGAGAAGGTGCCGAGCATCTTGCGGGTATGATGCGCGACTACATTATCCAAGGCTTGCAAGGTCCGGCACCAGGCACCGAGCCTGAGGCAGACGACTTACCAGATAACGTTTCAGACGATGACCAAGCCGAGGGCGGTGCTGCTCTCGAGGATCGACCTTGGACTTTCGCGGACGGTGAACAGGATGATATAGAAGCTATGGGAAAGCTGCAGTTTCCTGACGGTGAGTACTATATCAACACCCCTCGCATCAGGATTGGACGGAGCCACGATGCGTTCAAAGAGTACTGCCGGCGTAAGAGGAGAGTCGAGAATCTTGAGGCGCGGGCTGCGACTGCAATGGAACAATATAAGCAGGAGCCTAGTCAGCCGTCTCACAGCGGCGATGCGGATGGTCAACAGGAGCCTTCTTCGAATTCTGCTCAGTCTCTGGAAGGTCGCCCAGCCAGAGCGCTGCCTAGTAATTACAGCGAACACGGTGGCATTGTTGCTTACCCTGAGGAGCCCGTAGAGCCTGCCCGCGCTGCACGATCTGAGAGGCGTAAGCGGCATAGACTGTTGCGAGAACAGTCGGAGTCTAGCAATTCCATCGTGCCTGCCAACCTTGACGCTTCCATCTCAGGTGATCTGCATCGAAACGGTGGTGGAGAGATCGACGACTGGGACACCCTCGGCCCGTTCGTTCCAATTCATCCTCCGGAACCGGACGACATCGCTAAAATCAGCAAGGAGCACGCCGTGATCGAATATGACTGCGATGATGAGGTCTGGAAGCTTTATGTGCATGGCCTCACGGTACATATAAACAACCTAGTTCACAGCCGCGGCGAAGTAGTGGTGCTCAATCATCTAGACAGGATCAATATTGTGAAGCTTGATATTGTCTTCATGCTGCCGATGGACGATCCTGACCCCAGCTCACCAGGTCCAGCGTCAGGTGTCTTCGCTGACGGCCCCGAGACATCTGAGATAGGGACAAGTCCGGTTCGCCACCTCAGCAATGCCTTCGATCACGGTGGCGATGAGGAGGACGAGCAGGCTCCTACTAGCACGAAGAAGAGACCTACGATAAAGCTGACAGGACTTAAGAAGGCAAAAAAGGCTGGTGCGAAAGACAAGGCACCAGAAGATAATGCGGCAAAAGACCCGCGATCTCCTGAGACTAGCAAGAAGCCTGACAAAGGCAAAAAGCGCAAGGACTCTGATAACAAGGCAGCTCCAATCGAACCTCTGATCGATCCGGAATTAAAGGAAGAGCAGGACAAGGACGACAAGCCCTCCAAGCAGCCACGGCCATCTCCACCACCGATCGATCTGAAAGGCACTGGTCTTGAAGATCTAGCACCCGAGGAGCTACCGCAAAGGCGCTCTGGGCCTGGTCGTCCTCCTGCGAACGGGCGAGTATCCAAGCGAGACGTGGCGAGCATCGCTCGGAAAAGGAAAGACCTCGAAAAGGCTGGCCTACCTGTACCTCCTTATAATGTTCTGCTTGACACAGTACGGATTGAGACGAAGATGCGGGACGCTCAGAACAAGGCCCAGGCAAAGGGACAACCGATGCCTGCTGACATCGCTATGCAAAGTATTGAGAGCGAGACCAACACCATGCCAATGAGCAGACCAATTCCTACACCCGCCATAACTGGCGAAGCAAGCACGAGCGCTGTGCCTGTCGATCTGACCAAGGAGGCACCCCCGAAGCCAAGTAGGACTGCACGGTCGCTTTCGCCACTACCGCCACTCGAACAATTCACTCCCGAGCAGCTTCAGAAGCCTGGTATCACTTGTCAAGTCCAGCTGAACACATGCCTGCTCGCCATCGGGCCTTCCGAACTCCCACAGATCTATCACGAAATGCAAAAGCGCTTTCCTTACTACCGAACCACCGGCACGAATGGCTGGCAAAGTAGTGTCCGGCATAACCTGCAGCAATTTGAACGATTTCGAGCTGAGGGCAAGAATGGTAAAGGCAAGATCTGGAGTATCGATGAGAGTGTGCCGATTGACAAGGAGAGGGGGAAGAAGCGACGGAGTCCGCAGCCGCCTAAGACGCAACAGATGCATCAGCAGCATATGCAAAATGGACAGTGGGTGCCTGGCCAGCCTGCATATCCTCATCAGGGTCAGCCTGCGTACCCCGGTGGACCTTATCCTTCGCCCTACAATCAAGGACAGGCCCCACCTGGTTATGGTACACCTGGCATGCAATACCAACATCCTCAGAACGGCACACAACAACAGCCACATATTCATCAGCCTTCTGGGCGAGCACAAGAACAGCAACCAGGTCCAAGTGGAAGCTTCTCCGATATAGTTGCTGAGGTGATGTTCTTCCGCAACGAGTACATTTCTTCTTTTCAACCGGGCACTGACGTGCATAAGAGGGCCGAAGAGGTCTTCACGAGAATGTGTGATATCGAAAGTAATCGATTTCACGGAAGTAATGAGGAGAGGGAGCCGAAGGATGAGGCGGAGAGGTATGTGCAGGGGAGGTTGAAGAGGATTTTCGAGAGAGCCGATGAGAAAGCAAAGACTGCTACGCCTGCTGCCGGGAGTCAGGCTCCTACACCGGCGCCTACGACTGCGCCGATGCAGGCTGATGCGGTGCAGCCGCACCAGCAGCAGCAGCCTCCTCAGACACCTCAACAACAATCCGCTAATGCACCGCCAGAGCACGCAAACGGTGGTAATGCCACAGCTCCTGCACCGGTTGCCACACGCCCTGCACCCAGCATTCCGCCGAGCAACGGCGCAATTCCACAAGGCGTCTCCCAAGCCCAAGTACCGTTGCAGAATGCGCCTACGCCCGCTTCAGCCTCTGGTGTCTCTCTAGGCAACGGCTCGACGGCATACCCAGCTTCGGCGCACCTACCTCGTCCAGCATACCCCATACCACCGCAGCAACCACCAGCATGGCCTCCTGCGCCGAACGCGCCGCCGACAAATGCTCCACCCCCGGCCCCTGCCGCTCAATCATCGCAATATCCTCCATATCCGCCTTACCAGCACCCGATTCCCAGTGCTCCTGCCAGCTACGGTCGACCCGCCGCCCCAGGGATTACACAGCCTCAAGCACAATCACACGGGACCGCCATGGCTACGCCAACATCGACTGCATTGAATCCAAGCACGTCCATTCCTTGTCCGACATCTACTACGCCCCTTTCGAATGGATATCCTGCGTCAATTCCTGCTACTAATGTGTCCACTGGAAATGTGCCTCCTGCAACACTTGCTGCCGCTCCTCCTATGAGTCAATCGTTTTCGCATCCTGCTCAATCCCACACGCCGGCCGCGAGTGCTAACGGTGGGGCGCCTGCTCCGGCTGACGCGGAGATGGCTCAAGTGGCCGCGTCAGCCAATCCTGCGGTCCCATCAGAAAGCTCAGCACCAGCTACAGGTGATGCGGCAACCCCTTCGCCAGTTCAAACCAAAACCTCTGGTGTGAAGAGAGCCGCAGAGGATGTAATACATGGGCAAGAACCCGAGACGAAACGGGCGAAAGAGCAGTCGAACGTGGCAGCGGGAGGCTCTGCATGATTGTCAAGGTAGTTCACGGCTTCACTCGACCACCGTGAATGAGTGCCTGGTATGGGTTCGATTTCCCATTTCTTTTGAGCGTTCACAAGCGAGCAAGGTGTTGGTCGGTGACGGGGTTGGGCTTGATGGTTTTGGGACAATTATTGGCTTGTATTGAGGAGTTCACAAGGCGTTACAGGTACATGACACAATGCGCGATGAAAGGTGGAATGTCCACGCAGGACGTGCAGGCGCTCTCTACGTAGATGACTAGACGCCGTCTGTAACAACGATCGTCACGTTCTACTTTCAGGCTTAAGGGCGATTCCACAGTACTGTCATCAAGATGATCTCAGAGGCTCCCAACGAGTTTCAATTGAGTACCATCTCTATGTACGGACAACAACACACTGACCCTAACGAAGCACAATGTCATCGACGCACATCATCGACAGACAGGCCCATCATACTCAAGCAGGCATCTCCTTCTTCCCAGCATCCTTGGGCACAGGCGCGGAAGCATCGCCGACGTTGGGGAGCACAATGGCCTCATCCTCGACCTCATCATGAGCTCTGATAGCATCTTCAGCTTCTTTCGCAGCATCAACATTCAATCCAGCTTGCAACCTGCGGGTGGTGAACCTGATCTTCTCGGCCAGCTTCTGAAGCTTATGCCTCTCCACGATCTTCTTCTCCGGCAGTCCCAAACCCTTTAGAACAGCGATGCCAGCAGCAACGCCTGTGTTGACGCCGGCGAGAATGGAGATGGTCATCAAAGTCAGTCCCGTCTGAGCACCGATGGCAATGCCAAGGCACAGAACGATTTGCATGGCGACTAGCAAAGCGAACATGAAACCAGTCAGCCAGGTCATGAGTTTTGCTTTGCGCTCGGCGACGATGATGTCGTGGTAGAGACTGTCGTCCTGTGCGGAGATGGGATTGTGAATGTCGCCGACCAAGACTTGGTACATCTGGAGTGGGTCTTTCATGGCATGGCTTGTAGTTGGAGTTGGGGATGTCTCGGTTGTGGTTGAGAGTGGTTGTTTCTCGAGGTCGATGTCGTGGGATGCCATATCGAGGAGTTCGTACATTAAAAAATTTGAGTCCGGTGGTTGGAGATGAAGGGACAAATACAGGATCACTGGGTGAACGTGGATGTGGGAGCTTATATCTCTACTCCAGACCGCTTCTCATGGCATGAGATCTCCTGAGGTCTGCACACCATCGCTGTCGGACACCATGAGTATATGCAAAGGCCTGCGAACGACAACCGTCGTTGCTATCAACGACAGCGCTCGTCAGACAGCATGTCCTTGGTGACAGGCCACGAAGCGAAAAGTGGCGTCCGTGCATGAGCGTGGCTGGCTCAAAGTCCCGCAACACCATCGCAAGCCGGCCACTGAGAACACATATCGCTGCCGACGGCTCAGGATATGCAAGGCGATCATGCAAGTGCTTCCGAACAATCTAGTGGGCTAGACAACCGATTGTCAGTATCAGAGACACTTCTCGGACGAGGTCAACTCTGGGTCGTTTCAGTGACGCGGCAGTCGAATTACCGTGGTAACGTCGTAGTTCGATTCACACATACCGTAGCAACTTGGATGGCATACTCTCACGCTTCTCGTCGAGATCAGGCATACAGCGCTATCGAGGTGTCACCGCACTGTTTGAAGCATGAAGTCGGTCTCAGCGGGTGTGGCTCACGCCACCAAACATGCGGAAGCGTTAGGACGTGCAGATGGTGGTCTGATGCCACGGTACACGACTGCGAGCCTTGGGATGATCTCCCCGCATTGCGCAAGCCACGGGTCATAAGTAAAGATCATCCGACAGAAACGCTCTTTCTTGCTGGAGGCTAGATCATGACCATGGGCCAAACAGCAAGGACGCGCCAGGCGCAGACCGAAGAACTCGATATGGTCTTCGCATTCGACCGAATGTAGTCGGGAGCTGCGGATCAGCCTTGCCTGCATGTGACACTTCGGTGGCAGGGTGGTCGTGGTCTCTTGTTGGGTATCCTGCGTCGATGGTGCGTTATGGCGGCGTCTCAGCAGGTCGCTGAGATCTGTACAGTCCATCTCTTGATGTTTCCCTTCCCCGCCCGTGCGGCCAAGTGCGTGGTACCGTGAGCATATGCCACGACTGCCGCAGTCTTGCGATAGGCCCGCTGCATGGCGGCCAGTCTGGTTTTCAGGGCATTCAATATGCGGTGGCAAAATCTGTGACGATATCCGAAACTGTGAGCTTTGATGTCCGGGTAGTAGAGGTGAGTATTGCCTATATTTGAGTGTGCTTGAGTGAAGCGTCACTAGCCGAAGATGGCAATGGCCTATCTTATCCAGGAATCCAGAGCGATCTTTCTCGTAGCTATCGGTCGCGGGTTGTACAAGACCTGAAAGGATCATCCACCCGGTCATTGACAAGAACACACCCGAGAGCTTCGAGGCGCTGATGATGATATTGTTACATTCAGGCGGAGCATCATGCCCATCCGGGTCGACGTTCTCGACAGTACCTCGAGCCAAATGCGCCGGTGCGACGCATGAGTGAGTGGCTATGTCGTTGTCGCAACTACGCTTGATGATTCGGTGCTTTCAAAGGCTAGCTCACAGTCAGCAAGTAGCCTCTCCACGGCCAGCATCCCGAAGCGTAAGATCTTTGATGGCAATTCAACGCATCGAGTTCATTCCGGCAATTCTGATTCATCCAGTGACGGATCGGTATTGACCAGTCAATTTGGCGTGGCCTGTAGGACATTGCTCCGACTGGAAGCCATCATTCGGCTGAATGTCATGATAGCAGCGAGTCTGGAGGCAACCCAGCACATATTCGGAGTACAATCATATGTATCTCGGGATTACAAAAGTTCGCAGAGCTCATTATCACGGCGATTGAGCAAAAGGACAGCTTTCGCTTTGAAGTCTTGCCATCCCAGTAGCGAAGGCATAGGCCAGCAGATGTCAAGGGAAAGGTGGGTGATATACGGGTCCATCATTAGCATTCTCGGGTGTATGTTTAGACGTAAGACGCGGTCCTTCGGCCTCCAGGCCGCAGAATCCAAAGAGGCTTGATCGTTCTAGGTGAAAGTAGGTTCCGATCGTGCAGAGGATGGGCCAGTAACGAGTCTGGTGTGCGGCCCAAGCGACGTGGCACATAGCCGCAGTGGAAGTCACATCCTGAGCCAGCTTCTTATTACGAAGACTCTGAGCCGAAGCTTTAAAATAACGCTGTTCTCTATGCGTTACCGGACTCTTGCTCTGCGGCTCTACAGGCAGCAGCCCTCGGCGACTTCTTGCTTCGTCGAATGCTGACCGAAATAGCTTATTTTTCACAAGGCGAGGTGTCAGCCGGCGCAGCGCAGTTGTCGGCCCCTGGCTGGTGCGCAGGAAACACAACACCGAAATTGCAAGGGCTTGAGCCCCTGGATCCGATCACCACCAATATGGAACATGACAGTCAGCGTTGAGCCGCAGGGTTGAAGTGAGACGAATCCAATGATATAGAGGTACCTGTAGCCGCATGGGTGAAGGGTGAACCCACTTACAAAACTTATTGCTATCTGCTTCAACGATATCCACAACTCTGCTGTGATCCCCCTGTCGTTACCGGACCTGAGACCAGAGGTCAACTACCTTCAGACTACACATATCGTGAAACGAAGATGCGCTCTTACGTGCTACTGATCGCCGCCACGGCCATCGCGGTCTCTGCCCAAACAGCTTCACAGAACGCTACCGTAGCAGCTTTAGCCGCACAAATACCTGCCTGTACAGTACGTATTGCGGATGCGCCTTCCAAGACAAGGCTGACAAGTCTTCCAGACACAATGCGATGATGCGGCTTTCGCACAGGTCGGCTGCGGCGCAACTGACTACGCCTGCCATTGTGCCCATGGCGCCCAGCTCCAGGCCATCCTTCCTGGATGCTTGAAGAACTCCACTTGCAGCGCTGATGACCTAGCACGTAAGTTCAGTGGACTGCAAACCGCGAGGCATCATCGAAACTCGAAGTACTAATATCAATGCTCATGACAGTCTTCGCAACCATCCCACCGAAGATCTGCGCCGCTCTCAACTCTACTACGTCTTCTACCACGGCCGCGGGTGGCAACAGCACAGGGAGCGGTATCGCCGCATCTTCCGGTCTCCCAGTCAACAGTGCTAATAGGACCACAATCATGACCAGTACCATGAGCGGATCTGCGGGTGGTAGCACAGTTACTAGCACAATGGCTGTCACATCCGGTGGCGTCGTAGCCACCAATACCCCAGCGGGTCCATCTGCGACGACTGGAGGCGCTGCGTCGTCGACCTCGAGAGCTGCGGCTTACACCCACGCAGCGAATGGCTTATTGGGGGTTGCAGGTGTTGGCTTGATGTTCTTGGCTTTGTAGACAGCTACTGGTCTTGTTGTTCTCTTAGCAAGGCGTTGCATACGGCAGGGTTATCGGGCGAGACGAAACTGATAGATACAGGCACCTAGCCCTGTAATATATCTTGAGTGAAACCCATACAGTCTTGACGGCACTCCATGCACAACGCCAATAAGCTTTCGGCATTGTACATGATCGACAACCGACTTGACCGAGGCGAGAGGTCAAGACAAGAATGGTATCTTCGACAGACATGCAACATCCACCCGCACGCTTACAACATTGTTTGAACATTCCTTTTGTGTCCAGGTTCCTTTCACTCGTCTAACATGGCCACGACCACGGAGGTCGAACATTACGAGCTGCGCCACAATCTCCCAGCAAGGCAGCTCGCCCAGAACGACATCGCAACCATCACTGAGTCCGGCACGTCTACCACACTCGAGACTCGTCCCGCCGAAAGCTCGCTTACCCCAGCCGACAGAGGCCGTGCAGCGTACACCCTCCTTCTCGCCGCCTTCGTCTTTGAAGCCCTGCTTTGGGGATTCCCGCTTTCCTTCGGTGTCTTCCAGGACTACTACTCTCAGCTTCCACAATTTCAGAACAATCCGTACGTGTCTGTTATCGGTACCACAGCGTCTGGGATCTCCTATCTGGCAGCTCCGATCACAATACCATTGATCAAGCGATATTCAAGATGGAGAAGAGAGATGATATGGGTGGGATGTGCGTTCATGCTTCCAAACGAACCCAAATCATGTCGTGGACTTTAGAGAAGCCTTGCTGACTTGATTGATAGGGCCTATATGTCTCCTCTCGCTCGCGGCAGGATCTTTCGCGAATACTCTTCCGACTCTAATACTCACCCAAGGGGTGATGTATGGCGTAGGCTTCATCATATTCTACTATCCAATCCTAAGCTTCGTGAACGAGTTCTGGATTACTCGGCGCGGTCTTGCATACGGCCTGCTGTGTAGTGCTTCGGGCGTGTCTGGTACGATGATGCCCTTCCTTTCACGCTGGCTTCTGGAACGGTATGGCTATCACACCACTTTACGGGTGATTGCGGTTAGCCTATTTGTGCTCACGGCGCCACTGGTGCCTTGTCTAAAAGGTCGGCTCCCTGTACGAGCCATATCGGGCGAAGTGGTGAAGACCGACTGGTCCTTCTTGCGTCTGCCTTTGTTCTGGATCTACAGTGCGTCGAATATCGCCATGGGGTTTGGCTTCTTCTTTCCTTCATTGTATCTGCCTTCTTACGCAACTGCGAATGGACTATCGTCCGTACAAGGAGCGTTACTACTTGCCCTCATGAGCGTGTCCCAAGTCGCTGGACAATCAAGCTATGGGTACCTCTCGGATGGTTCAGTCTCTTTAGACGTTCTCGCTGCCTCTGCTGCCCTCGTGTCTGGCATTGCGGCTTTCACTGCATGGGGATTGTCGCATACCTTCACGGTTCTGGTCGTCTTCGCGATCATCTATGGCTTCTTCGCAGCAGGATATACGGCACTCTGGGGCCGGATGGGTATGAAGATCAGCAGTGACCCTAGTGCTGCCTTCGCAGCCTTTGGACTATTCAATTTCCAAAAGGGGCTTGGGAATGTGCTCGCTGGACCCATTGGCGGTGCCTTGCTGAGCAATGCCGTGGAAATCGGAAGTTATGGTGCGAAAAAGTATGGACGTACGGTCATATTCACCGGGTCTTGTATGCTGGGTAGTGCGCTGGTAATACCTTTGTGCTATGCGGCGCGATCTTTGCGTCTACAGCGCCTTTAGATGGGATCCTCATGTAGCTAGAAGTGCAGCGATACTACACATACAATCGCCATTGGTTCGTGTCAAATCCAACGATACTTGGCGCTGGTAAATTCTCAAATAACATGTCCAGCGTAGGTGGTGATTGGGGAAGTCTTATTGTCAAGGCCGCGGATCCCAAGCTTTTGCTGTTGAGATGCAGTAGCTAGAGTATCATAGTTGCCTCTTGATATAAGAAGTCGCTGCCTTAGTAACGACGCGCGCTAGTACAGTAGCCGTTCCCGCGTAAATATACTTCCATGCAAAGTACACGTGGACGCAGATATGAGCAATATCGTTTGTTTACGCTTAGGGCGTCGTACGTACCGGCCCAAACGGTTTCCGTTGAAAGCCTCGAGTGGCGATACACTGGCTGCGACTTGGAGCGTACGAGAGAATTTGGGAGCGAGAGCGTATGGTCTCAGCTATAGCAATATGCGGCTGATTCAAGTAGTTTCAGCAAGATTGCTGGCATCGGTCTCTTGGCCTCAAGACGCATCGTGACGGTGAGAATCTATTGAACGGATGGGTCTGCCAGAAAGATGTCGATGGTCCAAGCAGTACACGGTACGCAGTGAATACGATGTTGCTGTGTTTCCAGACACAGCCGCCTAAGAAGCAGTCAAGCCGGAAGCATGGCCCAAGTGAAGATGCGGCCTCGGTAGCGACGAGTGCGTTGGTCACGAAGTCTAGGCTCCTGATGTCGCGTGAAGACCGAGGAAGACCAGTTCGCCAGCTACTCAACTCCGATAGCGAAAGGCTGCGATATGCTATCACAAGCCCTGCCGACCGGATACGAGCAGAGGTGGCGTACAGCATCGAAGAGCTCAGCATGCCGATCTTATCATCACTTTACATCACGAATAGAATAGGCTCAAGTGCTCTCTGTGATGCTGCGGCTGCTGTGCTGGTCCAGACGCACCGGTACTCCCTTGGACGCTATGAGGGCGTGAATCGCAAAGCACCCATTTTGCAAAGCTATGCACGCGCAGTAACAGTAGCAAGAGCCACCATAGCTTCTACTCACCCACATGATCTAGAGAGCACGATAGCTGGCTGCTCACTCCTCGGTATCCTTGATTGTGTCCTCAGCAAGCACGATCCAGAATGGAAAGGTGCTTGGAAGCACTGGTCTGGAGCTCAGGCTCTACTGCTGTCAGTACCGGCAACTTCGAGCCATAGTATCTTGGTGCGTGCGGCGATATATGGCTCGGCGGCGCTCTACTCGTTCATCTGGCCAGTCTTTGCGGGGACTCCATCGCCGTTTGAAGCTGAGCACTGGCTGCAAGCGCGCCCACCACAGAGTGACAGTGACCAGCAAGGCAAGCTCACGAGGTTGCGCCTGTTCAGCCATCAGCTACACACCCGCATGCCGCGACTGATCTGTATGTTACGACATATCCGATCCAGCGACCATGATGTTCAGCAGGAAAAGCAGTACGACACTGCAAAGGCCCTGGCGGAGCAGCTTATGAAGCTAGAGGCCCGAGAAGAAGAGACCCTACTACTACATTGCATCAAGGTTGTCCAAACTACCGACAGAAACAGTCGAAGATTCACTCCGATCTCCTTTCAATTCCCGGACGTCAACTACCTTGACTGGGCTCTAGGCTATTGGAAAGCCCGACTCGTAATCACTAGGATATCTCGCATCCTGACAGTCTATACAGCGGAAGACTTGGCCAAAAGCTGCCACGAGCCACTATTGAAGCTAGAGACTCTCAGTGATCCGGGAAACGATCTAAAGGCTGAGGAACTACGACTCGCCAAGAACATCTTATCCAGCTGGGAAGATGCTCTCTCTCGTGGTCCTTGTGCCTCAATAGGCATGACGAACGCTTTCTTCAATATCTGGACTACGCTACATTACCTTGAGAAACATAGAGGATTGCCAGTACTTGAGTACGGCGAATGGATCTTGCAGCAGTGGCCTCTGACATGGTCTGGCTGGTCTATGAGATTGACGATGGCGGATCTAGAGGAGGCTAGCAGAGTTGTCGAAGGCGGTCCGCTTAGCAGGTGGGCTCTTGTGTCATTAGCAGGAGACGGTGCACCTGCCATGTTTGCCATAAGGCCTGGTGTGCGTAATTATGATCGTGCTCGCTTACAGCTTATAGCTTCGAAAGACTTGCGCATATGAGGCATGAGGAGACATCTCCGACTCACAAAGCTCGTTCAGAGCACGGTAGATTTGCATAGCCGGCCTGAGTAGATGGTATGATTGGATATCAACAAGCAAGCAGAGCTCGGAGGGCGGGCATGAGCGATACCCGATTACGAACGCAACACCCGGCGAGTGCATGCTTGCTATTGCGCTTCCTTCTCACACCCAACCAGTCGCATGGAACTGAATCGAGCCACGCCGTCGAGAACATAACCGAGGTGTCTGGCGTCTGATGAAAAGAATGGACGTGATTTACGGCGACATGGCCCGCAGACGAGCAAACAAATGACTTCAAGTTTTCGACGGCAGCTTACATACCACGAGTGTGTATCATAGTAGAGAGCACTCAGAGCGTGACCTAGAGCTTGTAAAGCCCATCCGATGCGCTGGACGTCTTCGTGACTTGGCAGAATTGTCAATCCATGGTGACGCTTTCCCTTTGATGGTCCGACGATTGTTGCTAGCATACGGAAGGGAAGGTGATAGATTGATAGCGTGCAGCCGTCCGATTCTTGCAACTTGTAGCTACAGTTGTGCGCAAAATAAATATCGCATGCTAAGACCTAAAGTTAGGGAAAGTATAGCATCCTCGAGGAGCACCTATACCTAAGTAGTTATTATATTATCTAACTATCGTCTTAATAAAGCCTTAAATAAAGTAATAATAATAATAGTAGCTAAGTTAAAGGTATTATTACTTTCAGTATATATTATAATATAGCGTAAGGAGCCTTAAGTAGCTTCCTAGGTATAGGCGCTCCTCGAGGAGACTATAACTATAGGTCTTAGCATGCAACAGTTATTTTGCGCACAATTATAGCGGTGTCCACTAGTATAGACTGTGCACCCGTCACGTAATTCTACTCGTTGGCGACAATCACCTTTAGCAATATCCAGCACAGTAATCTTGATCTTAGCCCTAGCCACACTGCTCTGACTTGAGCTCTAGGATGTCGCTAGATTCAATGGACACAAATAAAGCAGACCTGATGTCTAATCTGTTACACTCGGTACCGGGTTACTCTGAGCGGAATGGCCAGTTTGACACGAACAATACGATGGGCAGGCTCTCCAACATCGTGTTCCATTTTTAAGCGAGATGTTCGCTGGTCTCATCAATCACTTACCCAGCTAGATGGTGACTTTGAGGACTTCTATGGCTACACAAGTGGACGCTGGCTCTGGGACGAGGAAGACCGGCTTCGAGAACGATATAAGAAGTTCAATGTGCCTGGTTTGAAAGTACTAGCCGTCACTGTCAGTGGTGCGCAAGCATGCACGCAGATAACTAAATTGGCTGAGGGTGGCTTCCACAAAGTCTTCCAGCTATCGATGGACAATGGTTCATCTGTGATCGCACGCATACTAACGCCTAATCTTGGCCCCATCTCCAAAATCATCGCTTCGGAGGTCGCTACGATGGACTTCGTAAGTAGAGCCTACCAATCCATCACACAGCCTAAGCTTACTGTCTCGCATATAGGTCCGCAACGTCCTAGGCGTTCCTGTCCCGGAAGTGTTGTCTTGGAGCTCAGGCAAGACTAACGCCGTGGGGTCGGAGTATATTCTGATGGAGTCTGCCAAGGGCACATGCCTTCAACCGACCTGGTCGGGCATGAGGTTGCCTGAAAAGGTTGGGATAGTTCGAAATCTTGTTGCAATACAACGAAAGCTTCTAGCGGTGTCTCCCTTTCTAGGTTTGCGCCCCTGTGTATTGTCTATGCTGTTGGTCGCCCGCTAAACCATGAATCGTTACGGTCATATCTACTTTGCTTTGGATACATTTCCTGGTTGCATCGGTCTGGATATCTCTGGCGACCTGCCAGACACGGCTACGACTCATGCCTGCAATCATACCGTCATGGGGCCGGTCGTGGACCAGACGTTCTGGCATGATAAGAACGGTAAATCAGTTGACCGTGGACCTTGTGAGTGATATAGGACCCATCATTGCAAAACTCGACTAACGAACCGCGAAGGGACCACCACTGCACAGTATCTCAAGGCCATTGCTCGCAAGGAGCGATCAAGGTATCCTGTCGAAGTAAGGGAAACGTCGACTCCCCTCCTTTCCCACCACGAGGTAACAGAGTCGCCAGAATCCAGACTATCTTTACTAGATAGGTTTGCAACAGACTGTCCTCATCTCCCTTCATTGGACCCTCACTTCCAAAAAGCCATGCTGTGGCATTGGGATCTACGTGCTCCGAACATATTCGTGGAAAATTCCGAGATCACAAGTATCATTGACTGGCAAGCAGTCTGGGCCAGTCCTTTCATGATGCAAGAAAGGCGCCCACAACTAGTCCCCTATCAGGGTGAGATACAATTGCAACTACCCACTCACTACGAGACCCTCGAAGACAAGGACGAGAAAGCCCGAGTCAGGGATCAAGTGGAGAAGTCCATCCTCAAACGGGTCTACGAACGAGAAACGGAGAAGCATAACACAATTTTACATCGCCTGTATCAGGTACCACATATACGCACGAGGGCCGATACAGTCACATTTGCCTCCCAGGTTTGGGAAGGCGATACGATACCCCTTAGGGAATGCCTCATACGGCTCGAACGGTAGGACGAATGCGCCCACAACGACAGATCTCGGACGGAACTTGTTACTGATCCATCTTTAAACATTGGGAAGATCTTGACACTGGTGTACCCTGCCCTATCAAATTCACCGTCGAGGAGCTTGAAGCACACAAGCAGATCTCGGAAGGATGGAATGAGACTGTGGATTTCTGGTCTTCTTTAGAAGGCTTCGTATCTTCTGATGGTTACACAGCTGTCGAGGACTACGACGAAGCTCGGGACATGTTTGGCAAAATGCGCGAAGAAGGTCTAGATTCTTCGGATGGGAAAGATTTGGCCGAGTAGAAGGTCGGGACTAAGTGGGTAGGTTGATGTGGACGCCAGCTCCCCTTCCGATCCGGCACTTATTTAGAGACCGAAGAGAGAGTCATGCTTTACTGTGAGCATCGAGCATCGGAAGGCGTGATGGATGCCGCAAAGCAGTTCGGCGAGTCGTGACCGGAGCCAGCGCGAACGTGCTTTTGGGTACCAGCATGGCATGCCGGTGAACAAGCACGAGCGACACAATAGTATCATGTAGCCCACAGTCGTGGCACAATTATGAATACTGAAATGGACTGGGTGCTTGTGATGCAACAGGTCACGATCCTTCGCCAGTCGCCGCAGGCTATATGTCGTCTGGTGGCGGTCCAGAACTCCAATTGCTGGAGTCTGCTGGGTACTGCTGCAGGTGTCGAAAGGTGCATAGTGTGGCACGAGGAGCAATGCATTTCCTGACCCAACGGCATGAGCATTACATACTGGTTCGCTGAGGTGGTAGCTAACACATACGTCGTACAATTTACGCCTTACTGAACACCAATCAAGCCATTCTGATGTTTGTCGCCTAATTTGTTCTTGGGTGGTACGGCCCACTGATCTGCCATCTACAGGGCTAGCGTGGCTGAGACTATTTGGATTGTTGTAAAGCCTCGTGTGCGTACCAAGAGTTGCATGGCAGGGTTCTGGCACGTAAGCTGAGGTGAGAACAACGTTGAGTGGTGGTAATCATAGCTGCCAAGGCAGTGTACAGCAGTATTTGTTTGCGCGCGCTACGTAGCAGAAAGCCGTAGGCAACAATGTTGCCTATCGTTCAAGTCCATGTCTGGTACGAGTCGCGAATGAGCGTAACAATGTCTACTCATCATCGTTGACATCGATCACAGTCTTCTTCCATTGGCGGGCTGGGACCTTGCGCTTGAATAGAATGTCGATCTCGCGGTACGATCGGCCTTTCATCTCAGGAAGAAAGAAGTATGCCGTGATCAAGCAGCAAAGGCCGGTAGCGCCCCAGACGAAACCGCACTTGCCACCAACTATGCAATGTTAGTACGTGATTGTGTAAAGGTTGGGCAAGATGCAACTTACGGTCACCGCCGGTAGGGTTCAACATGTAGGAGGCGAGGAAGATGCAAGGGAACTCCACAATGTAGTAGACAGCACGACCGGTACCAGTGGTCAAAGGCCTGAGACGGATGGCAGAAGTCTCACCGATAATGACCCAGGAGGCAGGAGCTGGACCAAGGGTGAAGCCGACGGAGATGATCAGACCCAGAGCTGCCTGTGCGAGATTGCCAGAGTGGGCACCCTTTTTGCTGACAGCACCGGCGATGCCGAGAGCGAACAGGAGGATGGTATTTACCGCTGAGCCCCAAAGGTAGATAGCGCGGCGACCGTAATAAGTCGTCAAAATCCACGAGAGCATGACGAAGACCCACTGAAGGGCAGAGGTGATCAGACCCAGGGCGAAAGCAGTGTGGCCGTCCAGACCGGCCTCTAAAGTTGGGGTTAGCAATGCCATATAAGATCGTGGGATTCTCGGACTCACGCGTGAAGAAGTAGACGGCCTGGTTGGCGATCAAGTTACCAGTAAGATTTTGCGCAGCGTAGACACCACAGACGATCAGGGTACGGTAAAGATCTGTACCCTTAAACAGCTCCAAGTGATTCGGCTCTTTGTCGTTCTTCTCCAGCTCGATGACACGACGCATCATGGCGACGGTCTCGGTTGGGTCCGTACCGCTCCCAAGACGCTTGACAGACTTGGCGGCTTGCTCGAATTTGCCCTTGCGTACCAACCACCAAGGAGACTCGGGAGCGAGGAACATGAGGATGGCGAGTGGAGTAGGGAACATCCATTGAAGAGCGATGGGAATTCTATGAATCTTGTTAGAGACAACCGATTCTGAACATCCGCTGAAAACGTACCTGTATGCGCTCGAGCTGCTGACGCCCTCAGTGGCGTATGTGACACCACCAACGATAATGCTGCCAATAGCCCAGAACATCTGCAACATCTGAGTCGCAGGTGCACGAAGTTGGATCGGCACGATCTCAGAGCAGTAGGCCGGAGCGTTGGCAATGAAGATCCCCCATGGAATGCCCTCCATGATCTGAGCGGCAAAAATAACCGGCATGCTCTGTGCGAAAAAGAAGATGAAGATGAAGCAGTTCAGGAGCATGAGACCGGTGATGGTGGCATATCGGTAACCAATTCTGCTGGTCAAGGGACCGGCCAAGAAGACACCGACCAGAGCCCCAAGCTGGCCAGAGACCTGGAGGGAGGACTGCCACTTGAAAGCGATGACCTTGAGACCAGTTGCGGGATTGATAACACCGAATTTCTCGACGAAAGCAGGAAGAGCGACGAAGTTACCGATGAGGAAGACATCGTAAGACTCCATAATCTGCGGGAGATTAGCTCAGCCGATAGGATGTAGTTTTGTATGACGTACAATGCAGCAGGACATAACGAATGCCCAGAAAGAAGCCCATGGGTACGCCCTCACGGCCCCCAGGACTGTCATGTTGTGCTCGGCATTCTCGGCCTCGATGGCACCAGCCTTGAAGTCGTAGAGGTCGGCCTTCTCGGTGTAGACCGAGTTGTTCCTCTTCTGGTCCTCTTCATGATCGTGAGTATCAGCGGTGTGCTCCTTGGTGTCCATAGCGGCAACTGTATGTCGAGGCGGTACCCGGCTCAACAATGAAGTAGTAATTAAAGGAAGGAGAACGAGAGCTGGAGGGCCTGAGCAGAAGGAGGGGACGCTGCAGCTCTCTATATTGCTCGCTCGGCTGAATTGTGTTGCAGTGGCGCTCGAGACACGGGTGCACGGTTGGTAAGGTTTCTGGCATCGGCTCCACGCTGCTAGTCTCTTTTGTACGTAGCCGCCCACGCGCAACCACCCAGACCCCAGCTCTCCACATGACTCCACAAGGTCATGCGACTCTCATTCGTGGAACAAACGTTCAATACGACAGGCAGGGACCCATTCATCTGCTGAACCACGTGCATTTACTCAGTGAATGCAGTGAATGCAGATGTCATTGCACCAATGGATCCGCGCAAGTGAGTTGCGATGATTTGAACGGGTGAATCACAGACTTCTGTTGGCTACCACGGATGCGCAGGAAGATGATGGCAGGATCCGACATGGCGCTGTGGACAAGCATCTGGTTCGGGCGTCTGCTCCTAGTCCTCCTCCAACCGAACCACATCGGGGGCATCGCTCCACTTTATAGCGAGGTCCATGCGGGGCAGTTCGTGCTCTCTCTCTGGACAAGGGCCTGCCCACGACGCTGACTGGTGTGACATGAGATGGAGAAATTCACTTTCTCACGTGGTCTAAAGTGTTAGTCGAAATACGAAACTCTGGATCAGCTCGGGGCCGACGACCATCTCATCCCCGAAGTGTGGAACGCTATTTGACGCGTGGTGTACATGCATCACCCACGAGCGACGGATCTAACGAGACTGCTTGGGAACCCGTACAGTCAGCATATTTGACAGAAACAGAATTCATGTACAGTATTCATTCGACCTCTTCGCTCTCCAGCTCTCCAGCCAAGATGCCGTCAGTGCCGTGTATCGATACTGTGCCGTGCATTGCTCCCGCCGCCACCTCCGCTTCTATCTGCAAGGCTGGACATAATAGGCTATTTACCAAAGTTCGACAGCCTGGACGGCGTAAGATCTGACAACACCATGAAATTGGATTCGTATCAATAATAAAGATCACTCGATATCCCATGGCAAATCTTCCTCATTCCGAATATAAGGCACCTAACGAGACAGAATCAAGGCATGGACGTCCAGTGGGATAGAGTTTCGACTTACAGGTGCTTCAGCGCCAAACTTCACCTGTCCAATTGTCCGTCCGTTGCCAAGAAATGCGAACATGTTGTCTGGATCCTTGTACACGATCTCATAATGCTCATAGCGTGGATGCTTGAGGTACTTGAGATGGTGGAGAAGACTGCCTGGCCAGATGTGGATCCGGCCATCGACTGTGTTGTCTTTGTACCAGCTTTTGCATTCTTCACTCCATATGCTGTGCTGTTGATGTGTCAGTATGAAGGACTCATCGGATCGAGCTCGATGCATGCCTTCTTATGCCAAGCATCCTCGTACTGATTCAGCTGGTTCGTGACGTTGAGCTTCGGGTGCATACTCTTGATTTGGTCTTCCTGCATTTTCCTAGATGGTGAGAAGATTGAGTTAGCAAGGCCAGGATGATAACCTCAAGGATGTTTGTTGCTCCTTTCATTGACAGATATCGTAGGTCTCACGACGTACTACCGCTCCGTCAGCATGTCTGATCATTGGGCGCAATGTTTTGATAATCACTGACCCTGGCACATTGCAGAATATACTCCATCTGCACCTCATGGCTAGGCAACGCACAGCCCTGGCCCCAGTTCCCTCGCGGTCCATTGATGACGAAGTAATTGGGAAAACCCGGGCACGAGATAGAAGCATACACGTTCGGCTCATTCTGTTCTTGCATGATCTGTCCGCTGAGGCCAGTGATTCGAAAATGCGGCTGGTACTGAACATCGAAGCCAGTCGCACAAACCAGGATATCGACATTAATCGGGTCACCCTTGATCGTTTGTAGTCCGGTCTCGTTCACATTAACGATGTTGTCGAAGTTGCAGGTCACATTCTTCGCGATCAGGGCCTCCAAGTAGCCTTCGCCCGGCGTAAGACGTCGACACCCAGGACTCCAAACAGGAATGATCCTTTCCTTCAAGTCATCCCGATCCCCCAGCCGCTCACGCATCTGCTCCTGCATGTACTTCCTCACCTGCACATTCAAGTCCGAGCTACGATAAAACATATCCCAGCCTCCGACAATACTTCCCTCCATCCGCTGTCGGTACTTGAGATGGTACTCCGGATCCTCGCGGAACCGGCATTTCTCCTTCTCAGTATACTGATGCTTACCAGCCGCTGCAGGATTCATAGACTCTGGATCAGCTTCTTCGTTCGTGATGCTTGCTCCGAATTGAGGAGCAATGTACGTCTGATTTCGCATGAAGACAGTGACGTGACTGGCTTTGGCCGTGAGTTGAGGTACCATTTGAATTGAGCTTGAACCTGTTCCAATCACGGCGACGCTTTTGCCGGACCAGTCGAGGCTTTTAGGCCAGTAGGCTGAATGAGCTAGGGTACCCTTGAAATCGTGTAGGCCGTCGATAGCTGGCCACTTCCACTTCGTCAGGACTCCGGAGCCGTTAATCAGGATATTGCAGGTATCTTCGAAAGTCGTGCCGTCCTTTCGGCGGAGCTGAACCTGCCATTGGCCTTCAAGATCGTGCCACTCGGCGCTTAGGACTTCTGTGCTTAGTACGACAAAGGGTTCGAGATCATGCTTCTTGTAGAAGCGAAGGAAGTACTCCTGGATCTCCGGGGCATAGGCGTAGTAGCCACTCCAGTCTGGGTTGGGGTCGAAGGGGAAGGTATACGTGTGAGCTGGTATGTCACAGGCGCAACCTGGGTAGCGGTTCTCGTACCTGATCTCGCCATATGAGTGGTCGTATCTCGTCGTCTTTGCTAGAGACTTACCAAGTTCCGCCCACAGTATCGTTCTTTTCATAGCATACTAGTTCATAATTCGAGAGCATCTTGCGTGCTTTGTGTGCCGCAAGCAAACCACTCGCCCCCATGCCGACGTGGATGATGCGTATCTTTTGGAAATCACACTGTGGTGCATCCGGCACGTACATCTCGGCCTCTGCTGCATGTGGCATGATTGGAAACCTGGCTCTCGTGCTGAATGTGGACAAGAGTGGCAATTGATGCGGGCTTGTGGAGATGTGCTGATAGAGGCAGATGAGATAAGAAGCGTGGGAGATGAGATGCAATACTTATCCTTCGTTTGGTGAGCCCGCCAGCTATGTAGACATTACTCTGCTGCATCACAGCTTGAGCTCGAGAGGGAATACCGAGGCTACTGGATCGCTGACTGCGGACAGAGATCGAAGAGCAGCTATTTATCGTGGTTGCCTCTTGACGACTCACGATACCAGATCTACTTACAGCATAATCTTGTGTGAGGCTCTGTCTCGTGATCGTGTCGCCCTCGTGGCTCACGCTCCTCGACAGAAGCAGATGTGCCTTTTGATCGACACCAGCTTGAGGGTAGGACGCAGTGTGCGCCATGAGAACGCGAATGGGGTGACTTGCAGCCACGGCAAGGCAGTACGTGAGTCACGGTGGATGCCACTATGTTTATTGTGTTGAGCTTCGAAGTTCTTCGATCTCGTCGTCGTTTACATATCTTCCGGCATCTCCCGCGCCAAGCCCTGATCTTGCCCTACGTTCGACCTCCAAGCTACCTATGCCGAAACAGCTCAATTACAACCCATTGAAAGCACTACAACATCACAAGTCGCAATCATGGTCAAGCCAATTACCGGCGTACGTGCTGATAAGGATCATACACACCCGTTGCGTGCACGGCAAGGCTGACAATCGCTATAGATGCTCCGAAGGGGCCTTGTCCTCGACCTCTCAGTCGCTTTCGGTACGCTTATACACTCGCCAAACTAGCCTAGGTATGCGAGATAAAGGTGACTAACAAGCTATGGCAGGTCTCGGCACCGCATGCGGCTATTTCTGGTGGTACGGCTTCCACATGCCCAACACCCGCACCCGCGATCTGTTCTACGCCAAGCTTGAGGACGAGAGGGCGAGAGCGTTGGGGCAGGTATAGATCAATAGGAAGGAGAAGCCAAGGGATGGTGGAGGGTGGGAGGGTGCGGTGGATGTGAGCATTGTACGACAATCGGCGCGGACGAGCATACTCAAGACCAAGCCCAAGGACGGAGATGGTGCCGCGCGCATTCGACAACCACCATACAAGCAGACAGCGGCGGAAGTGTACACATACCATCGAAACGGAAATTTACCATTCGCTCTTCATCCTCATGACGCAATGATGGAGGTAGAGGTCGTGGGCTGAAGTGCTCATACTTTTACAGGAAGTACGACGAGCTAACATCTGACCTCCACACCCTGCCTACTAACAGTGAGGTACTTCACGCCCTTGTACGGCTTCACTTCAGCACCCAAACCACGACTCTTATTTGTATCCAGCAGCAAACTCTCCACCTTCAAGCCACTAGCCAACCAGCCCTTGACGCCAAAGCTGAGCCTCGCAGATGTAGGCATGAGGTCGCGATTCCTGTTCGTATTCGCTTGCCTCTTCGCCTGCGTAGTAGTAGCAGCTCCATTCGTGCTGCCCGTCTCCGACTGGTAGGCACCAGTGGGGTCATCATCAGTGTAGTCGTACGTGGTGGCAGTCATGCCGTCGAGTACTGCTCCAGCATCCTCAGCGCCATCCGAGGTTGGTCCCTGGATAGCACACCTCAACACTGCTCCCAGCGGACCAAAGTCTTTGGCAGGTACTCGCCACTCCACCACCCCTTCGACAGGGTTCCAATTCGCCTCGCCTTTGCTCGGTCGAAGTTCTGTGACGTTGCGGACTTCAGAGGGTAAAGGCACACTAACCAGTAAATTCTCGATGCTTGGCCCTCTCGAGTCACCCGCAGAGCCAGCCTTGAAGGTACCCGCTCGACCGCTTGAGCTTAAATTTGATTGAAGACTAGCTGCGGCTGCTGATCGAGCGCTCGACAGACTGGAAGACGCCGGCTGCGCGATGCGGACCTCGAATTCGTTGTTGCTCGAGCCCAGTCCTGTCGTAACTTCGACTGTCGCGGGTAGATTCATACTGGCATAAGCGTTCTTGCCTGTGGCCATGATGGGAGCATCCGTACCCAGTAAATCCACCTCATACCCACAAAGCACAAACTTCCCATCCGGCGGCACAAAAGACATGACGCCCTCACTCTTCCACTTATTCAGTCTCACGCAAGGATGAAACACCACTCTCTCCATGACGCCTCGTAGCTGATCGCCTCGATTGCCCATACCTCCTCCTTTCCCACCAGTAGATAAGGTGAGCAAGAGGTCCGGGACACCACTGACTTTGCACGTGAAAGCAATACTGCCGTACGCGAAAGCGGCCAAGGGTCGTCCTGAAGGCGCGAGTGTGACCGAGAGTGTCTCTACGATGTCCACGTAGAGCTCATTGCTGGTGTGCCGTACATTACTCCTCCGCCATGGGATCGCTGAGCCCTGAGAGCTCACAGCCGTCTGACTACCCGTAGGCTGAAATCGCTGCAATGTCCCACTTCCAACACCAGACCCAGATCCAGATTGCATACCAGGTACCGCCGCATTACCGGGTAGACCGACCTTCCCAAGCAAATGGTTCAGTACCCCGGGCCCTGTCTCAACCACATCCCGCAATGCGTTCGCCTCGCCCTGACATATTACTCCACCGTCTGCTATCTCAGCCAGTACTTGTGCCACTATATTATAGTTCGCTGAAATCTTATTCGCGAGCAATGGACTTCCTAGGAATTCTTCTAGGGCGTCGGCGACTCGGTGGAGAAATTCTAGGACTAATAGTGGTTCGATATCCGAGGATGAGGGTGAGAGGAAGAGGAGGTTGTCTTGGGTTATGTTGTAAACTACCGTTGGTGGGTGGAGGGAAGGTACGTATAGGACGCTCGGTCGTGGAGCGGCATGTTGGAGGTAGAGCGGAAGGAGGGTCGATGGTGGTGGCGGTCGGTTCGTATATGTGTGGCTCAATAGTAGATTACTGTAGCGTTGTCAGTACGCATAGCGTCGTAGTATCATTGCCTGAACGGGCGCATACTTACGTACTTATGCTCGTCGTAGATGTATACCGCATCGATTGCACTCATCGTGCCGGCTGTCCAGTGGAAGGACAATCAGATCAGGGAAAGCCTATCTATTTCCTGGTCAAGGCATGTTTATTCCATCGGAGATAGTGTGAGGTCAAAGGCAGACGTCCAATTGACTGGTCAAGGTTAATAGATTGCTGGTACGTACCTTGTGGGGTGAAGCCCAAGGACGATCAACCTACGTAGCGCCAAGAGAAGAAGTCCATCACGGCAGTGGATACTACGAGCTCAGAATGTGCGGGAGATCGTACGGTTAGCCGATAGTATCTACTCTACAAGTATTGTACACGCGTCTACAAACCCATCTTTGAGATGGACGAATGCCTCTGGCGAGGCCGTTGCCATAATTCAAACGGCCTGCATCGCTCTCAGTAGGTCCCTTGCAAGACATGATGTTCTCATAGACAACCTCTCAAGCCGTGAGCTCTGCTACGGCAATCTTACGCCTTTGATACTCTTCGGCCTCACACTCTCGCCACTGTCCGGTGGTCGGCACAGGCTTCTGCACCCTCAGAATCCAGCATAAGACCCGCTCTGCCGGCAGCAGAAAGCACCAGAGTCTATTGTAAGCGAAAGCCAGAGTGACTGATATCGTCGCCACTGCGGCGTCCAGCCAATAATGGTTCGCAGTCGCCACGATGACCGTCAGCACAAGCATCGGGTACAGTATAGCAGCTAGCAGGAACCCAGGCATTCCCACCACGCTCCTCCCCAGAAAGCTCTGTCCCCGTAGTCTCTGCATCAGTCCAGAATGGTACAGGAATGTACATCCGATCACGAAAGCATATGTGAAGTGCAAACTCGGCATAGCAGCCAGCTGATTGACATTCGCGCCACCAACCCAAACACTCTCAGCATGATCCTGTCGTACAGTGTCCTTGAAGCCGAAGCGTTTGGGCAGTAGTCGCGGCGGCATACAAAAATAGAAGCAGAAGATGATGAAAGCAGAGAAGTCGCCAAGAGTCATTGTGCGGCGGGCGATGGCGAAGGTTGAGTGCGAGGGTGCTGCCCAGTAGTACCAAGACAGGAATCTGTTCGATGGTCAGCGGGCTTGTGGTAGCTTGATGGGTGTATGTTCAACTCACGCCACAGTCCCGGGAATATGCACGAGCGAATAGATCTGGTTAAAGAAAGTCATGATCGACCTGTGATGCTTGAGAAAGAAGTGCTGCAGCGCTGCCTCTTACATGTGAAAGATGAACGACAGAAAGGTATTATGCTCGAGCTCGAGGATGTTGATGCCGTTTCGTTGTGCCATCTTTGTGACAGCATGGCCTTTCTTGTTGTATATCGCAGCGGCTATTTCCTTCGTCAACGCATAGGCGACGTAGTTCAAAGCCCAGTAGAACATCTCAATGAGGAAAGGGTACTTCTGCATGACCCGGCTGTGTATATGGTCTTGGAAGCGTGCAAGCGATTGAGACGTTGGTGTAGCTTTGCGACAACATCGTTGTCCGGCTCCTGGCACCTCCGTAGCTGGGAAGTCAATGGGATCGACGTATCGTGGGACTGAGTGTTGATGCCTGAGCAAGGCGTCGGAAGACGACACGCGCTTGAGGCCAGGCTTGTCCTGATTACTGGGCCATATGCTGTACGAGCGTTTTCTATTGATATACAGGGAGGTCACCATGATACAGACAATGAGCTTCATCTTGATCAGCGACAGTCACAAGTCTGAAATTTCTCTATTGGATCTCACCAGTGGCTCGAACCATATCCGTGAGGCCGACTGTGGTCGTTCAAGGTCTGGGGAGCCTTTGTGAGTGCCATTAGACATTATGCCACCCATCGGGAGATCTTCTGGTCTGATCAAGCCACGTGTTGGCCATCAGACGTGGCCTTATATTCCAGATCTTGTCCGATGACCAGAGTATGGTACAGTCGCGGAAACACCTAGGCGGATCTCTTCGGATCGAACAGAGTCTGACTGGGCCGAGTAATTCTTCCGTGGGACCAGACGAGGCTGGATTGTCAGCAAACCTCGAATGGCAGAAGTGATGGTGAATAAAAGGAAGGATGCCATGCGCCACAAGAGCAGGCAAAAGAAGTGTATACTGGAGCCATAGAGCCTTTGACTAGACTGACAGTTGACTCGGCGGAGCTCTGCTCAGGCAAACGAGGGCACACGTCAGGGTCGCCTCTCTTTGGTCGCATGTTCCGGCCCATCCTTGGCATAATCCATCAGGATCGGTTTGGCATTCCCCTCAGCACTGTACGAAAATCAAGGCAAACAGCCATGACAATGTCGGCTACCTTGAGCGTTGCGCTATACTGGCAGCACAAGCCGCAGTCTGTCTGACCTTTCGATCAATCGATCGTATGCGCTTAATAAATCTCCAGCACCACCGGAAGACGTGGAATAGTTCACGCGATGTCTGCCAAGCCTTTATCGATGCAGCGGGCCGATGCATTAGCGCCAACTCAATACTGCACGATCTGATTCGAGGCAAGAAGCACACGACAATTCTGTGCGGACTGGAGTGTGATGGAATAATGTCTTCGTTCATAGGAAGATGTCTTCCCTTGGGGTTTTCGAAATTCGTGGTGATAAGACTATCTAAAATCTATCCCAAGACCCGCTGCGATGAATTTCGTGGGTATCTCTACAAAACCACCATTCCATCCTGCTTCCGGTCGCCATGCATCATCGCTATAACCGCACATCAGACAATCACGATTCCTAACATAGCCAATCCCAACACATCAAACATGTCTCCCACGCTTGCCCCCCCTACCACCTGGCCCCTCTTTCCGATCGTGGCCATCGAAGTTTACACCAGAAATGTCGAAGAACTCGGGATAAGGTATTTTACGCTTGTTCCCTGCTCCGCTGGAGAGGTTAAGATTTACGGTGCGATTGTCTCGTTGTCTGTGGTGATGATTGTGTCGATTACGTGCTCGTGAGACTATTCGCACCGTGTCTGTCGTGCTAGGCGTAGACGTCGCTGTTGAGGCTGTGCTGTTGGTGTCTAGGTCCATAGTTCCTTCTCTATCGTGGTTGGATGGGTATGCGTGATTTGAGCGGAAGGTGAATTCTTCTCGTGGGATGTGGGTGATTTGCGTCCTTTGTGGTGTTTGTGCTCGCGCTTGTCGTGGTGCTGGTGACTCTGTGGCTACTCGTGGCCGATGATGTACGGTCGGCTCTTCCGCAATATCACTAGACGCAGTGGGGACTGCCGTCTTCCTCTGCATATCTGGAGACGAACTTCTGCTTTCCGGCCGGCCAACGTTCTCCTTGACATCTTCGTCATCTTCGCTCCCAGCCTGCTTCTGTATCCCGTTGTCCAGATGCTCCGTCGCCCACTGCCGTACCTTCCATCCCTCTCCATCCATCAAACCCAAATTCTCCTTGTCCAGGAATACTAACAGATCATCCAAAGCATCTTGATAGCCTGCTGCTCTCGACTTGGCCTGTGCCGCAGCTGCTGACTTGTACAGGTTGGTGACGGATAGAGCCGCAGCTCGGAAGTCTGTAAGGAGTTCTGAGCCATCTGCTCGCCGCCTGCCAGGCAACGATGTCGATAGGTTCCGCATCGAGTCCATTCTGGTAGACGATGCCTTGGTAGAGGGCTCGACAAGACGATCGCGCAGCGGTAGTTTGGCCACAGGGCCAAGTGTTCAATATTCGGGATGTCTGATGGCTGATACCGGCTGGTTATTGACGATCCGCAATCCCAGATCGATGGAGGCTGATGTTCCCAACTACAAATCCTTGCCAACACCGAGTCCAGACAAGGAATGGTGGAATGTCGCAGAAGCCTATTGTTGTCATGCAGGAATAAAGCGAGTGCGCTTGCCCCACTGCAGCAGCACGTGAAAGACGTGGCCCGAGCGTGCTTCGTCATAACAATAATACCTGGTTAATCACTGCCACCTGCCGCGTCGTCCTCCTCCACAACCACGAAGTGACTGAACCACCACTGCAATGATATGACCCGCTGCACAAACGTCTTGTGAATAGATAGCGATTACAATCATGGCCTCCGTCTCCAGTCTGGACCAGGACATGCGTAACCTTCGCATGTCCCGCTACACCCCTCAGGCCGCGAAGGAAGTACGAACATGGATCGAAGAGACACTGGGCGAACAGCTGCCACCGGGCGACCTACTGGAAGTACTGAAAGATGGTGTGGCGCTCTGCAAGCTAGCAAACATGGCATTACCGCCACCGGGTGTCAAGTTCAAGAGCAGCCAGATGCCTTTCATCCAGATGGAGAATATCAGCCACTTCCTGCGCGCTTGTGAGGCTCCATCATTGAGCCTGCCGGCTCACGATCGCTTCTTGACTGTGGATCTTTACGAAGCCAAGGACCCTGCACAGGTCCTACAGTGTCTGGGCGCATTCAGTAGAAAGGCCAATGCGGCGAACCCGTCACGTTTCAGGTCGACGATCGGTCCGAAAAAGTCTGCTGGTGTAGTATCACCGAGTAGTACGGGCGGAGGAGGCACGATAAGCGGCAGCAGCTGGAGGTCCAGTACCTACGGTCGTGCGCCCAGTCCAACCAAGCCATCAGCAGCCATGCCATCCGCCTCTCGTGCTCTGAGCCCGTCTCTGACTGGTGGCTCCAATGGGTCTCAAGGTAGTACAAAGTCTCCTGGACCGACCAGTAGCTGGAGCAGCAGAAAGGACGAAGGTGTGACGTCGCCTGCCTGGAACATACACCAGTACGGGTACATGGGTGGCGCGTCACAGGGCAACCAGGGCATTAGCTTCGGCGCCAGGCGACAGATTACTAGTCAGTCTCCGAGTGTGCCGAGCATGGCAGAGAAGGAGCGAAAGCGGAGGGAGAAGGCAGAAGAGGACGAAAGACTGCGACAGCAAGTTGAAGAGGCCGAGCATAAGCGACGGAAGGAACGTGAAGCCGAGGAGGAGCAAGATCGTGTTAACGAAGAACGACGGTGGGAGGAAGAGACGCGTCGACTGCGCGACGAGGAACGCAGACGAGTAGACGAACAGAAGCGGCAGTGGGAGGCGCAAGATCGCAAATGGAAGGAGGAAGAAGAAGCAAGACGGAAGGAAGACGCAGACATGAAGGCGAAACTTGCACCAAAAAAGCCGCCAGAGAGACCGCGGGTCAGCAGCTCCAGCATCCTGAGAGGGCAGAGCCTGGCACAGTATCAACGCGAACAGGCCGCACTTGCGTCGGACGATGGTAGCGTAGCAGACGAGACTCCGGAACAGCGTCGTGTTCGCGAGCTTGAACAGCAGCTCGAAGAAGCGCGCGAGCGAGAGCGACAGTATCAAGTAGAACGTGAGGAGAGACTGCGGAATGGTAGTCGACCAAGCACAGCAAGGACAGAAACTCCACGGCCAGAGAGTGCTCGGGATAGCGAAAAGAGCTTCGTTAGTGACGAGCGTGACTATCTACGTCAACAATGGCAGAGTGGTCAGAACGGCGCTTCAGCCAAGCCTGGTCCGGCTACTTCTGGCGCTCAAAGGCCGCTGCCGTCGCAGCCAAGCGAACCACAGTCTTTGCCCTTAAAGGCACTTCCGCAACCAAATGCGCAGGACGAAGTTAAAGAGGACATGGCCGAGCAGGCGTTTCCACCACGCTCAACTGGCATACAACAAGCTGATTCCGTCTCTTCCATCGCACAGCTAAACCCGGACTCAGCACCTACATCATCACCACTTGGAAGCAGCAACAGACCTCTCCCAACACCAGAGAAAGAGTTCACAGCATACAGTCCCCAGCAACCTCGCTCCTCGAACCGCACCGACCAATACTTATCCATGCACACCCCACCCTCTAACCCGCGCCCCCGAGTCTCAAGCAGCCAAGAAGCAGGCGATACCTCCCTCGAGCAAGCCACCGACCGCGATCGCCGTATCGCGTCCCAAACGAAAACCAAAGCCGGCGGCTGGGCAAGTAAATCGCTTCTCGAGCGGGAGATGGAGCGGGAGAGGGAAAGACAGCGCGAGTGGGAAGCTAATCAAGAAGTCGTGAAAGCCGCGCCTAGAGATCCGCATGCTGGAACGGGAGAGGGTCAAAGCTGGGATGTGAATCAATACGGGTACACAGGTGGGGATGGCATGAACAAGGGGAGTTCGACGGGCAGTGGTATCAATTTTGGTGGGAGGAGGCAGATTATTGGGCCTAGGCCGCAGAAATAGTGGTTATTCTTGACCGAGCGAATATGCTACATTGTATGCGCGACACTGTTGTATTTTTCCACATGTTGCATCATGCCGAAGATCTTCGAATGCGCTCGATCCTGGCTTTGCCGTGTGGCAATGTCTGTGGTTACGTCTTTGCAATGCAACCGTGGTCTGGTATACACAGCGGAAGGCTCCAGCGCCATACTATCAATCTCGTTTCAAGCTATAGATGCAGATCTATATAGCGATATCAAGTACAAGCAAGTTGTATATTAGACAGTCAGCCTTGGCATTGAAGACGTTCTTGCAGACGTGGTTCATGGATATCCAGAAATCACAATAAATCCACATTTCCCACAGGATTCCTGCAACACCGCAGGACAAGTCTTGGTCTCAGGAGAGGAGATGTCAGACGAAGAAGAATATGAATTCATCCAAGCAGGATCAAATCACTCCCCTATTCCAAAGGTCTTCGAGCTGCCCAAGCTGAACGGCCACGATGTCTTCGAGGTTTCCGTTGGCGAACTACAACATCTACTCGCCATAGATGCCTTCTCAAGCAAAGACTATACACAGTTCTGTCTTGACCGCGTACAAAGATGCAATCCCTATCTTGAAGCTGTCATCGAGACGAATCCGGATGCTCTTACCACCGCGGAAGCACTAGACGATGAGCGAAAGTATGGCAAGTTAAGAGGCCCTCTCCATGGCATCCCGGTCCTTGTCAAAGATGTAAGTGTCTACTTCGAAAAGACGCCCTTGAGCTAGCAGTGCTGAAGCCTTGTCGTTAGAATATGGCCACCGCGGACCGCATGCAAACCACAGCCGGCTCCTGGGCACTTCTCGGCTCCGTTGTCCCCAAAGACGCCCACATCGTTCGTCTGCTGCGTGACGCCGGTGCCATTCTCCTTGGGAAGTCCAACCTGGACGAATGGGCTGGCATGAGAGGTAGCGTCTATAGTACCGGCTTCTCAGCACGAGGAGGCCAATGTCGTAATCCTTACGATCTGACCAGAGAGCCATCTGGATCTTCATCAGGAAGTGCCGTGAGTGTGAGTGCGAACATAGTACCTTTGGCTTTTGGTACGGAGACGGACACTTCTATCATCAATCCTGCGATGGTGAATGGAGTCGTGGGCATCAAGCCTACTGTTGGTCTGACCTCGAGATCAGGCGTGATACCTATTTCCGAGACGCAGGACTCGGTCGGACCATACGGACGCTCAGTAGCAGATGCTGCACTAGCATTGGACGTCATCGCCGGAATCGACGAGGAAGACAAGTACACAAAGCACCCTGCGCGGCGCCAACCTCACAATTACTTCTCATACATCACAGACTGTCACTCTCTCAAAGGTGCTAGATTCGGCCTGCCCATGGAACGCTTCTGGGAACTCGCACCACGACCGCAAAGAGCCGTAGCCGAGGGTGTACTCGACTGGATGCAGAAAGCAGGTGCCACGATAGTAGCGGTAGATATGCCTTGCGCGGAAGAACGCATTCACGTCGATGGCCATTGGGACTGGGAACGCTACGGCAACACTGCACCCGACAAGTCCGAGATCACGATAAGTAAAGTCGAGACTTATGACTTGATGCGCGAGTATCTCTCCAAACTGGAGAACACACCCATGCGGACGCTAGAGGATATAGTAGCCTACAATGACGCAAACAGAGGCACTGAAGGAGGCCATACTGGTGACCTGCCAGCCTTCCACGATGGCCAAGACCTCTTCCGTCGGTGCGTGGATACCAGGGGCGTCAAGGACGAGATATACTACTCTGCGCTCAAACACTGCCAAACACAATGCCGTGAAAACGGTATTGACGCCGCACTCCAATATCACAATCCAAAGACAGGAAAGCAAGAACAACTAGATGCCCTCCTCTTCTGCGACATCAAAAATGCAGGCCAGTGCATAGCCGCCCAAGCCGGGTATCCCGTAATCAGCATACCCATCGGTCTTGATCCCGAGGGTATGCCTGTAAGCTTGACGGTGCAGCATACAGCCTGGCATGAAGCAGAACTTGTGAGATGGGGCAGCGCGATCGAAGACCTAGTCTTACATCATAAAGGACCCAGAGCAACACCGACGTACAAGAATCATCTTAGGAAGAACGTTCCAGTGAAATACGCATGGAAGTATCCTGGGGCGCCAAAGTGGTCGACGAGTAGTGTTTGATTGTTTGCCTGGCTACTAGTATCCCTAAGAGCAAAATGCAAATTCTCCGTATTCCTGCGTCGGTAGGGAATGGAAGGATGAGCGCTGCCTCACACATACTATCTTGCCCCCACCGTCATCCTCTCATGAACTCCAGAACGCCTTGCTAAGTCTTCCCAAATCCGATCATCAGCCTGATAGCAGTGCTTGTCACGTTCGTGATGCTCCACCTTCAGCATCTCGTTCATGCTGTCCAAATCTCGAACTACCCTCGCCACTCATATGTGATGGGCTCGACGGCGTCTCAATCAATCTCGCATTCGCCTCAGTATACTCCGGTGGTTTCAGTCCAGCTTCCTCTCGTGAGAGTGTCTGTAAAGGTATCGTAGGTCCGTTCCCAGCTCCGTCCGTAGCCGCATGCGTATCCTCCCTCGACTTCCTCGGCACATATGCTGGTGGTGCCTCTCCCAACTCATTCAATCCTTCTTCAGGACCCTCATCTTCCTGTGCTCGTCCGCGACCGGGCCAGTATCCTCGACTTCTACTCCCGGATCCGCCGCCACCATGCCAGGCGCTCAAGTCTCTAGCCAGAGCATGTTCTCTGCTATGTCGCATCGCCGCCATCGCTCGTTTTCGTCTTCGGTAGACTAGGAAGCCTGATAAACCGGCTATGCAGATTATGAGGGCGAGGAAGACGAAGTAGTAGTTTACTAGTGAACCAGAGCCGTTGTTGCCGTTACTGCTGGTACCATTGTTGGTGCCAGCGCCATCCGAATAGTTTGGTATGGTGGCAGTGGCAGAGGTCGTGGGTACATCCCGAACTACGTGTGCCATGGCGGTTCTGTTGTATTGAGCATCCGCTGAAGGAGAGAGAATAATGTAGGTAATCAAGATATCATGGCCAGGATCGAGTGGCACGCGTGGCTTGCATGACGGATCGTGGGGAGAGAAGCTTCGACTGAAAGCTTGTTTGTGAGACGCTATCCTTGCCTCTACTGATCTGCACAAACTTGGAAACAAGACACGGGACTTGACAGTACACAACCTGACAGATTCGTTGTGATCTAGTTTACTAAAAAGACTGGACAGGCGAAAATCACATCCTCGACCGTCACGACTTCTGTTGCTGACTCTTGATGAACCCCCACATCTTCTGCGCGGCAGCCTGCCTTTCCTTCTCCCACGAGTTGAAACCCATAGCCGTCTTCACCATTTGTACTGGAACTTGCTCGTTATCTTCACTGCTGAGACCTTCCCACGCCTCGTTCGTAAAGTCCTCAAGTGGCATACCGATATGCTTGCCACTATCGCCAAGCTGAGGCTGGTTCTTCTCGGCATGCAGCTCGGTCTTCACGGCTGGTGGATAGACCTCAATGATCTTCACGTTGCTGTTGACATCCTTCATCTGTTGTCGCATGGCCAGGATCTGGTGGTGCAATGCTGCTTTGGTCGCACAATAATTGGGGCATGTCAGAAGTGGTATCAACGCCAGGCCAGACGTGGTGAAGACCAGGCTAGTAGGCTTCGGTGCCTGCTTTTGTAGATATGGCAAGAACGCCTTAGTTAGATGCAAGTACGCAGTGTAGTTCGTCAAGATCTCGAGCTCAGCATCCTCAAGCTTCACCTCATCCGGTTTCGTCCAATCCAGCCCTCGCTGGAGACCACTGTTGAGGAAGATACAATCGATGTCCGGGTGCTTGCTGAACATATCCTTGGCGAAGCCTGGGATCTGGTCGAGCTTAGTGATGTCAAAGGCTGCAGTATCGACTTCGCCTTTGCCACCCTCGTGCTGCTTGGCGAAGTCATCCAGATTCTCCTGTCGTCGTCCGGTAGCAATGACTGAGATCCCATTCTCGATCATCCTGCTGGCGAGCGCCCAGCCTATTCCGCTGGTAGCGCCTATCATGAGGACTTTCTTGTATTCGAAAGGCATGTTGTCGGGACTGCTTGATGTGATTGGTGTAGTGGGCTGATGGTTGAGATGAAACAAGGGAATGCTGATATGGATGTGCTGGGGAGAGGAAAATGAACTGTGTATCTATCTTCTCCATGCCAATCCAAAGATTTTGGCAAGGCATGATGTCAGGATTGTCGGCAGTAGTGCCTGCGAATAGCGGATGCTGCTATTTGCAGGGTCCATTAGTGGCCGTCTCGAGCAAGGGACGTCCATGAGGATGTCTGAGACCTTCACCCGAGAAGATGGTAATACAGATGCGCATCGCCAGCGTCTATCCAACATGGTCTCAGAGAGGTAGATGTGTAGGAGGAGGAAGTCGTTCAGCAATGTGCGCGCCATCCAGTTTGGTCGGTGATCAGTCAGCACGGAATCGTTGCCGACCAAATCTCACCGGCTTGGATCTTCATTCTTCCATCATCACTACTTCGGCACGTTTCCCGTCTCGACTGCAGTAGTGGTGCTGCTGGCCGACGGGATGTAGGGCGCGTTGCAGTAGGTGTAGCATTTTGACAGTCCTAATTCTTCGATTCTCTATATCTTTAGCGGTCTGAATGGAAGGGCAGCCAGGCCAGGAGGCCATTGCCACCGCAGGAAAGGAAACAGAAAATGGCCATCATGTCGATGCCGAGAAGGCTAGGACGAATCCAGAGATCAGTAATGTAGACTCCGAAAAGGACGACAATGGCGTAGCTCTCCACCAGACGACGAGCAACGCCTCCCAGCTTCCCATGTCGAAGGCTCGTACCATTGCTCTGGTCGTCACACTGACTGGCGCGGCTTTCCTCAATACACTTTCGGTACAAGCAGCGGTCATCGTCCTGCCCACCATCGGCAGAGAACTGCACATCCCAGCTGCTCGCCAACAATGGATTGTCTCCGCATACTCCCTAGCCTTTGGTTGCTTCTTACTACTCTGGGGACGCCTAGCGGATGTCTACGGCAAGCGCTTCATCTTCATCTGGGGTTCTGCTTGGGTATGCATCGTCACGCTAGTCTGTCCCTTCGTGAAGAACGAGATCGGCTTCGATGTCTTCCGCGGCCTGCAAGGTCTTGGAGCCGCGGCGAACGTACCGACTGCTATTGGAATCTTGGGTGTGACTTTCTCGCCTGGGAAGGCTAAGAACTATGCTTTTGCTACATACTCTGCTGGCGCACCTCTCGGATCTGTATTTGGGAATATTCTTGGTGGCATTGTGGCGCAGTACGCTTCATGGAGGTGGATCTTCTGGATCTTGGCTATACTTGCGGCTGTGGTGACGGTTGCTGGACATTTCGTCATACCGCTACCTGTTCTCAAGCCTTCGCAGTCTGACCTTAAGAATGCTGTCGATTGGGTGGGGGGCACGTTGGTTACGCTCGCACTATTCGCACTCATGTTCGCTTTGACAGAGGGTAATGTGGTTGGCTGGGGCAAGCCGTACATTGGCGTCATTATTGCCATCTCGGTCCTACTCATGGTCGCCTTCGTGTTTTGGCAACTATACTTAGAGAAGCGGACGATGCGGCGCCCGCTGATGAAGATGACAATCTTCAAGAATTTGCAGGTGTCTGCGGCAATGTTCACCATGGCACTCTTCTTTGCTTCGTTCAACAACTATCTTATCTTTGCCACATATTACTTCCAGGACTACAAAGGTCGCAGTGCTATTGAGACCACAATTAGATTCCTGCCAACTGGGGTTGTCGGCGGTAAGTACTGGGTCTGCACTGTTGCTGCTGCATATCCCTAGCTGACCCTTTCACAGTATCTACTGTTTTTGTCACCTCACAAATCCTTGCAAGAGTCAAGGTCAACTATATCCTCATGTTCGGCACAGCCTGTGTCACGATCTCGTCTTTGCTCTTCGCCGTGCCTATACCAGACAACGAGACGTATTGGGCCTACGGCTTTCCGGCTATGTGCTTATGCGTCTTCGGAGCCGATACACTCTTCCCTACGTTGGTTTTGTTCAACGCTCACAGTCTCCCGAAGGAAGACCAGTCTCTCGGTGGAGCTGCGATTAACGCTGTAGGCCAGACTGGACGAGCTGTAGGGCTGGCGATTGCTACGGCTATCCAGGTTGCGGTGCAGGAGCATCGTCAGAACAATCCTGGCTCTGCAGTGACGGGACAAGGCAATCTGGACAATCCTGCGTTCAAAGCTGGGATTCGTGCAGCAGACTGGTTCAGTGTTGGTCTTGGTGTAATCGCCTTTGTCACGGTCACCTTCGCGTTCAGAGGTGCAGGCATCATCGGGAAAACCAAACGATGACATGGAGGCCACCACCACGTTTGCCAGCCCGGCAACATGTTCTTTCGGATCTGCATGGTGATGTTTGTGGGTTCAGCTAGTCCAGGTCAAAGGTCTGCTCTGTCATGAGAACCCAGCACGATCTCCGACCCTCTTCAGGACCGACCAGACGAGCTACGAGATGTTGCTCTACTGGGTACTCATGCTTGCACTCTCGATTTAGGCCGCTGCCGCCCAATCTGCCGTTGGCCTGGCCAACTTTGATTGCAACGAGACCCAGCGAAGGAGATTAGTGGTGGCGATCGCCCGGGCACGGACGGCTGTCCAAGATGTCCTGTCACTCAGCAGAAAACATAACAGTATCAGGGGCTCATACGACAGTGGCCTCGATCATCTCAGCCCAGCCGACCTACAGGAGCTCTGGATTCGTTACTTCGGCCATGTATCAGGTCAACAGTTCGTCGAGGCTATGGCGCTATTCGAAGGACGTGGACAACAGCTGGTTCAATATGAGCACATTGTGTAGCCATATTCGGCAACCCGAGTACGAGATCCCCTGCAACAAAACAGCATGGTGGGCATTTGTCCCTGTCATGCACCGCAGCAAGGCCCGCAACATGTACGTCTGTCAGTTATTCTTCGACTCGGCGCCGCCTACCGACAGTCCCTCCAAGAGACAGAAACAGTACGAGTACGACGTCGCCACGACCATGATCCACGAGATGATCCACACCGTCAGCCTGCCCCATGGCCAAGTTCTCCATCGGGGACGTCCCCGTCTGTGACCCGGGCCAAAACTGTCCTCGCTGGTTCGGTAATGTCGCCTACGGCGAGGAAAACGTCCAACAACTCGCCTTCGACCTCGCCAGCCGCGGCCCGCATCAATGCCGACAAACTACGCTCGCTACGCCATGGCGATATCAGCCGGGCGGGAAGGCTTATTTGGCTCCTGCGGCTAGCATCAACAGCTCCAGAGAAGAAGCCGTTCCGGATCCGATCAAGGCCAACTTCTGTGTCGACGATCTGACACCTCGCATGATTTAACAATGGCACGCTGAGATGACCGGAACTTATCTGTGCTCCTTACCCCCAGCACCGTGAGAAAGGGGAAGTGGAGCGCCAGGATCTTTCTTTGGCTCTCGGATGGTAATTGTGGACGAGATCATTTCAAGGCCACAGATGTTGGCGTTATGGCTATGGTTCCGACGCGACTTGTATCACCCTAGCATGATAGTCGGTAAGGGATGGGCAGGTGTGGTTGTGGAACAACTACCATGCTTTGGTAGTGGCTGTGGCCTTGTGGTTCTATGCTTTCTGAGGAAAGCTTTCGTGCACTGTCGGAGACGATCAGGGACGGAGTGATTGGGTGTGAGAAGCAACAGACGTCGTAGGGAGACAGACTCTTGGCGAGAAGGGCTTTCGGCACTATGGTGGCGAGCGAAAGCTGGGCCACGGTCATGTTCACAATATAGCAGGCTGTTGGTTTTATTTATACGGCATGGACACTGGCTCAAGATTCTGGTGAAGGCGCTTTGAGGCAGAATTGTTGTATGATGGGAAGAGGTGTCAATCGACCTGGACCGCGACTGTAGCACACCTTGTAGTGTGCGGCGGCATATTTGAAATGATCATAGACATCATGTATAAGCACATCGCAGCTTTTCGCTTCTACTTTCGCCTCGACGCCCAGACGCCATGCTATGCCCAGTGTAGGTAGCCCTTTAGTAGCCCAGCCGAACCCAGTCCAGCCCAGCCCAGCGTCGACATCTTACTGACCTAACCCTCGGAATCTATGCACTTCGCCCCTCACATCTGCAACCCCCTCTCCCTCTCCCTCTCCACCTCAAACCGAAAGTCAAAATACGGCGGATCGAAATGGTGCACGCGCACATACCCATCCTCCCCGCCGGAACAATAACACTTCCCATCCGGACTAACCGCCACATAATTCAGCGGCCCAAAATGGCCCCTCACACGTCCAATTTCCTCCTCGAAAATCTTATGGTAGAAGCGGGCTTCAAATTTCCCCTGCCGGGCGGACGTGGTGGTGACGTCCATGGCTGCTTGGCCGCCTCCCAAAATCACATAATTCGTTGGTTCGGGGGTGATAGCAGCACTATTCAGCGGGGTATCGGCGACATATGTCTTCAGGACCTCGAGGGTCTCGGAATCGATGAGTTTAGCCGTTTTGTCCTTGGAGGCGGTGATGAAGTAGGTGCGATCGGAGGACCATTGGAGGTCGGTGACGGACATGCCGTCTTCGTGCGGGAATTCTTCTTTGATCAGCTCGCCGGTCTTGGCGTCCCATTGGGCGACGCTGCCGTTTTCGTGGCCCGTGATGATGTAGCGGCTGAGGGCGGAGAAGCCGGCGACGGTGACGCGGGGGAGCTCGACGGTGATGTGGAGGGTGGGGTCGGTGGATTGGTCGGCGGTGACGTCGGGGACGATGTCGTAGACGAAGATGTTGCTTAATTGGCCTTGTCGCTTCTCCGTCACGCCGAGGAGTTGTCGCCCATCTTCACTGAATTCGGCGCGGCGGATGGAGGTGTTGAATTCCCAGCGTTTCAGCTCTTTCCCGGTCTTGATCTCCCATAGTCGGAGGGTGTTGTCTGCGCCTCCCGTGGCGAGGAGGGTGGTGGTGGGGTCGACGTCGACGGTCCACAGGGCGCCCTGATGGCCTTTGTAGGTTCCGAAACGCTCGCCGTTGGCGCTGTACCAGGCGCAGACGACGTGGTCTTTGCTGACGGAGAAGAGGAGGTCGCCTTCTTTGCTGAACTTGACTTGGGTGAGGGCCCGTTCGTGGCCTTGGAGGAGGATGGGGCGCATGCTTGCTATATTGATTCTCCAGATGGTATTCGATGTCGCGCCTGCCAAAATATGTTAGAGGGATGTCGAAATCTTGGCGCGGGGTGAGTCATGGTTTGAGTGGCTCGGTGATAGCCGGAGCTAGCATTCGGTCGTGGAAAAAGTCGATGGTGGTGCAAATGCCGTCGCCCCTTATTATTATTGATGGTTGGCGTGACACATTGATATTGAGAGAGGGCTTCAGCCAAAGAATTACCCCCCATACACTGTACACCACTGTACACCATAGAAGGCCAGGATTATTATTATTATTATTGTTGTTGTTTGCTCCTTACCACCGTCCGCTCACTGCTAACAACTCCCCCGACACTCCTTCAAATGCTGCGTCAAACTTCTTGCTGCTACTGCTCTCGACCTTCCGCAATCGGCGCGCGGGGCACAAAATATTCATCCTCTCACTCATCATTACTATCAACCACAGCTCCAGCTCGCCAGATTCACTTTCACCCCTGGCATTGTCGCACAACATATTCCCTCCGCCCAGTCACGAGACCACATCTTCTACCCACCCGAGCTGAAAGGTCAGCTGACCCGCTCAACACCACACTCGCTGGTGCACGACCTTTCAGCGTGAGCACGGCCACCATGACCGCCACCAAGATCGATGGCACGGCCATTGCCAAGACCATCCGCGAAAGAATCTCCAAAGAAATCGCCGACAAGCAAGCCCGAAACCCCCGCTACAAACCCGGCCTCGTCATCATCCAAGTCGGCGACCGCTCCGACAGCAGCACCTACGTCCGCATGAAGCTCAAAGCCGCCGAGGAAGCCAACATCGTCTGCAACCTGGAGAAATACGCCGAGGACATCTCCGAGATAGAATTGTTGGAGAAAATTGACGCGTTCAATAATGATCCTGCCGTGCATGGGATATTAGTCCAGCTGCCGGTGCCGGGGCATATTAACGAGTATAATGTCACGAGTGCGGTGGCGGACACGAAGGATGTGGATGGGTTTGGGGGCCCGAATATTGGGGAGTTGGCGAAGAAGGGGGGAACGCCGTTGTTTGTGCCTTGTACGCCCAAGGGGGTTATGGTGTTGCTTGAGGAGTCCGGGATTGATGTTAGAGGGAAAAACGCAGTCGTTTTGGGACGGTCGGATATCGTTGGGGCGCCGGTCAGTTATCTGTTGAGGAACGCGGATGCGACGGTCACGGTGTGTCATAGTCGGACGCAGGGGATGGAGGACATCTTGCGGAGGGCGGATATTGTCGTTGCCGCTATTGGGAAGGAGAGGTTTGTCAAGGGGGATTGGTTGAAGAAAGGGGCGGTGGTTATTGATGTTGGGACGAATTATGTGCCGGATGATACCAAGAAGTCGGGGCAGAGACTGGTGGGGGATGTGGATTATGATGCCGCTGTTGAGGTGGCCAGCTACATTACACCTGTGCCTGGCGGGGTTGGGCCGATGACTGTTGCTATGCTGCTAAGAAATGTTGTCAATGCTGCCGACAGCTACTTTGACCGACAAAAGTCACGACATATCACTCCGCTCCCACTGAAGCTCAAGAGTCCAGTACCATCCGATATTGCTATCTCGAGAGCACAACATCCAAAGATGATCACAAAGGTTGCCTCTGAGGTCGGCATAGCACCGCATGAGCTCGAGCCGTTTGGTGCATACAAGGCCAAGGTATCTCTGGATGTCCTGTCACGCCTATCACATCGCAGAAATGGACGATACATCCTGGTCGCCGGCATCACACCCACACCTCTTGGTGAAGGCAAGAGCACAACCACCATCGGTCTCACACAAGCACTCGCTGGACAGCTAGGTCGCATAGCGTTCGCCAATGTTCGACAGCCGTCTCAAGGACCCACTTTCGGCATCAAGGGTGGCGCTGCTGGTGGTGGCTACAGCCAAGTCATCCCCATGGACGAGTTTAATCTACACTTGACTGGCGACATCCACGCCATCACTGCCGCTAACAACCTCCTAGCCGCAGCAATCGACACACGCATGTACCACGAAGCAACACAAAAGGACGGGCCCCTTTTCCGCAGGCTTGTGCCCGAGAAGAAAGGAAAGCGAACCTTCCTACCCATCATGTTCAAACGACTAAAGAAACTCGGCATCGACAAGACTGATCCGAATGAGCTTACTGAAGAAGAAGCCAAGAAATTCGCCCGCCTCGACATCGACCCCGAAACCATCACCTGGCGAAGAGTCCTTGATGTCAACGACAGACATCTCCGCGGCATCACAATCGGCCAAGCACCCACTGAGAACAAAGTGCCACCGCGTGAAACCGGGTTCGACATCTCCGTCGCATCGGAATGTATGGCTGTACTTGCACTCTCGACCGACCTCGCCGATATGCGTGACCGGTTGGGTAAGATGGTCGTGGCGAGTAGTCGGGCCGGCGATCCCGTAACAGCGGACGATCTGGGTATCGGTGGTGCTCTAACAGCATTGATGAAGGATGCTATCAAGCCCAATCTCATGCAGACGCTTGAGGGGACACCTGTATTCGTGCATGCCGGTCCCTTTGCGAATATCTCCATCGGAAACTCCTCCATCATCGCCGACCGCGTGGCGCTGAAACTAGCCGGCACAGAGCAGGATGAAGATCATAATGCCAAGACGGGTTTCGTAGTCACCGAAGCCGGCTTCGACTTCACTATGGGCGGGGAGAGATTCATGAATATCAAATGTCGGAACTCTGGCCTCGTGCCGGACGTCGTGGTTATAGTGGCTACGGCCCGCGCGTTGAAGGTCCACGGTGGGGGGCCCGAGATCAAACCGGGGGAGCAGTTGGCCGAGGTGTATCGGACGGAGAATGTGGGGGTTTTGAGGGAGGGGTGTGTGAATTTGGCCAAGCATATCCAGAACGCGCGACAGTATGGGGTGGAGGTCGTGGTGGCGGTTAATCGGTTCGAGACGGATACCGATGCCGAACTGGAGGTTATCCGCGAGGAGGCGTTGAAGGCCGGGGCGGCGGATGCGATTCCTGCTAATCATTGGGCGGAAGGTGGTGTGGGTGCCGTGGATCTTGCTAAAGGGGTTATTCGGGTCGCGGAACAGAGTCAGCCGGAACGGTTCAAACTGCTCTACGGCCTCGAGGATTCCGTCCAGGAACGCATCGAAGCCATCGCGAAGAGGATGTACGGCGCGGCCGCCGTCGACTTCTCGGAAACGGCCCGGAAGAAAGTCGAAATGTACACCAAACAGGGCCTGGGGAATTTGCCCATCTGTATCGCCAAGACGCAGTATTCCCTCTCGCACGACCCGGCGCTGAAGGGTGCGCCGGAGGGGTTTACGGTTCCTATTCGGGATGTGAGGATGGCGGCTGGGGCTGGGTATCTTTTTGCGCTTGCGGCGGATGTTCAGACTATTCCGGGGTTGCCGACTGCGCCGGGGTATTTGAATGTGGAGGTTGATTGCGAGACGGGGGAGGTTGATGGGTTGTTTTAGGGTTGCTAGAAGTGGCTGGGACCGGGACCGGGACCGGGACTGGGACTGGGACTGGGATCCGTGTACGGGTTTTTGAGAGCCTTTCGGTCAGTCCAGGGTTTTGGGCTGGCTGCAAGGCGGGAGGAGGAAGGGAAGCTGTTGCTTTTATGGCGAGCTCGTTCATCACGGCCGCTCTTGCTCTTCTTATATGTGTGTGAAGCATGGGAAAATTGGCGTTCAACAAATGGGTGGGCAGGGGGAGAGTTTTCACTCAACGTGATTCTAGCGAAGGCGCTTTCGAGGCGTACCTTTTGCTTCAACACTGATGTTTCTGGCTTGACCGATCATCTCGGGGGCCTTTTCGGCATGGATATTTGTATATCATGTAGAGCATTGCGGATGTGATTGTGTATATCTTGTAAGGATGGTCGACGTCGACGTCGACGTCGATTCATACCGCGCTGGACGATAAGAAACATATGCACGGTCCCAATCTCGTCATCGCAAGCAACGCGTTACTCCGTCGCGTCTCTCCTCCAACAAGATCAATCTTCAGTCGCTCTTCACGAATATTGATTGCATTCACAAGTGCTGTAGAAGTTGTTCACTACTGTGGGTTCATAATCATGCCTGCGCTTTCGAAACAGCCTGGCGCGGTAAGAGAGCTTGTGCGTATCATGTCTGCCATACAAGCTGATTCAGTAAGGGCATCCGTGAGCCATTGGCAGATGCGGGATCTCGAGCGAATCAATTGTCTGCACCACAACCACCTGCCGCTGCCGGAGACAAGAGTAAAGATGCCCCATCTGTCTCTATGGACTCGTCCACCTGGAAGCCGCACCCCGGAGCCCTAGCACCAGCAATCTCACTAGCTCAAGCAGCGGACCTGAAGCGCGAATCCAACATCACAATCCACGGCTTCGACGTTGACGCGATCGAGCTGCCCCACGACCTACCTGTAGATCTGAACTGCGACCAGGTGCGTCTCAGAATCACTCGGTTGCTGGATAGTGGCCGGGTCAAAGTGGGACAATTCTGCGAGGCGATCGGGGTCAGTAATGCCTCTCTGCTGCGTTTCCGCGGACAGAAGGGCCGGGAGAAGGGTGCGATGTGTGATGCGTATATGGCGGCTTTCGAGTTCTTGAAGAAGATGGAGATGGCCGGGATCAAGATACCGAGGAAGAAGGCGATGGTGGCGGGCGGCGGTGATGGTGCGGCGGCGAGTGGTGCTGGACAGGGTTATCCGGATATCAGCAATGTCCATCTGGATGGCGAAGAGGACGATGCGGTGGAGGTGTACGATACCTGCGATGAAGTCCGCAAGAAAATCACGGCGTATATAACCAAGAGTAGCACCTCGCAAGCACAATTCTGCCGGGATTTGTACGCTCAGACGTTCAGCGAAGACAGGCCAAAACGGATCCAGGGCATGCAGCTCGATTCCTTTCGAAGTAAGAAAGGTCCTCAAGCTGGGATTACGTGTAGTGTGTTTTACGCTGCCTATGTCTTCTTCGAGAAGATCCGGGTAGCGCAGGGGAAGGCGAAGAGTAAGCATAGGTTGGAGATGGAGCAGAAGTGGCCTGGAGGGTTGGAGAGGAGTGCGAGTGGGAATGGTGGGTACGTATCATCGTCTGTGTTGCTGTGAGCGTTGTGATTCTCGTTGGCTGACTTGCTGGATTTGGATATAGTTGGGTCACGTGCATGGCTGGCGAGCGACCGCATGTGGATGCATATGGTGTACTAAGTTTCTATTGAGCTAGCACTTTGGGGTCTGGATACGAGGCTGAGGATGCGACATCAGACGGCATCCCGGCCACCGTTTCCCAGTCGGAGTGGAACTTCTCATGGCAGATTATGGATGGCCACTTTGCGTGTAAACAGGACGCAGTGAAGGTGCGTATGATGGGTGATATCCGTGTACAGTATCGGGTGCTTGTGCGGATTCGTAATGTACGGGTAACTTCGATCTTACAACGATTTCGTGGCCCGAGCGATGACTGATGCCGGAGATGTCCACAGAGCAAGGCCACCGCTCTCTACACTTCCCCATCCTCGACCACAGCTACGTTCTTAGCCTCTCCCTCACTCACCGCAAGCGAGTCCTTAGTCGAGTCGCTCTAGGCAACGGCGTGGTTCGGTGCAATGGTCAGGATTGAGAGCTCGGTGAAGCTGTGGCCCTCCCACTCCTAATGCACCAATCAGCATTATCGATCATCCTCTGCGAAGCTTTGGAACACTTACGAAGCCCAACCACGCACGCCACGGCGTCTCCGCTACCTTCTTCTCGCAATCATCAGCCGACTTGGACATCTGATCTCCATCCCGCACGAGGTCGCTCTTGTAGAGGTCGATGTATGTCTGGCCCGGCTGAATGGTTTTGGTGACGAGATAGACGCTAGGGTCTGGATCTCATTGTTAATGAAGCATGAGCGTGGAGCTTGGCGATGTGACTTTACCCTTGGACATGGCCATGATGAGTTCCATTTCATCCACGAGAGCGACACCGTCCGGCACGAGCTTGATCCCGCTGGTCTTTTGTTCATAGACGAGCATCATGCGATCTCCCTCGAGCGCCATGGCCATGGTTTGTGTAGAAGGGCCCTAGGATGGTACGATAGTGGGCTTTGTTGGTGGTTGCCGTAGGGGGGATGATAGGAAATGATGCACGGGTTGAATACGAAGAATGACTGGGACAATCAGATCTGGCTTCCTACTCACCATCGGTGAAGTACGCAGCAGCTTATCCTTCTGTGGCGTTACGAAGCTACGATTCTCATAAGCAGCGGTGAAGTCAGGTCGAAACGCGCCAGTGTGAAACTTTGGGAAGGCACGGTCGTTGACTGCGAACACGTGAAAGTTTTCCATTCATAGTTTTGCGAATTCGGGCTTCTTCTTCTGTAACCCAGACAGCATAGCATCCTCCACATCCTTGGTCTGTACCATCGCGGCATTCCAGACCTTGACATAATTTAATCCTGGGAGCCTGTTAGCAGAGAGAATTTAAAGCAAGGCTACACTGCTTACCATCGAGCGTAGAGTGGTCTCGAGAGAAATTGATAATCTCCTTCGTGCTCTGGACACCGATCGGACTCTTGCTAGCAATCAGCCTGCTCATCTCGAGGGCCTTCTCAAGTGCTACGGCTTTCGTCTCGCATACTGCTGACACAAAGCCCACCCTCAAAGCTTCGTCCGCATAAAAATCCCTCGCAGTCAGAGCGACCTCCTTGATCCAACTCATAGGCACATTAGCCTTCGGTAATCTCGTGAGCGTCCGAATATCAGCCGCCAGTCCAATCTCGACTTCACGAACGGAAAACCGAGTATCCTTCGCGCAAATCCGAATATCGGCACAAGTAGTCATATCAAGAGCCAACCCATAACTCACCCCATGCAAAACAGCAATAACAGGCTTTTCACACCTCTCAATCGCAGAAATATCGTCCTGGAACTCCTGAATGTGTCGTCTCAGCTTCGTCGCCTTTCGAGCAGGATCCAGAGCGCTTCGGTCTGTGATATTGCCGCCTTCGGCTGCGGCTTGGACGTCGAGGCCGGCGCTGAATGCTCGGTCGCCGGCTGCTGTGAGGATTACTACGCGGACGTCTGGATCGGTGGAGAGTTTGCGGAAGATGTGGCCTAGGTTCACCCACATCTGCTCGATGAAGGCATTGAGCTTTTTGGGGCGGTTGATTTCGACTTGGGCGACATATTCGGAGGGGAATGTGACGTTGAAGTATTCGTAGCTGTAATCCGATGGGCCCATGGTTCCTGGTTACTTTTGTGAGACTCTTGACGTTAGACGTCAAACGGGATTGAATCTAGCGACTTGTGTGTGATGTTTACTGTAAACTTGTCGTATTGTACGGTTGTAAGTGTCGTCCGTCTTCAGCTGACAGCCGACGACTTGGTGATCAGACGAGATTGGCCGAGGCTTCCAATTTAAGGTGACTGCAAGGGTCGGATGCATTGACCAGTTCTATTGCTCATCGAGGCGTATATCATCCTCATATCATGAAGGAAGAAGGACCATGGCATCGGCAATAGTCATGAAGCCGCCCACGGTGCCTTCTGGTTTGCTAGAATCAAGCGCTGCTCATTAGCGAAGCCAAATAGGCAGCCGCTCAACCGCAAACGGGCTTTACATCGTCCATGGGGCCTCGGAAACTGGTCGACGATGTAGTCGAACAACTCTCATTGCCACAGGTTGTTGAAACCTCACGGCATGATCAACCTGGCTACTGGCGCGATGACCCAATGACACTTCTCGCGAAAGCCAACTTCCAAGGCGTGGCATTTGGAACTGGCCTTCAGGTCTACGCCAATATGATCCTGCCAGCTATTGAACAAGCACAACATGAAGTAATACTAGTGACTTGCTTCTGGGCACGTTCATCGACGTTAGACGACCTCAACACCACACTCCAGACGCTCTCTGCAAGAGCAGTTCAAGATGGAAGGCAGATCAGAGTACGGATCTGCTTCTCTTCCTCATCATTATGGCAGAAACTGCTACAAACCTCTTCAGTAGACGGTCGACACTGGAGTTCTACCCGATGGCGGCAAGATCTGGGTCTACCTTCGGAGGCGGAAGTGCCTGGACTAGATTTGAGAGTCAAGAGCATCTTTCAGCTGCCATTCAGTGTCATGCATCCGAAGTTTGTGATCATCGATCGCCAGACCATACTTCTTCCTAGCTGCAATGTGAGCTGGGAGGTGTGGTTCGAAGGCTGTCTAAGCATGGATGGGCCGGTTGTTCGGCAGTTCGTCCGTTTCTGGTTGGAGTTCTGGGCAGACTCGGACGATCGTGTTGATGTGACCGATGGGGACACTCAGGTATCGCAGCAATGCAAGCTGGTTTCGAGTGCCAGCAAAGGGTTGCTATCAAGTGCAGAGCTCAACGCTGCATCTGTGGACACGTTGTTCCTCCCCTCGCCACACCACCGCTTCAGCGTGCCATGGCTGACTTCGGATCGCCCGCCACCGACACCACTGAACATCTACCTGCTCACGTTGATCTCTCGAGCCGAGCGAGAAGTACATGTCCAGACACCTAACTTAACTTTTGGTCCTTGCATCGAAGCCCTTCTAGCTGCGTGCAAACGCGGCGTACAGGTGACAGTCTTCACAAGCCGAAGGTTGATGGTACTCGAACAGATTGTGACAGCTGGGACGACTACAGCGCGGTGTGTGCAGAATCTGGTCAAGCAGCATAAGAGGCTGCTATCGACTGCTAAGGACGTGAGCCATGAGGATCTTGAAGCGGGATTGATGCGGACTGGACCTGGACGACTTGTCGTCAAGTACTACGAGCCGCGTGGCGACGGCGGTTTGAACGAGCCGCAGCAGTCTCACGTGAAGCTGACTATAGTGGACGGGAGCATTGCTGTCTTTGGAAGTGGTAATATGGATCGAGCGAGCTGGCACACGAGTCAAGAGCTTGGGTTGGCTTTGACTTCGAAAGATGTGGTTGGAACGGTGACTCGCTGCTTGAATGAAGCTATGGACGGCCGGACGATCGTCCACTACGATAGCACTGCTGTTGTTGATACATGGTCATAAATTGACACGCACAAATCGCTGTTCCATATGCCACGAGATCCACAAGAGTTTGAATTTGTGAACGGCAAGTTGCCAGAGTTTGTGAAGGGTACATGGGTCACGTGCAGGGCGGTATTGACTTGGTAGATACCAGATCACCGTTCAGTACTCTCAATGCTTTTATCATTAGAGTGGCGCTCACAGGCACTCACCGGCCTCGTAATACAGTCGCCTCATTCCTCCGGTTTCCATTGCTGACACAACGTTATTCACACTCCGGTGAGGGAGGAGGCGTTTCCGAGCAGTCACATGTGTTGGTCCGAGCGTTCCGTCGTGGAACTCGTTGCCTTACAGCGTGACAGCTTTCTCCAGCACTTCTTACCTCTCTCACCCTTCTACACACGAACACACACATACGATCTCCATCTCACGACGACCGGCAGGTACTGCGTCGTTGTCCCTCCTATACGGCGTATCATCGTGCCAGAGCGGTGGTTCCAGAACGCAGCCCACGCTTACCGCTTACTGACCGCCGAGTGCGTCACCAATCACGCAACGAGGCTGGCTGTGTAGCTCTCCTCTCGAGCTCCCTCACCTGCACACATACACTCATCCTCCTCATCTTACACATCACACTGTGAGGCCGTCATCATGGCTGCTCCAGTGAACCACAACAACAATGTCGTGCCGGCGGACACTCTCATCACTATCAAGATCGCCGTCAACGACAGCTTGAAGAAGCTCAAGTTGCCTCTCCGGGATCTGGGTGCTAATGTGTTGCCTGATAAGGTATGTGATAAGGCTGGCAGTCACTGCAAGGCTGTACGCCCACAATGATTACTTTCGATGCTAATACTCGTGATCTGCAGCTCCGCCACGTGCTGTCCATCAAACCCGAGCAGACCGTCGTCTTCGAGCGCTTCTCCGACTCATCCGGCGGTTTCGTCACACTCGACCCGAGCAATCCACAAGTCTTCAAGACTCTCATCCGTGCTGCTAAGGCTAAGCTGAAGCTGCGTCTCAAGGCTACCGTCACACCAATCGAGCAAGAAGAGGAGGCGTCCACATCCGAGGCTACACCCGCTAAACCCGTCAAGCCTGTCATCGTTCACTCCCCCGTCTACCAGGGATCTCCGGCCTCACGCGAGTCGATGGCTTTCGATCGTCGTTCAGTGGGTAGTGGAATCTTCCAATTCCGCGAGGCTCGCGCCTCGCAGCAGACGCTTACCAACCCCAAGGCTGAGGCACCAGTACCACAACCCTTCACGACCGACAACAAGGACTTCTTCCAGAACCTCGCGAGCCCAACCGCACTCCCTGTTCGCAACCTTGGCGTGCCAGTTGCTCAGCCAGCTCCCACCGTCAGCCACGCCTGGTCGGTGTACTGCAACGAGTGCGACAAGCCCATGTCCGATGCCCATTACCACTGCAGCATCTGCGATGGCGGCGACTACGACTTGTGCGAGGAGTGTGTGGCTGGTGGCAAGCTCTGCTCAGGCGAGGCTCACTGGCTCATCAAGCGCTTCATTAAGGATGGCAAAGTGGTCAACAGCACCACCGAGCGCATCTCGCCCCGTTTGAAGAAGGCTATTCGCATTGAGGATCTTTTGAAGAAGCCTGTGCAGGCGGAGAGTGTTGAGATCAAGAAGGAGATGCCTGGTGCGTTTGCTGAGGACACCAAAACCTTGGCTGAGGAGTCTCTCATCCCTACTCGCACGTGCAACAACTGTGTTGTCGTTCTGCCAGAGGCGAAGTTCGTCACTTGCACGGATTGCGCGGACTTCGATCTCTGCATCAGCTGCCACGTTGCAAACAAGCATGGTCACCACCCAGCTCATGGATTCAAGCCTGCAACTGACGACACCGAGCTGTCCATGCAAGCCGAGGCCATGCTTCCGGCTGGTCGCAACATCCGCCACAACGCAATTTGCGATGGCTGCGACAAGGGCATCTACGGCGTTCGACATAAGTGCTTGAACTGCCCAGATTGGGACTTCTGCAACGACTGCGTCAAGAACGCTCGTCACATCCACCCTCGTCACCGGTTCGCCGCTATCTACCAGCCGATTGCGGACCAGTACACCCATGCCACTCGCCACTTCGGCATCTACTGTGATGGCCCACTCTGCAGCAGCAAGCAAAGCCAGACCTACATCACTGGCGTACGCTACAAGTGTGCCGTCTGCCACGACATGGACTTCTGTGCCAACTGCGAGGCGTTCCCTGGCAACCACCACAACCGCACGCACCCTCTCATCCAGTTCAAGACTCCTGTTCGTAATGTGAGCATCACGACCGAGAACGAACACCCCAATGGCGAGGTGCGCATGATGGGTGATCGTAAGCAGAAGACCGAGACCGTCGTCCCAGTCCAGCAGGCTAGTGCTGCCATTCCAGTGCAGACCGTGGCTGAGATCAAGCCCAGCGAGGTCAAGCAGGAGGTTGTGGAGTCCAAGACCGAGCAGGTCGCTCAGCCCATTCCTGTCATCAAGTCCGAGGCACCCAAGGTTGTGCCGATTCATGCTGTTCCAGCCACCATGCTGCAGGCGCACTTTGTCCGCGACAGCATTCCAGATGGCACGCCTATGCAAGCTGGCGCCCGCTTCGCCCAGATCTGGACGATCAAGAATCCAGGTCCTTTCGCTTGGCCAGCAGGCTGCAGCGTCAAGTACATTGGTGGCGACAACATGCTGAACATTGACAACCAACATCCGGCTTCCGTCACTGATATTGCTGCTGCTTCGGAGAGCAATGTTGTCGGTCGTGAGGTCCAGGTCGGCGAGGAGGTTGCGTTCAAGGTTGTGCTGAAGGCTCCTGCTCGTGTTGGGGATTCCATCTCTTACTGGCGTTTGAAGTCTGCGGATGGTACACCTTTCGGTCATCGTTTGTGGTGCGATATCAAGGTCGGTGAGGCACAGCGTCAGCCGAGCGGCATGGGCGTTCCACAGAACATCCAGTTCCAGCAGCAACAGTACGCGAACATGGCGATGCGCCAACGCCAAATGCAGATTGCCCAGCAACAGCAGCAACAGGCCCAGCTCCAGGCCCAGCTTCAGGCTCAGCAGAAACAGGCACAGGTTCAGGCTCAGCAGCAGCAGCAGCAGCAGCAGCAGCAGCAGCAACAGCAGAGGCAAGCGATGCAGATGATGCTTGCTCAGGAGCGTATACGTACTATGGCCGCGACTCAAGCACAGGACGCCCAGGCATCTAGCTCTGGTGGGCCTTTTGGCAAGTTCATTGGCACGCCTCCAGCTTACAACGAGGTCAACCAGGATATGCAGAGCCAGCTTGCGGTTATGCGTGCGCAGCACCAGAAGGCTATGCAGGCTCGCGCTGCTGAAGAGCAGAAGAAGCGTGAGGGCGAGGCTCCGATCCAAAACCCATTTGCCCACCCTCCTATCGCTGGCCCGTCCACGAACGCCACGCAGAACAAAGCATCTGAGGATTACGAGGCTCGCAAGGGCCACGCTAAGCAGCGTGTCGACTTCATCAAGGCTAAGATCATGCGTGCCCGTGAGGAGGCCGCACAGAAGTCTATGCAGGAGGAGCTGAAGAAGGCTGAGGAGGCTACTCCCGTTGCTTCAGGCAGCGAGGAGAAGGTCCGTAAGATTATCGAGGAGGTTGAGAAGGAGAAGAGCGGTGAGACAGAGGCTGAGGAAGAGCAGATGGAGCGCTCTTCGATGGTCTTCCCTAAGCTCGACAAGGAGAGTCCCGCCAGCAGCACTTACCAGTCTGCTACTTCGTCGTCGACTACCAAGGGCAAGGCTGCTTACGTGGAGAATGAGGCTGGCGAGGTCGAGCGCGAAGCTATTCCTGCTACGCCTGTTGTTGCTCCCGTCGCTATCTCCGAGCCCAGCGTCACTTCTCCGTCAGTCGAGGAGGATGGTTTCGATGATCTGAGCGAGGAGATTGAGATCATGAGTGCTATTGCTGGGGACGAGAGCGAGGATGATGGCTTTGCTACGGACGAGGAGTACGAGATCCTCTCTGTGGGTGACGAAGAGTAGGGCGGCTTAACCGACTGCCACTGAGATTGTTTTAGTAGGCTGGCTTGGAACTGGCGCTATGGGGGATTGAATGGCGTTCTGGTCGATGTTTGCACTGAGTGCTGCTACGATCTAGCTCGGCTCCTTTGTCTCTTTGGTACTAAGAGTGCTGTAACGAATAATGCACGATCTTGAGGACAATTTTCCACACTATAAGCTTGACTGAATTTGCCGACTTCAGCACCTCCATTGCCGTATCACTCGCACATGTTCCACTATTCATACGGGGTACAGCTGATGCTATTTTGTCCATTGCTTCGCGACCACTACGCACATGCCGTGGCCATCACTCCTGGGCCGCACTCGTCATCCGACCTCGGCGTTTTCATGATCGGCCTGCCACTTCACCTCCGCAAAACCCCGGAGCCGCCTGACGCACGTGAAAGCTTGCTTCCAGCTGCTCCATTGCTCCGACATGTCCCTCGGTCCATCGACACCTTGTGCCAATGGTTACGGCATCGTCCAGCAAAGCCTGGATCGCAGCGCACATGTCTGAGTACTTATGGAGTATGCCGGGTTGCCTCGGAGGGCCCAAGAGCCAATGGGCTGGCTAGGTAGGTACAGTCATGAGCATGACCGAGATGTAGATGAAGGTTTGGGTTTGGTTAAGAAGCACGTACTTTCGTATCTCCTCAGCTGAAGACCTAACAAGACTTCTGGTTGCTGTGACGAAGGAGCGAGTCATCTGACTTTTTCGCTATTTATTCATACCATCTCTCTACTGTTCTCTGCTGTCCAACCAGAACGACCACCACAAAAAACCTCACCATCAGCAGTCAAGCTGGCGGACCGCCTCAAAGCCGTAGTGTCCTCCCTCGCCCACGTTCTTCCCACCACAATTCCTAGCCTCGGAATGGCAGAGCACAAGGATGTCTCGTCCTTGACGGACGCCTCGGAGCAGCAACGCTTCGAGGATGAGGTCAAGTCAATCCAGAAATGGTGGACGGATTCTCGATGGAGATACACCCGACGTCCTTACACGGCGGAGCAGATCGCGAGTAAGAGGGGAAACTTGAAGATCGAGTGGGCGAGTAATACTATGTCGAAGAAGATGTGGAGGTTGCTCGAGGGCAAGTTTGCTGTAAGTTGATGCTGGTGCTCGATTTTAGAAGGAAGGTGCTGCTATGGAATCGACGATACTAACACCATTTGGCAGAACCGAGACGTGAGCGCAACATTCGGCTGTCTCGATCCCGTCATGGTCACACAAATGGCCCAGTATCTGGAAACTGTCTACGTCTCCGGCTGGCAATCATCTTCTACGGCCTCCGCGACAGACGAGCCCGGTCCAGATCTTGCAGATTACCCTTACGACACGGTGCCAAACAAAGTCCAGCACTTGTTCAAGGCACAACTTTTCCACGACCGCAAACAACGCCAGGAACGCCTCGAAGTCGCAGCGGCAGATCGATCGAAAGTCGCCAATGTAGACTACTTGAGGCCGATCATAGCGGACGCAGACACGGGACATGGTGGCTTGACAGCAGTGATGAAGCTCACACAAATGTTCGTCGAGAAGGGTGCAGCTGGGATCCACATCGAGGATCAAATGCCCGGAACCAAGAAGTGCGGACACATGGCTGGAAAGGTCTTGGTGCCTATTAGCGAACACATCAATCGTCTTGTCGCCATCCGTGCGCAAGCAGATATCATGGGGTCTGATCTCCTTGCCGTGGCTCGAACAGATTCCGAAGCAGCGACTCTCATCACCTCTACCATCGACCCCAGAGACCACCCCTTCATTCTCGGTTCTACGAACCCGGCATTGCAACCATTGAACGACCTCATGCTCGCGGCTGAGCAAGCAGGAAAGCAGGGACCCGAGCTCCAAGCAATCGAAGACTCATGGATGGCACAAGCAGGTCTCAAGCTCTTCGCTGCAGCAGTCGTAGACACCATAAATGCAGGCGTGCACGTCGACAAGGCTGGCTTGATCTCCGACTTCCTCGCCAAAAGCAAGGGAAAGAGCCACTCGGAAGCTAAGGCTATTGCTAAGGGCTTGACTGGCGTAGACGTCTACTTTGACTGGGACGCCCCAAGAGTACGAGAGGGATACTACAGAATCCAAGGTGGCTGCGCTTATGGTGTCGCGAGAGCCATTGCGTATGCACCCTATGCAGATATGATATGGATGGAGAGCAAATTGCCGGACTTCAAGCAGGCGAAGGAATTTGCTGATGGTGTGCACGCTGTCCGGCCCGAGCAGAAGTAAGTGACAGCATAATCCACCTGCCAATTTCAGTGTTATTGAATGTGTACTGACTATGACCTAGACTTTCTTACAACCTCTCACCCTCCTTCAACTGGAAGTCAGCCATGCCCGCTAACGAACAGGAAACCTATATCAAGAGGCTCGCCAAGCTAGGATACTGCTGGCAATTCATCACCCTCGCCGGTCTCCACAGCACCGCTCTGATCTCCTCGTCATTCGCGAAGGACTTCAGCAAGAGGGGTATGAGAGCTTATGGCGAGACGATCCAGGAGCCGGAGATGGAGCAGGGTGTGGATGTTGTCAAGCATCAGAAGTGGTCGGGAGCGAACTATGTCGATGAATTGTTGAGGATGGTGCAAGGTGGTGTCTCGAGTACGAGCGCTATGGGTGCGGGTGTTACTGAGGATCAATTCAAGCACTGACAGCTTGATCAAAGTTGGGTCTGGAAACGGTTTACAGGCTCATATGTACATGAATTTGAACATGCGATTCTTTGAATTCTGATGTTTGTCCTCCCGATTGCCTTATCCGCATAGTATGCCCGTAAGTGGGCGCATGACACGCGAATGAAGCCTCTCTTCTCCTGGCCGAGCTATTGAAGTATGTGCCACGGACGTCTGTTTGTTGTGCGTATATAAACCACTCTGTATTATGTACGGAGACGTCTTTTGGCATAACACTGTTGGCGTAGCCGATTGTTCTCTTACTGCGCGTTTGGCGCCACCATATGAGGCGTTGCTGCTATAGGACACCAACCCGAGCCCGCCTCGACGTCAGAGCAGTCGTCCGCAGCACGTTGTTGATTTGGCAAGCATCGATACTTACTCTTCGAACGGCGAGCGTAAAACGTGGTCCTCCATCTTCAACGCTTTTCGGTGGTCCTCAGTGATACTACTATCGCCAGAAATGTACACCGACGTCTCAAAGCTGACCATTCCGTCCACCATCCGTACCGAGTCATCCTCCGCCTGCTCTCCTTCCGTCAGTATCTCCTTCGCCACGACTAGCACAGTGTCATCTTGAAGTGACCGCTCGTCAAATATGACGAAGTGCTCATGATCAAGATCTGCACCTGCTCGGACTAGACCCTGTAGCATGTGGGCGCATTCGTCCCCGTTCGCCCAAGAATGGAGAGGAAGCCCGGATGGCAATATTTTTGCCAACCTTGCTTTGCTAGCTATGGTCTCTGTTTAAGCTGTCCACGAACACCAGCTATATCTCGTCGTCGCTGCCGAATCCGCCCTCGTCCTGTTGGAACTTCAGATTACGCTCGAGGAAACGATCCAAGGTCTTGAGCATGCAACTATTGTATCAGCTTGATATCCAGCAAGAATGGTCAATTACCGTTGGAAGGCTGGAAGGGTGACTTGCCTGCACACTGACTTCGACAACACAACATACCGGTATCAGGCGACCAGGGTTGATCAAACTCGGCATTGTAATCTGCCAACTTGTCGTCGGAGAATTTGGGGTTCCTCTCGCCTCGATAGTGAGCAGATTCAGTAGTTGTGAAGCGGGTTAAGGAAAGGTGTCACCGTGTTGGATTGAACGCAAAGGAATGTTCGCAGAGCAAGCGCGAAGATGCAGGACCTTGGCATTAGCATTCGGCACGAGCGTATAGGTAATACATGAAGACATCGACACTCCTCCACGATATCTTGTGATTGCGACATCATGACAACTCGATCCAACAAGGACTTAACTTCGAGACTTGGTTTTGCTTGGGTTGATATTGTCATGCCCATAGCGCATGAAAATCGTTGATATGAGTCATCGCTAGAACGCAAGTGACGAGATGCCAATCAGCCATCTTACGAATCAAGAAGAGCCTCAAGGCAGATCAGGCATCTTCTCATAGCCAGTATGTCGTTCTGTTGTAAAATCTCCATTCTCGTCCACGTGCATGAATCTTCCTCCCTTAAGCCGTCGATGTGTCACAAAGGCGCCGTAGGCCAGACTCGCGTAGTATGATCCGCTGTGGAGCATTAGATTAGCCAGTAGATCACAAGCTTTAGCATAAGTCCATTTGTCTATGACATACGTGATGATAGCTGCAATGGCCAACCCGACCATCCACAGCGGCTGCTTCGAATTTGCCGTAAAGTCCATGAAATCCAGGACCAGGTAGATGGACCAGAACAACACTTTGCAAATTTGTAGACCGAGATAGGTCAAAGGCTGAAGGTACTTGAATGATCGAAGGACGATCTCGAGTGGTTCTGAGAGCATGCATATGCCTATGAGGGAGATGGTTGCTATCCATGCACTACTGGAATTTCAGCATTTGGCTCAGCGTCTCATGAGTTCCAAATCACTCACGTAGGTGTATAACCGTGTTGTCCATCAAAGCTGAGCATGAAGTAGCCTTGCAGGCCGAAGAAACAGAGTATAAGAAAGATATGAGTGGTCCAGAGTGGAACCAAGACCCAGCGGGACCAAGTGTCCGGAGCATACATCTTGATGATCTCTTCTGTTGTCGTCGACGAAGTAGACCGGGTAGGCATATGAGAAGATCAGCTATCTTGACTCACGGTGGACAACGTTGTCGCATGTAACCACGGGGGGGACATGTTGTATATAGACGTCCTAGCTGTCAGTATTGTTTGCGTCCTGGATACGGGAACTTGAATGGCACGCCGAACGCTATGGTACGCCTAGATCATGGCAGTACCGAAAGCAGGCGAGCGTGTCGTGCCAGAACTCTGGTCTTTGAACGTGGCTTGCATGACTACAGCTGGTTTCTACTGTTGTCGGCGCCACTGGGTTGAGGAGAGGGCTGATGAGGGAAGGGACGAAAATAGGTTGCTCGGCAGACAGAAGTCGTGATTGACAGCAACAACCCAACAATAAGCAGTGACGTGGATGATATGTCAGTCCATATCATAGCACATACTGTATCGTGGTCATGTGGGTCGATATATTCCATTTGCTGAGGATGTGTGGGAGAATGAGCGCGAGATACCGTTCATATCTTCGATGACAGAAGACACGCGATGTAATGTGCGCAATAATCTTAATCTCCCCTTTCACAGCCTCGACCATATGGCGGAACATAAGCTTTGAATAGCCTCTCGGTCGCCGATCGGTCGAGGATCGATCTCGTGCTACGACTACTGTTCTTGAGTCAAAGCAACTCGAAGTCAAAGCTACTCGAAGTCAAAGCAACTCGGACAGGATTGTAGTCAAAGTATGCACTGCAATACTTACGCCACCGGCATTTCAATTCTCGTCTTGCTTCTACCCAGCTCCAGCCACGTGCACGTGACTGCGTCTCCAACACAGCCTTGCTCGAGGCCAGTCGGCCTTGCAGCACTGTCGCAGAGCAGGCATGCGATGGTGGTCGCAGGATCATACGCCGTGCAAGCAATTAAAGGATAGCACGAGTATTCTGGACTACTTGTACAAGACCACCGTGATCTGAAAAGCTGGAAATGTCGCCAGACGCAGCTTTGTGAAGCAGACCAGCATGTTTGATCTACTGACCGCACTGAGCATTGCAGCCGCCGTAGTTCAGTTCGTAGACTATGGCAGCGACATCGTTGGCACCACCTACCGGATATATAAGTCGGCCGATGGCGCTCTTGACGAGAACGTGGATACGGAACGGATAATCATCCGTCTTCGGGACATCAGTCAAGAGCTGACCATTGCGTCCAGTCTTGACAACTATGGCTTTATCGCAGGTGAGAAACAGCTGCAGGCAACAGCAGGGGACTGCCAGAAGGTAGCCAAAGAGTTGCTGGACATGTTGCAAGAGCTGGCCCAAACCAGGTCTCGGTTCAAAACATGGGACGCGATGCGCAAGGCGTTGAAGGCCGTACGTCAAAAGGATTACGTCGAGAAGCTACAGATCCGGCTTGAGTGCATAAAGAGCCAGATGGCTTCACACTTGCTGCAAATCTTGGGGAAGGTCCGACAATGCCAGCAGGATATGTCTGCTGCTCGCACCATGCTTATTGCCGTGTAGCAACCAGCAGTCGCGATTGGCGAGTGCCCTTCGCCATCATGTTGAAGTGTCCGAGAATCTAAAACTTGGTATGAAAAAGGATCTCGAAGATGCCAAACGAGAGCTGGTCGGTTCCATATCGGAGGTCCAAACAGCAACCTCGCAGATAGAGACCGAGATTGATGACTGGGGTCAATTACTCTTGACGAAGATGGATGCCATGTCAGACGTTGCTAACCGTATCGCGACGTCGAAGGATCTGCTGGACAGTCTTCACTTCACGGAAATGCCTATGCGTCACATCCAGATCCCAGTGGCGTACGCCGACACAAATTCGTGGATATTTGAGGCCGAGAACGGCCCATTTCGGAATTGGCTGGAAGCATCGAGTGGTATATTCTGGATCGGCGGCAGAGCTGGCAGTGGGAAGTCGACATTGGTAAAATTTCTGGCTGATCACAAACGCACTCGAAGACTTCTCAGAAAGTGGGCTAAGATCCGTGACGACACAACAAAGTCCGAAGAGGTTAGTAGACTCGCTATTGCGAGCTACTACTTTTGGAACTCCGGGTTTTCTATACAAAAGTCGCTCGGAGGCTTGCTGCAAAGCCTCTTGTATCAGATCTTCCATCAGTGTCCGTCCTTACTTCGTTCCGCCTGCACACAACGTTGGGAAGCCCTCGAAAGCGGAGAGAGCAGACCTGACAGCTGGACCACGGAAGAGCTGTCGAAGGCCATGGACGCTTTGCTGTTGGATAGTTCATGGACTTCCCATTTCTGCTTCTTCATCGATGGCCTTGACGAGTATGAAGGCACTTCCGGAGAACAACACGCCATGGTAAAGGGTCTCGACCGTCTAGCTGCACATCCATGCGCAAAGGTTTGCGTGTCCAGTAGACCATGGAATGTCTTTCGAACTGCGTATGATAAGAATGAGAGCCATAGGCTTCTGCTGCAAGATCACAATCGGGCGGATCTCGACACGTACATCTCAGGTAAACTTGAGGCAGATGATCGGTTCAAGGCGCTTGCTGCTAGCGACGAAAGAGCATCGGCTTTTGCGCTGGAGATAAGGTACGCGCAAGGGCTCATGGCACGGTAGTATGGCTGACTGTTCACAGGCAGAAAGCAAATGGCGTTTTGCTCTGGGTATTTCTGGTCGCGCGCTCCCTTCTGGATGGCTTGACCGAGGAAGACGACATACATATGCTGCAAGTCAGATTGGACGCGTTGCCACCTTCACTCGAGGACTACTTTGCACTTATGCTTAAGTCGATTGATGCAGCCTACCGCAAGTACACTGCTCGGGCTCTACTGCTTGCCTGTCATGCGACGCAACCATTGCCCACGCTTGCATACTATCACCTGAATGTGGAACTGAATAATCCTCACTACGCCATAAAGGCTCCGGTGCAGACGGACTCATCGTCCGAGCTGGATGCCCACAGACGAGGTGTGATCTCGTGGATCAACAAGTGGTGTCGAGATCTTCTCGAAGTCAGTCCCATTCGATGGGGAAGCGATCCCCTTGGTCTCCTGCAAGACTACCGCGTGGACTTTCTGCATCGGACTGTACGAGACTTTTTGGCCGACGAGGGCATGCAAACAACGTTTGCACGAGACGCTGGCGCTGACTACAACCCACGCTTATCACTCTGCCGGTCGTATCTGATGCTGGCGAAAGCGTATGTCAGCACATCGTCGCAAACACAGGGATCAGAGGGCTTTTAATCTACTGCGGGCTACGTCATGTATCATGCCAAGCAGTGCGAGGTGTTCGACAGGATGACTCCGGTCAGACTACTAGAAGCGCTCGATGAGACAGGTAACATGATACCTCGGACCTTCAGCTCTGTACACTAGACTTCGAGTTGTCCTAGGCTTGACCGCGATCTTGCAATGCGCGAGAGCAACTTTCTAGCATATGCAGTCGAGTGGGACCTGCAACTGTATGTTAGAGTGATACTGAAGCAGTGCCCAGAAGCCATTGTCAAGAAGACGGGCGCGGACCTGCTGCGGTATGCCGAGTCACCCACCATTAGGCACGAGTCACTGCCAACGGAGCGCAGAGCTGCGCCGGATATGTGCTCACTACTGGGGAGGGCTGCGAAACGTCTCGCGAGGCGCACGGCCAAGGCAAGCCTGGCATCCTCAGACATTGGCACGTACCCTGAGGATATGGCAGAAGAGCAAGGCAATCGAATGCCTATTAGGGTGCGCTGTTCACCGCAGAGCTCGCATGTTGCTTTCAACAAGACCGCTATATTCAGACGTCCAGAGGAAATTAGTATGACCGAAAGCCTGGAGGACACGGATCTTCTTCTTCTCGGAACAAGCTCACCGGTGGGATCGTACATGCTACGTGCTGCGTATGGGATGCTTCCTACGCCACGTGGAGGCTTTGCTCATCTCAATCACAGTGTCAGAGAGCTACCGGGCCTATCCGCGCCCCGTCAGATTGCATCGAAAGGCACGAGAGGGAACAGCCGGCCAGCGGAGCATTCGCACGAGAGCCTAGAGAATGACCACAGTGCAATCAAACCATCATCGCTCAACAGCGAACACATACGCAGTTTGATCTGATATTGAGCTCACTTCGTCATGACAAGACCTCGGTCCTCAGATCATCTGGCCAGATCGCCTTGTCGACGCCATTCGTCCTGGTCCCGATGTTGTAGCCAAGATGCACATCATCTGCAAATTGAGCGATCGGCTTGACTTGCTGGAACGTATGACCGACAGCCTTTGACTTACGATGCTCGAAGAACTCAGGTCTTAGAAGCGTGTCTCGGTCATGCTTCGCCAGCAGCGCCATCATAGAAGGCAGTGTGTAGCTCATCGAGTGGAAGTTGCGATATACCGGTGAGCCGTGGCGCTGCCAGACCTCCTTCCAGACGTCTTCTGGATATTCGCCAACTGACTTGACGAGCCACTGGGAGTAATAATTCAGGGCGATCTTTCAAGAGGTTTAGCATTGGCACCCGAACATGCAAGACAGCAGTCACTTACGTCCACCCCGTACGAACCACCCTCCTCAGCACGCCGAAGGAGAGCATGCAATACTGCTGTGCTACCCACAGCGCCAGTACTGTTCTGCCGTTAGCACAGAACTTGCCTTCAATCTATGATCACTGACCAGTAGTCCGAATTGGGGAAGATAGGAGTGACGGCTTCTTGATTGCCCATTGCTTGGCCATATTCCATGGACACACCGCAGCACTGGCGAACGTTAGCACCATGGTGTCAATATTCGGTCAACGGGACTTACAGCATCACTGATCTGCTGCCATCCACTTCGATGTTTCCAAGGCCCGTGCCAGCCATAGCAGTTCTCGCGAACATGGATAATACCACGCGCACGATCCTTCACGAGGTCCAGGATCGCGTCCCGACCAAGTCCATTTCGTTCCATCGAGCCTGGTCGGTATCCTTCAACCACTACGTCTGCTTCCTTGATTAGCTCTCGAATGGTCTGTCGGCCGTGCTCAGTCTTGAGATCCAGGAATGCAGTCCATTTGCCCCAGTTCAGGTCCTGGTGGACCAGCGACAGATCGGTCAAGTGGGGAGCAGTCACTCGCAAAACGCTTGCGCCCATCTCTGCCAAGCAGCGAGTCACAGTCGGTGCAGCGATGACGCGGGTGAGATCTACTACCTTCAAGCCAGCCAGCGGTCGATTTGGTGACGATGGCATCGATGCGTGGTCAGGCCACCACGATGCAGGCTGATGTCCGTCGATCTTGTTGAGCTCGTACAAGCCGACGTGGGCGTTCGCCTTGCCATGCTCGGACTTCTGGAACTCTTCAATCGTCCAGCAAACAGTCCCCGCTTGCTTGTATTGCTCATTCATGAGCTGATCTAGCTCCAAGGCGGTATAGTTCCCGACGACTTCCTGGAACTTCCCAACTGCAGCATCGTATGTCTCATCCTTCGGCCCAGTTAGTGGCATGTCAAGCGCAGTCAATGTCGGATCTGGGTTCATGCTACCGTGTGCATGGAAAAACCGCCCATCCTTCGTGCGATATATGTTCGTGGCATGAAGGCGATGCCAGTCCACGCAATCATGCAGATCGGTACTCGGGAACCCATAGTCCTTCATCACGCTAGAGTCGAAACAGTTGATCGGCATTGCCTGTCCATGCTCGTCGACCAATTTTGCGAGGAATGGCGACATCACGAACAACGAAGCGTGATCCGTATTGATGCCGACTTTTGACATCGGCACCCCGTATTTTTTGCTTCGCAAAACATTCATCATTGATGCTTCGAAAGCTTTGAGGGCTGATATGCTCTCAGCGAAGCGCCAATTGATCGGGATACTGGGACGATCAGAGCCAGTGAATGTTACAAGTCGAGCGGCTTCCCTGATGTCTGGTGGCAAGGAAGGTACCAGAGGGTTTGCAAGTATCTCTTCATGGTAGATCTTGTCGGCCTCTTTAGGCACGGAGTAACTGTTCTGTTCGATCGAGCCCATAATGGCTGCTACTCTCAGAATATCTGCTAGTACTCTTAAGATGCTGCTGCTGTCTGGTCGTTGAGCTGAGCGACAGACTCGGGCACTCGGTAGTTGGGATTGTCTCATAGATGCAATGTATATGCATGTGTTCGTGAGATTCGGATCGTTGTTTTCCTACCCGAAGTCGCCCCCGCTTCGATGCTGATGAGCACAAATGTATCCTCGGACATACTCAGGCATAATTATGACACTGGTAAGGCGAATCAACAGCTCGGCTTCAACGCCCATGACAGTCGCGGGGCAACGGATACAAATAGCAGTGTGCCAGAATCAACGAACACCATCAGACGTTTCGCCCAGGACCGGCAATCTTGTACACTACCGTCTCTAAGACCCGACCTGACACAGTATAATCCTGATCTATCGTATCAAGTCTACAACACAAGGACGATATACAATGGGCTCCGTCAAGCGAGCAGTCAGAATTGCCAATTGCTCAGGCGCTGTACCAGATCCTGGTGAGCACATGCTCAATCAAGCAAAGTATGGTCCTGTCGATGTAATAACCGGAGACTATCTTGCCGGTCAGTGTAGCATAGCAGCTGGACCTGGAGCGATGCTGATGAATTGCAGAGGTCAATCTAGGCAACGATGCGGAGGCCTACGCCGCTGGGACACATACCGGCTGGATACCAACAGCCTGGGACGGTCTCCAGAAATCCATCGATTTAATAGCCGAGAAACGGATCAAAGTGATCATTAACGGCGGCGCCCTCAACCCGAGAGGTCTCGCAGAAGAGACTTTGCTTAAGTTGATTGAACCTAAAGGCCTGGATCTGATGGTGGCGTATGTCTATGGTGATGACTGCTTACATAAAGTGCATTCTCTCTTGACCAAGGACAAGGCGTTGCCACATCTGGACAAGGAGAATAGTCATGTGCAGCTCGAGAAGGATACCGAGGAATTCTTGAAGTTTCCGGATGAGTTTCCGATTGTGAGCGCTAATGCGTACCTGGGTATGCGAGCCGTCAAGCGTGGACTCGATGAGGGTGCGGATATCATCATCTGTGGTCGGGTTGCAGACGCTAGTCCAGTGATCGGTGCTGCAGCGTGGTGGCATGGCTGGAAGGAGACTGATTATGATGAGCTTGCTGGTGCATTGATAGCTGGCCACCTCATTGAATGCTCAACGTATATCACGGGAGCCAACTATAGCGGCTTTTTCAAGCACGATATGGATGAGTTGCTGGATCTTGGTCTGCCCATCGTTGAGGTCGAAGCCAATGGTGAGTGCATCGTGACAAAGCACGAAGCTCTGAATGGTTTCGTGAACGAGGACACAGTCAAGTGCCAGCTGCTATACGAGCTGCAGGGTACGATCTACCTAAACAGCGACGTCAACGCCGAGATCAAGAATATGCGCATCAAAGACATAGCAAAAGATCGGGTCCGGGTTTCTGGCGTGACCGGAGCACCACCTCCTGCAACAACGAAACTCGCAGTCTTTTACAAAGGCGGCTGGCAGTGTGAGCTGTTGCTGAACGCATCGGGATATGCTACCGAGAAGAAGTTCGCACTGCAAGAGGCGCAGATCCGGCGGAAGCTGAAAGATTTTGGTTTGATTGACAAGTTCGATGTCCTTGACTTCCAGTGGGCGGGCAGGCCAGCTACGAACCCGAGTTGTCAGCTAGCGAGCACGACTTACCTTCGTGTCTTCGCGCAAGCTAGAGATAAGAATGTCGTTGCCAGCGTTCTGGGTGCCTGGGCGACAAATACCATGGTCAGTCAGCTTGGATAGCGATGTGTGAAATGCTGACACAGTCTAGCAACATTTCGCGGGGTTTCACTGTAGCCTCGATCTTCGTAATGCGACGCCAAAGCCATTCCTGGGCTTCTACCCAGCAGTGATCGACCAAAGTGAGCTAGAAGAGAGCGTCAACATTCTTCCTCGCGGCCATTCCACAGAGTCGAAGAAGTTTGTCGTTGGTCCTCCAAAGCGGACGGAGCGGATACAGGACCGAGAGGATTACGGACCAACAGATCCAGTCAACCTAGCCAGCTTTGGTGAAACAGTCATGGCGCCATTAGGTGATATAGCTCTCGGTCGGTCAGGCGACAAAGGAGCGAACGTCAACTGCGGTCTGTTTATTCCAGCTCACGAAGATCCTGATGGTGAGAAATGGGACTGGCTGAGGACGGTGATGACGAAGCAGCAGATGCAGAAAATGATGGGGAGTGATTGGAAGGACTGGTATCATATCGAGAGGTGCGAAATGTCGGGTATCCGGGCGGTACATTTCGTCGTGTATGGGCCCCTGGGACGAGGTATGTGTGCTCTGTGAGACAGATATAACGTGCTTGCTGCTGATGTCTCTCGCAGGAGTGAGCAGCTCAAAAATACTGGACAGTCTGGGCAAAGGCTTTGCCGAGTTCATCCGAGATGTGCATGTGCCCATACCACGGAAGTTCATGAGTAGCCATCGCGCTGAACATCTGTAAAATGTCAGTGATCAAATGGCACGAAAGGAATTTAGGGAGATCGATGCCCTGGGCGAGATGGTTGCCACACTCAGCACAAACTGACCACCGAGGCTAGATTCGCGGGTCGCCGGGATGTGGGAGTAACACAAGCAAGTCCTTTGCAAGACATGCTGACACCCTCATCTCACCTGCTTTCATGCAACTCTGTTGTCGGGTGTGCAAGTGAGCTCTCGGCTCCGCCATGTCCAGGAGACCATTTTAGCTTCAGAGACATGCCGTAAGCGGAAACACCCCCGCTTTTCCTCGACTATCAGCCAATCACCCAGCCTTCCATCTCACCACCCCTTGAACTCAGTGCAACAACCCCAGCCCCCGAGTGTTGTCTCCCAGAACCAATTTACGCGTCCGTCTTCGCGATCTGTTAGAGAGCGAGGCCGAGCACAGACATTGCTCGATAGCTGATAAGGAGCGCAATGGTAAGATGGGCTCTTTCGCAACCCAATCCCTGACCTTCTCGAGTCTTGTTCGTCTCAAACTATCCATACTTTCTTTACTTCTACACAGCCTGTCCAGTCGCACTTCAGTACTACTACTTGACACTCTTTACCAACGATCGACTACACTTCACACCTCGACAGTAACATTGGAACAATGGGCATTGCACTTTACGAATCGTCCTACGTGCCTCAGCGCACCGTAAGGCGTCACTTTATGTTCTATACGGCACGCGCTCAGCAGGCTCTCGAGCACCAGTCCTTCTTCTTTGACCAGAAGGAGAAGCTGTCTCTCATGCTTAACACCATTGGCGCCGAAGCAAAGGCCGCCAGCTTCCCGGCCTGCATGGACTATCCCGAGCTGACGGCGGCCGTCACGCAGCTACTGGATGAAGCAGTGCTCGCCAGCACGCTTACCTTCGATCAGATTCAACAGGCTGGGCTGCAAATGGGACCTTTCACTGAAAAGGTTAACATCGTCGAGACCGTCGCGGCCGACGTCCGCAGTCGCGCCATGGCTGTCCCAAAGACTGTCTCTCGGAAGAGAGGCAGGAGGGAGGAGGACGAGGACGATGAAGAGATGTCTTTCGCTTCCTACACGACCTGCAATAAGCGCGGCAGAAGTACCGCTGCTGATTACGACATCGTCATCGAGCCTGCCTACTGCGGGAACTACGCCGAGAACTTCTTGCAGACTGCGTGGTGGACGCAGGTCTGCGAATGAACGCCATATCGAAGACAACCTTCCCTACCTTCGCGCCGAGGCACAGCCTCAATGCGCCTCTTCGCGGCCTTGGTGCATCGCGCATGCATCACGCGTGCATCCAGATGGAGACATGGTCTTTGCCCTGACCAGGCGCATGTGTCCGCTTCGCCTTCCATCGATCGATCCTGACGAGACCACCCGATGAAGTCTCGCTATCGCGACCATCTACGACATATCCATCGTCATCATATTCCACCTCTTGACCTGGGCGCTTGAGCAACTGCTCGTAGAGCTCTGGTGATAGACCATGAGGTGGACCACCAGTCTTCGGTTCCTTCCCAAGCGGAAACTCGAGACATACAAGATGACCAGACGGCGCCAATAATTCACCCATGCGTTTCGCCCACGAGGGTCGCAACGATGGCGGAAGTGCACACAAGAATGTGTAGTCATATATGACATCGAAGTCGCCCTTTCCACCAGTCTGGGCCAGGAAGTCGGACTTGAAGAAATCACCGAGGAACACCTTCGTGTCTCCACGGTCATTGCTACTCGACGGATACTTCTCAGCCAGTTTCGGATCCTTCATTAGCACATTAGCCCGCTCGACGGCTTCAGGCGCAACATCAAGACCGAAAGCATCGTAGCCTTGCGATGCAAAAAGGAGCACATCATATCCTTTCCCACAACCTGGCACCAAGACACGCTTTCGCGATTCCGTGCTCTTGTCGACTGCTGTGCCCAAGATTGCGCTCTTGTTCTTCAGCGTGTCAACCAGAGCCAGTGACGGCATATCTCGATCCCAGGGTGTAGTGCCCTGTTTCCAGAGCTCGTTCCAACCCTTGCCATGCTCATTCGCTGGAAGGTCTTTGAACTTTGCAGAGAGCTTTTGTCGGTCATCTGGACTGAGGACACTTGTGTCGTTTGACATTGCTGTTATACTGCGTCTGATGTTGTGTTGTAAAATGCTTGTTCCCTGTGCGCGTGCGTCTAGCGTTCTGCTCGATCGTTTTTTGTACTATATGGCGCACGATGTAAGAGTAGACAAAGAGCTAGCTTGAGGAAGACTCGCTGCTATATGTATGGACAAGATGAGTGATCATCATGAAAGCTTACTCAATTCAATGTTGTTAGATTATGTAAGGCTCCTTTCGGGGACTCTTGAATCGCAGTGGAACATCAGCTTACCTTACCTAGTATGCTTGTTACTTGCACTGAAATGCCACGCAGGTGTTCTCGACGGTGAGTGAAGGATGTGTGAGTCGTCCCGTCTACGTCGTCAGGAGAGGATGCCTGCCGACAACGGCATCGACCCCGCTGCTCGTGATCAGATCGCTTTCCAAAATTCACCAACTCCATTTTCACTCAAGAGAGCAACGATAGTCGCAACGATCAGAGTTCCTGAAGTATGGACGTGCCGATGCCATGGTGTCACACTCCACATTACGTGAACGAGAATACTTGGCTCTATGATTGAGGTACAGCGCAACGACAACGGCAAAAGCTTCGCCTCGGCTACCGGCTATCTCATGCACCAAGCTGATCACGTCTGGTCTAGCGATGAATATCCACCGCGTATGGCCGATGTGTGCAATGGAAGTGTGCCGGATGCCGCACACCTGTTGAGGAGAACGGTAAGTGTTGACGGTGTCGGGGTTTCCTTCTTGATGGCCATCTACCTGTTTTGCAGCGTAGCACATGTGCATCAATATCCGGCAGCATTGACGTACGAGTGCAATGGCACTGGCAAGATGAAACGATCTGTGTGGCGCAGATGATACACCGGACCTATCGATAATCACCAGTATGGGGGACAAGTTTGAGAAGGTCGACGCGGCCCAGACTGGGAGCACAGAGTCCAACGATGCACGGCCGACGGACTCATCATATAAAAATATAGCACTGTCCAAGGAGCCAGACATCACAGCTGTGGGCGCACCATGCTCAAACAGTGAAGACATCCTCGAAACCATTATGCGAGGCCGACAATCATCAAGACACTCACGGACATCGGGATCGTCCCTAGACTCGCACCAGACTGAGCACGACAATGAAGCTCACGACCATCAAGTCCCGCCCCGTAGGACTCGAAGTAGGCCACGATCATCCTCACGATCTGTCCGTCCAGATGCTATCAAGGTACCCAGATCAGAACGACGAGGTATGCTCGCCAGATTCTGTATCTTTGCCGAAGTCACCGAGCCATACGACTACACTCGACCAAAGAAATGGATGATCACCTTCATCATTGCCTGCGCTGGTGCAGTGGCGCCAATGGGCTCAAGTCTAATCTTACCTGCACTTCGAGATATCGAAGCCACGTTCAAGGTCGATGAGACTGTCGTCAACTTGAGCGTTGCGTTATACATGCTCTCGATGTCCATTTTCCCACTATGGTGGAGCAGCTTCAGCGAGACGCTGGGACGTCGAAACATCTACCTGGCCTCTTTCATGCTGTTCGTTGTCTTCAATGTGGTGTCTGCCGTGAGTACGGATATCGCAATGTTCATCGTCATGCGATGTCTATCTGGTGGAGCGGCAGCCTCCGTGCAAGCTGTCGGCGCAGGGACAGTGGCAGATATATGGGAAGTGAAGGAACGAGGACGCGCAATGGGCATCTTCTATTTAGGTCCATTATGTGGACCTCTACTTTCGCCAATCATAGGTGGTGCTCTGGCGCAGAGTCTTGGCTGGCGGTCAACACAATGGTTCCTCGCCATATTCGGTGCTTGTCTATGCATTCTGCTTGTATTCTGTCTGCCGGAGACGCTGCGACGACGAAAGCCAATGGCAGCTATTGCTGAGGCAGAAGTGGAGGCGACTATTAATGATCAGGACGAAAAGACTGGAGCCGGACGACCTGCACTCACACGTACGGCAACCAAACAGTCGGTACGGGTCAAAACCCGCAAATACTGGGTCATGCTACGCCGCGCCTTCATCGATCCTTTACGCATCGTGCTCTACCTTCGATTTCCTGCCGTGGCAGTCTGTATATACTATTCCACGGTGACTTTCGCCTCCCTCTACGTCCTGAACATCTCCGTCCAAATGACCTTCTCCGTTGCACCCTACAACTACAGCAGCACAATAGTCGGCCTCCTCTACCTTCCAAACTCCCTCGGCTACTTCCTCTCCTCGATCTTTGGCGGTAGATGGGTTGACGCGATCATGGCGCGCGAAGCTCGCAACGCCGGCCGATACGACGAGAACGGCAAGTTAATGTACAGACCAGAAGACAGGATGCGGGAGAATGCTTGGATAGGAGCCATACTCTGGCCTGCGGCTATTATCACATACGGCTGGACAGCTCAATACGGCGTTAACACTGCTGGGCCGATGATAGCCAATTTCTTCTTTGGAGTGGGCAGTATGTTGATCTTCGCTATGGCTACTACCATGCTTACAGAGTTCATGCCGAGGAAGGCGAGTAATGGCGTGGCATTGAACAACTTCGTGAGGAACATCTTCAGCTGTGTCGGCACGATCGTGGCTAGTCCTTTGGTCAATGCAATCGGAAATGGTGCTTTGTTCACGATCATCGGGGCCGTTGCTCTAGTGAGCGGCATCTTGACCATATTGGCTATGAAGAGATTCGGTCCTCGATGGCGTGTCGGCATGGACGAGAAGATGGAAGCCGCTATGGGAGATTAGAGTGCAAGATATCCTTTGTTGTTGTTTTGACGAGCGTTGAAGCGGTCATGTCGAGGCGCTGCTCTATTAGTACATCCACGCATTTTCAGTTAGCTCTTGTATACTGGCATAGAGTCGAGCTATCAGCTTCGTATATCTACAGGTGCGCTAGTCGCATCAGATTCTCGTACATGACATCTGTTCATAACACAAATCGTTAAACAATCCTGAATTCTCCACTGACACCCTCAAATGCCGTAATCCTCCCTCCCAGAGCTTTGGAATCACCATAATACCTCAGTCTATACAGACCTCTCAACTCCTCTTCGCTTCGGTTAAACACTAGACCTCCATGCTGCTCATCGTCTTCTTGGGATTGATCGATACCTCCCCGCCACGCACCAGTCTCCCATCCCATCTCCCAGCTGATCTTCGCCTCGCTCGTACCCAGAGCAGAAGAAGTGCGTTTCCATTCGTAGACGAGCGACCAGTCTTCATCACTACGGACCCGTCGCCATGTCTTAGCTTCGAAATCGAACCTCTCTACTGCGGCGAAGGTGCCTTCGAGTCGGAGGTCGTTCCGTGGATTAGCGCCTACGAAGGTCGCGGAGACGGTTTCCCTGGGTTTGTACACGGGAAGGACGTCTGTTTTCACGTCGCCGAAGTGCTTGAAGAAGGGCGTGGTATCGACGACGACAGGTCGAATAAACGTCAGGGAGGCGTTTATATTGATTGGTGGTTGTGGACTATGCTCATGACTGCTAGGGACGTGCTGGTTTTGCGAGTCTTTGTCGTTCCCAAAGAGCTCGGGGAGGAAAGCGAGAGTCCGATTAATGTATGCATTCAGTGTCCATGGTCCATAAAGCGTCGATGCTCCCTCGTAGCGCTGGATACTATACTCCTCTCGGGTGGAGATGTAGTGTGTATATGTATTCGCTGGACCGCCAAGGACGACTATAGGATCCTGTCCTTTCGGCAAACTATGCGCCGCGGCTTCGCGCACAGCTTCTTTCCATCTTCGACCAGCCATCGTCGTCGCTTCACCAGGCGAGATAATCATGAACATCTGCCCCACACGCAGCATCTGCACGTCGACAATGTTAGGTGACCAGTCGTAAGGCTTATGTGACTCTCCCACATCAAGCAAGATGATCTTGTCCGCATGACAAGCTTGCTGCGTCTCGTTGGGTTTTGCTACGAGACCTCCTATGGCATTCCAGAAAGGCGAAGCTTGAGGGTTGTCAGGAGCTTGTTTGAAGTCGAAGGCGCCTGGTCCGTCCGTGGTGCCGGCTGCGAAGGAGTAGCCTAGAGCTGCTGGACAGGTGGATACGTAGGTGCCGTTGGAAAGTGGGAAAGTGAACGAGCTGAAGTCGACGAAGTGGTGTGTGCTTTTCACTACGCCACCCGTGATGGGCGTCCAGGCGCCAGGGGCGGTATTCTTGAGTAGTTCCATCGCTGCAAGACCTTGTCTCGAACCGATCTCGAATGTACTAGCTGTGCCCGCGTCATTGCGGCCCCAGTATGGTCCCCTAGCATGACAAGGCTGTGATTCATTGCCGCAAAGTGAAGTCTTGAAGTCGCACAGCTGCCCTGCATCGTCACCGTATTCGCAGTAAGCGCCTTCAACATTTGGTGATGTATCGCCCACATTAGCTTGTGAGAAGCCCGCAACGAAATGTGGTATCTTCGAACCACGTTCGACGAGATAGGCTGCTACGCCTTTGTTGTCACCCGTGACGAGTGTGTTGTTGCCTAGCATACTCGTGCCGTGCACTGGGAACCAACTCAGCATGCCGATATCCTTGTCGTAGTCTTCATAGGAGTGTGTGAAGCGCAAGACTGTCATGGCTTTATCGACATCGTGCTGATACCTCTCTCTCTCCGCGGCAGGATTTGCAAGGTAGGCGTATGGACTTCTGTTGATATTTGCATTGTCCACATCAGCCGTGCCCACAGAGAGACGACCCGTCGAGAGACTCTCGTGGGCCTGCACGATCGATGCTACGGCACCATCGACGATAGCTTGATAAGCAGGCTTGTGGAAACCCTTGGATGTGATCTGCGGAAGCAAGTAATTGAGCCAAGCCCCAGGTCCAGAGTGCGAGTGCGTGCCCGTAACAGCTATGTTCTGATTGCCATATAACGTTGCATAATCGCCACCCCTTTCTGCCAGCGCCTGCAAAATACCATGACGGATTGCAGTGTCGCCTGACTGCGTATCGAGTACCAGGTAGACAATACGATCTGTTGGTTCCGAGTTTGATCCAAGGATGAAGGCACGACTATACAATCGTTGACGCACACCACTGCCGACTTGATTCGGATCCGCATAGCCCATGAAGTTGATCTCGACGACAGGACCTGTTATGTCGCCTTTGCCAACGCCAAGGAGGTATGTCGATCCCTGCTCGGTAGCTGTTGGATCATGTTGGAATTTGTCGACATCATCGCCTAGTATATTCTGGAGCTGTGGTAGATGCGGCAGTCCATCGGCGTTCTGTTGCCATATTGATGATAGATCCGAGGTCCCGAATCGATGGAAGATGTTGATGGTCGAGAGCAAGATTATCAGCCCGGCGGCCAAAGCGAGTATCAGTGGGTGACGAGCCATGTCGTAACTCTATAACTTGATTTCGCTTGCCAACTGATCCCATCCATTGGTAGTGAGTCCGAACCGTCAAACGTGGATGAGAGGAGGGAAGTGGAGTGTAGTTCTACCGTACATCAAAGCACGGGCCTCCATGCGTTGAACGACTGACTCGTGGGAACCTCAAATTATTGTCATTCCGGCTGCTCTATCTCTACTCGACAAGGACAAAGATGCCGCTCCTACAACCACAGCTCACGTCGGCATTGCCGTACGTCGATGCTCAGCATTCGACCGAAGCAATGTCAGCAGCACAAGCCCTGATCGAGGCCGAGATGGACAACACAAGCACCCTACATCCTTCGATCCCGGCCATGCGCGAGAGCAAAGCCTCAGATCTAACCAAGCATGAGGTTGCCCGTATAGGCTCAGGTGTCGCCAAGGATGAGAATACAGGTATTGACATGGCACGCTACGATGCACCAGAAGCTCCTCCATCTGGCTCAGATAAGGAAGCCTGGAACACCGCTCTTCGACAAGCCTACACAAGTGCCGAGTACCTTCGCGGTCGTGAGATAAATTTGTCACTACTTGAGACATACGGCAAGAACGCGTGGTTGGTGTGCAACAGTCAGCTGGAAGATGAGCTGAGGAGTCTCGAGAGGGATTTGGAGGGGAGGAAATTAGAGGTGGAAGAGGTGGAGCAGGCGAGACGGGCTGTGCAGGCTAATGCAGCGGGGGAAGTACAGAGTCTGGAGGAGAGCTGGAGGAAGGGCGTGGGTAGGATGATCGAGGTGCAGGCTGCTGCTGAAGGGTTGAGGCAGGAGGTGTTGCAAAGGCAAAGGAAGGGTGCCAAGTGAGCTTGTGCTGTGAACGGACGACGATGCATCTAAATAAAGCGAACATTGATACGAAAACCCGGGGTGCTGAAAGGGCTCTGTGCCAAAGATGATGGCTGTCGCCAGTCATCAGATGCTCCCTCACTTGGGTCTCGGACCGGCTCACTTGCTGCAGTCGTCGAATGATCGCTACTACGATCCAGCGGATCACGCCTTCCCTGGTCACGATCACTACGTCACACGTTATTACGGCTGCCCTCAAGCAAACATGTCGACATTCACGAACGGACAATCATATCATGGTGTCGAAGCTGGCCGGACCATAACTTCGCACTTTGCCACACTTTCAGCCTCATTATGCTCGATTTACGAGCACTTGAAACTCATCACGATGATCAAGAATATCAGCAGTATAGATCTCCGCATTCGGCCGCGACAGGAAACTTCTCACTTGCGTCCAAGCCAGGACCGATACGTGGCCGATAGTGTCGCACGCCGCATCTTTAAGCGCTCTGCTCATGCTCCCAAAGGAGCTCACGAAGAGACCATATTTACTGCGCATCGTGCGAATCGTACCGACAGTCTGAGAAGTGAAGGCTCTTCGTCACTGGGCAGCTTCGCGACACCCGAAGTGGCCAACATAAGCCATACCAGCGAGCAAAAGTATCGGAAGGAGCTTCAAGATGGACGGTCTGCGTTGTTGCGATCCATGAACAGTGCCCGACATATTGAGCGGGTCCCATATCTGATACTGGACGAGAGGATCTCGAGCCAGCTCCAAGAATATGCTGAGTGCATTTCCATCTTTGACGCCTTATCAATGGACTCTAGCAATGAGGAGCTCAACGACACGACTGTCATACCTACCCCGCTGCAAGATTCCATCCGCCTCGTCAGTCCATCTGGTCTTGGTGGACTAGCGTGTGCTGAGCTCTGGTGTGGTGGGAAGTACAAGCGCCACGCTATGACCCGCGTGAACGATCGCGTGCACCCGAGAGACTGTGTGTGTCATCTGCATATTGTGTGGCAGCATATCGTCGACTCCACGCATAGGTACGTCGGTATCGGCAGAAGTGAAGATGGCAGGTGGCTGGTGGAGCTACGAAAGGACGATAAGGTGAAGAGTGATCTCCCATGCACGACTGTAAGCACACAACCAGTCATCAATGCCTCGTCGTGGAGATCAAAGTCCGTGGTGGCAAGGAAGCCGCTATCACTCCCATCTACTGCACCACCACCACCACCATTACATCCAGGAGCAAGAATCTCCTTTCTGGCGGAGCGACCGAGGAGATGGGACTCCTTGCCAGGCTTCAACGCACGGCCATACTTGAACACCCTTGTTGAGGATGACTTTCTAACACCTGCGACCTCAATTCTCAACCTGAAGGCACGAATTCTTAGTCGTGCATCAAGCTGGGAGACTATGCTGCCTACACCACGAATCTCGACGGCTGAAGCTCCACAAATTCTAGTAAATGGGATATCAAATAGCACGATTAGCAGATCTTCGAGCTGGGAGACTCTGAACACCATGCGAGAGCTTTCACTGCAGATATTACAGCATGAGCAAAAGAGCGATGATGCCACGGCTCTCCGGCCCCATAGTATTTATTTTCGTGCCTCTGCGTCGGCAAATATGACCGTGCGGCCATTATCAGTCGTCAAGAAAAGCCATTGCAAGATCGCTGGGAAGCCAAGTTTTGGATCCATGAGTACGCTTGCAAGTGAGAACGAGGAGCTATGGTGTGATTATGTAGGTGGGAGGGCTAGTGGTGGCTGGGTCACTTCGGCACGATGAGCGTATTGATATCACATAATAGGGGTGGACGAGTGGCGATGAGGAGGGACTTGTGGTCTTGAGGTAGTAGATACGTAAGCTAGCTCTATATGGATCTCGTTCAACCAAGCCGCCTTCACTTATTGCCCGTCCGAGAGCACGACTGTGAGCGACATATTTACAGTGCATGTCAAGACCGAACCAAAGAGATAAGGAAGGAAGAACGCCACAAATCCGCAAGACCAACGCGAGCACCAGTCTCAAATCACAAGTCTGCCGTCCCATCGGTTAGATGTTATTGCATGTCTCACTACATCTCTCCCGTTCCGACTCAATCGAGCCCACACCTACTTCCTCGCAGGTCTGCGAGCACCACGAGGGGCGCTCTTCCTGGATGACTTCTGCTCCGTCCCTGCACCAGACTGCTGACCACGACTCTCGCCCGACTGTGCTAAGGTCTTGGGAGCGTGCTGAGAGGCCGATAGACCTTTCTCCAGCTTGACTGTGATCACTGCCTTGCCCTCAGACTCCGTGGTGCATGTCTGTGGTTTCGGAAGGACTGTGATCAGGGCCTGGGCAGAGGTCTTGGAACGGACCAGAGCCTGAGCTCTGGATTGCTGACGCTGCCTCTCCTGGATCTGCTTTTCAAGCGGCATCGCCCTTGTCTGCTCAGAGATCGGAGCACGGGGGATTCGTTGGCGGAGCTGGTGCTTGCGCACGTCTTGGATGTGTGGTAGTATGGACTCGCCTTTGGGGACGAAGATCTGCTTCTTCTCGGCCTTTTCTGGAGTGACTGGGTTGAAAGATGCGGCTCGTGGTGTCAAGGGCGTGCTTGGGCGAGTGGAGGCTGCTGAAGTCGTGGGAGTGAGAGCAGGTGTATCTGGTGGTGGCGACGAGGACGGATTTGGTGAGGTTGGGTAAGCGAGGTCGATGAGGTCGCTGCAGGTTGATGCTTTGCGGATATCGATTGCTGGTGGCGAACGGGAGGTAGTAGCCTTGGCTTCGACGACTTCTGGCTGCTTGGGGCTGGTAGCAGTCGGCTCCTGTTTAGAGTCCAAGTGCTTGACTGTCTCTGGTACAAGTGGCTCTGTAAGAGGGCTCTGGCTCTGCTGAGGAGTCCTGACCTCTTTCTCGCCCACCTTCTGCTCAGCACCGCTACCCTCGTCATCCGCTTCGGACCCAGGTATAGCATTGCCACCTTCGCCGTCGCTCGTAGCGCTCCTGTCCTCTCCGCAATCAGACGAGGACTTTTTCAACCACTCACTAACATCTCTCGGCTTCCCAATCATAGCCCTCGCATCATTCGGCACCTGCCCAAGAATCGTCTTAGATTTCATCATGACACTAGACCGCATTCCGCCCACACCAGCATTCTTCTCAGCCCACCACCTAGGCACGTTTCGAAAGCCAATGCTCTCCAGCGTCTCACGATCAGGCATCTCATGCTTGAACAGACAGCCTTGCTGGATATAGTCGCACTCACCCGTACGGATCCAGTAAGTGCAGTACTGTTTCTTCTCGGAGTCTGGTGCAGTCCCTGAAGGTCCTGGCAGTGGGCCGGACGGAGCGGTATAGTTGAGATTCGCGGCTGTACAGGCACCGGTTGTAGTGGAGAGGATGGCGTTGATGAGTTCTTGGGTTTTGGACGTTGTTTTGTTGTTTGCGAGTTGTGCAGAAGCTGATGAAGAGATAGTAGAAGCAGTGGCAGGAATCTGCTGTGGCGATTGATTCGCAGTAGCTGGTGTGGGATTGAAGCTGCTGCGCCAATTTGTCGCCGTCTCGTGGGCGGAGAGTGGACGCATTGTGATGCCAGCGTTGATGGTACCCTGCTGGGCCTGGACACCGACTTGTGCAAGAGCCTGGCGAGCAAAGTGGTCCGGAGCCAGGAACTTTGGCTGCACAGGCGCACCTCCGCAGTGAGCCCTAGTCTGGCCGACCATACCATTCGTGCTATCGATCTCGTGAGGCAGGGCCGGGAGGTAGATTCCACGGTCCAGCTTGTAGGTAGTGCCGACGTACGGGATGTAGCTGACACACTGCATCCCAACAGTATCCTCAGCTCGCATGACACGAGGGACGCCTTGGAGAGAGATATTGAAAGGCAATTCGTCGGCTGGAATGAGCGGAACGAGGAGGCCGGTATTGCTCCGGGACAGGAAGAACTCAGGGCGAGGTGGTGGAAGTGCTGGAGCTGGTAGCATGTTGCTGCGAGCTGATTGTTGGTACGAATATGGTTGGTTGGTCATGTTGTTGGCTGCTGGATCTGACGTTCGGTATATTGCTGGCGAATATGCTGTTGGAAGTCTTGCTGACTTGGAGATACGATGATGCTGAGATCGTGATTTGGAAGAACTGTTCATGGGTATATGTGTCATCCGCGAGCCAGACTATAGCAAGCGGATGTGCTTTGTCAAGATCGTAGACTGCTTGTCTCAGACATGCGAAATAAGCACGATGCACGAGACCAGCAGCAAGCCGCTGTGCATCTTTGTTTGATCATGCCATGTGGTGCGGCAGCCTGCATGTCATTGATACGTCTGTTAAGATATGCATCGAACAATGGCACTTGCGACTCCAAAAGGCGACCACTGTGATTTAAGGGCGACCAACAGTCGCTACGAAAGGTGAGCGTGGATGGAGTGAGGAATCTGTTGATCGGACAAATATGCAGATGGTATCCAATAATCTCAGATCCTAGCCTTGATCCAACCCAGCACTCCCCGCCCAATATCACTTCCACTATCACTGTTAACCTCCTCCCAGACCTTCACACCCTCCTCCCACCTCTCATCATTCCACGTATCTGTCACCCCATCACCCCTCAATCTAACCATATCCCTAACACCCCAACAAGGCCACAACACCGCCTCGCCCTTCACAAACCCCGCAAAAGCCTCGTTCCACCACTTCAGCGTCACCTTCTCGTCCTCTCTCAGTCCCTCCCCATGCCCTTCACCCCAGAACCAAATATCCATGTCTGAAGCGTGAGTAACGCCCCATTCCTCTGGTAATGGGACGGTCGAGGCACGCCAGTCGAAGCGGTAGCGCAGGAGGTCTTTGCCTGGTTCAAGGCCCCCTTTTGCAAGTCCGTTGATGAAGCCGCGTTCAAGGCTGTGGACCTGCATGTTTGCGTATGCGTGGCCGAAGAAGTCTGTCCAGTCTTTCATTCCCCGTGGTATTTTCTTCTCCGCACCAGAGCAGTGGTGATCCATTAATCGCTTGACGGCACGTTCAGGATAGTCGGCACAGAGGCGTGTGTAGATGGCATCATATGAATTTCCTGCAGGTGTTCGCCAGGCACGGTAGAGATTGTGTTCATCCCTGCACTCGCCGTTGATGAGCTTGATTTCACGTGCTTTCATCCTTCGGCCGAAGTCTCCTGAGTTGATATTCGAGACCATCGAGGCGGGAATAAAAGAGCCGTCTGTGGTTGCGCGGAACTCGGAGTATTGCATGTTGTTCTGTGGAGCCACAAGTTCCTGCATAGTCATTGACCGTAGACGTCCCAGTTTCTCTTCCGCCGACAGGGTCAGAGGGATGCCAAGTCGAAGAAGGTACTCATCGAACTGCTTCTGCTGTTCATCCAAGCCTTTAGGCTGTACACCAGGACTATTCGACCACATGATGACTCGCTTGATAATCGCCTTCTCATCCGAAACGAAATATAGCTCGTGAGCTAATTGCTGAAAAGCACCGTGAGAACCAGCGGAATACCCTCCAAGCGTGATATTATTCGCATCGCCTCCAAAGGCATGGATGTTGCTCGCCGTCCACTCCAAAGCAAGCCTCTGATCCCAGAACCCAAAATTGCCTGTCGCCACCTCCCCATTCCTCCTCGCCTCATCCTGCAGCTCCATCCCAGCAAGAAATCCAAATGCATTGACACGATAAGCAGGCATGATAATAATTGCCATGAACGCCGTCTCACTCAAAAGCGGCGCCAACGCCTCGGGCGTCATATTCGGACTCCCCCATTGCAAGAACCCACCATGGATATAGAAGAAAACTGGCCATCCATTCGGACTCGGAGGACCACCAACAGGGATATGGATATTTAATTGTAGACAATCCTCGCTCCAGAGATCTCTGTTGTCAATGCCGTTGTTAAAGACCGGTTGAGGACAAAAAGCAGCAGAACGGGTGAAACAACCAGGACTGATTTTCGTGCCATAGCGATATTGATCCGGAAGTGGACGTGGGCGACGGAAACGATAAGGACCAGTAGGTGGAAGAGCGTAGGGGAGGCCGCCGAAGTAGTGGGATAGAGCTTGGGTTCGTGAACTGTTAGATCGGTAGGAGACGGTTACGCCTTCGATGTGGCCTAGGTCTCCGGCGTCAAGACGGTAGAGGTCGCGTTTGTATTGTTCCCTAGGCATGGTTTGGTAGGACGTATGCTTGGTCTTAGGCGAGATAGGGTGTTCTAGATATATGCTTCTGTAAGGTTATTAGGATGAGTAGGGATATATTGTATGTTCAATGGATGTTGTTTGTAGTAAACAATATAATTTGGAGGTTGGACCTCGGTAGTCATGTTCACCAGGCCTTATATACGGCAGGAGGATGGCAGGATGTGCCTTCCATAATAGAATGACCCCAGCAAAATTTACAATCCAAGTCATTGAAGCAAAGGCAAGGAGGGTGGACGAGGACGCAGAAGCTTAGCTGGCAGCTGAAGTACAATTCGGCTTCATGATAAAACTTCTCAGTGACAACAGCACGCTCATGCCAAACATATTATTCTTACACCCATCTATTCACGCTTTGCAAGACAATCCAAACCCCAAGACCTCAATAATAACTTCCTCTATCCCTCTGACTCCTAACAGGAACATAAGCAACAGGCGCCGGCACGCCGCCACCACCACCAGGTGACCTTCCAGCAGACCCACCAGCAAACCTCGCTCCGTTCCCATACGCACCACCATGCCCTCGAGGACTAGGCGAGTCAATATCAATACTCCCGATCTCCCTAGCCAGTGCATCATCATCATACCCACCGCGTGCGTACCCATTGTTACCACCGTACCCAGTATCACCATTATCTCCATATCCGCCATCGTATCCACCGCCATATCCACCATCATACCCGCCACCATAACCCCCCGGACTACCGCCCCCCATAGGAATTTTAGGTGGCACGTTCGGTGCACCTCCGCGGCCATACGCTGGTGCTCGACCATCATTGAGGAAACCATTGCTATATTGCGCTCCAGCTTGGCCTCCACCGCCGCTGTAAGGGTCAGGTATATCATGCATATCCTGCCCGTTGAAATTATGTCTTTCGCCTAGCGGCTCGATAGCAGAGTTGCTCCGTACGTTCTTCTTCGTCAGCCTGTTCCTACCCGTGCTTGGTGAGGATTCTTGCGTAGGAGCTAAAGATGGGCTACCAGTGTTTGCGGGCTTCATTCGCACGGTGATCACATTGTCCTTCCCCATCATCCTTCCGCCTGCGCCAGCAGGACTAGCGGGACTCCCACCCGCACTTCTCGGTCCAAAGTCACGATCCCTGCCCAGTCCGTAGGTCTTACTCGGCACCTTCTTCTCCGGCTCCGGTGCCCAGGCTTCCACCGGAAGGTGATCAGAGGGATCGATCTCTTGCCCGTGCCAGCCTACGATTGGTCCGGAGTTGTTGGCACTTTGTGTATCGCGTGACTCGGGACGTGCCGAAGTGTAAGGTGAGGCGCCACCGCTACGAGGAGCATTCGGGTTGTGGACGTCGAAGCTGTCTGGTGAGAACGGCATACCGCCTGGACTCGGACGACCTGAGGCGGAGGTGTCGATCGGAGAGGGTTGTTGGCTCGACGATGTGGGCTTGCGGGTGGGTGTTATGCGATGATGTTGTGCTAGGGGTGCAGCGTTACGTGGTGTCGAAGTCGAGAGCGGACTATTGTCTCCCGATTCAAAGGCGCGAACGGGAAATTGTAGATGGTACGAATTCCGTGGCTGAGATGTTGGCTGTGGTGGCGGTCGTGGAGACACAGCTCGAGGCTTGATCAAGGGAGGACCTTCGCCTCTTCTGTCTGAATGATACTCTGACTGATAGGCTGGCGAGTGTGATTGTGGTTGCGCATATGGTAGTGGTGAATGCGCGCGATGTGACCCCGCATACTCTGGCAACGGTGATCGCGGGCGTGGCTGAGCCGCATACGGGTTCGGTGAAGGCGCTCGTGCGTGCGAAGAAGGTGCATAAGGCATCGGACTCCTTGATCGTGGCCTCGGCACTTCTTGCGACAGCGGGTGTGGGCGAGTCGGCGTGCCGGTGTAGGGGTCAGCTATGCTGTGACGTGCACGTGAAGCAGGGCTTCGTCCGTAGGGGGAGCCGCCGCTGGGTGGCAGTGGTACAGCGACGTATGGACTCTGCTCAGGTGATGATCCGGCATATGTGTCTATCGATCTACCTCGAGCTGGATGGCCATGTGGCGGGGTCTGCTGTTGAGGGCCGTACCGCCTCTCGACTTGTTGCAGTGGCGACGCGTTCGGGACAGAGTGATGTCGCGTACTTGGAGGTGTGTTCATGTAGGCAGGCTGCGCAGGTGATGATTGACCACTAGAAGGAGCATATTGTGGCACGGCAGGTGCACTGTGAGTGTGCATCGGCGGAGGTGGCGGGGGCGCACCGCCATCAGATTCTGCTGTTCGCGGTCGATCATCGTATGGGTCGCCATATTCTTCTTGCCAGCCAGGTGGGACATCATTGCGTCGCTGTCGAAGCTGCTGATGTTGGTAATCCAGATCTGGTATTGGCTCTGGGTAGTCGGTGGAAAGTTCGTAGCCATTGTCTTCATACATGTCTGGACCACGAGTCTGAGTTGGCACGATAGGTGCGGAGTGAGAATGTGGCAGACTCATGTGACTGTATGGCCGCTGCTGCAATGGCGACGGCTGTCCTGGGCGTGCTTGTCTCGAACCATTCCGTGAGTTCACATTCGCACGCTGTCGATCACTAGGTGGTAATTGTGGCAGAAAATCAAGCTGCTGATATGGATCCTCATAAGACGCCTCCTCGTGATACTGCTGTGGCTCTTCTTCATACTGTACAGGTGGCATTTGCTGTGGCAAAGCTGAAGGTGGAGTACCGTACCCGTTCGATATCGCAAGTGGTGCAGTCGGGGCAGCAGGCTCGGGCGGCAAGGAGTTCGCTCTACCAGGAGTTCTGAAGTCCCTGGGTCCATGCTTCGCCCTTCCAGGCAAGGCAGTCCCAAAGTCTGCCACCGTCTCCGATGTAATTGAAGTCATGGACATCGCTCCAGGGTTTCCAGGCAATGGTCTCCTCTTAACCCTACTCCCACCAATACTGCTCCTCAGATCATCCTCTCCCGTTTCTCTGATCGATACGCTCTTCTCCGGCTTCGGCCTCGAGTCGTAGTAGGTCAACTCAATGCGTATCTCACCCGCGTACTTGCCCTTGCAGTTCAACCCCTGCCACAAATCATTCTTCCCACCACCGGGCACAACAACCTCCGTCAGGTTCACCCAAGCCTCACCCACCAGATCCGTCCTCTTGTCCTCGCTGAAGATCGATAGCTTAAACTGCTGATAGTCCGGCGAGTCGTGGATCGTGAACCGCAGCTCCTGATCCCACTTCGGCGTCTGTCCACCACGTTTGTCGGTTTCCGTCTTCTTGGCTTCTTTGCCGACTCGTGCTGCACAGTAGGCGCTCTGCTTGCCCATCGACCGCCTGTTAGGCAAGTTCTTTGCTCGGTCGATCACCAGGACTAATGTCCCGATCTCGGGACCGTCGACGGTCATATCGGCGAAGATGCCAGCGGCGTGAGGTCCATGTTGCAGAGGTGCGGCTTGTGAAGCCATGTTGATGGTAGTGAATACCGTTACCACTCCAATGCCTGTCTCGGCCGTGTTGTGTCTTGATTGAAATGAATGTCGGTGCCTGATCTACTCTCTCTATCTCGGGCACTTTCACGGCTGTTGCATCGTCATTGTTTATCGAAAGCCGTTGACGAGCGTCTCAGCGTTCTGGGGCAGATCCTTGGCGGAGGGAAAGTCTATTATGTTCAATGTAACATTATTGAATACTAATAGCACTTCTTGTTGCTTGCTGAGTGCTGGCGAACGAGAGACAATTGACAGATGCCGTGTAAATGGCGAGAGTGTGACGAGGCTAGCAAGGCAAGGTGAGCTACCGTACCAGAATACACAGTAGCTGCATTGCGTCGCGTTGCCGCGGGCGGGAGTGGCTGAAACCTTGTCCAGCTCCCAGCCACGCGTATCGACGCGCGAGCATCAACCTCGAAGTGCTCCACCTCACGTTGTCAAGCAGGCCGCAAGAGACGAATCAGTCCCATTATTAATATTGAGCATCAAGCAACCTTTCCTTCACGAGAAAGACACCGACGCCATCCCTAAGACGGCGGTCAGAAGAGAGCTGATTTGTAGACATCAACAATAGACGTACTGCAGCACAACTAAAACAGTCAAATGATAGACCCACAAGACATCCAAAAATGCCATCCACACTCACATACCGCCGCGATAGTAATTCGCCAAACCAACGAAAGCTCGGTAACCATCCGTCTCCACCCCGAACGGACGGGACTCATCGTAGGCACTGACAAGTCAGTAAACCCCAAACCATTGCTACGGAGGTAACCACCACACACAAGCCAGCATACACAGACTCCCCCATCGACCTCAGCCCTCCCAAGATCCCACCCTGCTGTCTCTGCCTCCGTCTCCGTCCCTGTGGACCTCCTCGCTGCTCCCGAGCTACAACAGCAGGACCAAGTATATGCCCTCTCGCCGAATGCTCCGCTAGGTTACCTTCCCACTGTGCAGGTCTCGCATTCGATGCCGTCCGCGAAACATCTTCCCGGCTACCCGTCTTGTCGATCTCGGAAGCACCATCCTGACTGCCGTCCTTTGCAGTGCTGCCGGTGCGCGAGGGTTCAGGAGACCGTATCGATCTTCTCCTCTCCACGTCCTCTCTCAGTTCCTCCAATTCCGTCGATGCCTGGCCTTCTGATCGCGTACGGGCTCGAGCCGGAGCACCAGACTCCCGTCTCAGCTCACTCTGCTGCGCTCTCCAATCCCGGCCCGACTGCATACTCGTCTGATCCTGGGTCTGTGTCTGTGCCTGGGCCTGCCGCTGCGCCCGAGTCAACCGAGTATGATGCACAGCCAGCGAGTTACGCATAAGATCCTGCTGGTGCCCCTGCTGCTGCTGCTCCTGTTGATGCCGCCCACTGGTGAAAGTCCTCTGAAACCATCCCCGTCGCTGCTGCGGAGACGGCGAGGCTCGACTCGGCTGCAACGAAGTCGTAGTCCTTGATCCCGTTCCCGGTGAGATCGTCGTGGGAGACTGGTGAGACTTCATCGCAGCCGCTACACTGATTCCCGGGTTTTCCGTCAGACCACCTTGTTTCCTGATTTCGGCGCTCAATTGTCTTGGCGTATGTAGTGGGAAAGCAGCGCCAGTGCCAGAAGGTGAAGCAGACGGCGATGCGTCCATGTCCTCTGGTGACAGCGGCGGCGCAGGCCTAATAGCATCAGGATCCTCATCCTCTCCCTTCGTCTTCCGCCGCTTCTGACGCGGTCCTGCAGTCTGTACACGCGGAGGGGTCGGCTGTTGCTTATGTGGCGCCCTGGGATCGAAAGTAGGACCGATGGACAGTCTGCCCATCGCACCCAAAGCGCTGAGTCCAGGATTCACTGCTTCGCTGTCGCTCTGCGTCTTTGATTCGACAGTAGGCTCCGAGATAGTGCGCCCGTGGTACCGCGCCGGACGTTGCTTCTTACCAAGAGGCAGTGAAGAGGCCGATGAAACACCACCCACGGGCTTCGATCGCCCAGTAGCGTCGCCAGGACTATTCTCACCATCTTCACTGCCACTCCCACTCCCATCCGATTCCTTAGCCGACTCCGCCTTCTCCCTCCCATTTTTCAAATACTCACTCTCCACACTATCCTCTCTGTTCTCCCTGCCCACGCCCGTACCCTCTTGGCCCGATCGCTCAGTCACAGTCACAGGTGGCGCACTGCTCCCTCCCTCTCTACCCACCTCTTCGACACTACCCCGAGAAGGATGTCTCGGAGGAATAGCCGGAGGAGGTGCCGCCGCGGTCGAAGACCCGGGATACTACCCCAGCCCAGGTCTTTGCCCACGCTGCTGCTGCTGCTGCGAGCTATTGTGAAAATTGGGGCGCTGCGATGTAGGAACAGGACGAGGTAGTCTATAAGAAATGCAGACGCCGCGGCGAGAACCAGAGTAAGGTGGCGTGTTTTCAGATCCGTTTAGCGATGCTTGAGCATTAGGAGAAGGTGATGCAGCGGGTTCTTCTTTGACTGCCGGTTCGATCTTGAGTGGAGTTCCGGATTTAGGAGAAGGTGGATCTGCGATACTATGTAAGCACAACTGTAGGAATGAGAGATTCGCATGGAGAGCAAGTGGGTTGTGAGGAGTGAGGTGGAGCTCAGTCAAGCCCAAGAACTCCGCGATGTCAGTCCGACGCAATGAAGACCAGTCCGTGGTGAGGTAAGTAAAGATTAAAGATGCAGAACGATAAAATACTAGATACAGTCCAATGAACACTATGTCCACCTATGCAGTAAGTACTCTTTCAATGTCCAAAAAGGAACGGGCAACGCGTGCAAGGGCAAGATAAAAATCAAGGCAAGGGTATCGTCACCATCACAACGGCCACTGCCACCATGCTCCTCCACGACTTCTTCCTCTCCCTTCGCTTCCACTTCCGCGTTAAGTCCAGGTTGCTTTACCCGCGCGCTCATGACCACAACCCTCCGATTTTGAATGGCATGGGCCTCAACAATAGCATCGAAAGCCTCGGTTGCACTTCTCACCATCGCGTCAGCACAGACCCCATCATAATTGAGGCCAGGAGGGATAGTTCAGCCCAAGCAAACCAAAAAAGGTCTACTTCAGCTTATCAGCCAACCTCTTCAAGAACCCCTTCTTCTTTCCACCACCCTCGGACGCCTCGCTCGCGGCACCAGTCGACTTGGTACTATCAGGCGTCCCTTTGCTCTTCCCCATGAAAGAATGTCGCTTCTTCTCCGGCGTTGCCGAGCTTCCCGAAGCTGCGGGACGGGGAGTACCAACCGGCTTGCCGGCGGTAGAAGTGGCGGGGACCGTGCTTGTGGCAGCCACGCCGTCTGTGACTTGGGGTGCTGTGGCTCGGCTGGCGCTGCCGCCGACTGGTTTGCTCATGGGCGAGACGTCGCGGCTGCGGTCTGCGGAGACTGGGGCGGCGGGTGGTGTGGCGAGGGTCTGGGCGGCTTTCTGGGTGGGTGGCATGGCGGGTTCAGAGGCTGGAGCGTTTAGGCCGGTGGCAGACTTGCTGGTCGAGTCGAGGCTCAGAGCAGCGACGCCCGAGGTCGGGTCACCGAGCTGAGGTGCGCCAGTCGAGGAGGGTGCCGGGACCGCGGAGGTGAAGGTGGAAGCAGCAGCAGGAGCAGTAGAGCTCAAAGCAGCGGAAGAGCTTGGTGCGGGGGCACCAGTCTCGTTGTGCTCAGGAACCTTCTTCAAGAGCTCATTCTCCATCGCGCTCTTCTCCCTAACAGCCTCCGTGTTCGCCGCGGCCTCAGGACCGACATGCGCCTCTTTCTGACTAGCCGCAACCTCTTCAGGCACAGAGCTAGCAACACCACGTGCTTCACCTCCAGCTGGGATGGTAACACCCTCACCAACATGCGTCTGTTGCGGGATCGTAGACTCGGAAACAGGAAGTGCCGAAGCACCAGTCGAGCCCTTGTTGTCCATGCTCGACAGGCTGTCCTTGACAATCTGAGGCTGTTGCGCGGAAGTGGAGGAGCCCTTGTTGTTCATGCTGGCAATGCTTTGCTGAACGCTCTGCGGCAGAGCACCAACGGCATCACGGCCCGTAGCATCCTTCAGCTTATCGTTGGCGAGATAAGCGACACCTGCTGTCGCAGCGCCCGCGGCAGCCCCTCCTCCAGCGGCCATGCCAACAACACCCTTTTCAGATGATCCGAATGCGCCGTTTGAGGATGTGGCTGGGGCTGTAGGGACCTTCGAAAGGAGCTCGTTCTCTACTTGATCCTTTTCTTGAACAGCGGCAGGGTTCGCACTAGCTTCGGGGCTAAAGTGGGCCTTCTGCTGAGACTCGGTGACGGTGAGAGGAGCGGAAGTCGAGCCAACAGCCGAAGTGTCTGGGTTCTTGTCTTGACCAGTAACATACGCAGCACCGGCGGCAGCCACACCACCAGCAGCAGCCAAACCGCCTGCAGCCATACCAGCAACACCGCGCTCCGAAGATCCAAATGCGCCGCTGGACGACGTAGCCGAAGCAGTTGGTACCTTGGTCAAAAGCTCATTCTCCACCGCGCTCTTCTCCTGCACAGCCTCGGGGTTGGCGCTAGCCTCTGGGCCAACATGGGCCTTCTGCTGAGATTCGGTAACGGCGAGAGGTGTGGAAGTCGATTCGGAAGCAAGTGACTGTGCGCCTGTGGTCGAGCCGATAGTCGAAGTATTAGGATTGTGGTTCTCCTTGCCAGTAACATACGCAGCACCAGCAGCCGCAGCGCCCGTCGCGGCAGCAACACCACCAGCAGCCATACCAGCAATGCCGCGTTCGGAAGACCCTAAGGCACCACTAGATGATGTGGCCGGCTCTGTAGGGACTCGAGAGAGCAACTCATTCTCAACCGCGCTCTTCTCTTGTACAGCCTCGGGATTGGCGCTGGCCTCTGGGGAAGCGTGCGCCTCGTGCTGGGACTCGGAGACAACGGCGGGAGTGGTGGAGGAAGTGCTGTGAGCGAGTGGTGCCGAGCCAGTCAGACCTCCGCCAACGGAGTTGTTCTCCACTGCCTTGTTCTTCTGGTTGTTCAGGTAGGCAGCTCCGGCGACAGCGGCACCACCAGCGGCAGTGACACCCGCAGCAGCCGCTCCAAGCACACCTCGCTCTGATGATCCGAACATGCCATTCGAAGCCGTAGCTGGTGCCTCTGGTACTTTGCTTAATAGCTCGTTCTCGACTTGGTCCTTCTCTTGAACTGCAGCAGGGTTTGAGCTGGCCTCGGGATCAACGTTGGCCCTGTCCTGGGACTCAGCTACGACTGCTGGCGCTTCACCACGTGGCTCGAGAGGCTGTGCGCCGGCAAGCTGGTTGGTTGTGCTCTGAGGTCCGACGCTCGAGGACATCGGTGTTGGGTCAATGGCGGCAGGTGCATCCTTGCCCATACCCATGCTGGATTCTGGGATCATGTTGCTGGTTTGAGGACCGAGACCGAAGATCGACTTCTCACCAAAAGCTTCCTTTTCGCTCGTTGGGCTGAGGGCGGCAGGAAGAACAGGCGCACCAGTATCAGATCTCTCGTACGATTCTTTGTCAAGCTTAACGTTGCTGGTAAGAGTGTTGCCGGTTAACGATGTTTGCTCAGGGATCTTCTCGCCTGGTTGTAAAGATATTGGGTTGCCCATGCCGCCTGTTGCTGGGAGAGGATTGACGGACATGGACTTCTCGGCGGAAGATGAGACATTTGGCAGGAAGCTCGCCTCGTGTTGCGGTTCCGCCTTCTCGAATGCTGGTGTTTCAGGGAAAGCGCCAGGAAGGTCCCTCGAACTAGTATGTTCGAGTGGTTGTTGTCCTGCCATAGCGGCGGTGCTGTTTCCCAATCAGTCATGATGGGCTTTCCGTTATTGAGGGTGGCCATGGCTTACGATGCGCCGGGTGCTACAGAAGAGATGGCAGCAGCAGCAGTAGTATTGGAGGAGTGCGACTTCTGTAGGTCCTCCGAGTAGAGCACGTTATTAAGATTACCCTCGTGATCGGCTTCTGACTTGGCTGTGTGGTCGTAGTTCCACACTCCGTCGGCGACGAACTGTGATCCAGAATCAGCATGTGCGCTCCAAGTGCAAGTAAGCAGCTGCCTGGCAAGCACCGCCTCGCCCCGCCTTCCTCGTTCACCAAACGCACCTTGTACAGAATCTTCTCGTGCGACTTCAATGGCACCGTCTTCTCATGCGCTGTGCCGCTCTTGTCTAGCTTGATCGTCTTGCCCCAGTTGTCGAACGTTCCGGTAACAACTGTGCTAGTCAGAACCCACTTACCTCTCATGTGCGGGTTGACTACTCACAGACTTCTTCCGCTGGATGCTCCCCTGTGATGATGCAGACGAGTCAGTATTTGATCCTTCCTCTCTCACGTCAAGTCCTCGGTCTCGGGTATATAACCGAAGGTAGTGTTGGATGGCAGGGCAACAGATAAGGTGAGATACTACTCACAGCGAAAGTTATAGCTTGCCATGACCTGCGCGACTCGAGCAGGATATATGTACAAAGACTGGGCGGAAGCTGTAGCTTGGTGGAGTCTACAGATCAGATGACGAAGGAGGAATGTACGTGCTGAGCGAAGAGAATGATGTTTGACACTGCCCTCGTGTCTCTGCACTCCGCCTTTCTGTCTCTGTCCAAGTCACAGCTCTGTTCACCCAGTTGCTGAAGCTCTCGCAAGCGACGATGGCGCGCGAAATTGACAAGGAGCAGGCCTGCTCGGTAAGAAGTTCACCCCGCCCGCCGGTGCGGCGAATGAGCTGGAAATAGGATCGCGTGAAGGTCTGTGAGCACGCCTTTACCAAGGCAAGAGATAGTATTCCCTGGCTAAATTCGAAATCCAGAGCAGGAGGAGGTAGAACAGAAGCAATAGTTGGATATAAGGAATATGGTTGAAAGCGCACTCCGCAGAGATATCTTCCACATCTGGTTCGGCGAATGAGATGGCTTTGCGCCGGGCGTAAAGGCGAAAGGAAAGCTCAAGCTTGTCACGAGCCCTGCAGCAAGCAGATGGCTGGTCTTGCAGGCGACGGCGTGTCCGCACGCGCCAGTCTTCATGCACGTCACTTACGGCTGCCAAGCTACTGTGCTGTAGAGGACTCCACTCTTGATATCGCAGTCCGAAGCATCGCTCCAGGGCAAGCGCTTCTCCATGTTCTGTGGCAACATCTGACGGCCAGTAGAACAATCCCAGCAGATATGCTCATTGAGGCTTCCTCAGTCTTGAGAACCATCAGCCATGAATCGTTGAAACCACCACTATACCGAACGTTACTTTCAACAATCTTATTAGGTTCTTTCGGAACGAAGCACTTCTATGCTGTAGCGGATCGATTCATCCGACAACAGGCTCGCGGATGGTTGATGTGGTGTCCGCTCGTACCTGAACTTGCACAGGTATTTACACTGACAGCGCAGAAGAAGTATGGGTGAATCATTAGTACGTGTCGGAATAGGCAGAAGAGGTCGCAGGACGTCAAGCATGATCACTCTGCTTGATAGATAGCGCTTTGATCATATTATGATGATAGACGAGAGCGGCAGTACTGCTTATCGCGCTGGAACTGGGCAGGGTTATGCCGATCTTCGAGATGCTGCAGAGTCCAGTTAGATGGCGGTGGTGCTTCTCGCCTGGTTCTCACCGCTCTTGCCTGTGGTACCATACTTGAGTCGCATCAGCCAAGACAGATGGAGGCCTCGATGAAGGTACTGCCATCTCTATCATTTTTAGCACATATCATAACCGAAGCCGTAGGCTCAAAGAACCGCTAATCATGCACAACTAAGCCCTCTGCCCATCACTTCATCAGTGCCATCCATCAAGTCTTCTTCTTAGGGCCAAGCATCGGCCCCCCGATATCTTTCCCCGTCAACCTAACATTCGCCGCCTTCTGCACCTTCTGAATCGCATCCATAGCCGGGAAATCCGCCCCCGTCCGCTCCAGATCCGAAATCACCTTGGGATCCACGTTCGCCTTCGTCGCCAACTCCTTCTGCGTCATCGTGTTGCCTTTGGCATTCTTCATGTTATTGCGGGCTTGCATGAGGGCTTTGGAGACTTCGTCGGGGACTTTTTTCGTCTTGACGATGTCGTCGCTTCGATCGACTTTGGTTAGGTGTTGGCCTTCTGGGTTGCCGCTTGCCTGTAGAGGGAGAGAAGAGCGTCAGTATGTGGGATGGGGATTGATGAGGTTGGATGGTGGAGGGTACTTACGTTTGCGCTCGCGTATTTCTTTTCTGTGCCTGTAATTGCTCCGCTACGTTGGGCGGCGTTTAGAGCGGTCTTGCCTTTGACTGTGGTCTCTCTTGTTGTGGCGCCTGGTCCTCGAGCCTTGCTACCAATCTTCGTCACGGATTCCCAGTCTTCAGACATTTTCTCGACCGTGGACGTGGTGATGTGGTATTCGTGGGTTTCGGGTAGGTGTCAGAGGTTCTGTGAGTGTCTTTCGATGGTATGGATTGGTCGAGGGTTAAACAATATCTCTGTAGTGAGAGAATACGTGGGAGTTGCTCGTGTGCACGCATCTTCTCGCCGGTGACTGTTTCTAGAGTGGCGATGTCATAAGGCTTGGCACCTGCAGGGTTTCGGCGAAGTTCCATGTGCTGCCACGTGATTAACCACTTTTCACTTTGCTTTCTTGTTGTACAAATCATGAAATCATATATCATCTATGGAGTCTAAAGTGTAGATGAACGCTCGCAATGCTATGCGGTCAGAAGGGTATCACCATGCCACGCTCCAAACGCAAACGCAAACCACAAATGCAATGCAGCAATCATCTGTATGCTCAAGCAAACCACCCATCCTCATCTCCTCTCGTAACTAGCTTGCCCAACACATCCAGGGCTCCATTGGTCAATCCACAAACATGTGGCACATCGACCTTCTCAATCCTGCTCTTTACCCACAACAAAACATGTTTTGCCTCCTTCCTCCCAACCACAGCCTGTGGTCCCGCAGCCAGAATCGCCTTCACCGACTTCTCCAGCTCAAAAGCGGAAAGCTGAGGTACCGTGGGGCTGGGTATGGACAGTCTCGGCTTCCTCCCCGGGCGCTCATGAGCGATATACGCAGCCGCCCATACCACGACAGCAGCAAGGTAGATCGACCAGTCATGAAAGATCAAGCCCGTGTTCGCATGCTTAGCTGAGAGCTGTAGGATCTGTAGCGCGTGGAAGTATGCGAGCTGAATGGGCATCCGATTCATGATGTTGCAGTGCTCGCCCGCCGTGCGCGAAGCCCAGGAGCGCGCCACCATTTGTGAGGCCATGTACTGTGCTTGCGAGCCCATCTTCTCGGCCATCACCCAAGATTCTCCAGCGACTGCCAACAGATCTCGAACTGGTGTGTGGCGGCAGAGCATGAAAGTATGGTAGGCCAGTTGCGTTCGAGGGACTTGCTCAAGCGATAGCAAGAGGGTTGTAGGATCGTTACGCTCGTCGATTTGAAGACCATAGCTCTGGACATTGTTGGCGGGGTCGATGCTGCATGCAAGGAGTAGCATGGATTGGAAGGCATCGTGTCGCTGATCGGGAGGTGTCGCAATGCTCGCTGCTGTGCTCAAGGCCTCATAGACTTGCTCGCACTGTCCGAAGCTTGGGTCGTACTTCGAGAACGGGTCTTGGTAGGTCTCTTGTTCCACGTCGTTGGGCTGAGCTCGTGGAAAGGGCAGTGTCAATCCGGTCAAGCTGTTGTTGGCATTGGCCATACATTGCATGGCCGGGCGCCCGAATAGTAGTGAGTGCTGCTGGTCCAGGATATAACAAGCGGCAAGGAGGTACTGTTTGCTTTGCACATCATGCGTGGCATCGTCACAGACGTTCACTTCTTCGAAAGCATGCCGGGTCGAGATCGGGCTGTCGAACAGCGAAGTGCCCATGTTCAGTCCAAGAGCCTCCGGGTCGTGTACAAGTCGCTGATACACATTCTCGAAGGCCTTACTGAATTGCAGCGGCGGACGTCGTGATCGGAATATGGCATAGAGCTCATGTAGGAACAAGGCTTGCATGTCGCAGAGACGGTACGTGTGCCAGTTCTGCTGTGTGCGCTTCTTGATAACTTTCTCCGCACGTTCGTGAATAGTCTTTGCATTGTTCATATCCGTCGCGTTCGGCAGCGCGTGCATCCCGAGTGCAAGGACTGATGCACGCAGCAGTGGAGAGGTAGAGGTCAGGTCAAACGACGCTTTGTGCAAGACTGGGTATGATGGATGTACCCAGGTGAAGTACGCATCGACGTAGCGCTGGTCGTCGTTGCTCGCTGCGTTGTACGGTAGCAGTCCGTTCAGATTCGTCCATGAAGCGGAGTTGATGAAGAGAGAGTTCCGCTCCATATCATCCCTCTCCTGCGCCGGCATGAGTCGCAGCACACCGTTAGTCCAGATCGGTATGGAACTTTCGTCAATCACGGGCCCGCAGTCATCGAAGCTGTTGGATCCAGCGATGTCAGAGCTCGAAGAAGAATTGAGATTGAAGGCTGCACTGGGGCTAGGTGCGTACTGACCCCAGTAAGGCAGAAATGTCGTCGAAGAGCCAGCCGAGATTGGCGAGCGCGAAGCGGTGGCAGGTTCGTAAGTGTTACTTATGCTGGATTGTATGTTGTGCCCGTTGCGTCCGAGCGGGGCATGAGTGTAATACGGCCAGCATCCCGCATCGGTATAGTCGTTCGTAGGTGATGCGTATCCAGTTGGAGAGTAAGGCGGGGAGGGCTCAAAGAAGCTACCAGAGGTGCCGTTGGTGACAAAATTTCCACCATCGACTGGAATGTTCGATGATGCTACAGAGTGCAGTTCGTGGATAGGGATATATTTCCGTGGTGCCCTACACGAAGTATGTCAGTGGCATGCTCGAGATTGGCTGTTGACATAGGAATTTGCAATTCTTCGCGTGTCAAATGACATGACGATAAGAAAACTCACAAAGAAAGAGAATCAAGGAAATAAGAAAGTGGTTGAGCTTCACGAAATATTCTTGAAATCTCATACCTGGACGTAGCCTGCTGTGATGGAGCTGTCACGGGAGCACTTTGTGCAAAGTCGTCGAGTACATGCCCGCCATCGGTGTCGACGATGTTGCTGGAAGGTATTCGTGATGCGCTAGCGAATGGCGAGCCATCCTGCCCAGTGGCAGAGATATGGCTGCCGATCGATGTTCGCCTGGTGGGTGGGTCGAGAGGATCGTTGCTGCAGAGGCGTCAGTCGGCGTGGGAGTCACAGTGGTGTTGTGATGGAACGTACTGCCGTTCTTTGTGCCGTGTAAGAAGGTCTTCGCGATAGAAGGATCGTCCGCAGCCAGGAATGTCGCAAACGAATGCACCAGGCTTATGATTCTGTTTGTGTCGTCTAGTCATGCTGGTCAGTGGCATGATCGGACGACAAGATTGACTGTGTGAACCAACCTCAGATGCTCTGCTCGGGTATATGTCTGGCTCCGTCAGCTCATGTCTATCGCTGAGGTAGTCCTGTTTTGTTCAACCAGACGCGCATGATGACCATAGCACCTGAACATGCGACTACCTCGACAAAGAAGCAACACTCGACTCACCTTGTCACACTCGTCGCAACGGTGCACTCTTTGGCCCTTGGTTGCCTTGCTCACCCGACCAGTCCTAGTATACCGGACGGATGATCCTTCTGGTGGCGTGGAGGAACGTTGCATCTCGTCTCGGTCCCCTTGGCGGAAGGAGCCGTGGTCCTGGGGGCCAATATGGGTAAGCTGTCCTGGTACAGATGTCTGAAAAGCACTTGTCTGCCCAGTAGACTGCTCAGGTCTATTAGCAGCAGATCTGGGAGACTGTCGACGACGTTTGGCGGAAGGTGAATCGATATCCTGCTTGGGGAGTGAAGAGAGCCCAGCCTCAGGCGGATCCCCGGACTGCATGTTGAGAAGTGGCGAAGGGTATATCTATGTTTCAGGAACGGATCGATGGGAGATGCAGAGGTCTCCGCCTCGAGCTCTGACCAAGCAGGTATCGAACCCTAAAAGATGTACTGTACAGTACCTGCGGCTCGCGGCCAAGAGTGTTGCTTTTCAGGCAGTAGTGTCACAGTCGAGAACGCAGGCGGGCTAGGGCGGACTTCATCTGATCCCAGTTGGCCAATCTGTATGCTGCAACGTCGGCAGCCAAGGTTAGTAACCAACACCAGAAAGGCAATGATAGTGCAAGAGCTGCAGATCCAGAAACAGTGGCATCGCCGAGCTGAAGGCAGAGAGGGCAGATGAACAGTGCCTACTAGCCGCAGATGTAGATCAAAGATAGACGAGTATACCAGTAAATTGAAGGGTAGAGGGCTGAGTGGAGCTCTCGCACATGGCGCATCCTAACCCAACGGTACTCGAGCATCGGCCACAGGAACGACGGCTTGATTATGACCCCGACACCGCCAGGGCCAACGACGGTGGCCCTGCAGTAAGGCGATTTGCTCAGCAAGCAGAGAGATGTTTGGCTGGACGAAGGAGCTGTGATGTGGAGGTGCGCGTCCAAGCTTGCGGGAAGGCGTCGAAGGATTTCACTAGCGTAATGCTAGATGAATGAAGCCTAGCCTGCCCTCTCTCTGCTGTCAAAAGCCCCGACGCTTTTAGAAGCAATAATCTGCAGAAGCAGGTCATCTCGCGTGCTTGCCATGCGGTGGAACTAACTGGCTGTGCCGCAGCGAACAACATGAAACAAATTCAGCCTTGTCAGTAGTACATACTGCAGGATCTAGAGATAGAAACATGCTGCATTCGTCGGCGGCTTCTTGATGACTGTCAGAGGTCATCCGCACGGCATGCATACCTAAGCGGCACCAGCAATCGCTAAACGGCCAGCCGAACGTTGTCTGTGCCAAGCATCGCCAAAGCGTCTGTAAGAGGTCTAATTCATGTTCAGCTGGCAGGGGTGTCTTCACCGGCCTGCATGATGGACGGCGGTTACTCATCCATACATTCATCTCCGCGAGACTTTGTACACCGGCAAGGCCAAGGCAACCTTCTCCTCAGAGTCAAGAACGAGCATTGTGATCAAATGATGGACATGTAAGCTCGGAGATTTTCGTCCGACAGCTTGCAGTCGACGTCCGCCGACGACAAGGAGTTGCACAGACGGCTGCCCCGTGACGATCCCTCCTTCCCCTTCCCCGTTTCCTTAGCTAATCATCTCGCGTGGCCGATGCACGACGTATCAGATTGTGCCGATCTACCGTTCCACGAACACGGTTCCTGGGCAGCCATCTCCGTAGACGGGAATGGCAAGAGGGTCTTCGCCCGAAGCATTCGTCAGTATCCTCGAACGCCTAATCATAGCAGGCATGCTCTGCGCTGTCGCTTGACAGCTTCTAGGATGTGAACAGATGTTCAGTATTCGCTTGTATATTCGTTATCGTTAGGGGCTAGGTCTGCTCCACTATGTTGGTGGCTGACAAGGACTATGATCATTCGCCACTCATGCTTGTACCAATGTGCATCCCTTTTTTGCAGACGGAAGTACGATGAGCGAGTCCTGATTGTTTGTGAGACTGCACGATCGACATCGCTGTCCACCGCAAACGTGGAGCCATGGCAGGGTATCACCAAGTTGATAGTTGTGATCATGAACTCGCAACTGAGAGATATACGGAACACAAAACTAGCCAAGGGAAAAAAACGGATTAGTACACTCCCGGTCATCCTAATAACCTGCGATTTTGAACTTCATCTGGAGAGTCGGGTCATAGGGGCGGACTGTATGGAATTCCCCTGGCAAGATGCAATGCGCGATAGACTTCGACATAAGAGTGGTAGGGGTCAGATGTTGAGTGCTGCTCTTGATGGGCTACCATCCACACTCATACTGCGTCTGATGAGCTCGATGTCACCACACTGTCGCTACTACGACCCGGATCTTCCATGTCTTTCTTTCCTGGCAGAACACGTTCGCACCACGAACAATAGCTTCGATTGAGACCCTTCTGTTCTCGTGCCAGATAAGTGCCATGTTCACGTTCGTCCTCATACTCCTTGACTGCTGCACCGACGAGAACCCGTTTCTTGATCTTCTTCTTCACTGCGCCACCAATACCTACCACCTCCTGGGTCAGATAGCTGCTGCCTTCCCAGTGTCTGCCATCAACCTCAGCCTGTGTCGGTTCAAGATCGAGCGCTGCGAGTTCGTCTACGTCGCACTCGATTTCATGGTAGACTTCTTGCACCGCATGACAATCCTTGCCTCGGCCACACTCTACCCCTTCGTTACCTTCGCCTAGGCCAGCACCGAAGCCACCACAGGTCTTGTATCGGTTTCGCCACGCCCATCCACGAGTGTATGTAATGTCCTTGGTTCGCAGAGTATTCCCACAAGGTTGGCATATCCAGACTTCGGTGGCGCAAGTACAAGGACCACGGGCCAAAGTCTTACTGCTTGTAATATCGTTGCTGTGCGGTGTTAGTAGGTCAATCGCGAAGATGATTATCACTGCTGCCACGAAGCTGCTACCAGTACTTGACAGCATTGTCACAAGGAAGCTTCGATATACTAACCTATGAATTGACCTAAATGTTCTCGTGACGACTGTAAGTCGATCAAGAGGCAACTTCATGTCTGCTCGACAAAGCCTGCGATGGCGATCCTTGAGCGCGGACGAAGAAGGCGGCTTCATCGTGCAATTCTACTATCATTGTTAGCGGAATAGGTTGTATGTTGCCCATAGCGCTATTGCAACATACCCTGCAGACAGTCTTGCCACACCTGCGACACTCCCCAACCTATTGATTGTAGAGTCACTCGTCAGCGACAGTACTCAATGCGGACACAGTACAGACATCAAGTCATACCAGATCTCTTGCGCAAGCGCCAAGCTTGCCAGAAGTGATTCTCCCAATCTTGACACCGTCACGGCCATATGCTGTCCAAACATCTAGACTGGCGTGCAGCGCATGCCCGAGGCGAGCAGCCGGGTTGGCGTTTTCATTATCACAACGCAAACTCTGCTCCATCAATTGATCCCGATACTGCAAAAGGTGTGCCCGAAACTGTCGACATGTCCGTGACAGTTCGTGCAAGGAATTGAGGTCGAGATATGTTGCAAGCTGTGAGACCACACTGTGCCGAAGTCAATTCGAGGCTGTTAAGTTGCATCTTGATATTGCCTTACGGATAGCAGGTCAGTGCTGCCGAGAAGCATCCAATGTTAGGACCTGGCACATCATCGCTGTCCGCTTGGTCGGCTACTTCGCCACCCGCATCAACTGGGGCCTCGATGTCTTCTTCCTCGCTCAGGTCGATCAGCCGCGCCATGGTGAGCACACACTTTCCGGGGTCTCAGCATCAAAGCATATAGAGACATACAGACTCCGAAGCGATGTTGATGATTGACACGATATTGACATGATGCCGGACGGGCGAGGTGAAGCGCGAGCATGGTTGCCGAGAATTGGCCGTGGTGGTTATTGTAGTGAGACATGTTCACTGCACGCCAGAACGAAGGAAAGCACAGGATATCAGATGTATATGCTGCATGGGATGATTTGCGAAGGTCATCTATTCGGTCTTATGACTAGCTTCCATATCGATGCAGATGCGCATATACATGGTACTCGTCTATTTGTACTACATCGCAAACTCTTGGCTGATGAGCCACTGTTTCCATGCCGCAGCCGTGAGTCTACGCTCGCGATCCTTCTTCAGGGCTTGTCGACAGCAATCAATGTAATCTTGGCAAGCAGCTAAGCGCTTCCGTGCCTTTGGATTCATGCGTGCAAAGCTCAAGGGATCACCAGTCTTGATGGCTTCGCGAAGCATGAAGGGGTTGTTTCCACAAGCATCGGTGTATGGTGATCCACCAACGATCAAGGTAAGAAGAGTAACACCCAGACTCCAGATATCGCTTGCAAAAGTTGGGACTTTAAGTTCCTTCTGGAGACGTAGCTGTTCAGGCGCCATGTAGTCCCATGTGCCTCCTGCATTTGCCGTAGAGTCGTCTGAGTCGATGCGGAAGGATGCCGAGAAGTCGATGTAGCGAGCTCTAATCACCGGTCTTGGTAGACTGTAGTGGTCTGAGATGTCTATAGGCGAATGTCAGAATGCTAGCTGGTCAAGACATTCTCATGTCAGTCCACTTACCCAGGAGTATATTCGCCGGTTTGATGTCTGCATGCACGACGCCTGCCCTGTGCATGAACTCCAGCCCACTGATCAGATCGTCTGCGAGCCCTGGAAATATATTGACAAGCTCCAAGTGACGACCAATTTCAGTCATCTGCTGGAGACGACTATTGAGGGTCTCCAACGATCCTCCGATCACAGCATCGAACACCAAGGCACAGTTGCGCGTGTCGAGACCACGGAACGGTACGATGAATTGACTCGCACTCAGATCCTCAACGAGATGTGTCAAGACTTTAGCTTCTTGTCGGAAGACATCCTTGGCGTCAGCACGGGCTGGGGTCTTGACTGCAAACAGACTGGATGGACCTAGATGCCGTTTGGTATCTGGTGTCGTTGGCGGGGAAGGAGGGCTGCGTCCGGTAGCAAGACGTGGCGATGCTTTTCCATCCGCGAGGTAGACAGTACTCCACAGACCTGTGCCTATGACCTTTGCACGATCTAGCTCGTAGTCCAGCTTGGAGAAGTCATACTCGGCGATCTGGTTGGCTGTCTCGGAATCTGAAGATTTCGAGGAGTCGCAACTGTTACGACTCTGTATTGGCGTGAGTGGTGGCGAAAAGACGCCATAGGCTCCAGGCACATCGAGGGCTGTGTTCTCTGGGATGCTGTCCGGTGCGCGATGCGACTTCTGCCCGGGACGTTGTGCTTCAGCGGGTTGTTCGCTCGCCCGTCGCGCATATCTAGGGTTGGCTCTCGAGACTCCAGATGCCAGAGATGATGATTTGTGCCGGGTATGAGCAACTTGCGCTTCCCATAGTTGCTCCGGGATAATTGTGTCGGTTGCACTGTGAGTCCTTAGTGGCGCAGGAGGCTGCTGTCTTCGTCCACTAAATGCAGACTTTGAAATGCCACTGTGCGTCTGTCGTGCGGAACTTGTTGTCATGGTTGAGCGCTGTTAGTGTGGTCGTGTTGCGCTTGCTGTCCCGACTTGTACTGGGTTGTGATCTTGCCAGGAGAATGAAGTTGGGTCAGCTACATTGATCGAAATCTGAATCTCAGACAGGCCCCATGACTATCAAACGCTGGAATGGTAGCCTATATGCGCATATGACGTCCTGATCTCGAATGTACAAAGCACAAGATCAAGTGCAGGAGCTGTCCGCGGAGGATACGAGAGAAGCGAAGTCACCAAGCGCCTCCCGGGTATCGAGTGACGGGGTATACTTTGTGGCTTGCAACGGCCGCTCTTATCATCACGCGCTGCCGAATAGATCTTCCATAATCTTACTTGGTCGATAGGTGAAAGTAGCCGCAAGGCCCGAGATGTGTGTGATAGGATGAGCATTGACATTATGTTCTGGAATGAATGTCTAGCAGAGCGACTCCTTAAACGTGCTTTTTAAGAGACTCGCATTGGCTAGGCGCCATGTCGGCACCAGGACTGATCCTTCTGTACTACCAGGTCAGAGACAATAGTACATCCTGCTAGATCCACATCAGTACTCCGTACGTGCACAACGAATCAGTCGTTCGGAGTGAGTAAGGAAGCAATCTAGGTGGCTGACAAGAGAGATGAGAAGAAGATACGAGGCGGGTCGAGGTTCAGAAGGTCTGTCTGTGCTTGCGCGACAACGGCTTCGGAATTGCAGCCGAACTACATACAATTTCGCCTACTAGTCGCTGTCCATACACACTTGATAGGCTATGCAAAATTCAAGACCTGCCTCGCGTACATCAAAGCGTGCTAGATTCACAATTCGATCAGTCAGTCTTGAATCGCAAAGGGCCAGCCCGATCTCTCAACCTCTTGCCAGATATTTGCAGAGTGACGATGAGCAAGAACGCCGCAAAGCAAATCGCTGCCTGGATGCCAAAACTCGTTTCGGTGCCCATCTTGTTCGCCCATTCGACTTGGAAGTAGCTCACGATGAAACCGCCCGTCGTTCGAGCAAAGTTGAGCCACGCTGCGACTTCACCAGAGCCCTCGGGGTAGCTGTCTAGAAGGTATGCTGTTATGGCGACAGTCGATATCATGATCCCTAACACATACAAACCCCATCCGACCGCAGCTATCATGTAATGCCAGCCTCTCTCAAGAGCGAAGCCCAGAACAATCAATCCAGCTATCATGAAGGGAGTGCTGATCCATATAGCCATGAGCCTGTATTCCGGCTCCAGCTTCTTCTCCTTGCTGCGATGGGTCAGAGCATTGGCGATAGCATCGTGGAGCCAGTGACCAATGACTTCTCCAAGCAGAGCCGCGACGACAGGTGTAAAATAAAAGAATCCGATACTCCTTGGCCCAAAGTTGTATGGTGGCACTGTCACGAAGATGGACAGTGTGGTGTTGATGCCGACAACCCAGGCAAAGGTGAGGAGATAGTAGACTGTTGCAATAAAGACTGTCGGCTTGACCAGCACCTGGAACGGCCTTGCCACAGCTTGCGCGAGAGTGCTGCGCTGCTTCCTAGATCGCCACTGCTCAATTCCAACCAGTCGCGAGACCTTGCCACTAACGCCTGGAGTTCTGCGAGGGCGCTCCGATGCTGGCAATTTACGATTGAAGAACGTCTCTTCACCAAACACGATCTGCAGGATTAGACAAAGTGCCGTCATGACCGTGTAGACTGCGAATGCGATCTGCCATTTTTGTGTTGAGATGATGAACGCTGTGAACAGTGGACCGAAGTACGGCGACAAGATGACGAAGCTGGCCTGTATGCTGTAAGTATGAATGCTTCGCGCAATGAGAGATTCAGAAATTTTACCCAAACGTTGATCTTTCGAGCACGCTCATGCAGGAAGAACAGATCTCTGCAGACCATTAGCTGTGGTATGGTCTTGAAGATCCAGAGTGGCTGACTTAATGAACATCACGCCGAGCCTCCTTGCGCCACGGTCGAGAAGAATCCGTTCAGAATCCTGAATGCCATGAAAGCGTTGAATGAGCCCGCACCGGCACATCCTGCGGCCGTCCATACGGCAGTGAATGTAAACCAGAACAGTACTGGAAGACGTCCGAAGTATGCTGCGAGGGCAACCACGAAGATGCCACCAGCACCCAGCATAAACACATTGCCGACCTGGCTATGGTTCACAACATCCTGTGGTATGCCCCAGATTGCACTTTGGGGAATCAGTGTGACAGCACCGGTAGCGGAGCCATAATCAGGAAGAAATGCAGTGGCGGCGATGACTAGCAGAATGATGTGCTTCTTGGTCCAGCTCCAGTTCAGTGGATCGTTGGCATCTGAAGAAGGCTGAGGAATAAGAACAGTCCGGCCATCCTGGGCAAGCTGATACTTCTGTCAGCTAGGAGTAACCTCTTTCAAGACCTCTACGTTGAGAATGTAGCCATGTTCCTCGCCCCAAGCTTCAAGGTCGATATCGAGCTCGCCATTTGAGGGAGATTTGTTGACACGGTCGACCGTTGCAGCCTCCTCATCTAGAACACGCTGCGCGTACTTCTCGTTGTCGGCCATAGCTAGTCGTACTATCTAGGAGATGAGAAAGGAAAGGGGCCGGTGCGAGCGGAATTCATGTATACCAGTTGATCATGCACATCATCTTTAGGCCGCCTTTACATTACATCTTACCCATGCTTACGCTGGCCGGAAAGTTCTTCTTCCAACAGTGCCACGTGCCGGCGTGAGTGCCGGGTAGGCTGATGAGCGGCACAAGAACCAGGGCAGATCGTGAGCATCCAGTCACGATCAACGGTCGCCATATGGAGATCTGCCGGGATTGATTGTTGGTGGGGCCTTGATGTGGGTAGATGATGTGAGCAGAATGGCGAACAGCACCACAACAATGGCAAAGCGAGCCTTCGGTGCAGAGAATGAGTGACTTCCGTGAGACAGGCGTGCCATTTGGCAAAGTGTGAAGCTAGAAGACAGAGTTGCTGCAATATAACTCTCTGCACTGCTCGCGCGGGCACCAACATGGGCTTCGACCTGCCCAAGACCATTCGTTAACATACATGTCCGTTTTGTGTAGAGTCATGCGACCTCTCATGAGTCGGGTGAAGATAACTAATGAGAAGCAGAGGGCAAGTGGAAGGAGGAAGACTTGATGCCGGGAAGAATGTTGAAGTACGGTCCGGTGGCCTCTGTCGAACCTCACTTCATGCCTTGACTTATCTGACTGACTCGAACAAACACAGCACCGTCATGCACGCCACACATTATACATCCGTAACCTCAGCTTCGAACCTGGCTTCCACCAGAGATGGCACCTGTGGTATACCGACTGATACTCGTCCCATCACGCTAGCTAATTCATCTTAAAGACGCCTTCGCCACATAGATTCATCACCAGCAAGCAGCGATCTGCTTCACCCACGAAGAAAGCACAACCACCATCTCACAAGATCGTGACCTCTGAAACGTCTCGGAGCAGTCACAGTGATGGCTTTGAGGGAGCAGGCCAATTTGCTAGTACGCCACGATTCGCTGCTGGTAGGAAACCAGCAAGATCATCTCGACCAAGGTCCCCACCAAGATCCTCCTTTGCCAACGCCCTGCGAGCTACAGGTCACTTACGAGATGATGTCGAGGAGTCAGCTCTGCAAACGACCAATGACGAGGAAATGCTTGACGGTGAACAAGCCAATGCATTACCTACGACCGAAAGCTCAGATCAGCATAATGAGTTTCGTGCACTGCCATTCTCTCCCAAGCGACGTAGACTTGACGATCTAAATCCAAACGACTTAGAATCTACTCCAGCTAGATATCACTTGGAGCCGACCTTTGCCAAACCACAGACTCCAGCCTCGGCACATCGTCTTAACATACCACGCTTCTCGACCACAGCTGGCGCTGCCCCTGATGGCCGAGACGAGATCAGCTCGCAAGCAAGGTCAGCGTTTCTGCGACCTTCTCTGGCACCTACTGAAGCGAGCGAACCACTACCTGAGGCCTTCTCTCCACATCACCGAGGACAGAAGTTTGTGCCTGGTGGCGTGGCAGCCACTGTGCAGCAATGGGTGGTCGAGGCAGGTCAAGCTGCTACACAGGGTCGACGTGGCCGTGGTTATCTTCGTGGAGATGACTTCGAGCTTAAGTTCACCGTACTTGATTGCAAGGGCAATGGTCCTTTCATGATCATGGCAAGAACAATCGAAGGCGATGATGCCCGCTTACTTTTGACTTGTGGTGCGAGTCCTGCGCAAAGAACGTCCACTGTGCAAATTGGTGCCATGGTAGGAATGCGAGCGCCAACGTGGGATATCGTCGTCGAAGAGATAACCTGGAAAGTGGGAATAGACTGGAGAGTTCTCTAACCATGGGATGAAACATCAGCCCCTAAGCTCTGCATGGAGGCCTCGGCGTACTACAAATGCTTGGCCATGCTTCAATTTGTTCGATACATTGCTGCAAAGGGGCGGGCTGTTCAAAGCTCCCGCCCATGTTCTGCTACGTGTCTCGACTAGTGAAGGACGGCGGATATCTACCTTGGACCAGTCTCATTCAAGCCACCAGCAGTACTTGTGTAGCCCTGTAACACACCGGCGTTAGTATATATCTTTCGGTATCGGACGCGATCAAGTACTCACTGGACCGTGCTCAGAGACAGGCTGGCCTGAAGGACCATCCCTCGCATTGTCATTAAGCGCAGCACTCTCGCCCTGCTGACGAATGTTTCCTCTCACATCGTTGTTGCCGCCCGCTGCCTCAGCGTACGCTTGTGCCTTGTCCTCTGGACCGCCGAGACCCTCGTAATCGCTGGCCTTGAAGGGACTATTACCAGGAAGGAAGCTGTCAGTATGTATACTGCGAATGCCAATGTGGCCAACACACGAGAAGCTCGGTTACTCACCGGCCAGTGCTGGGGTTGATAGAGCCTCCCTCGTCCTCTGGAATTGCACGATTGTTGCTTGCGCCTGTTGAACCCGTTGTCACTGAGCCGCCTGCAAATCTTGCGGCACCAGCTTCGTCGATGCCGGAATCGTTGGCTGATCAAAGATCATGTCAGTACTTTGTCCAGTCTGCAATCTCTTCCCGGTTATCCTTACTGCTATCGCTACCACTTGTTCCCGTCTTTGCAGCGTTCGAGTTGAGGTCTCGCTCGGCTTGCCTCGCGATCTCCATTGGGTCTTGACCTTCGTACTCTTTCGACATGTTGGTGGTGTTGTGTGTGGATTGTCTTCTAGGTTGGGCCTTTTGATAAAATTGCTTCCCCTATCAAAGTATCTCGTTGTCGTAAACCGAGCAATGCTCACCACAGATCTACATACAAAAAGTTCTTCGAGCTCGTGTGCTCGTGTGCGTCACCACGGGTCATGGACAGGTACGTGGGGCCATGATTCGGTCCATCTACGCAGGAAGCACGACATTATGGTCGGCTACCGATCTCGATCGTGAGGCAAGACGAGAGTGCACTGCAGAAAGATGTAAGAGATGCCATCTGGCTATTACACTACGTACAAGTTGCAGTCCGAATCCAGTACTGACGACTAGACTCAATCGACCCCATCATACCCCAATCGTCTCGACGGACTGCCTAAACGCCAGCAACACCATGCTATCCAAAGGAAAATTTACTTTCGATCCATCACTAACGCGCAGAGTAGAGCTCGTCCGAGTCCTCTGTTCCCGTCACCTTTCCAAGATCGCCTCGCTGCTCTTCAAACGAGAATGCACGATGCCGGGTGAAATTGTCAGGCAAGGCAAGACGGCTGTTATCCGCTTGAACGACCTCTTCTGGATTCATCAGTCTTCGTTCTCGCGCCGGCTGCTCGTCCTGCTCAGGTGCAGAAACAGGACTCGTATCGACACCGTTGTATTCTCTCTCCCGACGTTGCATGGCCTCTTTCTCACTCAAAGCCTTGCCGTCCTTCTCCTTGATGGTAGGCATGTCGCCCGCCATCTCGTAGACTTGCCGCTCTTTGCTGTCTGCTTCGCTAGCGTTTGACGGCGATAATGGTGAGAAGAGTATGGAAGAGCTATGCGTGCCGTTGCTCTCACTCTGCGTACTCGAATGTGTACCCTCGCCAGCCACTGGAGTCGAGGGAGAATAAGCAGAGCTACCGCGTTGATCGCGGAAGTACCCAGCAGACGATGGAGCACCCATGGTGCCTGGGGTGTCTGGGTCTGAGCCGTGAGCGGACAGCAACCGTCTGTTGTCCGAGTCGCGTTGGCCAGGCGGGATTGGGGCGGAGCCTTCAAGCTCTGCCTTTGGAAAGACGGTCGGTTGACTGCCGCGCCCACTAGTCACGACGGAGCCGTCCTCGTCCAATTTCTCGGCCGCTGCGGCTTCAGCCTTTGCTTTGGCAGATTGTCTTCGCTTGCGTATGAGCCAGAACAAGAACAATGCCAGTACTATGAGGCCAGCGATTACACCAACGACTATGCCAGCAATGGCACCTGCCGTAAGACCTTTTGACTGGGACGAAGAAGACGTGCCAGTGCCAGGATATGTAGTTTTCGCACTCATGGACCCAGGTGCAATGGCGATTAGTTGCGACTGCGCGTTCTGCGTCCACTGTACTTGTGAGACATTGAAGCGCTGCGCCTCCCAATCAATGGTCACATAAGCCTCCTGGAAGAAAGTCCTGCCAAGCGTATACTGGGAGTCGTTGGCAGCACGTCGTAAGGGGAAGTAGCGGGTCTGATTCGCCAGGCCCTGGTATGGCGGAGATGCCTCCAGATCGAATGCGGCATAAGGTAGTGTGATCTGCACAACCTCACCACCAGTCGTGCTTTGCGCCAGGCCGAATGTGATGCTGGCGTTCCTCGCGATCAGACTGCTATGTAGGGTATCGTTGACGAGATACAGCTCCGTCTTGTTGTCATACATCAGGCCGAACTCATACTCGAAGATCTTGCAAGCGTCGGCAGGTAACCAGATCTGGGGCACCGTACTGTCGACAAATGCGAAGATTGGTCCAGGTAGCATTTCCACCGCGACCGGGTCTGACGAGTTTTGGGAAGGCGTGCTAATTGACTGCACACCCACCACAATATCTCGGGTGTTGTCGCCCGAGAAAACGAACTCCACATCGTTGGGCACGAACTTGCTAGAATCATAGCCACCGAGCGTCAGAGTGCCTGGTACCTTGTTGGACCTGTATGGTGCGCCTGCTGTGTACGAAGCCGATATGCTTGATATCAGGTTCTGCTCCTTCAGTTGCGAGATGTAGCTGGGCGACCCATTGTCGAATGTGGTGAAGTTTGTCGGCTTCGGGTTGACGCCAAAGATGCCCAGGTAGAAGTCGGCTACTGCGTAACCTCCCACGGTGGTATTCTTTAGTGTCGGCCCATTTGATCCATTTCCAAGTGCAACCGTGTCGTAACCGTACTGTGAATTCCCCTCGATACCCAAGTTTGACTCTATCATCCAGTTGTAAATACCGATTGACTGGAAGCTACTGCTTGCGGTCTCGTTGTAGATTCCACCACGATTATTCGCGCACGCTGAGTAGCTCGTCGCGCTTTGGCATCCTACCGGTAGTACTGCGAGAGTCTGGTATGCCGCTAACGAGACGAATGTCCTTATGTACTGAAATGGAGTCCCGATGCCAATCGCAAACGTCGACCACGATCCATCGATGCCATCCCAGTTCCCATCGGGCGCAAAGTCAATAGGTGCTACGAGACTGTTGTTGGTGGTTTCCCTCGCCTCTAGAGGGCTCGCCAGTGTATGTTGCACGCTGAGCGCGAGTATCGCACCGGGCAAGAGTAGAAGTCTGCCCATCGCGAGTCCCATGGTCGCACTCGTTTTGCTACGTAGTCTTTGTCCCACACCTTCGCTATACTCGAGTCCACCACGTGTGTATTGTCGATATTTTCACCTCATGTCACAAACAGCCAAGACCTCTAAACGATCACGAACAGACGACAGATGCATGAAGACAGACGTACGCTGACAGGACTTGGCTAAGCCGTTCACTCGGTAAGCTCACCATCCGGGCAAACCGTGTGGAGGCCCAAAGGGTTTCGATGCCAGCGGCGAGCCAAGCATTAAACAGCCAATCTCTACGACATCCGGCTAGTGGCGCTCGCGATAGGCTTGTCGTGCTGCATCGTCTCATGCGGGCCGAATACGAGCCACTTAATCGCTTCCAAATCGATGGTTCTCCTATGACGGACGAGCGATGACAACCAAGCGGTCGAGTTTGGACGTTGACCAAACAACACTTCTTTGTTTCAAACGAGACCATCCCTTGAAGTCCTGACGTACGAAGCATCTGAAGCCGGTGAACAACGGTACACAAAAGTGCAGTCTGTAGCAGGCATAGTTCCATGCCAAGTCTCCGCCTTAAGCTAATCAGGCGAGAACAGCCTGCGAGAAGCCGAAGATGGTGCATCATTGGATCACCAAGAGAGGGGAAGCAGCTTTGATTCTATTGTTATCTTACAAGAGCTCCAGCAAGGTGGTGTGAGAGATGCAGGTACCAGCTGCCATATTTGCTACTTCGAGCCTTGCGTCGCAAGGTCTGTACACTTCTGAGGCGACAACCAGCAAAGACATCCTGACAGAGACCTGTGTTGCAGTAAGGTTGGTGATCAAAGAGACGGCTGACGACGATAGTTGAAGTCAGTGCTGATGACAAGCCGGGTCGCCGGACGGGACGACAGTTGAAATGAAACTCTGTCTCGCAGCGTGGGGAGATCGAGCATTAAGTCGTCAGCCAAGAGAAATGCGTACCGTATTCATCAATCAGCAAATGAATGCTACCGTGTACGGCCGACCGACTCTTGAGTCTTCCTGGCTGTTCACCCCAGTCATACCTCGGGATACGATGAGCTGACCGGTGCAATGCATGCCAAGCAGAAGTATCATGTAGTAAGAAGTATAGCTGGCACGAGCTGCAGCTGAAAGTGGATGCTTCGTGTTCGAGATGCGATGTGCGTGCTTCTTGCTCGGACGCAAAGAAGGCTTGATTTGAACGCGGCACGCCGTAGGCCAGGCAATCGACGGCTACGTTTCGGAATAGATGACTGCCGCATGTAGAAGGTCCTCGATTGCCATTCTCGCGGGCGTGTAGCATAGCATGATCGCAGCGCCCAATAATATAGTGGGAACAGACATGCAAGGGCGCGATATGTCGAATTGCCACGCGCAGCCTATAGCGCAATCTCACCAGCAGGTAGAAACGGAGAGGCAGTGCTTAAACTTTGACTCAGTAGTGCGAAGTGGACATCGACATCCGTCCAGTCATCTCATCGTAAGCGGACGAGCCGTGTGTTTTCATCGCGCGAGAGTGGACTCGGTTTGCAGGGGATCGGCCTGCACAGTCTCACGCCACTGGCCGGAACAACCTGGGAACCAAGCTGGCCACAGATCCTAAGCGAACTCTCTCCACCACCCAGTCTCCATAGCCTTTTTCGCCGCTGCGATCCTTCATCCTCCTCACCCCATCATCACTAATCCGTATTCAACCACCGGGTCACCGTTTCGCTGGGTGCAATTGTTTTGGACAACTATCGGCTTGGCTGTGCGATCGTTTGTCTCAGACTCTCGTTCATACCTTATCGATTGATCGCGCTCAACTGTTTCTCGTTGCCTGGAAGCGTGCACTCCACAACCTCACCAGCCAACTCGATATCTTGTCTGTGAGGTCCATCCGCTTCTGGTACACGCGAGGTGGTGCGTGATGAACTGAGAGGACGACACTTTTACGACTACACTCGTTTGGAAGATCACGATATTTCACCATGTGGTCCAAATCCGCAGTAGTGCTGGGTCTAGCCGCAGCCACAGCGCAAGCACACAGAGGTCAGCGACATGAGAGACAAGCGGCTTCTGATGGCAACTCCAACTCCAGCGCTGTATACGTCGCTCCCATGCAGAGCAGTAGCACATCGACACAGAGCTCATATCCGGGCAGCATTGCAAGACCGCCTGGACCACTCAATGGCTATGGCTCAGCACCACCTTTGGCGCCGCCATATGGTTACGCTCCTCCGAGTGCAGGACCACTGCCGACTGAGGCAATCCCGACATCAGCGCCGCCATCATCGTCGTTGCCGGCGTATTCCAGCACAGACTTTGCGTACAGCCCTGGGACAAATACAACCACAGAGGTTGTCACCGCATACTCCAGTCCCCCGGGCACAGGTGTGTCGAGCTTGAGCTCATCAACCTCCGTATCAGAAGCGAATTATACCTCGACAGAATTTTCGTACAAGCCTTTGTCGTTCTTCGGTCCATCACCAGTTGGACCAAAGACGGCATCCTCGACCGCCCCAGTCAGCACTTCGACTAGCACCAGCGATGCTCCTGGTACAACAGGAATGCCACGCTGGCAGAATGGATCAGGTAGCTGCCAGGGAGCTACACTCAACGTACTCAACGCCTCGCTGGACTGGTGGTATGCCACCACCTTTACAGATGTTGCCTCGACTTTGTCTGTCACGACTAATTATAACGGCTCCACATCCTGGTCCCTGGTCCCGGCCTCGACCACGTTCAACGTCACATCTGCTTTAGCTTCGCCTTCATGCTCGCTGACTATCACCGAGTCCGTTGGCTGGCAAGGGACTTACAGCTACTACGAAGGGACATGCTTCAAGACGGCCACGCCAGTGGCTGCCTCTACGTCTGTTGTCACCGTCAGCGCCTATCTGCCACTGAATGAAACAGCTGGGAATGGTACCGTGCCACCACTCGTTACAGCGCCTCCCATCGCTACTGCTACTATTCCAGCGGTAAATGTAACAGCCAATACGACGTCAGCCGGTGCTTTCAGCCAGGGAACACCCTTCGTCTACTTCAGCCAATACCAAGTGATCCACAAGCAGAATACCACCCACCCCTACGATGGCCGACCTATCTGCGCCGAGGTCACAAAGACCTTCAACCTCTCCGAACCCTTTAGCTTCGCCTACGACGGTCAGAGTAACCTTGATGGCGTGCTCCAGGTCGGCGCAAACGTCACAGGAGATGTCAATCCAGCTCTTCTCGGGATCGTTGGTCAGAGCACCGCTGTTGCAGGATCTTGGGTAGCTGCTCCTACCGTGCTCTTCGTCGTAAAGAAGGTGCTTGCTGCTCAACCTAGTGCCGTGCCTGCTGCTGCTAGCGGTTCAATGACGCTGTCTAGTATTCTACAGACGATTACTCCATCTCTCCCTCCCGGGTTCGACACGCAGAGCGCGCAAGGTACTCTGTTTGGTGTCGGAATCACGGTCAGAGTGCCCGAGTCACAGCCTGTCCTTCTACTACCGCAGACCGTTACCACACCCACGTCGACAGCTTCGCCAGTGACCACGGCTCCAGGCGGTGCATCTAGCAACAACGGTGGCTCAAATAATGGTGGCTCAAAAAATGGAGGATCGAATAATGGAGGAAGCTCGAATAGCGGTGGATCCAATACCGGTGGCTCAGGAGCATCTGGTAGCAGCAGCAATAACGGCGGCAGCCCACCAAATGTCGGCAACCTCGTCTCGAACGTGATCAGCGCCGTCCAACCTACAAACGCTCTCCAAGTCCTCAGCGAAGCCCAAGCAGCGGCCAACAACCCCACAGCTGTGGCAATTGCAGCCGGTCTAGGAGGAGGAGCGCCTGCTGCAAACAGCGGCAGTGGGTCGTCTGGCGGAAATGTGGCTGTGGTGGGAGGGACAACATTCACGGTCACACCTGCGAGTGACAAGTCTGGTGGCGGCTCTGTCGTGGTCGCGGCAGCTGGATCATCCGCTACCATTGCGCCTGGTCAGTCGGCTAGTGTGGGTGGCCAGACGGTCAGTATGCCCGCTTCTGGTGGTGGTGTCATGATCGGTACCGGAAGTGGAGCGACTTTCGTCTCACCACAAGGCTCTAGCTCGGGTAGTGGTGGATCTTCTGGCGCGAATGGAGGCTCTGGAGCGCAGGCTGCGTTGCCTGCTCCTGTGATCACGGTCGGTGGATCCACCGCTACTGCTCAAGCAAATCCAGCTTTTGTGGTTGGTGGTCAGACGGTTGTGCCTGGTGGCGCCCCTATCACTGTATCTGGGCATACAATTCTTGTTCCTGCCGGGGCTACCGCTGTGGTTGTCGACGGCTCGACAGTGCCCCTTGCTGGACCAATTGCTTCGCCTACGGTCTTCAATGTCAACAGTGTGCCAATCACGGCCGCTCCAGCCGGTGGTTTTGTCATCGCTGGTCAGACCCTCCAACCTGGCGGGAGCCCTGTAACAGTCGACGGCACAACTCTCAGCCTCGCGGCCGGAGGTACTGCTGTGGTTGTCAACGGACAGACATCTATGCTTAGTCCAAGTGCTGGTGTCGCAGGTGCTGCTGCGGCCATCCCTCTTCTCACTATCGGGAGCCAGACATTCACTGCAAATGCTGCAACGCAGTTCAGCCTTGCTCCCGGTGCGACTTTGACGCCTGGTGGACAAGTCGTAGTGAGTGGCACCACAATCAGCCTTGCCAATGGCGCGACCGCACTCGTCGTGAACGGCAAGAGTCAGGCATTGAGCGCTCCTCTAGTAACACCGGCTCCCATGATCGTGGTTGGTGGAACTGCCTACCAAGCCAATGCTGGATCGACGTACGACGTCGCCGGTCAAATTCTGACTCCAGGAGGTGTGATCACAGTCAGCGGCTCGACCATCTCGCTCGCTTCAGGAGCATCAGCAGTCGTAATCAACGGCAAAACCACCACATTGACGAGTGGCAGCTCTCCAACCACGCCGAACGCGAACATGGCTACGATCACAGCTCCACCAGTTCTAACAGTCGACGGCTCGGCTTTCGTAGCCAACGGCGCAAGTGTCTATATCATCGACGGCAAGACCCTGACACCAGGTGGTGCTATCACGATCTCTGGCGCCAAGGGCGTGGAAACCATCTCTCTCAACTCAGCAGCCAACCAACTCTTCTCCATCGTCAGTGGAACGACGTATTCATCAATGGTAGGAGCCATGGGCGCTATGCCAACCGGTGCACCTATCCTTACCGTCAATGGACAGACATATACCGCCCAGTCGTACGACACTGGCAGTGGACCCACATATGTCATCTCCGGCCAGACATTGACTCGCGGAGGCGCCATAACCATCACAGCCTCTAACGGAGTGAAAGAAACCCTCTCCCTCGAAGCAGCAGGCACAGCCCTCGACATCATCACCTCCAGCACAACCTCCATCTCGAAATTCCCTGGCGTTATGGCCGTAATGCCGACCGCTGCCCCGATCCTCACTATCGGCGGCCAGACATTCACAGCGGTGAACAACGGCGCGACGTACGTGATCTCGGGCCACACCCTCACACCCGGCTCGGAGCAGACCGTCACGATTGGCGGGAAGACATATATCGTTTCCCTGGCCGCACAAGCAACTCTGCTCGAGATCATGGAGGAAGATGGAAGCGGTCACGTCACAGCTACGGAATTCGAGACGCTTTTCCCGGCGCAGATGACCGGGTCGACGCTGACGAATACGGTCAACATGGCTGCAACCGGTGCCTCCAGCACAAGCGGCGGCGGAGTAGCATCAGGCACCGCGGCTGCGGCGACGAGCCAGAAGGCGTCTGCGACGAGTCTGTCCATGACGCTCAGTGCCGCCGTATTGGCTCTGAGCTCATTCTTACTCGCTGTCCTGCTCTAAGAAGCGAGTGAGAACGGCGACTTTTTGTTTCAAGATGGGAGGAGGAAAAGTTTGACCTATGCGAGTTTGTGGTTTTGCTCGTGGGGGGAAAGGACTCTGATGATGTAATGAACATGGTGCATAGCACACAGGATCTTGCTGCATGAGTATGGGAGATGGATGGACATGTATGGGATGGACGGGGTGCGTGGGTGGGGATTCTAGCGATTGGCGTCCGTTTTGCTTCGAACGCAATGTCTCTCCTTTTGAGGAGGACGACTAATGGAATGGGTGTAATTTATCCTATCCTTATGTAAGGATGTCAATCATTGCAAAATGTGTACCGAACTCGTGCCAGTCTATCTCTCTACCTGATCCGGTCCGTAAACGCCACCATGGTTGGGAGCTTGATGAGCAGCATTCAGCGCAGTATAGAATGTAGAGAATGATCATGTGAAACGGTGGGTCAAGATGCAGAAGAGGTACAATCATATGACTACCTACCCAAAAGGACACCTCAGCAGCCACGACTAGAATATCTCTCACTTCTCTCTCAAGAGAGAGAGCAGAGCTCGACATAGGGTGTCAATGGCTGACGTGCGTGTACCAAGCCATAGCTCAACTCTTCCAAAGGTGCCAGAACGCCTGAGCACCGTACCAGTCCACAAAGTATCGTATGCGCGCAACTCAAAACCCTCCATGCTCTCGTCCAACCTCACAGTCACCTCCAAGAACCCTCTATTGTCTCTTGCCTCCTTTAGCCCATCACTTCACCGCCACTCGCACACCACACCTAACCTCTCGGCCCAACACTCTCCTCACCACCCCGTCTCGGATCATCCCTCCTCATCAACCCCTCCACAGGCCCAAGCAACCTTTGAAAACCATCTTTACCAAGCGTAGCGACCTTGACCTCCGTCGTACTAACCACACTAGCCGCCCTAGGTCGATCATCCAGCAGAGCTAGCTCACCAAAGTAATCACCCTTCTCATACTGTTTAACCACATTCGTGCTCGTGCCCACACTACCCATCTTCACCGCCTCGGCCGAGCCAGACTCCAGAATGTAAAACTTGTCTCCCACATCGCCTTCACGGATGATGGTGCTACCGCTTGGATATTTGCGTGTTTCAAGCGCATCGGCGATTTTGGACCGTTCGTAGGGCGTCAAGGAGGAGAGGAGCGGGACTTCTTCGAGGAACGACTCGTACATTCGTCTACGCTGGAAAGCAGAGTCCATCAGGATGCGGCGGAACGTGATACGGTCGAGTCGCCAGAGGATGGAGGGCTCCGTGCTCACGACTGTGGCGGCTCGAGGGGCGTTGTACATGAGTGCTAGTTCGCCGAAGGATGTTCCTGGTCCCGAGGCCGCGACGCGTGAGCCTAGGCCATCGGAGCCGGATTCCACGCGCCCGGTCTTGGAGACGTAGATGTCGAAGTTGCCGTCCTCGACCACGTAGAAGTAATCACCCGCGTCGCCTTGCACGATCACTCGGACGTCCTTGGCTGGCACTTTGTACTCTTGCAGCGCACCAAGTACCTGATTCGCCTGCTCATCGTCGAGGTGGGAGAAGAGGAAGTTATGGCTTACGGACTGGCGGAGACGGTGGATCTGATCTTGTGTTTTCGGGTAGGAGGGAGCTTTCCAGTTATTGTCGTCCGCGGAGGCCGGGGCGAGGGACTCGGCGCTGACAGAGGTGCGGCGTGTCATGTTGTAGTTGCTTGGAAAGCTGCCGGGGCTTCCTGCATTGATTTCCATGGCGCCGGCTGAGCCAGAGGGAGGAGGGTTGTTGTTGTTGTTGCGTGGAGCAGCGGACGGAGCGAAGCCGAAATTGCCGAAACCGCCGTTGGTGGAGGATGTGTTGTTCGCAGCGCTAGTGTCGTCGTGAGATGAAGGGCTGGAGAGTGGGTTGGGGGGGAAATGAGTGGCAGTCGGACTGGCAAATTCATGCTCCTCCTCTTCCGCAACGGAATGTATGCCCCTCGCACCTGCCCCGCCACCACCACCACTTCCACCAACGGCAGGCGCGCCGGGACTGAGACTTCCTACGGGCCCACCAGATCCCACACCGCCACTACTCGGTCCACTGCCACTGCCTGAGCCTGACGTCGCACCGAAGGGATTGCTGCCCGGGAAGGTGCTCTCGGCCATCATGCCGCGCCCCGCAGCGCTGGAATGCTGATGCTGCGCGAGCAGGAACTCGTGGCGCTGCGACTCGAGGCGGCGGTGGAAGAAGTTGGAGCAGAATTGGAGGATGTCCGACGGTTGCTGTTTGCTGGCTTCGCGCTCGAGAGCTTGGATCTCGCGGGCCAGGTCCGGGTGGGTTGAGGAAGTGGTGTGTTTGGTGGACATTTGGATGGGATTCGCGAGGTGAGGGTGTCGTTAGTTGACGCAGGGGTGGAGATGGTGACACCGAGTGGAGTCTTGTCTGAATGTGTCTTGTGTGATTGATAGGATAATATTGAAAATGTGGGTAGGGATGAGCTTGCTCAAACAGTACGCTGCTGTGATGCAGTAATGCAATAATGCAAGCGTGCCGTGCCGTCGTCTATCGTGCACCAGCGGCGTGTGTCACGACGTTTGACGTAGAAGCAAGTGCGAGTGCAAGACAGCTACATCAGCAGTATTCTAGAAGAAATACTCGAATGGTTCGCAGGATGCACTTGGGAGCGGTCAACCCACTGTTTGCTCCCAGTCACTTGTCCCTGCCTGCTCCCTCTCCACTTCCACTGATGATGGCACTGGGCGCACAGAACACAGAGCTCTCGCGCGCTGAGGCGGGGTAGAGCAGTTTTGGTAAGCTAGAAGCAGGGGAATCTGGGCCGCTTCGCTTTCGATGACCTTACCTGATCTGTCGTGTGGCTGGCGTGATATCGTGAACCATGTTCGATGACACGAGCGTGCCGATGATATACGCAATCTAGACCTGAGCCCGTAATGCCGCGAGAACACCATCTGCGACTCGTGAACACGCTTTGACTGTCTTCTCACACTACCACTACCCCCCCCTCCCCCCCAAACCTCACAAGCCCCACCACGCTCAAACCAACGACCTGGCAAGCGCAAAAGCCGCCGCTAACCCAACATCCTTACAATAGCTCAAATGCGGCTCATAAATCTGATCGCCATGCGCACAGATATCATCTCCAACATGACAATCGACATACACCTTCTTCGCCGGCACGCTCCCAACCGGATACCCATTGTTAGGATCTCCGAACAGCAGGACCGAGGAGATGAAAGCCGTGTCCGAGGCGCTGAGGATCTGGGCGGCGTTGTGCACGACTTGCGCGCCTTGGCTGTAGCCTGAGACGATGAGTTTGGTTGAGGGGCAGAGGGCGTGGGTTTGGTGGATGAGCTGTTCGCGTGTGTTTATTAGTTGTTGCTGATGATGAGTACTTCTAGAGCAGGGTGGTTGGTTCGAGGTGTCTAGACTTACGGACGCAAGGTTCTGACTCCCTGTCAGACTTCCACCCTCACAATACTCTATGGGGATGGCAGGATAGTTGTTAACGCCCTGCACAGCGAGTAGATCACTGCCCAGGAACACCGCCTCCAACGCCGTAATCAATGGTGGCCCGAGGACGTTGCCGAGATTCGCATCCTCGGTTGTCCCGCGAGCGAAGAGTAGAGTATGCGGTTTACAGGTCGCATTGTTGCCACCGGCGTTCACGATGTCGTTGCGGGTGAAATTCGTGCCGGTGGGTTGGATGCTGAGGCAGCCGAAGGTGGCTTGGAGGAGTTCGCCTGCCGTGATGGGGTTGACTGATGTGTTTGAGCAGTCGGGCAGGGCTTGGGGGATTGTGCCTGCTCGGAAGGAGAGGTCTGGGTTGGGTGCTGCGGTTGTGAGGGTGGCGGCCGCTGCTGCGGCAAAGGCTACGTTGAGGGAAGATCTCATGGCGGATGGATGGACGGTGTTGTCTGTGGGAGGAAGGAGAGTCAAATGGCAAGGAAGGAGTTGTACTTATGCAGCTCCTTTCGAGCGGTCTCTCCGAGGGTATGTATACGTCCCTCCCATTGTCTTCGAGTACAATATAGACAGGTCCATATCAACCTCGGTCGTCGTCCACGGGCCAGTAGTCCATATTGCCAGATCCCTGCCTAGTGCCAATTTCAATGGCGTAGAGACTCTGGAATTTCCTCTTTCGGAAGGTTAAGAGCACAAATATATGCACGCCGGCGGCGTGGTTGTCCAATATGGTGCTTTTGTTGTTAGGGTTATGAAAAAGACCAGGCCATATTGTTTGCGAGACATGGTAACGTCTAGATTTTTGCTTCAGCTGAAGTGCTTTGCGGAGTCCTGCTCAGCTGTGATACGCACAGGTTGCGTGTTGTGGCCTGATATAGCGCAGTGGTTCCCTGCTACAGCAATTGGTCTTCCAGATCATGGTCGTATTCGTACCTGAGCATGACAGCAGATGGAGATGAGGTGTCTTCATTGGAAAATGTGAAGGGGCTGCGAGGGGCGCAGTGTTATCCACGCTTGGTCAGCACGTGATCTGACACGTCAGTCTTCGAGCTTCCTGCAAATCCAGTAGCATGACCTCCCGAGCAGGAACATCGTCTTCGGAATCGAGGCGATTGTGCTACCTATGTTTACGGACCACTTGTCCATTGTGGTCCAGATGACATGTTTGGCCAAGCAGACGGAGCCGAGGTGGTGACAAGTAGCTTGGAAGCCATTAAAGCTTCATTTTAGCTGTTACACAAGACCATTCAGCGATGACCGGACGATGGTAATATCTATGTTGCTGGAGACAAATGTCATATCGATCACGCCAGTCAGAGCCTGACCCTTCACCGCCATGACTGCGCACGACTTCGAAGTCAGACAGAAGGATGTTCCCCCCCGAACAACAGGAAGGAGCACAAACTGCATTAGTAATTCACCAACCCCTCTCCTACATGTGCGGCCGCCTTGGTCTTAACCGTGGCCTGACGGATATGGACATGCGGTCAAGAAAGTCACACTAGCATGACTCTCCTCCCATGGGATGTAGGCTCCACTTGCTGTACCATATGTAGTAGCTAAGTCCGTCGGATTGTTCAGCTCGCAGGATGGTCCAGCTCGAGAGACCGAGTGGAGAACGCTTTTACGAGGATGCGAGTGCTATATGTCTAGATACGCATAAAAGAACAAGATACGGCACTTCCTAAGCTGCACTATATCATTATTCAAGTTGAGCCAAAATTTGTCGATCACTGGCTGCCAGACCAAGAACTCTTTCCATAATGGCTCCCTCCACAATACCAGAGGGCTACGTCCCCGAAGGCCGCCTAGGGAACGACGACTCCCTCCTCGTCACCGACCCCCGAGTCAATCAAAAGCTAGCCGTAGCCATGAAAGCCATCGGTCTCGACAAAGCCCAGCCGGAGTCGCCCCTCACGCTCAAATCCCCCATGGAGGAGATCAAAGAAGCTATAGGCCAGAGCGAAGGCCCGATGCAGGTGATGTACGATGCAGCTGATATGAGTCTTCCCGGTGATGACAAGTTGCCGGAAGTGGAGCACTCCAGGACGACGATCAAGGCGGAGGATGGGAAGGATGTGACGTTGCATATTTTTCGGGTGAAGGGGACGGAGGGCGAGAAGAGGCCGTGCGTGCTTTACTCGCATGGCGGTGGGATGAGTATGTTGTCCCTCCAGTCTTATCTAGATTGAGGAGATTCGATGCTTACTATCAACAGCCATCATCAATACCTTCAACCCCGTCCACGCCCAGTGGTGCACCTCCCTGGCTCAAGCCGGCGTCGTAGCCATCATGGTTGATTTCCGCAATGCCTATACCAAGGACAAACACAACCCGTTCCCTATCGGACTGAACGACTGCGCGACCGCTGCCCGCTACATCTCGGAGCATAAATCCGAGTTTGGAATTTCTAAACTCATCTTGCAAGGTGAGAGTGGCGGTGGGAATCTCGCTATCGCTACGGCGTTGAAGGCGAAGAAAGAGGGGTGGGTGAAGGGGATCGATGGGGTATTTGGATGTATTCCTTATATCTCCAATGCTTGGGGTTGGCCGAAGGAGAGACTCGTCAAGGAACTACCGAGCGCGGTGGCGAGTAACGGCTACTTCCTCGGTCTGAAATGGATGGAGCTGATGGGACATTACTACACTCCGAACGAGAAGGACGCTGTCAATCCTCTCGCTTGGCCTTACCATGCTACGGAGGAGGATGTGAAGGGTTTGCCACCGCATTTTATTGTGGTGGATGAATTAGATCCGTTGAGGGATGAGGGCATGGCATATTATCGTAAGCTGACGAATGCTGGGGTGGTGGTGCATGCGCAGATGAATTTGGGGTTGGCGCATGGGACGTGGTTGATGATGAGGAAGGTGTTGCCTGAGGCGCATCAGGCGATGGTTGATGCGGTTGTTGCTTTCGCTAAGAGGGTGTGAGTGTGGTGCAGGCAGATGGGAGGCCTTATGGGTGGTGTGATGTGGAGGAGAGGCGGTGTACTACTGGTGGTCTTGTGTTCATCTTCGTCAATTCTACGTGATGCCTAGTTTGTGGATGTTTTATTTGTCCGTGGCGATGGATGTGAGGTAGTGCTACGACGTACAATTCGCTGGTGGTACTTGAGGTGCGATTGGGTGTCTTAGTAAGTATTTCATCATGAGTTGGACTGCTCGTACAAAGTGACAAAGATGTCTGCTATTTCGAGACGTCAGACTCGATCGTCTTCGCCCTCAGCCTTGCGGCGGGCGGGTGTGTCCGCTTCTGGAGATGGCGTGAAAGAGTTAGATGGGAGTCCTCCTGGTACAGATGCTCTTTCCGAAGGTCCATGGCATGATAACAGTCTGCACACGTCGCTGTCGTTCGTATGTTCGGGTTCAACCATTGTGGGAGACATCGTAGACCTTAAAAGGAGAGCAGGATATATGATCAACAGCTATCCCGTTGCAGAAGGGCTGCGCCAAGCTAACCCGCGGATGATCATCAGGGACCCGACGCGTTTCATGGGAGGCGTTGCTGATGCGGCTATGCAGACAAGGCCCAATTTATGTCGCCGCCTGCGTGTAGAACTATGCAGAACTATCCTCTGCCGTAAGCTGCTGTGATCAATGTACTCAAGTCTAACCATTGGATTGCAATCTATCGTCTTCTAGAAAGGCTATCATCGAGGAATCTTCATCTCGTTGTCGAAACGTTTCACAAGCCACCCCACTGTTTCGGTTTCGGCGTTGCTGGGCAGATTGTCGATCCAAGCGGCCGCCATCAACAGCCTTCCGTCAAGGTGAAACTGACGCATTATCGACTCCTGCAACGACATATCGAATCATCACGGATCTAAGCAGCTGAGGCCATAGCAGTATACTTGGGCAAGTGAAGTAATCGGGAGAGAGCAACAAAAAGAAAGGACAAGAACAGGCGCATAGCGAGCAAGCATGGCGTATCAGCCTCCAGGAGGTAAGCACGAAACGCGAAGAGCATATGGCCAGACACATGGCAGAGCTTGTTGGAGGGACGCAAGTGAATGGAGGACGGAGTAGGGTCATGTGACAGCCACTCGTCCGCATTCCTCAGCAGATCCGACACCCTTGCGAGCTTCACTGCAGTAGACTACATATGAGAGCTGCGCAAGGCTGTGGCTATATCATAACCATACTAACAGATACGACCAGGCGGCTACGGCCATCAACCACACCCTGACGACGATCCCGAGAACAACCCATTCATGGATCCGCGAAGACGATCGCCAGAACGCTACCACTCACCGGCATATCAGCTCGACGACCGACCATATACTCAGCATGAGCCCCTCGAGATTCCAGTCGGACCAGGCCCATTCGGCACGCATGACAGGCTACAGCCACAGCCAACATACTCGGTCGAGAACATGCCAGGCACGTTCGGGCACAGCGAGGCATACGAAGACACCCACGTCCATCAATACACACCAAACCCATACCAGCAGGCTGCGCATCAAGGGACAGGCGACTATAGCTTGAGCCCTGCATACGAGCACCCAGAACATCATTTGTACGATCAGCCAGTCACACCAGAGCCCGGCTACGATCAACCGCAACATCCATACTACCAGGACGAGCCAGACACGAGACCAATATTGCAGCAAGGCACATCATACGGGCCAGATCCGACCGATGTGGGAGGACCACCGCAGCATCAGCCTGAAGGGACAGATCTGGAGGCTGGGTTTGGAGATGTGCAGCCACCACCGAATGCGCGGATACGGAGATGGAAGACGGTGAAGGAGGTGCAGCTGTTCAATGGCAACTTGGTGCTTGACTGTCCAATACCGCCGCGATTATTGAACCAAGTCCCACACGCCCAGCCGCCAGACAGAGACGAGTTCACGCACATGCGATACAGTGCCGTGACCTGCGATCCGTCCGAGTTCTCAGACAAGCGCTTCACATTACGACAACGACTATTCGCCAAAGCCAGACATACCGAACTCTTCATCGTCATCACCATGTACAATGAGGAAGACGAGCTCCTAGCACGAACCATGATCGGCGTGATCAAGAACATTGAATACATGAATTCGCGCACAAGCAGTAAGACCTGGGGCAAAGAGGCGTGGAAGAAGATCGTGGTCTGCATAGTCAGCGATGGCCGTGCGAAGATCCACCCTCGAACAAGAGCTTTGCTGGCTGGTATGGGTATCTATCAAGATGGTATCGCGAAGCAGCAGGTCAATGGCGAGGACGTGACTGCTCACGTGTACGAGTATACCACGCAGATGACGCTGGAGATCAAGAAAGGCGTGGTGCAAGTCAAGAAAGGCACGACCCCTGTGCAGATCCTGTTCTGTCTGAAGGAGAAGAATCAGAAGAAGATTAATTCGCATCGGTGGTTCTTCCAGGCTTTCGGCGAGGTGCTTCAGCCGAATATCTGTGTCCTCATTGATGCTGGGACCCGACCAGGAAGAAGTAGCGTCTACGACTTATGGAAAGCTTTCGACCGCGAACCCATGTGTGCAGGAGCCTGTGGCGAGATCAAAGCGATGTTGGAACATGGCAAGAACCTCATCAACCCGCTCGTTGCGGCGCAGAATTTCGAATACAAGATGAGTAATATCCTCGACAAACCACTAGAGAGTGCATTCGGCTTCATCACCGTCTTACCTGGTGCTTTCTCAGCCTACCGCTACCTCGCCCTGCAGAATGACAAGACTGGCCAAGGACCGTTGGAGAAGTACTTTGCTGGCGAGAAAATGCACGGAGCCAACGCTGGCATCTTCACGGCGAACATGTACCTCGCCGAAGACAGGATCCTGTGTTTCGAGTTGGTGAGTAAAAGGAACTGCTCCTGGATCTTGCAGTACGTGAAGTCCGCAACGGGGGAAACCGATGTGCCTACGGAGATGCCGGATTTCATTCTGCAGCGACGACGATGGCTTAATGGATCTTTCTTTGCGGCTGTGTATGCGCTGGCGCATTTCTACCAGATTCATCGGAGTCATCATAGTGCGATTCGGACTTTTATGTTCTATATCGAATTCTTGTACCAGGCGATTAATATGCTTTTTGCTTGGTTTGCTATTGTAAGTATAAGATACACCCTATGGCAAAGTCAAGCTGCTAACGTGATGACTAGGGCAATTTCTTCCTCGTCTTCCGCATCCTCACCGTCTCGCTCGGCGACAAAGACCTCCTAGGTAACGCCGGCCTCGTTCTCGCTATCGTCTTCGAGTGGGGTTATCTGGCCGTCCTGATGACCTGTTTTGTCCTGGCTCTCGGCAATCGTCCACAGGGAAGTTCTCGCTTCTATATGACGCAGGTTTACTTCTGGGCGATCATCATGGTTTACTTGCTCTTCGCCTCGGTCTTCATCACCGTCAAGAGCATCCAACAACAGATCAAAGAGCACAACGGTTTCAGCCTGGCAATGCTATTCACGAACCGCTTATTCTTCACTCTGATCATCTCCATGGCTTCGACTTGGGTCTTGTATCTGGTGTCGAGTATCCTGTTCCTGGACCCGTGGCACATGTTCACGAGTTTCATCCAGTATCTCCTGCTAACACCAACGTACATCAACATCCTCAACGTCTACGCCTTTTGCAATACCCACGACATCACCTGGGGAACCAAAGGCGACGACAAACCCGAGAAACTCCCCGCCGCGAATCTGAAACCGGGTGGCAAAGTCGACGTAGCCATCCCCTCCGACGACGCGGATCTCAATACACAGTACGAGGCCGAACTGCAGACTTTCAGCACGAAGTTCGTTCCCCCGAAGAAGATCGTCAACGATGCGCAGAAACACGAGGATTATTACAGGGGATTCCGATCTGCGGTGGTGTTGGCGTGGATGTTTTGTAATCTCGCCCTCGCGGCTGTGGTGTTGAATACGGGGGGTCTTGAGAGGGTGGGGTTGAATGCTGATGTGGCGGAGCAGAGGCGGGCGACGATTTATATGGGGGTTGTTTTGTATAGTGTTGCTGTCTTGGCGGCGATTCGGTTCATTGGGGCTTGTTGGTTTTTGGTTATTCGGTTGTTTAGGGGTGTTTGAGAGGGATGGTCTGTATGAACGATGGGTGTATGAGATACCAATGTTTTTGTGTATGGGATGGATGATTTGACGCTTCATATCTTTTAGCGGCTGTCGATTTCCTTGATCGTGGCGTTTCTGTCTCAGCACGTTTCCCTCTGCTGCATGGGGAATGCTGTACGCAGGTGCGGTGGCAGCAGGGAGTTGGCTGAGGAAGCCTGGTCTCACAGCTTGACTCGCCAGGATTGCTTCACAACTTGCTGCAGTTATGATAGTGTAGTATACTATCTTAATGTCGGTCCGTTGGCGAAACGCTGCTTTGGACCAGACTGCTTCTCCCTCCACTTCAGACTGATGCATACACATCCTGCCCTACCACCTTTAGGGCATCCCATCCCCAATCATCAGCTCTCCTTGCTGTCACTGTCACTGTGGCTCCACTACGATTCCTCTCACTCACCGTCCCGGATATCGAATCCTGAAGCTTCACCAAAGCTTCACCCAGGTCAACTTCATGGGTCGCTCCTTCCTCACTCGTGCCTTCCTCACTTGCAAGCTGCATTAGTGTCGGGAGCTTGAGCTCTGGCCTCCTTAACGAAGGTTCTTCTAGTTTCGAAACGCACGATAAGAACAACAATCAACATTGCAGAGTTTTCTCCTTGACCTCGAACACCTTCGCCTCCTTCGTTGACCATCACCTGCACAAGTCGTGCGTGTAACACGACCAGCAACACTCTCATACTCACGCCGAGCTATAGCAGCTCCGACACCAGTCATTAGGTATGTTTCTACCTGACGGCCGCCATCATGAACGGGTGCATAGCTGACAACAATGGCCAGACAAACATATTAGCTCCTCTCGACCACAGCAAAGATGTCTGGGTGGGACACTTCTCCAGCCCGTAAGTCAGCTCCCAATACAGATCCTCGAGAATGTTCCACTGACCATCTCACAGCTGCCGCCGCCGAGGAGGGTTTCACGGCTGACTCTGGCTTCCTCCAGGATCCTGAAATGCCCACCCATGATGGTGAGGGGACGTTCAACGGTATCTCGGAGGAGAACATCTCCCGTCACGCCAACGGTGGTGCGGACGACGGTGGCTGCCGCATGTATGTATCCCCATTCCCATCCGCGAGACTTCATTTCAGTATACTGACGGCTGCTCTAGTTGTGGCGACACCTCACACTTCGCTCGGGATTGCGATCAGCCTCGTCCCGCCAACGACGGCAACTGCTTCAATTGTGGAGAACCTGGTCACAACAAGGCTGATTGTACCAATGCCGCTGTCGAGCGCGAATTTACCGGCACCTGCAATGCTTGCGGCGAGGTTGGCCACAGGCGCTCTGCTTGTCCGTCAGCACCAGCTCAGAAGTGCAACGTGTGTAAGGAGGAAGGTGTGTGTCGACTTATCCCCATTGTAGCGACCCTCCCTTGACAGAAGGGAGGTCGCCTTGCTACCGTGAATGTCATGCGCTGATACTGAGATCTCCAGGCCACATGGCTGCCGACTGCAGCTTCAATCGCATGCACGCTCACTACACCGATATGGGCATCAAGGAAGTCACTGCCGAGGAGGCATGGAGCATGTTGGAGTCTGCCGACAAGGAGAAAGACATCTCGGACATCAAGCACGCCATGCTCACCTACGCCAAGGCTTACCCAGATGTCACGTTCGAGGAGCTGGAGCAGGTGTTCCGTGATGCCGAGATGAACACCTACCTAATCGCCAAGCAGCAGGAGGTTGCCTCGACCATGACCATCGTCAATCTTCAGGGTGCCAAGGACCAGGAGTTCACCGTGTCGACCCAGTTCACCAACAAGCCACGCCGTGCTGCATTTGCTGAAGGCTGGCCAAGCACACCAGAGGAGAACATGGAGCGTCTAGGCAAGGCTGGTATTCCGATGGATCGGCATGAGCAGAAGTGCTCGAATTGCAATGAGCTTGGCCATGGCTCAAAGTCGTGTCCCGAGGAGAAGCAGGAGAACAACAAGATCGTTGTGACGTGCGCCAACTGCTCGGAGGATGGCCATAGAGCAAGGGATTGTAGCGCTCCTCGCAAGACCGGCAAGAAGGGTTGTCGTAACTGTGGATCTGAGGAGCACATCGCCAAGGTACATGAATGCCCAGAACTACAGCATCCCGAAAAAACGTGACTGACGTTGAGCTTTCTAGGAATGCCCTGAGCCGCCGAATCCCGAGAACGTCGAGTGCAAGAATTGTGGTGTCATGGGGCATTTCTCGCGCGACTGTCCGGATAGACTGCCAGAGACCTGCCACAACTGCCTTGAAGAGGGTCATAGAAGCAAGGATTGTAACAACCAGAGGGTCTTCGTCTGTCGCAACTGTGATCAGCGTGGTCACGTGTCGCGCGACTGTGACAAAGCTACCGACTGGTCGCGCGTGGAGTGTAAGTTCTTCTCGCATGCATCAGAGCTGGAGGTTGTGTATTGAGAGACTTGCTAACGCATTGCTAGGCACGAATTGCAAGGAGAAGGGCCATTCGTACAAGCGCTGTCCTAACCCTGCTGCTGCACCTGCTGAGGAGGAGACTGCTGGTGGTGCTGGGGGTGATGACTGGTAGGGAGCGCGGAAGATGTTGGGTGGGTGGTAAGCCGAGATGTGTGATGCAGCGCGCGATGAGTGTGAGGTTCTTGCAGAGAACTTCACGACGAGCCGCTGCGATGTCCCAACTGCTTCGGTTAGCTGCCGATACCTGGCTGCCTTTCTTGATAAACCAACGAAAGGATGTTATGATTATGCTTGCCGTCAACTCTCTCCGCCTCCCGCCCTCGGCGCATCCTTCCGTCTGTGGAGTCACTTCTCCACTTCAGCAGATCACCAGAGATTGTTTCCCCTCCAATTGCTGCACGCGCAGGCACGAAAGTATCTTCGCGACCAATCTGCAGGCCACCGAATAACCACTGCAGGAGCAACACGGATGTCGTGCCGTCTCGAGGGCGCCCGGTGCTGCTCTCGGTCTTGACCCCAGCCGTGTGAACAGGTGAGGTAACATGATCGACATCGAATAGCGCAATGTACAACCTAAACCACCTGCAGTTTTGGGGTGTGTTTATATTCAGTGTTGTTTTCTATTTGCTAGCACTGTTTTCCTCCTCAGCCACATCTCTACCATTTGTAGCGAGTATGAGGAACATAATTGCGGCCTTCGCGGGCCTGGTATTCGCAGGCACAGCTTATGGACAAACATGCCAGACTACGACACTGACATCCAGCGTACCCACGAATGGCACCGAGGTAGCTCTTGGAAGCTACTCATACTGTGGCGGTACACTCAATGCTACGGCCTACATCGCCAACCTGGACTATAATAAGGTGGTGAGCCTCTACTACACCAATGCTCAAGGCCAAAGCACGCCACTCTCCGTGGTCACATTCGGTTACTCGAGCAGTATCGGCACTGATGGCAGCTGGGAACTATGGACGACCAGCACACCCATCTACATCGACGGCATCACCAGACTGCTCAACCTCACTTTCCAGGCTACGGACATCGGCCAGACATATACTCAGACTCTGAACCTCCCCGTCAACGCCACGGGAGCAGCAGCACCAACCCTCGCCTCCCCACCAGCACCCTACGCCACCCCCCGCGGCTTCGGCGACGACATCACCACCTGGCTCTCCATCAACATCGGCAGCGAACTCGAAACCGCCTTTCAGAAAATGTTCGTCAATATCAACCCGGCCATCACCGGAGCAGCACAAGGTGTTGTGGTCGCCGCTCGTAGCGGCCCATCATACGTGAACCTAGACCCGGATTACGAGTACAATTGGGTCCGGGATGCTTCTTTGACGATGGATGTTGTGCAGATGCTTTATTCGGCTTCTACTAAGGTGAAGGCGCAGAAGCAGTATGAGGATGTTTTGTTTCAGTATGCTGGGGCGAGGGCGACGGAGCAGAATGATCCTAACTTGCAGACGGGACTGGGGGAGCCGAAGTTTTATCTTAATAATACGGTGAGTACTCTCTGCGCGCTCAGGAGCATTCCAGCTTGGCGAAAGGATCTTTTGCTGCACTATAGCACTGCAGTTACTCAGTCAGACTTAATGGGGAGCGATCAGAGGAGGCGCTGCAATTTTTATGCAAAGGGAAAGCATGCTGACGATCTTGCCAGATCTTCTCAGGCCCATGGGGTCGTCCTCAGAACGACGGACCGGCCACAAGTGCCATCACACTCATGGAATTTGCCAACGACTATCTTGCGAATGGCGGTAGCATGGACACTGTCAAGCAGAAGATCTACGACTCGACGGCTTTCCCTTCTGCTGCGCCTGTGCAGAAGGATTTGTTATTCGTCGCCAGCAACTGGACTTCTCCTTCCTTCGATCTATGGGAGGAAGAAGAGAGTGACCATTTTTACACTCGTATGGTGCAGCGTCGTGCTCTAGTCATGGGTGCGGCGTTTGCCACTAAGATGGGGGATTCGAGCACTTCTGCTACACTGTCGGCAGCGGCTTCAGCGCTTTCAGCTACACTGAGCCAGTTCTGGGATCCGAACAGACACATCCTGTTGTACGAGTATGGTCCAGTCCTGCACGGCAAGTCGAGCTATCTCGACATTGCTGTCGTGCTCGGGGTCATCCATGGCTATGCCGGTGATGGTGTCTACGGCTTCACGAACGACGAAGTCCTGTCCAGCGCTCTTCGCATTGCAATCTCCTTCATCAACGTCTATCCAATCGCCAACAAGACTAGGGACTCGTCAGGCAACGTTCTTGGCATACCAATAGGTCGCTATCCAGAAGATGTCTACAACGGCTACGGCACAGTCGACAACGGTGGCAATCCATGGTACCTGTGCACAGCCGCCATGGCTCAGCTCATGTATTCTGCTTCGACCGAGTTCGCAGACGCAGGTAGCATCTCGATCAGCAACGTCTCCAAACCCTTCTTCGACTACTTCGCTCCGGCAGCCAAACTCCAGGTAGGACAGAACTATGCCTACGGCAGCCAGAAATACAACCAAGCTATCAACGGGCTCAATGGCTGGGGCGATGCTTTCATGCGTACGGTGAAGTACTACACTCCATCCAACGGCACTTTGTCGGAAGAATTCAACCGCAATACCGGTGTAGCACAGGGTGCGGCTGATCTGACGTGGAGTTATGCCAGTGTTTTGACTGCTGCTTTTGCAAGGGCAGAGACGAGAGGGCAGAAGAGTTATGTTAAGAACTTGGCGAACCTGGGATTTCAAGCGAATACTGTGTCGTAGGTGGTAACTAGGTAGCCGTGTAGCTACAGCTGCGTTGAGGTCGCAGCATCTTTACAGCTTGCTAGTCGACGACACAGCAGCTTGAGGATAGTCACTCGCCGTGGGGAGGTCACACTATGGCCCATATGTACCCATGAAAACCTGAGCTACATTCGTTGACCATCCAATATCTGATGCGTTGGCTGACTATCTTGGTGGGCACCGAAATGTGTCCAAGCAGATCTATTCCTCTAAAGTCCCTGATGCCCGATATTCCAGCTCGAATGCTGTTCACGTGTATGAGAAGATTTGACGAGGTGAATATGATTGTACAGAAGCAGAACTCTGTACCAGACACTTGATCCTAGATTCCATGGCGAGTGACCATCTTCGAGCTGCTGTGTCGTCGACTAGCACGCTATAAAGATGCTGCGACCATCAATGCAGCTGTAGCTACATGGCTCGAGAAGTGTTGTCAGGCTGAGGGGAGTTCCTGCTTGCTGAGGACGGCGTTGTTTGAGGCAATTAAGCCTCAGACCCTGCCTTATAGTAACATAACTTGTTATAGTCGCTCACGTCTGCTCATCACGATTGATCTTGTTGAGACAATAACAAGGACCCCAGTGTATAGTGCCCACTTGTGATCGTAATCAGAGGCCAAAGGACAACTAGGTCTGAGTCCAACAACCCTACTGGCACGATCAACAGGACCTTGGACTTTCGCACGCTTGAGGAAGTACCGACGTCAAGCTCAAGCTACCTCATTTCTTCCCTTGCTCTCAGAGCTCTACGTCTTGGCGTATGGAAAGGCTAATCCTTGAGCCGTCTCGAACGCCCTGAATCAAGGCAGATGGAGCTCAGAGCGGGCAGGACCTGCACATGACGTGAAGTGGATCATGGAGCTGTACGCTGTAGAAGACCAAGCAGTAGACATATAGCCTCTTTCCCTTGCACTCACTTATTCCTTTGCTGCAACAAACACACGAACTCATAAACCCATACCCAATCAACTCAACCAAGACAGAACTTTAGAACAATCATGTCTGGCTTGATGGACAAGGCGAAGGAGGCCATGGGCAAGGGTGGCAGCGGTACTGGCGGCAGTGGCACTGGTCAGGCCAGCGGCACGGAGAAGGGCGCTGACGTCTTCGCCAACCAAGGTTAGTAATGTTCGTTTGCTTTGTGGTATGAGCCCGCCATTGACAAATTTGTCTAGGCATCGACAAGGCCACTGATGCCGCCGGCATGGGCGACAAGTACGACTCCAAGATCGACAAGGTCGCGGATGGTCAGCTCAACAAGCAGATCCCCGGTGGACAGTAGTAGATTGCCTTGTGGCAGAGACGTCTTCGATGGCATATCGACTGGTGATATGGTGCTGACGAGAAACGCAATATGAAGCATTCGTAGCAACTTGTATGATCATATTGCCGACGCTTTTCGCAGTCCTGGAACGCTGCTCTGCCTTCCTGTCTTAACATACCGTTGCATCGAATCCATGTCGTTGTCATGAGAAGCTTGTGCCTGGAGTGAAAGCATTGTTGGCGAGGTCTATCTTTAGCTTCGCCAAGACTGTGTAGAACTGTAGAGTAGGACTAAGGTAAAAGATTACATATAGCTAAGCCACGCGTCAGTTGATACACTCCTGTCTTCGATCTGTAATACCACATTCAGGCACCTACATGCGTTTCGAGCCTGGCATAGTACTGGTGGCTGCGATAGGTAAGTACAGTACCCGAGTTGCCACTTCGGTCAGCTTCTGCCTAACACAAGCGCTTGGGATACGAGCTTGTATTGTAAGTGGACGAGTTTGCCTGTCTACATATCTTCCTTCAGCAATATCACCTCCTCGCAGACCGTACACATTGATATACACAAATATGGGAAAGCCAGCGATGAAGCGACCCGCAGTTCGTGACGACGAGGATGCCGTGTCCATGCATACGACGCCCGACGACTACGCCTACGATGATGTGCCCGAGCTGCCATCCTACAGCGACAGCGAGGCCACTGCATCAGCCTCTGGCGATACTGCACACTTGCTACCACGAGATGCACCTCCCGCAGAGGAGTACGCGGTCATCAACCCCGGCGCAACTGGCTGGAGACAGTTCTCCAAGAACAACAAGCCTGGCAGTGACACCACAATCCGCATGGACGAGCGGCTAACCAAGCCCGAAGACCTGCACGACTATGTAGTGAACTACCTCGCCCTCGTCCCACCGACTCCCAAGATCCGTATCAATGGTTACCACACCGAGACATCCTACCGCAACAACAAGAAAGAGACAAATCGGGTGGCAGACTTCGATATTGGGTTCAATCTATCAAAGTACTTGCCCGCCCCTGTGGTGGTAGACGCCCACCGCACAGGCGGGGAGGGCTGGAGCCCACGAGTAGCTGTCAACAGCGACAAGGTCTATCGTGGTAGCTGGCGCAAGACTCGTGCACCAGGCTATAAGCAAGATATCGAGGTCGGGAATGAGTCTCACCCCGACCTCATGCGCTGGTGCGATGAGTATTGCGAGTCGAAGTCTGCTTTGAAAGTCTTCCGTGTCAGTCGCGAGGTACCAGGTCTCGACAGTACCTATCTCCGCGAGAATATCGAGGGTCTGATCCGCTCAACAGGCTACGGAGGTCACATCAACATTGCCTTTCCACTGGAAGACAAGCACGTCGACATCTATAACCCGCACTGGGTCAATGAGTGGCGTATCAGCTGGATACGCTTCATTTCCTACTTCACTTTCTTATGGATCTTCACCTGGCCAATCCTGTTCTTCGTGACGAAGTACTGGAACGTGTATACCATCAATTGGTGCTATAGCTGGCAGAGTCCGCAGGGTAAGCGGTATGCCGGTGGTCTGAGTGAGGAGGGTTGGGTGGAGAGGCATGGGAACATGATACGAGGGTTGGCGCTCGAGAAGTATCAGGGTGACGCTACGGATTTGCCACTTGATGCTGGGCCCAGTGAGGGTAGAGGAAGACTGCCGTCGACTGGGAATGCTAATGTGGATGCTGCGGTTGGTCTTGTGCACGGTGGAGTCGGGTTGTGGAATTCTTTGTCGAGAGGTGGAGGGGATAGCAGTGCTTGGGGTGGTGATTCTTGATCGAGGCTAACGTGGCCCTCATTGAAGTCTCTATAGCGAACGATACCCAGCTAAACCCTCTTGATCTTTCGGCCACCACTCTCTGTCACCTGCATGCTAGACCGGCTACGTCACCCTGCAGGACAAATGAGCTTGAGAGGCGCACGCATCTACTCATGCGTGAGGCTGTTCAGCTCAGCCTTGCGTGCAAGCTCTGAGGCCGCCCTCAAACCAGAGCCTTGTTTTCGTGTCGCAATCTACATTTGTAGTCGACCTGCAGAAGCACGCAATGCAGTAGAAGCAGGGCTATCGAGGCAGAGCTATCGAAGATATCTGCATCATGCGCCTTCTTAACACTACGACGTTGCAATTCCTCGAGTCCTTAAGCCGCCAGAGTACGCCATCTTGTCGCATCGATGGCGGGACGAAGAAGTGAGCTATGAGGACTTCGACTTGACCATCCAGCCGCAGGAACTTGTGCCTCCATGGTTGATACCAAAGATCGAAGCTACGAAGTCTCGAGCAGGGTATCGAAAGATTCTCGACTTCGCACGAGTGGCTCGAGAACGCGGCTATGACTGGTGCTGGATCGATACATGTTGCATCGATGAGCGAAGTAGTGCTGAGCTTAGCGAGGCAATCAATTCAATGTGGAGATGGTACAAGAGGGCGAAGCTTTGCGTTGTGTACCTCGACGATGTAGCACCAGGAAGTCATGAGGTCAAAAGCGCTGCCTTTGTCATGAGTGAGTGGTTTCGCCGCTGTTGGACACTGCAGGAGCTTCTGGCACCGAGGTCGCTCGTTTTCTGTACCTCGACCTGGACTCGCTTCATGCAATTGAAGAAGACCCGGAACATCTTTGGTGTAGGCCAGAAGGCTGCTTGGTTCGAAGACGGCGATGAGGACGGGTCGCCCGCGCCTGGACAAGAGGCTATGCAGCTTCTTATCCAAGCGTCGAGAATCCCTTTCCCTCGCCTGAGCTATTATCGTAGTCCCAGCATGTTTTCCATAGCTGCTCGCATGAGTTGGGCTTCTGGTAGGGATGCTACGCGCGTCGAGGATGTGGCGTACAGTCTCCTCGGGCTCTTTGGCATCAACATGCCACTACTATATGGCGAAGGCGAGAATGCCTTCAATCGTCTCCAGCAGGAGATCATACGCTCGTCTTCCGATGAGTCCATCTTCGCATGGCGAAGTCTGTGCGATTCTGGTTGTGAAGCGGACGGTTGCTTCTCGCGATGCTGCTCGAGCAACACCCTGCTTGCCCGATCGCCTGCGGCCTTTCAGCGTTCTGGAGATATACACGAACTGTATAGAGATATGCCGACGCCCGAGGAAATCGAGGAACCGGATATCGAGGTCGAAACTTCCCGTACCCGGTCCATTACACATAGCATAACGAACCGGAGCGTCGTCCTAAGACCAAAGGCCTTCCTGACTCGACGGTCTGGCACCTCGACTGTCATGGTGGAACAAGAAGATCACACTTTAAAGGAAGTGGCAAAGACACCGGGAACACACTGTTACTACATCGTGTACCTTCGTTGTTACGACGCGAAGGAGGATAGGCAGTGCTCCCTGGTGCTTGACGCAGATGAGACTGATCTCGAATATAGCGGCATGCCATTGTCCCGCATCCTCGTACCTTCGTACCAATATTACGGTTCGCCCGTTGACGTCTTCTGTCGAGTACAGTCGTGTAATCTACACTTCTCTCCCTTTGCAAAGGACTATGATGGCGTTTTTGAACTGGACTTTGGCATTGAAGAGATGGATGTTGTTCTGTATGCGCCTATCGGAGCAGTGAACGAAGACGACAACTCGGACGATCCGGACGACCCGGACGACCCTAAATAGAAGGTGGTTTTCTCGACCAGTCTATTATAGGAGCCGAAGAAATGTGCCGTAGAAGGGCTATCAGTGGAAGATTTGAGTCACACGCCCGCAGCTCCGAATGTGCGCGACATCGTAGACATCCCTCGAACACTGTCCACAGAGTACATACCATCCATCTGTCACCCCCACCCCGCTTACACTCTCATTGCCTATTACCGCTGCGCCCCCCTCGTCTGCCCCATCTCCTTCCGCCCCTGCTTCCCCTTCGCCAACGGCTGCCTCGCCTCAACCATAACCGGCTCCTCCACCGCCTTCAACTGAATCTGCCTCGCAGCCTCAATAGCCGCAACCCCACTAACCAATAAATCCTGCTCCACCTTCGCTCCTTCCTCCAGCAACTGCGTGCGTCTTAGACCCTCTAATTCTGCTTTCCGCTCCTCGGTCAGCAGCCATGAAGTTGGAAATCGGGGCTTAGCTTTCGATTTCAGGTGTCGGGTGTCCAAGGGGATATCGGCGAATGTTTCGGTGCTGAGGTCTCGTGCTTCCGTTATTAGGGTCTTGATCACGTCGCCTAGGTAGCGTTTATTCTGTGCCTGGGTCTCGAAACTCTCACAGCTCATCTTCACTTTACTCTTGGCGTGATTGTATCGCGTGCCTGCCAGCTTCCGTAATTTCTGCCGTTGTTCATGGTTCATATCCTTGATATCGTGCGGGTCGAACTCCACCACTACTTTACTCTGGGCTGGGTGGACTTCACCCATGTAGCTCGTGTATCGCCATCGGAGGGGTATTTCAGTCTTCTTGGGTGGTTCGAAGGGCTTGGCCAGGGCGGAGAGGAGGGGCATTTCCCAGGCTGCGGTACGGATCATGGAGCGGAGTTCGCGGTGTTGGTCGAGTTCGCTGTGGCCGAGGGAGGAGATGTCGTCTTCCTCGAAGACTGGGTCCATGGATGTGTCATCTTTCTCTTGCGATGCTGGGAAGGATGATATGAATGGGTTGTCATTTGAGGGTGTTGTGTGGTCCGCTCGTTGAACTGGAGTGCTGCTGCTGAAGGGTCGGCATTGAGAGGGATCTATTGGTCTTCGTGATCGAGTGGACTGGCGGGCTGCTGAGCAGCATATTCGTTTGAAGGGCGCAGCCATCGTATGTGTCAAGCAGGTAGTGTACGTCTCTACATTTATGTGATCTCTCCCGATAATTCACCTCCGGCTTCCGCGAACTATATAGTCCGTGCTCAAAGTCATATGCAAGTCCGGCACACCATCCCCCCACCCCAACAGCGACTGTGAAAACATGAAACAATGTAGACTTCCCTATCCTCTCAGTCATACTGCAATGGCTTCCTCAAAAACCTGTTTCGTAACCATAGGCGCCACCGCATCCTTCGCCGCCCTCATCAAAGCCGTCTTATCGCCTCGCTTCCTTACGGCATTAAAAGAACAAAGGTATGATGAACTTCTTGTGCAGTACGGACAGGATGGCAAGGAGCTGTTTGAGACGGCTGTGAAGGGTGTGCAGAGTGTGGGCGGCATCAAGATCCATGGTTTTGGGATCGATGAGAATGGGTTGGGGCGGTATATGAGACAGGCGAGGGGGAAGGATGGGCAGGAGGGTGTGGTTGTTGCTCATGCTGGTATGTTGGATCGATATCCATTTGTTTGGCGATTTCTATGCTGAGATACAAGCGATCAGGTTCCGGTACAATCCTCGAAGCTCTACGCATCCAAGTCCCACTGATCGTTGTCCCCAACTCCGACCTCCTCGACAACCACCAAGTCGAGCTCGCCGAGGCACTCTCAGAACAAGAATACGTCGTTCACGGACATCTCGACAATCTACCAAAGGCACTGCAAGACGCAGAGCAATTGAGGACACGACAAAAGCAGTGGCCGCCACCGAACAGTGGGGTGCACAGACAGAGCAAATCGCAAGGCTTGAAAGGCGTGTTGGACGAGGAGATGGGTTTCTTGGACTAGAGTCTTGCTTGGAGAATATTTAGCGAGGACGAGAGTATACGAGATACGATGTTGCTAGGATACGCAACGAGACGCTGGGAATGATCGAGTTGGGTATGTGCCGTCAAAACCACGATAGGCACGAGTGATTATCTACGCAGTGGCACGCAGCCGAGCTTGAGTGTGGCCTTCTCGCTTGAGCGTCAACGATGATCATGAGCATGAACTATACTATACATCTCTACATTTCACATACTCTCTGCATGATACGGGTAGACTGATGAAGCATTGCTTGTCATTTGGGTCGGAAATGGATTTCTGCCTTTTTTAGCAGTATACATGATACCCTGTTGACCTCACACCATCTGCTAACGAACAACAACTTTCATCACTCCGAGCACGCAGCCTTGCGGCGCGGCTCAAGGAGGACACAGAATAAGGAAATCCCAAAAACATGCCTCAACGCCAGAACCCGCTCAGATCGCAGCACATGCGCGAAAGCAAACCATGTCTAGCAGACCAGTGCGTCCCAAAATCTCGGGAATGCACCACCGCAGCTGCCCCATCGATGTGCCATCGCTCCATCAATCTTCCTATTCCCACTCTCTTTTCCACTTCTACCTTCATGCATTCGATCACACGTAGGAACTTCTTGCCAGGATCTTGTCCCTGTAAACAAAGCCAGCGTCTCAAGCACAAGCAGAAGATAGCAAGCCTTGATATTCTCCAGCATCGTGCCATAGACATGCGAGTAGCGAGCCCAGCATCTTGCAAGAGCTTTCGTACCACGCGTGCCATTGACGGGGATAAGTAATGCCAGCAGCAAGAGCGATGGGTCCACTGCCGAAGCAGAGAGCATGCTGCTTGCAGTAGCCAGCATGAGCACACCACAAACGACAGCCAGCATACTGTCGAGCCCAGTGGCAGCGCCGGGCACAGAGGCCTGGGTCTGGCGGACCCGTGCCTCCCTGCCATCTTGCTCTTGCTGCACACGACCAAAGTGATCCCGGCGTCGGAAAGTATCGCGCTTCTTGTGCACGTACACGATATCAACGTCATCCACACGGGTAGTCGTGCCTTCCACCGACTGTGCTCTCTGCTGCAATTGTGGCGATGCCGCCACCACAGCGCGACCTTGGCCGTCCGTAGCAGAGCTGCTGTGGGCATTGGTGACAAGTTCGCGGCGCGGTGTGCTAGCCTCAGGCTTCACAGCTATGTGAGCTGCTGGGCCTGGGTTCGCCCAAACATCCAGTCGAGAAAGGTTGCCGCCGCTGCTACTACCAGGTGGCGCAGTATCTGTCACGAAACCGTTATGCAGGTTCTTGAACATGGTGTCCTGATCTGCGTTTGCGACGAGCAGTTGGCGACTAGTCGTGGTACGGCCCGGATCACGGTCACCGGGTATAGGTCTAGTGTAGTTGTCGGTATCGAGCCGCTGGTACGCTCCGCCGTTGGATGCACCAGATTGTAGCGTCCTTGGTATTCTTCTCTTAAGCATGTACAGCTCTGCACTCGGGCTAGTAGCCCTCTCGATGCCTTCGCCAAGGGTGAAAGCAGGCCTTCCTTCATTACGGGCTGGGGACTCTTTTTCAAACAGAGATCCGCCTTTGTTCAATGGCACGGAGGTAGATGCCATTTCCATACCCAAGCCTCTCGAAGCTTGCTCGTCAGAAGACAAAGCAGGAGAAGTCCTCGAAGCCTTGTAGCCTTCACGTTGTTGCTTGCCAGCATCCGCTATAGGGTCTTTGGCGTCCAAAGCAGAGAATTTGTTGAGGAGATTCTGCTTCAGACCAAAGTAGCCTTGTGGATTCGAGGCTTGACTTGTCGCCATCGGACCACCATTGTGAGCAGGCTGTCGCGAGTGCGCGACGGTGCTGATCACATTGGACATCCTGATGAGCTGTAGCGAAATGCGCGTCGGCCCGTTGGATTGTAGCACTCTGCCAAAAGCCCGGACTGCCTTGGCTGTGCCTGTCACAGCCAGTACGCTGGACGCCCACGAAGTCCGTTCTTGCCTACGGATACTGTGTCCCGTCTCGGAACCGCCAGTGTCTTCGTTGACAAGCGCAGCTGATAGTGCCTCGTGAAGGTGCGCAGTGTGCGTCGGCTCGATCTGTCCTGTACGCAGATGCTCCCAGAGCATACGATTGCCGCTCGGCGATGGTCCGCCGCTACCACTTGAGCTCTGCGAACTGCTTCGAGTATTGATGGTCGAGAACAGACGATGCGGGTGGAAATCGCTTCTGAGGTGATCGGCTTCGAATTGAGCGTTCACATCTTGTAGTTGAGCTGCATTTGTAGCACGAGCTCTTGCGTGAGCAAGCTCTATTTCGTGTTGTGGTGTGTCTTGTACGCCCCAGTCTGCTTTATCGTCAGTTTCGCAGGTGCCGAAAGCATATGTGGCAAACTCACCAGATGAGCTACCGTTTGTAGCCCAATCCGGCTGACCATCAAATTGATATTGATGGTCAGATAAATTGTTTGTAGAAGCGCCAAGAAGGTGGTCGAAATTCTTCTGCTGATCGTACTGCATGTAGTGGAGGGGATCCTCCAGATCGTTGGTAAAATTATCGAACAGTTGGATGTCTGCCGCGAAATGATCGCCAAAATCGAGGTCGTCGAAATTGACCAAGGCTTGCTGTATGTTTTGGCCCGTGGCTGCCGCTAATGTTTGTCGTGGCTTGGTAATCTTTTGCTTGGAAGCAAGCGTCTCCATCTCCGGTTGATTATGCGAACACTTTCTTTTCCGCCGGGAGCAAGAATCGCAGGCCTTCACGATCCTGCGCTTGCGATACTCAGCCTTCTCCGCCTCGGTCATCCTCCGACGCACACGCTGCTTTGGCTGGCCTGTGGTGGAGATGCTGAACACCGTCGTCATATCCTCGATCGCAACAGGAGAAGTCGAATCAGCTGTAGAAGGTGCCGCCACAGAAGGTGCTGTGGAGTACTGCCTCGTGAGTGGTGGAGGTGCCATAGGTCCAGGAGACATGCCGAATATTGGAGTTGCGAGGTCCAGGGTCTCCGGACTGCTCCAAGTAGAAGAAGTACCAGAGGACGACATGGATGGCCACGTCTGCTGGAAGGTTACTGGCGTGGTTGCAGCAGTTGGTGCGAACGCAGGCTGCATCTGCTCGGCCTGGCGCTCCTCCATGAGGAACTTGATCATGGCATCCCGCATGCGCTCGGGATGAGATTTGACATGTGGGAAAGCTGTCCGGAGCGCATCGAAGAGCTCGTCGGAATCTTTCGCAGGATAGAATACTGGTGGGGAGGTAGGGTCGTATGGTTTTCCCGGCACAATGCGGGTGATCACGTAGTTGTCCACGGGCGTGAAATTCATGAAGTTGTCGTTGAAGTGGGCCATGGCAGATTTCTGTCAAGGTGCCCGAGAAATCCGTAAGATCCAGCCTACGAACGAGTCGTGACTCTGAATTCGGCCTCGAGGTATCGATAGTCAGGATCCCGTGGTAGCAGTGGGTTATTAGTGGGGCTGAAGTCTTCCCGTGGTGTCGGTCGCGATTGCGGTTGCCTGCTGTGTGCCGCTGGCCGTGTCACCGCAAGGACGAACACTTGATGGTACTCAATCGTGCGATTGAGGAAGCAAAAGCCTTGCCGTCAAGGACTGGGGCGCGCAGCGGTTAAAGGTTGTCCTCAGAGTCACCGGATTGAACACCGAGTCGACGCTTAGGGACACCGCAACCGTGTGGGTAGGGATGTTCAAGTCATCATGACCTGAGGTATGTGTCACGATCTGGAGTTATAGGTCACCTTGTGGTGATAACCATAGCACGATAGTTACGTGGCTCTAACCTTGTCAACTAGGAAGTCTCACGTGATCAGCTTTCCCATCAGGCGATTATGAGCACTCATGGCGATAAGAATAATCAATCATTAGGTCGTAGGCTGTCCTTCAAATCGTGACCTATGACCATATGCCCTGGAGACTCCGGCATCCGTATGTGGGGAAGGTGCTGCGGTTCGTGGCTTAGAAATGCTTTGACCACTTGCATTGCCATTGTCACCATGCCACTACATTTGTGATGTGCCCTGGAGACAACTTGGTGGTGTTCACAAGACATTGTACATAGGCGAAACAATGAAGAAATCATGGTCCTGGCTAGCAATGCGTGCTGACCCAGAACACGAACAAGGGCGTCGGAGTTCGAACGCTAAAGAAAGCGAACTCCGCAGTTCTACAAGAGGGCGGACGGCAACGCATTATCACTTCACACTAACGCACTCTTCAACAACGGCATCAGCCGCTAATAGTGAGGAGACGCCATTGCATGACTCTTGCTCAAACACTTCATTGGTTGCATGGCGCTAGGGTTGATGCTTGGTGCTGCTGCTCTATGCTGTCATGATATTGGACGTCCAAGAACAGTAGGTACTCGGATAGTTTTCTTCATACAAACGGACGAGCGTGCCTCATCATTCTATCACTACGTCAGGGCATCCCGCTATGCCACCATCATCAAACAACGCCCACAACGCCAGTCTGAGCTTGTATAGCACATGCAGTCTGGCAAGAGAAAGTAACCTAACCTTGCTGTCTCTTACGCTTGCCGACCTGTGCAGAGAAACCAGTCTTGATAGCCGTGACGGATCGTCGAGAACCGCAGGAGTTGCATGTGACGAAGTAGAGACGATTCTCTCCCTTGTTGAGCTCGGTGTCGGGGGAGCGGCATGTCTTGCATGTCACGTATTCCACTGAAAGGTCGTTAGCACATCATTCCAGAAACCAGTATTAAAGACCAGACTCACCAATATATCTCCTCAACACGTTCTCAATTTGCTTCTGCTGGAATCGACCCTTGATCACCAACCGTCTGCTACCGTCCACCGACCCACTCGTACCCAACTCAGCAAACAGAAACTGCGTCACATGCTCATCCGTCCTCTTCATCCTCTTGCAAATCTCCGCAATATTCGCAAAAATCGTTTTCTTGTTGCCTTCACGCAGGCACTGAGGAGGCGGAATCTTGTAGCTTTTGCCGCCACTCGATGCAAGATCCGGATGGCTGTCGTGGAGGAGTGTAAAGAAGCGGTGGAGAAGACTTTCGTAGTTAATGGACGCCGTGCTGTCGTGGGACCAGACGCCTGTGCCCTCCTTGAGGTCACCGTCTTGGAGACCAGTCTCTGCTGTGGCTGCTTCTGGCTCTTCAGTCTCTGCGCCTTCTTCGCCTGCTCCTGCTTCAGCGAGCTTGGCTTCGAAGTCGTCTTCGGGCGCCTTGGGCTTCTTCTTCTTTTTCTTCTTGAGGGCACTCAGGTCTAGTTCGCCATCGCCCTCTGCTTTCTCGCCGTCCTCTCCACCTTCTTCATCTTCCTTCTTCGGCTTCTTCTTCTTTTTCTTCGCCAGACCTGCGAACATGTCTGTCATTTCGTCCACTTGCTTATCGTCGCCGTCTGCGCCATCGTGGGTGCCGTTGGTTTCTGTGACTTCGCCGTTTTCGTCGACAATTGTTTCGCCATCAGCGAAAGCAACACTCTTGCGAGGTTTCCGCTCGACTTCTGTGTCGGCCATGATTGTGGTTGTTGGATACAGAAAGGAGGCAGTTTCCAATAATATACGCTCGTGTGCCCCGCCGCTGATGACTCTCGTGGTAGAAGTGACTCAGCGCAATTTCTATGGACTTCCTCAGGCAAAAAGCGGCCACTTTCCGCGCTCACTTGAGCCGCATCTAAGCTCCTGGATCATACATGTATGTGATGCGTGGAAAGGCGATGCGTTGAAGAACTGTATAACGGCGATAGCTTGCTCCTCTCCGACACCCCCTCCCATCCCTGCCATCACGATGTCCGAGCCTTCATCCTCCTACGCCGAAATCCCTACGCCATCCATCGAAGAAGTCGACTCATTACCTTCATCTGACGCTGGCTCCACAACATCGGGATCACCATCTGAAGATGAAGAATACTCAGACGCAGAGCGAGAATGGCGCGAAAGCTTACAGCAGCTCGAGCTGTTATTGACAATGGTATTGGTACCATATCTGGGAAAATACTTTGGCAGGAAATGTGCCTATTGGGGTATGTGAAGCTCTTGGAGGATGCGCACCGTGATGGTATACTGATGATACTGTAGGCTGGGCGAAATTCATGGAGTGGAACTATCCTGTGTCTGTTGAGATCACGAACCCGACAGCTTTCAAGGCTGCTGGTGCTGTCGAGGCTGCGGCTTCATTATGACTAGGACGGCTGGCGAACATTTATGGAGGCCTGGCTTGAGTACTTATACGGCCGGACAGACGATTTCGACACAAAGCCTATACCGTCGGGCCTCCATGTGGTGTGGAAATCTTGTGTGAACAACCACAGAAGAGGCCTCGTCCACCGGACAGGTTAGTTGCACCTTGCGGGCTCGCATCCGAAGACAATGCTGCGGCTCTACTCAGGCACAACGCTGGCTGGCCCGTATCATCCGCTGCCAGCCCTGTGTGCTCACTCGCCTGTTTTAAACCTGACATGGCCGCAATGACACATGCAGAGGACGATACGACTAGAGTCCTCGTTCCCACTCAATAGACCTTGCCTTCTGATCGCGCCGAACCCAAGCACGGGACATTAATGGCTCACTCGCCGCAGTAACCTCGGATTGATCACAATAAGCTATTACGTAGGTAGCAGCATCGTGGGACTGGTCTTCCGAATGGATGACAGCATACATTCTCGGCCAATTGCGGTTGCCCGTTTGCTGAATCTCGATCGCCACGATTCCGCTGTAAGATCTTCACTACGGCTGGCACGCGATGTCATCAGGACAATGAGAGTCGAACGTTCCGCCCCATTGGAAGAGCCATCAGAAGCGGCCACGGATGGCACGAACAGAATTCGGTGCATGATCAAGCCTAGGTGGCGTATGTCAACTATCTCGACTAGCCGCAGAAGATCTGCACTCCGCATCGGACTCAGCTAGCTTACAGTGGCGCAACAGATATCCTTCTCGCTGCCAGACGCTTCTCTGTGGGTAGACGAATGCCCCTCGTACCAGAGCGCTCTGTACCGCGTCTCGACTGTAAACCCTGTAGAGATCACACAGCTCGCAGCTGGCGTACGGTGCATACTTCAGCTGCTGTGACTCCCCACCTGCCTCCTGTTCATGTAGCTCTTTTGCGTGAATTCCTTACATCATCATGTCATGTCGCACGCCCTGAGCCAATTGGGCAATATCCTCACAGTCGTAGATCCCCCTCCTCCCGTACACAGTGTCATCGACCATCATGTCTGGGGTTCCGATCTTGATTGCGGCCCGAACATCCTCTTCGTACCGAGCAGAAGTAGCGCTAAGCTTTAGCTTACACTTTTCTAGTGTTTCGTGGATTCTCCACGTAGAGAAGTCACACTTGCTGCCAAGGCCTGTCAGAACAGCGGGGAGGGCGTTTAGAACTAAGGTGTGGCAAACATCCACGACTCTTGTCGGGTACTTTCCGATGTGCTTTGGATGGTGTACAGTGTTGCACTCGGGTAACAGGTTGTTCATGGCTCATGTATGCTAAGCGCTGATCTGCGCATGCTTTCAGTCCTCCTTTCAGAACTTGCCAGCCATCATGCCAGCCATCTTGGCTCTACACCAGGAACCATGAGCACATAGTATGACGGCACTGACCGATTACTTGATCCACATCTCCCGGGACACTCACACGTGCAATGGATGGTGCGACGCCTAGAAACATCGGCTAGCCAAGAGACCCTGGACCGCGCCCGACTTCACTCTTCAGCCTGTATACCCGCGACGATCACCATGGCAGCATCTGCAAGTCGCGCCCGCTCGAGAAGATGGCGTGCGGACATCAGCAAAGTTTTTCAACCCATGACCCTACCACACACTGCACGCAATATGGGACTAAAGCTCGGATTGTTCATTTAGTGGTGGAAAAGAGATCGTGGACGGGCGCGTCAATGTGTGCCGTCAGTGGCACTACTATGGACTACGATCTTTACTCCCGTGCCGAGGGCGTCGCAGGTATAGACAAGATGAAGAGATGCTAAGTTCTACGTAAGTGGTGAAGCATATAATAGCTACGCGTTGCCTCCACCTAACGCCTCTCATCCTCTCCATCGAATACCATTTCATCATCACTACTCGAGGCACGCACTCAAAACAATTGTACTCAAGATGTACGGTCTATTTGCTCTAGCAGCCTCTGCTGGCGTCGCCAACGCGGCGGTTGCCACCCTCACAGCACAGTATGCCTCCTACGCCGGGTCCGGCACCCCTTATACCGTCAACAACAATTTATGGGGTGAGAGCTACGGATCGGGATCTCAGACTACCACCGTGGACAGCATCTCCAGTTCCATGGTGGCATGGCACACCACCTGGTCCTGGTCTGGTGATAACAACCAGGTTAAGAGCTACAGTAACTCACAGGTGAGGACGGCTTGAGGAGGGGAGTGTTTTTGACCGGACACGAAGCTCACCATGATATCAATAGCTTACATTCACGAAGAAGTTGGTCAGCAGCATCAACAGTATCCCGACTTCTGTTCGATGGAGCTCCAGCTCTAGCAACATCAATGCAGACGTTTCATACGATCTCTTCACTGCCGCAGACATTAACCACGTCACATACTCCGGCGACTACGAGCTCATGATCTGGTGAGTCCTCCTACAACTGCACATCACTCATTCTCCACATTAATATTGACATAATGCAGGCTCGGAAAGTACGGCAGCATCCAGCCCATCGGCTCCGTGCTCGAGACTACCACCATCGGCGGCCAGTCGTGGCAGGTATGGGGTGGTGGTGGAAGCCAGTACACTTACAGCTTCGTCGCTACCAACTCTCCTGTCACCTCGTGGAACGGCGACATCAAGGCCTTCTTCACGTACCTCACCTCAAAGCACAACTTCCCTGCAACCAAGCAGTACTTGATCGACCTGCAATTCGGTACTGAGCCTTTCACTGGCTCGGGAGAGACTTTGACTGTCAACAGCTGGTCTGCTAGCGTCAACTGAACTCACACAACCAAGCAGGAAGAGTTCTTGGCTGGAGATGTTGCAGGGCAGAGACAACCACAGATTGTCCAAATGACATGACTGTTGTGTGTAGTCAAGTAGCTACAGTCCATACGATCAAGACCTTCTCTGCCAGACTCTGTCATTCTTGCATGGATCGAACACTATGAAGTGAAGGTTCCATCTTTCATGCACATACTCTTTACATTCTGTTAAGACACAATGTAATCGTGCCAGACAAAGTGAGCGCAGATTGATATGAAAGTATCTGCTTTGATCGCGATCGCCCTTGACTGTTTGAACTTCTTCCGCCGTGGGACTGGGCTGCCACATCACCGACACGATGCTAAGATTCGGGCTACATTACCTCTATACCGCGATGGCTTCACGGACTGTTAATGTTGTACATTGCCAAGGAAAAGGATGCTGCTGTAAGCGCCAGGAAGTGCTCGGCATCGTCGGCTGGGCGCTTCCTCCAACATGCGTGGGGCCAATCGCAGCTGTCAGCGCCATGGCCTCGCAGACGTGGCCTGCAACACACATCAGTCTGGTGTGATGTATAGTAAGAAAGTGTGTAAGTATAGTATAGTTCCCTTCCCTCTCTCATCTTGTCTGTAACACATCTGTGTACTTGCACTGTCAAGAAGCCCTCAGAGGACGACCTGGATAGCCAACCGAACCTCACCACCTGGCTCGACGATTATTCGACGCGAATAGCACTAAAAGAGCTTCGTAGGAAGGTAATACTAGACCAAGATAAGTTGCTAGAGAGCAAATAAAGGCAAGATGGCGACTGGGCAGGCGCAGTACTACCCACGTAAGTCGTGCTCCTACCTTACGAGCTCATAGCCCCACAGCGACTGACCAGTGTGTAAGCCCCTCCAGGTGGACAAGCAGCGCAGCAACAGTTTTCTCCTCCCCCAGCAGCATCAGATCGTCAGCAGAGCTACTTTCCTCCGCCTCCTGGCGAGACCCAACAGTCATCTGTCCCGACTACCTACACACCACCACCACAGCACTTCGCTCCACCACCTTCGATCTCCCCACCGCTTCCAGACGGCAATGTTGGCAATGCTCTGAGCTCATATAATGGTGTCTCGCCACTGGCAACGCAAGAAGAGAAGGCACTACCATACTACCCTGGTCCACCACAGCAATCAGCACCATCAGACAAATCCCGAGAAATGGAGCCAGAACTGCCAATGTCGCCAACGCGGCCTTTTAACACAAGCAGGCAGTCAACGATGCCAGGCGGTGCACCTCCACAAGGCCACTTTGTAGGCGCGAGTGCAACGATAGACGACGTGGGAACTTTCAATGGAGGATCATACCGCATCAGTCACCGAGACAGCAACACGATCATCACAATCCAACTGGCGATAGGCTGCCCGTTGACCGTAAAGCCTGGTCTCATGATTGCCATGTCTCCTACAATGACGCTGAAAGGCAACTTCAAGTTTGGCATGAAGAAGTTACTAGTCGGCGGCGAAATGGCGCATAGCACTTACACCGGCCCTGGGGAGCTCCTGCTCGCGCCTCATGCCATCGGCGATGTTACTAACATTCGTCTGACTGGCAACGAATTGTGGTCCGTCGGAAGAGATGCTTTCATGGCGTGTACACAAGGGGTGACCAAGGACTACAAGGCCCAAAGCTTCAGCAAAGCCATGTTCTCAGGAGAGGGCCTATTCGTGTACAAAATTGGCGGTGTTGGTATTTGCTGGATACAGTCCATGGGTGCGATCATCCGGAAAGATGTAAGTCTACAAACGAGCTTCGTTCAAGCTTTGCGGTCTCAAGCTGATACCTCCCGCAGCTTAGGGAGAACGAGAAGTATATCATCGACAACGGCCACCTCGTTGCGTGGAATTGCAAGTACGTCCTCGAGCGTATTGCAAGCGGCGGAATCATCAGCAACCTGAGCGCGGGCGAGGGTCTGGTCTGCAAATTTACTGGTACGTTTTGTATCGACCAACATCTACTGCGATCGCTTCCTGACAGTGAATTAGGTCCTGGCACCGTCTTCATGCAGACACGAAACCCAGCAGCATTCGCAGCGTACATGATGGCGCATCAGGGCGCTTAGGCAGGCTCTGAGCAACGGCGTTCCATGAGGCGTAGGCCGAGTTTTCTGGGAATGTTGTAGGCATCGGCGATATCTCAGACCCTACGAATGGCTCATCCTTATTTCATTAGTAGGCTGTCACACCTAGTTGAGTTCGAAAGCGGCTCCACAACCACATTTCATCTCAATCGGGAAGGTAGAATTCAAGCCGAAGGCGGAGGTCTCCACAAGAGCTTCACTCCACACTCTTTACATCCACTTAAAATGTTGCCATGAGCGCCAGACGTCGGTGACTGCATGCGATGCGGCTGATGATGTACCGCATTGCATTCAGGCACAATGCAAGTTATTGTTGACGTTGCCACAAGGCCGCAGAAAATAGTGGTAAGTATCTCAGCCTTTCCTGCTTGTCTGCCATTCCTTCCTCCACATCTAAGAACCATCTAGGACGACACATAGAAAGTAAGAGAGCAATAGAAGACTTACAACCAAAATTACCGCAACCAAGAAAGTATTACTGCAGCCATGGGTTCCACAGAAGCACCGAAAGATCTGCCAAAGATGCAATACCGCTTTCTCGGCCGTTCAGGCCTACAAGTCTCTGCCATATCTCTCGGCGGCTGGCTCACATACGGCGGGCACGTCGAGAACGAGAACACCTTCGCCTGCATGAAAGCTGCTTACGATACCGGCGTTAATTTCTTCGATTGTGCTGAGGGCTATGCTGGTGGCGAGTCGGAGAAAGTGATGGGCGAGTGCATCAATCAAGAAGTACAAGTGGAAGCGCAACGACTATGTCATATCTACGAAGATAAACTGGGGGTCAGCTAATGGGTTGAATCCCGTCAACAACGGTGGTCTGTCGAGGAAGCACCTGGTCGAGGGTACCAATGCCTCGCTCGAGAGGCTGGGACTTGAGTACGTGGATTTGCTGTACGCACATCGACCTGACAGACATACGCCGATGGAGGAGATTGTTCGTGGCTTCAACTTCTTAATCGACCAGGGAAAGACCTTCTATTGGGGTACCAGCGAGTGGAACGCGGACGAGATCGAGAGAGCCTGGGCTGTGGCAGAAAGGCTGCACCTGGTTGGACCGTTGATGGAGCAGCCGCAGTATAATATGCTGGTTCGCGACAAGGTCGAGAGGGAGTTCGCTCTCCTATACCCAGAACGTGGGCTGGGACTGACTCCCTTCTCGCCACTGAAGTCCGGTATCCTTACTGGCAAGTACAACGATGGTATTCCTGAAGACTCCCGTTTCGCCACCAGCGACGACAACTTCGTCAAGAGCATGCAGAAGCGCTTCGAGACTGAAGACTGGGAGCAGGAGGCCAAGAAAGTGAAGGCGCTGAAGCCTGTCGCAGAGAAGTTGGGTGTGAACCAGGCGGCCTTGGCCATGGCGTGGGTGCTTAGAAACCCACATGTGAGCAGTGCCATTACTGGTGCTAGTCGACCCCAGCAGGTCTACGATGCTGTGAAGAGCTTGGAGGTCATTGATAAGCTTACGCCTGAGATTATGAAGGAGATTGATGAGATCTTGGGCAACAAGCCCGAAGAGCTTGTCATGAGATTTGGTTAGACGTGTTGTGGGTGTTCAATGCCAAGATCTATTGTCTTCCTTGTTGCATGTGTTTCATCGTGGTCTTGTTGACAATGTTATATCGATTGCTCCTACCATGTGGTCTGTGGGTCCGTCGGTCACGTCCTCCACTCAGAAAAGCATTCACCTCTGTTTACAAGAAGTTAGAGCCGAGCATCTTAACCCGACGATCATTCCGCTCAATCTGCTTCGCTTCGGGGTTGTTGCACATCAGATGCTTGCTGTAGGGCCTACCTAGGTAGCGTAGCAGTCAGGGCATTGAGTCGCATCGTTAGGCGCGCGGCAGCAATCTACGGGAAAGTGGTCTGCATCATCGCGAAGCTGAGTTTATTGCAATCACAGAGCTGCAGGTCCAGGAAGAGTCGATGTCTACTCGGCAGAGACGGCACTCGTGCATTAGTAAACGCATGGATCGCTACTTGGCATGCGTTTCGCTCTACCCAAGGTTTCAACTCCGATGAACGGCCACCTTCAAAAATTCGAAGGACAAGAACGATCAGATGCAACAGCAATTTCACCGCATTTCGCTCGATAGCGCCCCACGATCGGAGCCTCCGATGTAACAAGCGACTCTCTCATCTAGGCTGGCGGAAGATCTCAGCAGGGAAGTGGCAAGCATCAATGCAAACTCTGCTCTTGCCGCTGCACCTAACCTTTCTTTCCGCATCAATAATTCCGCTGTCCTACCAAAATCTTCTTCTCTCAATAGCCGGCACCGAGCTCCGCATACGGACACAGGAAAAGGCAGGTAGGTAGGCCATGCTACGACGATTACGAGTCACGATGCGGCAATCGAAGTCTTGCTGTCGTTCAATCGGCAGACCACCCTGCCTAAGTTTCTTTTTCTCTTCCTACTAAATTTACCCTATTGCTCTCTTGAGGGGATCACTCCACAGGCATTGACTCAGCAGTATCTCTCAGACCAGTCTCTACCACAACCTCGGTTGTCGTGTTGTTTGGCATTGGGACCGACCTCGCTGGCATCGACTACAAGCATCCGCTCTACTGAACGCAACGTCCAGCAATGACGACCAATCCGGAGGCAAACACCACCAAGGAGGTGCAGTCCGAGATCTTCGAAAAAGAACAACCCAAACATGACCGACGACGATCACACATGTCCATCGAGGACGCCAACTCGAACTCTGGAGACAGCATATTAACAGAATCCGACCACGACTCCGACGACCACCACAACAACTACAGAAGATCCCTCGCCCCACAACTCTCCCGCACCTCCTCCACCGGCGCCGTCGGCGGTATCGTCGCCACCTCCCTCAACCGAACATGGACGCAAGGCACAACAGGCACCGCTAACGACCCAGCCTTCGAAGTCGACTTTGCCGACCACGACCCAGAGGACCCTCAACAATGGCCACTATGGTACAAAGCCATTATCCTCGCCGTCATGTCCTACGGCACGACGTGCGTGGTCCTCTACTCCACGAGCTACACATCTGCTATCCCAGGTCTGCAGTCCGCGTTCGGGATCTCGGATACGATCGGTGTGTTGGGAGTCACTACCTACCTCTTCGGGATGGCGACTGGAGCTGTTATCTTGGCGCCGTTGAGCGAGATGTTTGGTCGTCGACCGATTTACATCGTGGCTTTGGGCATGTTTGTTGTCTTCGTGATCCCGACGGCTGTGGCGAAGAATATCGAGACGATTCTGATTACGAGGTTCTTTGGGGCGTTTTGTGCGGCCGCTATGATTTCTAATGCGCCGGGGACGGTCAACGATATAGTAGACGAGGAACATCGTGCTCTGGCCTTCTCCATCTGGTCGATTGGTCCCATGAACGGCCCTGTTATCGGTCCGGTAGTCGGTGGTTTCGTCTTCCAGTATCTTGGCTGGCGATGGACGTCGTGGGTCGTTGTGATTGTGGCCAGTGTGGCGTGGATCGTCGTGAGCCTGGTGAAGGAAACATACGCTCCGGCTATCCTTCGAAAGCGAGCAGCGAAGAAGCGCAAGGAGACCAACGACGAACGATGGTGGAGCCGGTACGACGACAAAGAAGAACTGTGGCCCCTGCTCAAGCTCAACCTGTCCCGACCTTTCGTCATGACCGTCACGGAGCCGATATTGCTTTTCTGGGACGCTTATATCTCCTTAGTCTACGGTGTCCTCTACTTATGCTTCGTCGCCTACCCCATCGTCTTTAGTGGTCTTCGAGGCTGGTCACCTGGTCTCTCCGGACTCGCCTTTTGCGGAATCGGAGTCGGCTCCATGATCGTCATCTGTGGCGAGCCGCTAATCCGCAAGATGATCAACTCCCACAAACCAGATCCCGAAAGCGAGACGGACGATGTTCCACCCGAGGCAATGGTCAGTGTAGTCTGCATCGCGGCTGTCCTGATCCCAATCGGCGAGATCTGGTTTGCTTGGACGGGTACACCGAATGTGCACTGGATTGTGCCTATACTGGCGGGTATACCCTTCGGCATGGGCAATTGCGGCGTCTTCATCTACGCTACGAACTACTTGGTCTACTCTTACGATATCTACGCCGCCTCTGCCCTGGCTGGAAACGCTGTCTTGCGATCGATTATGGGCGCTACTATGCCGTTAGCTGGCGAGTCGATGTACAGGACCTTGGGGGCCCATTGGGCAGGCACACTTTTGGCACTCCTCGAAGCATTGTTCATCCCCATCCCGTTCATCTTCGTAAGTTCCTGCGTTAGTCTCAAATGAGCGCCGAGCCATACTAACGAATGCGTCGTCAGTACCGCTACGGCTGGAAGATAAGATCAAAATCCCCACTAATCCGCCAAATGCGCGAAGATCGACAGAAACAAGACGCCAGACGGAAAAGAGCGGAGGAGAAGGCTCTTAGAAGGGTAGGAGCCGAGGCTGAAATGGGTGCTGGGATGGCTACGATGGCGGCTGTGGATGAGCAGGTCGATGTGGAGAAGGAGATGCGTGTTGATTTGGAGAAGGCTGGGTCTGGAGGGTCCGCCTCTGCTGAGGTGTGATGCGTGATGTAATTCTTAATCGTGTTTGAGAGCGATTTTGAGCGTTCTAGCGTATTATGGTGGGTAGATTCTATAGACAATACAGGGAGGCGTAATAATGATGATACTAAGTCAAATAACGATTGCTTGGACAGAGGACAAGAAGGGTAAGAGCCCGGAGCTGCATGCATCTGATCTTTGTTCCGCTCAAACGACTCAGGTGAATTACGTCTTCCGAAGATATCAGGGCCCTATCCATCGTCAGATCTAATCATGTAACTCACCTGCACCGCATTCTTTCATATCCATTCTCCGTCGCCATTCGCTGCCTCTCTCCGCCTCCTCGGCTAGGATTGATCAAATTACATCACGCATTGGTCAGGTCACTGTTTCTCGTGGGTAGTGGTCCAAGTAGTTGAGGTCCATCAATCTGTAATAAAGACGGAAACACGTGATATAGGAGGAGCAGATGTTAGTACATAATTGTACGGTATAGTCATACAACCCAATTCCGCGCTAGACGATGCAATCACCTTCTCGCAGCAGGCCCCGGTGTCCAACTCTCCGGCTGCCAATTCTCGCTCGGCGCCCCCGCCGGCCTCTGACCAGCCCAAGGCGCCGGCTCCGTCTTCCTCTCCAGATTCCTCGGCGCTTCCCTCGTCCCACCCTTGAACCTCCCCTCATCCACCTCCTTCCCATCCTTGCCCTCCACCGCCACAGCTGCCACCTTCCCCATATCCTCCACGCCACTAGCGACGCCCTGTTTATACTCTGGCTCGGTCTGCTGCGCGTAGCCACCTGGATCCTTGGGCGCCAGACTCGGTTGCGCTTGGGATAGGTTCTTGGAGGGGGAGTCGAGGTAGGAGGGCATGCTGTTCCAGCGTTCGTCTGCGCGGGCGGCGAGGATCTTCATGCTTTCTTGGCGGGAGACTTCGTATTGTTGTTCTTGGAGGGTTGGGGCGAGGGGACGGGTGTGGCGGAGCCATTGGTGCCATTGTGCTGTAATCACATTATTAGTCAGACGTCGCGTAGAGATTACATGGAATGTAATGTTGGTAGGCACGTACGTGATATCTTCACATCCGCATAATGTGGTGTGTTGCTGTATTTCACTATCCGCCTCCATCGTCCTGCTTGCAAGGCATCTCGGAACTCCCAGAAGGTGTTGCCGGCTAGGTCGTTACCGACGAGGAACTGTTTTCGCCATGGGAGGCGCAGAGCTTTCCATCGGAACCAGAGATTACGGATCGCGCCTGGTGCTTGGAAAGGCGTCGACATGAGATGGTATTACAGTATAATCATCGTCAAATCTGATGTGATGCAACACTTTGTCTGTATGCAAGGATGATCTTTAGATATGCCGCTAGTGTATGCACGATTACGCCACGAGGGGCTCACGCGCAGATTGTGGCTGATGATACGGCCCCACCATCGTCATCTGTCGAAGTCGACCTGGAAGCTGGGGAGGCCATGAACGGATGAGAAGAGAACATGTGTCAGAAGGGAAGCTATCACATGAACTTTTGATCTCGCTACCTGGACACTCGAAATCTACTTCTTCTTTTCTTCCCCCAACAACGATAACACCCACCACTGCAACACCCTCCCCTCAACCGCAACCATGGCAGACGCGGAGATGCCATCCTCCCTCCAACCCATCCTCGATCAAAAGACCCTCAAATGGATCTTCGTCGGCGGCAAGGGAGGTGTGGGGAAGACAACCACCTCCTGCTCCCTCGCCGTCCAAATGGCCAAAGCCCGCAAGTCAGTGCTGCTGATATCCACCGACCCGGCCCACAACCTCAGCGACGCCTTCGGAATGAAATTCGGCAAAGACGCCAGGCCTGTGACTGGCGTCGAAGGCCTCGCTGCAATGGAAATTGATCCGAATGGATCCATCAACGACCTGATCTCCGCCGGAGGTGATGAGGCACAAGAAGCCATGGCCGGGTTGGGAGGAGTAGGAAGCATGTTCCAAGATATGGCCTTCTCCATCCCGGGAGTAGACGAAGCCATGTCCTTTGCCGAAGTCCTCAAGCAAGTCAAGACCATGTCCTATGAAATCATCATCTTCGACACGGCACCTACAGGCCATACCCTCCGCTTCCTGCAATTTCCATCCGTGCTCGAGAAAGCGCTGGAGAAGCTCTCCGCCCTATCGCAGCAATTCGGCGGCATGATTAACAACCTCGTCTCCGCCCGCGGCGGCCTGCCCAACGGTCAAAGCTTCGACGACGTCTTGAAACGAATGGAAGACCTACGCAACACCATCGGCGATGTCAACAAACAGTTCAAGAACCCGGACCTCACCACCTTCATCCCCGTCATGATCCCCGAATTCCTCTCCCTCTACGAAACTGAACGCATGATCCAGGAACTCGGAACCTACGAGATCGACACCCATGCCATCGTGGTGAATCAGCTGTTGTTCCCGAAGAAGGATAATCCGTGCGAACAGTGTAATTCGCGCCGGAAAATGCAGAAGAAGTATTTGGAGCAGATTGATGATTTGTATGGGGAGGACTTTAATGTGGTGAAGATGCCTCTACTGGTGGAAGAAGTCCGGGGTGTGGACAGTATCACGAGTTTCAGCCAGATGCTTGTGAAGCCTTATGAGCCGCCGCAGTAGTGGGTGTGAACTTTGGGACGACTGGTATGAGGATGATCAGGATGATCATGATGAGATGCATCGTATGTTGTTTGCAGCTACATGAGCAAGCGAGCGGGATCTTTCGTGCGGCTAAGTAGAGATACATGATGACGACTTACTATAATGAGATTAAACGCGATGCGGCGCGATATATGCATTTTGCTCTATACCTTAACCAACCTGCTTCCACATGACCATACTGAATGCGCTGTGAGACTACACCCACATGAGTCAATTCGTGCATCAATTCAAGCCCTTCTCAAGCATCTCCACCAGATCATCCAGCCTATCAACCACTACATCCGTCTTCTCATGCGTCTCCAACCCCTCCTTTCCCTCACTCCGTAACAAAACAGTCAAAGCACCGGCATCGTAGCCCGCGGTCATGTCGTCTATACTATCGCCTATCATGATGAGTGGCAATAGTCTCTCATCTGATGGCGTTGAGGGCACGGAAGACGAGGTTGTGACGCCCCAGGAGTGGGCGATTTGTAAGATCCCGGCTGGTGAGGGTTTTGGCGGCCGGAAGTCCCGGGTTATGATCGGGTGGAAGGGGTTGATGTGGTGTGGTATGTGGGTTTTGAGGAGGTGGTCGACTGGCGCGCTGTGGAACATTTATTCATCAGCATAATCGGAGAATCGTGAAAGATCCATTCGATTCAGGTAGAACACATACTCGAAGTTCCTCGTACATATTCCCTTTTTAATGTCAAATTGATCCAGAAACTCCATCAACGCCACCAGACCTGGCTGCGGAATCTGCTTCGCCATCGCTTCCGTCTCAATCGCCTGGATCTTTCCAAAGGCAACTTTTTGCTCGGCGTCCGAGAGGGAGTGAATGTAGTCTAGGATATCTTCTTCCTTTGGGATGGAGCACGCTTCACGCATGGTCTTGAACATGTAGTTCTGGGGTTCGCCTTCTTGTGACATTGATTAGCGACAACGATCATAGGATGGAGTGATGGTTGGCAGTCCTTACAGAGCGTGCCGTCCATGTCGAAGACTATGCCTTGTAGTTGCATTCGTCCATCGTCAGGTTTGGTGGAGTTGGCTTTGAATGGTGGTACGAAGCGGTGGCGTATTCGCTTCTGAGGTGCTGTGCTCATCTTGACTTTCTGGCATGCACGGCGGAATAACGTAGGACGAAAACACGACACGACTCGGCTTGGTACAGTGTGAAGCATTGGACAACAGATAATCAAACTGCCATGCAAGGCTGAGATCGAAATGAGCAAGCATGCACAAATTCAAGGATGTCGTCAAAGGACGGAGAATCTTCGGCCGAAGATACAACGACGACAACATACCTTAGTATTGTATTGTAATCCGACTCCCTGTACCATCGACCTAAGCATGTGGGTACTGACCCGGACCTTACTTACTACCATGCTGCTCCTGCAACCCTTTGATCAACTCCCTCATCTGTTCATACCCCAACACCCTCGCCTTGCCCTCAATAACCTCCGTCAAATACTGCTCGAACCCCTTGAACTTGAGATCAGGATACAAGTCCTTACTCGTTAGGTAACCGAGGTATTTCGCGTTCTCCGGCGTGTTGTCACCGCGGATACCCCAGGAGATATGGTATTGCGACTCGATTACCATGAGACCGGCGAGGAAATTGTTTTCGGGGTCAGCGGCGAAGATGGGGGTGTTGGTGGCGATGCGAGATTGATATGTCTCCAGGCTATCGTAGTTACGTGGGATGGTTTCGCCGGAGAGTTTTTCCATCATCTCGACGATTTGGTTGGGGGAGAGGACTTCATTGTAGACAAGCACAGATTTGTTCAAGGTCCGGTCATCCACTATGATCTTGGCGACATACTTCCCGATATCGTAGAGATCAGTGACAGCATTGGGAACATTTCCATCTCCAGGCAGGTTCTGGCCTTTGAGCATAATCGCGTAGTCGATTTTGCCGGAGGGTAGTTCGCGATGAGCGAGCTGGTACCACCAGCCTACGTCTACGATTGTGAAGGGGAGCTTGGCCACTCTGATGGCGTTGTACACGACTTCTTTCTGGTCGCGCAGGAGGTGTAGACCGCCGGCTGGCATGGCAGTGATGAAGGCACAGGGTAGGACTGTGCTGTGTCAGGGTGGCATAATATGAATTGGTTGTTGGATACCGAGACGTACAGCGCTTGACGCCAACTTCTTTGGCAGCAGCGACCAATGGTAGCTGGTCGAGTTGGCTGCGAGCATCGATGGCACTGATCAGAATCTCAATACCGTTCAACGCCTTCACAAGGTCTTCGTGGGAGCCGTGCAGGTCAATGGGACGGAGCTCGGCGCCCAGTTCCTTCAGAGCTTGCGCCTTAGGCTTTGACAGGGAGGATGGTCGAGTCAGAGCTACAACGTTCTGTCGTGATATCAGTTGCTATGAGGCTAGTCTGTCGCGAACATGGATGGACTCACGAATCCGCCTGCCGCGAAGAGGCCTTCGGCAATCGCTCCTCCTGTCTCGCCTGTGCCGCCGATGAGGCCGACATTGATTGGAGCCATGGTACTGATGTCAGTTTCCTGAGTCAAACTCGGTCTTTGATGATTGACGAGGGAAGTGCTGGTCATACTTGGCCCATTGGACATTACATCGAGCTCTTATACAATCTCCGAAACACGAGCACAAACCTTGACATGGATGGGAACTTCCCTCCTAGTATGCCTCGATCACGCCGGCAAGGGAGGTGTTTGTGCAATGGCAATTAATAAGCCATCATGATGCGGCCGCTTTATGCTTTGTGCATTTTATCCCGTGCACAAGCATGTTATTCCAGTCATACAGGCTGCATTAATCTCTCCGTTGAACCTCGTATCGAAAGCGAAGTGGCATGTTCGGTGCAACTACTGTACTCGCTGCCCAGCATTTTGCGCTGACCAGGAGTGGACCAGCAGGAGGCTGAGAAACGGTCTTCTTCCTGGTTCGATGCCCGTTGCTAGCCTTGGCAGTGGAGACTCCTGGATCTTGACATCTTCGATTCATGCCAGCACCGTTAATACCATTGTCGTGAGTCGTATGGTCCCTCTCTCAACAATGTCGCATGAAGTACGTTGGATATTCCGTCCAGATCCGGATATCCTTGGCCTAAAAGGTTTGCGCACTGTGTCCGGATCTGGACGGGATGGTACATGACGGGACCATCCTTGGTATGCTTGGCATGTTTTGCTTTCTTCCTTCGTCTCTAGGCGGACGTCACTGCTAGGACCAATACCATCGTCCGTGGGCGAAAGTGATCCTACGAGGATGCGACACTGATAGCGCGCGATGCCATCCACTAGATGATCGATAGTGAAGGTGCTACGGTATAGATAAAGGTTGGCTGTTTCTCTGAGTCTATATTCAGAGAGCCCAAGTGCTTGTTCTTGACTTTCAGGAATCTACTAAACACCTTGGACGATGCTGACTGCTCTCATATTCGAGCTGCTTGCTCTTACTGTCGCGGCTGTCGCTCAACAACCCTCGGGGTAAGTGAGGAGACCATCTATCATCCTTGACCAGCACTGATAGAAGCAGCATACCCACAGGTCTCTCTGTCACCTTCTCTGACGACGACGCGCAGTCTACATGCAGCAATGACACATCCAGCAGCAGCCCGGCTTCGGCTATATCCATCAAGACATTGTCGTACCCAGCCATTTTCACATGCTTCAATCTGAACGAAACCTGGACACGACCAAATGTAACCTATAGTACCAGGCCATACACATGCTCTGGCTCGAATATTTGCGGCGTCAACTATACCCTGGGAGGCGTAGAGAACTGGAACGCACAAGCCAACTACTCGAACTACTATTACTCGCAAGCGACTTTCAGTTCTAACTTCTCCAAAGCCAACGGTCACGATGTCGGCCAGCTGTCTTTCCAGACCTGCGCTGGTTTGGATTGTCAGCAGCAACGAGATAACGAGTTGGGAGCCGAAGTCTTGCCCTGGATTCAGTCAAACTGTATCACAGGCGGTGAGTGCTTCAAAGCACCTTACAACATCAGAAGTTTTGCATTGGTTCCGTCTGGAACGAATACGGGCCAAAAGCGGTGCACTGTCGGAAACTCACGAGGTGGTGACCCAGCCTTGAGTGCGAGTGCTGCTAGACTCTCGAAGGGCGTCTTGCTACCACTGGGTATAGTCTTGGTACTTGCGGTCTGGCTTTGATTCTTTGGCCTCGCAAATCCTCAGAAATGGTCATGCAACGTCTGTAGATACCCGAGAATTTTCAATTAGACCATGACTCCGACTTCGAGACTAACAAAGACTCAGACGTGACTCGAGCGTGGTCAACGAGGACAAAGATCAAGCCTTGTTCTTTTTGATGAGCTCGATCGAAGACAAAGAGATACACTATCACAATGTGTGTATCTACTGTAGTGCAGCTCATCCGGACAAGTTGGCCATGCTTATCGTACAGACCACGATCAATCATGTCCAGCCATGCAACATCTTGCGAAGCCGACCTATGCGGAGGTTCAGCTATAGCTGCAGGAGTAGGCAGGAACCTGTGTATTCGTACGCTGGGCGTCGGACAGTCCTGCACAGTACATCTCTCCCTTCCACACAAGGCATCTAACGTCGTCGCAGCGCTACGGGGACCTGATGCGAGAGACCAGACAAATCCTCTTCGAACACAACTCCAAGGCTCACTACAGGTGACCAAGACTAGCAGTGGCACAAATAGACAAGGTAAACTAAAGCATCAAGTCCACCACGAGATCAAAGCACTAAATCGAATCCGTAGTCCAGGACATCCAAACGTCCTTGATATGATCGCACCAGACGAGTCCGAAACTATCAAGACATGGTTCACGATGCCACTCTGCAGTAAGAGCACTCTCCACGACATCCTGACTTCTTGGCAGCAACCTCACCTTGATCTTCCAGATGCAATCGGCTGGCACGTAAGCGCGCAGCTAGCACAAGCATTGATATACCTCCACGGTGGTCTGCAGGCGAACGGCAGGCTCGCGGAGAAGTGGCCAGCCATTGCACATAACAATCTTCACGCAGGTATTGTTTTCTTTCGACCCAACGGGCAGGCTAATCATCGTGAGTATCCTACCATTGTCCTTGCTGATTTCGACTAAGCGATTACAGAAGATTCTTCCAAGACACGAGCGGAGATAGTCGAGCATGAGCGGACAGATATCAATGGCTTCAGTGTTATTGTTGGAAGGATCAGTGTGAGGGTCAACGACGAAGTATTCGGGAAATGGGCAGCTGCAGTGAGCGAAATTCATGCGCCAAAATAAGGAACGACCCGGTATGACAATGTCCTGCAAGACCTTTCGAAGCTCATCAAGGCAGGTATGAAGAGACGTGAGAAGCTATACGAACCACTATCGAGTGAGTTTGCAGCATTGTTTGGGCTTCCCATGGTCAGCGATGCTGAGCTTGAGAGATTATTACCCGCCACGTTAGAGTTTGATTTTGGGAATATGACTGATGACTGAAAATATCATCCCGCCACATTCTCAGCGACCCTCTCCCCATTGGTGGTGATTTTGCTCTCTGCCCGCTCTGCCACCTTTCCAGATGCTTGAAACAGTTTAGCAATGGCCTCCACAGTCGTATTCCCACCAGACAGTATGATGCCAATGTTCCAGCCCTCAGGGCCAGCTTCTCGCTCTACCAGCTTTCTGAAATCCTCGTTATATAGCATGACAGCTAAAGGGACCGCAGCAGATGGCTCGATGAACAGCTTTGCTCGCTCCATGGCTAGTCGCAGCGCAGCTTTGATCTGGCTCTCGTCCACACTGTAAATGCCATGCAGTTTCTCCTTGTCTGTGATGATATTCCATGGTATATCACCAACAGGCGTCCGAAGTCCATCAGCGATTGTAAGCGTCTTGACTTTCTCGATCCGCTTATTCTGCTTCAAGCCGAGCTCAGCATCATTTGCACCCTCGAAATTGGGCTCGGCACCAAAGACCTTTATACCTGTACCGTGCAGAGCAGTGCATATACCACTGAGCATGCCCCCACCACCTATTGGCGCAATGACAGCGTCTAGCTTTGTCTTACCAGAGATGCCGAGGGCAGGCTGCTCTGCAAGCATGTCCTCTACTTGCTGTTCGAGCTCCAGTGCCTGCGTACCTTGACCAAGAATGATATTGGGATGGTCATATGGTGGGACAAGCGTGGCACCGGTCTTCTCGATGACTTCAGCTACGACGGCCTCTCGCTCATCACTTGTACTGCCACTGAAAATGACATGGGCGTTGTGGCTCTTGGTCCCAGATATTTTAGATGGTGTACTAATCGTTGGCATTACGATATGGGCTGGCACCTCGAATGTCTTGGCCGCAAGTGCAAGAGCTTGAGCATGGTTTCCTGTATGATGCCATTAGCCTGGGCGTCAAATACGGGCGAACACATTGCCTGTGTATACCACTGCTGTGTGTGACTACGCCCTTCCGTCTCACATTTTCGATCCCCTCCTCTTCTATCAACCTGCCCAGTGCGTGGAATGCTCCTCTGGCCTTGAATGCTCCGATTTTCTGCTGGTTCTCGCACTTGAAGAACAGCCTGACCTTGGGATTCGCCTTGTACTCCGCCGCACTGCCATTTTTGGTCGACTCATGAGGTGCCGACTCAGACGCTGTGTTTGGCCCGCTGCTGGGACATCTTTCTGACTGTGGTGTTGACGCAAGGAGGTTGATCGTATCACATGTCGCTACTTGTGTCCGGTGAATATACGGCTCAATGCGCTTGTGAGCATCTAGGACAGACTTTCTGGTCAATGGTGGACATTTCGAGAGGTCTGACATGATGGAGTGTAAGAGGAGATGCTGGAGACATCGCCATCTTGGTTGATAAATATATTTGAGTTGATATGTTCTCGTGTATGGTGCGGTGGGTCTGCGACATCGCTACAATAGGAAGGTACATGATCCCACAGCCATGACTCTTAGGCTTGCTCACGCCGCAAGCCGCTGATGGATGATGGAGAGCTCTGATCTTAAGAAAGGCACCATATCGGTAAAAGCCTTCTACATGCCCAGAGGACCACCTAAAATCGTATTCCTGGAAGACATCTTGATTGCTAAGAGCTATGTTGCTACGTACTGAGCCTACTATCACCTGATGGTTCTACAGTGGCGGAGTCAAACGAACACGTTATGCTCGCAGCTTGAACTCAACCATCGGCCCATCTCGCATAGCCACGAAGGCATCGAACAGCTGGTACACTCTTGGGTCTTGGTAGCCAGGCGGCTTCGATGGACTGCCACCGCCAACACTATCAGCAGCATCCTGGCTCAGCTCGAAAGTGTATATCAGTTTGGCTGACACGATCTTCATCTCCATCCATGCCATGTTCATGCCAACACACCCACGATTGCCTGTGAAGAAAGCACAAAAGCCACTGTCTGCAAGCGCTACCTTCTCTGCTGGATCACTGTCGGGATCTTCCTTATCAGTCAACCAGCGCTCTGGCCTAAAGACAAAAGGCTTCTCGTAAACATCCGGCTTATAGCTGAGGCTGTACAAGCAAGTGCTGACTTTCGTGTCCTCCGGGAAGAAATGACCTTCAACCGTGGAACCGCCTGGCATGACTTCACGAGCTAGATCGGCGGGGACTGGCGGCGCCATGCGGAGAGTCTCAGTGATGACTGCCTTCAAGTACTTGCATGACTGCAGCTTTGCTCCAGAAGCAATCTCGTCGTACGAGGAGAAGACCCTCCGAATCTCCGTGGTAAGCTTGTCCTGTATGCGAGGATCGCAACCAAGGTAGAAGGTCATGGCTGCTGTGACGATGGCTGTTGTGTCGGACCCAGCAATTGTCAACGCCTCGCATACAGCATATAGCTCGTTGAGCTCGTACCCAGCCTTGCCCGTAGCTGGATCCTTGGCATCAAACAAGTAGTGGAAGAAGTCCTTTCTAGCGGCCCCTTCGCCTTTGCCGGACTTGACCAGCTGCTGCTCGACCTTAGTCCGCTCACTGAGGTTGTTCTTGACGAACATCTGCCATTTCTTCAGATCCTCGGGAATGGCGAAGGTTAGTAGCCAGTCCAGACCTCTTGGCTTCATCCACAACCACCATTCAGCCATGGGCGAGTACGCAATCTGTAATCTGTCAGGCCTCGGCAAATCGAGCTCTGCCATCATGCGTAATATACCGGGTGCATCAGTTGCAAGAAGGAGCCCATCAGGTCGGGAATGTTCTTGGTATCGCTCCCAGGCTCCTTCATGTCGAATGATTTGCCGAAGCATAGATCACCAAGAATTTCAAAGACGAGATAGTTGGCTTCGTAGGCCATATTCAAAGATTTTGTCCATTCTGTGCCAGCAACGATTTTTTCCTTGATCAATTGAAGCCATCGATCAACGTTGGTGTGAATGTGCGGCTCAGCGCCGCGAAGAGCACGGCCAGAGAAGGCTTGATTGAGAACACGTCGTTTGCGAGAATGAGCCTCAATATTGGTCACATTCCAGGTATTGATAAAGTTGATGTTGTGCGGCCAGACACGATAGTATGACTCAGTCTTCTTGACATTGCTATTTGGCCCGAAGATAGCTCTGTAGGCCTCAGGTGTGTTCATAACAACGGCATCAGGACGATATCGAACAATTGGTCCTATCAACAGTCAGACCCTGCCAGCATGAGAGGTCACAATGGCCAACTCCTACCGTACTTCTGGTGCAACTCATACAGCCAGACATGTCGATTGCCTTGCACTGTCTGGAGGTAAGAAGGCCACACGCTGAGACGTGCCCAGAACGGTCCTGGGTACTTTGCGAGGTGGTGAAAGTGCAGTCGGTAGGTGCAGGTGCCGACGACGTGAACCACGACAGCTGCCAGCAGTGCCAGTACCAGATGTGGATAGCTCAGGTTGTCGAACGAGCCGAAGACCGCCATCCTGTGCAGTCGCTGTGAAACTGAATCAATAGTAATATGCACAGGGACAGCCTCGATACATATTGTGGTGTCGCAAGAATCTACTGTTATCAACAGTCCATATGAAGACTGTCGCCGAGGTGTCGAAGCCACCTTGATGCCTGCATCGGGCACTCATCCGGCAGCAGAATTCTTCTTAGGCCTGTTGTTGCATGCAGGCACGAGACGTCTCATGACTCAAAATCTGTCGGTTGGCTGAAGCCGCGTAAAAACGACTGGGATGTGCGGTTGTAGAGTAGGCGGCACTCACGGCACTGCCTATTCCATGCCGCATCTCTCAAAGTCTCGCCTTATAGACAGTGTAGAGTCGTAATCCTCGTTGTGCAGATCAAAGTAGGCGTCAGGACTGAGTGGCCGCGTGTATGATCATTCGGTGCTCACATCCCTCCTGGTACTAGACGAGTTCATGTTGCTCGTGCTCTCGTTCTACATCAGGACGGGTCCATGTTAGCCGCCATGTGATTTGATGCTATGACATTACTGTTCTAGTGTAAGACGGCAGAAGATGAGAGAAATATAGAACTAACGCGTCCTTGCAGCACAGTCCATGTTCCAGCTTCGGCAAACGGTCCTCGGGCCGCGGTCGAATGGCGGCATCTATTCTCCGAACCATTCATGTTTGTCGTACTTCTCTACAGTATCAAGCAATGGCATTTACCACCCCCATAGAAGTCGACATGACTTGCTGGCATGATTGATGTGACCAGGATCTATCCTATAGGAACAAGATGCATCGACGATTTGGGACGGGAGACTAGACTCACTCTACCAGCATATGACAAAAGACGCAGCTGGCTATCATCCTGAGCTTTATCTTCGATAGCAATGATCAAACTCCGCTCAGGCCCGTAGTGTGGACACTGAACAGCGAGACTGCCGCCCGCTTGCCTCGATGACCAAGACAGCCGTCCGGCATGTGCAGCTTTTTGATCGGCTTCTGTCCGGGCAGTCTTGCGACGAGGCGCATGACTGTGACATCTCGTCCTGCGCTTATACCGCGAGCCACGAGGACTTCCTCCACCAACGCTGCAGATCGCAAGCATCTGTCTCCTTCCGACGCTGCCCCATGCGCGAAGCGAGATGATAGCCTGCACTATCCGGCGGGACTACACAGCAGATACCGGGGCACCTTTGCGATCCTTGGCTGCGGCATTGAGCTCCTAGTCCTGCGCTTGGTCGCTGACACACTACCTTGACTTGTAGACATGGACGTACCATGGGTTCTCAACATCATGATGAGGTTACTAGTACAGTGTCACGGCCTCAACTCATAGCTGCTGGACTCGATCATTGACAGCGGACGACAACCGGTGCGACTGTACTCGACGTTACTGCAATGCTGAGCCCAGAAGTCGTGCAGGCACGTCTCGACGGCGCCGCTATATCGACATACATCTTATGTATGCTTGTAGTGCCTCTCGAGATCGCTTGTCGCCTGACACAGGGCAAATCTAACCTTGGATGGGATGATGGATTGATCGCAGTCGCGTTGGCGGTTGCCAATGGCTTCTTCTACGACACTTATATCGGTAAGGACTTCATGTAGCCTTCAAAGCGCCAGATCTGACGGATGATGCAGGAATTCGTCCAAAGCTAGGCTATAATGCAGACGAATTCCAGATACCAAGTCTGATAGTCTGGCTGCAACGCGTCATCGCAGCACAATTACTTTACGCTGTGGCCATCGGCCTGACCAAGGCCTCGCTTCTGGCGTTTTACTGGCGACTGTTCTCTGTTCGAAGTCGGTTGCCTATCCTGGCTTCAGCAGCTGTTGTGGGCGCATGGTGCATGGCTACAGTCATTTCGCCCTTTCCTTCTATCTTAGCTTTTGCCGACACCTCCAGAATGTGGCGCTTATCCTTATTTGCAATCTAGTGCAAGCTCAATGGGACATCACGATTACGGACGCGGTCTGCGTGAGCCGACGAGCGGTGTATCTCGGTGCTTCAATACCGAACGTCGTCACAGATGCTCTGTTACTTATACTGCCAATACCATATGTCTGGACACTACATGCACTAGTGGCTCAGCGACTGGCGGTCGATGGCATGTTCCTGCTTGGATGTTTCGTGTCAGTCGTCTCGCTAGTCCGTCTGAGCGTCTTCATGGGTCTGGACTTGACTTCTCCGAATGTCACATATAATTTGAACGACGTTTTTATCTGGTCTCTGGTCGAGGTGAACGTCGGGTGAGCATTATCAAACAAGTTTGTCTCGGATGTTTACCTAATCATCCTTCTGTAGCATCATATGTGCCTGCATACCTGGTCTGAGACCTGCAGTTAGAGTACTAGGGCTCGGCAAATGGTTTGGTATGAGCAACCAATCTGGAGCACAAAGTGGTGACCTCGGAGCATCACCGTACCACTACCCGTCGAACCACGCGAGGTCACGATCAGCCAAGAAGCCATCCATGTTCGCGAGTCTATTCACGCACATGGATGAAGAAGAGGACAGCTTCGAGATGATTGGCAAGAATCATGACCAGCAAGGAAGGAACGATGTGCAGATTGGCGTGGCAAAGAGTACGGAGTGGCACAGTACGCATACTACCGAAGAAACGAATCGTGGGACACCTTCAAGTCCAGATGTGCCTGCTATCAAGGTCAGAAAGGACTGGCGACTTGATGTCTCAACAGCGCCGGGGGTTAGTGTCGAAATCGAGCGTGGTAGATGAGCATGATCTGGCTGTTACATAGTAGCATATGAAGCTTTCACATGGTGCCCAGCTGTCTACATTTCTATCCACTGCCCTCGCGATCATATAGCCGCCTTAGCTACCACGACACGATCACGTCGAAGTGAACAGCAAGGAGAAGTGCCGTGATGTTTTGTGGCATGCCTGCTTAATTTGTGCACCTGCAGCTTATGAATGCGGCCGCTATGCCCGCACTTATGCAACTCGGACCTGGGATTATCCTTCGACGACGACTGCAACCTCGCAACTCTGGTAACAGTCCTACTGTCTTATTGAATGAAGCGTCAGCTATGGCACCGCCGCCATCGAACTATCAGCTCCAACAGCCAGCCGACGTCAAAGATGTCCTGAAGCGACAGAACAATGAGTTCGACTGCACTCCCTGCAGGTTGATGGGTGAGTACGTCCCATGTCCTTCTCTTCCGACACATATTAATAGACCATCTGTACAGGAAGCGCTGTCTTCACTGGTATGGGCATCTACTCCTACGCTTCGGGCATGCGACAGCTCCGCCAACGAGAAAGCGAGATCATGAGAAGCAGTTCGCGGTTTGGGCTCGGTGCGCGGAAAGGAGCCATATATGCGCTCTCTGCTAGTCTGGTGGGACTCGGGGTCTACAGACTTGTCAACTGAGGTCGAGGTAATAAAGACATTAGTCCTGTGCCGAGGCAGGAAGCGCGGATTAGATGGATATGGGAAGGGACGAACCGAAAACGCGAGAGAGACGTTTATGCGCGACATGTCGAAACCGCGAGTGTGGTATGAGGAGCAGCTGGACGGACACGCTGTAGTCACAACGGCACTGCCTCGTTGCCTGCTTCCACGCACGATGACGCCCGGACACTGTCGAAGAAGACGGACATGGTCATTGCAATCGCAGCCGGGCACCGCGCGCATTCGAAGCCACGACTCTAAGGCTACGAGCTGGTCTGCGAGTCTGTAGTAGCCGAAGATGTAAAGGCGCGACTGGAAAAGTCGAGGAGCAAAAGCTGTACAGAGTGTGCAGAAAGACAGAGCTGTAATGCTTTTATGGTGGTGGACGTGATCCGACATATGATCCTGATGTGTGTACGCACTATATTGTACAGGAACAGCTACGACGTACTTCATAAAAACATAGCAGCGGCAGCTGCCAGAGACACCAAGAGACCAGTCGTGGAGAGCAGTCTTCCAGCCGCTTCATTAGTGGATGTCTTAGGGACCGCGCTCGAGCTGCTGGTTGACGCCGGGCTTGTGCCCGTGGAGCTGTTGTTGCTACCACCACCGCCACTGCTGCTCGATGTGCCGTTACCGCTGCTCACTGCAGCAGTGCTATTAACATTCTTGATGGCCTTGGCAGGCATATTGGCCAGGATGACTTCAAGAGCGTTCAGTTCTTGCCCAAGTCCCGAGGAGCCATCGTAGCTTCCACTCGTCCAGCTGCTGCCGCAGTCGGTACCGGATCCGCCACCAGAACATGCTGTCGCTGCCCCCTTGGCAGAAGTCTGCAGTATGCCATTGACGAGACCGTGAACTGAACCAGCAGGTGATTGCGGTGCGGTCGCGTTTGCACCATGAGTGAGATTGTTATCGTACGTCAAGTCTCGTACAGCGGCCAGGCCACGGATGAGGATGCCTTTAAATGCAAGTTGGTCCGTACTACAGTTGTCATTCATTTCGCAGGCAACCTCGATGAGTGTACCGTTGGGTGCAAATGTGCTGTTGGCGTTAATGAGTAGAGCGAATACTGCGCTGTTCCAGAAAAGAGTGCTCGACTTGACCATGTTAGTGGCGTATGTTAAACAATGCGGCAGTATCATTCCACTTACGTCGTTAGATGCGTACGCAGCTCCGCTGAGATACGTTCCAGCACCAGCCGTCCATTGCAGGTGGTTCAAAGCTGAGCAGTTGGTCGTCGTGCTGAAGCCGTCATATACAGCCCCAGGATTGCCAGTACTGGTGTTGGCGATCAAGCCCGTATCGAGTGACCATTGCGTGGCTTTCCTCGCCCAGTCGGTGTACGTTGCGTTGCCGGTGTAGAGTCCTAGACGAGCAGCCAGCTGAACGAAATTGCCATTCGACATAGCATTCTTGTAATCGTACCCATTGTTGAACGTAAAGATCTGCCAACTCAGACCGCCGCCGCATGAACTGTCATCCCAGCGCCCAACTTGATCGTTGAAGACATTCTCAGCAAGCTGAACCCACGTAATATTGTCATCGCTTCCAGAAGGCATGGGAAAGCCGTACTCAGCAGCAGTCATAGCAGCCAATGCCCACGCAGCTTGATCATCATTGCCTTCGCCCTTGGTCTGGTTGACTGGCATGTATTCTAGTTTCGAACCAACCTGCCACATCAAGCTCTCACCAACGATGGCGTTGTTCGAAGCATCACCTGTCAAGGCCCAGTATCGTATGAGGGTATCCCAAGCCAGGCCAGATTCCCACCAGTAGTAAGGTTCGCCAAAAAGTCCGATAGTCGTGCTATTACTGGAGTAAAGGTCGAGCACCCGAGATGCCACCGTTTGTGCTGCTGTGGTGAGAGTCTGAGTGCTGTTGACGTCCAAGCTGATGGCTTGTACCAGAGGCGCCGCCAGGCATATGGCTCCAAATCCCACGAAAGAACGCATTTCGAAGATATTCAGAATCTCTAGACAGACGAAGAGTTTTGAAAGCGTACTGCAGAGTCTGTATACTTACCTATTCTACGAGCACCGTTACGGATCGTCTAATCCTTCGAGGCAGTGAGGCTTGGCAGCAACTGCGCTTCCTCAAATTAGCATTTTGTCAACCGCCTAGGAGGAGACGCCCAGCGGGCTTGCGCTCAGCCTGTGGATCCATAGGTAGCTTCAATAGGATTCAAGGGGCATGTGAGTTGCAGAGTTACAAACGTGTTCGACTGGTGAGGTTCTCCAGCTGTTCGAATGTATAAGCTCCGGTGATTTGCCATGCCTGCCGTCCCAGTTCAATCGCCAGCGCCATCCTACTTTTGGCCAGATCGACTTTGAGGACCCACCGCCGCGACGGATCACGGCCAGTTCTCCTTCTTTGATGACTTTGCTGCTTGGCGTATCCACAAAACGTGGACTTCACCTCATGCTTTGTATTGATTTCTTCTACTCCCCATCATTCGGTTGGTAGCGAACGCTTCTGAGGTTTCTCAGTAGCCTGGCCAGACACAGCATACCGAACGCAAGCTGACCCCGGCTACCGTGCCCTCGTGACACTTTTGAGCGAACCAACCACGACCGTGGACCTGCGCCACTGTATCTCGAGAGGTTGCATCGAAGGATCGGGCAACAGTGCGCCGTGACTTCTGGTCTACGAACGGGAATAGACGACCGTTCTTTTGCTGTTACGTCTGCAGGCTTCACAAGATGTCTGCTTCCGCCTTCGCTGGACCTTGTTCAACGTGAGGAGTACAGGAATGCTGCACGACAACCCACGTCAAGACTTGGACGCTACTCCGGCGTAAAGTTCGATTATCATCTCGAACTGACCGCGGACATTCAGCTGTGATCAACAAGCCTGTCATCGCCAGCACCATGCTGACTGGTCAGGTGCCACTATACTGCATTGAATGTAGACTCATGCTACCCCAGACTACACCCTCGCTCGCTCTTCCCCGCGAATTCCTCGCGCTGTCCGGCCAATGCATTGTTATGCTTTCATGCACTTTTCCCGTTCGAGTAGGCGGCACGCATCTGATCGCGAACTTTCTCAGGTTGTCGCACAGTCGGCGAGCAGCCTTCAAGGCGCAAGTCGCATGCGAGATGAGTACCCAAGCTCCCGGCATATAAGCTGCTGAGAGCGCCGCTGGTGTCACCCCTCTGTATTCTTTCGATGCTTTTATACTGCTGTAGACAAACACCACTACGAGCTTATACCAAACCCCCCTGCGATTATGGCGGAGAACGGACACAGGTAAGTATCGTAATGGACTGACATGACCCAGATGAAGAGCTTGACGATCAGTCTGGTGTAGGCCCAGCGATATCACGGAAGTGCCAAGGGAAGGGGCTGTAGTATATGATGGCTTTCATCCAAGCGAGGAGAAGTACGACCACGATGCCATCAGAAAGCAGAGTGTGGCCGCTATGACATCCAACGTCACGGGTGAGATCAAGAACCCATTACTCGGCATTCCAAAGCATCAGTTGTTGGCCGATGTCGACAGCTTCGCTACGAAATATGGCATGCAAGAGCAGATTTCACTTTTACGAAAGGGTGCACTTGTGGCCCAAAATCCTGCGGACTTCGAGAACATCGTAGAGCTTGATGATGCGGATCGTGAGGCTCTACGCACGGAAATCACGCACCGATGGAAGCATCCATGGAGTTTGTACTTTACCATTATCTTGAACTCAATTGCCGCTGCCATTCAAGGTTGGGATCAGACCGGTAAGATATTCGACATCTTCTTGGTAAAATCCAGCGAACACAGCTAATTGGTGCGATAGGCAGTAACGTAAGCAATAGGTGACCAAGTCTTGGCACAACTAATCGACTGACTGAACAGGGTGCCAATCTCTCCTTTCCAATCGAGTTCGGAATCCCAGACAGTCTCCCAAACTGTGACCCAGAGGGCATGGATCCGAATGCTACTTTGTGTCAAAGAAACCAGTGGATCGTTGGCTTCATCAACAGCTGTCCATATATCGCCATCGCCTTCTTTGCAGGCTGGCTCTCTGACCCCATCAACGAACGTCTTGGTCGTCGTGGTACAATCTTCCTCGGCGCTATCTTTTCGCTATTAGCACCCATCGGATCTGGCTTGACCCAGCACTGGGGCCAGCTAGTCGCCACTCGTATTCTGCTTGGTATCGGCATGGGACTGAAGGAGGTCACTGTGCCGGTTTACTCGGCAGAGATTGCACCGACCATGATCCGTGGAGGACTGGTCATGTCGTGGCAGTTGTGGACGGCCTTTGGAATCATGCTCGGATACTCCGTGTGTCACATCGAGAGTGAAGATAAATATGACATTGTGCTGACTCTGCTTCGTCATAGGCCAATCTGGCTGTATATAAAGTCGGAAAGATTGCTTGGCGACTACAATTAGGGTCTGCTTTTATCCCTGCGATTCCTCTTGTGTTGGGGATCTGGTTCTGCCCAGAATCACCAAGGTAAGCCCACCTAAACTTTGTGCGCATCAAACACTGACATTGTGTCTATTCAGATGGTGCCTGAAGAAAGAGAAGGTGAGTACGCAACATGTTACAACTTCAAGCATATTCCATCCTTGTGTGCTGACCCAACTTGGCGAAGGTCTTCAAGGCATACCAATCGCTATGCCGCCTCCGGACGAACGACCTACTGGCCGCACGAGACGTATACTTCATCCAGGCACAGCTTGATCAAGAACACCGTATGATCGCTGAAGCTGGCTTGAACACGAATGCAGGCTTCTTCACACGCTTTATTGAGCTCTTCACCATTCCTAGAGTCAGAAGGGCTACGCAGGCCTCGGGCATTGTCATGATAGCGCAGCAAATGTGTGGCATTGTAAGTATCTTTTGGAAGGTGCCTCAGTGTGAAGCTCAAGTGTCTGACCACGGCTGCAGAACATCATCGCTTTCTACAGTGCGACCATTTTCTCCCAGGCCGGGTTCAGCGAGACTTCCGCTCTTTTGGTGTCCTGGGGTTTCGGCTTGGTGAATTTCACTTTTGCTTGGCCGGCTGTCTGGACTATCGATACGTTTGGCAGACGAGGCCTGCTCAACTTCACCTTTCCGAACATGTACGCAAAAGTCAAGTCATGCTATGAGTGCGCAGAGATGTGTGCTAATGTGACGTAGGGCATGGTCGCTTCTCACTGCCGGACTCTGTTTCTTGATCACCAATCAGGAAGCTCATCTAGCAACCGTAGCCCTTTTCATTTTCATCTTCGGGGCCTTTTATTCTCCGGGAGAAGGACCTGTCCCATTCACTTACTCTGCCGAGGTGAGTTTTCAGGCACATCGCAGACCCAGATAGAGACTGACCACTTGAGAAGGTTTTCCCTCTCAGCCATCGCGAAGTAGGCATGTCATGGGCAGTGGCCACCAACAACTTCTGGGCATCTGTCCTGTCGATGTCGCTGCCTCGCATCCTTGCGGCTTTCACCCCAGCAGGGACATTTGGGTTCTATGCCGGTCTCAACGTGGTGGCCTTTTTCCTGATATTCTTCTTCCTGCCCGAGACGCAGCAGAGGACACTCGAAGAACTGGATTACGTCTTTGGCGTCACGACCAGACGACATGCTGCTTTCCAGGCAAAGGAGATGTTTCCGTGGTGGTTCCGACGCTGGATCTTGTGGAGGAAAGGCGAGCCGATGCCTCAGCTATACCACTTCGGCGATACGGGTGTCTTCAACCAGTATACAGAAACAACCGAAAAGGTCAAGCTCGCTGGGGACGAGATTGATGATGCGAAGGTAGTCTGAGTCTTGTGCGGAGGTTGTCTGTCAGCGATGTTGTTTCAACGAATCCAGGAACATATTGTGTTATGCTGCATTTCACTAATGCCACACCTCTTAGTCAATAAACAGCACTCGTTTCATCACACTACAATAACTTTAAAAGAATCACGAGGACTAACCGGCCTTTCTCGTTCATAGTACGGTGGTATGGAGACGGAAAAGCTAACGGGCCTATCCGCCGCTACTGCTGCACGAGTCCGAATTTCCACTTCTCCTCTGGATGAAAAAAGTCTGGGACGGAGTGGAATCGTGCAGCCACGTCAGGCACATAATCATACAGTATTGTTCCCCATTGCACAATGTCTTCTCCCTCTGTGACATCCGCGTCTCAGCCACGCGTCCCTGCTTGGAAGCGCATCGGCCTGAAATTGAAGTATGCAAAGGAAACAGCAGACATCCCAGCCACAAATCCGGCGAGGACGGCGTCAAGTGCAAATGATTTCGCGCTCCAGTCCACAAACAACGCCACAGCAGATATTCCTCAGCACGATCACGAGGACGCTCCACGGCCCGCCAAGAAACGAAAGGCATTCACAAATGGCTCGCCGGAGCCTCTTTCTGATCATGGCATACCAACCATCACTTCGGCACAAACTGTCAGGCGCAAAGAACCAACTGAAAGCGAGCAAACGTTGAGTGTGCGCCAAAGCAAAAGAAGGACCTCGCCACACAAGTCCAGCCTTCAACGAGCCGACTCTCGTAGAAAATCTGTTACATTTACTGAGGACACGAAGGTCGACGACGGCTTCAGCGCGCAGCAGCTCTTCAAGGACTGGGTAGAGGACGACGACACTGCCAACCAGGGTCTAATAGATGCTTGGGAGGCAAGCGAAGCAGGAAAGGCCAATTCGAGGATCGATCCAGAACCCGTAGAGGTTGCACAACCAGTGGCGGAACCCACAAAACTGGATTGTAAAAACCAGAAACAAAAGCAGAAGTCTCTACCTGCCTCGACTAATTCTCCGTCGACCGATACAGTAGTGCCAGGAGAAGCACAGACCATTGAAACTTCGGAATACGTGCGCTATCTCGAGCAATATTATACGGATAAAGATCACTGGAAATTTAACAAGAACAAACAGAAGGATGTTCTGAAGAACATCTTCAATATCCACCGCATTCCAGCCAAACACAACGAAGCTATTTTCGCGTACGTTTCTGGTCTCCAAGGTGCAGCAGCGCAACAGCGAGTACTGGACGAGGCGGAGGAGGTGCTGAAGGCGTTACTGATGAAGCAAAATTGTGCCGAGGAAGTCGAGGGAGTGGACTCGCGAGTGATGCGCCGCAACGCATATCATGATGCTTTCGAGCGCGAATGGGCGATAGTCAGCAAGGTCGGTCGAAGTGAGCATGACGACCAGACGTTAGAGGAAATGAGGCGTGAGGCGGAGCGATTAAAGCGTGCGGATGTCATCTTCAGTGAGCTGTTAGAGAAAGCACTTGCTCCGCCACCCGCGCCCATACACGTATCGACTCCACCGACGCCCACTACATTGCCGACAACGGCTGTACCGTCAGGCAAACGCACGACCTTTGAGAATGACGCTGGAGACACAGGAGACCAGCCAGCAAAGCCTTCTTCGAGACCAATCACCAAGAAGCGCAAGCGTAAAGCACGGACGGATGTCTCTTCGAGTAGCAGTGATAGCGATAGCAGTAGCGAGAGCGAGGGCGAGTAGAATTCGTCTCGTGGTCCCGCTACGGTTGCTGCTGCATTGCGCTCGGGAGAAGGTGCTAAGTTACCACGGTCCGACAACGACAGAACGAAAGCAGGGCGGAGTGTAATAACGAAGCCCGATCGCAGCTCTTCAGACTCATCACGATCTTTACCAGCCGAAATACAAGGCTCTGGGTCTGCATTGACCACGAAATTTGGTGGGTATGGCTATGGAGCACCGGCCATAGTGCCTACAGGCAAAAAGAAGATATTTGATGATGAGTGGCTGGATGATATATTTCCGAAGGAGCCGACCTACTATGAAGCAGCCCCGAAGAGACGGAAGGGGGAAGTGCACGAGAAGAGGGGTTACGACTACATTCATGGTACCAGGGATGATGAGAGTAGTAGTGAAGAGGATTAAATTTGTTAGTGGTAAACGAGTTGCATGTTCACAATTGGCAGTTACTCTTACTGGACGACCATCGGAATCATTCTCTAGAAATACACGCTTCAACTGACTTCATTCACGCCACCGCGCAGCATGACCATTACTCTAGCTATGGTTCCGCATGTGCTCCACTATTTGCATACCTTTGCAGCTTCCTTCTCGTCCTACCACGCATGCTAGCCGCCAAACACAGACAGCAATACTCGGTGGAATGACCCCGTCGGACCCAGGCGGCCTTTACAATCACATGGAGAAGGTTACGTCTTCGTCGTCTTCCTCTTCCTGGACCAGCGATATCACCCAGAGCCTCTGCTCACCATCATAGGCCTGTTGGACCTGTAATCCGTTCGCCTGCAGCACCCGATGTACCGCCTCGTCCGTGAAGCTTAGTAGCGCCTCGTCAATCGCATGCCAATCCAGCGTGGCATGAGCCTCCCCTACCTGGAATCCGATAACAATCTGGTCGAGAAGGTCCCATCTGAATCTCATTGCCTTGATGTTACAAACTACCTCTGACCCGTACTTGGCGATGAATCTGGCCAGGCGAACGTGAGTGAAGCGGTTCATAATGAAGATATTGTTGGCGAAGAATATCCTGGAGGACTCGGTGCGGGTCTGGCGAGAAGTTTGGACCAGGGCATTGAATTGTTTGATATTGTCGAGCGAGATTGTGCATTCGTGCTGCAGGGCAAGGATATAGACTCGATTGCGGAGCTCTGACGACAGGCAAAAGAATGGCGATGCCATTATTGCGCTCTCTGATAGAGGTGGCTTCTGATACTGCAGCTTCTTGACGAGGTCGATGTGGATTGTTGGGGCGCAAGTGGAATGCTGGGAAAAGGAGGTCGCTTTGTCGAAGCTCGTGGAGTGATGTTGAGCAATCACATGGCCAGTGATTCTGTTTCTGGCCAAGACCTTCCATTTACGACAGGTCTTGCAATTGAAATGTGAATGGACAAATTATGCCTATACCCATACACATAGCCACGTTCTGCTTACTCTTAGTCGAGCGGATCTACTCAGCCAACCACAAGGCTACCGCCATTGTACTCTCTTTTACTAACAGTGCTGGTGCGACTCGTTCTCAGTGATGGCTCAAGAGCACAACCCTCGGCTAGAGAGTTGATTGCTCTAATTCGCCGACCTTACATTGATAGCATTCTATCGAAACTACGACCAGCATGCAGAGACAGTGCGCCAAATATACACACAGTTAATGCCAGGTAACATAAGCACAGTGACACAGTTCACCACGCTTCTCGCCTGAACAAGACTTGTCCACCATCAACATCACTGTATCCAGCCACACTCGGCTTGAGGATACCAGCCTTTACCAGATCCTGCACCAAGCCAAAGATCATACCATCGCAGCCTCGTGCTGCCATGATGTCGACGGTCACGGGCAAGAACTCCTCGTGCAAAGTAATATTGGAGAAGTAGGAAGCTTGGCCCACTGTGACTGTATTAGCGGATCGGAGACTCAAGTCTCATGCAATGCGGCAGGACTCACAAGGCACAACGAAGTCAGGTCCACCCCAGAAGGGTGAGATTCTACTTATACCAAAGCCAGTCGGAACTGCTGGCGGTCCACTGTACTGGTTACGGTAGTTGACACTTGCCTCGGAGCCGACATACAACAATAGACTATCGCTGCAGGTTTGACTGTCCCCTACCAATACATTCTCCGCAAACCAGTCCGCGAAGATAGTACGATTGGCGTTCGCGATATCGAGCGTCGACGTTGGATACCTATCGCCAAACGCCCATCGCACAAGTGGCGCTGGATCAACAAATGGTCGTCTGCCATCGTGAGCAGCCGCGTAATCCTTGTAGAATGGATCGCGAACGAGCTTTGTCTGTTCCTGCGCGATGATGATGGGGTAAGTGATGTTCAGGAGATCTGTCAAGCTCGGATCTGCTCCAGCTGGTTTCGTTGTGTTCCACGCAGTATTGATATTCCAAGCCGCTGCCTTTGCGTTGATGAGAGAGCTGACATTCGAAGCAAAGTCAAGCAGGAGTTGATCACCAGGCATTGTGACATTGACAGGGAAGCCAGAGAGCTTGATCTGAGACGGGTAGCTGTGCGTGATGGTCACATTGTCCTCGTACAGCGCCTTCGCCGCCTCGGCCCAGAGGTATGGATCACGAGTGAGGAAGCCAGCTGTATCGAGCTCGGGTGCCAAAGGCATGACGCCGGTAAGCGCTACCAGGTCGTGCGATGGACGATTACCGAATAGACCCTGAACTTGAGATGGTCCGCGAATCGAGCCTCCCGTATCACTTCCAATGGTCAGATCAAGCCAGGAGTAGCTACCAGCTCCAGCGCCTGGTCCAGATGAAGATGAGCTCGGGTCCTGATATCCGTCTCCTCTTGGGTTGAAAGGTGAATGATAGTCGACCCAATCCGCTGTAGCCTCTTCGCCGTTTGCGAACTGCGAGGTCTTCATCTTGCCTACGATGATGGCACCAGCGTCGACTAGCCTTTGGATTGGTAACGCATTAGCCGTAGCAGGCGGGTAGAGGTAGTACCAGGCACGGTTGCCATCAGAAGTCCGAACACCAGCAACATTGTAGATGTCCTTGACACCTAGTCTAACACCAGCGAGAGGCTTCTCAGCAGTCTTGCTGTAGTAGAGCCGGCTGGGTACCGCCACGGCGAGGGATTGACCGGGTAGGTTGGCTGGGAGGACTTGATAAGCGCCGTTCGATCCTGCAATGAGGGTCTCTGTGAAGGCACCAGCAAAGTCGCTGTACAGTCTCCAGGCTTCGTAGATAGCACCAGTAGGTGACACAAAGTATGGTCCTTGAGGAATTGCTGTAGTATTCGTGGCAGAAGCGGTATACACGGTGGCCGTGCCATTGAAGCCGAGGTTGCCATATCCGGGACGTCCATATGGCTTCGAACCAGTATATTGGATGTAGACAGACTCGAGGAAGCCTGCACTGAAGACGTCATCAATGGTAGTCCAGTTGGCAACGACTAAGCCGAGATCATGCACAGCCGCGCTGGTCGTCGTGATGACTGTAAGTGGTGTCAATCCCTCACTTTTCGGCCTGCCCCAGGAGTTTCCATAATTCTGTATGGTGTGGACGGGTGTTCCAGGGACATAGTATGCCACTCCATCGAGCTCCACTGTTTGACCCGTTGATGAGAGAGAGTACGAGAGTGCTCTGGATAACAGACTCGCAACCGCTACAGCGGTGAGCCGTGAGGAGAAGATCATATTTGGTAAAAGGAACGGGTGCGGCTCTCTATGATCGGAGCGATCTCAAAAGACCTATGTACTTTCACTTCCATCGCCATGACGGCTGCCAATTACCCAAGCACTCACCGTTCCGGCATTGGAGTACTGATCGCGAACGACTCCATTGAGCCTCTCCTAGCCGGAACTGGAAGGAGAAGCGCGTACTGACTCGAAAGCGTTCAGGACTGCTCGATTAAACGCAGGAATGGATAAAAGTGTTGGCCAGATAGGCGGGTAGTGATAAGGTCGCATATCATTTACGCTAGCCAAGATGGTAGACCGACGGCTTCCGTCTGTCCATGGTACGCCATGTGGCTGTTTTTGAAAGCGGCCGGCACCGCGATAAGCAATGTTTCGACTCGAAAGTCGCTGACACATCGCTATGGATGCAGGTAGAACCGCGGACGATGTCGCATGTTGCATTGGATGCGTTCGTGGAAGGAAGAAGGAAAGAAAAAGGTGGAGAAGCCACACTCAACGGCTGACCCTTCGCTTACGAGCAATGTAGAGTATGAGATGCCAACCCCCTTTACAATGGCTCGAGTACATGACAGAAATGGCGAAAACATCAGATCCCATACACTCTCTACACGTCTAGCGTCAGAAGATTGCCGCGTGTATCTTCGTTCATCACTCTTGGCTAGTTGCACGGCTACTGTACGATGTAATAATGGACGAGCAAGAGGCCAGTATACTGGTATGCAGTGTCAACATATGTAGGTTCGTGATATGAAGCCTCAGGCCTGCTCTCACACTACTACATTGGTATCCCATTGATCAGCTCTGTCAGGTCCCCTCTCCTTCAACGATATATCTCCCGTTATATGCTTCCCGCCGCTGTCTGGTTCCGCCTTCATACCGCTCCACCATAACGACATTTGCATCATAGCCTCGCCGACCCATCGCAATCTAGCGTACATCTACTGATTGGCTCGAACATTGCTTCTTGCAAGGGACCATGTACTTGTGTTGTCGTGTTCAAAGCCTGAGGTTAGATGCATTAGGAATCAATATTAGACAACAAATATCCTGTGATGATATTGCCTGCGATGTTCGAATACTCTAGCAGTCGTGTCTGGTGGATGAATGTGTGTTCACGATTACGATCGCGAATAATGATATGTCGACCTGTGGCACTCGTATGTGTTGCGTAAGGCTAGTTGTCATCGCGCTTGCAATCCTTGTAGTATGGCGTTCTTTAGAATACTTGTCGGATCATGTGATTGGCTTGGCGCTATCCACGGACACTGTCCATTGTAGAGTATGGAATCCGCAGATGCGTCTAGTGCCATGTAAGATGTCTTGTTTGCAACGTCAATCTCGCGGTCGGTTTCAGAATCCTCGATACTTTGCATGTATGATGCCGTTACACCAGCGCCACGAACTGTGCCCGATAGAACTAACGAGCGGTCATGACGGATTGCATCGAGAATGAGAATGGCTTCGTATTCGTGCTATTGGTCCAGAGCACCACCAGGTTCACATTCCTTCACAACGGCCGGCCGATATCTCCTGGGGACAGGACTCTGTTGGTCGATGAACATCGACTTGCTCAGGTTGAAATGGCTGAGGTGAAAGGTCGCGCTAACAGTATGTCCGTCTTTGGCGCTGTCCAGATGAGACTCCAGTTCGTATATGTCTTTCCCACAAATGCACTTCAGCGGGTCGACCAGCAAGTCGTGGTAGTTGTGATCAAATTGGCTCGGTCTCTTCGATCTCATCACGATTGGTGTCATGTTTGCGCTCATCCTCAGTCGCGGCATCAGAAACGGCGTCATCGTGCGGATGTCTTGGAGATGCTACGTAACCTGCCAGAGGATCGAAAACTGCCGTCGAACTCATAGAGATATACATTGAACGATCAATCCATCAATCAATGAATACTGATGTGATATCATCCTACCCAATCTTGAAGCTGTCCCAATCATCCTCCATAAAGAGGGGCTCGACAACCTCATCGACACCCGGACGAAGACTCTGACCATGCTCGCCATCCACCACTTTCTGCGATCCCATGGTGCGTGCCCCTCCCTGCAATACACGCTTGTCTTCACATGGCTTGCTACTTTTTCGTCGACCAATAGCTCAGGAATCTTGCGGAGCCTGCTGCTATCTTCCTTGACCAATGGCTCCAAAACTCTGCGGACCTTGCTGCCTTCTCCCCTAGTAGCTGGCTCGAGAGTCTTGCGTTTCGAGCTGCTACTCTCTACTACAACAGGTAACCAAAGAGGGCTATGTCGCCTGCTGTTGCGAACAAGCTGCGGTTCTGGGTTCGAGGGCGAGATGTTGATTTGGGGAGCTGTTAGCATTGTGGATGGGAGCTTCGTCTCGGCCTTCGAGGTCTCGCGAGTTGAGACAAGCTCGAAACTACCCTGAGTTGGACTGGGGCTGGCAATGTTATTCTCCTGTTGTGTCGAGATCGCACAGACTGAGATGTCCTGTATTCAGTAGATACGGAGATGATTGCACTGGTCTGCGAGCTGGCGTAGCGCTCTCAGGTGTAGATGGATCGGGACGATATCGGGTGATAGTAGAAGACGAAGAAATGCGATACAGAGCATACCACAGTCAACCGCATTTGTCTGCAGCTTCGGCGTCGGTAGAAGCGTGACGGACTGTGGAACGAAAGTAAATTCAACTGGCGGTGCAGCGAAGCCGGAAGAGTCGCAGAGATAGTCGTTCTAGGACCAATCTGCTGCTCGATGGCGAATGAACTATACCCAATGTCCTATAATTGGGATATAAGTCGCAGTGATGATGAGTCGTGGCTGTTTGCTCGTAAGACGACTCGTCCATAATGCCATGCGCTCTTCGACAGCTGGGCGTCACCTGGCCACTCTTGCATGTGGGAATACAGAAATCGTGTTTGAGCAGGATACGAGTACATCCAGATGTTCACGAGTTACCCAGCCAAGACCCTGACAAACGGCCTCGCCATCCAAGCTGACCAATTCGCAACGTCATGGCGCTGGCAATTGTCATCTTGCATTGTTGTGGATTGAGAGTAGAGGCCGCTGACAAGATGAAGCCAGAGAAGTGTTGGTGGAGGGAATAGCGGATACCTGTGGTCCCTCGAGGTGAATCACGTGTGTGTTGCTCGATATCGACAAGGAGCTGTCTGCTCACTGCGGCCAAATCGGATGGACTGTCATGCAATGAGCGGCAGATACGGCGGCGTGGCAGAATATCCTATGTCGCTTGAGCGTCGATTTGATCAGACCCCGAACGGCGCTTGTGTAGTCGGCAGCAGAGGTAGCTGACCAAGCATCATAAGCTTTCCAGTTGTATACCCTTCCTTACATGTATGCCATAAATTTGCTGAGGTCGAGGACCTAGAAGTATAAAGAGAGCGATACCGGTCATCTTCTCCTGCCTATTCGGGCCATTTCCGTATCGTGCAGCCTTGCGAGCGATCTGAACAAAGCGTACGGTACGAGTGTAGGCCAGCGAGATATCGTGAGGTACTATTGAAGCTCATCCCACCATCTTCAACGAGTTGCTGGTCAACCATGGCGTGCGGGTGTCAAGAAGCGTTGACAGGCCTTAGATTACATCAGAGATGTTCGATCTGGTGACTGCCGGAGCCGCCACCGTTAGTGAGACGTCGATCTTCCATCTCCGTTGGGATCGTACGCGACTCTATATGTTCAATGGCAATCACCACGCGGTCCAAGGACACGCGCATGGTCAAATAATCAGTAGGGAATGCTGTAGATCGTTCGTCTTGCGGCTATAGCACGGTACTCCGTATATCCACGCGGCTGATATCTCGATCGTCGAGATGGAGTTATTCACCGTCTCCGATCGTGGAAACTTTTTCCTTCCCCGCAATAAGAAGAGCCGTGTCCGCGCACGTGCCCACGGCTTGGCAGAATCTGCATCTTGCTTAGAAATGTTTCCTTCCCTCGCCTCGTATGTCATTTACTACGTCAGTCCTTCCTATCGCATCGACACATTTGTACCGATCGCACTGAGATACTCGCAGCGTGGAAGCCACAGCTAGCACGCGAAAGAGTCACGTTGTACCATTATCTTTGTTCGAGATACGCCACAATTATTTGTTGGAACAGCTTGCGCATTGTCGCAACAGCGTTTTCTCTGTCAGTTCCACGGGCGCGTTTTCTCGACACCCACAAGCAAGATTGCATCATCATCATCATCATTATCATCATCGGCCTGAGACGTCGTCCATCGACCACGCCGCCAAGACTGTCGTGAAGAGGCAGTCAGATCAATCTCAAGGTACGTTTGACCCGGCCGCATCTTCACAGGTTGCCAGTCTTGTCGCAGCATGATGATGCGTGAGGTGCTTTCGCCACTTCGCCACGACAGTCCTGTGCAGCGTGAAGCTGGGCGGCGCATCAAACCAAGGACCGCGATGCCATTGCGTAGAATGGAAGCATTATGCGAACCACAGACTGACCAGAGGTAACATCAGAATCTTCTTGGGCGAGCAAGACTCGCAAGTGCGCAGTGAAGAAGTGTTGAAGGTGAAGGTGGAGGAGTACAAGAACAAGTACAAGTTCGAAGCACACGCCCAAGACAATCAACTTTCAAGTAGTACCACCCTACGTCATCATCGAACACCGACTCGATGGCTGCTGTCGCAACCTCTCAGACGCACTCTCCTCACCTTGGAGGCAAAGGTATGAGTTTGTCGCCACGGACTCGAAATCAGCACACCGCTGGTACGTCCATGTCGCCGCCCCACTGCGCTCATTGTCATCACCGCCCTACACTTTCGCATTGCGATGGTCAACGATGACATCACAGTTGTTGTCGCATTCGCCAATGTTGACTCGAGCCTATCGATGCTGAACACATCCGCTAATGGTGCAAACAGAGCTGAAGAAAGAAGCGCCGCCTGCTGAAGTCAAGTCTGGTATGCTTGCGTGTTGCCGACCATCTCTCACCGCCTCAAGCTAATAGCATACACAGAAGCTCGAGTCCCTAGCATCAAACAACCTGAGGACCACAGTAAGGAGAGCACGCCGACGATCAATGCGCCTCTTGCGCCGCCGCCAAAGCCTTCCCAAGCTGGCGAGACTGACTACTTCGGAAGGGCCCATCTGTCCAAGGAACCCAATCCTTTTGAGAACGCGTTTGGCAACCCAGCAGATACCCCAGGCAAGACGCAACTTCCCGGCGTCACCAGCTTGACCTCGCCGGCTCCGTTCCCTACCGCCAATACCCCAGGTTGGCCAGGTTCGTTACGTTCGGGACCTTTGAGTCCTGCTATGCTTACTGGCCCAACTGGCTCGAACGACTACTTCAGTGGTGATCATCACTTCTCCGCCAGCTTTCCGACGCCTAACGAGTCGTCCCTCCGCTCTGGTCTAACGCCTGGTGGAGGTGGGTCTATGTTCCCGCAGCCGTCGCCAAACTCGCAAGCAATATTCAGTCAGCTGCAAAGTGGTGGAGCGACTCCAGGTACATTAGACTTCCATCGCACTGCTATGAATGCGCGCGCACAGACGCAGGCCAACACCTACACCATGCCACCGCACAACGTAACTTCCCAGCCACAGACCGACCCGAACATTCAGCCTGGCCTCGACTCGAAACCCTACTCACAAGCCCAACAAGGTCAGCAACAAGACGCGCAAGACCCATTTGGCTCCCATCAGACGAACGACGCTGCCAACGGCCTATATATGCTGGCGCAAGCTGGTGGTCAGCGTGGTGCACAGCAGGGTTTCGGTGCTCAACAGCAGCAGCAGCAGCAGCAGCAACATCAACAGCCGCAGCAAGGCTACTCACAGCCTATGCAGCAAGAGGCGAACGGTCATCAACGTGCGAACAAAGGCAGCATCGTTAGTACCATGTCGGGTAGCACGGAGAATGGCAACGCAGAGTACTCTGAGGATGGTGCTGACATGAAGCCTCAGTCACGAGGAGGTCGTGGCAAGAAGGGGTCCGCAGGCAAAGCTGCCAATGGCAAGAGGAAGCAGGATGAGACACCAAGCAAGGGCGCTGTGAAGAAGCAGCGTGGCGCCAACAGTCAAGCTATGCAGATGGACGACATGGATGACGACGACGACATGGACGAGTCCATGATGCTAGACGAGCATCCCGATGGCAAGAAAATGACTGATGAAGAGAAGCGCAAGAACTTCCTCGAGCGGAACAGGTCAGTGTGCGCCGTCTGGTGTTGTCAGGCTCCCTACTAACATGACTGCAGAATCGCCGCCTTGAAGTGCCGTCAGCGCAAGAAGCAATGGCTACAGAACCTGCAACAGAAGGTCGAGATATTCAGTACCGAGAACGATGCGCTCGCTGCCACCGTCACTCAACTCCGAGAGGAGATCGTTGGCCTCAAGACCTTACTCCTGGCGCATAAGGACTGCCCGGTGTCGCAAGCTCAAGGCATCTCTGGCATGGCGATGCAGCAGATCGCTGGCGATACACAGCACTACGCCAACCCCTACGGCATGGCGATGGGTCCTGGTGGCCACCCACAGCAAGGACAGATGGGCGGTGCTGTGCAGAGAGGGTGAGCATGCCGTGCTGCTTGAGCGATGAGTCCTAGCTGACAGGCCCAGCAGATAGAAACCTCTTGCCAGCGCTCCCGGACGACCACGAAACGAGACACATTCGGAATCAGATGGAAAAATTGACCCGTCCATGACGCAATTGTCGTCGTCTCCGTCGTATGGCCGTGGACCTTTCCAGAAGTAGATGATGCTATTCTTACCTTCAATGTACATGATCAGAATCGCTCAGACGGGCTGCACAAATGGGTCAGTGGAGCTTGGTGTTGATTGCTTTGTTGCTCTGGCGGGTAAGGCGGACTTGGGCCCCAGTCCCAGTGCGTCAGTATGAGGAAATTGGGAGGCTACTGGTGCTGCCGTGCTCCGTACTGGCGCGAGGCAGGCTTGGAGTCCGGTGTATATACAGCTGCCTCTCAGCATAGGCAAGCGATGGAGGTGGATTTGTTCTTGAAACGATAGGAGGTGGAAAGTGCAGATTATGACTTGAATAATTTACATCGAACAAATATCATCTATTTGTGATTTGGATCGCCTTCTCTCCGTTCGTGGTCGATACGACAATAGTCCGAGCACATAGAGTGGGTGATCGACGAGGTGGTGGCATGTGAAGTCGGCCCCGCAAACAAATCAATACCATTTTCCAGTCGCGTCCACCTCACTTCACGCGTTGATCATATGAATAGAAGACTAACAATGCGCCATGACATCGACACGCGAAGAACGCGTAGACAACGCATTACAGTCTCTGCTCGAACGACTCGTCCCTTCACAGCTTTCCGACGAAAGTGAAGCGCAAGCAGATCAACGCTGGGACGAAGCGAATGAACTCGCACGGGACCTGATCGACGCTGGACCGGACCCGAGTCTGGCGGAGGATGTCAATCACGCGGCGGATCGGATCAAGAGGCGGTTGCTGAGGGACACCAGTGATCCGGAGCGGGCGGCGAGGTTTGGCGGGTTGTATTCGCGGTTGTTGGCGCAGCCGGTGTTGGGGCAGAAGTGGGGGATTTTGTGGTTCTTGGAGAGGGTGGCGGAGTATGTGGAGGTTGGTGAGGGGGGAGGGGCTGTTGGAGGGAAAGGAGAGGAGCATGGGGAGGAGGATGAGGAGGGGGTGTTTGATGAGGCGTTTGCGCGGAATGGCTTGCCGAGGATGCAGAGGGCGAATGGGCTTGAAAATCCGAAGCAAGCCCCGTTGAAGGACAGACCGATTTCTGGACGACCGAGGGCACAGCAGACTCCTGAAGTTGAAACGGTGCCGGAGCAGACGTTTGAGAAGAAGGAGCCGTCTGAAGCGGCACTTTTACGTGACCTTCCTTTCACCCTGCAAGGACTCTCCTCCACGAACCTCTCGTTTTCGGACACGAGCTCACTCAAACTGCCAACCACATTGCCTGTGCCACTTATCGCCTTGTTACATACTTTGGCTGAGCCGTCACTACTTTATCGATCGCTGTCCGACTTCGTGGAATCCTCGGACGGCGGCTTGGTTGGACAGAGTCTTCGATCAGCCATTGGGCAGGAACTGCGCTCATATCTAGGCCTGGTTGCGACTCTCGAGGGCCAAATCAGAAGAGCACTTGCGCAATTGGACGACGGCCTACCACAAGGTGGCTTGGGCAAGGCGGGCGTGACGTTGAAAAGATGTGTTGTGTGGACACGTGAGGCCACCTTGGGTCTACGACTAATGAGTATCATTGTCGAGTCTGCCAAAGGCAAGAAAGGTGGCGAGCTGATCAGTCTGATACACAACCTCGCCACATCACATGGTGACATGTTCGTCTACACATTTGCGGAGCGACTAATAGGCAACATCACCCGGCCTTTCTACAATATGCTCCGAGCCTGGATCTACGATGGCGAGCTCGAAGATCCTCATACTGAGTTCTTCGTATCGGAAAATGCAGACTTCGAGGACTCTGGTGCGACAAGCGTATGGGACAACAAGTATCTGCTTAAAGAAGAAATGATTCCAAGTATTGTCACTCCCGACTTTGCTCAACGCGTGTACTTGATCGGCAAGTCGCTCAACTTCATCCGCTACGGCTGCCATGACGGCGCGTGGGTAGAGTCGTACAGCAAAGATACTTCTCGCGAGCTGAAATACGGCGACACTGCAAACTTGAGCCAAAGCATTGATGAAGCGTACAAGACAGTCATGGCGCAGCTAATCTGGCTCATGGAGACTAAGTTCGCCCTAGCCGAGCACTTATCTGCCCTGAAGAAATACCTCCTCCTTGGCCAAGGTGACTTCATCGCCCTCCTGATGGAAAGTCTAGCCACCAACCTGGATCGACCAGCAAATTCGCAATATCGCCATACACTCACCGCGCAACTCGAACACGCCATTCGCAACTCTAACGCTCAATTCGACAGCGCGGACGTACTGCGGCGTCTCGATGCTCGAATGCTGGAGCTCAGCCACGGAGAAATAGGCTGGGACGTCTTCACACTCGAGTATCGAATTGACAGTCCGCTCGATGTGATCGTGACCCCCTGGGCTAGCAAACAGTATCTAAAGATCTTCAACTTCCTTTGGCGGGTCAAAAGGGTAGAATTCGCCCTTTCGACAACCTGGCGACGGGTGCAGACTGGCGCACGAGGTGTTCTGAGCGCGGTAGGAGACAAAGTCGGCGTAGACTGGAAGACTGCTCGTCTCGGCTTAGCAAGAATGGTGCATTTCGTCAACCAATTGCAATATTACATCCTCTTCGAAGTCATCGAGGCCTCATGGAGTGGTCTGCAGAAGACGATCAAGAATCCTGCTTCTGGGACTCTCACACTCGATACCTTAATCGGCGCGCATACAGCATACCTCCGCTCCATCACGCGGAAAGGTCTGTTGGGCGGCGCGGGCGGTGTGGACTTCACAGCGCAACTACACGAGCTACTGAAACTCATGCTAGCATATAAGGATGTCGTGGACGGGCTGTACAGTTTCAGCGTCGCAGAGTTCACGAAACGACAGGAGATGGCAGCCAAGATCGAGAATCGGACAAGGGCTGGACGCTGGGGACTGACGGACGCCGACGACTTCACTTCATCGCCCTCCTTCCCATCGACTACAGGTCGCGGCACGCGCGCGGCGAAGACAGGAGAAAGTCTAACCGACTCCCCCATCCCCGCTCTCCTACCTTACAACAGCGCTGGTAACGGTGCCGAAAGCGAGAAGACCATCCTCGAAGGCCTGAGATCGCGACTCGTAAGCTTAGAAGTCGACTTCAAGGCTCGAGTGAATGTGCTCCTGGGCGATCTTGCCTACCAGCCGGATGTCGATATGAGGTTCTTGGGCGTGGTGATGAACTTCAATGGAGTGTATAGTCCTGTCCGCAAGAGACGGCAGCAGCAGCAGCATAGGGGTGAGAAGGACAAAACTGTGGTGCCTGGCACGAGCAGCAAGGCAGTAGCTGTTGAGGCGAAGGGATGATGATTGCAGAAGCTGTTGCGACGGTGTTCAGATTTCCACTGGGAGATGGATGCAGTGTTGGTGTTGCCGATCGTATCCCCACCCTTGCCAGTCCGCGAAATGCCTTCGTTCCGCTTATCGACCTCCCCGGAATATACTACGATCTGAAAAGCGCCGGGGCTGTTTCAGTCTTGGTTATATGTGTTGGCAGATACGATAAGACATCAACGGCGCTGACGTCGCGTCAACGAGGACGACTACACGAAAGCACGACCAGACGACAACGATCAGAAACGCGTAAAGTGAAGATCATGGCACGCCCCAAGCAAGAAGCCAAGGCGCATCCAAAAGAACGGGGCTGCTCCGTTCATATTTCGGGAGAGCTACGGAACATCCCAGAATGCAAGTCTTCTGTTGCACAACCAGTATGCGTATATCGTATCGTGTTCATCGTGACAAGCAGCCCAGCGAGTCTGCTGCTCGACGATGGGGACGGACGATACATGTACAGTACAGAGCTAGAGCCAGAAAAGCGGACTCTATAGATCGTCCTCCAGGTACTTGTAAGCGAACTTGAAATCTGCTTTTCGTCGGTTCATCCTGTGAAACAAGTCTTCGTTAGCGAAAATCCATCATCATGATTCGTAGTGAGAAATGCAAGAGTGATAACGCACCAAGTACTCTCGTAATCAAAGAACCGATAAGTGCCCTGCTCAAACTCCTCGGTGATATTCTTCGGCTCCTCGTGCCGCTGGAACCACGTCTGGTACTGTTTATGGAAGCGCCAACTTTGACTCTTCAGCGCTTTCGCCGCGAGGTACTGTTGGTATGTCCCCTGTCTGTAGTAGAAGGCGTAAAACAGGGAATCTGTGTCGATCCGGCTGTAGAGGCGTGGGTCGCTGAAGATGGGGAGTTGGGTTGTCGGGTAGTGGGTTGGTGTGTAGGGGTATGGTGTTTGTGGGTAGTAGGGGCTGGGTTTCGCCGTATCTGTTGGTGTGGGAAAGGAGTGGTGGGAAGTGTTTAGGAGTGGGACGTCGAATGGTTGGGCCATTGTTGAGCGTTGTTTTGTCTCTTCGAAGGAGTCCAGGAGGTCCGTTAGCGCTGTTGGAAGGTGGTAGATGGATTCTTCTTCTTCCTCGTCGTCTTCTTGCGCAGTGTTTCCGTTCGAGAGGGCTATGCCTGCTATGCCTGAGTCCGGTGAAGGCGGCTGTGGCGCTTTGATCGTTGATGTAGTCGAGGAGTCTGTTACTGTGGAAGACGCAATATCTGACGCTTTTGACGGCGCAACGTGAGATATTTGTGGCGAAGGTTTCACTGATGGTGCTTTTGAGCTTTGTTGTGTACTCGACTCGGATGCTGATGCTTTCGCTGGCTCGTCCTTCGGCGCGGGCGTTAGCTGCTTTGGTAATTGTTCGACGGCCTTTGCAGATTGCTGTGTTGTCTCTACAGGTTGTGCAGTCACCGCTTCTGGTGATGCCTGCTCCGCCGCTTTTTGCGCACCAGGAGGTGGAGGCAGGGGTGCGATACCAACACCACTCTTGTCGCTCGCCGCCGCCGCAGCCGCCGCAGAAGCATACTTCAGAGGCTGTCCAGTCGGTATTGTCGGTAAAGGCGCTGGCTTCATATCTGTCGGTATCGTCTTGTTCGCCACACTACTGGGTAAGCTCTGGTGTAATGTCGATAACGCCGGTAGTGGACTCTTCGCATGCTGAGCGCTACTCCGCCGTCCATTCGCTTGAGGCTCAGATATCGGTTGACTCTTGCTCTTCGCAGGAACATTCGGTCGCGAGGGCGCCGCACTCTCAGAGTGATCCGGTGTGTCATCCGCTATACTTTGCGCATCTTGACTTGACAGTCTATCGCCATCCTCCTTGACAATCCCCCACGCTTCTTCCTCCTCGTCCAGATTGAGGCCCTCGTACATGTATTCGTTCTCCTCAAAGTCCACTTCCTGGTTGTTCTCCACGTAGTGCTTGATGTCATCCTGGATCTCCTTTACCTGGTCCACATCTATACTGCCGTTCTCCAGGCCCCGAAGTATGATCTCCAGTTTGCTGCCGTGATCCTTGTGCTTCTCCACTATTCGTTCTAGCTCAGACGTGCGATCGGCTTTGCTGGTGTCCTTTTTGCCTTTCTTCATGCCGGCTTGTAACGTCTCGATCTCCGCTTCGTGCGCTTCCACTTGCCGACTTAGCTCGTCGTTCATGTCTGACACGAATTCGGACACCTCCATCTTCTCGCGCTCCTTCGGGTCGAGCTTCGCTGCCGCTGAGAGGCCTTCTTTCGAGAATGCTTTTGTCTTCATTTCTGCATGACGCAATTAGCAAGCCTTCCAGACTGCATCGTTGATCGCTCATACCCTTCTCTACCGCCTTGAACGTCTCCATCCGCGTCTCGATAATCTTCCGCTGCTCGGTCAAGGGGGACTTGTTCTTGATCTCACTTGACGTCGCCCATGTCTTCACCTTGTCTCGTGATCGCTGCAGCTTCTACAATCGCATACACCACAGTCAGATACCGTCACGTGCCACCGCTCGCTCAGACCCTATCTCGTCTTACCTTGATCTCCTTCTTGAGGTTGTCCTCCAACTTCTCCCGTTGCGACGCATTGGTGCTCGCCGTGAGCTTGTCGTAGATGCCATCGAAAGCCTGTATGCCAAGTGATATGATCTTGATCTCCTTGTCGATCTCCTGCTGCAGTTTCCGAGCCGCCATGATGAAAGAACGTGAAGCTCAGCCTGGTCCGCGGCGTTGGTCGGTGGTGGATGTGGCCGCGATCGGCTCGGTACATGGACTCCGTCGGTCGCGAAAGCTGTCAAAGTGACGGGCGCCAGGATGGCCAGAGTGTGAGATGGTGGTATCGGGAGTGATGGTGGGAGCAATGCTGGATGGGTTGCTTCAAACGTGTTGCTTGCTGCGGATGGAAGCACCAAGTCGAAGTACATCGAGGGGCACGGGCCAAGCGACAAGGGACGGGCCAGCCACGGAAGCTAAGTTACTCCGTCGCGCTGCACGTGAATCCTTGCAATAAACTACGCGTGTCCTCGCAATGCATGCGACATATCACAAAACACCTACACCTCGTCCGTTGTTCATTATCGACCCGAAGCGGTCTGTACAGCGCCCCACTTGTGTTGGTCGCACAACATGTCGATAGCTCGCGAAGAGTCTCACGGAGGTACATATCTGGCAATGCTGCGGCTCAATCTGCCTCGACCGTCCCGTTGCGCCACGTCGCCCTGCATTCACCACAAGCGAAAACACGCGGGAGATCACGAGACCAGGTGACAATCTGCCACAGCCCATTGTAGACAGCTTGAGATACACCACTGATGCCGACAACGTCCACTTGCCGGAGAGCTGCTGCCGTCTGTCGCGTGTCGACTGCGAGAGAAATCTGTTCACGCACTCCCAGCAGTGGCAGGCTATCAAGCTTACAACATGATTGAGAAAGAAAGTACTTCAACAATGCTGATTGTTTCGTTCGGGGTGGACGCAAAGATGTGAACCAGAGCGTTCAGCAATGTCTTTATATTAAGTATATACCTACGGCGAAGTCGACTATCCAGATCATCCATCACTACCCACCCAACCACGAGGCTCCTCGGCAAATCTACCATTTGACCTGGACTCGGCCCACCAGGCAACAGCATTCTACACAGTGCAAGGTATCGCCCTCGAAGGCGCGCGGTAGACGAGAGCGACCTCGCCTTCTTAAGGGCGGCCTCAAAGCCCGCCTCACTTTCACAAGCCCAGAAAAGCTTGGCGAAGGCAACGAGGCAACCTCAGTCCGCATCCCGAACATGAAACCTGCACACACATTCAAGCTTTCTACATCTTCAGACACGTTCCCGTACCGTCTGGAAAGGCTGATGACCTCCATATAGGCTTGAATGCGAAGGTTAATTCGGCTGTGCGCCTTACATTGCTCATCGCCCCTCGGAGCAATGACTCATGCTTTGAGCACCGCCTTCTTGATGCGAGGGTGTATGCTCTACGACCAAGATATTACTGGTCAGGAAGACGGTCCTTCACGCCGCTGATGCATTGTCGGCTTGTTACACACTTCCGCAGCACCTCATCCACGAATCAGAAACACATCCACCACCACCTCCACCATCCCTCCGAGGCATATCTTCGTGAGCCGCAACATCCTGCCGCATGATGCTGGGATGCCTGAAGCCTGAACATATACTTCTCAAATCTGGTCCTAGCGACATCATGGACCTCGTGCCACCCTTGCGGTGCCACGCCTCATCTTTAACAATGGTTTCTGATCGTCCCGCAGCCGCAATGGGCGGTGCCGCGGTTATAGACCCGACGTCGCCCTCGATAGCTCCATCGAGGCCGCCCTCGACACCTTCATGATGGACCAGTAGGAAGACCGGGAATATTCTCCCAGAAGGCGTTGTTGGAAAGTCCTCGTCGCTGCGGTAGGTAATGGTCTTGCTATCTGTGTCCGATTGTCCGTAAGAAGGCATCGTCTTGGTCGTGATGGTGATGTTATAAGAGTAGTGTGAGGGTGATCTTGTACTTCCTGACTCATAACCATCTCGTCTAAGTCCAAGCACAACGGCTGTAACAGAAGAAGTCAGCGACCAGACCGCACTTCATACTATCGTACAAGCATCTAGTACCATCAAGGAGGCCGGAAGCTGCAACACCGTTGTCTTCGAGTAGGGTTCACGATGTCGACAAGATACTACACATCATCACAGTCGGGTCCAGGCTACTATGCTACGAATGGATATGCGACTCCCGCCCCTTCGCCGCCATCGTATGCTAGCCCAAGCGCATACCAAGCATATCAACCAAGCACGGAAGCACCGCAGTCCTACAGCAGGCAGGCAAACCAACAACAGCAACAGTACCAGTCGCGACCAAAGCATGATCCCAAGTACTCGCATTCACCACCTTCGAGGCAGCCATCACAGTAAGTCGCACGCTGCCCTTTCGCTTCATACCTGGAGTTCCAGGCATTCCCTTCGCATTCATCCGCCCCTCTCCCGTCCTACCCTCTCCACTGCCAACATCCGCAACCACCGCCCAAACCCCAACCTAACACCCCTGCAGATGCTCATCCGGAGCAGCCCAATACATCTGCATGTATGACTCCTGCCGCCACGAAGGCTACTGCCGCTACGCCGACCTCCAACGCCACGTCGACGTCATCCACAACACCTCGACTCTCAACCGCTTCAACTGTATAGTCGAAGGCTGCCATCGGGTGGGAATCTACGGTTTTACGAGGAAGGATAAGATGGTCGATCATCTCCGGGAGGTGCATAAATGCGATATTCCTAAGCGGGTCAATGGGGGTGGGGTGGGGAGTCGGAGGAGTAGTGGGTCGTCGTCGTAGATTTTGCTTTCTTGGGTCGCTATGTCGTGATGTTTTCTTGGTCTGGTGTTGGTGGTGTTCGGCATTGTCGGGCTTTGGGTATTACTTGTGTTGCTCTGGGACTGAGACGACCGAGCAATCGGGCCCCGCATGTTTGTTTGTTGCTGGGATGGCTTTCGCAGATGGACGAAATGTATGACTTGGCTGCTCATGCGCTGGACGACTAATGACTCGACCGCTCCTGGTTATGTGATAACGACGATGCTCGCAAGAGGCTAGATAGATGTGCCGTCAACGGCTGTTACTGTGATGAATAGTGTGAACATTAGTATTACAAATTCCTCCCATCAAAAAGAACCATGCATGCCAAGTTCACTTTTCCTCCCTTGTTCGCCGCAGACTCGTCTCCAGGATGGTCTGTTATGCATCGAATTCATGCTTGTGCCTGGAATTGCCCTCGAACGCTCATGAAATGTAATGAATCGTCAAGCGCCTCCAGGTATGAAGCCCAAATGATATCTCAAAATAATGATCCCGTTTCGCTAGTGTTCGTAAACCCGTGGTCCTTGGCCGTGATCAGTAGGCACCATGCCGAAGAGAAGGTTGGTCACTAACAGATCGTACGGTGATAGTCATCGTCCATTTCCAGTAGAAGTGCCTACAATTCGTAGAATTTGCTGGAGGCTGGGGTCCTCAGCGAGCCACTTGCCTGCTGCAGTGTCTGCTGAACGGAGTGATAGCTCGACCCGAGCATCTGTTATTGAGCCGAGCTCCTGCAAACGAGATTACCACCGTCAGCCATGAGTTATAGATCAATAGATGGCATGTTCGCAAAGGTAGGTGCTTACTGCTCGAAGTTGTGCGTAGATCTGTTGTAGAGCTGGAGCATGCCCTGCATGTGGCCGTTGACCTTGGAGAATGGCGCTTCGGGAATTGATCCATCGTAGCGCTGCCGTTGCTTGCAAGTAAAGCTTTTGAGCACGAAACCTCCTGATCGCTGCGTCTGCGATTATCCTATCCAACGTCAGATCGGGCTGACTAGGCAAGTAGCGACTCGATCAACTCACCTCCTCAGATGGATCTTGTCCTGCTCATCATCGCCGCGACTACTGCTCGTCGTTTGGAAAGGCTGAGCCAGTAGCGCCTGCGCTGCTGCCACGCATCGTCGCAAGACAAGGTAGCCCTCTTCGTTATATTCCTCAGCCGAAGGACTAGCTCGGATGGCAGCGATGTAAGTCTGGATGTTGCGATAATCTCCTATGATCTCGGCGATCCGCATTGCTCTCGCCTGGTTGACTGCATAGCCAAGAAACACAAGTCAGTCTTGGTAATAATCCTTCATAAGCTCGGAGGAATCAATGTTGAGGGGAGACTGACGGCCATCTGCCATCATTTGGACTGATTGTGTGTTGGTCGACCTGTTCCTTCCGTAATAGGAAATAGGTGAAAGCGCCTTCGGACGAGACCGATAGGTAAGCAACCGTGGCGACAGGAATTCAGGATTGCTCGAAGGCGATACAAGCTTCAGATTGATCAGCAGGTAGGTGCCTGACCCGTTGTTGGCCACCGGCAAGGCCGTTATATGAATGATATGAAGAACTCGTCGTCGTCCTCAAGTTTTTAGCCTCGACTTTTCCTGACGGCATCCTTAGAGCCGCATGAAGCTGTGGCTGGACAGGAGAAAGCGTGTGGGCAAGAGTTGAGAAGGCAGTCACTGGACCAGAGGTGTTTGATGATTTGACATGCCTGCAACGCTTTTCGTGCTGGTCGACGCACTGGGGTTGCTTTACGCTCTCAAGATTAGCAACTTTTGCTTTCCCGCTCGTATGCTTCTAAGATGCGCGAACGCACGACCCGATCCACCAGCAGGCTTCCATGAGGATGGGGTGCTCATCACTCGATTCGTGGCTTTCTCATAGCCTCTCCCGCCGCTGAACGGGAGCCGATGTCATAACTTACTTGAGTCGAAGTCGATGAAGACTGTTCCGCTACCGCAAGACACGATGTCGGACCGGTGGCCGTGCAGTTGGTGCCATTAATGGCGAGAGATCATAGGTCCATGGCCACAATGACGCTTGCTGCTTCAGGTAGCCAGGCTTAAGCCACGCTGCCTCCAATGGCACAATTCGAGCGTTGCCATGGCCGGATTGAGGACTCATTCAGCAATGGCATGCGGTACTGGACAGCTGAAGAGCCGGCTATTGGCTGAGCCGTTCAATTGTTCCTAGGACCTACAAAGATTGCTCGGCTGCAGTTGTATGGTACTGCGAGTCGTCCGCATGGCTTTGGCGTCACGAGGCGTCAAGTCTAGCGTACCGGCAGATAAGAGCCGCGTGCGTGCAAGGGTAGTCATTTGAAGGTCCACCGGCCACGTGTGAAGGAAGCGCAGATCGTGCACTACGGCGACGATGAAGGTGCTAAGGCTGGTTGCATGCACAAGAAACTAAAAGGAGCGACTATGTTACAGTTCATGAGGTGAAGCTGGTCGAGCTGGAGGAGCTGATGCCAGCTTCAACTTTATTCCGCCTCCAGCCAATCAGCGTCAGGTTTCGCGAAAGCTTGGCACGGACAAGAGCGATGATCTTACCCACTTTCAGCTACAGCTCTGTGGGCTCTTCAGTTGCCAGCATCGTCACCGTTCGCGTGCATATGCTTAGCTCATGCCGTAGCAAGCTGAAGGGGAAGTCCCGTTAATAGTGACACCACGACACCGCTTGCTCAATCCTTCTCAGCAATGGCCTGCAGTCGCGCATCGATCTCCTCCTCGGTCAGCGATCGGAAGCTGGTGTCCGTCCCCTCCTTGCCGTCCGCCTTGGGTCCACCAACAATACCGATCTCTAATTCGCCCTTCTTGAAATCCACGCTGAGCACAGTACTGAGCGTCGCAATGCCCAGCTCGACCACCTCCTCCCAATCGCCTTCCGCGTTGTCCTTGTTCTTGAGCTTCTTCTCCAGATAGTTCAGTGCTTCTTGCGCCTTGGGCCCCGAAGCAGTTGCTTTGTAGCCGACATAGTATCCTGCTGGATCGCATTTGTACAGCTGGGGTCCGAGCTCCGAGTCGAGGGAGATGAGAGTAGTTGCAACTCCTAATGGTCGCATATACGCCTTGCATATCAAGTCAGCCATGATTCAAGTCCTTCAATATCTTTCTCCAGCTCAAGCTTACCCTCTGTGTGTACACCTGATTGATGTTCGCCAATCTCTTCGCCAGAACATCGCATGGCATCTCATATCCGTACTTGTACCTGAACTCTGCAGCCTCTCCTCTTGCGCGCGACACGGACGCCCTTGCATCTGCTATTGAGCCAGTCATGACGCAGCCGACTGATGGTGAGAGCCTGTAGACGTATGAGACGGAAGCAGGGTCGATCAGCTTGTCCTGTAGCCAGACATCTCAGGTCAGTAGTTGGTCTTACCCATAAACTCAGCTCGTGTACATACCGGCACCTTCTTTTGTGACAGCACTACTGCACAGTCCTTCCCTCGCACACCCACTGATGTGATGTTGGCGGCGGTAATCGCTTTGAAGGCATATTCTGTGGAAACGCTAGTGTTAGCATATCGAGATCGATTGGTGTCGGTGGTTGAGGTTACACACCAACTTGGTACAGGCGGCCCTGATCTGAGAAGATGGTGATGTGTCGGTCGAAGCCAGCGCTGCCTGTATGAAGTCATTAGCCAGAGGTTGTGGTTGACCGTTAGCTTGATGACTTGCCCGACATATTGAAGGTGCCCTCGAAGTACGATTATCAGCGTGTTCGTGTCTCTGAGGCGCGGATCGTGGTCGCGAGGATGTTGAGCTGGCAGTGATGGTGTATCGGTCGTGTGATAGATCTGGTGGTTGTATGTATCGTGTATATGAGGCTCTACAAACGCGTAGCTACTTGCGCCTAGTGTGCCCAAAGCTTCACGCGCTACGATTCCGCGGTCGCGCATGAAGATCGCGTTGAACAATCCTTCTCAGCATGCGACAATGACATGTTTGCGAGGAGTCCATGTGTGTATACGAGATGCTTAGGCAGGATCTCCAAGCCACAAAATCTGCATCAGGTGCTGCATGTTCGCCACCAGAGCACCTGTAAGACGATATGATGAGGATGTAAAGGTCCATATTAACAACTTGCAGCTTTCATAGGCAATAGCGTATCCCCAGTACTGCTCAGCCGAGCACGATCAATATCAGACGAGCATGTAACGTTGACGAAGAAGCTTGCCACCGACTACGATGCATCGGCTGCGAAAAGGCTTGGAGAGTTGCAGTCCACGTCTACCGCTGTAAAGGAGTATGACCAGGCGCATTCAGCACTTGCAGAACTACAGTCCTTATTACAGTCTTCGGACAAGGAGCTCAGAGAGTTGGCCGAGGAAGATGTGCAGCATACTGAAGATCGAATCGAGCAAGCATCCTCAGCACTGAAGTCGAGTCTCGTTCCGGTGCACCCGTTCGCACACCTGCCATGTCTCGTGGAGATCCGACCCGGGGCTGGCGGCGATGAGGCTGCGATCTTCGCAGGCGACCTTGTGCGCATGTACGAGGCATATTGTGCTCGCACTGGCCTGCGCACAGCACTGCTGAAATACGAGACTGCAGAAGGAACAGTATCTGGTGGAGCTGGAACCACTCATGTGCAGGAAGCTGTGCTTGAGATTGACTCTCCTGGCGCCTACGGCATACTACGATGCGAAGCTGGTGTTCATCGAGTACAACGCGTGCCAGCTACGGAAAGCAAAGGCCGGACTCACACCTCCGCCGCCAGCGTCTTGGTGCTGCCCTCAATCGACGCAGAGACCAGTGGCGATATGGGTGAGAACAGCTTCAACGATCCGAGGAGTGACTACTACATCGATCCGAAGGAGGTCAGGCTGGATGTCATGCGCGCGAGTGGTGCAGGAGGGCAGCATGTCAATCGTACCGAATCCGCCGTTCGACTGACGCACCTTCCCACCAACACTGTGGTATCTATGCAGGAAACGCGATCGCAGATCCAGAATCGCGAGAAAGCTTGGCAATTACTGCGATCACGTATCGCGCAGCAAAGGCGAGAAGTGCGCGAGGAAGAACTCGCCGTGCTGCGGCGTGGCGCTGGAGCAGGTAAAGTTGGGCGTGAGAACAAGGTACGCACGTACAACTGGGGTCAACAGCGAGTGAGCGATCATCGTAGCGGGCTAGATGTACGCAATCTGGATGATGTTATGGAAGGTGGTGAAGCGCTTGAGCGAGTCATGCAAAGTGTACGCGCTTGGATGGCGGAGCAAGAAGTCCTTGGGCTGGTCGCTGAGGAGGAGAGTATACAGGCACAGAAGAAGTGAAGTCCGCTCAGTCCATCACGTGGTATGTGCCACTATCACGTGCCAAGTTGAGCACAATGCTCATATGTGCGTTCTCGTCCCTCATCGCCATCGCTCGCGTCTGATCCTAGTACAGCTTACAGACATTTCAACAGAACGTAAACTTGCGCACCATCAGTGCAAGATCGTCAACACTGCACAAGCCCATCTTCAATGCAAGGAAGCTTCTTACGAAAATAACATTCCCGGCTGCCGCCCAGCCACCATCACGCTGCAGCGGTGCATCAGTACTCACTGGACTGCTGGTCACCGGCATTGTTCACAGTGACTATACCAGCGACAATATCACCCCTGCATGACCGAGTCGAACCTTGACTAGGTACCTACTCCTTGACCTTCGGCCCGCAAGCAAACACATCAAAGTCCTACCACCACTTGCCTCCCTCTCATCGACCTCTACCTCAATACGGAACACAACCATGATCCACCTAACACTACCTCGATAACTAACCCTTGCGAGAATATTGTTCATCTTCATTATGGCCGCCGCGGCGGGCCCAACAACCACAGTCGAGATCGTGGATTACAGCACTGTCCATGCGACAAGCACGATCTATGTGGCTCCTGCATCCACAACGAGCTCGGGGTCGTCAACGGAGAATCTGGGGCATGCTCAGCCGTACGGCGAGTTCCCGACTCATCAAATGGTGAGTACATCCAGTTTGCTACCTTGGCAAGGTGGCCCTCGCATGTCAGATCTGCCTGGCCGGCTTTCTGGTGCTATCGGTTGGAGCGAACCTCCTCTCATGCATGTTGCTGCAAGTCTTCCACTGGGCGATTCTCCAGTCGGGTCACATCCAGCGGGCCCGCCTCTACTAGGACCTCCTTCGTTCACTGCACCGCTCTTCCTCCCTCCTCCATTCACTGGTGGCGAGCCAAGCTTGACGCATACGAGTGATCTGGCGCCGACTCTCTGCTTCTTGACACAATCTACATCCGCTATTGCACACGAAAGTAGCTTTTTTTCAAACCCCTCGGTTGCGACACGAACCGAATCGTCTTCCTCAGCAATGTCGGCCTCCGAAGTCGTCAACCAGGATGCTACTACCATTAATGAGCATGCGAACGTTCTGACTGTGACTGTGACTGACATAACTACTGTTGGGCAGAGCTCGACAAGTACCGCGCCCATGAGCACATTATATTCCACCTCGACAATGACCACGACCATCGTCGTGCCACTAACGATGACTTCTGGCCCCAGTACGAGCACGAGGTTGCCCATGACCACTTCGACATCGATGGCGACAAGCTCGAATACATCACAGATACCAGTGGGCATCACAGCTGCACCGGCTCCTCTACCATCAAATCCGACTGCTTTGAACGTAACCGCGGTTGAGCAATGTCTGACCGAGCCGGGTGGCGTTCAGAAAGCTGGCGAGTTGCCGCAGCCAGGATGTGGCTCTATCTTCCAGCATATCGAGGACTGCTACGGATCCAATGCTCCATGGACGGATCCATACAACGCAAGCCAGAGTCTCAACTTCCAAACATGTCTCTGCGAGACGAGTGCTTCAAATCCTTTTGGCAAGACGAACATGCTGTGGCAGAACTTCACGGGCTGTGCCAACTGCCTTGAGAGCTTCACGTCTGGCATCCTAGTCGACACTCTCGCCTCGGAATTCTCGAATATCGAGAACTTCTGCTGCTCACAGAACCCATTGGCATATCTGGTCATCGCCAACTTCGAGGCCTGGCTCGCAGCACTCAACGCAGGAATCTCTCTCACAGCACCGCCACTTACGGGCGCCATCACAGCAATCACGGTTCTAAGCAGCCTCTTCACCACAACACCACCCCTCGCCAACTTGGCATACGGTGTCAGTGCACCTCCAGAGGGCACCTTAGGAGGCGTGACACCAGAGCTCATGACCGCGACAATCATCATGCCCGCTTCTGCAGGCCATCCGCCATCTACGGAGAAGATAACCAAGTTACTCGACTGGAAGCCCACAGCATCTCCTTCAGGTACAGTCACGCCACAATTCGATACAGCGGCTGCTAGCATGTCCGCGGCTAGTGTGGCGAATAGTGAGTTGCATGCTGCGCTCAGCACATTGGCGGCGCAGGGTGGACCGTCTCAGGTGTGTCGTGGGAAGTGTCCGAGTAGTGATGGTGCGAGAAGGCAGCCTTCTTTAGCATTGCTTGCTACGGTCGTTTTCTTGCTGACGAGCTGTATGATGGATGCTTGTCTGTGATGGAACTTTCGAGAGTCATGAGCGCAGGGCAGGCATCCGGGAATTATATACAGCGGAAATTCAGATACGTCGGCTAAGTGACACCGCAGGACCAACCGCGACAGAATTGGCATCTGATGTTTGCTGGGTGTATGCTTCCTGAGCAAATTGATTAGAGGGGTAGTCACTTGTATAAGACTGCAACCACGGAATCTCAATGCACGCCATTAGTACCGTTGACACCCTTCTTGGCAGCAAACTCTTTCGTGAACGCCGCCTCCATCTCCCTCCTCACAGCGACAGCCTGGTTCTTTTCACTATACTCGACATCCTTCCAGCTCAGGCCCTGCCCTTGCTTCTTGTCTGCCTTCAGCACAAGACCATGGGCGAGACCGATTGGCAGGCCCTCAATCTTCATAGATGCCTCCGCGGGCAAGAGCTTGCCGTACACCATGAAGCCGCCTTCACCATCGAGCTTCTCGCCGGCTTTGAGATCGCGTTTCGCTGTCGCTACGACGTCGCCGGCCCATGTGCGCGTTTGGCCTGTCGGTTCGCCACGGCACATGATATTCGCTATCGAGACGCCGAGCTCTAGTCCAATGAGGTGGAAGGGCTTGTATTGTGCTGCATACTTCCCAGTCGAGTCTGTTTCAAGTCCGTATTGCTTGAAGCAATCTTTCTGATATTCGCCCGGCGCCTCGATGATGACGTATACCCCCCATCGTAAGTCGTTGTGAACAGGTCTACCGTCAACTTCAAGGCAAGAGACGACCTCGACCGTGCCTTTCTTGTCTAGCAGACCGCCATCTGCTTTGGGTCGAAGCGTTCCTGGCAGATCGTGGCGGCCACAAGGAGGGAACAGTAGTCCGTCGTCGGGTGGCGTCAAATCACAAGCATTCGCCACTGCGGCCATCTCTAGAGCAGATTTTGTGCCATCCAAGAAAGAGTTGAACATCTGCGGATTGAAGTCGCCACTTGCCAGTTGCTCCTTCGTGAAGCCATAGTAGTCCCACACAGTATCAGGAGTCGATGCATGGTACGCAGGCAGATGCTTGGTGCCTTTTCCAGCACAGACAACATCAAAGCCTGCTGTTCGTGCCCAGTCCACAAGCTCGGCAATCAAAGCTGGTTGGTCGCCGTACGCCATGGAGTATATAATATCTGCTTCGCGCGCCTTGCGTGCTAGTAGTGGTCCAGCCAAGACGTCTGCTTCTACGTTGATCTGCTCCTCATCAGTCACTATTGACGGAACGACAGATGAGACATACCATAACAATATGTTTCTTGTGTTCACAGCATAGCAATGTATGGCGTATACCAGCAGCAGGGCTCCCAGTGACCTCAAGTATGACATCAATACCAGGCGTAGCTATAAGCGCAGCAGAGTCGGTCGTGATCGCCGTCTTGCCTGCCCTGATGCCTTCTTCGACACTCATCGATCCAGTCGTGTCGTAGGCGTCTTTTGGAAACCCAGTTCGTTTGAGAGCAGCTTTTGCTCGATCGGCTGAGAGGTCTGCAATACCAGCTAGTCGCATACCAGGAGTCCGATGACATTGTGATATGAACATTGATCCGAACTTGCCAGCACCTATGAGGCCGACTTGGATTGGTCTGCCGGCTGCTTCGCGCTCGGCGAGCTTGGTCGATAAGCTTGTCATGGTGGCGGTAAGTGCGTCTGTCAATGACTGAGGATGTGAAGGGAAAGCCAGAAATGATCTCAGAATTGACCTACATGTTGTTCATGATCGACAATGCGACTTCGGTAATAAGGTACGACATGGACGCCCCGCAAAGTCAACTCAATGCTCCTTGTGGAGCTCATACTGTCAAGCAATTGGATGCTCCTGTGCTATTACCAGGCCGTGAGTGATGTGCATATGGAGGCTTGTGTTGTTGCCTTGGTGGTGGATGTAAATCAACAATGGTGGTTCGGCACGAGGTGATACGATGCAGACAGCGTGCCTTCCCGAAACGGCAAGATAGAGATCACTTTTCATCGTTCGCATCGAGTGAATGGCGGTCTGAGTCGGGGTCCTCCTCTGTCACGAGCGTGGGATCCCATACTCATGATAGAATGTATGTCCATCACTGAACCTCAAGCAGCAAGAAGCTGCGGTCATGAGCGCGGGAAATGATCGGCGAGATCCGACGTTTCAATCCATACCAACATTATCCGTATCACCTGTTCTCTATTCTTCTTTCTCCTTGTGATCGCATGTACACAGGCATGCAGCGCCAAAGTACCTCGCTGGCCAACAGGAGAGTCGAAGCATTACAAGCACATATACCAAACCTTGCAAGTGAACGACCACCACAGCCCATCATGGCTGATCGACCCTTCATAACCTGCCACGTCCTCGACACCATCTCTGGCAAACCCGCCGCAGGCATTGACGTCAAGCTAAAGCTAGTCTCTCCTGCCAAGGCCACTACGGCGCACTGGACAGCCCAAACGAACGGTGACGGAAGAGTGCCAGCGTGGACATCCTCAGTCAACATTAACGAGATCGTCGAGAAGGTGAAGAGCGAGCTAGCAGATGGGGAGCAGATGGTCTGGAGTCTAACATTCGACACCGAGGCGTACTTTGGCAAGAGGAAGACTTTCTGGCCGGAGGTCGAGCTGCGATTTGCTGCGCAGAAGGAGGAACAGCATTATCATGTTCCGTTGTTGTTGGGACCGTGGAGTTATACGACGTACAGAGGGTCGTGAAAGGGCAGGCAATGTCATGGACGACTTATCGATGGCTCTTGGGATGTCAGAAGGACAAAGCTCATTCATGTCTGCCATACACATGATACCTTGTTGAGCTTGGTATAACGAAGCAACATCACACCCAAGTACCAAGACAGTCTGTTCTGGTCCTGGTGCTTCTGGTACCTCGATTCATTCACAGCCAATCCTCCTTACGACTGCGAGAGGCGTCGTTGAGCAGCATCCTCCATGATGGATCGAAGCAAACGCCTCGGCGTTGTGACACGAATTAGCGAAAGGCTTTTGGAGGGAGGGTACATCGATTACCTTGCAATCCCGACCTTGGTCTGCTTGAAAGTGATAGAGGTCTTGTCTCGAAGGCCGAAATGACTGTTCTACTCTCATGTGGACCCGCACCACTGGTGGCATACGCATACATTGCAAGACTGGCGAAAGTGCTCTGCAGGCCAGCCAATTAGCTGTGTACACTCATGTTACTACAGCGCATCTCGACTTCAGATAGATTTCTGTACCTGCATGTCAACACCAGCATGGCAGTCAGCATATTGACTTGGCGACGACGTGTCAGGCTCAGTATGACCTTACACTACATATGCACAGAGACTGTAGATAATGCCGTTTAGATCTGGGTCCATGGCCAACCTCGCTGCCATTTCATGAAACACTTTCGTGTAGTTCTCTGCTACAGTGGTCATTATAACTTGAATGTATAGTGCTGATTCGTACTCATTCGCTGAAAATGCCCAGACGAATCGTCGCCGTCTCGTATCCTCTCGGATATAAGGAGGAAGTAAACAGGCTGATAATGCCAACCGAACGTGCCTGCCCCGCCTTCGTCACCAGCAGCTGTGTGTCTCCCGCTACAAAAAGAAGGTTTTTGCTGCTGTAGCCTCGGCCACCCATCGACCCGCCGACCACGGCTTTGCATTCGCGGGAGCTTCAGTCGTGCATCAGACACCGCAGCACCCGTTGCATTCTCGCCGACATGTCTACCCTTCGACCATTCATCGCTGCACAACGCGCATCTGCACTCTCCTCTCACCTCTCCGCGACAACCCGATCCTTTCCCCGACCAATCGCTGCCAAGCTGCAGCAACGACGCAACATGGCTTCCGAGATCCCGAAGATCAAGGTCAAGAACCCCGTGGTCGAGCTCGATGGCGACGAGATGACGAGGATAATATGGCAGGACATCAAGGACAAGTTTATCCATCCTTACCTCGATATCGACCTGAAGTACTACGACCTTGGCCTTCCCTATCGAGACGAGACGAACGATCAGGTGACTCTGGATGCTGCGGAAGCGATCAAGAAGTATAGTGTTGGTGTGAAATGTGCTACTATCACTCCCGACGAGCAGAGAGTGGAAGAGTTCAAGCTGAAGCAGATGTGGCTGAGTCCTAACGGAACGATAAGAAATCACCTTGGCGGCACAGTCTTCAGAGAGCCTATCGTGATTCCTCGCATTCCTCGTCTGGTGCCAGGATGGAAGAAACCTATTGTCATCGGTCGTCATGCGTTCGGCGACCAGTACCGAGCCAAGGACAAGGTGATCGACGGCCCAGGTACTCTCGAGATGGTCTTCACACCCAAGGGCGGCAAGCCAGAGAAGATTCAAGTGTTCGAGTTCGACGAGAAGACACAAGGTGGTGTCGCACAAACGCAATACAACACAACCGAGTCCATTCAAGGTTTCGCGCATGCATCCTTCAAGCACGCTCTGAGCTTGAACATGCCTATGTACATGAGCACTAAGAACACTATTCTGAAGAAATACGACGGCAGGTTCAAGGACATCTTCCAGGAGATCTACGAGGCCCAGTACAGGAAAGAATTTGAGGCCAAGGGTATCTGGTACGAGCATCGTTTGATCGACGACATGGTGGCACAAATGATCAAGAGTGAAGGTGGCATGGTCATTGCTATGAAGAGTGAGTCGTCGTCAGCCTACCAGATGGTGTTTCTGGCTAACATGCATCCCAGACTACGACGGCGACGTCCAATCCGACATCGTAGCCCAAGGCTTCGGCTCCCTCGGCCTCATGACCTCCGTCCTCATCACCCCCGACGGCAAGACCTACGAAGCCGAAGCCGCCCACGGTACCGTCACCCGCCACTATCGCGAACATCAAAAAGGCAACCCCACCTCCACCAATCCCATCGCCTCCATCTTCGCCTGGACGCGCGGACTAGCGAAACGAGGAGAGTTGGATGGGACTCCTGAGGTTGTGAAGTTTGCGGAAAGTTTGGAGGAGGCATGTATCCATGTTGTAGATAAGCAGGGAATCATGACGAAGGACTTGGCGATTTCGTGTGGGAAGAAGGATGATTATGTTACTACGACGGAGTATTTGAATGCTGTGGAGAAGAGGATGAAGGCTGTGTTAAGTGCGAAGTTGTAGACGTATCTTCTAATTCGGTGGGATCTAGGCGCATGATTTCGGACAGATCCATGCACCTGATGGACCTTTCATTATTGGCCCTCGAATAGCCGGTTTCACCGGGCCGGGCGACTGCAGGTCTACGAGTAGACCTTGAAGCAGTCCACATCTCACCAGCCCTCCTCTACTCACCGCGGACTCAAGGACCCCTCCTGTGATCTGCATAGGATTGAATCACATTCTGACTCGTCCTGTTCGTCCCATCACATCGATGCAGCAGCTGAAGACATGGGGCAGCGCGTGTTCATGTCCACCTTGAGGCGGTGACCTGGACCCATTTCCACCTCCTACGCTCGAGCCCAAAACTGCTCAACCGTGACAATTGCACAAAGCGATCGGGCTGATCGTCTCCATCCCACCCACCATACTGACGGTCCAAGTTGGGCCCTTCGAAGAGGGGTGTGAGGGGCGGGAGGCGGAGAGATTAGACCATGCCACGTGTGGCGTACGCTAGAAGGCTTCCATTGCTTCTATAGGCTGAAACATCCTTGCAAGGCTGAACGTTGATGTCGTTGCTTTGACATTAATTTGGCCTAAGCAGTATGTCGTGCAACCACACTACCTTGGCATTGATATTGATGCGCCCATGCAGCTCGTGCGAGGAGGCAGGTCGAAGTGTGGTGGCTTGTGAAGGAGCGCCGGGATCTGGGACCCGACATGCGGTTGGCTGTTGATGGTCGACGGGACCCTTGCAGAGACACCGGCCAGAGTCGAGCATCTCAATGCTGTCCGCCCGGTCGTTATGATCGCCTGGTCGGATCGACCCTTTTGGTGTACGATTTATGGAGTACGACGCCGACCTCACAATGGCCGGAGACGATGCGGACACGCTTCATTGCGTGAAATATCGCAACTGGACGCTCTTCGTAACCTGCCATTGCGTGACCCTGTGCCTTAGTCGCGCATTGTCTTGTAGGACCCTACGAAATCTGCAGATCATGGCCATATATGCTATCTCACGTTGGTGCAAAGCGGTACCACCTGACTCAAGGACCTGCAGACGTCGCGTGGCAGACAGGGATGCCGCCTGCCTCCCTGCAGATACATTTGCGGGTGAGATCTGCGTACCACCCGCTCGGGATCACTAACCGTCACTTCGTCACCTCATCTGTGATCCCGGATCGCACCATGGCTCCTGATGCTGGATGTGTCGTGGGGAGATCATCAGCTTCCATGTCTGCTCGCACAGGAGGCGCTCGGAGGCGTGCGATAGTGTGTTTCGACTTGATGCTGCTGCCGGCCAGTCTTGCCCACCATATCGGTCTTTTCAAGCCGAATGATATATGTTATGGTATTCTACGAGGTTCCAAGCAATGTGATCTCCCCTCGCAGTCCTCTCATCCACGCTCCCTCGTGTATCGTACCACAGAAACATGGAGAATCTCGGTCAGAACCGTACAGAGCGTCTAATAAATCAGGGTCTGGCACAGCGTAGTATATCTCAGGACGTGAGTATTGCGAATCGGTTTGCAAAGGTCGCTGATTTTAATGCTGACTCCGGTAGATCGATGCTGCCATGGAGATAGCCGCCCGAGAGTTGGTTCAGACGGAGGCAGCACGACAAACAGATCGCCGGATGGCACGACAGTATGGCATCGTGTTGGACATCTCCGAAGTGGACCCAGACCACAACCGAAACGTGGTGAATCCAAGCCACGGACCTCATGAGCAGGTTCCACATCCACCTGTCTCGTTATATCACACGCCAGTCGACATTCCTCGCGTGCACGATTGCAGTGCAGGTACCGGCTTGACCCCGATGGAGCGCTTCGCGGCCATCAGTACTATCGACGAGCCCTGGCCATTCTATGCCAGAAAGCAGATGACAGCCATGAGAATTCAGGAAGGAGATCCGAAGACGGCCATAATGAGAGGCAAAGCTGCTCAGATGGTGGCAGAAGCCAATGGACAGCCGATCGCTTCATCAGATGCGCTGAACGAATGCAGCCGCATGGAATCTGGCACAGAGCCGCCAAGTAGTACACAGAAGAAGCAGAGACTGGTACGCAGGTCTCCCAGTCATGGACCAAGGTCGAGTGGTGGCTGAGAAGGACTGTAGGTTGATAGATGACAACACCGGTCCGATTGCTTGCCCGGGCACGTCTCCTTGTTCCTAAAACCATAGCACTCCCTGATAATCTGGTGGCGATCGTTCAATCTTCGTTGAGGTGCTCAACAAATCGAGCTCGATAGTATCCACGAACAGCATTGCTGAGCCAGATGATTTCGCCATTTCGCATACTCTCCTTCTTGACCACAGCTTCTTCACAAAGACGCTGCTCAAGGGACCAACGACGAGTAGTACCCTGCTGACCACCACAAGCTGCAGCGGGTGTCACCCACCTGCCATCACGAAAGAAGTATGGTGTGGATATCGAAGCATCCAAAATTTCGCTATCAGTATTGTAAAGTAACACTTCCTTCTTGTCATACAGGTGTGTGATACCCGTTGACTTCCTTGCTCGGTCATAGAAGAAGCGATCCCAGGTCTTATACATGGTCGATGCACTTACTTCGCACGAGTCCGGGTCAATGTAGACGACCCAGTCTACTTCATCAGTACCTCCTTCAATTTTGCCCAATGTCCTTGGAAAGAGATCCTCCATCGATAAGCTTGGCGTTGGGGCGATTTCACTTGTCGTGTGGCCATCAGGATAGACTCGATGCTTGCAGCGCAGGCTGTGCATCTCCTTGCCAGGGTTTTTGGCATGCCATTGTTTCACGCCATGGAGTAGACCTTGGAGCAACTGGGAAGGACCACTACCAGCCATGGAGGTGTTCCACTTTGCGACCTGAAGTCTAGTCCAGTGATGTTCCAACATGTAGAATGGGCACGGGCGATGGCAGGATGCTTCCGTGTTCTCGGCACTATGCAGCAAAGCCGGATCGTAGCGGACAGTGGTGAAGACGTGAGGCTCCTCGGACGGGCATGGTTGATCGTGTGTCATGTTGATGGAGTCGTATGCTAGATGGTCGTCCGGTTGTGGGTGCAATTCTGTCTCAAATTGCACTGGCTATGGGCTTCCTTTGTTGCTTCCAGCAGATCGTCTACAAATCATGCCACAGTGAAGGGCTCTTCTGTCGTCCTCGCCATAGCCTGCCAAGCCATATCCTGTAGAGTCATATACGGATGAGTCCTTTTTATCACGTGCTCGTGTGAAAAACAATGTTCCTACTTCGGAGCTTTTATTGCCGCTCTGGTGGAGAGGGAACTAGACACGGCGCCACACCTTTACTGAGCCACATTTAGTCAAAACGCTTGTCGATAACGGAGAAGCTGATTCGCCGCTGATGATCTCTTATCTTTGAACGGGTACACCCGAAGGCGGTGTGAGAGCTCGGCGAGGGCAAACACTTGCAGGAAAGTCATGTGTGAGCGCTTCCGGACATATATCGTGTGTTCAACATTGCTAGAGCTACATGTATATATGCTTTGAGTTGGGACGAGAGAGCTTGGTAAGGACAGGATAATTATCTGAGTCCATCTACCGTCAGCGCTTGACTTGGCACCTATTGCTGCTGATCCCGTCAATCTATAACCTTGTCGGACGAGGGGAAGGGGGACAGAAGCCACTATGCGTGCCTGCAGGTAGTAGTGGACGCCATGCGGCGAGGCTTATCAGTGCGGAGGGGCATATCAATCCTGACGTCGCGGTACCTTACCGTGGGGAGAGCAACGAGCCCGTGACATGAGCTGGTGGTGAACAAGCAGCATAAGGGGCAAGTTTAAAAAAAAAGGAGATTCCAGCTCTTGCATGTGTGTCGTAAGACAGAGTCATCTGGTACCTTGTAGCATAATTGTCGGCGTTGGGTTAGGACTTATCCCGGGCATGATTTTGAGGCAAGATAGCAACGCAGAAGGAATTCCACGTTTCCAGACCATCTACTGGCTACAGTTCTAGATCTCGGTTATGACCCCGACGTAAACGGCTCTCCGGATCGTACTTTGGCCTAGCAACGACGGTCAATTGCTTCTTGAGAACTATAGTGCCATGCACGGGGGATAACACTGGTGGGCTACGCCGCTACCGTAGAGTGTGGTGCTGCAGGGGCCAACCAACCCCAACCCTGGACCAAGCTCTCCATGATTCTGCCGGTCAGTCTGTTTGCTAAATATCCCTACCACTTCCACATCTTTCTTTGTTTGCACTCACTCTTATTGCTACTCCTCGGAGCGCCTCGCAAAACGCTCACTCGCCACTCGTCTAGTTTGACACCGTAATACCAAAACCACCACACAAATACATCCCGCACATTCTAGCAGTCATGGTGAGGGCACGCGACAATATCACAGCTCGAAACAAACAACTAACAGCTTCTACAGGCTGAAGTACCACACATTTCGAATACCACCAATGTAAGTGAAACTCGTTCCAGCTCCACGATGAATGTACTGACAATTCCACAGCTTCAGAAATACCTCTCGCTCCCACAGAAAGGCGCTGTGATTGTCGAGTATGTCTGGATTGATGCATCTGGTGGCACGCGCTCCAAGTGCAGGGTGAGTGATTTCCGATCCTCCTACCACTTTCCTGGCATGCCCAACAGAAAAAAGATAAGGCAGTGCAGTGAGGTTGAGATTCGTCACTTCGTGGCTTGACCTCGGCGCGGATCGGGCGAGACACGAAGCCATTACCCAAGAGATTTGGCAGTTAAGCCGCAGTCGGCGGTACTGTAATATGGCTAGCTTTGATCCATATTCTGGCCTACCAAAAAAACATGGTTCGGATTACCAGACTGACCACACCACTTTTCAGACCCTGAAGAAGAAGCCGACCTCAATCAAGGAGCTCCCAGAATGGAACTTCGACGGCTCCTCCACCGGCCAAGCGCCGGGCGACAACTCCGATGTCTACCTCCGTCCTGTGGCGATGTACCCGGATCCTTTCCGTCTCGGCGACAACCTCCTCGTCCTCGCCGAGTGCTGGATGTCCGACGGCAAGCCCAACTCCTACAACTTCCGCCACGATGCCGCAGTCCTGATGGAGAAGAACGCCTCGCATGAGTTCTGGTTCGGTCTCGAGCAGGAGTACACTCTCCTCGATGCGCAAGGCTGGCCATACGGCTGGCCCAAGAATGGCTTCCCAGCTCCCCAGGGTCCTTACTACTGCGGCAACGGCACCGGCAAGGTCTTCTGCAGAGATATCGTCGAGGCTCACTACAAGGCTTGCTTGTACGCCGAGCTCAATATCTCTGGCACCAATGCCGAGGTCATGCCTGCTCAGTGGGAGTACCAGATCGGTCCCTGCACTGGCATCGAGCTCGGCGACCACATGTGGATGTCCCGTTTCCTCCTCCACCGCGTGGCCGAGGAATTCGGTGCCAAGGTCACCTTCGCGCCTAAGCCCATCCCGGGTGACTGGAACGGCGCTGGTCTCCACAGCAACGTCAGCACCAAGGAGATGCGTGAGGATGGCGGCATGAAGCACATGGAGAAGGCCATGGAAGCCCTTGCCAAGCGCCACAAGGAGCACATGACCGTGTACGGCGAGGGCAACGAGGCTCGTATGACTGGTGCGCACGAGACTGCGTCGTATGACAAGTTCAGCTGGGGCATCGCGAACCGTGGCGCTTCCGTCCGTATCAACCGCCAATGTGCCGACGAGGGTAAGGGCTACTTTGAGGACCGCAGGCCGGCTTCCAACGCCGACCCATACCAGATCACCGGCATGATTGTCGAGACTGTAAGCACTGCATAGCACACCTACTAACTGACACTGAAGATCAACTGCTGACTTTACATAGCTTTGCGGTAAAGTCGAGGGCATCGAGATGTACAAGACCATCACCCAGGCCGAGCCCGTGGAGTTGGACATGGTCGTGCCCATCTCCAAACCATAAGCGATCAAGTCACCATACACGAGGAGCAGTAAGAGGTGGCAATGAGGAAGCGGGAGCGGAGTGTAGCGAAGACGGATGAACGAGCAATGCGATATGATACCTTCCTTGCAGAGTGTGTGCGGGCGTGCGTGCGGATACTAGCGGAGACCCTCTTGGTGCGAATGGGACATGCATGGCGATACTTGCTGCCATGTCCACGGTGGCAGTTGCTTGTATGTACTCTGAACTGTGCATGAAGAATGCTTGTCTACACCCTATGCCTTCACGTCCCGCCCTTTATCGAGTGAATAGTGCTAGTGTGTTGGACCGATCAGGTGCCCATTCCGTGCTGCTGTCAAATGACAAAGTCAGAAGCTGCCATCCTGCCCACACAATCTATACAGTTGACGCAAGCTTTTTGAAAGAGATTGTATCATACGACTACAGTAGTCCTTTCTCCACCTATCCACATACACCAATCCATGACATGACATGATGCCTGCCCATCAAGCGCCAGAAACGAAAAAACGCCTAGCTCAGCCATCACAGCCGGCAATTTCGTAAACCTCCCGCCCAATGCAAAGGAAGGAACCTATATACAAACCCACCCATCATATCATCCTCGTTGTCCCCAGTCTTTCCGCCTCGGTCTGTCTCGAGGGATGATAATACATGTCCACCACCCTGCCCACGTCATCATTGCCATCTGCATCTACCACTACGGCTTCAGCAGGTTTGCGCTCAGATAGCTGGGTCTGGAAGTCGGCATCGAAATGCAGACTCCCGTTCGTGACATGCAGTGGTCCGTGAAGTCTTTCCTCATTCGTATCCAGCACCTCGTTGCCATGGACTTGGACTCGCTCCTTGGCCTCGAAAGGAATTGGCCTGCTGGCTGTTCTGGTATGGGCTAGCGGTGTCGCTTCGACTATTGTAGCTGGGTGGTCCAGCCAATTGCTGCGGCCTCCCCATACCGCCTTGATATGCAGTGTTCTGCTGCTGCTGCTGCTGATGGTGAGAGTGTCCAGACCGATCAGCACTACTGCCGGAAAGACTATCGTCATCGTCCTCGATTCTGGCACCTTTGCCGTTACTCCATCCATGCTTGGACTCTCCTCTTGCCGTTGCACCCAGAGCGTCGAGCTCGGTGTTGAGCTGCGTTTGGGACTTGATGAAGGAGCCACGGTCGTCGCGCATGGGTTGGTAGCGGGTATCTGGGTTCTTGGCCACGAGGGCGATGATGGAGGCGACGAGGACGATGATGAGGAGGATGGTGGAGAAGACGGCGTTGTAGACGAAAAAGATGACGCCCATGACGCCGGTCACGATGCCCTGGAAGGATTATGTTAGCTGCGATACAGTACAGTGGCAGTGTGTTGGTGTGGGAAGCTTACAGGCTGAGTGAAGATGCCGGTGAATACGAGCAAGAAGATGGCGCTGATGAAGTTGACGACCACGATGGCGATGTTGAAAGCGTTCGTCTTCTTGTCCATATATGGTCGCATGATGCAGACGCCAATCAGGAACACTGCCTCGATGACCACGAGCGCAATAGCCTGAAGGGTTCCAGATTTCTGCGCAAGTGCGACGAACAGGCCCTTGATCAAGATGTAGGTGAGGACAGGCACGATGAAGTAGTATGCCGTCGCCTTGAACTGCACGTAGAGGAAACCCCACTTATTGAGCGACACTGGGTCCGAGTAAAGAATGTAGGCGGGATTCTTGTGCATGCTGATACTGCGCCGTGCTAGTCGAATGACCTTACTACAGGCCCATCCAACAGTCGCAAGCATAGTGAAGATGGTGAAGATAGCTAGAACCATCTCAGCAGTCGAATCGATGCGGGTGAACTCCCAGAAGCAGAGGACAACCATCTGAGGGAAGCCAATAAGAACAATGCGGAACAGAATGCCCTTGAGCACGGTGGTCCAGCCATTGCGAAAGTCCTGGAATTTGTCGCCCTTGAAGCGGCCGGCTTTGACCATGAGTTCGCAGAAGAGCTTGAAGAGCAGGACCCCGATCACGACCGCTACCACGAAGATCATGAAGAAGATGTAGCCTGTCAAGAAGATGTTGGTGACTTCGATGCCAGCTCGGAAGCCAACGCGCTGGATACCTCTGACTATGACTGTGTTCGAGGTATCAGCGCCGTTCGATCCAGCTGCGTTGCTGCGGGCACGTAGGATGTTGTTGTGGACCTCATATGCGGCACGCTTGACCAGATTCGTCACAGCTGCCAGACTGCGCTTCTCCACCTCTACACTGGTGGTGCCGAGGCTGGACAGTACAGTAGATGGCGTGCCTCCTGTTGCGCGCTGGTACCAGGTCGCGATCCTCTGCAGGAAAGTGACACGGATTATACCCATGCTCCATTGGAAGTTCTGCGTCCAAGATGCCACAATAGGTGGAAGAGGTACCGCGGTCATGCCGATGAAAGCCTGCGCCTGGAAGTAACTGAAGAGAGCCATGGCGTTCGCCGCCACGTGTGCCGCAGTATTTGAGTGTCCAAGCCCAGATGTGATGGCTGATGCAACAAGCGCCAGGCCAGAAATGACTGCGATTGCCCAAGCTACGCCCTTTTGATCCACCGTCTTGCCATTTGATAGCCTTGCCTCCACGCAAGCCGCCGATTGTCCCGTGGTCGTAGAGTTGAAGTACACCTGCACCTTCGCATCCAAGTCCGGGACTGTATACGCAATCCCCGGCACCTGAGCCAGCGCGCTACCCGGAAGTGGTACATTGGACGTAGGCAGATTGATCTGTCCATCATTCATAGGACACAGACCCTGAAAGCCAAGCTTACACGGGTCTAGCGTGGTCTGGTAGGCTTGCAACCCGTAAGCAATGAATCGCAGATCTATTGTGACATTGCCCATGATTGTGCTGACGCCGACGACGCTGAAGGAGAGACTGTTGTTGGCGGGGGTGAGGGTGACATCGAATTGGGTCGCGCTGAAGTTGTTGTTGGTCTGGCAGGGGTTGAGGGAGTCGGAGTAGAGCATGCGCTCTGCTGAGGCCAGCTGCTGGGTGCCGAGCAGGAGGCATACTACTGATATTAATGAGACCTTCATCGTGATGTGTGTGGGATGCTCTTTTCGCGCTCGAGTTGTGGTGGATGTTGGTCTATCCGGGCGACCCGCCTGGCTAGCGAGTTGTAGGTGGCGACAATGCGACTGCAGAGGGGTCGGTCTCGGTGGTGACTGTCTCGAGGGAGTCGCTCAGACTGGTATATCGTATTACTGCAAGACACGCGCAGATAGCGACGGAATATTTGGCGTAAGTGAGTGTGTATGCAGAGGTGGGAGATGGCGCTGGCTTGCTTCGCAGTTGCGAAGCACTACGCTGCCCGGCAGTGATGATTGGTTGGTGCTAAGTTTGGCCTTGGATGACGCGTTGCGCCTGACCCTCTTTTCCCCAGTTTATGAGGAAACACGGAAAGAGACAGAAAGCGAGTGGCGGGAAGGGAAGAGACCTGTTGAGTGTTGTGAAGAAGACAATGTTTCATCAATGTCACAGCAGATACAACGTGCTGCCACGCATGAAGTTGTGCGTTCGTACGACTCCGCGTATTATTTGGGGCTGTGCATGCTGATTGCTAAGGAATGCTGATTTGGACTTCGTATTCGTCGTTCAGGGGTGCGGCCGCTGGGAGGGCTGTGATGGCTGTCGTACGACGCTGACCTTCCTTGGCATTGCACATCAAGGGGAAGCTTTCGACTGGTCAGATACAGATCTGCCACTCTTCCGACCAAACGGATTGCCAATGGATACCACATTAGACTGCACGGCACAATATTCCGACTTCTTCTTTCAACTGGATAGGCGCGCAATTCGGCGGCCCAAGTTTGTGCCACTATCTACTCGTCTTCGATCGTTTCCGAATGGATGTCCCCTCTAGCGACAACCATCTAATAACCTCCATCATCGCGAGTGCTGTCTATGATTGGAACGCGTCATCTTCAACCGCATGGAGCTGGTGTCTCGACTGGCTAGAGAGGCTATGAATTTACCAGCGCCGTCTGGTCTGCTATGCTGTGCTATCGCCCTCTCCTACTGTACTTGCCTACGAAACACTCTCCAAGATCTGCAGGAGATCACCACACAGCGTGTTGGACTCACTATGCGCTTCGTTCGAGGAACACCATGCCACACCATGTCACGCATGCGTCATCCATGGTAATCAGGGGACCGCCATACTATGTGTCTCTTAGGCCTTGACGATACCAGATCACCTGAACAGCAGTCAAGATGTCCGCTTCGGATCAGTTATTCTGCCTAATAAGTCGTGAAGATCTTCAACTGCCCCAGGGCACCCCCAGGACTTCACACTTGCAGGAGCCGACCCCGCACAACATCCACATGGAATGTTACAGTGCTCACTAACAATGTCGTATTGCAAGAGTCATGGCCAAGCCGCACAATGAAATGAGATGGCAAGTATAGGAAGGAAAGTATCCTTGATTCTTCATCTGCGTCTTGTCCGAACATAATCCTGCTCAGCGAACCCCAACCATAGACAGGTACTCCCTAAAAACGCCGATATCATGCAATATCTCAAGAGTGTCCTGCCAGCTTTGCTGCTTGCAGGCACTATCGTAGACGCCACCACTTACACTAGATCAGCTACAGTCAACAGCTCATTCGGCTACGATGCGACCTCCTTCTACCTCCATGGCGAGGCCTTCCAGATGCTTGGAGGCCAAATGGATCCTCAACGCATACCGCGGGAATATTGGTCTGATCGATTGCTCAAAGCCAAGGCGATGGGTCTGAACACCATTTTCTCTTATATCTACTGGAACGAGCTGGAAACGGCGCCTGGCCAGTGGGATTGGAACCGCATCAGTGGCATGAACGATATTGGTGCTTGGTATCAGGAGATACAAAACGCTGGATTACAAGCCGTCCTTCGGCCTGGCCCATACGTGTGCGGTGAAAGAGACTGGGGCGGGTTTCCGGCATGGTTGAGTCAGGTGCCTAACAGTACGTACATGTGAATTCCGGCATGTTGCAACTATCGGAAGCTCACAAGATCTGAAGTCACTGTAAGAACAAACAACCCACAATTCCTCATGTTATCTGAATACTATTTGGGCAATCTATCGCAACATGTCCAACAGTACCAAGTCACGAAAGGCGGGCCCATCCTGATGGCTCAAGTGGAGAACGAGTACGGAAGCTTCAGTAACGATCACGACTACACAGCTGCTCTCTCTGCCATCATAGCAAAGCATTTCGATATCGTACAGTACACCAACGACGGAGGTAGCACCCCACCGAATATCGTGAACGGTGCTGTTCCAGGCATCCTGGGTGAGATTGACGGCGATCCTTATGCTGGGTTCACGAACCTGGAGAAGTATGCTGAGAGTTCGAGTCGAGGCCCGAAATTGGATGGAGAGTATTATAGTGAGACGGCAATTGTATCGTAACATTCTTTGCATCGTACTGATCACGTCGCAGTAAATTGGCTCACAACCTGGGGCCCAAACGCGACATACCCATATGTGAGCGGCATCGGCTACAACGACAGTCAAAACATTGCCGGGCTAAAGTACATCCTCGACCAAGGTGGCAGCTTCTCGATCTACATGTTCCACGGCGGCACGAACTTCGCTTTCGGCAATGGTGGGCTCAATTTTGGTCAGCTGGAGCCAGTGACTTCGAGCTATGATTATGCTGCACCGCTTAATGAGAGTGGACGACCTAGGGATATCTACTGGCAACTCAGAGATTTCTTACTCCCATACCAGAATGGGAGCCTGCCTGAGTATCCGGAGACAAAACCGATGCTTGAGACGGAAGATATTGTGCTCAAACCCGTCGCTGGCATGTTCAACGATCTTCCACCCGCGACATTCTCTGGTTGGCCGCTGAGCATGGAGCAGCTCGGCCAAGGACGTGGATACACGCTCTACCGATACACTACGCCCTCGTCTCACACCGGACTACTCAAAGTTGGAGATGGACCACGAGACCGCGTGATCGTGTATGTCAACGACACCATGAAAGGCGTCATCGACAACGTCTATGTCTACCCGCAGAACATTTCACTCTCGCTACATGCGGGTGATGTCCTAAGCCTACTAGTAGAGAATCAAGGACGAGTAGACTTCTCCACACCCCTCTACGACCAACGGAAAGGTATTGTGGGCGATGTCTACATCGGCACGGCTATGTTGGCTCCATGGAGCATGTACGCCCTACCCATCCCCTCACCACCCGCCAACCTCAATTTCAGCCTCACGAACACCAGCCTGACAATCTCAAACACGAGCTCCCCAACCTGGTACACCGGCTCCTTCTCCCTCCCGTCCAGCATCTGCGGCACAGCAGCAGCAGATACCTACCTCACGATCAACGGTGGCACGAAAGGCGTGCTCTATGTCAACGGCTATAATCTTGGTCGATACTGGAGCGTGGGACCGCAGCAGAGCCAGTATGTTCCGGGGGTGTGGTTGAGGGAGAGCAATGAGATTGTTGTGTTGGAACTTGAGCCCAGGGGCAAGCAGGAGTTGGTTGCGAGGGGGAGTGGGGAGAGGGCGTGGTTTAATAGGGTAGATGTTGATTGTGTGGGTTGTGTTAGTGCTAATCCGAATTAATGGTTCGACAGCCTGGCACTCTTAACAGAGATCCTATACGCAGATGGGCCTTTCGATGCCAATGCAAATGTGGCGGTGCACTCTGCATGCGTGCTACATGCCTCAGGTGGGGCAAAATACGAAGCTCTGCATACATGTAGCCTTAGACACCTTCGTCCAGTACTGACACATCGCTACAATACTGCGCATCTCGGGGCTGCTGCTACGTTATGCGTCTCCTCAACACTACCACGCTGCAGTTCGCAGAGTATTACAATCAAGACACACCGGAGTATGCAATCCTATCACATCGCTGGCTAGACGGACAGGAAGTGTCGTACATTGACTATTGCCTGTGTGTGGACCAGGCGCAACACGGGGAGAAGCTGCCAGAGTATTTGCGCGACAAAGCGAACACCATCCGGTCGAGATCTGGCTTCACGAAGATTCTGGATTTTTGCAAAGCAGTTCGGCTGGCAGACCTCGAGTGGGGTTGGATTGACACATGCTGTATCGACAAGTCCAGTAGTGCTGAGCTGACGGAGGCGATCAATTCGATGTGGAGTTGGTATAAGGAATCTGTCCTTTGCCTCGTCTACTTCAATGATGTCGAGAGCGAGGCTTCGTATGCGGAGATTGGCAGCAGTGCCTGGTTCACAAGAGGATGGACTTTGCAGGAATTGCTCGCTCCGTCCAGACTGAACTTCTTCGATCGAGTCTGGAAACCATTGTACCGGCTAGAGAAAGCTACTTTTAAGGCGAAGAAACGTACTGCAACTATGTACTACATAATGGACGACCCAGACTGGGCCGAGTTTGGCCACATGCTTGCCCAAGCATCTCATGTCCCTGCTCGCTACGTTTGCGGCTATCAGAGCCTTGATAGTGCGTCGGCAGCAATGAAGCTCAGCTGGGCATCGTTTCGGCGTACCTCTCGAGTCGAGGATAGAGCGTATAGTCTCCTGGGACTGCTCGGTATTAACATGCCACTGCTGTATGGCGAGGGGCAGCAGGCATTCATTCGTCTCCAGAAAGAGTTCATTCAAACATACGACGACGAGTCAATACTTGCATGGCGCTCTCCGTGTCCCTCTCCAAATCTCTCTAGCCACTGCTTCAGCGGCGTTTTGGCCACGAATCTGGAATTCTTCCAAGCCTCTGGCGATATCGTTACGATCATGCAATATGGGAAGCCACCATGGCAAACGATCAACCAGCTCCTGCAGGTCGAGGCCGCCGTCTACGTGCAGAGCGCCAATGAGGCTCCAACCACGACAATACTGCTACCTCTAGCCTGCAAGCACAGCGACGAACGCGGCTGTCTTCACCTTGAGTTAACGGCAAGTAGCTCGGCGGGCGCTGGTGTCGGGCACTATATGCGCGTTTCTGCATGTAAGCTGATTGCTGCCGGTCCGCAGCGGAAGGTCACAGACGATCGTCGTCTCCTCCTTCACTTGAACGCGCGTTAGCACTGCTAGGCGATCTGCAAACCGGACGGTCTTGTCGGTCAGTATGGGACGGATCTAGATCCAGGCCATAAGGTTTCAGCTTTGCGGCTTGGTGTCTTGCTCAAGATTTGTCTGTTTCTGAGAAGTCCAAGTCCACATGACCTAGCACCTCAGCACCGCCAGGGCCCTTGACTTGTGCAATCAGGACGCCGCACTCGTGCCCTAATGCAATATCGGCATTGACACGAAGTCCGTACCCGCCGCGTCGCTTTTGAAACCTTTCCAGGATCTCCTCGGTGCTCGTAGTGAGAATGATCCGAGCATGACACTCAACGCCTGTAACTCAATCAGTATGATGCCCTGGTGGCGACGCAAGCTCATGAGAACTGACCCTCGCAATAAGCATAGTCTGGTTGGGTCAGTGCATGGGATATGAGCGCTATCGCGTGGGAGGCGGGCTTTTGGCCAGAAGCAACAATGGTCAGTGTGGTCGACACCACAGTATCGCTCTTGATGTCTTGACCCTGGAGTAACGTCATCTGCTGATTGCAGACCTCTTAGCGCAACATGACACAACGTACCTTCTCGATCTGCCACAGCAGTCTTTCTCGACAATACCACTGCTCAGCATACTCCTCCCAGAATCTGTGCTTCATTGGATCCTGGTCACGGCATGGTGCATTGACTATCCAGCCATAGTTGCGCTGCGCTTTTCGTGATACAGGACGCAGATCTGCCGTCGCCCGGACAATAGCGGCAGGCACAACCGAGATACGACTGTAGCGAATGATCAACAGCATATCCTGTAAAAGCAAGAGAAGTCACGATGCACTCACGGCGTCCGTGTCATCTGTACGCCGAGCGTACGGAGAAAGTCCCCCAGCCTATTCTCCACGTATGGCACGTCTAAGAAATCTCCATCACATACGAGCTACTAGAGTGTCAGCTATTGCCATGGTGCCCGACGGGGCTGCTGTTGGGCGCTCACCTTAACGTTCTCCCCCTCATATCTGTACTCAGACACTATACGAGCGAGTGCCCTTTCTAAATTCACTATTGCCTCATCCATGAATTGTCTCAAACATTTGCTAGTCGCTATCAGCGCATTGATCAGTTCAAGAGCTATCACGATGAAGAGACCCACTTGCTGACGAGCACACAGTCGCTCCGAATGTCGTAATAACCACGGTTGATGTCGTCGTGCGGGATATCAAGCGGCAAACAATGCACATATTTGGGATCAGCCTTGATGTCCCCAAGGAAGTAGAGCGATCTGAATTCCCTCATGAATTCGCTATGCGTTCCAAGCAGGAGAGGGTCGACGGAATCAAGGCTGGCTCCAAACGCCCAAGACAGCCACTCGCGGAAGTCTTGTTCGACTTTTGGCCACCCTCCCGAAATATCTTGCGGCGGTGCGTGCTCCTTGTAGCTGAATTTGGGGTTCGAGATGTCGTAGGCCCCAAGGTTATTGCTGCTGACCGTGCAGGAAAGCACGAGTACTGTATCGCCTTTGTGTATGAAGTCGTTCTGGAAAGCCCAGTGCAGACGTGGTGCTGCAACCGCCTCGACTCGAGCAAGAATAGTCACACTGCTCCGGAAGGATGATTTCCGGATGTTGTTCCTCACCCGAGCTCGATCGGAATCCGTCATTGTACACGGCACAGTGACGTAGAGCTCGACGTTATACTCCTCGAAGACACCGTCGCCACCGGCACGCCCGTACCTGGCATCTAGGAGTTGGCCGATTCTGTTGAAGTCTGCAACGCATTCTTCCAGCTGGATCAATCGTGGAGCCGCCGTAAGCTTCATCACATCGACCTGCTCTGACCACGCTTCCATGTAAACTCCAACTTCTAAAGCCGTATTGATCAGCTGGGGCCAGAAAGATGTAGGAGGGTGCAATGTGTACGAATCCACAGCTGAGAGACGAGGCTGTGCTTACCCAGGGTGTCAGAGTCACAAGCGACCATCATCTTCCTACTCAGTTCTCGCTGCCCTCCATACGCACCATATCGTACGCTCGACTCGGAAAGCTCCGTGTTGTATTGCGTAGTGCTTGCGCCTTTCTCACTTGTATGCGTATCGTCATTGCCAGATTGTCGATTGCTAGAAGCTAGAGAGCGTAGGTGTGGAAGATTTCTCTTTGATACACAAAAGTCGTGCACATTCATGCGGTTGCTAGACAAGATTTTGAGCTTACCGGCTCGTTCCACCGAACCTTTTTCAGCGAGTGGACTTCCGGAGCCGTCGAGATTGGTCGTAATCAGCTCCAAGACCTTTGTAGACCTCTGAGCAGCCTTACCGGTACTGCCCGGCACCTTGGAAATCAGTGCCTTGTGCGAGACAGCCTGAGGATCTAGGGGTATGGCGCCCGTGAGTTCACTAGTAGGGCTTGCTTTTGCCGTGTGCAGTGTGAAATCAGCTGGATCCGGTGCTATCGATCCAGATCCAGCTGGTTTGGTTGTTTCCGCTTGCACACGCTTATGTACTCCACCTTTTGCCGCTGCCGGATCTGCCAGAGTAGGGAGGGCAGAACTTCTTACGGCTGCTCCGTGCCTTGTCATCTGACCTATGGCTTGTTCATGACGACGAGATGGCCTAGGAGGGGTTTGTTGCGAGGTTGGGGCCAAGTACGTAGACGGTCCAGCTGATGAAGGAGGCGTAAAACTGTGGTCCTGCTGCCTCTCCGGGCCGCCACTCAATGCTGCTGAGGATGAGAGTCGTGGTGTGCCGTCTCTAGCAGAAATGGCCGTGTTTGCCGCAGGAACACCAGTCTGCGGCTCTAGCGTGAGTGTGCTCATTCGGAGAGCGTCTTCATTTTTAGCGTGGCTCGCTGCTGCTGCACAGTATGCGGCCTCACGAGACCCCCAATAGGCTGCCGTGATGTGCCCAGGGCTCTTATCTCCCAATGCGGACGCAGTCGTTGACTTATGGGGTGACGATACGGATCGTGCATATTGGTCCAGACTTGAGACAGAGGCGCCTCGTGCAGCGTCGCTAGAGACAGAGCCTCGAAATCCTTGCTCAACTGAAATGCGTCTGTTTGATAGCTCATACGGTGAGTCGCTGATGCAAATTTCACCACCTTCTTGGTGTTGTCCTACCCGACTCATTCTAGCTGACTTTCGCGTGAGTCGCTTGAACAGACTGTGCCAATGCTGTAGTAGGAAGTCCTTCTGGGTGCTTGGATGGGGTTCAGGTAAAGATATTCTGAAAAGACCAAAACTTGATCAGTAGAAGCGGTGGCTGATCTGCGCTGACACTCTAGTACTCGAAATGTCTAGTCCTTGATGGCTGAGGTGGTGTGAGGCAGCATAGCTGTGAAGCTTGGGCGAATAGCAGCCGAGCAAGACAGAGCGCAGTCGACTTGGCGCAGCCACCTCGCCACGATCATTTTTGTTGGTATGTGCACTCTAGTCTGCAACGAGTCGTCTAAAGTGCAAGCCGCCATGCACATATGGCGCTTCAGCCTGTGAAGGTATATACATTGCTGAGCCTCGTTAATCTTCCAAAGCTGTGCAATATCGTGCCTTCTTCAAATACAGAGAGTCACGTTCTGCAAACCACGCGAGACATAAACTAACAGCATATTCCACGATTTGCGAAACTCTGAAAGAGCGTAGGACTACGTCATCTGCAGCTCAATCGCATGGCACCAGCTTCGAACTTGCGAGCCTCGCATGCGCGCAGTCTTCATAAAGCCACACTCTGGCCGTGATTCAGAGCAATGAAAGAGGCCTTCACGTCTTTCACTTGTCGTTCTTCCAGCGACGTCACGAAGTCCACCCCATGAGCCTCACAAGCCCACTGAAGCTGTCCCAACGTCGCAAGTACTTCTACAGGCTCCGTCACGAAAGTGCCCCAATGAACAGCAATAGCGACGGGAGGACCATCTTCCTCATCTCGCACAGCTGATGAACTGGCATCTGAGTCTGCAGTCATGACATTGAGGACTCTCACAGCATCCCAGCTTGGCATATGATTATGCGCTGTCACGCCCTGAGCATGCCTCGGGATCGGATTGATAGAGTCCGGAACGGGTGCGAAGGACCGGAAGAAGTCGTACGTAGCTCCCACAGCTATCGGCAAGAATAGAAGGTGCGGTACTCCCAGCCGCTCGCGGATCTCCTTGAAAGCCGGGCAGACAGGATGCTTAGCCTGAGCAGAAGAATCATCATTGTCGACTTGAGAAGCAATTGTCTTAGCCAGCTGGGCTCGTTCGGCAGGTGACTTGGGTGGCTTGGGCGGCCAGCCGGGCGAGTCGTGGAATTGGTAGCCAGTGTCGCCGCCGAAGTAGACACGGTATGGCCGGTCATTTGTACTTGCAGAAGGATGTGTCAGATACCATGAGCACCATAGGGTCTCATTTGTGTCCAGACCACGGCCAGAGTTGTGCTGAGAGGGTGTGCAGGTGACTTCGATGGACTGTCCTTGTGCTTGATCGGGGCTTTGTAAAGGTGCGAATTGAGCGCGCTCCCACCAGTCAAGCTCAGTGACTCGATCTGCGTCGATGCCGCATTCGACGAACCACTTCTTGTTGCCCAGTGGCACTAGGAACCGTAAGGTCGCGCGATTATGCTTCCAGAATGTCATAATCGTGTCGTAGTCTAGATGATCGTAGTGGCTGTGACTGATCGTGACTACGTCAACTTCTGGCAAGTCCTCGACCGTGCAAGGAGGTGGGTAGGAACGTATCGGGCCAGCCACTTGTGATGGCGAACAACGCATCGAGAATATCGGATCGAACAGTATCCGGAAGGGTCGACTGCTACCAGCTAGAGGAGGTAACTGCAGCAGCGATCCAGCATGTCCTAACCATGTTGATTTGATCCTCTGCTTGGCAATATCATATGTAAAGTCTGGTGCCTCTACACGAAGTAGCGCATCAGCCTGCTGCTGGCGGGACAGTGGCTTGTCCCTGGCAGACTGCGATCCAGATGAGAGTCCTGTGGTTACTGGCACTTTGATGTGGCTCGCTGCTAGGTCTATACAAGGATCGGTGTCCTCACCCCATTCCAGTGATTGCCAGACTTCGAACTTCGTGGCTTTGTGCCAGCTTGGCCATGGGTTGCGGAAGCCTGTAATTTCATCTCTATGGTCTTCCTTCTTTGAGGTGAATGTGCGTTTCGAAAGACTAGACAGACTGCTTGTACTACTGCGTGAAGACCTCAGCTCTGTAGGCTCCTTGGCAGCGCGAGTGGGTCCTGGTGCCGGACTCCAAGACGGAAGGTACAATGACCAGCCCTTGGCGGGCTCGTTAGTGGCGAACACATGGTGATCGGGTGGTGTGGCGCTGTCGTTACGTCGGACTGTGATATCCAGCGTTTTAGACATGATGTCTCGACGTGTGCTGTGAGGATGCTGGCAGGTTAGAGGTGAGTTTCAAGTATCACGAGAGAAGCACGTTCTTGCCAACTACTTAGCCCTATGACGTTGCGTTTCTCGTGAGATGCATCGCTGGCCTCCTGATCACGTATCACTGATTTATGCAGGTATCAGGATCTATTGCTTCTGTCGACGTGCTTATCTTCAAGAGATGAGCATATGATGAGTTCGCACGGGAATGTCTTTGTTGCTTCAATAAATACACGTGCTCCTGCTAAAGCACATGACTTTGAGCCGGCAACTCCACACCCGGATTGGGACGGCTCGATGAACCCTGGATTATATTATTGAGTGAGATGAGACGAGACAACAAGACGAAACAGGAGATGGTTTCTGGTGAAGATATATGTAGCCATACATGCCAGTTATCGTCCTCCCGACTACATAAACGAACAAAGAAGACTCCCGTCTGATCTTCCCACAGCGTCCAGTACGAAATTCGCACCGTCCGCCGCAAAAGGCAACTCAGTTCGTGCCCAATATATTGGAAGCCCCACTTCCATACAAACCAGACCTGCGGCTGCATGTTCTCGACCTGCATTTGACAGCAGCACTGCCGATCACCCTGTCGTGTACATCAGTTTCTGCTCATCCATCTGATAGTCAGAAGGTATCTCAGCAGAAGACCAGGCAAGCACAGTAAATTGGTACTTCTACGCGCCAGTGAAGCGTTGGGTGGTGAGGGTTGATTGGCTGGACGGCATTTACTGCACGCGCTCGGAAGAGAGATTGGGCAGCCGACAGTGAACAATACACGCTGGCACATACAGCGAGGCGCAGTCAGTGATAGGCATCATCAAACGGACAGTACAAAGGGCATCATCGGGCACCGGAAACAGGACTCTTGATCTCACTGAGCATACGCCTCCGACGACCAGGCGTGCTACGGCCGCCTACAGACCAGCAACATGGGCGACAGCGACAAGTTCGGCGCTCGCTCGATGAAGCGCAAGAATGTCAAAGGACTGGCGTTGAGCAAGCCGCCGCCAGCAGCTGCACCCACACCCTCGGACTCAGATGCCATGCTCCCCGGCTCGATAGCCAATCCCGCCTCGAAACGAGACGACACCCTCGAGATCGGAGTAGAGTTTGCACCAGAGTGGCGAGCAGAAGATCTAGACGTGATTAAAGACCTCGGTGCAGGCAATGGCGGGTCAGTGAGTAAGGTACGGCATCGGCAGTTGAATATGGTGATGGCGAGGAAGATCATACATGTTGAGGCGAAGAAAGAGGTGCGGAAGAGAATAGTGAGGGAGCTGCAGATTATGCGGGAGTGCAATAGTCCGTATATTGTTAGCTTCTATGGTGCGTTTTTGAACGAAAGTGGAGATGTGGCTATGTGTATGGAGTATATGGATGTTGGGTAAGCAGCGTAGCGAAAATACGGTCAGAGCAGGCAACCTGACATCATGCGTACAGATCCTTGGACAGCATATCAAAAAACTTCGGCCCGGTACGAGTAGACGTACTCGGCAAGATTGCTGAGGCCGTCTTAGGCGGTCTGAAGTATCTCTACCTGGCCCACCGGATCATGCACCGCGACATCAAACCCTCTAACGTCTTGCTCAGCTCAAAGGGAGCGATCAAGCTATCAGACTTCGGCGTGAGCTCGGAATTGGAAAACAGTGTCGCGGACACCTTCGTGGGCACAGGCACATACATGGCTCCGGAGCGAATACAAGGGTCGCCATACACCGTGAAGAGTGACGTATGGTCTGTCGGATTGATGTTGATGGAGCTAGCCATTGCGAAATTTCCTTTCAGCATCGATAGTGATGATCCAGAGGAGGCGGCTGGACCACAGGGCATCCTGGACTTGTTGCAGCAGATTGTACTTGAGCCTTCGCCTAAGCTGCCGAAGAGTGATGCCTTCCCTAAGATCCTGGAGGATGTGATCGATAAGTGCTTGATGAAAGATCCGGCTTCGCGACCTACACCACAGGAACTCTTCGACACTGACCCTTTCCTGCAAGCTGCTAAGCGGACTCCTGTTGATCTGGAAGCCTGGGCTGTCAGCTTGATGGAGAAGCATAACCGCAAATCTCACCTCGCACCACAGCTCTCACCCAGCACTCGCGCTCTCCTCAATCGTGACGAACCAACTCCACGAACAGCAACCACGGCATACTCCTCCAGCCGCTCAGGAAGCGCCCAAGCCACACCCACGACCGGAGAAATGTACATCGGTAACGGCTCCGGTCTACCCACACCCGGAAGTGGTGTAGGAGGCACTATGGCGAGTGGTGGGTCACGACCAGCTTTCCCAACGAGGACGAGTAGTGCGCAGGCGGTGCAGACCTCCAATTATGGTCAGCAACCTATGCAGTTACCTCTGAGGCAAGGGCCGCCTAGAGGAGGTCCTGCGACGGGAAGGCCGGATACGGCGGGTAGTGATCGTAGTGAAGAGAGTTTTAGACGGGCGCCTAGGCCTGGGTATGTGCAGTAATGTGTCCTGCTGGGGGTAGCCGCGAGGCGTACGCATGATATGCATGACCTTGGAAGCACCGGGCACGAAAGGTGGAAATACAAGAAACTTGTGTCACGGAGACTACGCCTAAAACATGGCGTCTCCAGTTCTAACTCTGCTTGTGCCAGTCCTTGCGTCGTGGTCTTCAGTAGTATCGTGTGGAGAAGGTCGGCACGAGCAGCGCAGCGAGCAAAGGATGTCCACCACTACATTTCTTGGACCTCACTGGTACTGTGCTAGATAGAGCATGAACACCAAGGTGATCTACCACTATCATATGGACGAGCATTTGATCTAGTTGATGCATGGCGATATGGCGTCAGGGAATTGGGGACTGCCTGAGTCCGAGCATGTGTGACCTGGCCGCCATGGGTACAGGTGGCCTGTACACTGACACCTCGGCGTTGTATCCCCATAGGTAGCCAGAGTATGCAGAACTTCACAACACACGGTATGCACGTGAGGTCTTGACACAAAGGATGTAGTTTCATGTGGAGCCGTAAAGCAAGCATCTCCGTCCTACTCGAGACCACATGATCCTGTCTCTCACACGTCCACAACCCCGCCTTCGCGATCGTCGGTATAGACGCAGTCGTTGTGCTGGTAAGTTGGCACCACCAGCGAGGTATCGTGGAGTCATGATGTGGTACAAGAGGGTCATACGCCGCTTTCGAGGGGGTGCAAGAGCTCGATTTCACCACGCCATTATCCCTGCTTGCATTCATCTACCTCAAACTTCTATAGGCCAAGCCATGGCTTGCGGTCTTTTCTTCCTCACAGCTGCCTGATGTAGCTACTACCTTTATTTCCTCCGGCTATCCCCGTTCCTTAGCGCGGTTAGATGTCGCATCTCACTACTGCACCTCAGCTTCACCGCCGTCGTGCTTCATTCGTGCGAAGCTGTTTGTTTTTGCCGCTCGCTCTAGTCAGCTGTTGCATTCCTTCTGCGACGATCGCGGGTAATAATCAAAGAGGAGTTGTTTTGTGAGGGTGTTTTGCCTTCTGCTTCGAGCGTTGCAGAGGTGTGGTGTGAAAGTGCGGTGGTTGGCCGTCAACGGTCGCGCTCGCGCCGTCGGCTTCGTCCAAGACAAACTCACCACCACCACCACCACCACGACGTCTATGCTGGCTACAACACCGGAGAACTTGAGTCAGGCTGGTCGAGACGATGGTCCAAGTCTCTGTGCTCGAACACAGCCAGGGCATTCCTTTGGTGGCTGTTGCTGTAGCTCAGGCCGCCATCTCTTCACGCTAAGAGACAGCTTACCGCAGATGCAGACCATCGTCCCGCGACTGCAGTTGCTGGCACATCACAAGTGTCATAATCAGGCAAATCAGACGACGGTACGCTTTCACCTGCCCGAAGCTCGAGCTGTACCTGGGCAAGATGACTGCCGGAAGCGAATCTTGCTGTCCTTGTCACCGAAGGACTCGAGCCGCCGGCACAGCAACCGTTGAACACCATTTCGAAGTCAAAAAGCCCAAGAATGCAACGCACGAGCACTCTACTGGCACTTCACTACGTGGCTTGTGAACGGCGTCTGTGTTCTTGCAACCAGATCGCAATCTGCCCTCGCCACTTACCGAGACCCTCAGCCCTATGTCTTTGTTTGAGCAGCCACAAAGTGCGCCATTCATTCACTCGGCCGGACTACCGATTGCGTCAACAGGCCTTTTAGCCACCCGTTCGGCGTGCGTGATCTACACGCCATCCATCCCAGTACTGGTAGGAGCGACAACCCTAGTTGGAATAGCTGTCAGCGCCATGTTGCTCATCTCATGTGCACTACCTTCCTGGCGCCGTTGGCGCACCTACCCATAGCGAGTGCGCTTTGGCTAGCCGGCGAGGAGCTTCCCACCTCGTGCATTTACTTAGCACCTCCTCTCCCACCGAACATCTTACCTGCTTCTGAGTAGCTGCTGGCGTTTTAAGACAACTTGAATGCTGGGATCGTTGCTAGCTTCGTCATGGCAGGAAGAAGTGCTTCACATCTTTCGAAGTGGCACATGATGAGGCCGGTCACGAGGATAAGTACAGAGCTATGCCGCGTGAAACCGTATCCTTCTTCTTCATAACATATCAAGTGTTTCATTGTTGACTACTGGCGCTTACAACATCTCCAACATTCCTCGTCGTCAACCCAATATATCCAAAGAATCAACATCAGTAACCCAACCTATCACTTGTGGGCCACTCTTCCACCATCGCTAGCATGTTCTCCAACCGGATCGTCGACACTCTGGCATTGGGCCTGGTGCTCTGCCAGACCATTCTCGCGGCCTCGTCAGCGGACTGGCGCAGCAGGACCATCTACCAAGTGCTTACCGACCGTTTCGCCCGCTCCGACGGCAGCACTACAGCATCATGCCAAACTGCCGATCGAGCCTACTGCGGTGGAACCTGGAGAGGCATTCAAAACCATCTCGACTACATCCAAGGCATGGGCTTCGACGCCGTATGGATCTCACCCATCACCGCACAACTCCAAGGTCAAACCCCGGACGGCTCTTCTTACCACGGCTACTGGCAGCAGGATATCTACGCTCTCAACTCGGCATTCGGCACAGCGGACGATTTGAAGAGCCTCTCTGCTGCTCTGCATGCGCGTGGGATGGTAAGCCGAGGTGGCATGTGTATTGGCATCACGAGTTCGATCAGCTGACTTTTCTCCATTTGTAGTATCTAATGGTTGACGTTGTTGTGAACCACAATGCGTACTGGGGCTCTCCGTCGAGCATCGACTATTCGAAATTCACTCCTTTCAACGATGAGAAATACTACCATCCGTACTGCGCTATCAACTACAGCGACGAGAACAATGCTGTAAGTGTCTATCCATGATCTTCTGCAAGGGTACAGACCGCTGACTTGAGTACAGGTAAACATGGAGCAATGCTGGGAGGGTGATACTACTGTACCACTGCCAGATCTTCGCACCGAGGACACCTATGTGGCGAATACTTGGAACTCGTGGATCTCCAACCTCGTCAAGGATTATGGCATTGACGGTCTACGCATGGACTCCGCCATCGAAGTCGACCCTCAGTTCTGGGCAGGGTGGCAGAATGCAGCTGGCGTCTACGTGGTCGGCGAGACTTATGAGGCGGATGCAAACTACGTTTGCGGCTTCCAAAAGGTCATTGATGGTGTGCTCAACTACCCAACGTAAGTTGTGCAGTATTGATGGTGCTCAAGATTATGCTTGCTAACATCGTACCCAGCTACTTTCCACTCGTCCAGGCGTTCCAAAGCACTTCCGGCTCTATCTCCAATTTGGCGAACATGATCAACAATGTCAAGAGCGACTGTCAAGACACCAGTCTCATCGGCACTTTCAGCGAAAACCATGACCAGCCTCGCTTCGCATCATTGACCGGCGACATGTCTCTGGCTCGCAACGTGGTTGCCTTCACTGTCCTCGCAGACGGCATCCCAATCATCTACGAAGGACAGGAGCAGCACTACAACGCGCTAGGCGGAAGCAGCGACCCATACAATCGTGAAGCTGTTTGGTATTCCAACTACAACACCCAGGCGCCACTGTACGAGCTTATCGCCACACTCAACAAGGCCCGCAAGCATGCCATCAGCGATGATGGTGGATACCTGGCGTACATGAACTATCCTATCTACACCGACACCACGACAATCGCTATGCGCAAGGGCAAGATGGTCACTGTACTTTCGAACAAGGGAGCCAATGGCGCTGCATACTCGCAAACTATCGCTTCGGGGTATGCTGGCAACACCGGCCTGACTGAGCTTCTCACGTGCTCGACCCTTACCGCAGACGGCAGTGGTAAGATCACTGTCCCGATGGCGAATGGACAGCCAAGAATCTACTACCCGACTGCATCACTCTCCGGCAGCGGGCTGTGTGGAGGTGGTAGCAGCGGAAGCACCAGCAGCGGAAGCACCAGCAGCGGAAGCACCAGCAGCGGAAGCACCAGCAGCGGCACGACCAGCAGCAGCGGGAGCAGCACTACTACTAGCAGCAGTAGCAGTACTACTAGCAGCAGCAGCAGCAACAATGGTCGCGGTCAGGGAAGCCGAGCAGCGGGTCGGCCTTTCAAAGCATAGACTCTGCATGGGTTTCAAGCTGCTGCTCAGGATACGATAATGAGAAATGAGGTATGACATTACGACGCTGTACTTGGATAGAATCATAGAGGGATGTAAATATTGCAGATCAGTATACTTATGCTGTCATAGTTGGCTCGCCTCCAAGCAATTCAAATATTGTCGCTGCGACCATACTTACGTTATCTCCACTCATTGCAATTGATACCTTTCTGCATCAAGGTGGTTACCGCAGGCTAGAAGAAAAGGGAACCTGCCGATTGTGCTACCTCACACTTATACTCGTAGCCCTTACTACGTAGAATTCGTCCACCATCACTCAATTTACCACCACTTACGTTATTCTTGTCGGGAAACTGGTAGTATTGCTTTTGGGACCCCTGGATTACATATATGGTGCCGGTAATTCTAGTGCGTCCAGTATCGTTCCAAAGGCTTCACTGGTAATCCTGTCGCGTGTTACATTCGCCCCTCCGATGTTCCCTAATTTGAGAGAGACATACTAATGCCGCATGTCAGTTTTGCGGTCAATTTATCAGGCAAGCACCGGCTTACATCAAGAGCACCCTCCCACTGTCTAGTTTGGGCGGCTAAAGGACGTACGGAGGAAGTGGGTCGGATTACCAGGCCCTTGCCGGTGATAGCATCTAGCAGTGAGACAGTATACTGAGAGTTCTGTTGAGATACATCCCGAAATTAGCATGACATGGTCTTCTGGGAAGAAAGCGATCATCAAGATGTCTGTAGGTGGGCTTTCTGAGAAGACGTTGCGTTCTCGCCTGCGAGAGAATTGGAGTCAGTCGAGATTGAAGTTTTCGGCTTCCGGACGCGGACGGCGGGTTATGAATGAATGAGCAGGACTTCCCACTCACTGTTCAAGGACTGGCCGGTCGGAATCACGTTGTTGAGATCTTTGAAGGGTGTTGAAGATTCCGCTAATGCCCTCGATCAACTCTGGCAGAGCGACATTTGCATTCCCAGACGAGATCCTTCCTACGAGCACGGTGCTCGCCGAGATCTGCGAGTCAACTTTGTTGAAAGAAGATATAACACGGGAGATCGGGCTGGAGTCGGATGATGCTATGATCGGCTTCTGGTCGACAACCGCGGCGGTCGATGTCGCTGCTAGAAGCGAAGCTCCTGCTAGGAAGCCGGAGGAAATGCGTAGCGAGACGATTTGAATGCTTCGTGGCAATGGAAACACTTAGTATGGCGGAAGGTTCGTGCGAAGCTAGCGATAGAGAGAAGGAGAGAAAGAGACAGCAATCGCTGGACGGAAATCTCGACCTTCTGTACTTGCGCTCGTTCGTGGGACATGGCCTCAGGATGGCGGATGTTTAGTCTTGTCTTCGCGTACGAAATCACGCTGAACAGCTTGCTGATCGCGCCGTTGCTCGATCGAGACGCCAGCATGAAGCGGTTCCTGTGGAGTAGATCAGGATCCAGTCTGCTTAAGTTTTCGAGGACATAGAGGAGATGATCGACGGGTCGCATGATTGGTGCAGTATTGAAAACGTTCCTGTATCCGATCAACGCGACCAGTATGGGAAGCAGGTCTATGGAGCTCTCCGCCAGAAAGGTCTAAGACGCAAGAGCTGCATGCAGAAGCGTCGACGCCAGGACCAGTAACCGAGTTGCCCAAGACACGTTTTTCCACTCCACTCCACTGCTAGAAGGATCAGAGCGGTATGGTGGTTTTGAGCCCGTAAGGATTCCTCCGGCTTCACGACTAGCTGGTATCTTGATCCGTCCTTGCACGTGTGAGGTCAAGCCCATCGGAGCGGAGACAATCGAACAGAGGTACAACCTAGTCACACCAAGAATGCTCCAGGTTCACACTTCAGACGAAGTGGCTACGGCGGAGTACCCAATACCAAGTATCCGTACCCTCAACATCTATACACAAACACCCCCCCTCCTCCTCCTCCTCCTCCTCCTCCTCCTCCTCCTCTTCCTTTCGTACCAAAAGAATAGTGATACCGGCAATTCCCTCCGCAGCCCCTCCCCACTGCAAACGAACAACCACGACCAGTCTGCCCGCCTCGCTGCACCAATCCCATCCACATATCTCATCCGGCATGACATGCCTAGATCTCAATCCCATCATCAATCCCCAAATCCAACCCCCCAATAACCTCATCATCCAACTCCTTCTTCCGGATCGCCCCAAGCGCAAGCGCACTCCTCTCCTTCTTCAACCCCTGTACCACCACCCCCCCCACCACCACCACCACCACCACTCCCCAAAGTTCCCGCACTAGGCGTCCCAGCCCTCGACCTCTTAGGCGTCGAGCCCTGCGGCACCGGCGTCACGGAACGACTAACATCGCTATCCCCAAAAAGATCACTCATCTCCTCCTTCCCAGGCACCGAAAGCAATTTCTTCGCCGCCGTCGCGGCCTCAGCCTCCTGCTTCGCCAACTCCGCCGTGATCTTTGCTTTGGCTTCCGCGGCCGCGGTTCCACGGGAGAGAGCGAGTTTCCTCTTCTCTTCCAGGAGCGCTTTGCGGATCTCCTGGACGTTCTTGCCGCGGTTTTTCATATTGAGTTTTGCTAGGTGCTCTTGGGCTGAGTTGATATTGGTCGGGGGTTTCTTTGCCGGGCTGGCTTTGATTCCCGCTCCGTTGACGGCGTGGTTGTTGGTGGTGGAGGAGTTTTGGGCGTTGTTTTCCAGCGCTGCGAGTTCGGCGTCACAGCGTACGACTTCGTCTGCGTCCCCTGATTCCTCGGCTTCAAGTTTGCGTTTGTGGATCTTCTCTCTCTTCACTCTCGCCTGATTAGCCGGATCGAATTTCTTCTCCATCGTCCGCTGATTAGCCAATTTCTTTCCGATCATTTCATCTGTCCAGTTGATGTTCAGAAGACCATGGATAGCATCTAGACGCGCTTCGAGGTACTTCCTACTAGGAACCCGGACGTTCTCTTTCTTCAGAGTAGCCATGTAGCGGTCGAATTCCTGGTCGGTGATTCTGCCATCGCTGCAGGCGGAAAAGGGCCAGGGCCGTTCGGCGGCGCCTTGGGCTACGACGGCGTAGTTGTCGGTTTGGAAGCGTTTGCCGGTGCTGTGCTCGAGTTGGTAGGGTTTGCCCTCCGTGAAGCCTAGATGATTGTCAGTATTCGTACAGACTTAAGATTTGGCATGTTCCACTCACGCTTGATCTGCGCCATGCGGTACATGTTCTGCCCGGTATGCCTGTCCGGCCCGATACTGACTCGTGCGAAACAACCCACGATCGCATCCTCGAAACCGGGATAGAAGCACATCTTCGCGAAACCAGTGCGTCCAACACGACATCGGTCAAAGTCCCGCAGCTCTGCTCTCACTTCCTCGCGGTCACGATCACGATCATGGCCTCGCCGGTCGGAAGATGGCTCCGCCCACTCAACCTCAGACTCCCCATCAGCATCACGATCCGAACCAGCCGCAGAAGGCGACCGCTCATCTCTCCGTCCCCTCCCAGCTTCCTGTCGTCCACGATCAGTACCCTTCAATTCACGCGCCCGCTTGTAGTCATCAAGCGCAGTATGCGTTTTCTCAGCCTTCGGTCTCGTCCTCCTCCCGCCATCATCAAGCTCGGCAGCAGCAGCTTTTCGCTTATTCTTGTTCGCCGTTTGTGCGGCCGCAAGAGCTCTCTTCAGTTGCAAATCTTGGGTTCGCTTCAGCTGCTCAGCGGCGCGTTCGGCGAGGATGCTTTCGCGTTCGAGTTCGGGGAGAGCGAGAATGTCTTCGCGGTCTTGGGCGGAGCGGTACTTGTTGTCGAGGGGGTAGAGGGGTGTTTCTTCGTCTTCGGGTGAGCCTGGGGCGTCGATTTCGCCGTCGGAGTCGTGCATACCACCGGAGCCGAGAGATGCTTCGGGTGAGGGTGAGCTGTGGTTGAGAGTGTTAGCCATGATGGAGGGTTGGAGTAGTTGGATGTGTGCGAAAAGCATTTGAGTAAGTGTAGTGACGTTGGCGCTAGGCAGCTACCACGCATCACCCCCGGCTAGTGAAGGCGAAAGAAGTGAATGAAGCAAGCAAGCACTCACTCTCCACCCAAATCATCCTCATCCTCACTCTCCTGCTTCCGTGCCTTCTTCCTCCTACCCTTCACTTTCTGCGCCACACCTTTCGTTCGTCTGGCAGGCTCCTCGGCTTTTTCCACCGTCTCTCGCGCTTCAGGAGTCGGGCTTCGAGCCTCGACGAAGGCTTGCGTCTGGTCGGCCTCCTCTCCTTCGTCGTCCGACTCCCCTCCGACCATGCCCAGGAGTTCGGCATCGAGGTCTTCGGCCGACATTGGGATGAGTGGGAAGAAGTGTGCTATACTTCAAGCCTCTCGTTGTTTGTGTTGGGTGGTCTGGACTATTGCTCAGGAGATTTGTCGTCTGCTCTTCTTCTCCGTCTCGGATAGTTGCGTGAAGTGTGCTTGAATATCGTCTCATCCATGAAGTGACATTAACGCGTAGTCGACACCCTGCCCCAAGAATCCACCATTGCGCGTCGAGTAGCGCAAACTCTATATCAGCAAATCACAGCGAGGTAGACTAGTGACATGTGATGACGCTCGAGACCCGACGACTTCAAAAGTGTTTCGTTCGAGTCCTCCCGATGAGTCCACCATAACATACAGCAGCCATGTCGCCATCTTTACCACTACGGACACGCCTCTCCCCTTTAGCGTTCCAACTCGCTACCCGCCGCCATGTCACCCCTCACCCCCGAACCATCGTCTCCTCCGCCGCCTCATCAGCAACCGAACCCGAACCCGCCAGCCTCCACACCCCCCAACCCACCCGCCGCAAACCTCTCTCAGCAGAACAGAAACGCTTCCTCGACTCCGCCCTCCGCGTCAACCAAGCCGGCGAACTAGCCGCAACCCTGATCTACACCGCCCAAACCCCGCCCCTCAATAAATCCCACCCGCATCTCCGTCCCCTAATGAAACACATGTACGACCAAGAAGCCGGGCACTTCACCTACTTCAACCATATTTTGGCTAAACACCGCATCCGTCCCACACTCATGTACCCTTTCTGGCATGTCGCGGCTACAGGGTTAGGATGGGTGACGGGTGCCATGGGCCGGGAGGCCGCGATGGCGTGTACGGAGGCCGTGGAGACGGAGATTGGAGGGCATTATAATGGGCAGGTTAAGGTGCTTTTGGCGTGGGTGGAGGGGATGGAGCGGAGGGGGGAGGAAATTGGAGAGGAGTTGCAGGGGCTTATCAAGGAGATTCGCAGGATTCGGGATGAGGAGTTGGAGCATTTGGATCATGCGGTCGAGAATGATGCGAAGGAGGCGAAGCCGTATGAGTTGTTGACGGGGGTGATTCGGGCGGGGTGTAGGGGGGCGATTTGGGTTAGTGAGAAGGTGTGATGGGATGGCTTGAGGAATTCATGTTCTCTCCTTTATCCATCAGGAGATGGTAGAGGAGATTCTGCCATCGGCGGGTTTCTAACCAAATACGAATACATGCTGCACCTGCTTTGCGGCACATGCACGACTCCGCGAGTGAGAGGACGGTGTGCAGGATAGCACAGCACAGCACAGCAATTGAGGTCCTCAGTGCGATGCTGTGAGACATGCACGTGTACGGCCAGCTTCGACTGATGAGATAGGCGACGGGGCGACTTTCGGAGGCCACGTGAAATCGCTTCAATCAGTCCTTTGGCCAGACGTGATGGCTTTCTACATGGTAGATGATCGCGGTATCCACCTGCATGGCGGCGACGCACTAGGAGGCATCGATCGGCTGGTTTGCGATTTATTCCGAGGCCCGCCGATAGCTATCGAAGACGAATGTGGAGACGGGGGCATGCGGTGCCAGCCAGAGGGAGATGGACGTTTCAATGAGCTGCAGGCCTAATAGCAGCATACGCCTTCCTGGGAGTTAAGTCCGTCAGGTCATGCTAGCTGTAGTGGAGAGATTCGCCACGAGGAGGATCGCTGTCTTGGAAAGGGGTTTCTGTGTGAGAGGGTGATTGCCGCCGTCGCATCAACGACATGTGAAGTACTTAGGTAGGTGTATGATGAAAGATTTGTGCTTGCCCGCCTTCGATGTGCAAGATTCTCGGACTTCATTCTTCGTATTCCTGTGCTCTGATGCTGTATTCCGTGTCGGCGCATAGTGCTCGAATGGCAGCTAAGTATACTATCAGCTTAGATCGTTTTGAGGTGAATGCAACATCCAAGATTCCGCTGGACAAGAGGGGCAAGAGCGAGACAAAGCACGGGTGTTGCTTTTGCTTTCCATCTTTGCTTACCACACAACAGCGTCCTTCCTTCCTGCTTCCTGTCGGACTTCTGCACCTCGCGACAACTATAAAACTATAATACTACCGAAGGACTAGGTTGCAACAAACACCTTGTTCATGATGAATACACGCAAGAGATCACGAGCAATGGCAGACCAAGCAACCCCTGAACTGGATGCTGCTGCAAACAAAATCGCCACCACTCCTCCGATTACAAACAAGAGAGCAAGACGTATAACCCGTCCTACTCTGGACCTGGTACACCATATCCTTCCTCTACCAAACCGTTGTGCTATTGGCCGTGACTAATGGAATGACGTCCAGGCAAACACAAGCCATCGCACTTCTATTGCTGCAAACGGCGCCACACAACCCGCACGCTCGCCACCGAGAATCAGGATCAAAAGATCTATTGCCATGCCTGAACCCTTCACCCACGAGCTGGAAGGCATCTCTCCTAAGACTATCACAAGCGGTGTCGGCTTTCCTACCACGATAATGGATGGGTTTGTGGAGCAGAGTCCTGAGCAGGAACCGATGATCATGAGTTCGGATGAGATGGTGCCGTCGTCATCATCATCATCACCTCCGCAGGACTCACCACTCGATATCTCGCCTTTGGATGGCGATAGCCCGGTCTCAGTCTCACCTCCCGGCAACAACTACTCATCCACCAATGCGACCGCTGCACCACAAGCTTCACTCCATCCCCATCCAGCACCCCGACCCCGACCCCAACCCCCGAAACCCTCACTAACCCGCCCGATCTTCCGCACCGCCCAAGGCGTGGAAAGCACAAAAGACCTCAAGACCGATTTCGCAGACATGGGCATGAGTAAGAAGAAAGTCGGCGAAGTGGCTGGGATCAAGGAGTCGCGGATGCCAGACGGGAAGACGATTCACAAACGGGCTTCACCTTCGGGCGCTGCGGAGGGAGGAGGGAGGGAGAAGAGGGTGAAGAGGGATTCTGCTGTCAAGGGGAAGGAGAAGGGGGGTAAGGTGGAGGGGGAGTATGAGGGGTTGAGGGTTGGTGGGGATCCGAGTAAGTCTCCCTCACTTCTCAAATGTCTGAGCAACGAGCTGACCATGCGGACGAATCAACAGATTGGATCCTCTTCGACCCCCACCCCACCAACTCCCACAACTCCCCCTCCCCCTTTCCCCCCTTCCACACGACCAACAACAACGCCACACCCAACTTCCGCGACCCTCCCCGCTGTTTCGCCCAGTTCGAAACTTATAAACTGGGGAATAAACGGATTCTGGAATATAATCTTGTGACGCACAGTGTGCGCTTGAAGAGCACGCCAGAAGTGCTGGAGGGGAAGGAGGTGTTGTATTCGGGTTCGGGACCGAAGATCGTGAATGTCATGGATTTGGGTCCGAAGAGGGGGTTGGGAAGGAGAGGGGGGAGGGGGAGTAAGGGGGCAGTGAGTCAGGTCGAGGTTGAGAAGGTCAGGGAGGAGGATGAGGATATGGTTGTGCACGTAGGCAAGCAGGGAGAGGGAGAAGAAGATGACTTGTATACATAGATCTGCGCTGCTTCTGCTCGCGGTCAGCTGCTGGACTGCCGGGCTTAGCATAACATTCACGAGTGACGCCAAGGGAGTACCGTCGGGTATTTTAAAACTCTTCATCTATAGTCATCGTCATGGCCGTCTCCATGGTCTTCATGCTCTCCATCCTCTTCGTCTTCATGACCATCATCAACATCATTACCATCATCATCTTCATCGTCTCCTTCTTCTCCCAATCCACGCACCACCTCCTCCATCTCCACCCCCTCCCGCCAACGAATCTGCTCCTCATCATCATAAACCCCCAGCCTCCTTACCCCGTCAATCAAATCCCGCTCATCATTCAATCCCACCGCTCCGGAATGAATCAACTGCCTCTCAAGCCGACTAACCATCCCCTCACCACCCATATACCGCTCACTGGCCCCACCATCCCACAACCCATTCCTCGCACAAAACCCCAAAAAAGCCCCCCAACACTCATCCTTGCCCAACACCCGGGGACTCCCAATCACAACCAACCCTTCCCTCGCCCTCGTAACCGCAACATTAAACCTCCTAGCCTCCCCCACAACCCCCAACCCCTTGAGCCGATCCTGTTCCAGAAATCTCTCCCGAGTACGAGTAGTGCAAAGAATTAGCAACGAGCTCTCCAACCCCTGGAAAGCTTCCAAGGGGCCGATACTCACGTCCCTGAGCCCGAACTCCGGCGTCCGTGCTAATCGACGGAGAAGGTTGACTTGGGCGCGGAAGGGGGACATGATGCAGATATCCGCTTTCTCTATCAACCCCTGTTGGAGGAAGGATAAGGCGGTGGAAAGCGCGAGGCGAGCTTCAGAGACGTTATACCAGCCGCCGTTATCCTGTTCCATTTCGTCTTTTCCGCTGTGGGAGAGGAAAAGGACGGGCCATTTACGTCCCCGCCAGCCGGTCCAGGAGGTTAGGGTGGAGGTGGGTAGGGCGCAGGGGTCTAGGGTATCGGCGTAGAAGAGCGAGGAGGGTGTGGCGAGGATGGAAGGGTGGGAGCGGTAGTTCCGGATGAGGTTTGCGAAGGGGGCGCGGGGGATGGGGAGGAGGGATTTGGTGAGGCGGGGCATTATGCCGTTGTTTTGTTTTGAGCGGGTCAGGGGGTGCGCGGCGTAGGGCGTTAGGGCGAGGAGGCGTTCGAAGAGGGAGGTTTGGAGGGTGTGGGTTTTGGAGGCCGTGCGTGGGCCGAGTTGGTTGTGGTCGCCGGCCATGATTACGGAGGGGAGGTGTTGCTCCTTGGTGGGTTTGTAGTTGTAAGGTGGTGTTACTACGAGGAGGGGGATACATGCTTCGGGCTCGATGGCCTGTGCGGCTTCGTCGATGAGTAGACTGGTCCAGTGGAGTGTTTGCTGTGGTATTGAGTTCTCAGGGTGGAGCGCAGAGAGTAGACCATGTTCGAGGCTGTGCAGATCTGCATTGCTCAGTCGAGCTCTGAGTAGGATCTCCGCATCTCTGCATGTGGTGACGACGATCTTGTAACGCATAAGTTGAGGTGGTGGAGGAAGCGAGAATATGTCATCGTCAATATAGCAGAATGGCAGGATCGCTGTTGGTACTTCCGGGAAGCTTCGCGAAGGCGGGTTCAATCTTAGCAGTTGTTTTGGCTCTAGAGACTGTCTTAGCCTTCGGGTCAGTGTGTCTGCCGCAGGATCCGACGGAGCGCAGACTAGGAGATGAGCATCCTTCCTCTCGACAAGCTGTAGCGCAACTTCAACCATAGTCTTCGTCTTTCCCGTCCCAGGCGGGCCTGAAATTATGTAAGGAAGTGCACCATAATTCCTCGCCAGCGCCGTGTCCACCGCGCGGATCTGTTCGTAGTTGAGCAGCTTGTCGTGCATCGTCCAGTCGATCGTGGCCTTGTTCAGCGTCTTCTGCATGACGCCGTCCTCGGACGCAGGAAAGAGCATGCTACGTAGCCAGTCCTGATTAGGCATGGCATGATGAACATTGGCGACTGCACGATATAAAGCGCCAAGACGACCTTGCTGGACGGTGAAGCAGACATTGAACTTCATACTCTGTCGTACCAGGGTGTCGATCCTCAACACGAGTCTTTCATGGAGTCGGTCGATTGCCCAGACGACAGCGTTGTTTTGCTGCTCGACATAGTGAGGAATTGTGACTGGACCTTCGGCGTTGTATGTCAGGAGCGGCGCTTCAAGAATCTCGCCACGTAGACCAAAGTGGATCTGACGGAGCTGCACGATATCTCCAATCTCTACCTGGAGGCTCAACTCTCGTAGGCCAGGGACACGGAGCCAGTACATTGATGGTCGAGGGTCTCGCTCGGCGAGCTGTAGTGGGACATTGTAGAGTGCATGCTCGATACACTCTTGCTGAAGCGCTTGTGCTTCTGTTGATAGTGCATTTCTGAAGACGGTATGATAGTTGGTCGGGCCGAGATCCTGTATGCCTCCGACAGGCTGAATCTCTGCAATCTCAGGAGTCAATGGATCAGCTGTCAGGAAAGCGGATCCTGCGAAAGAATGAACGTATTGTTGGAAATCTATCCATCGAGCTGGTAGAGAGTGTAGTTGCTGAGCAGGCCGATCATTTATGCTTTGTAAGATTTGTGGTATGTATGTTCGAGCGTATATATCGAGCGTGGTTGCTTTGCCTGTAGCCATGTTGATGGGTGTATTCTCGTCAGTGTCGAGCAAACAGCAATAGTGGCGATATATGTCTGATGAGCATCATCATACTGGCTGCTACTTGTAGTGAGGACATCAGTTTTAGCAGGTAGGCAATGGAAGTGAGTGTATTGTCTTGAAGAGATTGTTTGATGAATGGAAAGAGATGGTAGAGCTACGAAGCCTGATGAAGCCTGATGCTGCGGCGAAGCCCAGTGCGGCCTCACGAGTATATGCGCACGTGAAGCTTCTTGTTCCGATTCATACCCATCGCATTATTCGAGAGAGCGAAGTATACAGTCCTTGGCAAGCAAAAGCAGAGGTGGTGAAGTATTAATCAATCTGGGTCAATCTAGCTTTTGTCTCGGCCAAAGTGGCTGGTCGTCTGGCGGGAATCCACCACTGGCGCAGCGTGAACAGTGCGCCGATGCCGCTTCGAGTCAGTCACAAGAGCTTCAAAAAATATTGCTTGCTCGAGCTCCAAAACGACAACAAATCCCCAAATCATCTCCTCTCCACTTACACACCCACCCACAATGGCTTCAGCACGATCCAGCAGAGCTCTCCGCCTCGCATTGAAGCAGGCAGCCACACCGCGCGTGCAGCAAAGGACCTTCGTGTCAGCTGTCCAAGCCGCGAGCAGAACCGCAGCAACCAAACCCGCCGCCGTCTCCTCCCTCGTGCAGCAGACACGTGGTGTGAAGACTGTCGACTTCGCCGGCGACAAGGAGAAGGTGTACGGTATGCTTTTCCCCCGGAACATGAATCCATCGCAATCACATCACATGACCCAATGGCAGGCTTGCTAACGAAAAGCGTGTGTGTGTGTGATATAACAGAACGCGACGACTGGCCCCGAGACAAACTCCTCGAGTACTTCAAGAACGACACCCTCGCCCTCATCGGCTACGGCTCGCAAGGTCACGGCCAGGGTTTGAACCTCCGCGACAATGGCCTGAATGTCATTATTGGTGTGCGGAAAGACGGGACGAGCTGGAAGGAAGCGGTGCAGGATGGGTGGGTGCCGGGGACCAACTTGTTCGAGGTCGAGGAGGCGATTAAGAAGGGTTCTATTGTCATGAATTTGCTCTCCGATGCCGCGCAGAAGGAGACGTGGCCGGCGATTAAGCCGTTGTTGACCAAGGGGAAGGTGAGTCAGACACAATCCTACCAAGGTGAAATGATTGAATTCGAGCAGAAGCTAACGGTGTATTGCTACGGTAGACCCTCTACTTCTCCCACGGCTTCTCCCCCGTCTTCAAAGACCAAACCGGCGTCGAACCCCCCAAGGACATCGACGTCATCCTCGTCGCGCCCAAGGGCTCGGGGCGCACAGTCCGCACCCTCTTCCGCGAAGGCCGGGGCATCAACTCCTCCTTCGCCGTCTTCAACGACGCCACGGGCAAAGCAGAAGAAAAAGCTCAAGCCCTCGGCGTCGCCATCGGCTCCGGCTACCTCTACAAAACCACCTTCGAAAAGGAAGTCTACTCGGATCTGTACGGTGAGCGTGGATGCCTGATGGGAGGCATCCACGGTATGTTCCTCGCACAATACGAGGTCCTCCGCGAAGCCGGCCATTCCCCCTCCGAAGCTTTCAACGAGACGGTAGAGGAGGCCACGCAGTCCCTCTACCCCTTGATCGGGCAGAACGGGATGGATTACATGTACGCCGCATGCTCCACCACGGCGCGTCGCGGGGCGATCGATTGGAGCGCCAAGTTCAAGGCGGCGTTGAAGCCGGTGTTTAATGAGTTGTATGATTCGGTTAAGACGGGCAAGGAGACGGCGAGGACGTTGGAGTATGCGGGGCGGAGTGATTATCGGCAGGCGTTTGAGAAGGAGATGGAGGAGATTCGGGAGATGGAGATTTGGAGGGCGGGGAAGGCGGTTAGGAGTTTGAGGCCGGAGAATCAGTAGGGTCAGGTTGGTATTGAGGTTGGTGAGGTGGGGGGGGATGAGGGGAGGTGAGGGAGAGGTGGGGGTGAGATGAGGTGAGCTGAGGTGAGGTGTGTAAGTGAGTGGGTGAGTGTGTGAGTGAGTGAGTGGCGGGGTGGGGGGGGGGCAGCATTGGGCGTCGGTCGGTGGTCCTAGTTCCACGACGGTCGGGAGGGAGCACTGGCAGCGGTGTAGAAAAGTATTGTTTGCGCTTTCCTGGTTGGCTTTCTAGATGTATAGCGTAGTAGCACCCCCTGTACGTTTGCGACTGTGGCTGGCTCGGTCCTTTTCGCCTTCTTCTTCTTCTTCTTCTTCTTACTCCTCGGTGTACATTATGGCAACCGACGTAGCAGTGGACACCGAGACTGGGCGATGCGATGTACTGTATATCGCAGCTACTTCTTGACCGAGCCCGCAGCGGTGTATCTGGACGCAGGCGGTATAGTCATAGTGCAGGCTGGGATGGGATGGGACGGGACAGTCAAGCATCTTGCCCTGCCACGCTACGGTATCATCCGTCTGGTACTCCTCTACGTGCCGGGAGACCTGAGGCCAGTCAGGTACATAGGTCACACGAAGCACAGAGTCCACGCTACCAGTAGTCATGCTGACCACTTACCGCAGTAGGTAAGGTAAGTAGATATCTGCACCGCCCTGAGCCTGTCGGTAGAGTTAGAGCAGGGGTGCGCAAATGTCGGCGTGGGCGATGGTCGTCCATTCGGCGAGCCCTTTCGCTTTGCGACCCCACTTTGGAGGGGTCTGACGCTGCTGACGATGGAGATGCTATACTTATCTATAAAGGTTGCCTTCGTGTTTACGAATGAGGAAGACATAGGAAGGAAGGATTACTGTCCGCCGCTGCTGACGCTGTCATTACTGCCCTTCTCCTTGCATTGGACTGCTGGACTGAATTGACGCCCAATCGATCGAAAGCTTGGTTTTTACTGTAGCTCGCAAGCAAGCAAGCAAGCAAGCAAGCAGCACTATCCGCCCGGTTGAGGTACTTGTACCTGCTTCCTCTCACCGGTCAAGAGCTTGGCCGTAACACACAAGAGTCGCCTTACGGTATTATTTGCTTGCCTTGGAGACGCATATAATATACCGTGCTTTGTTGGCGTCCAGCGCATATACAGTATACAGTTTGCGTATCCTCACATACCAGACTACGACATCCGCTTCAGCAGAGGAAAGAAGGAAGAGACGATATAGACCCAGGACCACCGCACACGACCTTGGCCACCCCACTTAGCAACCTGCCTCCCTCGCGATACATAATTCGCGACCATGGCAGACAACGGCATCTCCAACCGCAAAGTCTTCAAAGTCTTCAACCAAGACTTCATAGTCGACGAGCGGTACACCGTCACCAAAGAGTTGGGCCAGGGCGCCTACGGCATCGTCTGCGCCGCCACCAACAATACCACGGCCGAGGGCGTCGCCATCAAGAAAATCACCAATGTCTTCAGCAAGAAGATCCTGGCCAAGCGCGCGCTGCGAGAGATAAAACTGCTGCAGCATTTCCGGGGGCATAGGAATATCACGTGTTTGTATGATATGGATATCCCCCGGCCGGATAATTTTAATGAGACGTATTTGTATGAAGGTGAGTCACAAAACCATACTCGAGGGCGAGAGTGGATATGGAATAGATGCGGTTAGGCTAACGAGATATGACTATCCAGAACTCATGGAATGCGACCTAGCAGCCATCATCCGCTCCGGCCAACCCCTAACAGACGCCCACTTCCAATCCTTCATCTACCAGATCCTCTGCGGCCTCAAATACATCCACAGCGCCAACGTCCTGCACCGCGACCTCAAACCGGGCAACTTACTCGTCAACGCCGACTGTGAGCTGAAGATTGCCGATTTCGGCTTGGCCCGCGGCTTCAGTGTGGATCCTGAGGAGAATGCGGGTTATATGACCGAGTATGTGGCCACGAGATGGTATCGCGCGCCCGAGATTATGTTGAGTTTTCAGAGTTACACCAAGGCTAGTACGTGTCGTCCCCCCTACTCTATTCCACCGGGCACAAGAATTCTATCTAGAATGCTAACGAATATGTTCTTGTCCAGTCGACGTCTGGTCCGTCGGCTGCATCCTCGCCGAACTCCTCGGCAGCAAACCTTTCTTCAAAGGCCGCGACTACGTCGACCAACTCAACCAGATCCTCCACTACCTTGGCACCCCATCCGAATCCACCTTATCCCGCATCGGATCCCCACGAGCCCAAGAATACGTCCGCAACCTCCCTTACATGAGCAAAGTCCCCTTCCAGCAACTCTTCCCCCGCGCCAACCCGGACGCCCTGGATCTATTGGACAGGATGTTGGCGTTTGATCCTTCCCAGCGGATTGGGGTGGAGGAGGCGCTGGAACATCGGTATTTGTCTATTTGGCACGACGCGAGCGATGAGCCGGATTGTCCGATCCCGTTTGATTTCGGCTTTGAGGTCGTGGAGGAGGTTCCCGAGATGCGGGTGTTGATTTTGGATGAGGTGAGGCGCTTTCGCGCGGAGGTGAGGGCGCCGCAGGCCGTTAAGGGCTATGGGCAGCCGGTTCCTCAGCAGCAGCAGCAGGGGTCGCAGCAGGGGCAGGGAATGGGGCAGAGTCAGGTGCCGATTCCGGAGGGGTATGATAGTAGGATGTATGAGGATCCCCGGCCGCAGGAGATGTTACAGCAGGGGCAGGGGGGTGGTAGGGGTGCGGCTGCGGGTGGTGGGATGCAGGGGGTGGACTTGGAGAGGGAATTGCAGGGGGGGTTGGATGCGATGAGGTAGGGTTGGATGATGAGTGGGTGGTGCAGTAGGGGGCCGTTGTAGATAGATGTGATGGTGGAGGCGAGCGTGGAGGCAGTTTAGCGTTGGGGTTGTGGTCTGCTCGGACGAGGCGTAGAACTGCACAGAGAAGGGGGAACGATCGCTTCCGAGGGACATGAAGACGTTCGGGCGGCCGGTTTCGAGATGTGAGCGAGGCTCGGGGAATTGCGTAAGAGCGTTCGAGCGCGGGGCGATGATCCGTTTGGTTTGGTCCATTGTCTGCTTCCCTCTTTTTTTTTTCATAGAAAGGGAAAGGAGGGAATCGAAAGTCTTTCTTGAGCCCGCTCGCTTTCGCTGCATGAAAATGTTTCGTCGACGGACTCAAAGTGCTGGATCTTATTCACATCGTTGTGTAGAGCTCGATCCTATCTGTGGGCTTTTCTGGTCACCCGCGCGTGATCTGAGATGGTAGTGCGCCAGAAGTAGTGGTTGTGCGCAGCTTTGGATGTGACAGCTTACGGCCGGTCTCTGCGTGGAGTCTGCTAGTGCAGTGTTTGTTGATGGTGACTCGTCTGTCTAGTCTAGTCTAGTCTAGTCTAGTCTGGTCTGTTCCTCTGATGCCGACTGGCCTGCGTTTCTTTCATAGCCTGCTTTGCCGTCCTTCGCTCGCAGAGAGGCAAGGCACGGGATGCTTGAGTTTGTCACCTAATGCTGCCGCCGCCGCTTCTTTTGTCCGGGAACGTCGCTCGAATCGCTGGCGAATGGACTCGTGGTTACGATCGTCATGATGAGGTTTTCTATTTCCAGGGCCGTGCCATCCGGATGTGGCAGGCTGTCCTTTCCAGTAACGCTCTGAGTAGTGCTGTACAATGGTCACGGACTTGACGGCGGTCGGAGAACCCGATGCTTGGTATCTGATTGATCTACGGCCTGATCATTGTCCAGATTCCGCGATCTCGATTGTCATATGCGAATATTTGCCTCGTGCTGGTTTACATCGACGCCGAACCGCGTCTTAGAAGCCTGGAGCTAGTCGATTAGAGGTCGGATAATCAGCCGATTGTGGCAAGTAAGACTCAAGATGCCTCGATCACCGCGTCGTGCCTTCCTCGTTGAAGTTTCTCATTTCCTTGCGTCTTTGGGACCTTGTCATATGGTGGTCGTGGTAGGTCGAAAGGGTTCGAAGTGTGTCATCAGCTGGTTTGATCCGCGCCGCCGCACGTCAAGCCTTTGGGTCTGGAGATATGACAGTCACGGACCGGAAGTAAATGGATGTTCCGAGCTCGAGTATGAGCCTCGATCGCGCGAGCTCATACTATGTTGACGGTGATCCTGCTGTTGTCCGTAAGAGTTTTGCATGGATCCGGTCATGTCCATTATATGCTGGGGATGTTGCGGCTGCTGTTGTTGTTGCGGCTGCTGTTGTTGTTGCTGCTGCTGATGGTGGCCGTGAGTATCGGATACATCAAACATACTTCTGATTGGTGGCAGCCTTTGTTGCTCACCAACACTTCCGCCAGAGGATGATGCTGAAATGCGTTGCTCGAACGGTGGCCTCTGTTGTTGTATCGTCTCATAATTCATTTCGGACGGCGATTGGACATCGTTTTGTCGTACCTGCCGTAACAGGCTGGAGAGATCTTCATAGCCGCCACTTCGTATTCGTTGGAATATATCCTGGGCTTCGTGCTCGGGACGGGTTTGGAGGTAGTGCATCAGCTCGCGAGACTCTGCGCGTTCAGTCTCGAGTATCTGGTTTCTTCTTCGTAAAGCAGACCACCGGCTCTCACCCTCTTCGGCTTCGTAAGCACAGTCGGTGTGTAGTGTCAGGCATCGTGCACAGGATGGTCTGCGGGGCAAGTCAGTCGCTGAGAGTATTCATGTTCGACTAAGCCATAAAACAGTGTGTACCTCGCACCGTCGCACTGCAATATGCGTCAGCATTTGATCGTTACATATGTCGAAGTAAAGGTGAGGTTGTATCAAGCTTACTCGTGACTTTCGCTTTCGGCATGCCGAGCAGGCACTCTCGATCAATGTCCTCTTCGGCCTCGACGCCGGTGGCCGAGGGTCCTGGCCCGGTTGTCTCGAACCGCCATATCCATCGTCGGGTTTCGATGCTCGCGCCGCCAGCAACGGCGGTGGTCTGCCAGAGCCACTGGCGCCCGACATCAGTGGTAAGGGCTCGTAGGCATAGGCACAGTTCGTCTCTTAAAGTTGCAGTGGTGTTGTATAAACGTGGCAAGACAAAGAGACCACATCTTTTAAAGCTTGGGCTGTTTAACCTCGGACTCCCGTCCTCACCATGCCTTGCGAGGCGGAAGTGTTCGATCTTGCCATTCCTGACCGTGCCGAGTGCGAGTCCCTGTGGGTTCCAGCCATTAGAGTCGAGGGCGTTTAAACCAAAAAAGGAAAGGGTGCATTCATCGCCGATGGGTTGAGAACAGGCTTCGCAGAGCCGCGTTGCCATTTAGGAGGACGTGGGCAAAAGACCAGTGGACGTTTCTCTGGGCATGCCTGTCTTGACTTTGTTCGGCGCCGGAAGAATGCTTTGCATCGGGACGCAACTCATATCTTCCACGGCGGATTCGGCCATCCCCACCGTGTCCTGATCCTCAAAATGTACGTTGGGCAAGGCATCCCCAGCCATAGAAGGAGCTCATTATTCGATGGCCACATCTGCTGCGTTACGCTCCCGATCGACGGCAGTCGTTGCCAGACGAAGTACTCAAGCGTCATAATGTCCGCATAGCCTGCGGGCAAGAAATTGATCGCCGGCTACAACTCGCAAGTGGGATTGATCATCCTTTGAAACCCTCGATCTTCACGCGAATCAAAGACACGTAGCTACATCAACACCAGAAGGCTTGACGAGAAGTCTATACATATAAACTACGTAGCAGCACACTCACACACACACCACAACACGTACATTTTGAAAAGCTGCAAGCGCTTCCAAAAACAGGAAAGAAAGCATAAGAAACTCTATTACCGGCTAACAGTTAATCTTCCGCCCGCTTAAGCATTTTCTTCGAGCTCGTCAACCATCTTGACCGGATTCCAGGCCGACTTTGCTCACCTTCGCCACCAGGTAATCCCGATTCCAAACACGTTTCTGGACTCGGCACTTGTAACATCTTGTGACACCTTCCTTCCTGTTCGGCCAGATCTTGCCTAGACGCTTCAGTAGTGGATCGACTCATCTGCAAGTCGTCCGGTGAGAGCCCCGATTGCTCGCAAGCAGTCCTCCACAGTCGTACCGAACGGCCGTGCAGGCACGGTATGCAGGCTGGGCTCCACTCCGCCGGGTACACGCCGGTCATACTGTCAGTCGGTTGGCGAGGACGATGAGAGTGTTACATGATTCGAAAGAATTTGAAATGCCAGGAGACTACCAACGCGCCATCTATGAGAAAACCTGCCGAACGCTGATATCATCCAAAGCGAAAGACAAGGGTATAACAACATATGCTGGAGAGAAATCGTAATGTGTCGTTATTACAGTATGTCCAACCCGTAACCACATGTACGTCAACCGTATCCGCCACGACCACCATCGTGGCAACGTGCATGGTCGATCGATCATGCCTCAAGCTCTCTCAATCGCTCCTCAGACTATCGTCAGACGCTGTAAGCAAACACTAGTCAGCTCAGAGGGCTAGATAATCGTCTCAAGTGACGGGTCTGGAGGGTAGACATACCAATACTCTTAGCCAACGGCTTCCTCCTAATCGTCCCAGAAGTTGTACCAGCACTATCAACAACCCTAGGCTGCGGACTTCTGGCGCCCATGGGACGTGGTCCAGTGATCTTCTTTCCGCCTGCGCTACTGCGCATGGAGACGGCTTTCGCTACCTGTGGGCCAGGTTCGGGGGAGATCTGCGTTGGAGAGTCAGCTACTACAATCTCGCAGAAGTACTTCCTAGAGCTTTCGAGCACTTACACGTCCACTATCCGTCTCGAGACTATACCTCACCTCCTCGATGGGCTCAAGCAGGTGCCCAGAGCCGTAAGGCGAGGAGTAACTGTACCCACCACCTCCGCCACCACGGCTGAAACCACTGTTACTGTACGTCGGCTCCTCGCGCCAGTCGTCTTCTGGTTCGGGATCGTATCTCTTCGTCGGCGTGACGGCCGCAGCTGCCTGGGGCTGTTTCTGAGGGATCAAGGAACCCTGGGACTCCCTACCGCCGCTGCCACGCATGCTCGCGGGACTCGGCGGCTCGCCGCCCGAAGTCGCTGTACTAAAGCGGTTTCTGGCAAGTGCTGCAGTGCCTGAGGATCCCCAGGTCGCTGGGTCGAAGTCCGAGACTGTTCGTTGCGAGAGATCGCTGTTCGTGCCGGTCAGGTTATCGAAGTCTTCGGCTTTGTTCTCCAGATGGTTCTGATGGCGGCCCGTGGGCCCTTGTCGGGGCTGTGGGTGCTGGAGGAGGATGGAGTTGCGATGGGCCTGGTACTTGGGATCGTCGAATCCATATTCCTCCTGCCCTGCTTCATCCTGCTGGATTGGTGAGGCTTCGCGAGCATGCTCGTACGAGTCTTGCTGTCTCAGCGACCTCTCAGACGGGATCAGTGGTGAGGGTGTTCGTGTAAGCTTGCTCACCCCACTCTGTACGCTGCGCGTATCAGCTTGCGAGATCGGGCGCTCGTGCTCCTTGCCCAGACTCTGCATCGACCGCCTTACAGGCTCACCGCCACGTTGCCTCTCGTAGTCCTCGTGATCGTCATACTCGTCAAGTGTGCTTACTGATCTCGAAGCAGCACTCTGCGGTCTGAGTGCTCTCGCTGCAACAGGACTCTCCAGACCCGCGAGATCCGGCGCGGCAGAAGAAGTCGTAGTCTTGGACCACCTACTCGTCTTTGGTACACCAAAAATAGAAGAGCCGGCGCTCTTGTGCTTGCGATCCTTCTCCGCCTTCTCGACCGCAGCACGCTGAGGAGTGATCTCCTGCGCCTGTATCCCACCATACGTCTCAGCACCATGATAAGGAGTATCACTAGGACTCTGCCCTCGGTTCTTGAGCGCGAACTGTTGCTGATGTGATTCCTGCGTAGGTGTAAGAAGACGCTCATTGTTCTCGAATTGATTACGCAGAACGCGGTTTTCGCTGGGCGTGAGTTCGTCTTCATCCTCATCGCCTTCCATGACCGTGCTGACGCGATTGATCGAACCACGACGTCCATCGTAACCAGAGTGGAATTGCTCCTTACCAGCTCGTGGCGGGGTGTCAAAGTGACCAGAATGACTAGGCGTGCTCGAAGTATCGGCTTGACCCTCAGGCTCATAACCCGAGTCGGGTGCAGCGCGAAGCTTCTCATACGAGTCCATTGGCCCCTCAGAGAATGAAGCCGTCTGCTGGCGTGATGTAGGCAAACCACCATGCTTCAGATCCTCCACATTGTCCAAAATCTGCATGAGCATGTCCTCCACCCGCGCCAGATCGTCTGCTTTCCTCCCTCCAGTCAGACCCTTGAGTGCTCGTCGAAGAACGCCCTTCCGCTTGGCCTGAATGTCCTCCTGACTATTTCCTCTCGGCGTGCGCGGAGATCCCAGGGGCTGCGGCCGCGGACCACCGAGGACTTTGGCCACTGTGACCTCCGCATCACGATCGGTATTCGCCATGATCAGCTGGTCCTGCTCCTTGATGAACTTCCTCATCTCGTCAAAAGACGACCGCATCTCAGCTGCTGTGCGGACAAGGGACACAAGGATCTCGGTATCCACTGCATTGCGCTGAGCGTCGCGAACAGTAAGATGATCCATCAGCGCCACGATGTCCTTGGACTCGATCTTGCCTTTGCCTGTGCTGCTATCGTAGAGAGGACTAGCCATACCGTGGGAGTTGCCGCTGACGTGGCGTGCATGTTTCGCATCCAGGACTTTATTTGTGCTAGTGAAAGGGTCGTCTTCGCCTAGACTCTGGGCATCCATAGCTCGGTTGAAGTCGTTGAGGTCTTCTTTGCTGTATCGCTGCTCATCGCCAGGTCGTGGTGTCCTCGCGCCAGCTGATCGAGCATGAGCGTCAGTAACGTATCCCTCGTCGCGGAAAGCTGCAGGACTGCCAGTTGGTGTCGCCTCTCTATCGATCTCTGCTCCAGCGTGGCGGAGGTCAGGCGTCAACTCTTGGCGACCATCGTCCTCATCTTCCATGGTAGCAGACTTGTTCCTGCTAAAAGCATGGTTAGCAGCCAAAGCAGCCGCACCACCAGCAGCCGCAGCTAGCATTCCATCCTTCCGACCATGTCCACTGTGATCACTTCTCATCGACCTTTGTCCAGGACTGGCCAGGTCTCGCCTGTCTCCGGTACCAGGTGTCAGACCAGACTCATAAGGCCACTCGCTTCTGCCCGTCGGATCACCACCCAGCGGCCCCTCAACAATCGAAGGATTCGTTGACGACAGCTCGCTCTTCGTATCGTCGAAATGTCCGATCTCAGGCAGGGGATCGTCAGCAACAGGCAGACCACTAGCGCTCATCTTCGGCTGCGCTTCAATTGATCGTTCTTCACGCAGACTCTTCATAGGACTACTGCGTGGCGAGTCCTGCTCCTGTTGGCTGGTAGTGGCAGATAAGTTCCGCGCATGGCCTTTGATGGCTGCCCACCGATCCTGGCTTGGCATCGTCTCGCTGAGGGTTGATCCGTCATACATGGCTGGACTGTCCTTATCCATATCTCGTAAATGCTCCATGCGATCGGCGTACGAGCCACGGTTGCGAGTCGAACTATCATTGGATGACAGCATGTTACTGCTGAGGATCGAAGGCTCCATGAGCGAGGCCACGTTTGATTCGACGCCGGCTGGGATCAGGTAGATGGGGTTGGCACCCACACCTTTCACATTGCGTTCCGCGTCCAGGCCATCGCTGCCAGGTGCGCCGAAGCTGTCGTCTGTGTATGTTGTGTAGCGTTTGTCATCTTCCGGATACGGGTTTGTCTGGTAAGAGTCGCGATTCGTGGCATGGTCGATGGAGTCCCGATAGCGGTTGTTGAGTTGATGCTGACGCTCGTACCACTCGTCTACGCTCTCGCCATTCGTCGGAGTGCCAGGTGTACCTTCCCGTAGAAGTGCTCCAGGCGTTTCGAAAGGCGTGATAAACTCATCACCACTGACATCCTGGGAATGCTTCCGAGACTGTGCCAGTCTCTGCGTAGTAGGCGAAGACCGTGCGGACGTACGGGAAGCCTGAGTCTCGCGAAGTCGACCAGCTGAAGATCTCGATGCAGCACTCTTTGGTCGCAAGCCAGATGGTATGAGCGAATCTTCCTTCTCGAATTGATTCTTCAAGCTGGAAACACTATGCGCTGGGCTGCCAACTCCGCGGCGATTAGACAAATCACCATAGCCATCTGCATCGACTTGATGATCGTGATGATTTTCGTAGCCTTTCGCCACAGCCACACCACCAATACCAGCAGCAGTCAACGCAGCCATGCGCGCTCGGTTTGAAATGGGACTCGAGCTCTCGATAGATTGATTGGTATGTGTCATACCCAGCCCCCTTGATCCAGAGACCGGTGTTCGTGTCGGTGTACGACTCGGTGACATGACATCCGCCACCGACCCTCTGGAAACCTCGCGCACGGGAGTCATGACGTCTCCGATAGACGGTTGCTCAGTCGCTGCAGACACGATACTGTCTCGAGTCAGATCCGAGTCGTTAATGTGGCTCGCCATGGGCATGGGTGGGATTCCCTCCGTCCGACTGTATGCTTCTTCGTTGGTCTCAGCAATACTAGCTGATCGACTTCGACTACCTCGAGATTTACTGTGCTTTTTCCGGTGCTGATGGACGTCGCTCTGAGAGTCGTGGTGTTTGAGTGCTGCTGCGGTCAGGATGCCTCCAGCCATGCCAGCGGCAGCCGCGTCACGTAGCCCATGGCCGCTTTTGCTTGACTTGTGGCGCACTCGCTCCTCATCATCGTAGCCATCGCCTCGTGTTGAGCTTCGCCCAGATGATCGTCGACTACTGGATGGACGCTCGGTGTATTCTCGACTGGATATGCGATGCTTCTTTCTCTCAGAATCGCCACGGGACAAGACGACTGGATCTTCACCTTCCCTGTTCAAAATGACTTTCGGCTTGCTGGCAATATTAGGCGAGCTCGAAGATTTGCTGACACGATGCTCAAGCTCTGAACTCTCGTAGCCATCTCTAGGCATGGGTCCGCTCTTGCCTTCCGAAGAACGCAAGTTGCGATCCGTACGTTGATCTTCCTTGATCGCATTGATCTCGGGTAAAATCATGCGCTTGATCGTGTCTTCAACCATCTCCAGTAGTTTCGGGTTGTTCGTCATGCGGGAGCCCTGCGTAGTGCCAGATCGGTACGAGCGCTGACTAGGCGCAAGCTGGGACGACATTAGGCTCGACTCGGCGCCACTGATCGTCGACTCCTCCTCCACTTGATGAGACTTTGATGATCGCCGTCGCCTTTCTTTCGGGTACCCATCGACATCGTACTCCTTGCTGATACTGCGCTCATAGCCAGACTTGCTTGACTTTCGGGGCTTGCCAGCAGTGGCCCCAAGCTTCTCCATGACCTTTTGTGTAATGCGGTCGCGGCTTGTACTCCGGCTGCGTGACCGTACAGGTGCTTTGAGGTAGTCTTTCTCAGTGACTGTGTGGTCCTCGCTATGCGACAAGTCGTGACTGAGCTCGCTACCAGTCATATTGCTGATGTTGCTGCCTTCGAGCATACTGTCCGGTGGCATAGACGAGACGTTGGATTCGTTGGGCGCATACATCAACCCGCGGGTGGATCTCGTGCCAGATATGTCGCTGCCGCCGTGGTTCAGCACTTCAATTTCCACAGGAGGATGACCGGAGAGATTGCTGCCTCCAGACGATTGACTGATCTCCGTGCCTTCCAGCGGGCCAAGCCCAACTTCAGCGTTCTTGCTGCTGTTGAGTGATATGCGCCGAGTGTAGGAGGGCTTGCGATCCTTGCCTATAGCCGTGAACTGTATAGCATCATGCCCACCACTCCTGCTCGACTTCCTCGCACTGGGCGTGACCTTGACCCGGACACTCGGCCGGCTCCTAGCTTTGTCACCGGTCTTCCCGGCCTCAAAGTACTCAATCAACAAGCTCGTCTGGCTCTTCTGCCTACGATGATGACCTAGCCGCCCACCAGGCTCCCTATGTGCTGTCACCTTTTGCGTGGAGATGGTGATCGGACTGCCGTCTTCGGGGACCTCGTAGCTTGTCTTGTCCGTTCGTGTGGTCAGGTTCGTTGCGACTTCGGTTTCGGCGCCAGATGTCTCGCCCATTGACTCCGTGGGTGCGGGTAGTGGTGGTCTTTTGCTGTCCACGCCCATCTTGCCCCAAGAGCTAACTCAGGCGGTTGATGTTGTCGGCGCAATGCATAACGTTAACCAGGCGATGCAAACAAAGTATCCTGGGCGGAGTGGTGACTTGTGGTCGTGGTAGCAGTGACTGCTGTGGTGGATATGGTGCAGCTGTACCGTTGGTCGCAGTTCACCGTTTGATGGCCAGTGGAAGTATCCGTCTGTTGATCCAGATGCGATCGGGAAGTGAAAGTCGAGGTGTTGGAGGTCGGAGTCGTGCCAACGCACAACTATCGGCGTTAATCGATCTCGCTTCCGATCCAGTGAATGTGAAGAGGTAGTAGATTAGCTAAAGCGGCAGTAGCAGCATTCCACAGCACTCATACAGCTCTCCAACTTCTCTTCAACGACTGCAAGCTTTAAAAAGATGGAGACCCGAAACGAGCAGGGTTCTCGAGACACAACGATAACAAGTCTGAAGTGGTACAGTAGCTGTTTAGTCAAACCACTGCATTGAGTTAGGCTTTGGGGTAACCAAGGCGACGAACCACCAACAGCGGCACAAAACGCCAACGCTGCCACGCACTGACACTCTAAGCAATATATGTACTCGTCATAAGGCTACTACTCTATGTACAAAACTACATACTATTTACATGCGCAAGATAGCATTCTCACTACTGCATGCGACAACAGGTCTTCCCATCGGTCGGACATGGCAAACCAGCCACTCAACTCTCCTCCGCCCCAATTCAACGCGGAGTCTGCATGGGCAGCTGCAGCAGAAAACCTGCATGGACTCCTTGTACGCGCATGATGCACTGCCCGCGCGAGCACTTCCGCAGAAACCAAACGCAGGATATACAGTAACAACTGTGAACCATCTTCCCAGCCCCGTCCCACTTCTGTCAAGCCGGCACATCGAGCCGAATACTGTTTGGCCTGATATAGAGATGTGAGAGGTGGACTTCTTTGTTCCTTCTACAGCTCACCGCCCTGCACATTGGGCCTACTCGCACTTCTGGCAGATCATTGGTTGTTCAGATCTCACTCTGATGGCGAATGGCTGGACCGGCGAAGGTGCCATGGCGGCACTCGAGCCATTGCGACGAGTAAGTGTGAGACTTCAGCGGTCCTGTTTCTCCTTGTGCGCATAGGGCTGAGTGGCGACAACGGTCTGCTAATCCCATGTCGTCTCATACATATGAAGTGACAAGAACATCACGAAGAATGAGCAGTATTGATTGAGAAGTCCCACACATGCGCAATCAAGGGTATCCGCAACTTCAGACATCTCATGCAAATCTCACAATCTACTCATCCTAACCCTAACTAGAACCGCCACCACCCCCATCAACACCGCCCATCTCAGCCCAGCACCACTCCACCCCTTACTCCCCAGACCAAAAACCCACCACACCATCCCACCATTCTTCGCATTCCCCTCCCGATCAAAGTCCGGCACCAAATCCTGCATCCCCTTCATCTGCTTCAACTTCTTATCAGTGTAGGGCGGATACCTCACACTCAACATGCCCTCCATCCACCCCGGCGTCGTCGTAACACTGCGGCAATGCGTGAACGTATCGAAACTCGCTTTACCTCTATAAGCGCCACTCCCACTATCCCCTACGCCACCGAAGGCGAGGGTAGGGAGGGAAGCGTGGAAGAGGGAGTCGTTCATACTTGCGCCCCCTGAGCGGGTTTGAGAGAGGACGCGCGCGTTCTCCGCTTTTGTGCCGAAGGTGTACAGCGCCAATGGCGTCGCATGGATCTCGTTCGCGAGCCTGATCGCCTCGTCCAGATTCTCAACAGGTAAAATAGGTATCAGAGGGCCAAAGGACTCATCCACAAGCAACGAGTCTTGCGGGCTATCGACCTGGATGACTGTTGGCTCAATGAAGAGTTCCTTTTCATCCGTGTTGCCGCCGAAGAGAATATTGCCGCGCGTGTTATCTAGCATAGCTTTCACGCGCTGGAATTGTTTCGAGCTGACCATCCGGCTGTAATCTGCATTACCTTTCGCTCCCTTCGGCTGGAACTCCTGCAGAGCTTCGCCGAGGTGGTGGATGAACGCCGGCAATACCTCCTTGTCAACCATAGTGTAGTTATGCGAAATGCAGATCTGGCCTGCGTTGAAGAGTTTGGCCCAGAGAAGGCGGCGGGCTGCGAGGCGCGTGTCGGCGTTCTTGGATACGATGGCGGGATTCTTGCCACCCAGCTCAAGGGTGACAGGGGTAAGGTGCTCAGCAGCAGCCTTGGAGATGATCTTGGCCACGGCCGCGTTGCCGGTGTAGAAGATTTTGTCCCATTTCAGCTTCAATGCTGCTGTTGTCTCCGGGATCCCGCCTTGCACGACTTGGTAAGCCTCTGGGTCCAGGCTGTTCTCGATGATGTATTGCATCACCCTTGAACAATTGGTCGACACCTCTGACGGCTTGACGACAGCTGTACAGCCTGCTGCGATAGCACCAATCAGTGGTCCCAGAGTGAGATTGATAGGGAAATTCCAAGTTCCGATAATCAAGACTGCTCCGAGAGGATCCTTCCGTATCATAGGTCTCATCAGCTTATTCGTGAGAGATTGGTCCGGAGCCGATTCATCTCTCATCCATTTCTCGACATTCTTGAGCATGAAGAGGATGTCGTTTAGACACCAGCCTACTTCGGAGATGTATGTCTCGAAGGCGCTCTTGCCTAGGTCGAGTTGCAGGGCTGAGGTGAGGAGGGGCTCGGCATCTTTTATGCCCCAGTATAGCTGGCGGAGCTGTTTGACGCGGTAGGCGAGGAGTCGAGTGGTGTGGGTGTTGAATTTGTGGATGACGCGATCGTGAAGGACTGGGATCTCGGCTTCGGGCGTTGCTGTGAAGGGTGGGAGGTCGTCCTGGGTGTAGCTGTTAGTGAAGTGCTCATGGAGATGTACTTTGGGAGTGCCTTCCTTACCATATTGAGGTGAATCATTGTGCAAAGAAGAGAACTGGAAAGAGAGGAAGATACTTATCTGCAAGGCAGAGCTAACACTTTTCCTATTGCCGGTGCTTACTGATCTCACCTGGTAACAACTGTGTCGACTCGTCTACCGAAGACCATGTTGGTCTGCAGAACGGACCGAGGCTCGTATGCTGTACGAGTACAACGCCCTAGCGCCAGCCCTACCACTCTCCATCCAATTTCAACGACGTACCGCATTCATGAATGTTTTCCTCGTTGGCACCATAACGAAGAGTCAGATGGTATTGATCAACTTGCCTAGCAGCGAGACTGTGCCGTCATCGGCATATTTAACCTACGCCGTGGGTATTACAGGAAACGAGTCAGAATTGTATCAAACCGAAAGCTTAATAACATTCGATATGTTTCGCATCTTCTCCACTCTACGGCACCGGGAAGGAGACCGCGCCTGCACGACAAGCGCCAGACAGCAGACTGCACTGATGGCGCGACACTTTCGAAGGATCTGTCTGGACTCTGTATGACTTGTGCCTCGCCATTCGAAGTTGAAACCAACTACACGGACACGTACACATACAACCGACGGGTGCCATCGCTCGAGATAGTCTCTGGCCTTTGGCATTGGGACAGTCAGGTGGCAGAGCCTCTCACATCCTACCACGGTCTGTCCTGGTGACCAACAGCATCAGGATTGTGACGAAAATGTCAAGAGAGTAATCCTGGTCAATCATCCGCCCTTCGGCAGGCGCTATACTAAAAGTACCGATATACACCTTGCCATTTCACGCGACGTCTTGCCCGTTACGCTACAGCATGAAGCTGCGATGCCGAGCGCTAAAGGACTCAGATCCGCTTGCCTCTTCTTATTGCGCAATTGATGCTAGGATCTGGCATTGCAGTAGTGTCGGACGTACGCGAGCCTACAGCCGGAGTCTGTGGAGTCGCTGTATGAGAAGTGTACTGCTGTGTCGCGAGCAGCCATGGTGGTCTAGCTCCTTCGATCCCAACCTGGAAACAACCCCTGCTCTTCCCATTTACCGGGTGGAGCACATAACTACCTTTGAATATGCGTCGCACCGTTCCTTCCTGTTGCGAACGGGTCTGAAGAGCATGGCCGTCGTTTGTCCTTCATGCATGTACTTGATAAGCTCGATGCTTGCATTAACTTTCCCGTTGTCTTGCTTTTGCCCACCCTAGACTACAATACTCTTTCCCCAGCATCAGAATGCATCTCTTACTCATCGTAAGCTTGCTCATCACGACGTCGTTGGCCACAGCCCTGGTGGACTCCGGGACGTCTAATAACACAGACTCGCTTCTACAACAACTCGGGTCCTTGCCATCGTGCGCAGTAAGTACTTCTGAGAAGAACAAGAGCTGGCTGCCCGGTGGATTTGGGAGATGCAAGACTGACGCTGTGTTGCCAGAGGACTTGCATAACAGCTTCAATTACGGCCTCGCCTTGCGAATTCGGTGACTTCAATTGTCTATGCACCGATACGACGTTCACAGCAGCGAGCGCAGCTTGCGTGGCAGGCAGCTGTACTGTCCGAGAAGCACTAGGTGCGCAGTAACAGGAGTCTAGCTCAACGCCGCACGTTCTAACAGCCTTTCCCAGTCGCTCAACATTGGCAGGCGTTATCATGCGGCGTACCAGCTCGAGATGCTGGTCCGACGACGAGGAGAGTCGGAGCAGTACTGATCACTTTCATTGGGCTTGCCATCATCTTCCGCTTCTTAGCTAGGATGACTTTCCTCGAGGGCAGTATAGGATGGGACGATTGGACAATCCTGCTCGCTTTCGTTCTACTGATTCCGTCGAACACGCTGGTACAGCTTAGTATGATGGTCCTGCCTAAAATACCTGGGATTGTGGATGTGCTGACCTCCCTGATTAGTGACCCGTCATGGTCTAGGCCAAGACGTCTGGAATGTCTTGCCCGACGACATTGACAAGATTTTCTTCGTAGGTCAGCTCAGCAGAATTTGCAGACCGTTCGCTGACGGGACACAGTATTTCTACGTTGGCGAATATTTCTATTTCGCCGTGATTGTAGTCACCAAGGTCTCTATCATCCTCCTCTACCTTCGCATCTTCCCAAGCAGCATCTCGGCGCGGTTTCGAACCATCAGCTACACCATCATCGGCCTACTAATAGCCTACTGGCTGGCCATCACACTTGCGTTGGCCCTACAGTGTAGGCCCGTACACACCGTTTGGCAAGCCTGGGATGGTGAACACGAAGGGAAATGCCTGAATGTGGCATATATCGTCTACATCAGCACTGCATTGAACATCTCTTTCGATCTGGTCGTCATTCTGCTTCCGATACCGAAGCTGGCTAAGCTACAAGTCCGCGATACTAGGAAGAAAGTCGGTGTCATCCTTACTTTCTTGATCGGACTATTTGTTACGGTCTGCAGTATCATCCGCCTCCTCTACCTGACGCAATGGGGAAGCCTGTCCAACTTCACCTACCACTACAACGCCATCGGCCTGTGGAGCGGCATCGAATGCGATGTTGGGGTCTTTTGTGCCTGCATGCCGACCGTCCTGGGTCCAGTAATGTATTTTTTCCGAGAGAGAGTTCCATCAATGGGCAGTCATACACGTTCGAAGGAGGCCTCGAGGGCGGAGAGTAGGATTCGAAGATTGCCGAGTAGTGCTAGCGAGCACGAAGCAGGAGGACAACGGGATCCCAAGGATAGATCGTGGCAGAAGGTGTACGATCTGCGGTATGAGCAGCGTAGTGCGGATGTCGTGGAGATGATTGCGCAGGATCCTCTAAGGACGTTGAGAACGACGGGGCCGTTGGAGATGGCGAGGAGTAACCCCGGTGGCTATCGGCATGAGTATGCTGATCAGTGGCGTTGATCGTTGTAACCCGCAACAAGGCGGATCTCCGTCTCGTGATGCACCTTTGCGTGGCCTTCGAAGATACACCGCTGTGGCCTTATCCCCTTCCAGATGATATATGCTGCCGATACCTCAATGCTCCGCTCCGACTGCTCAGCTGACCAGTCTCGTCGTGATGTGTGGAAATGAGATCCGCAGCAACCGCGGTTCACACAAGCATCCACTCAATGCACGGGTACGTGCATCAGTGGCTCCAGCTCAAGCAACCTCTTGTTTCGAGTGCTGAAGTCCACCTCGCTGGAATTGATCGTCTTGTGATTCACATCGCCATCCACCCACTGCGCATTATACTCCAGTCCAGTCTCGGTCCTCCACTTCTCGACAAGTGATTGCGTCTTTCGAGGCAGGATAACACGACTCGGAGCATCGAACCACTTCGGCTGAATTACGAAGGCAAGCATTATCCTGGGCACATCAGTCCGATTAGGCATTCCTGCATGCCAGAGTCGAATATCGCGGATCATCAGGCTACCTTTCTTCGTGCTCGGCTGGATCGGTGGCGAATGCTCTCTTCGCTCCTCAAGCAATTCCGGCTTGATGACTAGACCAGCGTCGTCTTCGCCGTGAGCGGTATGCTGATCGATGTTTGAGTCTCGATGGCTTCCCACCCAGATCTCCGTGCTCCCATTCTCGGAGTTGGTGTCGGACAATGGGATGTTGATGGCAAATGCGAAGGGATACATCGGGTGCGGCTTGTCGATGTCGGCGTGGACTGGCTGTCGTCCTGTCGCCCTAAGCGCCGTGTTGCCATTGGCATAATGACAGACTGGATTGGGACCGAGAATGGCGGAGCAGATTGCTACAGCGAAGGGATTGGCCCAGATGTCTTTGTACATGATTCTGGGTATCAGTGGCGGTGCTTGGTCCATGTTTCGTGTTTCCTTGCCTGCGAGCTGGTCAGACAGCGATACGAGGACCATCACAAGCTTTACGGTATACCGAAGTTGAAGTGATGCTTAGGATCGCGGGCGATCTCCTCGGCTTCAGGAGTCAGTATACCGGCCAGGTCATCAAGATGGGATGGATCGATAGCGTTCTCGAGTATCAGAATGCCATCTCGATGCAGAAAGGTGACGGCTTCGGCTACGATATCGTTCGTCACTGCTTCATGAGTACATGCGTCGTCGGAGATTACGATTCGATGAACTTCTTGATTGTACGGGCCATTGCCATTGACATGATTTTGGAGCTGTGGTGTCATCGTTTCACAAAGTGAGTCGTCGTTGGACAACTGTGACTGAAACAGTCTGCCGAAATCTTCTGTAGTCAATTCGGGTACCGCATACAATACCCTTATCTGCTCGCCGCGAAGGTAGTCGTTCTTGCTGTACTGACTCGTCAGTTCGGCTTGGTCGCGTGGCCAGGGTGGGGGAAAGCGGGGACAGTGATGAAAGTCAGATCCTCGGGCATGCGTGCTTATCAACATCGTCTTGTGATAGGCGGCCATGGCAGCGTAGCATTGGCTGGTGTGTGGACGGTATCGTTGTACTGTACGAGGGTGAGGTAGCGCTATCGTTGGCCTAGTGGAGTCTGGAGGGTCGCAGGATCATGGCATTGAAGGGCAATTCGCCTTCTTATGGCACTTTCGTAAGTTGACACAGTTCAATCTTCAACCTCGACAGTGGTCAAGTGTTGTTCGCGAATTGACTGTATATCGTAGGCTACGGCTAGAGAGTCGACAACCATGGCTGTAACAGAGCACAGTGCCAAATATGGCGACGAGCCGACCACGAGTACGCTACACGATGACATCCAGAAAGGCGACATTGTCGTCGGTGTCATCGCTGGCGAGGAAGTCCGGCAAGCTACTGAGCATGAACATGACATGAGCTTCTTCGAAGCAGTGAAGCTCTATCCTACCGCTGTACGTCGACCACGAATGACCACGCTACGAGTCAGCGACTTTGCTGATGATGCCAACATAGGTGTTTTGGTCGTTCTTCTTTAGCCTAGGGATGTAAGCATTGCGACGTATGACCAATTGATCTCTGGCAATATCCACTGACTTGACGATAGCATAATGACTGCATTCGATCCGCAGCTACTGGGCAATTTGTACGCAACACCAGCTTTCCAGCGCGATTTTGGGTACCTCTACGAAGGCTCATATATCGTTTCGGCTCCATGGCAAACGGGCCTGAGTATGGGCAGCCCCATTGGTAGGCATAGCTCCATCTCTATAGCTAGTGCAGCACTGACATCGAATCTAGGACAAGTCGTTGGAGCTTTCTGTGCTAGTATGTTGCTAAGATGTGTCGTAACTCCAGTGAAGTCATATTTCTGACCGTGCGCAGCATACCCGATGGAATGGTTTGGCCGTAAGAAGACGTTCGGCGCATGCGTGGTTCTGACCGCGAGCTTCATCTTTATCCAATTCTTTGCTCGATCACTCCCTATCCTTCTCGTCGGAGAGCTACTGGGTGGTCTGGTTCTGGGCACATATGTGAGCTGAGACCTCCTCACTACCCACCAAAGGAATACTTACACGTGTCCATAGGCGACCATAGCCCCAACATACGCCTCGGTAAGTAGATCGAATCCTCACCTAGTCCGAACCACCTGCTGACACCCCAGCCCAGGAAGTCTGCCCAGTAGCCCTCCGCGGCATCCTAACATCCTACATAAACCTCTGCTTCGTAATCGGCCAACTAATCGCCAACGGCATCTGCAAAGGCACGTCCACCCTAAACACACACTGGGCCTACAGTGCCCCCTTTGCAAGCCAATGGTTCTGGTGCCTCATAATCCTGCTCGGCTTCCCCTTCGCGCCTGAATCACCCTGGTGGTTATGTCGACAGGGTCGACTCGAGGATGCGGAGAAGAGTCTACGCAGACTCGCGAGTGAGAGAGTCGATGTCAAACCCACGCTGGCTATGATTATCGAGACGGATCGACTGGAGCTGGAGATGGAGGCGGGGAGTACGTATTGGGATTGCTTCAAGGCTATCAATCGACGACGGACGGAGATTGCTGTTGGGGTCTATTCTATCCAGGTCATTTCTGGTATTTATCTGGTCGGGTATGCTACGTACTTCTTCACGCTTGCGGGGCTGGACACTTCGAAGGCTTTCGATATGTCCATTGGCTTCCTTTCGCTCGGCTTCGTGGGCACGATCTTCTCCTGGGTGCTTCTGGTTCGCTTCGGTCGGCGTGTCATCTACAACACGGGGCTGGCTATGCTTGTTATACTTCTACTGATCATCGGCATTCTTGATTGTGTCCCGAATTACGTGAGTGATCACCACCTTCTCCTTCCGCGTTGTGCCGCATGGCCAGCTGATGTGCTCTCTGTAGACCAATAGACCTGCCATCATCTGGGCGCAAAGTTCTCTGATGCTCATCTGGAACTTCTGCTATGACTTTAGCGTCGGCCCGGTGTGCTTCGTTATCTTGTGCGAAGTTTCGGCCACAAAGCTGCGTAGCAAGACTGTAGCTGTGGCGACGGCTGTCCAGGCGTTCCTTGGTATAATCATGACCATCGCTATTCCGTAAGTATTGAATCGTGTTCGAACAGCAGGACGACAGCTGACTCCACGTAGATATCTTATCAACCCAGACCAGGCAAATGCACGTGGCAAGATCGGGTAAGTCCTCCAGGGCAGCAGCGGTATTTCTGGAACTGATTCACCCTGCTTGTAGCTTCTTCTTCGGTGGCCTAGCGGGCGTCGCATTGATCTGGTCGTACTTCCGTGTCCCGGAGACACGCGGCAGGACGTATGAAGAGCTCGATCTCATGTTCTCGCGAGGCGTCAAGACAAGGGCCTTCAAGTCGTATAGGCTGGAGTAGGCCGACGTCTCATCAATATGTTCCTTCGCCATCTCCCTTGAATGACATCCTGAACTTCATCCAACCTCCAACCCCATCAACTCCATCATACCAATAGTATTACACGCCTGGCCCGCATAATCCGCTCCCTTCCTCACCCGACTCCCAATCCTCTTGATCAACTGCAGCACATCTTTTGCATCCTCATCCTCGAGCTCCTGCCATGCTGCTAACCGCGGGCTGTACAGATCCAGCAACACCATAACGACTTCATAGATCGTCTTGACATGTCGCGCGTGATTGATGTTCTTCAGAATCCAGCGGAGGATAGGCAGGAGCTGGGCTTCGGAGCGGTCGGCCAAGGCTGTGCGCAGGGCTTCACGGTGCCGCAGTGTGGTGAGGAGGGTTATTGTGTCTTCGTTGCTGAAACCGTGCGTGCGATCGGGGGTGAGGACTTGATCTAAGGCGCGGGCGTACTTGCCGGTTCGGAGGCTTTGTTGCCACGGTCTCAGCGGCTTCTGGCGCGTGCGGTCGTTACCGTCGACGATCAGATCAGCGCCTTCACCACGGTAGTCTTTGCCGCGATCTCGGGCGCGTATGCCTTGCCGCATGTCCTTTTTGCGTTGCTTGCGCTCGTAGTCGTCTGCCTCGCCTGCAATTAAGGCGTCCATGCGCTTCGTCTTCTCTCTTGCACGGACTTTCTCAGCGCCTGCTAGTCTTGTTCGGATAGACAGTAGACCGGTCTGGAGTCCGACAGCTAGGTGGCGGTCTTCTCTGGTGGTCTCCTTGACGCCAGAGCTGATGACAGATAATGATAGTATAGGTGAAGCATATTTGATGCCAGCTACCACTTGCCAGTTCGCTGTGTTGTGGACCTTGATATGGCCGTCGAGACCACCTGTCAGTAAGCGCGTACCATTCTCGCCGACTCCTAGCGAAGTGACTGTCTTTTGGTGCGACCGTATAATGTGCTCGACTTTTCCAGCGATCAGATTGAGCACAGTGACCTCGTTCCCAGCAGCTGAAGCAAGCATGGACGAGCTTAAAGGTAGCAGATTCTCTATCGGTGCGGCGTGCTTGAAGGTCAGAGCTGGCCTGGCATTGCCTGGCTGTCTTGTATCCCATAGGCGAACTGTCTGGTCGTAGCTTCCAGTTGCGATCATTCCATCCTGTCCCGGTAGATAGCATCCAGACCTCACATAGTCCTCATGACCAATGCCTGTCCACTTGGCCACATCCTCCGTTAGATCCCAGACCCGTACTGTCCTGTCGTCGCTCACACTCATCAGGTCCGTCAGGACCTTTGGGTTCCATCGCACGCAGTGTACAGCCTGCTTGTGCCCATGCTCGCCACGCCATTGCCTCAGGATAGCCCTTGACCCGGTATCGAACGCCTGAACCACACCGCTATCTCCTCCAGCAAGCAGTATTCGTCCATCCCGCCGTAATGCACCAGATCTCGCTGTATCGTCTACACCAAATCTGCTAATTGTCTTGACCAATTTTCTCGTCTTGGTGTTGTATATTTGTACTCTGCTACCAGATGTCACCGCGAAAGTGTCGGCTTGTGCACCAGTAGGTTTGAAGTCGGGTATCGTGATTGAGGTGACTCCAGAATTATGCGGCGATGGCAGCAGAAGTTGATTCTTGAAAGATTTCCAGTATGATTGGTCTGCTGTCAGAGGTGCTGGACCAGGTGGGCCACGCACCAGCGGCAACGGTTGTACTTCTGCCGCCATGATATATGTGTCTCGCCGCTTTACGGTGCTGTCGGCGCATCTGTAGCACATCTGAAAGTGAAGCTTCGAAGACTGGAACTTTTTGAAGTGGAGCGGGATTCGCGGCCGCTAGCGTACCTAGTCCGATCACTCATCAATGATTAATTGATCCAAGCATCCTCCTCTTCATTCACCACTTCATCTGTATGTCTTGACAAGGACTTTGATACAGACACAATGCCTCGCGCCGCCGAAGGTACTTAATCGGTGTCATTTCGCCTGTGTAAATAAGCCTCTGACGAGTTTCCAGGCATTCTCATCGAGTGCGACGAAAGTATCGTTTCAGGCGTCCCTGCAACATGTGCGAAGGTCTAACTGGGAAATAGGCATCAAAGCCATCATCATGAACATAGACTCTGAGCACGGTCACGCTTTCATTATCGAGGACATCGACGACAAGCATGCTCTTATCAAGAAAGAAAGACACTCTGAGCTGAAAGATCTGCTCAAACAGGTTGGTGTCCATGGATCAGTTCCCGATCGCTTACCAAACACAAAAGACTGACACGTTGCCAGCGACTTTCCGACAGCATCCGAGAGCCTGAAGATAGCTCTGACTCTGACTAATCAGCCTGGCTACAGGCTAGATGCAGTATCCTGGCCGCCATTTCTCAAACCCATAGATCATGAAACGAGAACGATAAGCCGGTCCTGTTCTTCACAATCTGGATTTTTGCTCTAGCATACAGCTATAGGAAGTACCCGCAAACTCATCCGCCTCAATACTAAGTCCACCCATCTAAGCCTCAGCACTGCTAAGGCATATCCTTCTTCTGCTCCGCATCAGGCACAGCCTGCACCCACGCGATCCTCTCAGGCGCAAACAACTCGATAGCGGGCTTCGCCGTGTCGAAAGCATCAGGCGAGTCCAAAGACCCGACCTTGATCACCTTATTCTCACCGAAGGTTGCACCATCACGCCACAGAGTGGAGCCACAGTCGCCGCAGAAGTGCGAGGTAATTTCGTTCCCACTGTCGGCTTTCTTGGAGATGGTCTTGTCCTTGCCGGAGGTGACTTTGAAGTTGTTGCCGGGCACGATGATGTTGGTGCTGTAGGTTGAGCCGGTGATTTTCTGGCAATCGCGGCAGTGGCAGAGGGCCTGTGTGGGATGGTGTTAGCGAGGTTCGGCGTTGTGTGGACGACTTCTTAGGCTATCGACGCGACATAGGCTACGTACCTTGGCTTGGATCTCTCCCTCGTAGCTGTACTTCAGCTTCTCGCAGAAACAGGATCCGGTAGGCATATTGGCTTGAGCTTAATGGATTTCTTCGATCTTAACTGGTTGTGTAAGTCGGGAAATTTCGACCTTAATGGACACCTTGATGGAGAAGGATGTTTCACGGCAGACAAGCAGACATCTATAAGTACCTCGCTGTCACTGCTTTCGCGCTACGTCGTCGACAGCTGTTCTGTGGACTACTGGACCAAGGCCAGTAAGGAACTGGAGCTCTAGAAGCGGGGTGTTGAAAGTATGTCTGACGCACAACCACGAATCTCAAATTCTTTTGCTACACCCCTCTATGCGCATCATACCGCGGCGCCATTCGACGCGATGCACCACGAGGCTGCGTGTAGCGTCGTACTGGTTGGACTCTGAAGTGTTTCTAGAGCGCTGATCTGCAGCTACCAGCTGCCTGTTCCGTTCAGCCGGTACTTTGTCTCGGATGGGGTGCCGGAGATCTGAAGCACAACACCAGCACACGCAGCGTCAGATCAAGACGAGGGCGTCGACAACATCCAGGACGAAACTTCTACATATTTCTTCAACCGCGGTCAGAGATGGGACGGTCAAGAGAAATGCTTGATGTTCACGTGCAGCATAAAGACTAGTACAGTAGCAGCAATCTACTGCTCTCGATGTCCCAACTATCCTCTCTACACTAGCCTGGCGTCCTGATGCCTTTGTACGCTGCCGTGGAACGACTGGGACGACGAAAGCAATCTACGATCATCTCCTTCTCTTGGTCATCCTCGCCTTCCTCAATTTGGCATTCCTCGGACCAGCATTCTTGTGGATTCTGGATTGTTTCACCACCGTCGTCGACGGATGTCTCCCATCAGCCCCTTTGACTAGGTTCAACGAGTTGGTGTTGTACTGTTTCGTGAGAGTAGTATCTGTTCGTGCAATCGTGGCACTCGAAATCTCCGTACCACTAAGATCAGGCATGGGTACACTGCTGTAGAGGAAGGGTATACTGATGTAGTGACTTAGAGGCAGCCCAGTCTTTATAACCGGTGGTGCAGGTGCTGCAGGGGGAGGTTTGGGCTTAGCACCGCTCGTGGTGGCGTAGCCTGTCGAATTCTCTACACAAAGCTGCGGATTCGTCCAAGCCGCTTCTGCGGCGTATTTCCAGAGATTCGTAAAATTGTTGAAAGTTGATGGCGTCCAGAAGATCCGGCAATCTGCTGCTAGATACTGCATAGCGAGAGGTGTCGACTCGCTCTCACGAATCTGAGCGCGCAGGCTGATACCGCCTTCGTATATGAAGACGTCCTGATTGGTGTGATTGACTTGACTGATGCTTGAGGTTCCATTGTAAAGCTGTGCATCGATGTACTGCGCATTTTGAATATCTTGGTCAAGCTCGTTCACAGTGTAGAAAGTTGCGCCTCTACTGCCAGATGGCGTCTGCATTGGTCCGTATTGGGGGCGTCCGCCAATGACAACATTGCGAACGCCGGCATCGTGGTTCATCATCTCCATAAACAGGGCACAGGCAGACGAACAAAGTGCCTCTGATAGCTGTAAAGATCTGTTAGTTCTCGTTGAATGTAAGATATGGTCATTGTCTCTGGCGTACCATGATGATGTCTTCAGCTGCGAAGGGAGCTGCGCCAGTATATGGCCTCAGCAGAGCAGGAGGTGGCTCCACAAGATCAAAGCCAGAAAAGTCGAAAGCAGTGTTTGACGTATTTAGACGTTCCACGTCTGTAATGTCTTCGACTCCGTCTGTGTATGGCCCATATAGCTCAGTCCAAGAGCTAAAGTTGGCTCCAGTCGCAGCATTCAATCGGATTGTAGCGATCCATTCGTCAGCTGACACATTGGCGTATAACGCTGGATCCGAGCCAGGCAAGCCCTCCCAGTACCGTGTGATCAAGCTGCCCATGTCGTTCGCAAGCGGATTAGCGCGGCGGAAGCTGCCAGCATATGGATCGATGGAAGGGAAGAAAAGTCGAAACACGGTATATGCCTAGGATTGGGGTATGTGTAAGCTTGAGAGCACTAATTATGGCGTCAGACTCGTACATACCAGCAAGACATCTCCGCCTCCATTTTGTTGAAGGTCAATCACGATCTTCGATTTTCCAGCAGCAGCCGCATCTTGGAGGAACTGCTGAACGGCGTCCACGTATTCTTGAATCGCTGTGTCCACCGCCCAGAATGTCGGAAGGTTGAGCACGGCTACGTTGGAGTCATTGAGCAGATAACCTGTGACATATCCAGAACAACCAAGGTCGGCCTGGGTAACATCAGGCACGGGATAAGCGTACGACAGCGTTAAGTTTGCCCAAGACGAGATGTTTTGACAGGTCGAGTTGTCGTATGTCAATTCAGACAGGTTGGACGAGGCTGGGTAGAACCCAAGTACGAAGGAGTTGTCTGGTAGGATCGAGTCAGTCTCATATCAAAGCGCAACGAGGCCAGGGTAGGGTGAATCGCGAAACATACAAAAGTCACCACCAGTCTCGAGTGGACCAGTTGGGCCTGGATCGCTTTAAACAGCGTAGAACTCGTCCTCAATCTCTGTACCATTCTCCATCGTGTAATTGAAGGTGTCTCCTGGATAGAACGTAGCGTCACCACTCCAGATCGAGAACTGACCAACGATGTCGGCAGCGGGACTGTCGAAGAGTAAATTGTAGTCGGCATGGCTTTCGAGAGTGCCATCAGAGTTCAATGCGGCGAAGCGAGTGAGATAGTCGTACACGTCGGTACCATTGATCTGAACGATTGCTGACGGTTGCCATGATGGATCAGGGTTGGTTTGGTTGAGGACAAGGTCATCTGTGACTTCATCAGTATATTGACAAGGACTGTCTATCGCTGCAGATCGTCGTGCCAGTGAAGTAAACCTTCGGCAGTGCAATGCCGTCCAATGACACGGAGGTAAGACCATTCGCACTACCAAAATTGAAAGAGGACAAAAGGCCCGCAACAAAGCTCAAATGTGCGTCATGAGCTGAGTAGATGAGGTCTTGCAGCGCAGCCTCGAATTGATACTCATTCGCGAAGCCATTGTTATTAGCTTCATCCTGGATGGCTTGTAGTCCGGCAAGAAGGTCCACTGCTGGCTTTTGATAACCGCTGGGCGGCTGCTTGATGTATTCGAGCGTGCTCTGGAACTGTAGCGTATCGTTCCAGTATTTGATCAGGCGAATGCCCACAGCAGGGTTGAATGGGACAGTCCGCCAGCAATTGTGGAAGTCCGGGATAATTTCCGACTCATCGAAGAAGACCTGACCAGTCTCATCGGTAGACTGAAGTATCTTGAAAAGCGGCTACGTGACTCCACGCAACAGAAAAGGCCTGTCATGGATCCGAGCGAGGTTCCCGGGGTTACTCGTCTTCGGACAATGGCCGCGAAAGGTGGTGAGCTTGAACTTCTGAGTGCGAGACTTCAGAGTCTGCAGAATGTTGGATTGAGTATGCAGCGGTCCCGCCTCCAAGGCATCAAAGATAAAGCTCTGTGGAGTTGGCATAAAGACAAGTTCGAGGCTGACCAAAAGAGTACCCTGCAAAAACTTGGCCATATCCGAGCGCGTTTGTCAGATGATGATTTCGAAGTCAACTTGAGTAGTAACACATTATTACAAAACATAGCATCTCGGAAGCAGGGAAAGCGTATCATCAGCACATTAGACTGGATCTGCCGCGATACCATTGACAGGCCATCCTTTCCTGCTTCAACAATCGCGAAGGATAACATCAGTTTTGTGAAGGCTGATGACATGTACAACCAGTGGCGAGAGGATGAGTCCTGGCAATTCAACTGCTATGGCAGACCTGGGAGTGGTAAATCTTTGCGAGCGCAGGCCGTGCTAGATGACTTACATGCCAGGGAGCGTGCTGGCGGTACGCCTGTCCTCTCGTTATTCTTCAATCGGCAATTCGAGTCTCGGTAGACATTGGGTAATGTGGTGCAATGCTTGCTACGTCAAGCGCTTGGTAGCCGTCGGCCAGTACGTATCCCGCAGGTCATCGCCGACGCGTATGACTCTGCAAAGGTCGGAGGTAGTACTTCACAAGATCTCGAGCTCGAGATGGTTCGAGATGCCTTACGCCAAGAACCTTCTACTATCGGCAAGATTGTCCTCGTGATTGATGCTATCGACGAAGTCGGAACAGCTCAATCAGAGGTCGAGACAGAGATTCATCAACTCCGAGACATGGGTGTGTGTATCTTCAGCACCGATCGGCGAGTACCACGTAATAGCTACCATCGAGTGGTGTGCTTCCACTGTCAAAGAGGTCCGTTGGATTTCTACTGGCGTTGTCCAAGATGCATAGGCTATCTCCAATATCCACTGGATGTTTGTCGAAATTGTGATACGCTGGGTAAGAGGTGCAAGGAGGCTGCTCATCAAATGAAGCCATTCGGGAGGTTGCATCAGGAAATCACGGCTTCTCTGCAAGACGTTACAAGTTTCATCAACGCATTTGTCGCTAAAGAGCTGCAGAATGGGGACGTTGGAGAAGACGATGGTTCCATGTTTGAGGGCTTTGTGCCTGCTCTTTCCACACTACAGTCCGAACTTGGCGCAGACTTCTGGACCACACTTCCGGCCACGGTTCACGATGCTGCCAACGGTATTTTCATCCACGTGCAGCTTTTCATGCAGCAGTTGAAAGCCCAGCATAATGTCGATGGAATCAGAGAACTACTAAGGAAGCTCACAGACGGTACTATGGACGATTTTGACCAGCAATATAACATGATGCTGGACGTGTGTATCAAGCAAACGCATCCGGCGTCGGCCAAGGTCGCACGGAACCATATGAGCTTGGTCTCCTGCGCTTACGAGATCCTTGCATTCGATCAATTATCGCATGCCACAGCCGCGAAGTACAAGTATAGGGCTTCGAAAGATCTTGCTGGAAGGCGGACTATCAAAGACCTCGTACGGCGGGATACGCAAGGTCTGCTAACTCTAGAGAGCACGGGCAAGGTCGAATCGTTTCCGGTCGTGTTCTTCCACCAATCCCTGTCAGTATACATTCATGAAAACAGATCGAGATTGTTTCCAGATGCGCCACAACAGATGTTCGATGCATGCATAGCCTATCTGTTGCTTGATGCCTTTCGCCAGCCGTTCGCTTCTGTGCAGGAAATGGATAAAATTGTGGAAGAGTATCCTTTTGCATCGTATGCAGCGCGGTACTGGGGTTGGCATGCCAGAGACGTTCCTCAGGATATACGGAATTGCTCAAACCTTCTTAAGCTTCTCGGTGATGAAGCACGACTACACTGCATCATGCAGGTAGCATGGCACAGTCCTGTAATGCGGGAGGGCGCCTGGGATGTTACGGGAGGCATCAGGCCATTGCACTGTGCAGCGTTCCACGGCCTCACGCCATTATGCCATGCTTTGCTCGAAGCTGGGTGCGTAGTCGACCCAGAAGAGAGTACGTACGGCCAGACGCCACTCATATACGCTTGTCGCAATGGGCACGAGGAGACTGTCAAGCTGTTGCTGAATCGCGGCGCCAATTGCAACCATGCACCTATTGCTGGCAACACACCACTACTACAGGCTATCGAGCATGGTCATCTGGCTGCTTTTAGGGTGCTCATGAATCAGCCGGAACTAGACGTCAACAAGCGTGGCCGGGGAATGGTGTGTAGAACTCCCCTGGGCACCTCTGCAAAGACAGACGAGGCCGAGATAACGAAAGAGCTCCTCAAGGCAAAAGACATCGATGTAAACAGAACTGATGGCGCAGGGTGTACAGCATTGGCGAGAGCAGTGGACAGTATCGCCGTTGACACTGTGCGATTATTGCTTGCAGACGACCGTGTCGATCTCAACATCATCGAGCCCCTTGGTTCTCGTACGGCCCTCGACAAGACTACGGATCACGGCTTGGACTACTTGCAAGACTCTGCCAATATATGTGCTATCGCAAAGATGCTGCTTGAAGATCGACGGCGGCCGCAGGTATCTTCCCAAGCAATTACGAACGTCATTGAGTCGGAGCATCATAAAATCGAGCTACTAGAATTACTGGCCGCTGCTTCGTCGAGTCTAGACCATACAGATGAGTACGGTCGTAGCTATCTGCATCTCGCTGCAGCTGGCAACCACGCTGACGTCCTCGAGTCACTACACCGAGCTCTAGCTCGCCAGCCTGGCTTTAACCTCGATATACAAGACATGTTCGGAGCCACGGCTCTACATCTGGCCTGTCGTGAGGTTGCGCTAGAAAGCGTGAAGACCATTCGATATCTAATTGATGCAAATAGCGATCTTTCGCTTCTAGACCATCAACGACGACCCAGCTTTGCTCTGGCTAGGAGTGCGTCGGAGAAGTACTGGAAGTCAGATATCAGAGCACTGTTCGCCGCTCGTGTTGCGCCAGACATTCTAGATGCGAAACCGACGGAGACACGGACCATAAAAGCCATTATTAAGGTGGGCCATCGTGCAGCACTGGAGTCTGCTCTTTCGTCGCTCAAGGCACCTCTGGATCCTGAGAGAGATCCTTACACGAAGAGCACGATTCTTCACCAAGTCATGGATTTACATGATGGTGATAGCCGCCATGACATGCTGCGAACGATTTTACCATACTCTGGACACTTTATCAGCGCCGCTAACAACTACGGACGTACTTGTGCTCACATTGCCACTCTATCAGGAGACCTTCTGAGTCTTGAGCTCTTGGTCGAGCATGGCATTGACAAAGAGGTGAAAGACAAATACAACCTGACCGCTTTCGAGCTCGCTCAAATGTGGCAGCAGCACAACATCTGCATATTTCTCATCAACAGAGATGCACAGCTCCCACCACGCGGGCAGCTTTCCCAGGAGCTCATACATGTCGCAGTGAGCCTTGGTGATCTCACAGCACTTGAAAGGCTCGTAAGAGCAGGGCTCACGATACAACAGCGCGATGATGCTCTGAACACTACCGCATTGCAGCGTGCGGAAGCGCTACTGCAAGATGCACTACAAGAGGCCACCGATGATATCTGAGACCAGAGGCGAGTCACTCAATATGCCTCGTCTGAGCAGTTCGCACAAGCCAAGGCAGACGCACCCATGGTTGTCAGAATGCAAGCAGTCGTCACATATCTGAAAGAACAATCACGAACAAAGCTACGGGACTACGACTCGGAGCGGCCAACGTACATCACGGAGCTGCTTGAGCGATGGAAGGGTATGGAACCAGGTACATTGCTGGCAGACATACCCACGAAGCTCGGGCTTTCAGCAGACGCACGATCGCATGCGGCGGATGTGTACGACACACAACGAGAGCGGGCTGCACCAGCGGATCAGATTCAAAATAGATCGGAGAAGCCAGCGGCATTCCAGCATACTCTTGTGAATCTGTCGATCAACGGTGTGATCCCGCCCGCCAACTATACTGCCCGGAACGATGTGGTTGTTATTGTGATCACACTTGCGGTGGCTTTGGTGGCTATCGTATGGCTGCTCGTCTCCCGATGATCATGCACAGTTGGTTCGTGATCGTTCTGGACGTCGTTGGCACGAGTATGTCGTCAACGATAGAGGAGTTCCATCATCCATTACTCAAAGCAAAAAGCGTTACGCAATAGTAGGATATGACGCTTGTAGCTGCTCCCAGCCTAGAAATCCTTCATTATCTTGACAACAGGACCTTGATAGACTTTGCGTGCGTGTACCAGGTAGTTGACAACACAGATGACGGCGACGCCACCAAACATTGCGATTCCCCAATTCATCTGCACTGGTGTAACCCTGCGATCGGTCAGTCAAATTGAAAACATTGAGAGTAACTCTGCGGGTGAGACAAACTGGCCGAATAAAGGGAAGAAGCTGATGACTGTCTGGAACAGCTCAAACAAGAAAGCTACGGTGTTGATGGCAACGCCAAAGCGGCCCAGTGACCAACGAGCATGGCAGTGGTGCGCCATAGAGACGGCGCCAAAGAACAGATCCAATGGAGATGGCATAGGTGAGTCCGACGGCTCCAGTCATCAAGCCAATGATACTGTTGAAAATTTCAGAATCTCCGAAATTGAGCAATGCCACGACTACGAGGATGCAGAGCGACGTGATCATGGCATTAAGCGGGAGTGGTGTCGAGTTAATCGAGACGACTTTTGTGAACCAGCTTCGGGAGAAGGGCAGTCCATCTGTTCAGCAGGCACTTTTATTAGTAGGGTTAATGATATCGTTTTGTAAAGTAGATCTCACCGTCCCGCGCGAAGGACCATGCTTGCCGGGACGCAGCGGCCGTAGCATTGATTGTCATGCTGAGTGTCATGACAATAATCGATACAGTCATCCCGATGCCGCCAGCGGTCGAATTTGTTGCCGTAGCGAACACGCCAATAAACGGGAATGGCGAAGTTGTCCCAAGGATCTGGTCTTCGACTAATTGAATCGAGAGCACGTAGGTGATCACCATGATGAAGCCAGTTACACCGTTGAGTAGAATAGTTCCCATCATCATCCTCGGCACCGTGATGGATGCATCCTTCACTTCTTCACTCATATGGACGGCACTGTCGACACCCTGCCCGAGGATCAGTCAGCTTGTATACCAAACCAGCATGTATTATTCTCACGATGAAAGCAGCCGATGCCGCCATCTGCCCAACGATTACACCACCACCAAGGCTTGACCATCCCCCGTAGTTCTCGAAGTCTCCAAAGACCGCACTCAGTGGTGCTTTGGGTGCTAACACCCACAAAGGAATGCAAATTACAAAGAATCCAATGATGTAGAAGAATAAAATTGCGCCCTCCTAAGACAATGTTAGTGTGAACCCACGAATGTGCCAGAGATGTTCGGTCTGTTGCACTTACGAATAGTGGTAAACGCTTGGCTCCGAATGCGTTGACGGATATGGCGAAGACACCGACCTTTATAACAGTGAGTAGTTGTCTCAGATAGTAAGGAATGACAACAATCCACTCACACCCATGGTCAATAGTGTGATCTGCCAGACCTGTGGTGTGTACGACGGAAAGTTCATGGCTGCTACAGTCAAGATTGTGGCCGCACTTTGGAACGCGGCAGAAGCAATGAAAGCCTGCCAGCCAAGAGCAGACAGCCATCCGGAGATGGAGCTCAGGAACTTTTGCATGCTTGGAGGCGCAAACTCTGATACCTTCGAAGTCGTCAGTGGAGCTGATCGATGTGCTTGTGGATTGAGGAATCTTGCCCAATGATATTGACCGCCAGCAGTCGGGACCATAGATGCCATCTCAGCCATCGACGCAACGACGGGGATGGTGAGGATCCAGGTCGCGAGAAACATCCATATGGTGCCCTGCACTATTCAGCGACAGTTGAGCTATTCGAGGACCACTGCACTTACGGCTCGGCCGCCGTTGATCAGAGAGAATGTGCTCGTACTGAAAAGCTGGGTGAGTCATTTATTCTTCATTCGTGGACAAATCTCTATACCTCAAGATGCCCATCCATGTACTCATGATAACGCATGTCAAGCCCAAAATAGAGATGGAGTGGAAGTTTCTCTGTACAGTGTTTTAGCTATGCTCGTCACAACGCTCAACCTCCATGATCTTCGTACCTTGAGCTCCTGCCTTTTGCCCAAACGTTGCATGTCGGCATGATCCTGGCTTGATCCAGCCATATCGCCGTCTCGCATTGGACTACCATCGGCAACTGCATCCGCACGCATCTCCACGCCATTTTTCTTGATGTGATGGCGAGCCATGGTAGTCAGGGTGAAAACAACCAAATACAGACTGAGCACAACGACACTGCTCTGGGCTTGAGCACGAAGGTCCGGAAGTAACAAGAAAGAACGAAAGCTGCCACAACAACTACAGAAGCTGGGAACTCCTCAGTTGCGAGGAGCTGTTTCGACCAGGTACGCCAGTAAGGTTTTGAGCCGCTCACCCAGCCGCGGAAATCCTGGTTGAGAGCCAAGATACATTGCAATATGGAGGTAGGATCAAGGCCACCCGGTACGTTAGCCGCATCACGAACGAGCGCCGCATATAGGAAGAGGCCTCATCGTCCATACGTGCTCGGACAGGGCATATGGATAAAAAGGCTTTCTTGTTTGGGGTCCAGGATGCCGGCGTGGAGGCGGGAGGAAGCATGCAGCCAAGAGCCCCTTCGTCTGGTATTAATGGAGTGTCGTGGTGTTGTCTGACCAGAGAAGTCTACACTTACACAGCCGTAATGCGTAATCGCCTTCCCGTGGAGCGGTACCATAGCGTGGTTGGCTGCTAGGTTCCATCAACCGTCACTTCGCTCGAGTGTTCACGCCGTCCACGGAGCAGGATTCAGGCGTGTCACAGTCCGTGAGCTTGTCTCCATCACACGTCGGGTGTTCGCTCACGGTCCACGCGACGTGTTATCATATGATTCTAACAGCAACGTCCCAGCGTCCTCACCTTCACTCGGCTGGTGTTGAGAGGGAAACTACACAGCAGCTCCCTGAATAATTCCTGTCAGGCGCTAGGACCAAAGGAGACAGTTCACACAAAACCTCACGTTGTGATGCCGAGATCTCGCTTCCACACGGCATCAAGGCACCAATTAGCCGCTGCAGGAACTCCGTCAAGTCATAAAGTATATCATCTAACACTATAGTAACTTGCTGCTTATGCGGGACGGCGACCATGGCCTTCTTCCGAGCCTCCTCGAGTAATTCACGATTGGCTTTACCCTCTCCTTCGTCTCGGGCGCTGCCATGGCCTCGATTGATTGCATGATGCCGTCTTCATCTCAACATGTTGGCCCGTCTCATCACAAAGATCGGCCCACCGGACGCACTGTATAGCATGGCTTGACACTGGGTTGTAGGGTCGACTCCAGGCTCTGGGGTCTGGAGAACAACCAGGTTGCCATGAAAGTGGTCGTGAAATGATGACTCTCCTCCGGACTTGTGTCGCCTGCCGTTCCCAACGTTGCTACGAAAGAAGTGCTCGTTATGATTGAACTTGTACGACATATTGCGGCCTCAAGCTACCCATTGGTCAACGACAAGAATCATGGACCCATTATCATAGTGACAGCAGCCTTCTGCACCACATTATCGTTACTTATATTCCTCGCGCGACTCTTAACTCGGTGGCCATGGCGAAGTACCATCATATCAAGCCTCAGGGTTTTGTCCTATTAGACTGACAACAGACGCAGGCTTGTTCGGCTTGGACGATGGCACGACGACATTGGCCACCGTGCGTGAATCCATACCTATTCATGGACTCGAAGGACAATACTGACCTCGGGCACAGTTTATGGCAGTCATACAGTCAATAATTGCAATACGCGCAGTCGACATAGGGTATGGTAGCCACAATGCAGATCTATCGGCAGACATGGTCACAGCAATCGAAAAGGTAGTAGCACATCCCACGCATATCTGACAATTCACCTTGCCGTCTACACGACACTGATAATCGAGCAGATGCTCTTCGCCAGCGATCTCCTGTTCGTTCTAGCCGTCTTCACAAGCAAGCTCTCGGTAGCACTCTTTCGCAACCGCCTCTCAAGCTCGCCAAGACATCGAATGATGTCCTATGGCCTGGCAGGACTTTGTGCTGCACTTGGCATCGTTGCCGTCTTCGTCGTAGCTGTCAGACCAGACTTCTCTCGACCATGGGTTGTGCTGCCCCAGCTGGCTATCACTACTGTAAGTTCCAGCTTCTCGATGATGTATCCTGATGTTGATATCAGTGTGATCAGATGAGCCGCTGGGTGGCCTATGCAGTCTTAGGTAACATTCTCGATATCCTGATCGTTGGCTTTCCAGTATATCTGGTATGGGACCTCCAGATGAGTAGTTCTAAGAAGATAACGGTTGTCTCTGGGTTCGTGGTGCGATTCGTGTAAGTCCAGAAACCTTACAATTACATCTTTCGGACAGCGCAGCTGACCTCACCTCAACAGACTACTTCCTATCTCCATTCTCCGCCTCCTTGCCCTCTCTCCAGCCCTCCACAATACCAATTACCTCTTCGCATCCGTCGAGGCAGGAACCTGGACCCAAACAGAACAATGCTACGCAATCCTCAGCGCCACAACCCCCTGCCTCCGCATCTTCCTCAGCGCAGCACAGACCGGTCTTCTGAACTTGGAAGCCACGAGTGACGGTGGCGGAGCATACTACGCCAATGGCTCGTTCTCGCAACCTTTGTCACGATCTCGCGATAAGCGTCTGCGGAGTACTAGGATACAGGGCCATGGGTATGGTGGCCTGAGTGGGAGTGCGGCCATGAGTGGTGGTGGCGGGAGTAGACATTCTATTGAGCTTGCCACGAGGCAGCGTGGTGAGACTTCCGCGCGGGTCGTGGGCATGGGGTCGAGGCCGGGTATGCGGGATGATCAAGTGAAAAGTGGAGATGACAGGGGCTCGATGGCTAGCGATTCTTCGGAACGAGCTATTGTGGTGAGGCAAACTATTGATGTTAGGGTACAGAATTTGGACGGGTCGTCTGTGAGGTCTCTTGGGAAGGGTTGGAAAGGCATGGGTAGATGAGCTCGAATGGAGATGTGCATGTTAACATTTGTGATGGGACATGGTGAGGCAGATAGTGTACCATAAGATGGGAGGATAAGTAGGGAGTACGTCACAAGCAGAAGTTCTGTCAAAAGTGTCTGCCCGCCCTCGAGGGCTTTGGAAGTCCCGCAGTATGGTGCCAACATGCCTGCACGGCTATGTGCGCAACACGTAGTTTACCCCTGTCTCGCACAACAGCACCACGCCATGACCTCACCAACCCCTCAGGCCTCTCCACCCAACCTCGCCAACTCGTTCAGAAAGCTCTCCGCATTAACCAGCTCAGTACTCCCGTAAATGACTCTCTTCCTGCTGACCGCGCCCGCCGCCCCACCAGCCGCCCCACTAGTCCTCTTAGCCCACTCCTGTAAATTTCCATACTCGTCCATACTGCCTCCTCCAACCGTGAACACGATGGCCTCACTGAAGCCTTGTCGTCTCTGGCCAAACGAAGGGTCGATGCCGCGGCTTGGTGCCGTGCCAGATCGTGAGTCCTTGGCACTAGGTGGCATTGTGCCGCGAGCATTAGCTGAGCGAGGGTCGAAGTAGAGGAAGCCTTCGGTCTTCTGTAGGGCGGAGGTCGAAGCATTTTGAGGATCCATTAGCGATTCGGTGATCTTGGTTACTGTCAGGTCTTTGTTAACCGGCATGAGATTCTTGACTCCTGAGATGAGGTTGTCGAAGTTGGCGCCACCTAGTCCGGCGTCCTTGAGGCGGTCTGTGAGTCGAGAGGAGATGGAGGAGAAGCCGCGGAAGAGGTCGTTTGAGGCGGAAGGTTGTTGAGGCTGTGAGATGGGAGCGGAGGAGATCATGGTCATACGGGTGATCTCTCGTACGCGACGGATGTATGCCAGAGGTAGTGTGTCGATGTCTGCTTGCTTCAACGCCTCCTCGAACTTCTCCATGTCCGCTCGGGAGACTTCTTGCTCCGTACTCAGGAACCAGATGATGAATAGACGAAGCTTGTCCAGCGGCTGATTACCTTTGTCGGCATCAATCAGAAGCTCAAGCATTTGTGCTTTGGTCTGCTTTTTGATGTCCTCCTCGAGCTGAAAGAAATTGTCGAGCTGACGATCTTTGATACCCTTGAGGAGTTCTGTCGCAATGTTCATGTGCATGTCTAGCAGTGCCTTTCGTTCTCGCAACTCTGGCAGTAATGTGATGGCCGCCTTCAGGTGCTGTGCCGAGGAGCTCGTATCGTTTTGTAGATCCTCGATCGAGCTTGCGCCCGTCTTCTTCGTCACCTCCGCAGCATCATCTGTGTACTTCTTGAGGTCGGCGTCTAGGTCTTCCGCAACCTGTGGGAATGGCGCACCAGCGTTCTTCTTCCAGAAGAAGTCGCTAGTCGTCAGATCATATGATCGTTTGGCCCCAGGCTTTCCGTCTTCGGATGTGTCAAGGGTGATGCGATTGAGGTGCATTGTCAGCACATCGTGGATCAGTGACTGGTATGTCCAAGAATGTGAGAGCATAGGCACCAAGTCGACATTGCGATCAACTATGATCAGTACTGGACGAGAAGAGGTCGTGCTCGACGCGCCTGCTCGACTTGCTGAAAAAAGGTTGTCCTTGGAATTGAGAATATGGTCGCGAAGCTTTCGGTCGAGTTTCGCAGCTATCATCTCAGCAGCACCAGCTTTGGGACAGCGTATTATAGGTATCGTGCCTGTACAGTGTACATCAGTATCTTGAATTGTCGATGTGAATGTCACAACATACCCATAGTCACAGACACGCTGAACAGACCGCTCACGATCCGGTCAATATTTGCATCAAGATCATCATCGCTCGTCTGCGCACTGTTCATTGTCCAGTAGGTTTCCTTGCCCATACCAAGGCTGAAAAGACTTGGTTCACTGACAATAAAGTTCAGATATTGGTCGAACACTTGGCTGATATACTCTGATGTCCCAGCTTGTGCTGTCTGTGTTGCAAATTCCTCCAGTAGTGGCCGTGGTATTGATGAGAGGAAGTTGATGTGAGCAGGAGAGTACAAGCCCTTCTGCAGATCTTGTGTCATCTTCTCCAGGTTCGCCGCAGTGGGCTCAAGCATGTAAACGACCGGCACATCGGGAATGGGATGTCGTTGCTGGTTGATGTTTCTGGTCCGTTCCTGTCAGCGCTTGCTGCTGGCTTGATTCTCAGCATGAGTTGCGCTAGCAATAGCGAACACTGCCCGAGACGTACAGGTGTATAGTTATGCCCCACCCCCGCAAGTCGTTCACCCTTAGCACACTGCTGATCACATCTCTTCCCAAGTTGTCGAATACCAGCACTTTCCAAACTGGCTCTCCATTGGCACCGACTATCGATGCAGACAAAGCAGTCAGACCATTCGACTCATGATGCGTATCATTGCCATCTTCTGCAGGCGTCTGATTGAGGTTCAGTACACGTTTAATAGCGGCTGTTCAATCAGTATATGTCCTCTGTGCGCAGGTCTTGGTATACCGACCTACTTGTCGATCACGCAGAGTATGGTAGGACATGGTGAAGCTTGGGCTGTGGCGTAGCCAGATTCTGCGTCGCGCAATCACCGTAGGAATCTAAACATGTTTGTCTCTTGCCACCCAGCAGAATGCAACGTATGCGGTTGTCGAAATGTTTGCCTTGGATTCAGTTTGGTGGATACACGTTGTTCATTCGTGAACATGTGACGGAGCGCTCGGACTTTGTTCCGTGCCGCCACTAGCTTTGTTGCCTCATTACTTGTGCCTTTTCCGCGTTTCTTCTTGTCATCAACACCGACATCAATCTGTACACACGAGCGTCATCACGCTCACCCCCTCGCTTGCCCTGCCCGTCTTCCCTTTCTGCTACTGTTTGCCAACCGGCGGCTGCGTGACTAACAGATCGGCGGGCGTTTGGCGTGCCAGTCGTGAGGGCTCGCCTCTTACTCAGATCGCGCCCGTGGGCTTCAGTGACCGCATTAGCGACCATTGTTGCTCACTTCAGAACCTCTTCTTGCTACTTAAAGTCAAATCGAGCACGTATTGAGCTCACTCCTGGCCAGCGCGGCATTTTTAAAGTCGTTCGCTGTGCAGACTGGCGTAATCACGTACCTCACTGCTAAAGCACGAAGGGTGGGCAGGTGGCTGGTATTAAGTGAACCTTGACTATTCTCAGCGTACAGCGTGGCATACCAGCACTACGGCCATTGCGAAACACGACATCACGAGATACGCACGCCTACACAATACAAACGGTCTCACCATCCCGAGACGTGGAGCCACGCCGCCATAGATTATTGAACACGCATTGCAGCAAAGTCTGTCATCACAAGCTACGGTTCTTCCCGTGCCTCACGCACAGACCACGTGCCACTTCACACGAACGACTTGAGTCGAGATGGATCAGGCACCGCGGAGTGATAATGATGGCTACAACAATCTGTTTCCAGATAGTCAGACATATCATGCATATGACCCATCTTTCCTGAACGGCGATCCAACACTTCCCGACGCTAGCTGGGGCATAAACGCCAGCAGTCAATTCCTGGACACAAACTCGTCACGTGTCCAACAGCCCATGCCAAGCTGGCAGGCGAATGCGAACCACTTGTCTACCACTTCCGCACAAAGCGATGCATACTCTCGATCCCTGTCACACAGCCCAGTACCTTTCGGACAGAACAACTTCAGTAACTATGCACCGCCGAATACTGTGCAATACCGTCAACAGTCAACATATGATCCGGCACTCTTCAGCACTGCAGCCTCCGGACAGAACTTTAACGCCAGCTATGGAGGCTACAGCAACCAAAATTTGGGTACGATTGCACCGCAAGCATTACAGCATAGCGCTCCCTCTCCAGCTCCCAATGATAATGCATATGCTGGGATGAACTATCCTCAGAACAGTTTTGGTCAGCAACGCAATGCCGCTGCCCTAGCGCCTCAGAACATCGACCAGAGAGCACTGTGGGCTTCGATACCGAATGGCGTCGATGATGGCTACATGTCCACCATCAACTTTGACCAGATGGTCCGCGCCACCAACAGCGAGCGCATGGCACCATACCTCACTATTGGCAAGGAGACGCAAGAATGGCCCCTCAATCGGACGACCACAATCCCTGCTTATGGGCCTCGGAAATCGAAGAACGATCTTCGCAAGCTGGCCGGTAACGATGCTGCTCTGCTGGCTAAGATCGGGAAGAAGTCGCTCAAGAAGGAGAGACAATCGCCACATTTCGCTAACATCAAGAGTGGAGGCAGCCCGCAAGAGCGCATCAAGTACGATGGCGAATCTTCTAGCAGCGAAGAGCCTTCAGATGATGATGACTCTTCCTACACTTCAGATGAAGATCTCGAGCCCTCACCACTACCCACCAAGCGTCCCGACTCCCCTAGGGGTGCTGTCGAGTATGACACCATCAAGGCGTTGTGGAGATCAAAACGTAAGTCGATCCCCGCAAAGGACATTCGGCAGGCATTGGTGGATTTCTGGGAGATTGTGAAGACAATCCGAGACCGTTGGAAGACGGATGCTGCGGCAGTCGTGGAGGCGGAGAAGAAAGGACGTACAGGTGAATTACCACTACTCGGCAGTAGGGTGAAGGATCAGCGAGATATGGTGGAGGTAGCGCTCAAGGCAGCGCTCAAGCACGGTCACCGTAGTATAGTGGAACTGCTTGGGGAGAATGCTTCGCTCGTGTTCTTATGCTACCAATTCCTTCTCGACCGCTTCAAGGTCGAGGAGTTGAACGGTCCTCTAGCCCGCACTATTCTCGAACTGATGAGCTCTTTCACAACTGTGACTGAAGAATTGCTGGAGAAGACCCACCTTGATAAAGTGCTTCCACGATTCGTCAAGAAAGGCGATGCAAAGACGCAGTACTGGGCCAAGCGTATCATCGCCAACGCGGCGACCGCGACGAAGCAGAAAGCTACGGCCAGCCCTGTTGAGAAGGCGGACACGACCTTGAAAGATGTAAAGATCGCATCACCACAACCGAAGCGAGCAGAGCCCGGTCCAGTCGCAGGCGTTAAGCGTGCGGCAAGTAATGTCGGCGAAGGCAGCGCTCTGAAGAAAGTCGCCACCACTGCACCGAAAGCGAATGGTCCTGCTTCTGCCTCTACCACAAAGACGAATCCGCTTATCAAGAAAGCCACGGCAGCAATCCAGCCTGTTAAGACTATCGTACCAGCTGCGAAGCCGAAGCAAGTGGCTGCGAAGCCTTCATCGAGCTTCTTCTCGAGTCTGTCGGCCACCAAGAAGCCGGGCACATCTATCAAGAGTGGCACACCAGCTCAAGCTGCAGGAGTCAAGGCGCCTGAGAAGAAGCCAGTGGCTAGTACCGTACCGAAGTTCTCCTTTGCCGAAACCATGGCTACCATCTCCAACAAACCGAAAGAAGAGAAGCCTACGACGACCAAGCCAGAGAAATCATCACCACCCGAGTCACCGGAGCAGAAGGCGAAGAGGCTGAGAAAGGAAGCCAGGCGCAAGCTGCACGTGGCATTCAAGGTCGGCGGTGAGCTGGAGCAGATCAAGTACTTCACCCACGTGCCTGAGGAGGAAGAGGGACACGATGACAGTCAGATGCGCGATGTTACTGATGTCGGTGGCGAGGGACGTATGCTGAAGATGCATGCTGCTGATCAGATGGATATCGATGATGAAGAAGAGGAGGACGTTGTGCAGTCGCTTGTTGACTTTCGTCCGCCGCACCCGATCGACTTCAGCGTCATTGACTTGGAGGAGCGCGATCGCAACTACGTTCAGCGTGGTGGCAAACTTGAGCCGGAGTCTGCTGAGCGTGCTGAGCGTGAGCAGTACGAGGCTGACACGCTTATTGTATTCTATACCGAGGAGAAAGATATCCCGGCAAACCCACGCGAACCGAGCGACCAGACTTCCGACGCGCCACCGAGTGAGATCAAGCAGATCGGACAGCCAGAGAAGAAGTACGCGGATAGAGCCAAGCACAGGAAGGCGATGCAGCCGCAACGTTACCAGACGGCACAGCCCCCAATGCAGAATCCACCATTCGATCTGTCTGCTCTCGGCCAGTTCGTCAATCATCAACAACAAGCGGCTCACCAAGCTCAGCTGCCGACTCAAGCGCCGCAATTGCCTGCTAACGTGGACATCTCCAAGCTCCTGGCCAGCTTGCAGCCCTCTATGCAACCACAACATCAACCCCCACCAACCATGACCATGCCTCCATTCCCACAGTTCCACCCTCAAGCACAACCACAAATGGCACCACCTCAACCCAACGGCCAAACCCTCGACATCGCCTCCATCCTCGCCGCCATAGGAGGCGGTGCTACTCAGGCTCCGACGATGGGTATGCCGGCTTTCGGTGGTGGTGCTGGCGGTGTTCCGCCACCTATGGATGGTAGTATGGATGGGGGTGTGGATGGCGGGAGGAGCAGGTGGAGGGATCAGGGGGATGGAAATAAGTTTTATAAGACTAAGGTGTGTAAGTATTGGCAGGAGGGAAGGTGTATGAAGGGGGATGGGTGTACTTATTTGCATGAGGATGGTGGGTCGTAGGTGGAGGTAATGGGGGAGAGGGAGATGGTGTGAGGGGTGAGCAGAGGCACAGGGAGGGATGGGCGTGAAACAAGCAAGACGTTAACGGCCGCAAAGTCCAGTGGCTTTTGCATCGTACAGCGTGCGGTGCGCGGTATTGAATCTACAGACGTGGCTTCGTGGCATATGATACTGCTACAGTGAGCTTGACAGGGCATCCATATAAGATGCTCCGTCTACAGGCGACATATAGCTCGATGCTTGTATGCTGTAAGAGCTGTATACTACATAGCCATACGATACTGAGAGATACTATTCGAAATAGTGTCATCACCCCATCTGCTTCATCGTCCGTCCTTCCTTCACACTGGCATAGATGTATCCTCCCCGAACAGAACCCCCCCCACTCCACGCACGTCAAGCGGTAAACTCTAAACGCGATAGGCGCCATCATTCTGAACTTCACACACCCTCATATCTTCCACCATCCTCATACACCACAACCCCTCTAATCTACAATACCACCCTCTCCACCCAGCTAATCATGCGCCGCATAATCTACGGCATCTCCCTCTGGGCCTTCCTAGCAGCCGCAGCCTGCACCCTCGCCGCCCTTATCCTCCCCTCCTGGATCACCTACACCTCCCCCACCAGCCCCAACGACTCCCCAATCCGTGTCTCCTACGGCCTCCATAAACGCTGCTCTTCTATCACGGGCCAATGTACTCCCTTTCCTGCGCATGAGGATTGTTTGGGCAAGGATAAGGCGTTTTGTAGTCTGTGGAGGAGCGCGGGGTTTTTGATGAATTTTGCAGTGGTGCTGGAGTTGGCTTGCCTGGTTGCTTTTGTTACCGTGTTGGTGGGGGGGAGGAGTAGTAGGGAAGGGGGGTGGAAGGTGCTGAGTGGGCTTCTGGGGTTGGTTGCGGTGGGGCAGATGGTTGCTATGGCTTTGGTGGTAGGTATTCGTTCTCTTGCAGAACCCAGAGACGCTCGTGTTATGGGAGAGCTGTTGTGCTGGTGGGAGAGCTTATGCTGACTTCGGTGGTGTCTTAGGCCTACCTTTACGATCACGATAATAGATTCTTTGTGGGCTGGGAACTGGACAAGGCGTGGATATTGTGTACCGTGTCTTGGACTGTGCTTGCGATCGACGCTCTGGCACTCATGGTGGCGAGATTCACGTTGCCAAAGGAAGACGACTACGAAATGATACCCTAGTCACGGTGATCTGATGCCAGAGGAATCTACACATTGGCCGAGAATTTCAAGGTTGTAGGCAATGTCTGCTGAAGCACATATTTGGCCTTCAAAGGCACGGCGTAATGAATGCACGGCTGGCTTACTGATTGAGGATACCCTTCTATTGCATAGAGACCTAATATACAGATTCAAGACACTGGTCGCGCGAGTCAAACATCCTTCAGCACTCCATCACATGACTAAGCCTATCACTACTCACACGCTCTTTTGCGGGCAAATCCATCTGAGCACTTTTCCGTGATCTGCACAGAATGAAGTGCTGGATCCACGCATCAAATCTACACCAACTGCGTCTTTCGCACAGGGATGAACCGTTACGGGAGCTCTTGAAACCCCGCCGACTATGACGGGACACCCAACCTACACTGAATAGCACAGTCGGTCTTCCCTTGCGAGCGAATTGGGTGAGCGGGATTCTAGACATGCACAGGCTTCACTGGATCTAGAAGGCGAGTACTTGAAACGTGCATGAATTTGTCCAGCCTTTTCAGACTCATTTACTATGACAAGAGACACCACATCCCTAGATTTCAGCTTGTTACAGATAACATGCACACTTCTCTTTGTCTATCCAAGACTCGCAATGAATGCTGGTTTGACTATCTGCTCTGGTCCGAGACACTCCGTGCTGCGGCAGTTAATCGTAGGTGGCATTAACCATAAGTTTGACCGTCGTCTTCTTAGCATGCCATGTGCTCCGTCTTATTCCGTCCTTCTTACCATAATCTCAGAGGTCACCTCAAAGCCAGATCTGACCATCATCACTGCATGCAGGAACAACATCAGCTGCCGAACATCATGCCGACTCGCAACGACATCATCATCGCCCTCGCCCTCTATCTCCCAATCCTGCTTGCCCTGCTCTTCTACCTCAGCTCACCAGCCAACTTCCTCGCCCGCACCTATGGCCCAACTGCGCTCGCGATCTACAAGCAGCTCAAGCCATACCTGATCGGTTCTCTGCAGTCTAGTTTCGTCATCATGCTCGCCATTGGTCTGTATTCAGTACTGGACCGGATGTGGTGGTTTTGGAAGAGGAATGAGCTCTTTGAGCCGCATAATGCTCTGGAAATTGGAATCATCTATGTCTATGCTTTGGCGGGGATGGTGGCTATTTTCAATCGGTCGGTACCGAACGTTGGCGGGAGTGCTCCGGTACGAGTCTTGGGGTGGATCTGGGGGGTCACTGAGGTTTGGGTCTTTGAGCCTGTTGGTGAGTTCTCTTGTCGGTGAACTGGACCGTGGGTTGGGAGACTGACATCAGTGTTGTTAGGGATGTGTGTACTCGCCGTCTGGCAATGTTGCCACGTCCTTGTACGCACGTTCGTTGACCGCGCCAACCCCGGGAAGGAGACAAGTCTCAAGCTTGACGACACGACTCCGGAAAAAGACAATACTGCAATTTCTGCCGTCCTGGTCGACGGTGGCCAGGAGGCTGAACCCGAGCTGCTTGATGGATCTGCTAGCCCTACGGATTCCCGTAACAGTGACAACGCCCTCGAAACAGAATCGAACGCCTGGGCAACCATAGCCGACGACCAGAGCAGCCATGAGGCCGATGACAAGCTCAAGGGCGCCAAGGGAAGGAGTATCGCCTCTGCTGTCTTCATCACTCCGGGCCTGAAGAGTCCAAAGCCCCACGATGGCGGTCTCGTCACTCCCTCGCCATCGCCAGCGGGTCGTGCCATGGTAGCGACGGCGGAAAATCCTTGCCCCGGCTGGACAGCGCCTGAGAATATGGGACGCTGAAGGCTGCTGCTGGTGGCGTAGCTTGACGAGACGGGATCGTGGAGACAGTGCTTAATGCGGTTGATTTTGTTCTAGTGCTTGTTAGAGGCAAGGGATTGGTGCCATGAGATTTGTCGGCAGATACACTAAGGAGTCCCATTGTGTGGACAGAGCTGTAGACTAATAATGGCGACAGTTCTTATGGTTAGGTAATGGTTTGCTTCGCAACGTTGTAACGACAGTGCTTGTGCTTTGGCGAAGGCTCAACTTCATTGATAAGCACTCCCCGTCGTTGATAAAAGGTTGTCTTTACTCAGAGATGCAGCGAAGCTATTGCTGCGTCGACCGTCGAGACATGGATTCTCATTATGAAGGAACACAATACTTGGCTACCGTCGCGTGCCGTATCTTGACAAGACTGTATGTTTTCTTCTTGCCGCAGAATAACACCGCCACGCTGATGCTAGGGCATGGTCAAGTTCGGATATGTATATGCGTGATGGTGCAAGAGCTAGAAAGTTATCTTTCACATGCTTCGGATTCGAAGGATCGTCATTGAACGTGGCGCAGCAGCAGCACCAAACCTCACCAAACGTCTATCTTTATCTCGCTGCTCTTCTTAGATACTCATCTCAATTTAACGATCTCACACCATAGCAGTCAACATGGAAGGCTTCAACGAGTTCAAGGTAGCGCAAACGAACAAATCGATCCGAACAATCAAGGCTGTACGTCAACGCCCGCGCCCGCACCACACAGCTCATATTAACGAAGATATAGGAACTAGAATACCTCTGCGATGCATCTGTAATCAGCCCCCTCCAACTCAACGAGCTCCTCTCCCGCATCCCCGAACAGACCGCCCTCCACGCTCCCCTCTCCGTCGGCGCCGTACCTACGAATGGCATGACAAACCTGTCCCTCCAAAACCAGAACAACAACCAACAACGCAACAACACCGCCACTGGCCCTCTAAACGAGAAAGCCTCCTACTACGCTCCCGTACAATCACCTCCACCTCAGCAAAGCAATCAACCACCAGCCTATGATCAACCGCCCCCTGGCCCTCCACCTCCACAAGCAAACTGGGCCTCTACCCCTCCTCTCGCTCAAGCAACGGCCTTATACGCCTACACAAGCACAGACGCCGGCGATCTCGCTCTCCAACCAAACGACCACATAACCGTAACGGAATACATGAACGCCGAATGGTGGAAAGGCAAATCCACACGGACGGGACAGGAAGGAATCTTCCCCCGGTCCTACGTCAAAATTGACGAGTCGGAGAAAGCTGGTACCGCTGCTGCTGCACCGGTTAGTTATGGGAATAATTACGGTAATGCGCCGCTTGAGGTTAGCGGGCAAGGGAATGGGGAGGGTAAGGCTCCGTCGAAGGTGCAGGAGGGTGGCAAGAAGTTCGGAAAGAAGTTGGGTAATGCTGCTATCTTTGGTGCTGGTGCTACAATCGGTAGCAATATTGTCAACGGCATTTTCTAGACTGGGATGTGCAGGTTTGGGTGTAAAGTGGTATGGCGTACTTGGATCCGGGCGTTCAGGTGTGAAGGTCTTGTATGCAGGGCCATGAATCTACGCCTATGTTCTCTGACCCTCTGTACATTTCGTCCTGTACCTGTCGAAACAGCAGCTGTGAGGACGCAAAGATCTTTGGAGGCAGGGGTACGGAAATGGAATTCGAGAAGCGACATTCGAGTTATCATCTGCAAACGTCTTTTCAGGCGGGTTCTGAATATCCACTCCAGTCTGGTCGCAAGAACGCATTACAAGACGAGGCTTACCCAGCAACAAGTCTAGAAGGACGAGAGATGTTGCGGCTACCAATACGCAAGAATGACGCTCAAGTGATCATACATACGGTGACGGGAGCCAAAAATTAGCGAGATCCTTGATGTTCTCAATTGATGCTATCTTTCACACTCTCAACATGTACTCATGATGTCTTTCACTGCGTGTCGACCGAACCTACGTAAAAGACCTTACACATAGTCATGCTTCGGCTCCATCGTCACAACCTGTGAGAGCGGTTCAGTGGCGCTCCTCCCGTCCAAGTGTTCGACTGGCGCAACTCCTAGTTTCTCGGCCTCTTCGAACGTGAATGTCTCGTAGTAGTCCACGTCGTCCTTGACTCCGAGGCCTGAAGGCGGGAAGATGCTATTGATCGCCCAATGGGTAATGAAGCTGACCACGAATCCGAGTGGGAAAGCCAGATAATAGAGATCCGTGCATGCCTTTGGGACCACTACGCTAGGTGTGACCGCATGAGCGAAACCAGGTAGAAGATATGCCCATCCCGCGACCCAGGAAGCGAAGGATCGCCAATTGATACCCCAGGTGTAGTAATACACGCCGTCCTTGCCCGGGTGGTAGAGGTCGCTTAGCTTGATGCGTCGATTCCGTAGGATCCAGTAGTCGCATACCATTATGCCGACCATCGGACCCAGAAAGACGCTGTAGGCGCTCAGAACGCTGATGAAGGTAGCTGCAGATGAGAGAAGTTGCCACGGGCACATGGCGATGGAGAGGATGAGACCGATGTAAGCACCGCGCCGGATGTTGACGAAGGATGGGAATCTAAGACTCAATTAGTGAGGAGAACAGATAATGCGGTCACGTCTGTTCGACTCACAACCCAGCCATGTCCATGCCGGTTGAGAAAGCATTGTCGATGACATTGATGGCGAGCTGGCAGACAACAAGTCCACAGCCTGCAAAGAATGCAGCCGCTCGTGACTTTGCGTTATAGTCTGTGTCAAGCCACTTTTGTACCAGGTCGGGTGGATTCCTAGCGATTTCAGTCGGCTTCTATCACCAAGATTTGATACGACGAACCATATAGCAGTCCCATAGATCTGTTGGGTAGCAGAAGATGCCAGACAGCCGAACACAGGCATGATAGCGCCAAAGCCGATGATCGATACCCACTGGCCCATGACTTGATCCCCTGGCTTGCGAGCAAAACGCGAGTAGTCCATCTGGTTTGTCAAGCCAACGGCAATACCTCCGATGACCGTCGTGACGCCGGAGACTATGCCCCATCCAAGTTCAGCATTGGTCGCGGTCGCAGGCTGTGACACTAGAGGGCCGGCGCCGTGTGCAGCTGACAGGCACCAGATCATGATGGCCATCAGAGTGATGGCCGAGACGACATTCATCCAAAGAACCACGTGTTTCATGCCCTCAGGCCTGATATACAGAATTGGTGCCATGAGGAGATTGAAGATGACCCAGCCAATGAATTGCTTCGTATCGAGGTGTGCGGAGGCCGGGAAGTGATTCTTCATATGCTGGTAACTTGGGAAGATGGCGGCCAAAATATTTTGCACGCAGAGGCCACCGGTCCATGATTGGACTGAGAACCAGACGAGGGAGAGGATGATTCGCTGGATCAAGGCCAGATAGCTGCCGTATACGCCCCAGATGTATCGACTCGCCACTGGAGGGACTGTAATTAGTCGTCATATATCGCTGGAAGGGTGACGGCGGAGCCTTACCAGGGAAGCCAATGTGCCATTCTGCACCGACGTATCCATTCGCTATTGCTACCGCCGAGATGATGATCTTGCCGAGGACAATGGCGATTACGGATTGCCAGACTGACAGACCTGCTGCAACCAGAGAAGCTCCGATCTGCCAATTCGAAAGACAGATCTGGTTGATTGCCTGGATCGTGTTTCAGCAACATCGTCCTGCACATACTCTTGGGTCGTAAAAAGTGGCAGCAGCGCAACAGAGGTCGCGGCACGATCACAACTGGCTGCCAGGAAAGGTCTTACCCAGAACGATATGTACGCCCACCGGGTCCAAGTCCGTCGAAGTGGAGGCAGTGGTCGGATGTCGTCGTTGATCCAGACACTCGAGACGGTCTGGGAGGAGGTAGGGACCTTGAGGGATGCCCAAAGAGCCATTGTGACTCGAGGAAATATGCGGAAACGGCTGCTGGGCAGTGCAGGATGGAAGTTCGAGAAACTCACTCCTTGTCTATCACTTACATCTGACATCTACATGAATGCTCGGCAGGCATGGTAGGTGTTCGTGCCGTGCTCAGATAGCTCAGATAGGCGGAACGAGATTCATGCATGGATCGACCACAGCTAGCAATACGAGATGCCATGTGGTCGTCTCGCACGAGAAGGAGCGCCATGAAACTCTCTGCTGGCTGATCAAGCAGAATGTGGAAGATCTTTTGCAAGCTAGCTGTCGAACGCTGATAGATGGATAGATAGGGGTGCCAAGGTGCCCAACGGCGTTCGATTTGATTGGTGGCGTTCACGTTCGCCGCATTTGAGACTGGCCGTCCGACGCCGTATTATCTCGACAATCCCAACTCTATCGTCTGGTCCGCATGGCCACACATTTCGACTGCGTGAGATGCTCGACATCTGCCTAGGTATGCCGGACGTAATCCGTGTCCACTCGGCTCGTATTACCTGCCTAGGCGGTGGTCACGAGACTCTGCTATGTGCTGTCTTGGAGACCAGATCAGTTGGCATAAACCAAAGTATTTCGCATTCTAGTCTATATTCTACTCACCGAAGAGACTGTACTGGAATCATCGACGAGGCATGAGACACCGGTCAACGTAGAAGTATACTCAGCCCCTCATCCTCGGCGAATTGAGAATTAACCTAGCATCATTCAGATGGCATCAGTATCTGGTAGCAGAATCGTACGGATAGGGTGAGTTCGTCTAACGTAGTGCCACCTCTGAATCTACTGACATCTCGTAGTATTGATGTAGGAGGCACGAACACGTAAGCCATGGACCGAATCGATTTGCCTTCATTGGTCATCCGCTAAATGTGCTAATCATGTTAGTGACGCGGTGGCAATTAACCCATCTCAGCAGCAAGAGAAATCTCGTGGTGTCTTAGCACATGCCAAGACCCCAACGACACCAGATGTCACATCCGGAATCAAAACGGCTGTCTCAAAAATACTGGAGACGTCAAGTATACCCGCTGAAGACATCGCCAGTGTCACTGTCGGCACAACCCACTTCATCAACGCCGTGGTAGAGCAGGATGCTCGTCGTCTACAACGTGTGGCGGTTCTGCGACTGTCCAAATCGTTTCTTCGCGAAGTCCCACCTTTCTCTGACTGGCCTCTGGGCTTGGCTGGCATCATTAAAGGTTATGTTGGCTACTGCGACGGCGGTCTGCATATTGATGGTAGCGAGGAGGCACCGGTAGACGAGTCCCAGGTCATTGAACGCTGCGCCGAGATCAAGAAGCTTGGCCTCCAGGCGGTCGTTATTGTCGGAGCATTCTCTCCAATTGACGAAGTGTTCAGGCAGGAGGATCACGTACGCGATATTGTGCTCCGAGAGATCCCTGGAGCTCAAGTGGTCGTATCGCATGAGGTCGCCAACATTGGAATCCTCGAGCGCGAAAACGCAAGCATACTGAATGCTGCCATCTTGACCTACGCGAAGCGGACAGTGAGGAGCTTCCGAAGAGCGATGAAGGATCTTAAGCTTACATGTGCGCTCTTTCTGACGCAAAACGACGGTACGCTGTTGTCTGCGAACGATGCAGCGAACATCCCCATCCGGACATTTTCTTCCGGCGCCACCAATTCAATGCGCGGTGCTGCATATCTGTCCGATCATACCTCTGGGAGTGCTATCGTAGTGGACATTGGCGGGACGACGAGTGATGTTGGGGTGCTTTGTAAGAGCGGCAACCTGTCAGTCCTCATGAGTTCTATTTTGCTAACACTTCTGACTCAGTACCATCTGGACTTCCGCGACAAGCATCAGCATACGTGACTGTAGCTGGCGTGCGTGTCAACTATTCCATGCCTCATCTCCATTCTATCGGACTCGGTGGTGGCTCGATTGTACGCCAGAGCGAAGCAAAAGTCACGGTCGGCCCGGACTCCGTCGGTCACTACCTCACTCATGATGCATTGGTCTTTGGCGGCCATGTTACTACTACCTCTGATATTGCGGTCGCTGCTGGTAAAGTCGATATGGGCGATGGAGAAGCGGTCAAGACTCTGTCCACATCTCTGATCGAGTCCGCCCAGCAATGTATTGGGAGGTTGCTAGAAGGCGCGATCGATGTCATAAAGACGTCCCCAGATCCCATGCCTGTGCTGCTCGTTGGTGGTGGTGCCGTCCTTGCACCCTCTACACTTGCAGGCGCCTCCGAGCTGAAGTTGCCGCCGTACTACGATGTGGCGAATGCAGTGGGTGCCGCCATCTCCAAGGTCGGCGGCATCGTAGACATCATCCAAGGTGTCGCCGAACAGACGATCGAGCAAGCCGTCGACCATGCCAAATCCTTGGCCATACAGCGCGCGATAGACGCTGGTGCCGTCAAGGAGACCATCGAAATTGCGGAGGTGGAAAGCATACCCGTAACATATGTGGCCAACCAGCTCCGCACCATTGTGAAAGCTATAGGTGAGCTCGACACCACACAACAGCCGGAGCAGATTGAAGAAGACACCTCCGATGCGCCAGACGATACAGAAGTCAGCAAAGACTTTGCTGTCAAGGTCCCAGACGAGGCTCCAGTTGACCCGCGAATATATGAGCCGACTGTCCGCCAAAATGGTGAGACAGACATTTGGGAATGGCACATCTCTGAGACCGACATCGACTATCTCGCCGAAGGCTGCTACGTCCTGGGATGCGCTGGTGGAGGTAGTCCCGCCTCCTCGCGTATTCAACAGCGGGATATGCTTCGAGCTGGCCATAGAGTACGAGTCATCGATGCCTCGTCCTTACCAGAACACGCGAGTATCTACTGGGGTGGTTTCATGGGATCGCCAGCTACGTCGAATGAGCGTCTGAACAGTTGTGAGACTGTGAATGCCTTTCGAGCTCTCATTGAGTACTTACGCCACGACACCTTCGACGCCGTCATGGGTCTCGAGATTGGCGCGAACGGTCTCGAGCCTTTCCTCGTCGGCAGCTCGAGGTTCTTCGACCGGCCCGTGATCGACGGCGATTGGATGGGTCGAGCATATCCGACCTACTGGCAAACAACAATCGCGGTCCATGCTCCGGGCGAACTCGTGCCTTGCGCCATCGATTCTGGTGACGGCAAGACCATCCTCATGACCCGGGCTTCCAACGACGAGATCGTGGACCGAGCACTCCGCGCCTCATGCTCCGAAATGGGCTCCCGCGTCGGCATGGCCGCCAAACCAACGACAACTGATCGCGTACAACGCTTCGGCGTACTCGGCACTGTTTCGCTGGCCTGGCGGATTGGTCGTTGTATCAAGATGGCCGAAGCAACCAACACCCTCTCAAGCGTCGCCGAATCGATCGTGAACGAAGTCGGCGGCCCAAAAAGCGCCAAGATCCTCTTCCGAGGCAAGATCGTGACCGTCGAGCGCCGTCTCTTCAAGGGCCATTCCTACGGTCACATCGTCATAGCCGCCACGGGTCCCACTGACGATGAAGAGCAAACTCTCAGCAGCACCAACGAAGCTACATCAACCGCCATGGAACCCCTCGCCACAACCGGTACCCTCCTCATCCCTTTCAAGAACGAAAACATCTACGCCGAACACACCGACCCCAGCGGCGCGAAAACCATCCTCGCCGCCGTACCCGACCTTATCGCCGTCCTCGACGCCGGTTCCGGCCGCTCCCTTGGCGTACCCGAATTCAAATACGGTTTCCGTGTCGCTGTGCTCGGGATAACGTGTTCACCACGATGGACGGAGACGAGCGCGGGACTGGCGATCGGTGGACCGGGGGCGTTTGGGTACAACGATGTGATCTACAAGCCTTTGGGGGAGTATGTGGAGCCGCGGAGCGTGATCGAGGAGTTTGGTCCGGGGTCAGTAAGAAATGATGGGTAGTAGTACGTGTTGAAGAATATCCATCCATCCATCCATCCATCCATCTGTCAAAGCAACCCCTCAAGCCCTCCTCCCACCCCACCCAACCCTTGCCACCCGACTCGCAAGCAACAATGCCCCACCAAGCACCAGACACCCCATAGCAAAACCCTGCGCCGCCAGATAAGGCCTCGCGAGTCCCCTATCCTGTCTATACTGTACCAGCGCACCACCAATAGGCGTCCCGACTAGACACGCAAGACCGATACATGTGAAGATCCCCCCGGCTTTGACGCCTATACGGTCCATAGCTATCTCCACTCTCTCGCGGTCTGAGGCTGTAGATGCTGTGGTGGGAGGCGTCGAACTCTTAGCGGTGCCAGAGAGTACGGTGGGTTCAAGACAGAAAGCATAAACAGTCGGTGCGTAGAGGACTTGTACACCGGCACTCACAAACCCATAAAAGCACGCCACGACCGTCAGCGCCCCTCTCGCTCCCGGTCCCTCACCTAGCGAGATCCACAGTCCCACACAAGCGGCACTGAGGAAGATACTCGGGATGATAGTATTCAAGGGACCAATACAACGATCCGAGATCAGCGCCGGAAGGAATCGACCAGGTAGATTCGCAGCAAGCATATAGATCAGCAGATTCGTGGCCCCGGTGTCAGAGAGATGGAGTTGCGTTGAGGCGAAAAGAACGATGTACACGAAGCCGAAGTAGATCCCCAAGAAGGCGAAGAAGATTCCTCCTGCGGCTAGGAGGTAGGGTTTTGATGTGAAGGTTCTCCAGGTAAGGGCGTAGGGTTTAGTGGGTTCGTTCTGGCGGTTGTTGCCTCGGCTGCTGCGATGGCGTTGACCTCGAACGCGGAAGATGAGATTCGGCGGGACGAGTGCTATGGCTGCGACGCCGCCCAAGATGCGCATCGTGGTCGGGAAGCCGTGGGATAGCAGGAATTTGCGGGCGAGGACGATATAGACGATTCCGCCTATACAGCTTCCTGCTGCTGATAGTCCCATGGCAGCGCCAAGTTTTCGCTCATCGAACCATGTCATTAGTACTACAATGCCGGAGCAGAAAACCATACCCATTCCCAATCCTGTGATCAGACCCTGTACCAGCCAGAGAGACCAGAGGGCCCGACACCAGGCTGTACAGAAGATGCCTAGGACCGTGATGATACTTCCACTATGGAAGACGAGGCGGAAGTATCCTTTATCCACTAGTCTACCGACTGGGACACCGAGACCGAAGACGAGAGCTAGTTGAGTGCTGCCGATCCAGGAGATAGCGCTGGGATTTGCGTTATTTGTGTGCGCGAGGTAGTACCGTTCATAGTATGCCTGGAAGAGGCCGAAAGCGTTTGCTAGGCCCCAGCAGTTGAAGACTACCAGAGCGCCGGTCAGGGCGTGGAGCCAGGCTGTGCGGCCGTTGAGTGGTTCGGCTTGGCGAGCACTACCGGGCACTTCGAAGTTGTATCTCGGTAGACTGCCTGTAGAGGTTGAGATATCCTTGGAGGTGATCGCTGGGAGGGCGAAGATGTCTTCTTTGGGCTTCGGATCGGAGTGTCGCCGCAGACCCAGGAGGCGTTCGGCTCGGGTGAGGTCTTCGGTTGTGCCGGAGCGGAGGAGACTAACGGGGTAGGCTATGTCGTTCGGCGTTAGGGAGATCTTGCTTAGCGAGCTTTGTAGCGCTTGCACAGCGGCGGATCTCGGTCGCTGGGGAGGTCGAGGCTGATGAAAAGATGGCGCGGCTGTAACGAAGCTCTCTGGTATAGAGTAGAGGGAGTTTTCGATCGCCATCCGTGTAGGAGGCGGTGCAGTGACAGTCGACTGGGCCAGATCCGAAGTCTTGTTGTTGTTTTCGTGATCGAGAGAAACATCCTCGAAAGGCGATGTTCTGTTGTGCAAAGCGGCTGCCGTGGACGATGGGTTACCAGCCCTTCCCTGGCTTCTCGAACCCTCGGAAATGGAGTGGAGCTCGTTAGGCGACCAGTCCGGGAGGCCGAGATGCCATGAATCTTTCTTGTTGGCAGCCATTATTTGGTATGTTGGTGGTAGTGGGAGTTGTAGGTTAATAGCAACAGCCGGGCAGAATAAAGAGTAGAACAGAAAGAAATAAGATGATTAAACGATCGAACAATACTTGCCGGTCTATGGTGTTGTTTGCTGCCACTGCTCTATCACCATCGTGACCATGATGGTGGAATTCTAACAGTGACTGTTTCCTTTAATGGTCGGCGGCTGATCTGGTTGACGTGATCGCTACGACTCATTGAGCCGACCAGGAAAGTCCGCAGCTGGGTATTCATGGCTCGTCAATAGCAATTCGTGGGGTGGTGTGCCGTCTGTAGCCATGATATTGGCCTACGGCCTATAGGGGCTGGAAAGCTGGAGGGCGAAAGGGCCGTACTTGACCGTATTCCCTCATATGACTGAGGGTATTACCGTAGACACCGATTATAAGATGGTGATTGGGGCGTATCATGGCCGAGGAATCATGTTGGTTGCGAGACGCCTGCCCATGGTGTTGTGTAAAGGCGAAACTATGCGTAGCTGATGTCTGATAGTGGCCCGTGCTCAAACATGTTCGCCGCGGGAGTGTCGCCAAGATTCCGAATCTCCAATGCTCCTTTGAGATGATTGACAGCTGGAGCACGCGACTCAAACATACACTCGAACATACGCCCACACAATGACCTCACCACTCCTTCTACGATCCCTCCGACCATCGATATCTTCTACAGAGTCCTCAGGCTACATCTGCCAAGCATGTCGCCGCCAGCAATCCAGCTACAGACGAACCCGCAAAGCACTACGAGTAAAGCCAGATCCATCTTTCCTGCCATCTAAAACGGAGACGCAAGACCATATCATCTTCAACCCGCCATCAAGTGCGCCGAGTGTATACCACACACCCTCCTTGTTCCTCCCCCAGAACGACCCAAGGAGGAAAATCCACACCCGAGCAATAACAACAACCCCCACAGCAACCACACAAACATCATCCGCCACGAATGCTTCCCCACAGACATTACCAACACCCCTCCGGCCCATCTACGAAAAGAAATACCACCTCACCCCCTCCCAAGTAGAAGAGATCCGTCAACTCCGCGCCTCAGACCCCCGCCAATGGACCCGGATACGATTGGCGGAGAAATTCGAATGCTCCCAATTCTTCATCAGTCTATGTTGTTCGGCGCCCGAGATCAAGGCGGAGCGGGAGAAGCAGTTGGAGGAGATTAAGAGGAAGTGGGGACGGCGGAAGACGGAGGCGAGGGAGGCGAGGGGGATGAGGAAGGAGGGGTGGGGGATGGATGCTTGAGCCTACGATCGGATCGGGTTCTGATGGGCTCTGGCTTGAGGCTGTGCTTACGGTGACCGGTTTGCCTGCAAGGTCGGTGACATGGTCCAGGAGAGGTGCGCAAGAGATGATAGGGGTATACGAACTGGTCTCAGAACGCTACTCAGCCCATTTCGGTCTGATCTGGACATGTGCTCCGTCTACACAACAAGAGACCAGCAAATGTGTGGCGCCAGCATGCTTCGGAAAAGATGTATGCCCGATAAGGGGAGCAGGACCAGTGCACCGTTGTCAAGCACACGCACACGTCACCAGAACCACGAAGCGAGCAGAGTCATGTCTGGAGCTCTGACAACGCCACTGTAGTCAATTGTTTGGGATTGGTGTCAGGCTACCGAAAGGAGCTTGCAAGCCCCTCGGCATTTGAGAAAGGGGAGAAGAGAGAGGGAAAGAAAGAGTGAGAAGGCATTAGACGGTTACCATGCCAAGCGATAGGACTGATAGTAAGGACCTTGCGATTGCAACAGACGAGAAGAAAGCGGCGGTGCAAGTTTCGTTAGTTGAAACGATATTGACAGTAGAGATGTACATTTACATATGTGTATGAACAACTCATACATCCAACCATCATCATCAGCATCATCGTTTACCTACATAGCTGGCAAGAACTTCATCGAGCTATTGGACGACGACACGGGGCTCGAATTACTCACATTCGCCGTGACGAAAGTGAAATTGTTTCCAAAGTCGCCAGACTGAGTCTAGAAGAGCGAACACACAAAGTCAGCAAAACAACCCCATAAGTTGACAATGCGGTTGAGAAAGAAACCACTTACAGTAAAATCAGACTTCTCCCCCAAATTATCGATCCGGCCAAGCAAATACTCCACCTGCCTATACGCCGCCGCAGGCGCATACTGCGGAATCATATGCCCGGCCAAATCAATCGTGCAGAACGTGAGTCCGCGCTCCTCATGCCAGATCCCGAAATCCCCACTTCCCGCAAGCGAACTCAGACTCAATTCCTCATGATACGGGACGTAGAAATTGTTCCAGGTGGAGGGAGGGGTGGAGAAGCCCTGGGCGCCGTTCCAGGTCATGTTTTGGATCATCATGATCGTGCCGTTCATGATTAGGATCATGTCTAGCATTCCGTGGCCGATGATTGTTTTTTCGTTCTTTTCTATTACCCGCGGTAAGACGGAGAGGCCGGAGGGAGGGGAGGTGTCGGTGTCCAGCACGCCGCCGGAGCATTCTTCCCATTCGCCCATGGGGGCGTTGATGGCGGCTTGGACGTCGCTGCGGTTGAAGTAGATTGTTGCGCCGTCGGGGAGGTAGGGGATTGAACCGGGGAAACCTAGGACGTCCCAGAGTAAGGGGCAGGTTGTCGCGACTTGGTAGACGTCCCAGCAGGGGTTGACGAGTAAGGCGGCGTTCTGGATGTCGTTGTAGATGCTGCAGCCTGGCATGTCGTGGTTCACATTTGGTGGGGTGGGGAGGGTGCCGTTGGGAGGGAATTGCATGGCGGTTTCTATGAACGAGGTGTAGCCGCAGGCGTCGGCGCGGGTGTGGATGTCGTCCATGAAGGTTTGGTTGAGGGAGAAGAGCGAAGACCAGTAGTCTACGAATGGGACCGAGGGGATGTCGTCTTGGACTACGCCGTAGGAAGTCGAGGGGTCGTAGAAGAGGATACTTCTCACATCGTAATAGCAAGTGTCTGAGGCATTGTGCATGGCGTCCGCGATGTAGGGGACGTAGTACCCGGCGTAGGATTCGCCGGTGATGTAGACCTTCTTGTTCTGCAGACCGAAGGTGTCGACGAAGTTCTTCCAGAAGCCTAGGAATTGCGCGGCGACTTCGATTTCGTTGGTGGCGGGTGGGACGCCATTCTGTTGGCTGAAACCTGTGCCTGCGGGTTGCTCGACCCAGACGACGTTTGTGAGGTTCACCCAGGTGTAGGGGTTTTTGACTGGTTTGTCTGTAGAATTGAGATGTCATGTCAGTGCTTACTAGGTCGAACTTGGGCCGGGAAGGCGTGAAGTGTGGTTGGGAGCTTACATGTTCCATATTGCCATAAGAACGGTCCGTTCTCCTGCAGCAATCCTTCCAAACTACTGCACTCCGGTCCGCCGTTCAGCCAGATGAGAATCTCATCGCCAGCCATGGGGTTCTCGGACGGGAAGAACCAGAAGTACAGCTCACTTGTATTCGCCTGGTTCGAGATCGGCATCAAACCGGCATAGCTCTCACCAACGTCAAAATCGACATCCGGGATCGCGGAGCCATTGACCGCATACTTCATTGTGGCATTGGTTTGCGGGATGATGGTCGTATTGTAGGAAGAGCCGCCATAGCCTGGTGCTGTGGGTAGGTCGGCAATGGCTTGTCTTGCCTTGATGCGAGGGTTCTCGGGCAGCGGATTTGCTTTGCGGACATGTTTCGTTGTCCTTGCTACTGCACTGCTGGCTAGCAGGCAGGTCGTGAGGGTGGTCAAGAGCTGCATTGTCAATCCTTGATCCTCACTTGACCTTGTTGAATTGAGGTAGTAAGATGGCTAGGCTAGAGTGACAAGTGAGTGGGTTGGAGGCACGAGAAGTAAATAAAGTCCTTCTACTACCTCTCAGGGATTTGCGTCATACCCTCGCTCGGTCAAAGCGTTCGCATAAGAGATAACGGCGGGGTGAGCATGCAGAAGATGTGAAGAAGCACAGGAATCCTTGCTTCGATATCCATCCGTCGCGTGGTTCGTTGCAGCCGGCGCGGCCGGCCAGGTACGATTTTTCGCTTTGCACGAATGAGAGACAACTCATATACTCACACCTTCCGTATATGGTTGGATCGTGCGGTGAATTTCGAGTCGCGATGACGACCGCGGTGAGGCTAGAGCGATAAGAAGCGTGGAGACTCCGGGACAGGAAGTGTAAAATTGTTGATCTTTAGGATTCATACCAGTCCATATGAGGAAGCTCTCCGGTCGGTTGCGGTTCCGAAGAATGATGATGATGTAGCACGCGACACCACCGTAATCCTTCATATAGTCTTGCCTCGTCCTTGCGAGCTCTGGATGGAACTGGTATCAACCTGTCTGGGTAGGCGGACTTGTCCTCTCAGATGAGATCAACGGCACGAGACGGACGAACTCGATACGCGAGGGAGAAACTTCAGAGGCGCCAACAGGACATCCTGGCCCGTAAGACCAGTACCTCAAAACTATTAGACACGGGATTCCGCATTAATAATCCGAGGATACCTATTCGGTAGCACACGATGGAGGAAGACAAGAGACATGTCTGTAGGACAAGACCTCGCGTCGAAGTAAGGTTTTGACAGACTACTAAGCTGTCGCGTGACCTGAACGCCTCTCAAGTCTTGGCTCAAAGCTTTCGGCGGCCACAATACTGATCTGATTTGACTGCTAAAGATGAGCGTCAATACCACGACATGAAAAGCTGTAGTAGTGGTACGCATTGCGCAGCGACGTACTGCCTGGCCTGCAATGCCCTAGCCAACAGACAAACGACAGCAAACAAAGTCTTGCGGGTGAGGAGGGTACTACACGATCACCCGCACCCTGTATCCTCTCCCCTCGGCTAGCAAAAGCTGCTACACACGAAGCGCTCAAGTCTCGAACACAACATGCAAATCATCCCACTCGCCCTTGACCCTCCGCTCCCAGTAACCCTTGCCCTGCTGCTTCAACACCCACATCCCATCGTCCGCTTTCTCACTCCCACCAACGACCTTCTCGAAGAATTGGGGCTGCCACGTCCGACCATGACTCTCCAGTACCTTCCTTCGAGCACGCTGTCGTTCTTCCAGCCGAGCCTTGAGCGCCTCCGCTTTGTCCACATCTCCGAGCTCGAGGGCCTGCTGATCGGGCCGCAAACGTGAGTCAGTGGGCGCTAGATGTCCTTCCTCGATAGATGTGACTTGGTTGAGTGTCGCGGCGAAAGCCGTGAAACCATATGTCTTGGGAGCATCAGGCACCAGCGATCCCACAGACCAGACCACAGCGCCTGTATCCGTACGTTTAAGCCCCTCAGTCCACTTCCCAGCCAGACCGATGTCCAGCGCGCCATCGAGTGGGTCGAACAGCTGCACGCTGATCTCTTCACTCCTGCCCGAAAACATCCCACCCGCTTTGAAAGTGGCAATTGCTCGCATACCACCGCTCTCGCAATGGATAGTCATGGCCTGCACCGGCTCGACGTACTTCTCGCCCGCGATGACGTTGCGCAAGAAGCACGTCGCCTGATTCCAGGAGTACTGCTCCCCAACCGAATGCAGCACTACTCGCGCCCGCCCTTCGGTATTGAGCTCGACACTTTTGCCCCAGAACTTCTGCACGGGTTGAGGCGATTGTGTGAATGTCCAGCCGCCGTTGTTGAGACTCTCGGCTTGACAAGCCATCCTGACAGGATGGTGGGAGACTTTTTCAGCCAGGAAGCGGAAGCCAAGATCTTCTCTCACGAGCTCGTACGTCTCGCCGAGCATCGGATTGAAGGGCTTGCGTACTGCTCGCTCCTTGACTCGGTTGTTGGAGAAGTATGATACCGCGAATGCAGAGACGTACATCAAGCGTTCCGCGGGCGTAGTAGATGCGGAAGCAGCTTGATCAAGTAGCTGTGGGTACTCCAAGCTCTCAGAAAGTCGTTGCAGTAGTGACGTCGGCTCGTTGGCTGTGACGGGCATGGAGACCGTGGAGAGATCTTTGCCGGCATTTTTTCGCAGAAAGCCGATGATACTTGGTGGTGCTTGCTTAGGAGGGGTGATCGTGCCTCGCCTCTTCGCAGGTGGCAAGGGCAGAGGAAGTAGGGTGGTGGGTAGTGGCGGGAAAAGTGAAGACTGCTTGGATTTTGGCGTAGCGGCGAAGATCGACTCTCGAGCAGCGTCGCCAGCGTCACTGCTGGTATCAGACTCTGGTTCCTCGTCTTGATCCTGCTCCGTCTCGGCATCTTCACTCTCACTTCGGTGAATGCTGAGGAGCTGAGACGAACTCGCCACTCCGTCTTCAGCGTCGAAGAACTCGTCGTTATCGACTGACTCTAGGGACATGCGTGAGCCAGAAGTGGAAAGCGGTGGCTTGCGTCGAGCTTTGCTTTCAGCTATCAGAGCTGAGAAATCCGTGACTACACTGTCCAGATCTTTCAATAGAGCCATGCATCGATCGTGAACATCGTCGGCCTGCGGGACATGTGTGATACTCGGACGTTTGTTGACGTACATCGCACCAGGCATAGGGGAGACTGGCAAAGGCATACTTGATGGTGAGGGTACAGCAAGCTGCGCAGAGACACTTCTGCGGATAATTCCGGCCGTGCTACGCTCTGTGCTTGCACTAGTTTTGCGGCGCCAGAACGGCCGCTTCTCACGCTCCTCTCCAGCTGTCTCCGGGAAGTATGGATTGGTATGCTCGTACGAAGACGGGCTCGGCGCAGTACTACTGCCTCGAGAGTTCGTAAGTCCTAAGCCAGCGCCATTCACACCAGGCAAGTACTTCGGGTCGGTGTCCTTCGCAAGGCCGCGTACCGCATCTCGGGTGCCAGATACTTTGCTGACGAGCTCTTCGACCATCTGCCATTCCCGATCCTCGGCAGGGTTCGACGCAGGCATGCGCGGCATCATCCCCACCGACTTTGCAGGCGTGGCTGGCTCAGATACGGTGATCACAGTGGACGATGATGCTCGTTCCAAAGCATCGCGCCAACCCTCGAACTCCTTCTTATTCGGTGCTTTGAGATGCCATACTTCTGCTCCCGAGTCGATGGAGAACTCGCGTCTCTTCTCATCCACTCCGACAGCTGCTAGGGACAGCGGTACTGCACCCCGTAAAGCGGAAGAATGCCGGTCACGATAGTAGGATAACGTCGACGAGGTATAATCCAGCGAGAAGAACCGTTTGGCGTAGCCTTGACCCTTCTTGCGCCGCTTCTTGTTCAACACACCCGTATAGAACGATGACCCTTCCAGGCCTCGGGACTCTGTACCTTTGCCACCCTTCGACATCGGACGCGGATCTTCGAGTACAGCACGATGAAGTGGTGATCCTGCAGGCAAACTTTCGGTCGAGTCCGTGATGGGCTGTAAGGAAGGACTGTAGCTTTTGGCGATCGTGCTCGTATTATTCGCAGCGAATGCTTGTGAGTAGTGTAGATGATGCCCAGACTTCGGCGGCGCATTGGTCGGATGTGTCATGACCACGAAGTGTACAGTCTTGGACGTCTGTTTCGAGAAAGTGTTGTCAAACACCATTCCATACATCCCCCCCTCGCCATCCTGCACATCGAAGCGGCCCATCGCGACCTTGTCGGCCTCACATCTTCCTGCCCATGCCACCTTCTTCAAGCCAATGCTCTCCAGCTTCTCCACTGCAGTACTGTCATCACTCTTACCCACTGACCCCTGCCGGCCTCTCTTAGTCACCGTCGGCGGTCCATCAAGAGCTGGTGTGCCTGGCACTGATGCGGCACCATCGACTGTCTCATGCGTGGGTAGTACCGGCGCAAGTCCTCCTTTCGTGCCAGGGTGTTTGAAGATGCCAAAGTTGATGCTTTTCTTATGCGGCTCGACGGACCATGATATAGACTGATGCTCGGGTACCTGTATCCACCGAACAACGTAGCTCTATCGTATATCTTCTTAGCATATGATCGTGCCGTTTGCCAGACCTCGTGGCATATGCTTTGGTTAGCGTACCTTGGAATGTACTACAATTTGTTCAATGCCCGCCATTCCTGCTATAGATCAGGACGGCGGAGAGCAAGGAAGATAATGTTGTAAATCAATTGTTGCATGGGTGCGAGGGCGGTGAAATAATACTGCTCTTCGGAGGGCTAGGAAGGGTGCATGTTCCGGTTGCTATTAAGTGGGATGTACGAGACCGACTTGTGCAGTTCGGACGATATTCTGATCCCGGATCCGCGAAACAACATCTCAAGCATATAATATGATAATGGTGGCTCGCGTCCGTAACGTTGCGATGCTGATGAGATATTGGTAGGGCTCACATATACAGCCGTAGTATTACGCTAGCAGCCCTACAAAACCACGATGTTGTTTGTTCCGGAAGTCGTATGATGATCTGACGCAGGTCCGCTGCTGATTCAGCGTGGCGCCGGCAAGGTCAGCTCACGAGCTTCGTAAATGCTTTCTCGTGCAGTTAGCTTTGTCTGTGATTGGTGAGGCAAAACACGAAATGGATATGGTACAGGAATGGAACGATGTGTATGAGGTAGACTCTTCTTATTATATGTACATATCAATGAGCTATACTCATAAAGCTCAAGTAAGATCCCAAACACCAATCATTTGCTTATGCCGATGCAGGTGCCCTCTGCGCAAGCGTCGTATCGATCGCTTGCCGGTTGTGATATCAATGTCAATACAAATACTTTTCTGTTCCCATTTTCCCCTTGCCTTCCAACACCTCGCTAAAGTTTCACAAAAAGCCAAGCAAAATTCACAGCGCCATGCTGAGATGCGAGAGTCAGAACCAGCTCGCGAAAAGATGACGTGTTGTGATGCAGTCGACATTGTAAAGATCAAAACGCAGTCATGCCGTTACTGCTTCGAGACTCTTCTTTGGAGCTGACCGAAAGCGCTACCAATGCTTCTCCGTACACTGCTCGCAGTCGACTTGTCGGAATGAATCGAAGCCGCAGAGTCGGTAGAAGTCTTCCTCTCCACACCCCTAGGCTTGGACTCATCAATCCAGTTCGCAGCACCACCACGACCGATGTGGTACGTTGGTGCAACGTGAGCTCGTCGAGAAGCCATCTCCTCGTCGAATTGGAACATGGTCTCTTCGGGTGCGGACGGCGTGAACATGTTGCCCGCACCACCACGACCACCGACCATGGGTCGACGAGCTGGCTTGGTCATGTTGAGACGAGCTGCTGGGCCAGAGGCATCGGGTCCTGTGCTGATTTCATTGCTTTGGTAGCGGGCATAGTTGCCTGCTCCGCCACGACCAGAGCCGATGTAGCTCGATTGACGGACGTAAGATGGGTGTGGTTCGACGACACTGAGGTTGCGAGGCATCGTAATGATAATAGTCCTAATGAAGAGTGATCCGTTGGTGAAGCGTTGTCCAGTTCCAATAAGATGGTGGCTTGTAGAAGTCAATGCTGATCGTCAAGATTCACAAATTACACCAGATGAGACAAAGAGAAGAGGCGTCCTACTTGATATACCAAACAAAGTGGACACGCCACAGCACGCCCACATTTCGCAATACAGAATCTTCCGCAAAGCACAGGACAAATGGACGCATCACGCGCACAGTTGTCCGTGGCCGCTGCGACAAGCCTTGGCCACAGTAGTGATCACGTTGGTCAAGTGCTCAAGACAAGCTATTCAGTTAACGGCAAGAGACTAGCGGTTAACTGAAAGGCCTCGCGAGTGGGTTTGTCAGAGTTTGCTTGGGTGACGACGAGACCGCTGTGCAAAGAGCGGAGGTCGGCTTCTTCGGCTCTCCAAGCAAATTTTGATGCGCTTCGTCGCGGCTTTGCAGGCACGGATTTTTCAGCCTCATCTGCGTGTTTCGATGTCGTTCTTTGTCTCCGAGAGACCGTATTGTATTTTACTGTAGGCTTTTCATGACACGGTATCCTATCCTGGTTGTCTTTATTGCTATGCGGACGATATACGAAGACCTGCCTGCCCCGCAAACCAAGACCCTTCACCTTCGACGCCTCTGCCGTTTGCCAAGTCACGCTTCCCCTCGTGGCAGAGTCGATTGGCGATCGTCAAGCGGTACGGAACGTTGTATGGGGTAATAGTTTGCTAAAATTGAGATTCTATTACCCCCGGCTTTCTAAACAAGGTCTGAACTATGCACCAGCCAGCTGAGCACGTTGGCGGTCATGTGTAAGGTCTTCTTCCTACCGTTGCTGCTTGGGAAATGTTCGGAGCACTTGTGGCTGGGCCACGTGGTAATTCAATGGATTATGGTATAGCAACACATGATTCTCGCTACCGTGCTATCATTTCGTCCTTTCAGACCACGGCTCGATGCCAAGGTGTCTTCCGCTGACGTTCGGAATGCAGAAATGTGCGTCCGCAGTACGATGGTAAGGTATCTTTCTGGCGAGCAGGGTCTACATTCCCTTCTCCACCTGCACAAGGTAGGAGGTACGAAAGCATCCCTGCCCAGGAACGCGTCCACTTTTGTTCAGAGCACCTCCATGTTCTCCGTGTCCGCGTTCCGAGGCTTGAAGTCTGTCGTCGGCCCCATACGTCCACAACATATATGGACTCTCGTCAGAGTCGGTCTTATACGCGGGTAGATCACATCTTCGCAGGTGTCAAGCGGCGACTAACAGCCGCGCAGAATCAAGGCTCACCAACTATTAGTCTCATCATGCGAACTTTTGGTGTATGATCTCGGGATCTAGGGACATCGTTAGCGCTCTTCAGATCGCCCAGAGTATACAGTCAAACTCACTCTCATGCCAATCATCAATACTGACATACATCTTCCGGAAGGTGCTCAATCCAGCTAGAATACTGCCGCCAATCCAGGTGCTGTACAGTCTCTCGGGTGGTGCAAAGATCTTGATCCGCATGTCCTTAACAGCCAACCGCTGCACCTCATGCAGTAATCGATCGCCAAAACCTTTGATCATTGTCGACCCACCCGAGAGCACGATGTTGGCGTAGAGAGCTTTGCGGAGATCCATGTCGGTGCGGTTAATGGCGTCAACGACTATCTGATGTAGACCTGGCCATTCCAGTCCGATGATCTCTGGATCGAAGAGGATCTCTGGTGCCCTAAAGCGTTCCGCACCTACCTTGAGATGCTGACCGTCAGGTAAGACGTAATCGACTGCCTTAGACTCTCCGCTTCGATTGCTGGCGGCCTGCCACTCTTTCTCCTCTTTCTTGGGATCCAGTGCGACGTAGCTGGTGGTCTCCTTGATCTGCTTCACGATTTCTTTTTCTGCGCTGGTGTGGAATACACTGCCACTTTTTCGCAGCAGGGTTTGCAGATGCTCTGTTATATCCCGTCCTGCGACATCGATTCTACGAATACTGTTCGTAATCGCAAAGCCCTCATATACTGGCACAGCATGCGACACTCCATCACCTGCATCCAGTACCACACCAGTCGTCCTGCCTGAGGCGTAAAGTGATAGTACGGCTTGTATAGATGTGTAGAGAGCCGGCACATTGAATGTCTCGAACAATATTTGTGCTGCAGTGTCGCGGTTTTGGCGTGGGTTGAGGGGTGCTTCGGTGAGTAGAACAGGGTGCTTAGCACTGTTAGCGGAGCCCATGAGCATATTCAACGCTGCACCCACTGACCTCAGCCATCACATACCTCTTCACTCAGCGTCTTGAGCTCATCTGTGTACACATACTGCCATATCCTCTCCATGTCATCCCAGTCTGTGACGATGCCATGCTCCAAAGGATACCTGATCTTCAATAGCCCTCGCAGCTCCTGCGCCCGCTTGCCGATGAATACATCACCATCCAGACCACCAGCAAGGACGCGCAAGTGCTTCGGTCGCCCAACATAGCTCGGGAAGAAGCACTTGGGTTGGTCTTCGCCAGCGTACCCTGCTCGGATTGTCCCACTGCCATTGTCGATCACGATGGGGGTGTTGTGTAAGTCCGCCATGATGTTTGGCTCACTACGGCGTTTTGACGTGCTTGCCTACAGCGCGCTGTCCCGCCGTGAAGAGGCCATGTGGTATAGTGAGTCTCTAATATCAATATCTACGCTCGATCACACGAAAGGACCGAGGAACGCGGAAACGCGATCCAGCGTGCTAGCGTCAAAAGATGCTGACTAAGTTGCCTTGCCTCTAGCGAGAACACGATCGATCTTTCTCTGGTTATCACCAATACCCAAAGTTGACACTCATGGTGCGATCAGGCATGATGCCGTGCAGGCGAGATGTGAGGTAGGTGGATTGCCCGTCCAACGTGGACTTCTACGATGCGACAGTTCCAATCACCTCACCCAGCGCCTCCAAGCCAGCCTTATCCGACTCCTTTCTCTTCGTCCCTACAATGATCATATTCAAGCACGTCACAACAATCTCGTCAATGACCTGAGGGACAAAGGATACACCCGTGCTCCCTTCAAATACCAGCACATCGCCTTGCACTCTCGCAATCGTATGCTCTGGCTTAGCTTTACCACCCAATTTGTCCGTTAGGACCAGCCCTTCTTTGGTCCAGATCCAGTACCATTTTACGCCCGTCGCAGACTCGAAAGTTGGACTTGAGCTCGTGATGCCGTGGTCAGTCTTGATCTTGATGGCTCGACCATTCACCTCAAGCTTGTCGCCTATTCCTAGCCTCAAGGTATCCCCTTTGATGGTGGCCATTGGCGTAATCTCCCCGGCGCGGACCACTTCATACTTCGCAGTTCCACTAAGCGAACTCGACGCACTACTGGTCTTTGTAATGTTGAAGTATGGGACGCCGGTCCTTGCATCGATCACGGAATGCTGTGCTACCCTCATCGCAGGCGGCAATGTATTCGCGACTGCTGGTGCTAGCGCCTGTGGTTGAGGCATGAATGACGGCGGCAGCGTGGACTGCTGTCCTCCCGATGCCGGGTCGGGTGCTTGTTGTAAGGCTTTCCACCGCAGAAACTCCTCATACTCTGCTGCATTTGGGGGCCGCTGTCCGTACATCGAGTTGAGGCCGAATGGAGTCCGTCCGAATGGATTCAATGTGACTGTGGCTGGCTCTGCGTTCTCTGATAGATTGCAAGATAACGTCAGACTACGACACAAGTGTTCGGCGCAATTGACGTGGTCAGATCGTTCGGCAAAAGTAGGTGCTGTTGGCCGGGGATTAATGTGTGATGGCATCTTTCACGACAGCCTTTTTACAACTTCTGCTTTGGCCCCAGAAAGCGTATGAAGCAATACAACAGGGCTGAGCTGTCTTAGCCATGCTGCTTGCCAAGGGCGCTGTTGCTCGATAGTTGCGTTCGGTCCCCCAAGAGGTCGATCTTACCGTATGCTGTTCTATGTAGCGACAAAGCTCGAGTTGCACTCAAACATAGCCTATTAGTTACTATAATGCTGACATACTGCAATGCTGTACACGCCTCCGACTTCTTGACACTTCTTAAGAGCATCAAATACATGATAAACCTCACTAATCTCAGTAATCGTCACCCCAAACATATCGACTTGATTTTCGGCCAATGCTGATCGTGACGATAGGACTTATGGGATATCGGTATGAAGTAAAAGCTAAGGGCCTCTGAGGGTGCTCCAAGCGATGGGGTTCTACACTAGTCTTCGCCACTGCCTTGCGCCCAGAACGAGACGTGAGCTGTTTCGGTTGTCTTGTTTGTTATGGCCAGCCTTTTTAGATACTGATGGGTGCGCTTGCAAGCGAGCCAGCGCGGGTAGCTCGGTTACAACCGATAGCCCAAATGTTATTCCTGGACTGCATCTCCTGATTTCACGACGACATCACCATATGTGTAGTGACCAGGTGCAAAGGAATGACTTGATCAATCTGTGAAGACATGGCAGCTCCATGCCTCTCATCAATCCGTTCTTCCGCCTGCCCGGCCGCTGGACACGACGCCGAGCTCGAAAAGCACGTATGGCGGTCCAAGCAATAGCCATTCTGGCGATCCTCCTGGTCGTCCTGCCGGCATACGTGGTTTACAAGCCGCCTCGGCTTGTGGTCAATTACTTTCAGCGACGCTTCCCGCAAATGCTCTTCCACATCTCGACCGACAGAAAAATTGTGGCTCTGAGTATCGACGATGCGCCGTCGCAGCATACGTCCCAAATCCTCGATGTGCTCAAGGCAAATGATGCGCATGCGACCTTTTTCATCATTGGCTCGCAAGTCGCCGGACGAGAGAACTTAATCGATGAGATAGTGCGGCAGGATCACGAGCTGGGCAATCATGCCATGCACGACGAACCCGCCCTTTCGTTGTCAAACGATGTGCTCTACGATGAGATCAATGAAGTAGACGGGCTGATCCGCCAAGCTTACTCCACTGTAGGCAAGCAGCGGAGCAGCCATCTCTTCCGACCAGGATCTGGCGTCTTCAGTCAACGTATCCTGGATGTAGCCGCGAAGCTGGGCTACAAAACAATTCTTGGCAGTATCTACCCGCACGATCCGTTTATCAAGTACTGGAGGGCCAATGCGTGGCATATACTGAGTATGTTACGACCGGGTGCAGTCATTATTTGCCACGATAGGCGGAGCTGGACTATACCTATGCTGGAGAAAGTGCTGCCCGAGATGAAGCGGAGAGGGTATCAGGTTACGACAGTGACAGGGCTGTTGGAGGCAAGTGCTGCTGTGTGAAGGTTGGGAACCCAAGCTGCCTTCACCGTGCAGAGGATTATGGTGAAAGAGGATCGAATGGCAGAGACGTCATGCCAGACGCGAATTTTCCGTTATATAAGTGACAACGCCCGGCTTATTGCAGTAAGCAAGAGATATTCTGACTCTTGTCAACGGGTTCGGCCTAGATGTGTGATTGGTCAAACAATTCGGTCATGAACAAGGCAAGGCCACAAAAAAGAGTCAAGCACTAAAATTGGTCATGTTTCCACTTCTCTTCTGGTTATCATTCATAGGATCGAGAGATATCTGCACACGACGCTGGGTGTTCCTACATACACAAATTGCCAGATGGATGCTGCTGGAGCATGTATCGAGGTGCAAATTCTCTCCCCCGACCAAGAACGGTACTGCTTCCTGTCATGTCTTCTGCTTGCTATCTCGGCTTGCTGGAAGTCCTGCTTCCACCTTTAAACCTCCAAGCGACACAAAGGGCACTGGCGACGATATGTCAGCCACCCATGAATGCATCCACTGCAGAATGCGTGGCCGCAGAGCAAAGCTTCAGGCGGGCCGCGGGAGCCCAGCTTTTCCAGACAGATGGCGCAGATGAGACTAGATGACGATAAAATCGGCGACGCATTGTTCGTCTCGACGTCTTCCGAAGACGGGCTGGTCGAAGGACGCTATCAATGTCGAACGATTTCTTGTTGGGTGTGCAGTCTGGACAAGCGGTCGAGCGTGACGCCTTATAGAGCTCTAGGGCTTGTGCGTGCTGGTGCAGATATTGTTCTCGTAATTCAGGCGAAGCCCAATCAGATGCCAGTAGGCCTTGTTCTGGTGGACCGAGTTGACCGCAAGTGGTACGCATGATTTGCTCGAACGTCGTTGTCTGTATCGGAAGTCCGGGACAGTTCTGCTCAGTGGGCGCCTGCGCCAAAGTCGAAGCCTCAAGACTAGGCATTGAAGTGTTGCGGATGTGTACAATGTGTGGTGAATTGAAAAGTCCTCCAGGGATCTTGCGATGTCTGCATAATGACTGGGTCGCGACGCCTGGCAGAACTATATATCGCAAATCGACTTGCCGTCATGTCGATTGTGAGTCAAGTGTGGCCTGGTAGACACGGTCTGAGACTGTCTATACGACGGAACTGTCTGTTAGAGACAATGACCGGGCTGCTGCTTTATGCGCCTCGTTCTCGAGAAGTCCGCCATTTCGACCCATTCCCGCCCAGGCTCGAACCGTAATTGGTTGGGTTATGCGTCTGTGCTTGTGGTCGTCATTGTGTCAAATCAGTGTGTCGTATCCTGCTGAATACGCTGTCGATATCACGGTGTTGCTCCTGCAGCCATTCTTTGAAATTCCAGTTTCCCTTCTTCGCTCAACTCGCGCCCATCTTCTTCTTCAGCTTGTTCATAAATCCTCCACTCTCCTTCTTCTCCTCAGAGGAGTGCTTACTAGAGCTGTCGGCCTTCGACGCTGCACTATCCTCGGCTTTACTTGATGCAGGGGTAGTAGTCAGACCGGAGGAGTGATACATCGAATCAGGTGGCGCATGCGGCGGTGCCCATTCCTCTGCTCTGATCGTTCCGTTCGGAGGGGGGATCGCACGGACTCGTGGACTCAGACCAGGATGCTCTGGGGAAGCACTGCGAAATTGTCGACGCTCGGCTGCATGAACTGTATCGTTCATATTCCAGACTCTGTCTTTGCTCTTGGCTCGTCGTGCCTCCTCTTTCGACATCTGTAGTTCCGTGGGCGCTGTAGTGTTTCCATTGGTGTGCTGCGTTCGTCTATTGGACTGACCAGCTCGCTGCGCCTTCTGTTGAGCCTGCATCCTCTCCATCTTCTCCATCTGTCGGCGATCCATCTCCTCTAGCTTCGGCTCGAGAGTCTTGCCCATTGCCTAATACACGTTAGTTTTCACCACTCTCGGTTCGACTGTGGACTTACGTGTAGTCCGACAGCAACGCCTTCAAGATTCTTGAGTGTACTCTTCCATGCTGGTGCTGCTTCCCTACTCGCCTTCTTGAGCTCCTCCAATGCTTCCCACCTCTCGACAGTCTCTTTTCGTCCACGCTGTGGATCAGAGGCCTCTGCTTGTGGCGCACTTGGACCAGAGCCATTTGCCTGCGGAACGTGTGAAGAGCTCTTGCTTGGCTCGGGCTTGATGGTTTGCTCTTGATAGTAAGGCGAATTGTGAATCCTCTCTGGCAGATCAGTGGTACGGGATGTCGTCTGGTCACTCTCATGTTGAGAAAGAGAAGGACGTTCAGAGCCGGGAACAGCTTGTTGGGGCATCAAGTGGCCCGACTGAGAGGACAGTGGCTGCTGATGCTGCGACGTCGCTGCAAGGGAATCGCCAGGAGCTTCAGCAACTGGTGAACCATAATTGTTTGGACCACCCGGCGTAGGGACTTGACTCTGGTAGCTGTTGGCATGGCTCAGGTTTCCATTGCCGCGTCTCCGAGTCGTCGTTGTTGTGGTGGTGGTTGTCGTCGTGGTGACAATCTCACCAGTATCGTCGTCGAGCACTTCCCCCGTATGTCGATTCACGGCAAGGTTGCGACCACTGCTAACGCCGTCGATTTGTCCATGGTTCGGTACAGGGACGATTTCAGGTCGAGAGCTGCTAGCTGTAGATGAGGAAGCCGCATTTGTCGCGTTGCTGGCTGTGCGAGAGGATCCGACATATGCAGAATCCTCAGCACTGTCAGCACTCGAGGTCTTGCTGTTGCTGGCGTGCAATGCAGCAGGATCGAGTACTGAGGGCGGCGCCATGATTCAGTCGTTCCGGCAAGGCGACTTTTTGATGGACAGTTGAACATGTTACGAGGACGTTCACAATTCACATCGCGAGGCTAATTCAGAGCTCCTGAGCGAGAAGGCCTCCCCGAGATCGTCGTGCGGAGCATTGAATGCACAAATTATTGGCTTCTGTTGGTTCACCCCGGCTGGCCGCATCAATGACGCAGCGAGCTGAAAGATCGTCGACATTTCAGCGGAATCTCGTCCGATCCAGATCGATCTCACAAGGAGGGCCACAAGATGAACCACATCTCATCGAGCCGGGTGGTCATCTCAAGCGAAGCCTCTGTACGCTGAATCACCGGATGAGGCAGGATCAGGGCGGGAAGATGGTGCTGTTGTCCAGGATCAATGGACCACGAGGCCAAGCACATCACATCGATGTTGAGGTGTACAACAATCGCCAATGGTAAAACTGCTCGTCACTCATTTTCACTGGTGACACGATTCCACCAAGGCCAAAGATTATCAATTATCATCAGGATTGACCTGATATGACAGGATCGATGTTGATATCAGATCTTGGAGGACGTCGGCATCACCGGTCCTGAGGCGACCAGGCCGGACACCTTACTCGACCGGATTACATGAAAAGGTATGGCCGTCGTGTTGCGGTTCCGAGAGATCCTCATTTGGGCTGCAAGTTTTACCAAGTGCCTACTGATACGACGACGCCTTGCATCTCACCCAAACCCCATCCATCTCTACTAACACAATCCCAAGCCCAACCACCACCACCACCATCCCATCCTACCGTCGCGGAATCCCATTCGCCCCAGCACCCCCGGGCCCCGAATTGGCAAAAAGCAATTTAAACCCATTCTTCAACGCCCTCATATCCGGATACTTATTGCCCTTCAGCTCAAACGCATTCGGAATCACCTTGACCGGCCAATTGGCCAAGGGCGCGTCCCCGCCGGCTTTGAAGCAGAGGAGGAAGTAGCCCGGGTACTTTGTGTTCAAGCAGAAGGCGTACATGCTTCGGCGGGGGTTGGCTTCGGTGTAGGTGGTTAGCCATTGTTCTGCGGAGTAATGTTAGTCACTTCGTTATCACGGCACGCCAGATCGATGCAAGTATATCCCCTTACCAGTCTGCTGCCGCGACCCACTCTGGTACCGCTCATCCCCCATCATCTCCTCGACCTTCTTCGCCATCGTGCGCACATGCTCCGCAATCAACTCATCCAAATCCGAATAACTCCATTTGCCTCCAATCCTCAACACCCTGCCCACGGAAAACTCATTCTCCTTATCCAGCTCCAGCACATCAATATGCTGAAACACGCCCTCGTGCACCTTCCACGTCACGGCCAAATGATCCGGTCCCTTAGACGAAGGCCGGATGACGCACGATCCACGCCCAAGCGGGCCGAGATATTCCACCGCTTGAGCGCTGTTGAAGGGGCGGAAATCCGGGTGCTTGATCACGCGCTGCGCCCTCCCGGTCTCCTTATCCACGACCTTCCTGCTCTCCTTCCGATCCCTAGCCTCGAGCTCCTCGTCCCACTCATCAAGCCCATGGTCGAAATGCCTCCGGAACGGCTTCCTCATCTCCACCTCCCTTAGCGTCAACTCCGCCTCCATTGACTTCTTATTCAAGAACTTGATCTTGCCCCGGATAACCTGATGCGTGGTCCAGATATGTCTTGGCTCCCTCTTCCCGTCCTGCACATCCCGATAGATGTCCTCCGGGAACTCGGAATCGGCCACTGTGCCCAGGATCCCACAATCTAGTTTCGTCTCGATATGATCCCCGAAAGTCCTCTTGACAGAAACGGGCACTATCATGCCCTCCTGCAACGAATCCCGCGTCTCGCCAGTGAGCATGGTGAAGGTTTGCTCGGAGGAGAGGTAGTTGAAGTTGTGCCTCAACTCCTCATAGGCGACCTGCAACTCCGCGCGGATCGTCTCAAGCGTAGCTCGTTTCCGCTGATGCATCTGCTTCTCCAACTGATCCGCGTACTCCTCCAACACGAGATCGTTGACCCGATCAGTCTGCTCATCCTTCTGCAACCGTCGCACAACAGCCGAAGCCCCGTTCTCATCCGCCTCAGCCTTCACATCCTCCTCATCCAGCTCCAACGCATCCGCCGCGATCTTCCTTGCCAAGTCGTAGTCTTCAGGATGTATGCGCGTATTGTCCAAGGGATCAGCTTCCGGACCCTCCTGCTCCACGTCACCGTAATGAATGAAGATCGAGCTTGCGCAGTTCGTCCAGACGATCGGTCCAACAGCCTGTCGAAGATTCCTATCCACGTCGCCGACCAGATCCGCCCGACTCACGACCTCACTCCCATTCTGCCTGATAACATTGACCATATGTTTCGCCTTCCTCGGGCCCAACCCACAAACATGCTGCAGCAGATTGGCAGTATATTCGTCGCTAACAGCCGCGTTGATATCCACGCCAACCAGATTGACCATATCCTGAATAGCCGTGTTCAACGCCCTCAGCAGCTTATCCTCCGGAATAAGCTTCTGACTAGGATCAAAAGAGATACTCGTGATCCCACTGCCTAACGCCGCATACTCCTTCAGCGGGTCCTGCATATATCGTGCCAGCGCGACACAATACCTCGTCAGCGGCGGGAAAGCCGGGAATTCTTTCTCCGCAGGCTTGCTGGTATGGTATAACCGTGCGACCTCGTCCTGCACGATGACCACGTCCAACTCATCCTGTATCTCGCGGTCGGTCTCTCGGTCCTCGTACGTGGCGCCCATGAGTTGTTTCTCCTTGGTGATGGCTTGAAGGTCCTTGTACAGATTTCGCGTCTCGACGGAGAAGCCAGAAACGGCGATGACGTCTGGTTTGCGGCGCTCAACCAGTTCCACGAAAGCTGCGACGTCTTTGCCTTCTGGGATGTACTTCTCGGCATTACCCAGACGCAGGTCATTGAACTTGCCATTCTCCTGCACACGCCCGGATTCTTCCATATATGCCCAGCAGATTGCATCGCCCTTATTGCCTTGACCATTTGAGATGGCGAGGACACGAGGAACAGTGCCCAGAACCATACCGGTGGGTCGGTATGGCGCTTGATCAAGACGCTCGTGATATGCTTTGCGGCAGTCGGTAGCAATCCTGTTCTCGCACTCGTTCTTGATCGTGTCCTTAACACCTCGCGCAATAATTTTGTGAAGCTTCTCGAAAGCGGCATCAATACACTCCCGCCGCAGCTTATTCCAGGCATCTGCGACCTCGGAGAAATTGTCGCTCTCGATGGCGCGATACAGCTCATCCTTGACACGCTTATCCTTCTGCAGCCGGACTACCACTTCGATCAGACCGTCCTTCTCTGCCTCCAGCATCTTCAGGAAGAGCTCAGGTCTGTCAAAGACGATCTTGATCTCTTGATTGCGCAAGTACTTGAATTCGTAAGAAGGATGATCCTCATCGATGACCTTCGCACCCTTCTCGGTCCTGTGCACATCAAAGACGAGTTGCTCATAGTAGATCTTCCGCACATGTCGTCGCATACGCGGCGACATCACCAGCTCCTCGACAAACATCGCTTTCGCCGCTGTAAAGACATCCTCACCCGTCGTGAACTCCGGCGCCTGCACAAGAGTGTCCGCGAGATCATCCGGTCGCTGATCCGAATCCTCGGTGAAAGTGCGATTGCCGCCTCGCTCAGCATTACGCGCCACAGCATCAGCCGTGATACCGAATGCGCGGACAAGGTGGTAAGCAGAGCCTGATCGGACCTTATCCCACATACTCCTCGCACCTCTCGCACGCTTCTGAGTTCCGTTTGTCTCGGCTTGTTCAAGACTGATATCCTTGAGCTGTTGCGAAAACTGGAAATTGAGGTAATCCTGCAAATCCTGCAAGTCGTCGATGACGGCTGCAGCTGGTACAAGATCCTCGAAGACGGTGTCGTTGAAGTCTGTAGCAGTCTCCTTGATAGCATCAACGCCATTACGGATAGCTAGACGCTTCTCCTCGAAAGCGCGGAATTTGAGATCCTGCTCGAGGATGGTCCAGAGATCTTCCTGCCCAAGTAGCTTCTCAGCTTGTACCTTGTACTTTGGCGCGTCCGGATTGCCGGGTAGCGGGCTGAGGGGGATCTGCTCGGAGTGGATGAGATAGTCCTTTCGGTTCTGGAAGATGAATGGCGGCTCGAAGTCCTCGACATTCATGAAGTGAAGCACCTGTTTGACGGCGGCCTCGAACGGCTCCTTCAATCGGGGGTCCATTCGTCTTCGTGGCCAGAGAGTGGATGTTATCCACGCTGCCTCCTCGGCATTACGAGTTTCCTGCTCCTCTTCACTCAAATCTGCCAGATTCCTATATGGCTTCCGCAGCTCCTGAAAGCGTTCAGGTACGTCGGTACTCCGGATGACGTTATCACCCTCTGTGAGCATCTTCTCAGCCAGCTGCGAAGGCTCGAAGACATCCTTGAGCTCGTAGGTCTTCTCCGGGTCCATCGTGTCCTCGTTATGTGCCTGCTCTGCGTCCAGTGCCCAGCCAAACTCGTCGCCATCACCAAAAGCCACGCGCATATCTTCCAGAACAGCCTCACCCAGCCCCGAGTCCTTCAGATTCTGCAAATCGGCATAGCCGGCCCGTTTCGGAGCTCGAATACCAGCGTCTTCATCCAGCATACCCTGCTCCTCATCAGGAAACTCATCCTGCTCGATGAAGTCGTCCAGGTCATCGCCAGGATAGCCAAAAGTCCGAGCAGGACGAGCTGCACCATCCACCCCCTCCTCGTCATCTGAGAAGATGTCCTCCACCCCACGTGCCTCACTCACAGCCCGCTCCTCGCGATGCCCACGCTTCAGACGCTTGAACTTGCTCGGCTCGCCCTGCACCCTCTCATCCTCGGGAGCCGTGATACCAATGAGCTCCAGATCCTCCTGATCCAGCTGCTCTTCTTCCTCACCCTTCTCTTCGCGTCTCCGCTTGCGCTTCTCCCGCCTGCGCTCTTTCGCCTCCTCGTCTTCCTCATCTTCATCCACAATGAAGCCTTCCCGAATGCGCCGCGCCTCTTCCTCATCATCGTCTTCTTCCTCCTCACTCGAATCGTTCATATCGCCGTTGCGAGCACGTGATTTACCAGCACCGTTGACTGGCTCGCCTGTCTCGTCGTCCATTTCCTCGTCCTCGTCGCTGCCTACCGCGGCCGTGCGATCGAAGAAGTCGTCCATGGTTGCGGCTCACGAGCTCCAGCAAGGAGGTGTGCCGATTCAGTCGGTGATATTCGTACACCTTAACGAAGAAATTTGTCGAGAGTCCCCTGATATTGGATATAGTTGCGGACTCAAGAAGGATAGAGAGTACGAAAGGCGGAGTGACTGTCGAGTGCGGCTCGTTTGTAAAGCCGTAACGCAGCTCGCGACTTGTAGAACATTTGGACGCTAGTATTCAAACACGGGTCGTGCCGTCTCCACCGTCGCCGCAGATTCATGACCAGCTGGCACGAGGACAACTCGTGTCAGCTGATAACATCTGAGTAGAATAAAATGGCATTTGTTATGAAGTCCTACCTCTCAGTAGTATAGGACTAAGCAGTATTGAAGATACGCAAGCACGACTCTACCTGCACAAAACAAAGCAAAAATTCTAATCTAATCATACCTCGACTCGTGTCCATACAACCCCATTTCCTCCAACTCCCTAACCAGCACCCCCTCCCTCCCAATCCAAACCACCGGCCCCGTCTCCGCACCCCTCACCTCCTCCTCCTCCAACAATCCCTGCTCACTCGCCCTCAAAACCCCACTCAACCTCACCCACACACACCTTCGAATCCACCATTCCCCCTCCCCGATCATAACCTCATCATCCACATTCTTCCACTCCACCGAGTTATCGATCTGGTCGTAGATGCGCGTGATAGCCGGCTCCACTACATCGCGGTGTTGATCTCTGATGATGAGATGAGGACCGTAGCCATAATTCTTTTCCGCGATAGTAGCATTGCGGAAAGCCGACGTGCGATCCAAGCGCATATTCTGCTCCCGCTCATTCACCTCCATCAGTTCATCCACATCCTCCGTATAATCCGGCCGAGCCAGTCCACCATGATTGAGAAACCCAATCGTGGTATCCGTCCCCGCAGTACTAGGGGCATAGAACTGCACGGTCCGGGCCTCAACATCAATGGCATCCAGTAGTTCGCCAAGCTCAAACGAGCTATCAATCCCCAGCGCCAAAAACGCCACAAAGTTCGCCGGATCCTCTGTACGGCAGAAATCCACAATTCGGACCACCACCTCCACCCAATGCACAATAGCCAGCATATCCACCGTCCCCGCATGCTGCCGAAACTCCACCGTCCCCTTAATCCTCTCCTCCGGATGTCCCGAATGCAGATTCTCGATGTTCACGGCACTGTTGTGCGTCATGGGCCAGTCAGCCCGGGCGCCATAAGTGTCCAACTCCTCCACGAACGTCTCATCCAAAAGGAAGAACTTCTTCAATTCGGCAAAAGTCTTCATGTCCTCGATCGCGCGGAGCCAGTCGTAGAGGTTCGTGTTGGGGAGAGCGGTATGGTTATGTTGGTGGAACCAGGAGAGGGGGATATGCCAGTGGTCGAATTCGAATTCAGACGGGTAGAGGATGCGGTTCGTGGCGTGGATGCCATCTAATAGCCGTTCAAACGCCGTGCAGAACTGCAGCACATTCTTCGCCGTGCGGAGGGAGAAACTGCTCCCTTGCTGTCCAACATGGACATGGAACCCCGCGGATTTATTCAGCAAGAACCGACATCCCGCATTCTCAATCTTGGCCACCACGTCCAACACCCTCTGCACCTCGCCCCTCCAATCCTCCCGATCACCAAAGTAAAACTTCCGACTACTCAACTCCACACTCTCACACCCAAAACCCCCTGGCCACGTCGCCTTCTCCGCCACACTCTCCACCGCACAATCCTGACTAATCCTCCAATGCGTATACTCCTTCCCATGCTCCGCCAGCGTCAGATCGGCCACGCGCCCGGCTTCCCCGCCTATGATCGGGATATTGGCGCCGAGGAGGGCGTAGTAGAGGGCTTGCCAGGGTTCGCATTGGGCGTCGTTCCAGACGGCGACGAGTTCGAGTTCGATGCCGAAGGTTATCGGGGGGTGGTCGTGGTCTGGCATTTTGGTTTGGATCTCGTGACTTGCTGCTTCGATCGTTGTTGGTTCGAGTCTTTCGTTGGTTCAGTGTCGACATGAGTTTGACGCCTGCAAAATCGATGGTGTATGGCCGCATTTGGAATTCGGGACAAAGACATAGTATGCCGGAACTGGGTTTCTCTTCGAAATGTGACAAAGACGCCACTCCTCTCCTTTACCATCCTGTCTGGTATCGCTGAAAGTGGTGGCAAGATATGCCGGTTTGGTGTCCTGTAGTCAGCTATGGAACAGCAGTGACAGCGCCCTAGAAGCCTTTGATAAGTCAGCACGTCTGCTCAGTAAAGATCAAGTCTTCGCTAGTGAGTGTCCACCACTACAGACGGAGTCGTGGTGAGGAGTGCACAATGTGCTGAAATCTGTTTGGAGCTCCCTCGCAGAAGCGGTAAGTATGGAAACCGGCTGTACGTGTAAATCGCTCAAAAAAACCCAATCATTGTGATCGTAGGACAAACGCCAAGCATTCCCGACTGATGTGTGTGCCGGTTCACATCGCCATCTCAGCTTGTAACTTCCGCAACTCCTCTTCCTCATCATCCTCTTCCACTCTCTGCTGTCGACTCGATACTGCATCCTCGTTAGCACAACATCCACCCGCATCATACTTGAACTACACCAAAACTCACCAGCCCCAGTATTGACCGCCGGCATCCTCTGAATCTGATCCGACACCGGCACCGACCCGGTCTTCAACATTTTATTATCCAACTCCTCCTGCTGCAGCTCCGCCAACTCCTCATCCAACTCATCCTCATCCACCCCTTGTCCAATACTCCCTTGGGTCAACGCCTCGGCAATCTCCTCCGCGATCGCGTGTTCTTCCCGCAAATCCTCCATCGTCTGGTCCACTTTGTCGATGGTCAGGCCGCCGTGGATGTTCTTCATGGCTTGCTGGGCGTGTTTCATGGCGTCGAGGGTTTCCTTGTTGATGTTGGCTGTTTCGATGGAGGAGATTTCCCGCTCGACGGTGAGCATTTGGGCGGACGTCTGTTCGAGTTGGTGTTCGTAGTTTTTCTTCCGTCGGAGCGCTGCTTTGGCCACTGGAGATAGTATGCTCGTCAGTATATACTCTTCTTATGACAGCAGGTCGCGTGACACTTACCGCCCTTGTTGGAATTCACATTCTTCCTCGCTATCGCATCTTGCTCATCCATCTGGTTCTGTAGATGCTTCTCTCGCTTCGACAACATATCCAGCGTGCCTCGCAACCCCAGTATGGCGTTCTTGGGTGCATCCTTGCTCTTCGCTGCGTTCCCGCCAAACAGGCTGCCCCAGCCCCAGCCCTGAGACATACTGGCAGACAGGCGTGACTATCAGAGCCTTCGGTAGGGGGAAGAAGAGGGAGCACCAGTGGCGGCCGGAGCAGTGGTGTGAGTGCCTGGGAAGCGTGGCCGATAAGCAGGACAAAGACAAGTTGAGGCGGCGCAATCCGTCTTGTGCAGAGCGGCAGGTCTTGGTACTGTATATGACAAGCTTTTATGCGGTAGCCTTAGGTGTGAAGCAGGTCTGTGCCGATACAAGAGGTAGATGGTGGTGGATGTATGATTCTGCTTGTGGTTGCCTTCTACGATACTATGCAAATGAAAGACTGCAATCACATGCACAGACACGCATCCCACATGACGTGGATCTTGCCTGGTGTACATCGGGTGATCTTCGGGGCCTTGCGCGCCACTACCACGAGGAATTGATAGCCAGGAACCATTACCGAAGTACATGTAATAAGGACAGCTAACAAATCAAGACTGTTATCTTGTTTTTATATCAACCCCACTGGACCGGCGAATCCAAGACCACCCAGATGCATTTCGCGCGATCTACAGCGGTATGCCGGAGCCTAGCCGTCTCCTGAAGCTGGAACAACTCCCCAGCACAACAACAACCATAGGCACCAAAATCCGCTTCCTAGGCTGGTCCGTCCTCAACCTCGCCATCGTTTAACCTCTTTCTCACCCACCCACTAACACTCCCCACAGCGTCCACGACTACGACACCACAACAGCCCTCCTAACCCTCCGGGACCACTACCCCGCCACCGCCAAAGACGTCCCCACTATCTTCGTCTCAATCGATAATATCAAGGATGGTCTGGATCACGAGCTTCTGGCTGTCGGCTCGTGGCTGAATGTCATGGGGGCTCTTCGGGCTCGACCTCAGGGTTTTAAGGTCTCGAGACAGGCACGAGTGGCGTTTGTCGATGCTACGATTGTTTGGTCGGCGGGGGCTGTGAGGTTGGAGAGGTATCAGGATGCTGTAGATGGGTATCAGGGGTGTGTTGCCCGGGATGCTGTGTGAAGTCGAATCATGAATCCGTGGGGAGACAAGCACTGTGATCCATGCTTGCTCTTGCTTTCTATGCCTATGTGATCTAAGATATAACTCTATATGTAAGTCTTGCAACGTACAGGTCGCATGGTCTCGATGACGAAAGATCATCACTCCCACGGCAAACTCTCCGGGAAAACCTCCACCCCACTCTCCTCGCCCCGCCACGCCAACAACCGCTTCACCACCTCATCCCCACTCAACCCCTCCGCCACTTCATCCTTCCAAAACCTCTTCCTCCGCTTCCCAGCCAAGGGCTCCCTAATCCCATACAAATCCCTTTCAAACAACCCATAAGCATTCTCATACTCCTTCCTCTGCGTCGTCCTCAACTCCTCCAGCGTAAAGGGGTGATTAATCCCCTGCACCCTGATCCTGCTTGCAGGCCACTTAATAGCCGGCGCATGCAGTTCCAGAAACCGCTGCTGTTTAAATGCATGCGTGATGATGGTGATGTGCTCCGGATACCTTCCCAACAACTCATGATACCGTAAGATGGAAAACAGTAGGTTCTGATAACTATCCGTCGCCCGCTCCTCTAATTGGCACCCGCCGCCTACAGGGGTCGAGAGGTCGCGAGGCGGTAAGTGCGTGCGGAAAATCCTCTCGTACCCCTTCGCCTCCGTCCAGGCCGTCCCTGTCGTGTCGCCGCCGGAGAACATGAGCATGGCTTCCCCACTCGCCTGGTACAAGTTTGCTCCGGCGGTGATGTGGGCGAGGAAAGTGGAGATTTCGCTCGTTTTGTGGGTGGTGGTGTCGGCGCGTTGGAAGTCTTGGAGGGTCCAGGAGGATTCGTCCATGTTGTCTCCGCTGAAGGTGGCGTGGCAGCAGACTATGATTAGGTCTTTGCAGTTGGCCTGTTGGGAGGGGAGGTGGCTTTCTTGAGACATTGTTTGTGAGCGGACGGCGGATGCGGTCAAGCTCGGGGTTGGAGGCTGGAGATGCTGTCAGGCTGGAGATGCTGTCAGGCTGGAGATGCTGTCAGGCTGGGGATGCTGTCAGGCTGTTTCTATGTACAGGAAGTCGTCTACACCGCATCTTTTTCATCGTCTGCTCCGCGGGTGGAATGAAGGGTGCTTTTTCATGAGAAAGCCTAACGTTCCGGCACGTCATCGTTAGGGACAAGAACGATATTCTCACTGGACGTGGAGTGGTCGCCATACTCGCCACTCGCACTCAGTAACCTTGCTTGAACGGCTCCTGTCTTGTCCATGCTACGGTGAGGCTGTTGGCAGTGGCATAGCATCGGCCCACCTTACATACCAGAATAGCTTTCTTTCCGAGGCATGCAGGGCCGCCCCGTATACACATCCAGCAAACGCTTATGTGGTGCGGTAACAACACTGAGGCGGCGCGTATGTACAGCCTAGTTGGAGTTCATAAAGTACTTGGCGGAGACTCATTCGCATATCATCTCCCTATCTCCTTACAAGATCGACAATTCTTGACAGTTCTGACCACGATTCGGAGGTGGTGTTTCAAGTGCCTCAAGCAGGAGCGAACCACGAACCACGAAACGGCGCTACGGCGGCACTAACAAACAAGACCCTGGAAAGCAACGGCTTTTCCCCAAAGGGTACGAGAAACGGTTGTGCATCGCGTCGTCAGCTTGAAGGGCATCCTGAGAGGCCGGCCCTTTGTTTGTTCAATCATTGATTCTTCCGCACACGACATCGACTCCTTTGTTCCACCCTCCATCACCATCACCTCGCTATTCGCATCATCGCGAATCCACTCATTACTCAATTTCATAGATAGTCGATAATACTGCGAGGATCGACGGAGCAACAGTCAGCATCATCCACCTGAAACGTCTGGGCATTGAAGCAGGATGGCTTACCAGGGAGGAGGAGGCGGAGGGGGCTACGGCGACGAGCACAGAGATCACAACATGTCACACGGCGGTGTAAGAGAAACCCCCCTCCTTCACTGCACCACCTCCTCCATCCATCCACACCCACAGTCACTAATGAACCCTCATCAGCAGCAACCCTTCCACGCGCCACCGCCGCAGCACGACAGCAGCGACGACGAACAAGAACGTTCCCTCTTACACGCCAACCCCAACGGCCCTTTCAACGGCCCCTTTGACGAACCGATGAGCCGTGGACACACACCAGGTCTTAATGAGCCCACGGGCTATAGTCTCGAGGAGTCGTATGTCGGCGGCAATGGCTCCACGGGTTACAACAATGGCTATGACGATCAGGCATACAACAGTGGCACGCTTCAAAGTGCTTATGATCCTCCAGACCGCTCACCGAGCCCGTATGCCAGGAGTGACACAGGCAGTACCGAGGCGTGGCGACAACGACAGGTCCCTGGTGGGCCTGCAGCGGCGGCGGGTGGCCTGAAGCGTAATGCTACGCGTAAAGTTAAGCTGGTGCAGGGCGCTGTGCTGAGTGCCGACTACCCTGTCCCGTCCGCCATCCAAAACGCAGTGCAAGCCAAATACCGCAACGATCTGGAGAGTGGGAGCGAGGAGTTCACACATCTGCGATACACCGCCGCCACTTGCGACCCGAACGACTTCACCCTCAAGAATGGCTACAATCTTCGGCCGGCCATGTATAACAGACATACCGAGCTGCTGATTGCCGTCACCTACTACAATGAGGACAAGACTCTGACAGCACGTACCTTGCATGGTGTCATGCAGAACATTCGCGAGATTGTCAACTTGAAGAAGTCGGAGTTCTGGAATAAAGGTGGACCGGCGTGGCAGAAGATTGTCGTGTGCTTGGTCTTCGACGGTATTGATCCTTGCGACAAAGGCACGCTGGATGTGCTGGCGACTGTTGGTGTCTACCAGGATGGTATCATGAAAAAGGACATTGACGGGAAAGAGACGGTGGCGCATATCTTCGAATACACTACACAGCTCTCCGTGACGCCGAACCAGCAGCTCATCCGGCCGCTTGACGATGGCCCGTCGACCCTCCCACCAGTGCAAATGATGTTCTGCTTGAAGCAAAAGAACAGCAAGAAGATCAACTCGCACAGATGGCTCTTCACAGCCTTCGGCCGCATCCTGAACCCGGAAGTCTGCATCCTCCTCGACGCCGGCACGAAGCCCGGCCACAAAGCCCTCCTCGCCCTCTGGGAAGCCTTCTACAACGACAAAGACCTGGGCGGGGCCTGTGGTGAAATCCACGCCTTGCTCGGCAAAGGCTGGAGGAACCTCCTCAATCCCCTCGTCGCGATCCAAAATTTCGAGTACAAAATCTCCAATATCCTCGACAAACCGCTCGAATCCTCCTTCGGCTACGTCTCCGTGCTGCCCGGTGCTTTCTCCGCGTACCGTTTCCGCGCTATCATGGGCAGGCCACTGGAACAGTATTTCCACGGCGATCATACGTTGTCCAAACAGCTCGGGCCGAAGGGAATCGAGGGCATGAATATCTTCAAGAAGAACATGTTCTTGGCTGAAGACCGTATCTTGTGTTTCGAGCTCGTGGCCAAGGCCGGCAGCAAATGGCATCTCACCTACGTCAAGGCCTCGAAGGGCGAGACTGATGTGCCGGAAGGTGCTCCCGAGTTTATTGGTCAACGTCGTCGATGGCTCAATGGGTCGTTCGCGGCTACACTCTACTCGCTCATGCATTTCTCCCGGATGTACCGGTCTGGTCATAACATCATTCGCATGATTTTCTTCCATATCCAGTTCATCTACAACATCATGGTCACCTTCCTGAGTTGGTTCTCTCTTGGTAAGTCGAGCTGGCCCCCTCAACATTTAACGCAGCTCAGCTAACGAATATGTTCCACCAGCATCATACTACTTAACGACTGTAGTAATCATGGACCTGGTCGGCAACCCTAGCAGTACAAACAACAACCACGCCTTCCCCTTCGGCAACGAAGTGACCCCCATCTTCAACACCGTTCTCAAATACCTCTACCTGGCCTTCCTCCTCCTCCAATTCATCCTCGCCCTCGGCAACCGCCCCAAAGGAAGCAAATGGTCCTACATCATCTCCTTCGCCCTCTTCGGCCTCATCCAAATCTACGTCATCATCCTCTCCCTCTACCTCGTCGTCCGCGCCTTCACCCACAAGGGCGCGGGATCAACCGACATCGACTTGAACGACGGCGCGGGCAAATTCTTCCAATCCTTCTTCGCCTCCACCAGCTCCGGCATCATCATCATCGCGCTCGCGGCGACCTTCGGTCTCTACTTCGTCGCTTCCTTCTTATACCTCGACCCTTGGCACATGTTCACGTCCTTCCCGCAATACATCGTCATGATGACCAGCTACATCAACATCCTAACCGTCTACGCCTACTGCAATTGGCACGACGTCTCGTGGGGAACCAAGGGAGCCGATAAAGCTGACGCCCTGCCCTCTGCCAAGACCGAGAAGGCGAGTGATGGTAAGGGAGCCGTGATCGAGGAAGTGGATTTACCACAAGCGGACATCGACTCCCAATTCGAACAAACCGTCAAGCGCGCACTCACCCCTTACGCCCCTCCGAAGGAAGAAACGAAGAAATCGCTCGAAGACAGCTATAAGTCCTTCCGCACCCGGGTAGTCACGGCCTGGATCTTCTCCAACGCCTTGTTAGCGGTGGCCATCACGAGCGATAGTTTCGACAAGTTCGGGTTCAGTTCGGGTGCTACGTCTCGGACGGCGAATTTCTTCCGCGCGTTGCTTTGGGCGACGGCGGGGTTGTCGCTGGTGAGGTTTTTGGGGTGTTTGTGGTTTTTGGGGCGGAGTGGGTTGCTTTGTTGTTTTGCTCGGCGGTAGATGCTCTGGCTAAGGGTGTGGGGTGTGGGGTGTGGGTGTTGGTTTGGTTGTGAGCATGGGATCTGGGGGCCTGGTGCTTCCTTTGCTGGGTGGTGATGAGATGGGAGTCTTTTTGTGGGAGTTTTGGGGAGAGAAGGAATTTATACCATTACTGACTGCCTTTCTCGACATGAGATGGAGGGTATGTTTTGCCATTCAGCGGGCGATGATTTGGGGGGATTGGATGGGGTTGAGTTGGAAAAGGGGCTTGGAGTTCTCGACATGTGGGGTTTTGTTGTAGCATTAGCATTAGCATTAGCATCTTTGTCTCAATCGTCTATTACAGCTTATTATCATGATTCCTTTCCGTCCCTTTTGAGGCTTGCTTCGAGTACTCTCCAGGGTTGTCATCTACTTTCCTCCTTCAACCGATTCCTCCCGCGATCACATGCTAGCAGCCATCTTTCTCCCTTCTCTGCCATCGCGGGGAAAAGCGGGCAGAGTTCAAGCCACATGTGACACGAACGATCATCCACTTCCGAGTTGTGCGTTGGCGAAAGGCGAAGCTCACTACTTCACCGATTTAATTTCTTGTTACCTTATTGTTGCCTTGTTGTTTCGAGGTCATTATTGCCCTTACACCGCTGTCTGAAAAGCACTATCTATAAAGACCATTTGAACATCTGCTAAATGGAATCGAGAAGCCGCGCCGTCTATCAAGCCGATACCGATCATTCACACCCACCTATACAGTGACACGGCGATAGATCACTACTCAGCTAGCTACACCAGACGTGACCTGACCAGCTGCCTGGAACACTACAACTCCTACTCCAACCGGAGCAGTAAGAGATAAAATACCCAACCATGCGCGAACGCGACCTCCGCAAACAAGCTCTCGAATCCGGCAAAACCGTCTCCCGCGCCGCCCGCTCCAAACTCACCACCCCCTCCTCCAGCCGCGCCAATAGCGCCACCCCGTCCCGTGTCGGGTCCCGCCTCCCATCCCGCAACGCCTCGGACGACGACGAGGACGGATTGAGCGATACCACGCAATGGAGCACGGCCAGCATCGATGAGATGATCTCGCCTCCTGGCGGTGGCGAGGAGCTCGAGGGGGAAGGCACGGATGCCTGGGTGGGGGTGTTGGAGAGTCAGATGGAGGAGATTGTGGAGAGGAAGCGGAGTTCGGCGCAAGGGAGGGAGGAGGCGCTGCGGATGTTTTGTGCGCTGGTGACGAGACACTATGCTGCGGAGCAATTGAAGGGGAGGACGGGGGAGTTGGTGGCGGCGATGTTGAAGAGTGTTAAGGGGGCGGGGAGTGGAAAGGAGGTTGTGCTTGCGCTGAAGGCGTTGGCGTTGGTCGTTGTGACGGAGCCGAGTGATGAGGTGTATGATGCTCTTTCTGGTCCGGTAAAGACCTGTATTTCCGACTCGGCGTTCCCTGCGGCGAAAGTGGCGGGATTACGTTGTCTCAGCGTCGCGACATTTTACGGCGGTGCCACGCTGGAGGAGACGGAAGGCGTGATGGAATTTCTCCTGGATGTCGTTTCTTCGGATGGTGCGGTGGTGGGCGAGATGGATGATAGTGCTATCGTTACCGCGGCGATTGAGGAATGGGGGTTCCTGGCGACGCAGATGGAGGATCTGGAAGAGGGGACGGAGACCGCGATGGAGACGTTTGTCGAGCAGTTGGAGAGTGCGAGCGCGGAGGTGCAGATCGCGGCGGGCGATTGTATTGCACTGTTGTACGAGAAGAGTTATACCGATGCCGAGTCTGACGAAGAACCCGCCGAAGAGGACGAAGACGAGGATCAGACAAACGGCCACAATCATGGTCCGCGGATGGTGAAGCGCTACACGGTCTACAGAAACCTCCCCCAGCTCCTCTCGACCCTCACCGCCCTCTCCAAACTCTCGTCCAAACACCTCTCAAAGAAGGATAGGAAACAACTCCATATTACTTTCTCCGACATCCTAACTACAGTCGAGAAACCCACCCGCGGCCCACGATACAGCACTGCGCTGGATGAGGAGGGGAGGGAGATGGGGAGTCGGTTGAAAGTCGCTGTGGGGAGAGGGGGCGGTAGGATGACCATCGATAAGTGGTGGAAGTTGCATCGGTTGCATGGGCTGAAGAGGTTGTTGGGGGAGGGGTTTTTGGTGCATTATGCGGGGAATCAGGTGGTTTTTGATAGTTTGCCGGTTTTTGTTGAGGAGTGAGTGGGTGATTTAGAAGTAGTGGAGGTGGAGGTGGAGGTGGAGGAGTCGTGAATGCCGACGACTCGGTCATGAGTGCTTCCTCTAATTTCTCCTTTATCTCACATTGTGATTTCGGCGCACGTTTCTTGGCCAGTAGGCACGTCGTTCAATGTGTACAAATTAGTATCCTACTAGTAACATCATTCCACCAAAAAGCGATGTCGCATGCTACACATGACGCCAAGCTTGGAGGCTTGAGGCGGTGTCTCGATCAGCAGACCGAAATACGATTCTGCAAATTGTATCGACAACCAGACCTATTCGACTACAAGTATCACGTTACGTGCTGTTTGCTGCATGAAGTGATGTGAACAATTAAAGACTTTGTGAGAGGCAGCGAGCTTTGCACCGAAAATGGCATCGAACGACTATGAAGCGATCAACAAAGCTAATTGGGACGAACGAGCGCCTGAGGTATGATCACGCTTGGCTCAGGAGAAGCAAGAATGAGGACCTTACTGAACTGCTTTGTAGCATGCCAAAGCGCCAAGCTACTCAGTGGACCGTTTTATCAAAGATCCGAAGTATCTTTCTGATGTCGTGAAGTTCGACATACCACTGCTACCAGATATCAACGGTCTTGACATCGTGCACCTGCAATGCCACATTGGAACAGACACGATATCGCTGGCAAGACGTGGAGCCAGATCTGTTGTCGGGCTCGACTTCAGCTCAGCTAGTCTGGAGGTCGCACGTTCTCTAGCCGCATCTGCTGCTGGAGGGGATCGAGTGAAGTATGTGGAAGGAAGTGTATACGATGCTGTCGAGGCTTGCGGAGCGGGAGCTTTCGATATGGTATTTACTGGCATCGGGGCACTCTGCTGGATACCCTCTATAAAGCGCTGGGCGGAAGTGGTCTCCAAATTACTGAAGCCGGGGGGTCGTCTCTTCATCCGCGAAGGTCATCCGATGCTCTGGGCCATCGATGAGAAGGTCGAGGACCATATCTCGGTGCGATATCCATACTTCGAGACCCAGACCGGCGAGGTCTTCGATGAGGATACCACGTATGTGAAGCTAGCAGATGACTCGAAGGTCAAGGAGAGTGGTTTCAAAAGTACCAAGACTGTAAATTGGAACCATGGGCTGGGTGAGACCGTGACGGCGCTGATGAGTGCTGGTCTTCGATTGGAGACGTTTGTCGAGCACAAGAGTGTGCCGTGGGAGGCTTTGCCTGGTAAGATGCGGGAGCGTGATGATGGAGAGTTTGAGCTTTGGGAAGGACAGATGAATTGTCCGTTGACGTATACTCTGGTTGCGGTCAAGAGTTGTTGACAGCATGGTCGCATACCATATCTTTAGCAAGGACATGAAGGACGAGCTCCAGGAGTAAGATGGGGTCCCGGAGTCTGTCTCCCGATGGTGTCGAGTCGGTGATAGAAAGCTCACCAGGGAGTTTCTGGTGTTGTCAAGGCTTTAGCTGATGATGATGGCATGCTAAAGCTTCAGCTTAGTCGGATAATCTCCCATTCCAACCCACTAGAAGGACTTCCCAGGTCGGCTCTCTGGGTAGATAAGTACACTATCTGCTCCGGGAGCCAAGCCAAGTGATTGTCCAAATCCAGCTTGGGTCGCACAGGATGACCGGATGACTCCAGGAACAGATACTCCAGGCTGTATGCTTTCAACGGGTTATACCACACCTGAGGACAATCGTACGTCTCCAAACCGACTCCGCATCTCTCCCATGTATCTGTCTTTACCGCGTGCTCGGCCCCTTGGCACACAAGCAGGAAGTACACGAAGCCGTAGCCTCCATAGACTCGCAGAGCTTTCACGTCGATTGATTCTCCAGAACTTTGGTATGGACAGTCTAGCCATGCCTCGCCCAGGATAGTGTCATCGCTTCTTTTGAGCGTAGCTTGGAACTTGTCTCGCTCGTTCAGTCCGAATTGACATGTGACCGCAATGGTTTGTACGCGCAGAGTGAGGATGCCTTGAGAGACTTTGCCGAACGGATCGCTAGTGCTTAGCGAAATATTGCTTTCGACCAAGGTCGGGTCACGAACTGACTTGACCGGTTCGTGATCAGTGGTGGGAAATCGTATCGCCCCTCTCACAGAAGCCCACGACCAGACTGGCGTCATGTCCTGGCTGAGATAAGGGCAGTCATGTGTGAGGACATTCTCGCACCGCGTTCGGGAGGGAGCACTGCGATCTGCATACCAGACCAAGCCAGTCAAGTCTTGTGCCCAAATGCCAGCCAGGTACGATGCCTTGGTCCGCATTGCAATGACTGCAGCCAAGCCAGATAGAGATGGCAACTTGTCTTCCACGAAAGTCAGCTCACGCTTGGTTGCCTGGCGAACGAGATGCTTCCACAACATAAACTCTGTTTTCGTCGAGATCGCTGCTCCGGTGTGTAAAGCAAGCACTCGCTTGAAATCGGCACCCTCCGACGTCACGAGATCGGCCAGGCTGACCCTCGAGCGATCTTCGATGGTAGAGGTCTCCTGTCGTGAGCATGTCTGGCACTCCCAATATAGACCAGATCTCGAGTAATTGAGCACACGAGTAGCGAGCAGTCGCTCCTGCAGTACCCAGCCCCGTGAGTTCAGCGCAGCATACTGGAATATGTGCTTCCGGTCAGGAGGTTGTCGGCGCATGGTCAGCACATCTACGGGTGGAGATGGCGTCGACCAGTGTGCTCGTCTCATCTCAACCGTCCTCGGAGCTGCACGATCAGCCAAGAAGCGCTCCCAGCTGCAATTACTATCTAGTGCCGCAAGCGTCAACCACGAGTCTCGGTAGTAAGATCCCATGTTTTGACACTCTCGAGCCCAGTCTTCGGGTGAGTCTTGCACAATGCAAAGCGAATCTATCCAGAGATATCGCACGCCCAGCAGCTTAGTGGCCTCGATTGCATCTCGAAACGTAGGAGGAAACATGTGGAACGGAATGCCTTTGCAGAGTGCGCTGACATTTGTGGTTGTAGTCGTCGACTTGCCCGCCATGGTACCCCACCTATGTGACAGGGCGGTGTAGCGATGGTCCGGGACTTGAGCAACAGGAGTAATCAGGCTGGCATTCAGCAGTCGCACGCGCTCTTCTGAAACGTCCAATACCCTAGTTGGTAACTTTGATCAGGCTGACGATCCACAGCTCGAATGTGCTTCGCAGCACTCTTTCACCCAGTCCTTCACAAGTTCAACATTTCTCCTTGACAATGGATTGGCCTCCAGGACTCGAAGCCTTTGTTCGTCGGGGCTGAAGACGGAGTGAAGTAGCTCAAATCGTAAGACTTTATTACCGCCACCGTCGTGCAGTTTGAACTCCAGCACATCATCTACGATCCTTGCTTCGGAATCTCTGTTCTTGTCGTACGATCGATTATCGTTGACACAAGCTCGGACGAGCTTGCAAGATTTGCAGCCCAGTTGTGCACTGCGGCATAGATACTCGAAGCTATGGTGACCCTCGAAGTCGCTGCCTCTACTAATCATCCCCAGAGAGGCGCCACATGAGCCACAGTCAGCTCCTGTCAGTCGATATTCTTGCTCCTGATGTCTCTGCTGTCGGTATCTGTCGATAGAGAGAGCTTCCCTGTAAGCCTTCTGCCGCTTGATTGTGTCGTACGGCATGTAATTGGGATCTAAGAATTGATCAGGCCGGCGATGCTTAATCTGCCATGCACTCTGCTCGTGGCCGAATCGGATCGGAGCTGGTGGCTGCTGTATAGCAGGATTCCAGGTGGGCAAGACAACTGCATCTTGCTGGTGAATGGGTAATATTGGAGTTGGTCGTTGCGGAGCAGGATTCCAGGCAGGTGGATCATTGCCTCTCGTGTTCGTTCGCCCTCCATGCTGTTGATGGACAACACTGCTTGTTCCTGGTTGCTGCCGAATAGCAGAAGACCAGTACAGGCTTTGATTGTGTAGCCTACGATGGGAATACCCAGTAGAGCTGGGGCGGTCACCAAGTTGGCTTGGAGAAAGGCCACTGCTGGCTAAGGTGTCATACAATTCATCGTCCATTAGAGCAGGGATGTACAGTCCAGTGGGCATGACAGGATGATCGATCGCGCTCGGTAGGGGGGATGGTCACAGTCGCTGTTCCTCCTGGAACCGAGCCGCGTTTAAATGTTAGATCCCGTCATAAAGGAAGGACTAGGGGGGGTGATCGATATAGCAAGGTGTCTGTTCAACAATGTCGCTCGTAAGAAGCGATAGTACTTACTATTCAGACTTGTGTCATGAACACCGTTGATGAACCGCTTCCGAGTCCTCACCCCCTTTGGCTGTGGCTGACAATGGTGGACGCGGTGCTCTTGGCGTTTGAGGACCTACCTCCAGCATCGTCCGTTACATAATGCGCGGACTACCACTGTCACCAGACAAGCTAAGAGGCATTACAATAAATTCGCGCTGTTGTGCAACGTGGTTGTGAACCATTGGAGTTCCGGCTCTAAGTGCCATTGTGCAGTCAAGATCACCCACCCGCCCCGCAACAATCTCTTGCGGGCGTAAAGATAGTCAGCATGGATATACCCGACGGCCGAGAGCCCTTGAAAATCACATGGTGGAATGCATGCATCATGAGCGCTGCGATATGGACGTGAGAAAGAATGTAGTTTAGATCTTGAGGTGAGAAGCAAAGTCAAACGCGAAGACCACTTTGACGCGCCCGCGTCGCGCTTCGACGCGTGCACCAGCCATCTTCGAACCTACATGTGCTTACTTCGTCGTGTTCGCATTGACACAGTGTTTTGCCAACGGCATTGGCGACGCATCTCCCTTCTAGCACTACACGGAGCAGCAGACACTATACCACAAATATCTCATCAATGGCGCCCACAAGGAAGCGAAAGCACGATGCGAGCGATAGTCAACAAACCAGTAAACATGCATCGACACCAAGTATAGCCGACTTTGGCACCGTCAGCAAATCATCCGTACCTGTGTCAAGTTCGAAGAAGCTCAAGACGTCACAAAACCCCGGTGGACTGTCAATACTGAGCGAGCCGGCCACTACAGCATCAACGAAATGCGCGAAACGCAAGCGAAGCAGCGAGCCTGCCGCCGATGGTCTTCTGGTGTCCCAAGTCACGGACGTGTCCTCAGAAGGTATTTCCAAGCAATTTGCGATGTCACCAGGTTCACCTAGAACCAAAAGAGCCAAGAAGATTTTCCCACCATCGCCAGCGGAAACCCCAAGCAAGAAAGCTGCAGCACTGTTCGACAAACTGAAGATCCAGCCCATATCATTCTCCCTTGGCCACGATTCGGCGGGCATTGATACACCTCCTGATACACCAGAAGAGCAAAAGCTAGTGCACCAGCAGGACTGGCCCGCGGAGTTGCAGGACCTGTGCGACTTACATGCTGCATTCTTGACAGCGCTATCACTATACTATGCGCATAACGGTACTTCCTCTCCCGTTGGTGTCAGGAGCTTGCTCGACATGATCTCAAAGAATTGGAAGAAGCGGTCTGTGAATCTCTTGGACATGCAGCGCCTGCTTGCTATCGGGCATGCTGGGCGAGCCGAGTTCACCCTGGAGGACTATAGCAGAGCTGGAATCTGCATGAACCGAGCACAAGCTCGAGGGCGCGGGCTGCAGCGAGCTGCTAGTTATGTCGATGAGGATGATCTGAATATGCGATTCCAAGAAGCTCTGCAGGCAGCATGGCACAGGCGGCATCAAGTAGCCGAGAAGGAAGATGACAGTCCAAGCACTTTTCTCGCACAGCTTCCCATCATCGAGATAGTTGCAAACGGTTCGGTGGAGAATGCCTCGTCATTGTTCGCTCGGGGTCAGCAGCGACTGGCAGACATCAAAGCAGCACAGGCAGGCGCGAACGCGACATCCGAGTCACAAACCGGCAGCATTATGGCTGAGCACAGGACGACAAAGGCAGTGCAAAGTCGAGGGACGAGCTTACTGGATCGTGTACTAGCAAGGCAAGCGTCAACAGCCTCCATGCCAGCGGGACCCACCAAAGCACAACTAGAGCGCAAGGCTGCTCTTCACAGAATCGAGGATATCGCACGAGCGCTGAGCCTGCTGGTGAGCGTGAAGCCAAGAGCGACCGTGAGTATGCATGCCGCGGTTCAGCAGCTGCAGCAGAGCTTGCGCAACCCGATTAGCAGGGAGGAAGTTGAGCGGTGCCTTGAGCTCATGACGAAGGAGATCACGCCGGGCTTTGTCAATGTGATTACCACGGGATCAGTGAAGGGGGTTGTTGTGATAAGGGCGGCGAGGCTTGATGTTGCAGAGATTCGGGTGAGGGTGGCGCAGGCTGTCGCATGAACGGATGTGAGGAAGATATCGAATAGGCACTATTCCGTTACACTGTGGCAATGTCTCAGTCACTGCCTCTGTACGTCTCCCATGCAATCTCCATCTCCTTATTGCAGTATGAACCCTCGAAAGCTCTCCGCATGAACCAAGGTTGGTGCTTATTGGCGCGGAGGAAATCCCGAAATTTGCCCGGGCCGAGCGGCACGTTCCGCTTATGCGTCGAGCATCGAACTTCACCCTCAACCTCGCTTCACGCACTATAATTCTGCTACTTGAACGTGGTATCGCAGCGCCGGCAAATAGAGCAGAGTATCATCTGTGGGCTCGAACGACTCTCCCAGCCGACTGTTGGTGTGCAAAAATTGCTGCTCTTGCCTGTGGGATCCGCCACACCTTCTCCAGTCATACCTCCTTCACAACTGTGGGAAGGTACGAAATCAATCATGATTCTCATTGGCTTTTAGTACTACTCGAAGAAGTACTGCGATGTCCTGCTGCTTTCGGGGAGACTCCCGACGCTACCAAAAGCGGGCAATGCCTTGGTACCAAAAAATGAACAAAGCCATTGTCCTCGGCACACGCATCGCTTCTCTTCCTAGCAACTATGGCTGCGTAGGCACAGGTATCTGAATACGAGAATCAGCTCCTCGGCTCATGTGTGAGGTTTGTCGACAGTCACTGTAGCTGCTGCTATCATCGGCCCGTGAGCCTCGGCGTGGAGTCACAATAGCAGGGAAATGTTCACATTCACAATAGCACGTTCGACGCCTGAACACGGTCACGAACGGCAGAAATGTCACAAGTGACAATAGTAAACACACAATAGCAGCTGAGTATAACTATCTTTCCTTCTGCGCTCTCTCTTCCTTGATCAAACAACTTCTATCACACATCTGCATCTTACCTACAGTCATACCTAGCATCTCGACAGCATCTAAGAAGCATTTGCACCACATCCATCCATCATCTCGAAGACGTTGATCGTCTCGAACTTTCATCACTTACCAGGAGCGACACTTGGAGCAGACCATCGTTTTTTGGCAGCATCCTCACATTGCTTTACCAGACGCCGGTCGTCTTGACAGCAGCAACCAGCATTCAGAGGAATTTGACAGCCGATAACGAGCTTGTTCACCAGCATTCACAGTTCGAACTCCAAGCAGCAGCGTCCGGTGAATCGTCCGTATTCACGTGTGACGACCATAGCTTGCAAGGTAGCAACGCACGGCCCGCCCCCACACCCTGGCAGTCACTCATCTGCTCGGTCTCCAGACATGTCGGTTTCACCAACCGCAACCTCTGATCCTTTTGTCGATACAAACTCGAACTTCACAGCGATCAACGGCACCAATCGTGAAGCACTTCGCGAAGAGCACACCAAGAACTTCGACAACTACTACATTGACGACACGATTGTGCGCGAGCCGTACGTCGAGCCATCTCCGAAAGTCAAGAAGACTCGCGGCAAGAAGCGGGCTGCCGACGTCAGCGACCCTTCAGACAAGAACGCTGAACCTTCGAAGAAGATGAAAATTGCGACCAAGGAGACTTCGTCAAGCTCTGCTGAAGGCGACGTCACTTCAGAAGAGACTCAAGTTCGTCGCTCCGGCCGCTCCACTGCAGGGCAGAAGCGCAAAGCCGACGACTTCGCCACCGAACAGCCTATCACGCCAGAATCGCCGCTTGCCAAGAAGTCGAAGCCGTCTGCAAACGCCACGAGCAAAGTCGGAGGCAAGGCAGTCGACATGGAGCCTGTAACGCCACCTCGAAAGCGTCCAGCCAGTATCACCCGCACTCTTCGTACCGAGCGCAAGTATCCGAAGACTCGCACGCCCTCCTTGCAGCTTGCCAAGAAGACTGAAGTCACGCTCGCCGACGATTCAGACGCCGAGCTCAAAGCCGAGAGTCTAGAGCCCAGCGATGCTGAAGAGTCTGCTGTCAAGTCTTCTCGTGCTTCTGGCAAACAGACACCATGCAAGAAAGAAGTCAAGAGTGCCGTGCCTAGCGACTACAAAGGCATCGCCACTAGTCTGGGAACGACATCAGAGAAGCCTGACAATGCCCCACTCGACCATCCTTGGGCTTGTGCTAATCGTGCCTGCTGCTCCGGCATGACTTGGTACCACCGCGAGTCCAAAGGCAGTGACGGCTTCGGACGCAAGACCATCTCCCAATTCTTTGGCCGCAACAAGAAGGAGACTCATCGTATCGACGGCGATGTCTGGCACACGTACTGTCGCAAAGACTACCAGCGGATGTACTACAAGGCAATCCGTGCTGAAGGTGGCGAGTACAAGTGGCACATGGACAATCTCAACCAGCAGTTCATCCGTCTCAAGCTGTGGCGTCCCGAGGCTACCTTCACAGTTGGGCTCAGCAAGAAGATGGGTGAGAAGGCCAGCGAGTGGCATCGAATCTTACGCAAGCATAAGAGTGACAAGGGTGCCGCCAAGGTTGAGTTCGACAAGCACAAGACGTGGGGTGTCAAGGAAGCCAAGGTGTCGAAGCGCAAGACTGTCAAGACGTCCACGCCAGAAGACTCTTTCCCTGTCGACTTCGTCGATCAGTTCTCGGCTACGTGCTGCAAGAGTGATGTCGACTACGATGGCATCGAGGACACGATGCACTATCTGCAGGATCTGTACGACGATGAAACTCTGATGCACATGCCGCCGATTGAGTTTCTGATCAGCGATGTGAAGAAGGGCGAGACTGTCAATGATCCGAAGAAGAACTATCAGCTTTGGATTGATGAGATGGAGAATGAGACCCCGTCAGAGGCAGAAGCTGATGGGGCTGAAGAGGCCGAGGATGGTGCTGCGGCTGAGAAAGCTGACAGCGGCGAGGAGATCAAGGTTGAGCCCACTGCCAGCGAGGTCGAGCCCACTGCCAGCGAGGTCGAGCCCACTGCTAGTGACGACGAGGGCTCTGACATCCGCGTTGCTGCTCCTCTAAGCCAGATCAGAAATGATCCGGACTTCTTCGGCCATCTGCAAGAACTCACCGCCAAGTTTGCCGCCGCCTCCAAGCACGCCCATCACGACGATGAAGACGACAGCGCTGCCTCCGAAGCCGATCAAAGCGATGATGAAGCAGAGGAGATCATCATATCCCAGGCTCGTAGACCCAGCCACACCGAGTACAGCACCAGCTCCATTGTCAACTCTATCGAACAGTCAGTCCCCGCTCCCGCTCCTCTGCCCCTCTACACGCCACCGAAACCCATCGTCAAGAAGCCTTTCAAGCTGACTCCTGTCGATCCAACAGGCCGATATGAGCGGCTATCGACTACACTCGGTTCTAAGCCGGGTAATGGTAGGACACCGCCGGTGGTTGATCGGATCGTTAAGCATTAGAGCTATGGAGTTCGTGGAGGGTCACACACAGTCCGTGGCCTCCCGGTCGCTCGATGACCAGTACCATTTACCCGGTGCTGTATGGTATTTCTCTCATATGACTGCCTCGTCATCCTCGCCCGCGAGCGAGGTCTTAACTACGATACAGCACTTACGATTGACGAACGATGTGAGTGCGATACATTGCATCCACCAACTATTTAACGGCCGATACAACGACTTCTTTTGCATGCGAACAAGCGAGTGGTATTCCGATCTTGGTTTTGATACAGGCGTTTGGGCGGCACGGCATTCTTGACTTTTACTTGCAACGACTTCTATGCTACGATGACACTTGCGCGATGATGCATGAGCTTGAGAATACGCTGTGCTGTGGGTTCACATGGCTGATGAGATGATTGCTTGCTTGCCTGCTTGCTTGCTGAGTGGTATGATAGAGCATGGGTTTGAGGCATGGGTCATCAACACAAACGCGAAGAGAGAGATGATAATGCGGAACGATGTGCTTGAACTTGTACTTGTATCATGTACTTGAGCTTGCTTGCTTTCTTGCTTGCTGTATGCCTATCACTCATAAAACTCATGCTTTCCTCTCGTCCCCGTGCCTCAGCCGTCTGTCGCATTCTCGTGCGTCCTGTGATTCGCGCGCAATGGATAACACTGCTGCTACAGTATATGCCAGACTTCCCGTCCGTCTTTTGCAGATGCCAATACCCATTTCTAAGCACCTTCCTTGCGCCAGCGCTATGCCATGCTATGTAATGTAACGCTATGCCTTCCATTCATAACAACGCAAATCACCAACGCACTCAAAAAGCTCACGGCAAAGGAAATGGCTCTTCCTCGCAGAATTTCGCCGCTGCTAGTATGTTAGCCAAAAGCATTATCGATCCAATTCAGCTTCTTCATCCTCTTCTTCGTCTCCGCCACACTGTCTGAGGATTTCGTCCGCGCTCGTGTCTTGATACTGGGCACACCTCCCTGAAAGTCCGCATTCGCTTCTCCTCCACTTTCATTTCCACTCCCATTCCTGTCTAGGCTGGCGTTGATATCATGTTCATCTTCATCTATATCTCCAATGAAATGCGCTGCTCGTCGCTGTCTTCCCTGCTGTTGTTGCTGCTGCTGTTGTTGTTGGTTTTTGGGGCCCGAGCGTAGTCATGCAGTATCCCTCTCCACTGCATCCCCTGCTTCTGCTCCTACTTCGGCCGCACCAGCTCCCGCTTCAGGTTCGAGCGCAGGTTTCGGTGCGACGACCTCAATGCCTTGGTTCTTGGGCTGTGGCGGTACGGCTTTTGCCAGCTCCTCCTCTCCTCCCCTCTCATCATCCGCTCCATCGTTCACGCCACCGCGACCCTCCTCCTTCTCAGCTCCAGCAGTACTAGCTCCCTCATCCACCTCATTCCTAACATACCCCTCATGTTCATGAACATCAGGCTTCTCACACCCAATCTCAGTCAAATACGTTTCGCGGGCCTCTACATCCGCCTCCTCGGCCCCTTCATCCATCAGTCCATCAAGACTACTCAATTTCTCCGCCTTCTCCTTCCCCTTCTGCGCCGGACTCAGCACAGTTTTCACTTTCCTTCTCTCCAGGTCTTCGTCTTCGTGTGCGCTTTCGTCGGCTGTGGTGTAGCGGTCTACACTATCGCTGTCGTTACTACTCTCGTTACTGCGTCCGGCGGAGATTTTTCGGAGGCTGGGTGGGGAGAGGAGGCCTGAGGCGGTGGGCGTGGAGGGCGCGTCGAAGTATTTGCTGTCTTCTTTCTTCGGTACTTTGCCACGACCACTATGTTCGGGATGTGGATGCAAGGAAGGTGCGCCCTCGTGCGCCCCTTGCTTATTCTGGAAGCTGGACTCGGGATGGCCTTCAGCTGCTGCATCCTTGAACTGGCTCGAGTCAAGAAGTTGTTCCTGTTTTGCCATTTCCTTGATATCGGACCAGTACTCCAACCGCTTGACCTGCTCGTCCGCGGCTCGGACAGCTCGATGTAAATTCTCCGCCCGCTTGATAGCTTCGCCGTGCTGTTCTACCTTCTTATCGTCGCCCTTATGGTCGTGTGAAGAAAGTGAGTTTTGGGTCGAATGTGCGCTGTCGTGATAGCTGATCAGTTCCGCCAGTAATTGCCGTCTCGATGACTGGTACACGAATAACGCCATGATCTCTTCCATTCGATCGGAAAGGTAGAACAGCTCATCGCCACCGTTTGAGATGAATTTCCGCACTGCGGTCAACTTCTCCCGATCGACGGAAGCCACGCGAAGAGCGTGAGCCAGACTCGCTATATCGGTCACCTCCATCTTCTCCACATCTACTTCTTTCCCTCGACGAGGAGTACGAGTGGGACTCTGTACGCCACTTCCGTACCCATCACTACCCGACTTCAAAGTCTTGGGGTGGATTGTAAAGTACTCCGGCGTCAACTCATGACTTTTCTCCGTAGCTGAGTGCAGCGTATTCTTCCGCCTTCTTAATCTCAGCCACCTTCTCCGTCGCACGAAACTGTGAAACCAGGGGTGATTGCCATGCCAATTGAATTCCTGTCGGAACAGCAGACTGTACTCCCAACCCTCCTCGTCCACATCCCGCGACATGTCTACGTACCAGGTCTTCCATACCCACTCCCAGCTGGGATCCGGAAGTTGCGCATTCAGGATACTGACCGGTGAGGTGCGAAACTGAGCGTTTTGCCATGGTCGTGGGTCGGACGGTAAGAGTGTGGCAGCACTGTATCGGGGAGTGCCGAACAAAAACCATCCTCTTTGATTCTCGTAGAGGATGTCTATGACCGTATCCTCTTGCTCGCCTCCTCGACGTAAAGTCTTCCTTCGTTTCAGGAGGCCCTTAGCTTTCGCTTTCCCACGACCAACATACCCAGGCTGCGCTGCCTCCACTTCTTCGCCAGTATTCGTCGTCTCATCATCGCCGCCCGTGGCTTTGGCAGAAGAAGGATCCGTCTCATCTGTATACCTGTCCTTCCCGTACCGCGCATACTTTTGCTTGGCAATCTGTTGGCGCACGGAAGTCTGTAGGCTGAGAGAGTTGTTGGTCATGCGCTTGAACAGTGGGCTGAGGGGTGTCGGCTGGTCATTGGCGGTGGTGGATGTGCTGTCTCTTCGTTCAGCATCTCGGTCTATTTGCTCTTCGGCAGCGGCAGGACGAGTGGTATCGACGAGTTTGATGTTGTGCTCGGATTTGATCTTGTCGGCGTTGGGGGTGTCGAGGAGGAGGGGAGATAGTATGGATGATGGGCCGGACATGGTAGTAATATTCTTGGGGTGTTCGGTCACCTGTCTTGGAGGAGGATGGGGCTGTATATCACATCGCCGTTTCCCGCGTCGTGGTGGTGGAAGAGATGCGCCAAGCCGTGGTGATGTCGCGAGGGAGGGTCGTGGGAAGAGTCGGAGGTGTATTGCTCGTGGTCGCTCTTGCTGTGTGTCGAGGTCATCCTGTTGTGTTCATCTCATCTTTCTTCCAACTTCACTCTGTCTTTATTCACACCTCATCTATCTCAACCGTGGAGAATTAGTGTTTCGTGTCCATCTCCATATCTCTTGCCTTTCCACTAGCGCCGCGCGTGCCTTCTCTCCGTCGATCTGGGGAAAGCTCGAATCAGCCGCGTACGTCATCTTCACCACAAGCGCACGTTGCCGTGCCTGCGGGGTTGTGATTGGGCGAGGCTGGTTCTAGCCTCTGGCGGGAAGGAGCTTCTGGGAAACCTGCCTGCCGAGCTTCACTTCTTCTGCAATTGCTCCGTCTCATCAACACTACTGTACAACTACCACTATCAATTGTACTCAAGCCATCTACCCTTAGCACCTTTTCTACCACCATTACATACCTCCAACAACACAGCAAACATGTCTGGAGGACGTCTCTGGCAGATTATCGGTGGTGCCGGCGTGTTGGGCGTGGGTTACTACATGTACAATGCCGGCGGCAGCCCCAAGGCCGCTGAGAAGCGCTTCGAAGGTACGCCATCCCCTTTGCCATCTCCTGCATACTCCCACTTCATACGTTTACTAACACCACCATGTACAGCCGATGCAGCCAAGGCCGCCAACGCCGTTGGTCTAGCCGGCAAGGGCAAGGAGGTCCAGAAGCAGGGTGAAGTCACCATGGCCGATGCGGGCAAGAAGGCCGACCAGCTTTTCCAGGACGCTAAGTCCGCTACGAGCAAGGTGGATGGCAAGTTGGAGGCTTACAGGAAGGATGCCGAGGCGAAGCTGGAGAGCACTGCCAAGGAGACGAGGTGAGTTGTCCGATCGTACTTGGAAAGGATGGTGGTCGGCTGCACGTGGGCTTCGGGGGTTTTGTGATGGTTTTGCTGATGTGCATGTGTGTCTGCAGAGACAGCGCCAACAAGGCCATCAACTCCTTTGATAGGAATGTCGAGGCCAAGGCTTCCGCGGCGAAGGGAACCGTCAACAGCTGGTTCGGTGGCTCCAAGCCTACTGATGGCTCGAAGTAGATGAGTGGAAGAGTTGAGGAAAAGGGAAGGGGAGCGGAGATTTTGTACGTATGCGCGTTTGAGTGCACAGAGATAAGATACTAGTTATTATACCTGAGCCATTTCAGACCATTGCAAGCTAGGCACGCATCCTGCTGCTGCTATACCACGCTCGTTACCTGTCTTGCCTCAGCCGGCGATCTCTAGTGTGATTGGCTTGTGATAGTGCAGATGGCGAATATCGCGGAACGTTTGATTGAGGGTGGTCGGAAAAGACAGCGAACCCAGCACTTGGGTAGCCTCCTGTCCTGTGCAGGGTTTCCAACGCTGTCAGACAGCAAGCAAAGTTGCTGGGATTCTCTTGATTACAGCACGATTTATGGTCATCCTCACGCAGGAGTCTGGCATGTTTGGTGCACTCCTTCTGCCGCTTTCGTGCCTGCTAAGCTGTAAAAGAGCCCCAAATTCGCGCTCGTCCAAGGAGTGAAAGTGCCACGAACTACCAACCCATGGACGGATCAACATTGTCCCAGCCCCTCAAGACCTTGCTGGGTGGATTTACTGCTTGAGAGCCTTGACTGAAAGTAAAGGTCAAGTCGCGGACACAAACCATCCTCTCCGTGCCTGCACCGCCTCGATGTCTTGCCCCAATACTTTACAGCTCGTCCCTGCAGCCCGTAAGGCCTCAAAGACTTCCCAGCGAATTCGCCATGCTTGCCCAAATCTGGGAGCTCGATTCCGACCAGCTTCAACTTGACTTTTGCGTGAGCACGCACATCAGCTCGATCGACCCGACTTGACGCCAGAGTTGCTCCAGATTGTGTGTCGGACATCAATGCGGAATCGATCAAGATTCTTCGTCTTGCCCGCCGCCGTGGATTGGCGTAATACTGCAGAACTTTGACCCTGAGGACTAGCTGCGTGCCCGGAGAAGCGAATAGTCTTCTTAGCCTCTTCGGGTGACGAGTGTAGGACTCATTTGCGGCCAAAAAGCAATTCAAGGCGTAGTAGCGTTCTTCGCGGCAGATGTGTGCTAGTTCTGTGTATCGTTCGACATCTGCAAGTCCGATTGAGTGATCGTAGGTCAAGACTTGGCTGTAGATTATGTCGGGCAGTTCGCGGGGAAGGCTGTTTAGTGGTGAGTCGTCCATTGGAAGTAAAGATTTGTGATGGTACTCGTGGTATGAATAGCGAGATGAATCCGTGGTCTTTGGCTGATGAGGAATACTGACATCCGTGTTTGTAACATGCGCTCCTTGCAGTCCACTTAAGCTCCAAGCAAGTACTGGCCGAGGCAGTCGCTGGCCATGGGTCGGCATCTCCTTCCCAAGATGTCACTTGACAGGTAAATTTGATATGGACAAGCACATGGCCCGATCATCGTTCAGAAGGTAAGTCCATCATCACCAGCCTCCATCTTCCTCCTAAACCTCACGGGGCCGTCAACCTCATACAAGTCAACATCCATTCCCAATACCGTGCCTTTGAACAAGATCTCACAGTACCCTAGCTCACGCAACTCCCAAGCCAATTCTCTGATAGCTGGGATTGCATCGCGCCATCCCTTGTAGCCCAGTCTCGTCAGCTGCTTCTCTGAAATCGCTTGTGCCACTTCGGAAGCCTTAAACACCTGTGGCGGCTCAGTGTGGTCGAGATACTGGAGGAAGGCGGTACGCAGCGCGGGATCGTGAACTGCATCTGTCACTCGCATGGGTCCAGTGGGTGGCGGGGTCCAGATGAAGGAGGAGAGGTATGCTAGTGCCATGACTTGCTTGACAGGCGCTGACTCCGTGGGTAGATGTGCGTGACACACAACTACAGGAATCGAATGTAGCCTTTCCGTACGGCAATCGACGGAGATCGATGAGATCGATGAGAGGAAGTCGAGATGCCTCTTTGAGAAGGCACGACGGATGACTCGGGTGTCGCCACTAGCGGCCGAAACCGTTATCGATTGGCGTAAATGTTTATGCATGAATTATGGCTGATAGAAATGCGTTGAAGTCATGCGCCGGCGGTCGCGAGGCCACCCAATATCCTCAGAAGATGGCCATCACGATTCTGCCGCCAGCACCTGCGCACGAGAATGCTAAAGCATACCATGGCGACTCCTCTGACAATGACATGGATATCGACGACCTCCCCTCGGGCCACCGCAGCACGACCACGAATATCATAACTCCTGGTCAGACCGTGACATCGGATCCGCAGTGGATGCGAGGCCATGGAACCTTTGCAGACACGGACAGTGCTGCCATCCGAAGCACACTAGCAGGTACACTACAGAAAACCAATAAACTTCTGTCCATTGTCCCACTTCGAGCACGATACACTCCAGAAATTGGCGACTTGGTCATCGGAAGGATAGTAGAAGTGCAGAGTCGAAGATGGAAGGTGGATGTTGCTGCACCTCTGCTCGCAAATCTGCTGCTCTCATCCATCAACCTGCCCGGTGGTGTGCTACGAAAGAGGACGAGTGTGGACGAGCTGAACATACGCGCTTTCTTCGGCGAAGGAGAGCTGCTGGTGGCGGAAGTGCAGAGTCTGTTCCAAGATGGTAGCGCAAGTTTACATGCTAGAAGTCTGCGCTACGGCAAGCTAAGAAATGGGTACTTCATGTCTGTCGCTGGCATGGGAGGCGGAGCAGGTGTGGTGAGAGCAAAGAGACAGATCTTCACAGTTCAGACAAGGAGTGGTGGAGAAGTGGATGTACTGCTAGGGGTGAACGGCTTCATCTGGATCGCGAAGCATGTTGCGGAAAAGGAGGACGTGGGCATCAATCGCATGGAGGAGAAAGTGGGCGAGAGCATGTACAGCTCGCAAAATGATGAGATTGAGGGTGGGACGAGGAGGGAAGTTGCTGCTATCGCGGGCGGGATACGGATTCTGGTCGCTGGTGGTGTGAAGGTCGAGGAGGGGACTGTGAGGAGGGCGTACGAGGCCGGGCTGGAGCTGGATGAGCGGGAGAGGGACGGTGAGATGATGGATTCGGAGCGAGGCAGTGCTGTCGTGGAGATGGTTCTCGCGGGTGGGTGAGAATCGCTACTGCACGTGAGAGTGAAGATACTACCAGCTGGGCTCGAGCGCAAGCATAAACCCGATGGTCTCGCTGGACGCTGTAGTCTGGTCGACAGCACCACTACTACCGAATTGCAACAGGCCTGGTTGTGATACCATCGAGTGTGTCATTGGGGGGGCAGGTCACGCACGGCCCAAGGTCGACTCAGCGCTCAACGGCCTTTTCTCCTATCCTGTTAGCAGGAAGTACGACTCCTAGCACGACCTGTGGCAGTGGGCGATGTTGTCCTCTTGAGGTTGACATTAGCGTGCGGCGAATGTACTTCTTTCCCACGAGGCTGTCATACTCGAACAACACAGCTCGTCGTGTGACTTGATAGGACACCTCATCACTCAGACGACTCGAGGGTGGGTACTTAGGTCGCAGCACTTGTGTGACGTCTGAGAACTGGTGCACACAAATCGGAAGTCGAATGATGCATGGAGTGCATCAAATGTGCCGACAGCATCACTCCTTTTCACAGTCATGTTCTCTATCAGCACGACAACGTTCATATAATCATAGAGGACACCGCGGCCCAACCATGTTTCTGATCCCATGACCGAGCTTGTGACCATGAAGCCCTCACATCAGGTGGCGCACAAATCAAGCACACTCCTCAGCCTCTCGCCACTCGCCTGCATAGCCAGAACGGCCTCCTCATCTTCCATAGCCTTGAGACCCGTCTTACGCCGTCCATCAAATTCCACCCTTGCCTGCCTGTCCTCAATCCCGGCGCCCATTAGCTTCCGTAAGCGTGGCGTGATTTGGAGATTACCCGTCCGCCAGAGTAACCTCATGAGTCCCTCGATCAATAGAGACACCTTAGCGTTGTCCACAGCACTTGTAGTGCTAGCAGTGAACGGCGCATAGCAACACTCGAAATCCGCCTGTGTCAAAGCATTGGCATCGTATGTCGGTGCACTGCTGGTCAACAGAGGCCGCAGAAGCATTTGGATAAGAGAGCATTGTGAGTCGATGCTCAGATAAGCTCTCATCGGTACCACGAACTGCTCGAAAGCTGCAAGACGAAGAGGCCGAATGAACTCGGTGTAGAGATCAAACAGATCTTCGACATCCAATAGCAGCTGCGGAGCGGTCGAGCAGAAGCGGACGAGCAGGGCAACAATACGCTGACGTAGAGCAATGCTATCTATGCCGCTGAAGGCTTCCACCCCAAGCATGCCGGAATTGTCAAACACAGTCGACTCATCTTCGCTGCCTTCATCCTCGTCGCCAGACGGCTGCCGACTTGCTTTGCGGCTAGAGAAGGCAGTGGCCGATCTCGACCTCCTCGCTGTGGTTGCTGGGCTATCTTCATCAGACTCGTCGAAGTAGTCACCGAACTCGTCATTATCGAGATCAAGCTTCCGCTTTTTATTCGCAGTCTGTGTCGTCGTCTTAGCTAGCCTCGTCTCATTCCGCCAGATCTCGTTAAACTCTGCCAATGATTTGGTGGATCCATTCGCCAGTATCGCACGCATGAGTCGGCGCTTGCTGTTGCGTCCTTGACCGATGGGCAGAAGGTACTGCGCAAGCAAGCTGTCTGTCACGGTTCCGTCTACTGTGCGTTCGTGTAGATCAGCCTCGAGGACTTCCAGCATGCATTCCAGCCATGCTCGCCACCGCTGCCATCTATGCTTGTACTTGACGGAGCAGTTGAACGCCCAGCCAACAACACTCCAGAAGTCATCAGCATTGCTCCATATCGACTCTTGGTCGACGTATCGGCTTCGTATCGTGTTCGCATCGTCGATGGGTAGGACTTCAGCCGTTTCAGACTTGCGGTCCTTGGCTCGTTTTGACCGATCGTTTCGGTCACTTCCGGCAGTGAAGTGGAACGCCTTGTCAAGCCCCGCAGCTCGTGGCGACAGAAGTCTACTGACATGTCTCAAGTATCGCAGCGCATCGTCGGCCGCCTGTGGCTTGGTCGGATCAGCCGTCCGGGTTGTCAACGAAGGATGCACGGCTACTGTGGCAAGTAGTGCCAGATGTGGTATTGGAGGTACTTGTGATGGTCGCGAGGTACAGGTGCCAGATGTGAGACCACTACTCAGCAGTGCAATGGCCTGGCTAAAGAGCTGTTCTTCGAGGCAGACCGTGCAATGGTCTAGCATAGATGCTGGGAAAGGCTGGACGTTCCGATTCATTCTAGCACGCCCGATGCTCGCCTGTGAGCTGTCTGGTGGCGGTTGCGAGGAGATGGCCATGGTCGTGACGCGCGTTTCCCGTGGATGTGGTCGTTCTAGTCCTGGTCGCTTTTCATATTGTCTTGGTACTCGCAGTATATTGGCCGACTTCGACGCGACTTGTCACGCGTTTCCATTTCAAGTTGCTTACATAATATGCTCGATTTCCTCACTCTCTTGTTCGACCGCTTCGAGATGTCGCATACACAAATAATCGTTCATAGCAACAGCTATTTACAATGCCGAAATACTTCTGCGACTACTGCGATGTCTACCTCACGCACGACTCAATGTCGGTCCGCAAAGCGCACAACAGCGGCCGCAACCACCTGCGAAACGTAGTAGATTACTACCAGCAAATCGGTCACGACCAGGCACAAAATGTCATCGACTCGATTACTGCTTCGTACACGGAGGTGGGACAGACGGCGCCGGGACTGGGTATGATGGCACCTGGTATGGGACCTCCGCCAGGTTTTGGTGGGCCACCGCCGATTGGGTTTGGGGGCGGGATGGGTATGGGGAGGGGTGGAATGCCACCTGGAATGCCACCTGGAATGCCGCCGGGACTACCGCCAGGCATGCCGCCGATGCCCTTCGGACGGGGTGGTATGCCGCCGTTACCACCAGGTAAGGTCAGACACTCTACATATTTTAAGCACAAGCTAACCTGTATCAAGGCTTCCCACCACCACCAAATGGTTTCCCACCAGGCATGTCTCCAGGGAACATGCCACCATTCCCTCTCCCAGGTGGCTCAGCTGGATCGCCTCCTGCGGGTATGCCATTCCCACCACCTGGTAATATGCCATTTCCACCACCGAACTTTGCTGGAGGACCACCCGGACCGAGTCCAGTTGGAGGAAGTCAGATGAGCCCACCACCTGGGATGCCACCAGGGATGGGAGGTCCACCAAGATGAGCATGATGAAACACACATTGCTCGGAGGAAATTGATGTACGGTGTAGGATTCGCGGTTCTGCTATTAGCGAGGAGTTGCGGCGCGTGTGACAAAAGTTCGACATGCTTGAGAAATAGATCCGGAGGTATCGGAACAGCCTCAGGATGGTGTCAAGGATGGACTACCATAGTCATTGCATAAGATGATAGAGCTACCACACAGGATGGTTTTAGCGAGTGCCGTCGCTCCGAAGAGGTCGATCACAGGACCTAGACCTTCGCTTTTGCTACGAAGTGTTACCACGGATGTGTACGATTAGCAGATCAGTATGCGGACGAAGCTGAAGTTCGAATTGACAAGACACTGATTGCGAATGCGTGGGGAGGTTTCTGATGCGCACGCAGATGTCAATCGTGTTCATTGTGGCGGCAGTTAGACTATGTGTACACAAGCGTCGCGGACTCCATAGACGTATATACTATGTTACACATTTCGCACAACCTTATCCCAGTCTCGGCGTCAGTGCTTCAACTCACTCAGCCGCAGCTCCTTCATCTGCAGGCGTTGGCTGCAATTTGCTCTTCTCAAGCATCGCTCTGAAATCGTTGTTACTCTTCGCAGCTCCCGCACCAACACCGTTTGCCGCTTCACTGCTGGACGTAGCAGCAGCAGGCGGACCTCCCATCCCACCAAACCCTCCACCTCTCTTGAATCCCAGCCCGCCTCTTCTTCCACCTCGCTGACCTGGCCTCGAGAACGTTGCAGGTCTCAGACTCGTGCTCGCACCACCAGCACCCGCATCTTGCTTCTTCTTCCCCTTCGACAACAGATCACCCACATCGCCCGTTCTGACCTTCTCACCCAGACTCGAGACATCGACACCTTGCCGTACATTGAAAGCATCGCTAACATTAGCAAACTCCACAATCGCACCTCCAAGCTGCCGTCTCAGCTGCATCTTGACAATGGGTCCATAAGCCTCCATGGCTGCTTGGATTCGAGCATCGTTGACTGTATCCGGAAGTTCGAAGATAGCGACCTTGCGCTCGCGAGCAGTACGGTAGGCTTCTTCATCTTGGGCATGGGGTGCTGACGCCATGGAGACGTCTGAGCCACGACGTCCGTTTATGCTACTCGGTTCAGGAGAAGCAGAAGCGCCACCGTGCTTGATGATCACATCTTCCTTTCTGGCTCGTTCGAGCGGTGCGGCACGACTTTCTGCATTGGACTGCGAGATCTCTACGTGCAAGATTCGGTCTCGCCAAGGTCTGTTGTTTGCTGCGAGGGCTTTGTTGGCGTCTTCGGCGGTTGCAAAGACCACGAAGCCTGTACCGGTACGCTTGTTGTTTACAAGCTTGAGCAGGTTCAAGCTCGCTACGTTGCCGAACTGGCTGAAGAAGTCTTTGACCTCATCCTCTACAGCAAATCTGTCGAGGTTCTTGACGAATATCTCACGACCCTCGGCCTGTGCACCCGAGCGCTGCTTCTTCGCCTCCGGGTTGGCGATCTTGGCGAGCAGTCTGTGCTTCGCATCAAGAGTCTTATTGTCCATGTTCGCCTCAGCTTCACGCGCCATCTCTTCCGTGAGGAAGGTGACGTAGCAAAATCGCCGAGCTTTGTTGTACTTGAGGGACGGGAAACGTACGCTGACGATGTCGCCATAGCTGCTGAACAAGCTGCGTATGGTCGCCTCATCGTACTCAGGTGGGTAGTTGGTGACGTAGAGCGTGTTCTGGCTTCCGCTTTGGATGCGGACTTCTCTGCCACTGAGCTCCTTGCCATTGCGTGTCTTGGCAGCCAAAACATCCTCTTGTGACTCGAGTTCGACGGTGGCGGAGGAGGTATCGTTCTTCTTGTCCCGTAGAATGTTGATTGACTGAGGCTTGCCGATATCTCTGAAGAACTTCTTTATCTCGTCTTCGGTGATTTCCAAGGTCAGGTTGCGAACTGTGATTGTGGTGTTTTCGCGATCACGTTTGGCCTGCGCGGCCGTCGATGCAGAAGGCTCTTCTTTGCCTGTTACATCAGTCTCCTCAACTTTGACTTTCTTGTGCCTATCAGAAGTACCATTTGGTGTTGCGTCCTCCGCCTTCCTCTTCTCACCATTAGTCGCAACAGGCTGTGCTTCCGCCACAACAGGCTGCTCTTGCGGTACAGATTCTGCCTCCTTCGCTCTGCGTAGTGAAAGCCGCTTCGAGAACTCTCTTGCCTCTACTATTGCATCTTGTGCCTTCTCGCGTGATTCGTGTTGCTGGAAGTGCGTGAGATACATATCAAGCACTTTCTCAGGCCAGTCAAGATTACGCTGCGATAGCGCTTCTTGCACTACTTTGGTCGCAATGTGCGGTCCATTCTCGGTAGTCTCCACACGCATTGCCTCTGACATTCTGTCGTGTCCCCACATCCAGAGCTCCCAGGTGTAGTAGGTAGCCCAAAAGTCGTATGAGTCCTTGTGCTTAGGCACGAGTTGGCGATAGATCGCACGCGCATCAAGAACACGGCGTGCCTCACTCAGGTATTTGATTTGTATCGTTTCGAGGCGGTGTAGTGGGTCGCCTTGGAAGTCGTCGCCATAAATGGTGCGACCTGCTTGCTGTATATCCTCGAGTGCTGATGCAATGCCCACCTCAGCAATATCTAGCTCGTCCTCTGAGCTTCCTGGTCGAAAGGCCAGACGTCGGAGATAGCTGCACCATTGCTGAAGCACTTTTAGCAGCTCTTCCATGCCGCCTACTGCAAGCAGACCAGAGTTTGTCGCGCGATGCTTCGTTGCCTCGATCTCGAAATGCGGTTTACCCTCCACATCACAACGCAGGATCCGACGTGCCCACAAGTCACCTGACCAAGGGCAGTGTCTTGTGGCTCTCTCCGCAAGAGTCAGAACGCCACTGCCGTCGCCGTTGGTCGTAAGGAGGTCTATGTAGTCAAGCCACCATTCGGTGTAAGTCGGGAAGCGCAGAAGCCCACGTTCATACAATGCGCGTCGAAGCTCTACGCCGTTAGCTCCACCACGAATTTTGTGCTTGCGCTCCCATTGAAGGTAGGCGCTGAAAGCATCAAATAGAGTATCCTTGTCTTGAGATTCGGCAGCCCGCTGCACAGCCTGCTCGTGTTCTTCACGCAAGGCCATTTGCTTCCGGGCAGGTGCCGCGACCTCATTAGACTGTGCCATGATCGCTTCCCAGTTGTTAGGCTCATATCTGCTCATGATCGACCAGTATGCTTGTGCCGTCTCGCCTGACTCTGCATGCGGCACTTGCAGCCTCTGCAGATACGTGTTCTTCAGTCGTGCAACATCTGGCTCATTTGCAGAATCTGGCATGTCCTCAAGCAGAAGCTCTGCATATTGAGACCACAGATGCTGACTGTCGCTTAATCGCCATTGTGTAGCTGCGATCGCTTGCTCGAACACGTTCACTAGTGTCTCACGAGTGAACAAATCCCGGCAGACCTCCTTGTCCTCCACAGTCCAGCCGTGAGATTCGGTGACCTCGTTGCAGGCTACATGGCACGATCTGATCCAATCTCCATATGCCTGCCAGAGCTTTGCCGAAGCTGGTTCATCCTGGACGGCCTTTTGAAAAAGCTCGGTGACACCGATGCGCTCCTCAGCCGTCTTAGCAAGTAATACTTCGTCTGCGAGCCAGTCCAGCCAAAGATCTTCGCCGACTGCAAAGCGCGTGTCCATGGCCTCTCGAGCTTGTCGCATTTCCGTCAAGAAGCCATAGCTGCCGGAAGCGCCGGTTGGGACATGTGCAGATTCGGCTGGTGGACGGACATGGGCCAGGAAACCTTTGTGCAGGAGATTGATCAGTTGGACATGTGAGTCGTAGGCGTACGAGTTCTGATTCAGCTGTCCCATCAGATCTGTTACAGTCTGAGACTCCACGTCGCTTAAAGCGCTCGATGTGAAGTCTCGAGGTGGTGGCGTTTGTGCAGGTGCCTCGGCCATGGTGAGATCAGCCAGAGATTGTCCTGAGCCGGTTCGAGCAATGGGTGGCGGCATGACGGAAGCCATCGCAGATTGTCTGGCTGGCTGCTGTGTGGTCTCGCTATGTCGTATACTACTGCCAGAGGTGGTTAGATGTGTCGAATGTCTTTTTTGCATGGAAGCTAGATCTGTGTTTGGATCAGCACAAGTCATTATACTCAGCATGCGGTAATACGGACCAGCAAGCGTTTCCATCTGCAGCGTCGAAGAGTGCCGATGTGCGACTACAGGTCGTTTTTGTGAGTAGCCATGCGCATGGAAGGCCTCCGCTGGTGTCGGTGGTGAAGGATTGCTTGTTGGTCCAGCTTGCTGATGTAGAGGTCGGAAACCAGGTGCACTTTCCGCTACCGAGTGCAACGGAAACGCTTGATGAACAGATGGCGGCTTTTCGTATTGGTGCAAAGGCGTGCCGATAGATGTACGGCCAGGAGTACGCTGAAGGTCGAGGTCAGGTGAGCGAGAAATCTCCTGACTCAGGCCGGAAGATGTGCGCTTGCCACCTGCGGGTCTGCTCGGTCGCGCTTTGCGTGGTGATATCTTCTTTGTTGACGATGGACTTGCAGTTTCTTCTCTCGCTGAAGAAGCCTGCGGCGACAGTAATGCATTGATGTCCATCGTGAGTAATGAACACAATCAATGCGAGACACAAAAGTTTAGCGTGGCTCGTGAATGTGGCTCATGTTCGGACGCTGGCCCGCAAGGGTCGGGAAAGATGAACAGTCTTGAGGTCTTCGCGTGATGGCTTGCAATCGATGTAAGATCAAGCCAGCACGCCGAAACGGAATGATGAAGATGGACGTGAGGTCACGAAGACGGAGCGTCATGTAGGACGAATGGCCACATCCTGGCGCAAGTTTTCTGCCTGAACTATCTTGCTATCGTGGTCTAGTTCTGACCATCGGAGCTCGCTTTGTCAATCCGCCGAATCTAGACTAATCACTAGTTTCTCCAATGCTGTAACTTTGCGTATACGTCTACAGACCATGGGACGTCGTCAAGGGAATGTTCTCCTGGGCAACTTTAAAGTACTCCAGCGCTCATGTCGTTGTTACATGCGATAATAATCAAGCAGCATGTTGGTCTTGCAGAAGAGCAAAGGCTGCACAATGACCAAACCTTGGTTGCCGTAGACCGAGGGACCAGCTTGGCATGAACCACGGACACACCCGCTGCCGGCGGACCGAGCCCATTGCACTTTTGGAAGGAGCACGACGACACCACCAGAAGACTAGGCATTCGGTGAGTAAAGTCGTAGTAGAGTCGCATGCCATCATGAGCATAGCAGTACCGTCTAGGCGTATCGCAGGGCGATGTAGGTTCGCAGTTCATGACACTCGATCGACCACGCTGACAGCCGACAGGCCTCTTTTGTCAACCCCTTCAGATTCGCCCACGCATACAGCATCAACAACAGCGCACCGCCGCATCAAATCCTGGCAATGGCGATGACGAACCTCGACAGAGTAACCCGGTTCTCGATGCCTACAAAATCAAACATGGCGTCGAACCCTCAAAACCAGCACCACAACAAATGCCCAAGGCCGGTGACCTCTCCGCTTCCTCCATCTTCGAAGACGACCGCCGAATGCAGAGCCAGAGGCAGGAGCTTACGCCGAGTGAGGAAGATGTCCCAGAAACTAGCAAAGTCCAGATTGGCGGCGTGGATCGGGATGCAGAGAATATGGCCAATGTGCTTGACCCGGATCCAAATGCACGCGAGCGCTGGGAGAGGAAGAAGGTGATACAGATGGTTCGAAAAGGTGGCAGGTTGAACGCGCAGCAGATGATCAAGCGGACGGAAAGGGAGCATCTAGTGAGGAGTCACAACATGAAGACTAGCGTGAAGAAGTTGGGTATGTTGGCTAGGCAGATCTCGGGCAAGACGCTGGAGGACGCTATCACGCAGATGAGATTCTCGAAGAAACGAGTGGCGCAAGAAGTGCTGAAGCAGTTGCAATACGCGCGGGACGAGGCCGTGGTGATGCGTGGAATGGGTCTTGGGGCTGTCGAAGCGAAGGAGGGTGCGCACATCCTGAACGATGCGACTCCTGCCGCTACAAACGTTCCTACTACCAGCGTCCTCGCACCAACTTTCACCGAGGAACAGAAGTCAGGCCCTGTACAGATTCAGCTCAAAGACGGCAAGCGTCACTTGGTCACGGACGCCTCAAAGATCTACATCGACCAGGCTTGGGTTGGCAGAGGCCCTTTCGGTAAGCTTCCTGACTACAGAGCGCGTGGGCGCGTGTACATCATGCGTACCCCTTGGACGAGCCTGTCAGTACTTTTGAAGGAGGAGAAGACGAGGGTGCGGCTGCATGAGGAGAGGGAGGAGAAGAGGAGGAAGAAGATCTTGGACAATGTTTGGACGCATTTGCCTGATCGGCCAGTGCAGTGGCAGAGGCAGTGGTATGCCTTTTAGATATGTACAGGCTTTATTATGTGCTTTTGTAGGTATACCTTGTAACATACTGCTCATCGCACTTTCGACCGCTCTGCGTAAGATATGCATCCTTGGCAAGCGGCTATGGCAGGCCTGCTTCAAGCTTCCCACATGTATCAGAGGGTCGAGAAGTGCCATTTCCGGCCGCTCGCCTTGTGCCTACTCAGCGTACGAATCCATTTGAGAGGGGCGGAACAGCCGTCGCCCTTCCCGTTCGCCACTAAAGCTGATCTTGGGCTCCGTGGCAGCGTTCATTTTCAAGACGACACGAGTTCGATCTTATGTGACCGTGTGTCTTCCAGTACGAAGTGGCACCTGGGCAACTTCACTTCTTCTTGCTGCGGCTCTTCCCAGCAAGCAAGACCGGTGCATAGACTGTCTCCTCGTGGTCGTCACTTGTCATGTCGAACACTTCCGCATTGGCAGCCGTCTGGGTCAAAAACTTGCGCTTCTTGGCCGTAATCGCAGTCGACTGACTCGCCTTCTCCTCGACATGATGCTGCGCCCACTTCTTGAGTACAGCATCCTCTGCTGGGTTGTCCAAAGAGTGGAAGGAGGCGTGGTGAGAGCAGCCGTCGCAATCGAAACTTGTTGCTGCCTGTTCAGAAATCAGTATCGTGAGATGTAGTAGAATAGATTGGAGAGAGGCGACTCACTTTGACTGGATGCAGCATGAATCTCAGGCAAGGGCATGCCGGCGACATGAGCGAGGACTTGAAGTTGCAGCGGCCTCGTGGTGGCGTGTAGTCCATTGCGCTCCAGACGCTGTTATTGGGTGTTTTGCCTGCCATATTATCCAGGACATTCGGTGTATTCAGCCCGCTGAGCGCAAGTGTTGATCGAAGGACGACCTTTCTGGCGAGATTGACATCTCTTTTGCTTGTTCGAACATGTTGTTAGCTTCGTGTGTTTGCGAAGGTGAGGTCCAACTTTCCACAGCTTCCCGATTCACGATCATGGATTCACAATTCCACTAGCTGCTCCTTTTCTTTCACACCATCCCTTGAATGTGCTGCCGATGATCTCTAGATCGACGAGGAGATGAAAAGTACGATACTGTGGTGGAAATATAGACGCCCTTCTCTCGAAAACAACTTTACTAACACAACACCGCAGCGGTGGTGCAGCGCGTGAAGTCTGCTTCCGTGACTGTGGATGGACAGCTCATCTCGACCATCGCGAAGGGCATACTAGTCTTCGCCGCCATTGGCAAAGATGACACGCCTAATGAAGCTGAGAGCATGGCGAGTAAAGTGCTCAAGATGAAATTGTGGGAGGATGACCAAGGTGGCAAATGGAAGAAGAACGTGCAGGAGATCGAGGGCGAGGTGCTATGCGGTATGCGCTTTCTATCAAGCAGCCGTTCTCACAGCAATGATCTGACGATAAGTCGATAGTATCCCAATTCACCCTCTTGGCCAGCACAAAGAAAGGCAACAAACCCGACTTCCACAAATCAGCACCGCCGACCAAAGGCAAAGAACTTTACGATCACTTCATAAGCAATGTCCGGAAGCTCTACGCCGAAGAACGAGTCAAGGACGGCGTCTTCCAGGCCATGATGGATGTGGGATTGGTCAACGATGGCCCGGTAGGTGTGGATTTCAGCTGTATAGATGAAGCGGTAAGCCCGCGAGGCTGCTTGTTTTGCGCAAGGCTGATAGCCTGTGTCTACTATGTCATGATACGCTGACAATTCCTTTGGGTGTTTGCAGGTAACGATTGAGATCGAGACGAATCCGCCTGAAATGAAGAATCCTTCTGGCTTTCCTGACAAGCCTGAGTTTGGGGACACGTTCAAGGGCAAAGTACACAAGACGTTTGAGATGCCTGCATCGCTGCTCGAGTGAGTGATTGTTTCGGGAGACATGCACTCCATCACAATACACGGACTATGTATCACAGGCGCGTAAGGTGGGTTGGTATGCATCCACTCGAGCCGTGTAGAGGAGACTACCGCACCTTGGTGTTCGCGTAGCGGAGGAACTTGTCCAAGATGCGAAGTGCGAAACGGAGCAAAGCTTTCTTAAGAATATGCTTGTTTTTCGACGTATCAGGACTAGTAATCTCTACATAAATATTGCTGTACGCTTCAATTCATGATACATCTCATCCCAAGCTTACTGTGGGATGAGGACAGCGCGGTACCGCATATCTCCCTTCTCCAACTTCTCCATGGCCTGGTTGATACCCTCCTTCGTCATTGGAAACTTCTCGAGGATCGGCGCAATCTTGTGCTGGGCAGCGAAGCTCAACATGCGGTTGTGAATGTATCGACTGGCGACGACGGAGCCCTGGACGCGGAGACCATTGAGAATGAGCGGCATGTATGGGATCTCGAACTTGCCCTCGTCGACAGATAGAGGGTGGATGGTGGCACCTGGAGCCATAATCGGGAGTATAAGGTCCCAGTTCGGCTGAGCAGAAGTCGTGACAAGCAGGCGGTCCAGTGGCTTCGAGACTTTCAACTCCTTGGCATCCTTGGTGGCGATGAACTCGTGTGCGCCAAGCTTCATTGCCTCGTCCTTCTTGCGGTCAGAGCCGGAGAGTACAACGACTCTACAGCCCATCTTGGCTGCAAATTGAATGGCGAGGTGACCAAGGCCGCCGACGCCCATGATACCGACCGTCTCGGTTGGCTGAGTATCGAAGTTGTGCAGAGCATTGAAGACAGTCGCGCCGCCGCACTGCAAAGGTGCGGCAACCTCATCGCTCATGCCCTCGGGGATGGGAAAGAGGAAAGCCTCCCGCCATACGGCGCCATGAGCGAAGGAACCCTGGTCGAGATCGGCAAAACCGTACATGGCGCGCTCTGGGCAGTAAGTCTCGTTGCCCTTCAAGCATTGCTGGCAGTGGCCACAGCAGTCGTGCTCGTAGCCCCAGCCAACGCGGTCGCCTTTCTTCATGAACTTGACATCGGGACCAGTCTCCTCGATGATGCCGACTCCCTCGTGACCAAGGACCATATCGCCGGCCTTGTAGTGGAGATCAGTGCCGCAGAGACCAGAGGCGGTGACCTTGAGGAGGACTTGGTCGCCTTTGAGTTCTGGCTTCTCGGTCTTGATCTCTTGGATCCCATCGTTCTTCGTGCCCTTGAAGACTGTGAAGGAAGGCATTCTTGCTAGTTTGTCACTGGTTGTGATGATGGTAGGGATTGTGTGCTGTTGTTGTTTTCTTGACAAGGGCGATATCGAATGTGGAAAGTAGATTAGCTGGGGGGAAATGGTCCTTATATACATGAGAGCAACCTGCCATGACGTTTTTTCTCCGTGGCCAACGTGTCAAGGTCCAGGGTCGAGACATTTGTGGCTCCAAGGAAAGTCTAGGAAGACTGGAAGACGCTATGATACGGATCGGGTACTTTCTAAGTGATTGCTCAGCAGCACGACGGCTGCACGGCGGCGTTTCCGAAGCATGCACTTTTCATTGGTACGTCCGAGAGATCCAACATGCTTCGATTGTTGTCAAGAAGGTGGAGCTGTGGCCGCGAAGCATTCATGCACCTCGTGGCGAACAAGGTTGCTGGCGCTCGGGCCTGGCAGAAAGCGTAGAAAATTATCTGCGATTACATCACCTCCCGCGCCATCGCCGAGAAATCCGCTGTTATCGTTAGCTTAAACCCTAACATCGCTGCGTTTCTTCCCACATTCGAACTACTCCTTGTCAGCTGCTATATCGTTGACTGATCAAGTGTCAGGCAGCTTTGGACTGACGACTACCATTTGAACTCTGCTGCTGATGACCAACACACATACAAGCTAAGACAGGACTGTCCCGAAACCAGGCTCGAGAACAACCTGGGATCTCTTCTATGGCGAGGACATTATCTTGGCTGTCGCCTAACATACCTCTGTGTACGGTCGATTCTCCAAGGCGCTGTTTGTTGCTCCATTATGGGCAGTAGCAGGTGGAGGCACTATTAGATGTGACAACGGTGAGCTACCTTGGGAATCAATTGTAGAAGACTGGAACTTCTGCCTGTACATTATGGTCAACGACGCCAGCAGCTCCCACCTATGTCTCGGAGCCTGGACTAGAACGTCCGGGCGAAGATGGCAACTGTCATCACCGTGGAATTGCCACACTCTCCGACAGTGCCCGTTCCAACGGCTGCACCGATACACGGCACACAATTCTCCTCGCCAGCTTCTCCTGTAACCGACTGAGCTCCCAGTATTCCAGCCGCCCTTTGCAACTCATCAGCTGGAATCCCTTGAGATGTCTGCACGTGACTCACGATGTAACGTAAAGGACGTTGTTCCCGCACCAGCAATCTGCCGTGGATGTGGTTCCAAGGATTATCTATATCTCCATCAGTACCGCGCCTCGTCGAAAGGTCAAGATGCAGCTGACCGTGCCGAAGAAGATATACCCGCTTGCGAAACATGCTTGCGAGCACTGACTGTCGACTTGTGTGCCGTAATTGGCCTTCCATGTTGACAAGGCAAGTCCTGTTGAAGAGCCTTTGCCCCCGGTCTGGATGTAGCAGCCCAGATACCCGAACGTGGACGATGTTGCGGTTGGACCAGGAATCCCGGATGCACTGTCACTGTCAACCGTGACCAAGAAACCTCTGAAGGAAGGACTCTTACATACCCTGAAGGGCTTCGTGACGGATGTCGACGGTCAGAGAAAGCTCTCACGATTCATAGCTGGCAAACTCACCCTGATGGTCTGCATTTTCACAAAGTTAGCTATTCCAGTCTTTGTGGGTTCTCGATAACCACCACTTACCCTGTGCTACCGGTAGGCCCAATTGCTCCGGTGGGTCCCTTTTGTACGTCAGAGATTTGAAAAATGACAGAATATCTCCCAAACGCTTATACCGTTGGTCCGATCGGCTGAAGAAGAACCTGTTAGCTTTCATCTTATTCTTGATGCCAATCTCCGCTGCACTTACTCCGGTTGAACCTTGAGCGCCTGCTAAACCTGCAACTCCTGAAGCTCGTTTGCGGAGGTCAGCATTACAACACGACACCTGGCTGATGATGAACTTATCTGGACTTCCTGTAGCGCCAGCTGCACCGGTCGCTCCCTATGGTGAGGATCAGTATACTCATTCCATGTAAGGCAGACTTGAGCAGCTCACCGAAGGACCACTTGGGCCAATTGGTCCGCTCGGCCCCTACGAGAGTCAGCACCCGTGCGAGGTTCGGTCACATTGTCCGTATTGCCTACCGAAGGTCCTGCTATGCCTTGTGAGCCTGTAGATCCGGTGGCCTGGTCATAGGGTCAGCATTGTGTTGCTACAGACCGGCCAATTACGCCCGAGAACGGAATTGAAACAATACGTACGCCAGCAGCTCCATTTGCACCACTTGGTCCTGTTGGTCTGTTGCATGATCTCAGCGAAGCCTTCCTGCAAAAGTGCTAGCGTATCTCACCCTGCGACACCTTGAGCTCCTTGCGATCCTTGAGCTCCAGTTGGACCTGGCACACCCGTAGCCCCCGCCACTCCAGTGGCGCCTGAAGGGCCAGTGACACCAGTAGCGCCTTGGGTCCCTTGAGCTCCCTGTGGCCCGGTCGCTCCAGTAGGCCCTTGAGTACCTTGCGCTCCCTGGCTTCCAGTAGCACCTGTCGGCCCCTGGGTACCTTGAGCTCCTTGCACGCCAGATGCACTCGTGGCTCCTGTAGCGCCAGTAGGACCTGTCGCTCCATTCGCTCCTGTTGGCCCAGTAGAACCCTGAGCTCCCGCCGCCCCTGGACTGCCTTGAGGTCCTGTAGCACCCGTTGCACCTGTCACGCCCGTTGCTCCTGTTGCCCCAGCAGGACCCTGAGCCCCCGCGGCGCCTTGAGTACCCTGAGGTCCTGTAGCCCCAGTCACGCCAGCAATCCCTTGAGCTCCTGTCGGACCTGTGGCCTAGTACTATATGTCAGCGGATACAACATTATCTATTGTCCCCGGATAGCGTGATTTGTGGTTCGTATGGCTGCCGTCATACCTGCAGGAAGTGCAGCGGCTTCAGATGGGATCTTGATGCGAGCAATGGACCAATGTCTGGGCATACTTACTCCCGCAGCTCCGCTGGCTCCATTCGCGCCCTTGTAGAGAAGTCAGCATGAAGAGATCTGACTCCAATCACCCAACTACATACTGTTGGGCCAACCTATAGATTCGATCAGTATACCCAATTCGTGTCCAGCATCTACATCCGGTATTGACTTACTGCTCCTATCGCTCCAGCCACACCTGTCGGACCCTATACTCCTTTCAGCATCAGACAGACCTTTCACCCAAAGCATCTTCAGTTGCTTACCGTCGGACCAGTCTAAAATGCACATATCAGCGATCAGGATACCATGCCGCAGGCTCGAGGATCACTCACCGGCCCAGTTGGCCCTGTCGGGCCAGTAACAGTTGAGTACTGCAGCCCCTGACAACTCGCCGCCGAATACAACGACAATTGAATATACAAATACCCTGAAGGCTGTACATTCTGCTGAAATACAACGTAGATCGTTCCGTTACTTATCGCGCAAAATGACGCCTGACCGTTGAAGAAAGCGGCGTTGAACCAGTTTAGTACACCACTCCCGCCGAGCGAGAAGGCCGTCGTTATGCTGCCGGGAATCGTAGAGGGTACGAATTGTTGGTACGGTACGTTGGCGGATGTAGAGTAGGTGTATATCATCCCGTTCATGGTGGCTGTTAGACCGCCATCGCTTCCGACTGTGTATATGGGAGATTGTGTGCAGTCGTTCGTGGTGGTACCGTTGGAATTGAGGTAGAAGGCTCCACTTTGTCGTTGATTAATCTTGCGGTTGTCAGAGTGCTGGGCGGCGGTTCCCACGACGCGGAGGATGTATTGTTCGCTGAATGGGCTTGGATTTGGAGTTGATGAAAGGATTGGAAGGACTGTGCCGGTTGTATCGGGAGAAGTTGTTGTGACGGTCTTCGGTTGTTCGGAGGGTTGTTCGAAGGATGTGATGCTTCCATCCGTTGTCGAGGACCTTTGGCTTGACCCATAAAGTGTCTGGTCTCGCAAGTACTGCGTGTATCGTAAAGTCGTCACCTCGTTCAGACTCGTGGGTGCGTTGTCGATCGTGATTGCCACTTCTGGTATTGGATAGAAGGTGGTGTTTGTCAGAACATATGTATTTATCGAGACTGCTTGTTGGTACACAACGCCGTATGTCAGTGCTGGCGAACATGATGCTTGAGCGAGCGTGGTTCTTGGTGCGGCGAGCAGTATAACGATCGTGGTGAGAACGAGCTGTCGAAGCTCGGGGGTGAATTGCCACATTCTGCAACAGTAAGTGCATGTAGAAGAAGGGAATTAGAGAAGAAGGTGGAAGGTAGATGCGATAGGAGACAGGAGTGGTGGTGCGAAGCAATGCGAGATCTCACAATGGTCGAGTACAAAGTCGTTACGAAGGTCGACCCATATACACGGCGTTGCTACGGTGAAGGCCGCGCATCCTATGCAATCACTTCTCGCGCACTCTCGCGTGGTCCAGATAATGCATTGACGTGTAGGTCCGAGTGTCTAACGTGCATGTGCCGATAAGTAGAAATGCATTCCGACGGCGCGATCGCATTCCACATGCTCGGGACAACCTATCGCCTTGCTCGGCAATGCGTTGGTATGAGAGTCGGTCACCACAGCTTGATAAGGACTTTAAGCAGTTCGTAGCTAGCGTCTCAAATTGTGTTGTCGCGGTCGCTCTATATTCTATCATCAGTCAACGTCACGTAGTGTACAAGAATTTGAGCCCAGGGTATCATACATCATCCATCTATCAACGCCACCCAATCCACGTCCAATTTTCCAATCTCACCATACTCAAACACCACGATCAAGCCCGAAACCTCATAGCCACAGTCCTCCCCACGATCTTCCCAGGCAGCGGCCGCCCTCCCAACAGTCCCGCCTGCACAATCTCCAGCGCACTCATCTGCTGCCCCACCCCTCCTGACCCATCAAATGCATTCGTAGTCCATCTCGCACCACAAGTGCCTTCCGTCCCATCATTGCAGCTCGGCAGTGCTCCTTTGACTGAAGCCGTGAGGATCGGCTGAATTTGTGCGGCTGTGCTGGGGACAAGGGCGGCGGTTGCAGCTAGCCAGCGGGCGGTGTATGCTTTGAAGGAGAGTTGGTCTGTATTGCAGCCTTCGGGCTTGGTTTCGCAGGGTTCCTGCAGGATGGAGTTTATGGTGAAGGTCTTGGTGATGCTTGTTAGGAGGCCTGTGAGCCTTGGTTGCCAGGTTGAGGTATCGCCCGTGGCATCTGCCATCATTGCTGCGCCGTATAGGAAAGCGGCGGAGTTATAGGACCATTGGTCGTGGTCGAGGGATTTGCATTGCAATGTGTCGTCGCTACCGTCGTAAACGTTGTAATTGGCTGCGTCAATCATACCGATGGAGGCGAGCCAGTCCCAACTTCTCTTTGCTTGGTCGAGGTAAGAGCTGTCGCCAGTATACCGACCCAGGCGAGCGGCTAGCTGGAAGAAGAGTCCGTTGGAGATGGCGTTCTTGTAGTTGTAGCCAGGTGCAGAGCTCGCGATCTGCCAGCGGAGACCGCCATTACATGTGCTGTTGTCCCAGCGTGCCGATACTTCTTTGTACACGTTCTGGGCGAGCTGTAGATACTGTGGGCCCGAGTCGAGTTGGCGGAAACCATACTCTGCCGCCGTCATGCAAAGTATGGCCCACCATAATTGATCGTCGTTTCCAAGTGTACTGGGGCCCATGAAGTCTCCTGCATTCCCCGCCTGGCTGACTATGATACTGGCGACCTGGTCGTCGTACTGGTAGTCTTGAGTGTTGTGCGAATATTGGGCCATGGTCGCTAGAGAGCCGGCTGTCTCCCACCACCAGTATGGGTGAGGTAATATTGATGCGCTGTTGTAGTAGGTCATGAGATTGGCGGCTAATGCTTGTGCACTTGATATGGTATTGTCACTGCTGTCAACATCAAGTTGGCGGGCAGATGCTCCCAATGCTGCTGTCAGGATCACAACAAAAGTGAAGAAAGGCATCATGATGACGGATATCTGAGTTGAACGAGATGAATGGTGTACTTGCCTCAGGTAGGAGCGTAAGAGCAATATATTGTGATTTTTCGTACGCATGGGAGGAGAGCTGGCGTACCATATAGGCTGGCGTACACATGTCGAACATGCGCCGCATGCGACACTACGGCACGATGCATATGACAAGACGAGACCGTTCGAATACCAGAGATAGACACATTAGGATCCCAGGCTGATGGAGTTGTTGGCCGCGAAATAGCTTGCGAAGTGGCTGTGATGGTGCTGGACTTCGAGAACATGTGGACAGTGCTTCGTGGCCCCCAAAGACACCGGTTGAGATTGAGATGCCACAAGGTAGTGGCTGAGGTTGTCGCTGGCGGGAGAATGTTGGTCACGGATCTATTGCTGGATCGTGGCTGAGCGATGTAATATGGGGGGGTGTCGCAGTGTAAGGCTTTGCCAATCTGCATTGCCAAAGTAGAGTTACTGAGAGGACGAGGAGGCGTTGCATGACCATCATCGCCTGCGCGTCAATGTGAGAATGCACCTGTACGTCGCCTCAGTATCGACGATGCTCTCGAAGTAAGAGGTGCTCGAGTCTTGGAGGAGGAGGCTCCGGCGGGCGCTAGGAGAACGGATAGATACCGCTCGCAAATCTTGGCGTTGGCTCACACGCGAAAAAGCTGGGAGACTTTGAGGTTGACGGGGGGCACCTCGAACAAACAACTACTACAAAACTACTACACACCCGCATCTCCGACCACTCTCTACACACACACACACATCATCATCATCACCATGGCTGAACAACTCGTCCTCCGCGGCACCCTTGAAGGCCACTCCGGCTGGGTCACCAGCTTGGCCACGTCTCTGGAGAAGTAAGAGCACGAACTGAGTGAGCGAGTAGCGGTGCGCAAGACTAACATAACCTTCGCAGCCCTAACATGCTCCTCTCCGGCTCCCGTGACAAGACGTTGATCGTGTGGAACCTCACCCGCGACGAGTCCTCGTACGGCTACCCCAAGCGCTCGCTCCACGGCCACAACCACATCGTCTCCGACTGCGTCATCAGCTCCGACGGCGCCTACGCTCTCTCCGCCTCGTGGGACAAGACTCTCCGTCTGTGGGAGTTGAGCACCGGCCAGACCACCCGCCGCTTCGTCGGCCACACCAACGACGTCCTCTCCGTCTCCTTCTCCGCCGACAATCGCCAGATCGTGTCTGGATCCCGTGACCGCACCATCAAACTGTGGAACACGCTCGGTGACTGCAAGTACACCATCACCGACAAGGGCCACACCGAGTGGGTGAGCTGTGTTCGTTTCAGCCCCAACCCACAGAACCCTGTGATCGTCTCCGCTGGCTGGGACAAGTATGTCAAGGTATGTCTTCCACTTTCCTCTACTCCTACCCACATATGCATGCGAGGATGTTATTACAAAAGTATTTGCTACTTCAGAGCCTACGGGCCATGAGACATAACTTGCCTTCACCGGCGCACTGATTTTTGTCATTACCCACCCACTCCATATCCATCAGCATAACTATCACTCGACATCATGCTGATAAGATGAATCAGGTCTGGGAACTCGCCACCTGCCGCATCCAAACTGATCACGTCGGCCACACCGGCTACATCAACACCGTCACCATCTCACCCGACGGCTCCCTCTGCGCTTCCGGCGGCAAGGACGGCACCACCATGCTGTGGGATCTCAACGAGTCCAAGCACCTTTACTCCCTCACTGCCGGCGACGAGATCCACGCTTTGGTCTTCTCACCCAACCGCTACTGGTTGTGCGCCGCCACTGCCTCGAGCATCATCATCTTCGATCTCGAGAAGAAGAGCAAGGTGGACGAGCTCAAGCCTGAGTACATCGACACTGGCAAGAAGAGCCGTGATCCTGAGTGCGTGTCCCTCGCGTGGTCCGCTGATGGTCAGACGCTCTTTGCCGGTTACACCGACAACAAGATCCGTGCTTGGGGTGTCATGAGCCGTGCTTAGGTGCCTAGGTGCTTAAGCGCTTGAGTATCGGTTCTGACGACGAAGGAATGGTGGAGGGAGAGGACAAGGTACGATGATAGCGCGATGCGAGGATCGCTGGCTTTGCGAGTTGAAGTTGCGGCTGGAGCCAGCGACTTCCGATGAAAGGTCGCTGCGGGGCACGTGCCTGTTGATGAGTACGTAGGCTTCACAATCGTTGCATTCAAACATCTGTTTCCTTTCTACTGACCGTAGTCCTCCTGAACGTTGGACAACTACCTCAACGGGGTTTGGGCGACGAGCTCCGCCGAGCGAAATGAACCCACTGCCTTCTACGACTGTCACTCGCCAGACTCATTGTAAGGTGGTTGTTCGGGCTATTTGTGGGTATCACTTGCTCTAGTCTCAAGGAACGAATGGCGACCAGCAGATCAAGCGTGTCCCGCTGCTGAGGGCGGTGGTGGGAACGCGAGCTCTTTCCTGTCTCTCCACGCCGTACATGGATTAAACCTCCACGCCCCGCGATATTTTGATCCGAAGATGTAGTGGATCACGTAAGGCACGAAGAAGGGCACGCTGGGAAAGTCGTGGATGGCGCCTTCGAAGTGGCGGTCTGCTGTGCCGAATACCAGGGGCGCGATGCGATACTGTGATACGAGTCAGCCTGGTGGAGGTGGGTGAGGATGAGTTCATGCTACTGGATGGGGAGGATATGCATACGTTATCTGTGTTCATCAAGATCTTCTCGAACCGTTTATACGCTTTCCTGATCTCAACACTATCGTACTCCTTCAAGGCAAGAAGGGTCTCGATCTCATCATGGAGATGTTTACTCAACGGCTCCGCGAAATCCTCCACCAGCTTCCTCATCCTCTGGCCATCGTATTCCGCGGGTGGACAGGTCTCAGCGTACTTCTGGAAGGCCTCGAAGCCCGGCGTGAAGGCACGATGTTGTTCTACGTTCTTCTCCATCAACCCCTTCACGCCAGAAATCTTCTCGATGGAAGGGAAGAATTCTGCTTCTTCGGCGTCGTGGTGGTGGTGCATTGATTCGGACCAGCATTGGCAGTAGGTCAGGAAATCCTTGATCACAGTATGGTCCTTTGCGGGCAGGGTTGCAGCTTGGAGGTAGATGCTGTTCAAGCCGCGTAGCATGCCGTTGTGCGCCAGCGCCATTTGGGTGGCGACATAGTTGGCGCTATGGGATGTCTGTGAAACAAATAAGTGGTGAGGACTTGTTGTGAGAACTTGTGATCGAGCTCTGGACACCCGAACTTACATCACTGGAGAATGCTTTGGTTGAGATGAGGGTGTATGGGCTGTCTGCCCATCGTGGTGCCATGGTTGTAAGTATGGACTTAGTTGTGGTTGTTGGCAGCTAGATACCAAAATTCCTACGTAGTTGCGTGCGAAACGGGCCTCCGAGTTGATATATCGCATTGCCTCACTCGCTTGACACGTACACAGTCGAGCTCGCACTACCACTCCTTCGCGCGCATGAGGGACGGGAAATGCGGGTCTACAGTATCTTCAGTTTCGCTGACATGAAACGCACGGATCTAGACTACATATTAGTAAGGAAAGCCTACTTAATCTGAAGCTGTCGCTACAACAGGACTTGCGTGCTCGTAAAATTTGTACGGGCGTAACGTGCTCTCGTGCTTTCGGGCTTGAAGGGTCGTGGTTTCGGGGCCGGAAGAAGTGGTTGCTTGCCTTGCCTTGCCCTAGCTGACTGGGCACTGCGCTAGAGATCCTCCGCTTTGGCACATGGGTGAATGCGAATGCGAGGACGATACAATGAACCCGAGTCGTGAATGGTATATATACAATGTCGATTCACTCGTTTGGTTAATATCAGTACGATCGATTCAGCATTTCAGACAACGAGCAGATCTAAGAGGCATCCATAGATCACATTAGGGTAATTGAACAACCGTATTCGCAGCATTTATCTACGGTACCACGACAAAAATCAACGACACCTGATCGATACGAAACTTCCACCACGTTCCACAATACAAAATGAAGGTCCTCCTCCTCGGCGCGACAGGCAACTTGGGCTCCCGCCTTGTCTGTGCTCTTCTAACGCACGGCCACATCGTCACAGTCTTCGTCCGGTCATCACGGAAACTCGAATCATTGCTCCCATCATCGATTTACCAACAGATCTTGATTGTCGAGGGTGATGCGACGAACACGGCGGCTGTAAAGGCCTCAATCCTGGAATCGAAATGCGAAGCCGTAGTCACAGCGGCTGGTGTTGCTGCCGCGGCGCCTTGGGGCAGCAGCGACCTGCCAAAGATTTTTCGTTCAATCGCAGAAGCTGTACAGCAGGCCGGAGAGGAGAGGAAGCAGCCCTTGAGAGTCTGGTTCTTGAGTGGGATGAGTATATTGCAGGTCCCGGGAACGAAGAACATGATGTCGGACTAGTAGGTTTCGCCATCGATATTTTCTCCTCATCATACTGAAAGCTCCCAGTGTTCCAGTATTTCTCGAGCATCGCGGGAACCTGAAACTCCTGCAGTCGCTGCCACCGAACTCGGTCGACTGGTCGCTATTGTGTCCTATGACCATGACGGAGGAGTCGAAGGACCTTACAGTGCCGACTAAGCTCAAGCAGGGCCGGGTGGTCGCCAATACCACAACGCCACCATTGTGGAAGAAATCTTGGATCAATTCTATCCCATTAATCGGCAGCTTTCTGAGCGTGGCGATGAATGCTAGTCGGTATACGACTACTCTGGAGCAGAATGCGGACCTCATTGCAACCGATCTTGAGACAAGGGATAGTTCTTACATTGGCAAGAGAGTTGGCGTCATTGGTGCTTCTGCTTGACGATTCTCTTGTCTGTCAAAGTGAGATGTTGGCATGGCGTGGGAGTTGGCGAGTTGTCTTTTAGCGCAGATGCTTTTCAACTGTGATAGATGAAGTAGAAGATTGTACAGGTACAGCGAATCTGCAAACCTTTCACAAGCATTTGGTCCCGATGCTCCCTGTTCAATAGGCAGGCCGGAATCACATGCTACCTTGGGACCACAGATGTCCGAGATTTGTGCCACTGCTCCGCTACCGCCAACGTGGAGTGATCCTCAAGAACACCCGACATTTTCGAGACGACTGAACGTCTGATTATCTCTTCACTGGACAGGAACATCATATGGCTCTGCGTCTGATCAAGCCAGTGTAGAAGTCTCGTGAGCGCGGGCGTCAGGTCCTCTAACGAGATCGTGGCCGTCGTCTCGACATGTTGAAGGACATGACCGACGCTTAACAGAGAGTCCTCGACCAGGCTGTCGCTCTCATAAGCGCAGAGTACCGAAACGACGGGATCAGGGTGGTATCAGGCAGCAGAAAGCAGTGGCAAGACGGCACGGATGGCTGTCAGATGGTTGACAGCACAAGCGGAATGGCTCCGCCCAACCGCCTCGTCTCGATTCGCCACATACCGCATTTGTGCAGCTGCATAGCCACCCGTCGTTGGTTGTGTCCGGACTACCCAGTCTGCTGGATCGCCGATCCTCAGCCGGTATGCCATCGCCGAGGGACTCCACGATGTATTGACCAATACCAAAGCTTCCACTACGTTGATTGCAAGTTACGTCGAGGGCGGGGTCACTGGCCCGGGCGTACATTATCGCTCGGCTGGGACTCATTCCTGCAGATGCCTTGAGGCAGCATCAAGTCGCTCATCTCGCGTGCCATCTGCTCCTCGAGACGTAGAGCTCTGTCCTGCTGGACTAGGTATGCTCTGTATGCAGGCTCTTGACAAATATAAAGCCCTGAGGCATGCAAGCAACACTGGAGGCTCGAGCCTACTTACTTGGACGGCAAGACTACGATAAGTCGACGGTGGCGTCAACAGTCGCTTCCAACTGCAGTAGCGTTCAGATACGCCAGCCTGATGACACGACTTGGTGGGTCGGGCATCGCCCTCACAGCCTTGCGATTGATCTGCGGAGCTCAACAGCAACGAGGCTGCTGGAGGGTGGCGATCAGGCTGTGCGCATCAAAGATGAACCCTCGGTGAGGCCACACCTCGAGCAGCTCACAGTCTCATAAGGCAGTGCGGCAACAAGGTCTCAAACAGCACCTACCCGACTGTCGTCCATACTCCCGCACAATCGATGCGATTATGCATCACCGACGACAGCGACCAAAGTCTCACTGAATTGGAATCCATACCACCTGCGGCACGAGAAGAAGCGTGAGCCATCATGAATAAGCTCAAGAGTGTGTTCAAGAAGAAGAGAGAGCAAGAAGTCCTCTTTGTAAGCAAAGACTTCTACGACCCCTCCAGCAAAGCTACGAGCAGCAGCAATAGCCCGCCCGTGGTACCCAGAGAATCCAAGGTGTTCAATCACTCGACATGGTTCGAAAATCCTCAGAGTATTGGAATGCAGGGCTGGCCGTCTCGAGCACCGCCAGACCCGCCGGCGCAGGCGACACAAGCTAGCGGGGAGGCGGGAATGTTTGGCTATTATGCGCCTCTTGCAAGCACCAATACCGAACCTAGGATGACTGCGCAGCGGCCACCAGCTGAGCTGGGTCCTGAGCGTCAGACGGTGACTGGCCACATCATTAACATGCCGGAGTACATACCATATCAACCCGCGGCAGACGATAGGGTACGAGCTGAAGAGAATGCAAGACAGGAGAGGGCGGCAGCTCAAGAAAATATTCGGCGAGACCGGCTGGCCGACGAACAGGCCCAAGCAAGGCGTGAAAGGGCTGCAGAGGAGGAACGAGCACAGCAGCAGGACAGGCTGGCGGCCCAACGGCGAGCAAAGCAGAGGAACCTCGAAGCTGCCGAGGAGAAAGAAAAGCAGGAGAGACTTGCAGCGGAGGAGGTCTTGATTTTCCGTAAGCAGAATGCCTCTGTGAAGAACGTACGGCATGTTCGAGACCTCATCCGTGAGAAGTATCGCCTTGATATTGAGGTTTGGAGAAGGAAACGCGTACAGGTTGACGCACGATTCAAGATCGAAGAAGACGCACGGAAGGCCGATGCTATCTTAGAGGAGATCGTATCTATCGTCAGTGACTGGGACAACGATGTCTTTGACACACCCGAGGAGTGGGAAATGGCAGAAGAAATCAAGAACGGCATTCCCAAATTGGACGAGCCGTACGTCTTGTGGCGTACTTCTCCTCCATGGGATCCATCGCGACTGGAGAGATCGAGCCAGATCGCTCACGCTGATGGTCAATACAACAGTGTCAATTGAGTGTTGTGACCAGCGCCAGCAAAGGAGGCAAGAAGACCGAACCTCAGCCCACTAAATTGCGGCGAGACTGGTAGAAGACGAGACAACTCCAACAATTATTCATCCAGTGCAGCAACAGGATGACGACACATGATCTTCTTTCATTCTCCTCGCGTTTCAGCCAAACATGAAGATCAGTAACCGGGAGCTAGAGTTCTGTTTATATTGCAATAGGTACATCACGAGCTTGCATCGCCATTCTACACGAGCTAAGCAATCACTTGACTCTTCGGGATCTCGTACGTGTTATTCGCAGATCCTGTAATGGAGGTGAAGTTCTCCAGGTCCGAGCCCTTATTATTACCATATCTCCCAATGATTGGCGTAATCGTCAGCTTGAAAGACCCACTGAGCATGGAACTAATCCGGTCCTCGATAGCCTTCGGCCCTCGTCCGGCCTGGCGCACGACAATGCGGCACCGATGCCTTCCCAAATCCAGCCACAGCTTTGAAGCTCGTCTAGCAAGGTTGTTGGCTGTCTCGGTCATCTCAGCAGTCGGCCGGATGGCTTTGGCAAGCGTCGTCTCGATCGCTTTAGCCAGGGCTGCGATATTGAGCTGATACGCCGTCTTGATCCTCTCCCGCTGTATCATGAACGCTGGAACAGGTTGTGTCAAGATTAGATAGCACTCCTCCAATGTCATGTACCTCCATCGTTCGGTCTTCACGCTCGGCGTGGGTCGTTCATTAATGTAGTCCTTGACCGCAACGTCTGAGTATGTCAGCCTTTGCATGAGTGGTTGCTGAAATGTACTGCGTACCTTGACCAGAAGCATCAGACCATAATGCTTGCAACTTATCACCCTCCTCACCAAACATGCGAAAAGGATGAGCAAACACAAACTGGAATAACAAGCACCAAATGAGGTCCCGAATGATTGACTTCCTAAGCATCCGCATTTCGTCAGAGCCACACAACCTTTGCAGCACGTGGTCAGGCCAGATTTCTCTTGCCGGATCCCATGCATGTCTATCACTGAGGTCGTCGATCAGCTTTTCAGTCTGGGCGAAGCTCTCCCTGATCTTGTCGTCGGGTCTTTGTGGCAGATCTTTGATCACAAAGATCTTTGCGCGATATACCTCGTCGTCTCGGACTAGCAGAGCTGCGTTCAGCTCCTCGATCTGGTTCTGTGCATAGTGATTGGCCTGAGCATGCTTGGCATCGAGAGCTTTGATGGCGGTCTTATGTTGCTCCAGCGTGGTTTGATGGACGGCTTGCATCTTGTCCTTCAGCGCTTTCAGCTCAGCTCGATGGGTCGTCTCAACCTCTTCGACCTCTCGCTGGGCATCGTACATCTGCTTCTGCAGCTGAAGCTTCGCTTGCTTGAGATTGTGACTTAGCGCTCCCTGCTCTTGGCGGAATTTTTCTAATGTTAATTTATGCTTCTGCTCGAGGTCAAACAGTGCTTTGGCTCGTTCGTCAGCCGTCGCCTGCTGCTCATCCTTATGCGCTGCTACCTGGCGATGTTCCGCTTGCTCGTGGCGCAGCTTGGCATCGTCTAGCTGCTGTTGATAAGTGCGGCCAACATTGCTGCATTGCTCCTTGTGTTGTTCATCGAGCTCGACAATTTTGATCTGATGCTGCTCTCGTAGCGTCTTGACGGCCGTGCGTTGGTTCTCGACTTCATTGTCCAGACCCTGGCAGACTGTCTGATGCCGACCCTTGAGGTGATTCAATTCCGTATCATACTTTTGTTGCAAGGTACGGTGCTGTTCACTAAGCTCAGAGCGGAGCTCCTGACACTCTCTCTCATGCTCCCGCTCCGACTGTGCCAGCTGGCTCGTGTGGTCCCGTTGGATGCGAATGGTTGAATTATCGTGCCAGTCCTGATAAGACTTCTTCACTTCTTGGAAAGCTCGCTGATGTTCGTCTTCAAGCCGCTTCGTTTCTGCCTCGTGGCCTCGGCGGAGGCCCTCGCAGCTCTCGTGATACTTCTTTTTCCAGATATCGCCGACTTGATCCTTCTCGCGCGCCAAGTCAGATCGATAGTTCTGTCGAAGCTCATCTCGGAGGTCCCTCAATGCCGCTTCGTGCTTGACTTTCAGGCGTGATATCTCGTGGTTGTGTTGTTGACGTACTGCCTCGGATCGTTGCTCAGCCGTCTCCTCCTCCTGCTGGACTAGTCCGAACACTTCGTTCTCCTCCGAATTGTAATCACCGTCGTACAGGACCACACCCGCATCTGATCGGACCGCCACCTGCCCATGCCCTCCGTTGTCCAGCTGCGGAGGATTGGGAGCGATGATACGAGGGGATCGCTGTCCTGGTCCGCGCTCTCCACCAAACTCACCAACTCCGATGTTTGACCGACGCCAGTCTTGCTGTTGCTCGTCGTCGTCAACGTTTCCTGGCGCGCCATTCTTCCAGGACCCATTTCGCTGCTCGTCATTAACAGATTTTTGCTCATGCTCCCTGTGCGGCTGCGCCTGCCCGGTCATACTACTCTGTCGCTTGTTCTTTTTGCCTCTGAATACGTTTCCCATCTCCCGCATTCCATCACGAACATGGATCCCCATTTTGGTGTGTGCTCGTCCGCGTATGCTAAAGGCAACAAGGACTTGGGCCGCACGGCTGCTTCTTCCACAGGTGATGATAGAGCCAAAGTACGCTACGTGATGTGTCAAGAGGTTTGCAGCTATCCCATGCACGTATCGCAGCCTGATATGCACCTGTTACGCCCCGACAAGGCTGAGGCAAAGAAGAAAGGCTGTCAGTCCTGAAAAGGCGAGGTGAGGACCACAAGGCAGGTCGCAGCGCTCTGTTCTGTCATAAGGTCCTCGCACACTGCTCTGGACGGAGTCACAGCACAATACTTTGTTGGAGCTGCTAAATGTGCCTGTGTCCCTAACCTGCAATATCATGCCCGAACCATCGATGGGTTCCCAGGAGAGTTCTACCCTGTCTCCTTTCGAGGACAACTACCTCAGTCGCAACGTGCTCGATGACGAAGACGGCTACGAGGAAGACGCGGTGCCCGAACTCCCCAGTCCCGTGATCAACCCACCAACACAGGCATCGCCTTCGGCCACCATCGTTGCACCCAAAAGCCGACCTAGTGTGCGTCACAAGCCAGATTTACTTCGGCGTGAGAAACCGCGTTTCATCCTCGCCCTGGACTTTGGCACCACGTTCACAGGTAAGCAAACCGCTAAGCACGGATGCCCATCGACGCTGAACCATGGGTAGGCATTGCATTCGCATCTACCAATGCTTCCCGAGGTCACCTCCCTGAAATCACAGTCCTGCAGAACTGGACCAAGTCGATGAGCAATAAAGATAAAGTGCAGGACTGGACCAAGTCGATGAGCAATAAAGATAAAGTGCAGGACTGGACCAAGTCGATGAGCAATAAAGATAAAGTGCCAAGCGTGATATCTTACTCGCCGCCGGAGCATGATGAGGTGCAGTGGGGCTCGGACATCAGCAAAGACGCAATCACGATGGTCAATCAGAAGCTGGAGTTAGAACTTCAAGATACCGTTATGGACGAGCTTGATATGACGTTATACGTGCTGAGAGGCACGAAATTCCTCTCATTCGACAATATCTGCGAGGCTGGACCCAAGCCCGCTTTCAGCCCTAAGACCACAGGCGAAGTCATCACAGATTACTTGGCGAAAATCTTTCAATGCGCCAAAGAAGCTATAAACAGCCAGCAGATTGAGAGGACGAAGACACCAATCGATCTCGTAGTAACAACGCCTGTAGTAAGTCACATTTCTGCCTACCGAATCGTGAGTAGACCTTGACCACGATCTAGTGCTGGTCGTACAAAGCCCATAATGCGATGTTCAGGGCTGTGAAGGAGGCCGGCTTCAGCACAAAATTCCTTCCGACTTTGCAGGACACTATCTTGGTATCCGAACCCGAAGCTGCGGCGTACTTTGCTGCACTTGCTGTGAAGGACCAAGGCGACGACTTTCTCCAGGTATGTGGTCCTAGCTCTTGCCATTCCGTGCCTTCCTAATGGGACCTGTAGCAAGGTCAGACGTTCGTGCTATGCGATGCAGGAGGCGGAACTGTGGACACAGTCTCTTATCAAGTCAAGAGCGTCACTCCATTTCTAGAGCTTGAGCGGATGACCGCACCCAGTGGTACGTAGCGCGCGACCTTAGACAATGCCCTTCTATTAATCTGCCTAGGCCGAAAATGTGGATCTGCCTTGATCGACCTGGGGTTCAAAACCTGGTTGCGAGACATCATTGGGCCATCGTCGTATGCGGAGCTGGATCCAGTCAATGCATATCAGCATCGGATTAACCCTCACACGGCGGAGACCGGTGAGATGAGAGAGCTGATCAGACGCTTTATCGTCAGAAAGATTGCGTTCTCCAATAACGACGAGAAGTCAATCAAGATTGATCTGCCGGCACCGCTCAATACCTTGACCATCGCAGGCCGAATTGAGCAGGGTGGATTGACGTTGACATGGTTTGCTCCGCGAATGACCGATATGGATGTTGGCTATGCTAATCTTGCGTAGGGAGGAAATGCAAGGTCTCATGGACCCCTGCGTGAGTAATGTTGTCGGATTAGTATTGGCACAAATGGAGAAGGTTGCTCGTATCACGGGCATACGCGCAACAGTATGTCCGAAAGATCAAGCTCACAAATTTTGCTGCAGAATCTGACCGGGGTTGCTAGGATGTCATTCTTGTCGGTGGTTTCGGAGCCTCGCCATACCTCAAGCAAGAATTGGAGGAAATTTGCACCGATTTCGATAGTACTCTGCGACGCCCGGACGAGACAAAATCGTATGATGCATCCCCAGTATGTTGGAGGACGAGGCTTTGCTGACTTTCTCGTAGGGTGACAGCAGTAGTGCAAGGGGCTGTTGTGTACGGTATCGAAAAGTGTAAGTTGACTTGCATCGCAATTGAAGAAGATTTCTGCAATCAGTAATATCAGCTAACCACCTACAGTACGCCACAAAGAAGTCATTCGTGTCGTAGAGGTTCTGGACAGTTTCGGCGTTCGCCACCTCGAAGGACCTATAGAGTGGATCATCAAAAAAGGCGACATAGTCCTCTCAGGCCAGAAACGCGTTGTTGAGAGCCGACCATTCTGGTATAACGCTGGAGCCAACAGTCGAGGAAGACAGCAATATAGCGTTTACCGGTACTTTGATAGGAAGCGACCTTTGCGCTCCCTTCCCGATAAATGGGCGACTTCGTACAAGGAGATGATTGAAGTGGGCGTGATCACGACCGGTCCTGGCAACGACCTAGGACGTTTTAGTAGTAGGTCTCATCAAGAACGACCCTCACGCGCAGCTGATGAACTGCATTTCGAAGGTATGGGGCCCAAGGTCGGTCCTGTCAAATGGCGCTTCACTCTAGACGGTGTGTCGCTCAAGGTCGAGCTGTTCGTGCGCGAGACTGTGGTTGGAAGTTGTAATATCACGGTTGAGTTGTCCAATTCAAAACCAGCAGGAGATTCCGGACAGGGGTACAAGTAGCAAGCATACCAGATGTTTACATTGATCAGGACAAGAGAAGGAATGTGATTGTGGATCAACGCTCAATCTGCTATCTGTCAATGATCGAGGAAAGCACGCTGCTTTATCAATGGTGTTCAGATAGCACAAGGCGACCTAGCTACGCTTATTTGGCGGACGTCAGGGCCCTAACGTCAATTCCTTTTGTCCACCTCGACGATTGCCAAGTTTCGAGACCAGTCAGTATAGGATATAGCAACAGGATGTCCGCATCCGTAGCACAACAGTCGTAGCAATGTTTGGAGCTCAGTAAATCTATCGCCTTCGCTACAGCACACTCTAGGTTTTCTTATCGTCTGCCCCATAGCCCACACTATCCCGCTTGGGCCCGGGTACCAACCCAGAAGTCGATTGTGCAGAGGATCCAATATCGTCGGAGATGGCGCACATCTCGGTGTTCATTGGCAGACTAATTCCAGCAGAGCAGAAAAAAGGTGTGCTTTGGAATTGATTTGGAAGGGACATGAAGACCTTGTCAAGCTCGTGCACCCCTATGATTTGGCAATTGGTGATGCAAGGAATTGTAGTTTACTCTCGCCTAAATATGCAAGCACAGCCAAGTTATTGGCTAATCGTGTGCTTCTCATTTGAGGTGGACCTGTCAAGAATTTGAGGTTCTACGCCCGTGGATGATCCCGGCCTTGCAATCGGGAGGGGTATAGCACACTGAATTACGGCAAAAGCACGTTGCCGAGCTCGAGTTCAGTAGTAGAGCAGTAATAGGTGTCTCTGTTGAGCGAGAGTATTGTGACTGTAGTCGACCATCATTGATATCGGTCGGAGGCGGTGCTATGCGTGAGCCAGAAGTCGTGTCGTGCTCGACCACGCCAAGACCGGGTGTCTCAACCGCCCAGAGGTACCTTCTCGCTGCTTCGTTGGCCGATTTCGCACATGAAGACGAAGATCAAGATGGAAAGCATGAAGCGAATGTGGCGTAGCATCGTACGCTGTTTCGAGACCGGCTCGTGGGAATGCAGTCGTGAAAAGTGGATAGATGGCGGAAGCGATGAGAGATAACAGGTCGTGTGACTGCCAGCAGTCGTGTCGGCGTAGGGATGTGGCGGGTGTCGTGTTAGGAGATTGCCTGTAAGCAACAGGGAAGTGATGTTGTCGGAGTGGAGGCAGTCGAAACGTGGAAGTGGAGACAAAGAGTGGGAAGTTCGGGGAAACAAAGGTGCGTCAGCCGGAGCCGGGGCTGGATGCAGGGTTCAATGTCGCAAGAGACCAGACGAGAGTCACGAAACACTCCCTCACCACTACTCAACCATTTCTGCTTGTCAAGCAGAGAGGGGGCGCTCGGGCTGTTCTACCATTCTGTACTGTCACTCGTTTGGTTATTAACTGGAACGGACACGATTCCGGGATTCCGCACGCTGGTCCGTTTTGTGGGAAAGTCGTCGTCAGCTGCGCGACGGGAGATTGAGGGAAGACAAGGGCAAGAGATTGCGCTGCATACATCAGTACTGCGACGGTACATCTGTACCATTCATATTGGCCACCAAGTGATATACCGACCAACGAGGCCACTCCCGACATGGCCTCAGCTGGGCGAGGCGCAATAGCGAATGGTACGCTTCCTCCCACCACGACTCCCCAATCCCACGAGCCAGAATGCTAACACTCTACATGCAGAAGTTGAGGGTACTCTCCGCACCATCTTCCGCCGCTGCGTCCAATGTCCCGATACCACCCCCGTCTGCCCGCCCTGTAAATCCAACCAAATCTGCTCCCTCGTCCCCGCGACGTGCCAAGCCTGCGCCTACAACATCTGTATCAACAACCCTTCACCGGCCCCAGCCAATGCAGGGCCAAACATCGGTGCGATCGCTGGCGGGGTCATCGGCGGTATCATCGGCATCACCTTGCTCGTCTTTCTGATATGGCGCTTCTGGATCAAGAAGAGGCGGGAGCAGCAGGAGCGGGAGATGGAGGCGGAGGAGTGGGAGGATCAGGTGGAGGACGATATCGCGCAGCAGAAGCGTATGCATTCTTTCAACCATGATGCCGCGAGCACGAGGACGAGAGGAAGCCTGGCGAACAGCATTCTCAGCCGGGCGAGTAACATCATTCAGATCGCCTACATACCTGGCGTGACGAACCGGAATGGAGGAACTGGGTCGGGTCACAACAGTCTGATCGGTGGGAATGGACCTGTGCCTCCAATCCCAGCCGCGCAAAGACGTGGGCAGCAGTCACCGAAGAGTCCGCTCAGTAACGAAGGCGACATGCTGTTCTTCCGTCCTGGCGACTTACGAGACAGCTCATACTCCGCTACCTCCTCTCTGCGTTCTGTTGTGCCAGGCAACCGGGACACGACATACACCCAACACTCCATCACACCATCCCTCGCACGTCTTTCCATGGGAAGTGAAGGCTACAGAGACAGTACGGTAGAAACACCACCCGTGCCAGCCACAACCGTGGCCCGCGTCGCACCCAGAATGGTCAGCATCCGGACCAACTCTTCTGGAAATGGGTCGACCGAGCCGTCCGATTCGCCAAAGACAGAATCTCGAGACTTTGCGGACAAAAGTCGAGAGATCCAGATCATGATGCCTGGTGAAGGTAGCGGTGCCTCACCTTCGTCCTCCATGCGTGGAAAGGCGAAGCAAGTAACCGTAGGAGGCGCAGGTGCCAAAGGCCGTTTTCCTGTCCGTCAGCCGAGCGATGCTAGTGTTTCCGCCACGTCGACGCTTAGCGTGGCGAGACATGTACCTGCTATATCTTCTCCATTGGCGGAAGTCGACGACTCGGACGAAGAAGAAGGTGAAGTCTCCCGTCCATCGACCGGTCGTCCTCTTGAGGATCTTCTAAGTGGACCTCCTCCGCCTCTGGTCCAGCCAGCCGAGTCTCCCTTCTTCGATGCCTCCGAGCGACCTCCACCGAGCACAGGCGGAGCAGGAGGTCCGAACCCGTATTCCTCCATGGGAGCGAACATCGATCGACCGGGCCGTAGTGGCAAAGCGGCGCCTTTGAGCGATATTATTGAGGAAGCCACGAAGCGTGCGAGTAGGATACCTAGTCATGAGGGCTTGGGCGGGAAGCGAGACAATAGTCCATTTAGTGATGCGAATAGGATCGACTGAGATACCCACATGTACGCAAGGTTGCGGCAGGAGGCACATAGCCACTTTGCGGCGAGATACGATGAGCAGGCTCCGAATTCTAGCCGGGATATGATGAATATGAGATGAGCTGTGCTCGGAACTTTCCCAAGGTATGGATTTGGCATTCTCTATAAAAGCGGAAAGCTGTGACGGCAGGTCCGCGGAGTGCTTTTGGGTGTATCTTTCTTCAACATGTATGTCTGCGGTGACAGACCGACTTGTAGCAGACTTATCATGTAGCACGAAAGAAGCACTATTCGCTACAGACGCGGGTCTCATGCCCATTCATCTGTCCACTTCAGCCTCCCCTTTTGTACCACTCTAGTCCATTACCAGCCCCTCACGTAAGACCCGAAAGCCGAAACCCCCATCGTCCTTCTTCAGCTTAGCGAGCAGCCGCTCTTCAATTCCCCACGCGTTGATCCCACACTCGAATCTCCCGTCTTCCACCGCTTTCCGCCGATCGGGAGCTTCGCGCAGAGCTTCCTCTATACTGATCCCAGCTGGAAACGTGCGCACTGCTAGCCTCCGGACCAGGAAGCGGAGAGTGGGAAGCTGAGATAGTGGAGCTTGAAGGCTTGGTCGGAAGGAGGGCGATTCAGAGGTGTTGTGGGAGTTGGTCGGGGGAGGCTGAGGCCCAAGATGCCAGGAGGTGAGGAGCGCTGGGGTTTGCAGCGTTGATGTCGCGGTCCTCAGTGCGGCTGTAAGTTGGGTATAGCCTGGCTCCGATAGTTCGCTGCTTGTGGTGGTGGCATTTGTCTTGGCAAGGAGGGCAGCAGTCTCCTCAGCTGCTCTGGCGGGCCAGTGGAATGCGGATGCTGAGTCCAAGGCTAGGAAGGCCACGCGCCGGCTGAAAGAGTAGTGCCTGCTTTTGTCGAGGAGATAGTCTGGCAGAGCCGTCAGGGTGTCGGTGAGGGAGGCGAGGGATTGAGGGTAGAAGATGTGGACGTGCTTTAGTGCTTCCAGAAGAAGTGCATCGAGGTTTTCGGAGCTGATGTCTGGGATCTTGTTGCGGGCAAGGAGCTCGATCTGTTGGGCTAGTCGTGGGACGCAGAAGGCGTTATCGGTGTCGAAGATGACGGCGCAGCTGTCAAGGCCTCCGAGATTAGAAGGCAGTGCAGCGATAGCGGTGAGGTAGTACAGTAGGTGCGTCTTACCACCTCCTGGTGCAGTGGAAGTGAGTTCGATGATCGGTTGGGCGATCATAGTCGTGTTAGCATTTCGCTTGGTTTGCTCCACGATTGTGAGCACGCGGTCGAGTTGTGGAAGTCCAAAGTAAGACTTCTCGCCCTTGCGGCCCAGATGGAGTACCTGGGATATCTATAATTGCGGTCAGTAAATTCGACATATCGCGTAGCAAGAGTTTGCCATGGTGTTTCCGATACCTCGTCAAACCGCACCTGCTCAATCTCCATCAGCAGCCTCCTCCCCAGATCTTCTGCCATCTCCACTTCTTCCTTTGCTCATTATTCACAATAATTAGAACTTCCAGGTCACTTGCTCTCGCCGATTTCACCTGCTAGATTCTCTGCAGCAGTGTTGTGAACGACTGGTGCCAGCGCAATGCGGTGACCTCGCGACGCAAAATGGCGCCACTGGTTGAAGCTTTCCACCCAGCCCGACTACAGCAGCACATCCAATACCACGCCGACGGCAAAGTGCGTAAGCCACCGGTGGATTTGAAGCAGTGTCAGCTCAAGGAACTGGTGCAGTATGAGTGCCAGCTTGATGGGCCGCCAGAGAATCCGAAAAGCAAAATTGTTTGCGAAGCGGTCTTGAGGTTGTTTAGGACGTAAGTCGACTTTCGACCTTCAAATAACGGTGGTTATGTGGTTAGAAAGACTGCAAAAGGTCACTCACTAACGGCATTCCGTAGGTGTGCAAACGGGTCGACGGTGGAGACTACGAGCTGGGAGGATATACATGACGGAGGGATGAAGTGAGGTTGAAACGGTGTGCACGTGACGAGCAGCCCAAGAAGACGATGTTACTGCTCATACGCGGACACAGCTGCAAATGAAGTCGTGTGTCGAAGATGTGCTTTCCACGAAGACAATAATGTACAGGTCAACTCCGCCACCGTACGACGGTGGTGCTCCAAACGCCACGCTAAAGATACCATTCTCGCTCAGGCAGTTCTGACGCCGAATCTACCTCCTCGCACCACGGCGCTGGCCACCACGCCGCCAGTGACTCAGGTCATAATTGACCACGGCATTGTCCGTCCCGCCCTCGTTCGATCCTCTGTCGCCTGCTTGTCCCATACGAACCCCACCCTCCCCAACCACTCCACCGTCACTCAGCAGATCCGCAAAGCTTTCCTCCTTCCCCGCTGCCCATTTGCCGCTCACACCACCTCTCGCCTTACCCGGCCCACTAAGTATGTTGCCTCTCCTCTTCTCGGCCTTTTCAGCTCCGGCCTTGGCAGCCGTCGCGAGCTTCCTCAGCGCTTGCTCTGCCAGCATGCCTTCTTTCGTCGCCTCCTCGCGCATCTGTCGCACATCCTTTTCGCGTTTCGGAAAGACGGGTGTTTGCTGCCAGGAGTGTTTTGGCGGCAGTGCTGGGAAGTGTGAGGGTATGTACCCTGGTTGCGACCGTGAAGTGAGTGAGTGCAGAAGGCCGGAGAAGTCTGGTAGGGCAGGCTCGGCTGGATCGGGTTCGGGGATGGATGGGTATGATATGCTCTCGGGCAGCGGGAGCTGGAGTTGCGGTCTGAGTAGTGAAGCCGAAGCAGTGTTGGGCGTGAGTGACAGCGCCATGCTGAAGTCTTGCGCGATTGGTGTCATCCTCCTCCCGCTGTTCATTGATGTCCGTATATATGTTGCGAAGTGCAGCATGTACTCCTCGGTGTGCGATCGAAACATCTCTAGCGCTGCGGGCTGCACGCCATCGAAGCCGGCGGCAGTGAGAGCTGCGCCGATGCTTTTAAGCATTTGCGCTTGGGTGAACGCTGCACTCGGAGGCACGGGCTCGACATGCTCGGGTCGGTGCTGGGTGTGCTGTAGATTGCGGACTACTTGTCGCTTCTCTCGTGGTCGTTCGCGTGCTGCTGAGGAAGGTGAGGGGCGCTTCTCCGCCATAATATTGCCTGCTGACCAAGATCGAGTGTCTTGTTGCTCTTGATCACAGTACTCATGTCATGTTCAATCTCAGGCTATCAGGTTTCTCTAGTGTCCATGGTTGCACCATACTTCAAATTGGACGTACTGTAAGATCTTATCATGTAACCCGTGAAGCTCTGAGCAGTGAAGTGAACGAACGGAGCGTTTCCGCCTGCGCTGCGACCATATGAGGTTCCTCGCTTCTCTTCACTCACTTACGTTGATCTCGTCACGCTTACCGTCTCGACGCCCGGTCAAAGATGTACCGACTGTAGCCATCACTGACGACTGCTGAAAGCGAGGGTGTCGAATGTATCGCTTTATGCTACCCTGTCCGTCGGGGAGATTGCAATGATGTCGAAAGTGTACTGGCGAGCTGATGCCGTTCTGGTGTGATTGGGTCAGGCCAAGGAATCAGATACGCTCGCATTTGCATTTCTGCACCATGCCGCCCGATATGGTGGCACGCCGAAGAGTGAGAATCTCTACAAGACTGGAATGCAGAGAGTCAGGGATTCAGAGCACTGTCACTGTTGTGCTCGATCTTTCCGAACAAGTGACGAAGAAATCGAGAGCGAAACATTCAGTGCATTTGCCGAGCTTTGGGATCGGTCGTGGTTCTCGAGGCTATGGGTGATCCAAGAAGCGAATACTTATCTCGACAAGGTCAACATGTACTGCGGCTCACACTGGGTACGGCTAGAGCGATATCTCTCGGTACTCAGCTTCGACTTCATCGGCGCTCGTCATCTAGATGGATCAGATGTGGTGCTAGCCAAGAAACTCCGTGGCCAACATGACGACGAATTAATGATGAGGCATCCGCAAAAGCATGCTGCCATGTACCCAAAAGCTTCCTGGCGCAAATTCGCGACCAGATCGTCACGGAAATGCAGTGCTTTTAGTACTTGAAGCTAGTATATCTACATAGTATAGAACTCTCTATATATACTTAGTTAGCTTACAGGAACCGGAAAAGTTTCAGTTTCCTAGCATGAGTAGCTGTTATAGCAAGTCTCGTCACTTCGAGCTCCCCCCCTCGTTCATATGCAAACCTAGTACATATGATATGGGTGTCGGACGGTCTCCCAGGCACCAGACTCACCACGACGTCTAGGAATCTGGCAATTTCGGGTACCTGCCCTGCGCTTAAAGGTGTCTCGTATATCGAGGGCAAGCCGATTAACGCCCTTGCTATTCGTTCCGCTTCGATGATCTGCGTTGCAAAGGCAGCGAGGCTTCGACTCTTCTGGAACCCTTCGACTCTGTCCGTGGAAGCTAGCAAAGATACCGCTCGTCGTCGTACGAGCGAATCTCGACACTTCAAAGCGACCAAGTATAAGGATGGCATAATAAGTGGTTCAATCGAGGAGTTAGTCCGCGTATTCGAGGGCGTGCGGTCAACTCCGCCTATAAGGCTGTTTTCGTTGAGATACTGTTCGGCCAGGTCGAGGATGTAACTATTACGAACATATAATATATAATGCAGGAATAAGAGAACGAGGACTAGTTATTTTAGCCTTAATGTTATACACCTGCGGTATAAGGGGGTTAGAGCTCGTTAGACGAGTAAGTTCTAAGCGATAGGTCGGGTAAGTAACTACTCTAAGGTTTAACCTTTCGGCGGGTTAGTAACTTAGGTTAAACACGAACTATCTATATAGGAAAGGGCTTATCTATATATATAGGAGATTCGTATTCTAACTAGCTATTAGTCCGCTAGACTACTCGTCTAGTCGGATAGCTAGTTACGTATCTATCTAAGGTTTAGTAAAGTTAGCTAGTTACGTAATTCGCGGGTACGCCCTTAGCGCTTCCCTTTAAGGCTAAAATAACTAGTCCTTATTCTCCCTCTCTATACCCTATATTATATATTTATAATACTATCCCCCTCTTATACCTAAGCTTCGTCCCGAGCTTATAATATAAGTTATTTTCCTCTTTTTCTAATACTATAAGTAGAGAGCCGCTAACTCGAAAAGAACGCCGCGAACGATAAGCTCTACGAATCGAAGAGGAAGGTCGCGAGATACCTTCTCTATATACTTACTATCGGAACGCAAAAGTCGCGAAGGATAAGGAGCGTCCTCGCTATATAGTAGATATTTAGTATAGATCGTATTCGGAGTATATACGAAAAGGTACGTAAGGATATAACGTTACCGTTATATAGACCGAATAGGAACGGTTACGTACTTAGCGTCGTAAACTAAAGCGTTAGCTTAACGAGGCTAAAGAGAGCGTAACTAAGGCGATAATACGTATATATCGGTTAAGGAAGCAGCTCCGGGTCGCGGAAGAGCGGGAGGAGAAGGCTATTAGTAAGGAGTTTAAGGAACTATAATCGTTGCCTTCCGAAGGTCCCGGTACCCTAGCTACGTCTTCCGAGTATTTGCTAGTTCCGGAGAGAACGCTAGAGGAGTTAGACGGCGTTTTCTAGCTTCCCGTAGCGTCGTAGGCTAAGATATCTATAGTTTATAACGATACCTTTTAGACTCTTCCTAGCGGAGAATCTATCTTCGGTCCCGAGAGTAGTTTCGGTAATATTGCCGTAGGAGGGTCTATGTTACGGACACTGTGACACGATTGGTGGGATAAGCGAGTGGACAGGAAGTTAGGAGCGGAGGCTTCCGCTCCTGCAACTAATACGACTAACACTCCTTCGATCAGTCGGATTAGACACCACTAACTGAACTAACCGCGCTGCGATTAGTCGGATTAGTAGAGACACGAATCTCCTATGTATATAGAATGAGCGTTTCTTATGTAGGTAGTTCGTGTTCAACCTAAGTTACCAACCCGCCGAAAGGTCAAACCTTAGAGCAGTCACTTACCCGACCTATCGCTTAGAACTCACTCGTCTAACGAGCTCTAACCCCCTTGTACCGTAGGTGCATAACATTTTAAACACCCTTACAGTAGGTGAGTACCCTAAGCAAACAAATGGCTCCTAACAACGAAAGAGACGTTAGCATAGCTTCGACCGCTCGAGCTAGTGCCTCTACTAATGAAGACAGGACAAAGTATTCCGCTAAGCCGGACTTCTTCTATAGGGATCGTAACAAGCTCGATAACTAGTTGAACTAGATTATGCTATACTTCTCCCTTAAAGGTATTACAAGTAAACAACGACGCTGCCGCATCGCAGCATCCTACCTTCGAGGCGAAGCTCAAAGCTGGATACGTCCTAAATTGACTATAGTCCTACTCGAGAACAGAGACCCGGACGGGATCTTTGCCGACTTCTCGGAGTTCGCCAAACAGGTCAAGGGAATCTATAGACTTAGCAACGACCAGCAAGTCGCTATCCGGAACATCTAACACGTTACGTAAAGGGCCTCCGCATCCTAGTACACCGCCAAGTTCAAAGAGGTTTCTACTCGTACTAGATGGGACGGCAATGCATTAAGATCTATGTACTATCGAGGACTTAAAGACAACGTTAAGGACGAGCTTATAAGATACGGAGGACGCCAAGACACCTTAGAATACTTGTAGGAGGCTGCAATTAAGGTGGACGATATGCTCTACGAACGATACATAGAAAAACGCAATACCAATTAGGACCGCGGACGAATTGGCTATGCTCCCTACGGCCGGACCGGAGGACAGCAACGTCGCGACCCTGACGCTATAGAACTCGACGCTACTTAACGCAAGTTTGGAGGAGGCAAACCCAATAGAGCAGGAGCTAAGGGCAAGAACCACGCCTAGGGTAAGAAGCAAGGACTAAAGTGCTATTCGTGCGGAAAGGAAGGACACTACGCACGAGACTGCCGTAGCCGCAAGGTGCAACTACAGCAGAACTACAAGGCGGATCTCAGGGAGGTCAACGCTATGGAGATCAACGTCACAGAACGACGTAATCCATTTGCCGAACATATTCAGGAAGCCATTAACGTCATTCAGTCAGGAATGCACGTTAGTAAGGAATCAGCCAATAGCAATGCTGTACGACAAACGCAGTCCGAAATCGCCAATACGATAGGCTTAATGAAGAAACGACACCCCAATCGTAAGGACGAAATCATCGAATAGGAGAACAAGTTCCTCGAACTACTCGGAACGGTCTCTACGGATAACATCTACGTCATCCGCGACACGATAATAAAGATCGGAGAAAGCGTCGGAAAGGACCTAGATAACGAACACAAACAACTACACTGGACAGGATGTTACAACGACTCCTATACGACTCACTACTCGAGCAAGGCAGACTTAGGATGGTTCCCGAGTAAGCCTCGTCGAGAGTTCAATTCGACGGAATTATAGGGATCCAACAGTGCTGCGTATTAGCCCCCTATGTTCGAACTAGCGCTAGTTCGACAACGGCAACTATAGCAGGACAGGGACGACGGCATTTACGCCCGAGGAAGGTCTCCACCTCTACTTAGGTGGGAGGATACAACCCTGCAAGAAACACAACAACCTCAGGAGGAGGAATCCGACGATGAAGAAGAATTAAGACAACCAGTCGTAATGTACGATTAGGGAAGCTTCGCGCTGACCCCTGTTATACCAGACTCTAAGGACGGTCACGAGGACACGCCCGAGTCATCAGAATACGAATACACCGACGACGACAATAATAGCGATAACGAAACACTTAACTTTAGTGTCGACGCACTAGAACCAATCAGACGAATAATTCTTACAATAGTCAGACAACACGAGGAAGTCTTCCCGAAGGTGCAAGGGAAACGACGACTACATCGAAACAACTTTGACTTGCTACTTAACAACCTACGGAGGGAATTTTGGGATTATCGACAAATCAACCTCGAAGGAGGGCAAACCTATGTACGAGATATACCCCCGATAGGAAGCAAGTTCGACGGATCTAGAGGATATCACGCCCTAGACGGGATCTACATCAGCAAGAACATGCGAGACTACGTTAAGGTGCTTGCATAGCGATTCGACGAGATCTACATAATACAGGAAAACTAGCAGAACGACCTTATTACAGAATAAGAGATGATCTAGCAGTGCAAGACTGCGTCACACAAATGGTTACACGCTACAACCTACAGACTCCTACCACTACTAGTGTAGAAGGGACAGATTTTCGGTAAACTATTATTATCGACTAAAGGACTAGTATCGACAAGTATCGAACAAGGAAGAATTACACTATAGCCTAAGGATGGACCCCTTAGTTGGGAAGTCTGCCTTAAGGACCCCGAGCTTCTAGCAGCTCTAGAGACAAAAAACTAGGAGAGCCCGTTAGTAAGAACAGATTACGGGAACTTAACAACACGAATGTTTAACAGACTTTAGTAGCAGTCCTACGCACCAAATGCATCATACAAGGACACGAAATAATAGCAATAATCGACTCCGGAGCCAACGGAACGTTTATATTAGCCCAATTCGTGCAACGACACGGGATCGCAACCCGAAGGAGGAAGAATGGCGGGTACAAGCTAATAGCCGTCGATAGCTCATCCCTACCCGACGTAGATAGTAAAACGATGCTACTATCCCTAGCGATGCAACAGCACCACGAGACGATAGTCCTAGACGTCGTGCCTATAGCCAGACACGATATCGTATTAGGCACGCCTTGGTTGGAACGTCACAACCCACACATAGAGTGGAAAACGAGAGTACTCACATTTGAGCGATGCGTATGCGTTACCGACATCGAGCCTACACGCCGGCAGAGTTCAGCGGTAGATGAGGAACGACAGCATACATATATAGCTGATCAACAACCGAAACAGGAGCTACGTAGTAGCCCAAGCTCGACAGATGCCGGAATAGATCCACCGGATCAACAAGTTAGAGCGAAGGAGGACAAGGACGCACCTCTAGGAATCCCTAAAGAGTTTACACGATGGAAACGCCTCTTTCAGGAAGAGACAGGGCTCGCGGCCTTGCCTAAACACAGACCATAGGATC